TAAGGATCTCACACGTGTAGCGTCCCGGTAGCTCCGCCTACCTTCCTCATTGAGAGTTTTGCCAAGATCAAGATGCCTTTGAAATCATTCAAAAATCTTCGTCTAGAATACCAACACCGTCCCAAAATATTGTAAAAAATCTTTGAGTCCGTTGGAACGATACCTTGTCCTCCTCCAAAGCCCACATACAAGAGGAGCGAAATCCAGCCAATGACCATTGAAGATGCCATCCAACAACCTAGACCCCAACCAGATCGTCACCATGCCTTTTCCTTTCAAAATTACATCCAATCTACCTACACCTTTGTCAGAGGATCGTGGGGTTTGCACGAAGAAGTATGGATCCTGGGATCCGCAGCGTATGCCAAGGGTTCGCAAGTCGTTCTGGCTGTCATCATTGTTGTGAGTTACCAGCTTGCCGGGGTCAGGTTTCTCAGGGGCTCTGCCATTTCTACGACAAAATGTCGAGAACATCGTAGACCTTTCGTAACGAATTGGCCAGAGAAGACGACTGGCGGCAGTCTACGCCTTCTTTACTTTGCTGGGCATGTTGGTGATCGCGTTGTTCGTCGCCGGTATTGTATATGCCGCTGTGTTGCATCTGATACCGTGCGTGGTCTGTGAAGTGCACATTGTCGCCGCGACCCCTCTGCTTCAATCGCATTGTCTTGACGTTAAACCGAATGCTCCGGCCCAGACCACGCTATCCATCGTCTGGCATGACGAAATCCTCTTCGTTGCACATTTTCAGCAACCCGGGCGAGGCGGCGGCGCCACGTAGGAAAGCATGCAGGGCGTCAGGGGCGTGCAGCCAATACTCCGAGTCATGCTCTGGAGAGTGAACATAATTTGATTCCTCGCCAGTATGGAAGTCCAGAGTCCATTTCCTCGAAGGTGTGCCATAGACTTGGTCCATTTCGATTCTCATGGGCTGCATCTTGCGGAGGACACAGAAAGTTGACATTTGAACGCCTGTCATACTTGCCATGTGAAAGCGATTGGGACCCGTGCATGTCTTGAGCCAGGCATCGAATCCTTCCGATAGGTCCATGTCTTCCAGTTTCAGGTATTCCAACTTTGGGCAACGATTGCTGGGAGGCGCCCAGCGGCAACTGAGAGGTCCTCTTAATACTAGACAGCGAAGACTGGCACTGGCTTGACTGGCTACACATGCGTAGAACTGGCCAATACGGTCCGTTTGCAGTTGTCTGTCCCGGGGATGTGTGTGGTCATCGAATACTCGGCCGTAGTAGAACAAGCCTTCCATTTCACTCAGGTCGATTGACTGCCATTCCTCCAACAGGGTTTCGCTTCGCCTGCCAGTGGTATAGCATCCAATCGTATAGCTTTTGAGCCTCATGTTCGCACCGCGGATGAGTTTCGTGGTGAATTGTAAGAGTTCGTCTCCCATCAACGCATCGTCCATTCGCTCCGCACAGTGTTGCATTATCAACCTGTGAGTAGCGCTGCGTTTCAACCACCGTCCGCGATTCCAAGCTGCAAGGACAAAGTGACGTGCATCTGGCAGTCGATCTATGACGGACAGAAGAACCGATTCCGCTCTTCCGCTCGCCATAACCTGCTTCTCCTGTTCCCTCTGCTCACAATAGTACTCGTACGCAGCCGCTACCTTATCATCGTTAGTTGTATCCTCCATCGTCCCGTACGCGCCGCAGCTAGTGCACCTCTCGTCGCCTGATGATTTGTCATGCTGCCGCAGTAATTCTCCTCTGAAGCGATCATACGTCACTTCGACGCCGTACGATGGAGGCCGAAATAGAATCTGCTGCACAAAGGGTGCAAATCGATCCAGCGTGGTCTTCTCCAGTCGCTCGATTCCGACGGGGTCCGTAGGCAGACAGACAGTCTGGAAAAGGCGTCGCAGCGCGGACTTGAGATATGCGAAGCGAGGGTGTGTTTCGCGAAGTGCTTGCAGTACCGAGAATCGATCTCCTGAGATTGGTGTGATAGCAGGGCGTTCGACACTGTCTACAACAATGTCAACGATCATGGTCAGAAGTTCCTCGGGGAGGCGAAAGAAAGCGGGTGCGGTCGACATGGTGAAGACTCAGGCCGTCTGTAGTACTTGGGAATTTGGCGACTCGCTCGTGCGGCAACAGCACCAAACGCGGGTATTTCTCTGGAGAAGAATAGCCGGATATAGCGGTGAATATCCCAAGCTGAATTCGTTCAGAAAACGCAGTCCTTTTCTTGGCCTTTTATCCAATGGATGGCAAGTGTGTTGATCTGCTGGTCATAACAAAGCGACTTTTCATGTTGTTATGAGCCGTTGCTGCCTGGATGGTTGTGAGAAGAATGCATTTTGCCGCGCCTTCTGGGAGTCACAGCTGTTCCTCCAGCTCCTTGCGTACAATGACGTCTTCCCGATAGTGAAAGGGGATCCACCCTACCAGTACACATGTACACATGGCGAGCGAAGCAATATCGCTGCACAACTTGGAACAGGCGCTCGTACAAGGTCACTCTCCACAATGTTCGATATCGCTCTTCGCCCGGTTAAGGACCGCGTCTTCGACCCTCTCTGCGCCGCGATCCCGCCGGCTGTGGCGCCTCTGCACCTGACAATTGCGGCTTTCATCTGCGGCGTAGCGTCCTGCGTTTCTGCAGCTTTCGGTTCATCTTTTTGGGCACTGGCTCTCTGGGTTCTAAATCGTGCTCTGGATTGCCTGGATGGAGCCGTCGCTCGTCAGAGAGACCAGTCAAGCGATCTCGGCGGCTTTCTCGACCTCTTGGGGGACTTTGTCGTGTACTCTGGAATACCGATATCTTGTGCCTTGGGTTTGCCAAATGGCGGCAAATTGTTATGGATATCTGTCGCAGTTGTAGAGGCAACATTCCATGTGAACAATTTTGTTCTGTTCTATGTCGCCGCTGTGGCAGAGAAGAGGAAGGCGGCGCAGACCAAAGAGAAGCAGAAGCAGCAGAGGACGGAGGAATTGACCAGCGTGATGATGCGACCTGCCCTGATCGAGGGTGCAGAGAGTGGCGTGGTCTTCACCTTGATGCTGGCGTGGCCCAGCGCGACGCAGGTGCTTTGTTGGGCCCTGGCTGTGGGTGTGGCTATTGGAACGATACAACGAGTGACCTGGGTGGTGCAAGCGTTGTCCTAAGGGTTCCAGGCGTCGGATAAGACTAGGTGGCTGTGGCAATTGGATACGTTGTCTCATAGCGACGCCTGAGCTTTGTCGCCGCCCTCAATCAGCTTCTTCTCCTTGAGCAGTTCCACAAGACGCTTCGGATCTCCAGCGCATGAGACCAAGTCTGGCGTGTCCGCAACGAGCTCCATCGTGCCATCCTTTCGGGACAGAACCAGCGGATATCGATAGTTGTTAGACTTGGCCCAGGTCTTGACGTTTTCTTCAACCTGGTCTCGATGCCATTGGACGACTTTGAAGCCATGAGCCTCGATATCCTTTCTTGCCGTCTTCCAGCCATCCACTTCGTTGAGCGAAAGTCCACCGTGTGTTATGTCGCAAGCTGCGCATGCCGGATTCTCCTTGGAGCTCGATGTGAACTTCCGGTAGGCGTAGGCAAGTTTACCACGAACAGAAGAGTCGGCATTATAGATAATGACGAGTTCTGGATGCGGTGCCATATTATTTGATGGAAAAGGTTGATGGAAAAGGTGATGTTTGTGAGAAAGAGGATGGCGTGAGTGGGAGAGACGTGGTAATGGATCGAGAGGGTTCATTCCGCATAAGGGTTGGTTGATACGGTCAATGAAACTGCCAAGGGGGCTGTCCATGATTAGCTGACTGATATCCATCAAATATTGATTGATATTCCGTTCTATCTCATGTGTACAATTTAGTTAAGCTTTGCTCAGAGGTCCTAGACGCGACTGATGAGGCCCTGCCAAATTCCATCACACCAGTTGAAGTACGGCTCAAATCCTCCTTCGCCGTCTCGATGGTGCTTTGCATGCTTCCTCGCTCCTCCGCCCCACCCGGCCGGCAACATCTTCTCGTATCCCCAAGGCAGATCAAGTCCGGAATGTATCTCGACCAGTAGATGGACGAAGATGGGCACGAAGATTGTTCGGGTGAGGACGTGGCTGCCGATGATGTTGAGACTGAAATTCGCCAGCAGCACGAGGCCGAGCCGCTCGAAGATGTGCAGCTGATTTGTCACCTGGGGATGGATTTCGCCATGCGAATGATGTGGGCGATGCCATGCCCGCAGCCCAGGCAGGAGATGCATCGCCAGGTGGAAGGCGAAGAAGAGAGCGTCGTAGATGACGAGACTCGTGACCAGCTCGAGAGCCAGACGCCGGCTGGAAGGAGGCTCGACTGGCAGTGCCCGGGTCGTCTGCAACGGCGAGGCCAGCGAAAAGTTGTGCAGACTCGGAACCAGGAAAGTCGCTTTGTGTCCTCCAGCGCTCGCCAGGGAAGGATCATAATTCCCAGACTGCAGCATATCCTCGAGCGAAACGTTGGCGAACTTCTTGATCATCAACAAGTCCAGCATGAGAAGCGGCGCGACATATGTGAGGGCCTCCAATCCACGTCTGGCAGGTCTTCTCATCCCTTTGGGCTTGGGCGGAGTCTTCGCCGTTTGCTTTTCGTGTGCGATTCGCCATTCTGGATGCTTGAAGAAGACGACGGTAAGATATGGCTCAATTGCGGCATAGCAGAACACGGTCCAGAGTGTCTCGAAGGTGGACCATTTGTAGACGCTCCAGCTGCGAAGATATGCCCACGTCACCGTCATGAATGGTTGCCAGAGTTGAGGAGCAAGCACCGCTGATGCGAACAATACCACAGAAAATGCCCTGCCGTAGAAGACATAGACATTCCGTGTGGCGACCATCGATGAAGGATTTCTTAATGAGTCGAAATAAAGCAAAAGATTGTTAGTATGTCGAGAACTTGGAAAGCGATGCATTCTAACTTTAAGTTTCGCATGACGATGATTGCCAAGGTGGCAAAGCGAGCTGCTCGGAGCACAACCAATGAGAAATCTTTCACTCCCGTATCAACAATGCCTCCACCACCGGATGCATATCGAACGGCCTCGGCAGGTCGACCTTGTCGTCGTTGGCGCAGGCATCTACGGCATTCAAGCGGCGCGGACGTATCTCGAAGTGCACCCCAAGAGCAAGGTCGTGATTCTTGAAGCCAGCACAACCATTGGAGGAGTCTGGTCTCGCGGTATGTCTCCCCGAGAGCCAAATAAGGAGAACTGCTAATTCGTCACACGTCAAGATCGGGTGTACGAAGACTTTTGGACGCAGACGCCCGTAGGAATTCTTGAGTTCAGCTCCCGGCCGATACATGAGATTCCAGATTCGGACAAATATCACGGCTTTTTCAAAGCTAAGCATGTGACGTCGTATTTGGAGGAATACTGTAGAGACCAGCAATATGACAACAAATCTATTGATTCGCGAATACGTTTCGGAACTTCAGTACAAGAGATCAGCAAGCACGGTCCCTGGTGGACAGTACGAGCAGGCGAGAACGGTGAAGTCGAATTTCAAGCACCCCAAATTATCGATGCAACTGGCCTGACTTCTACCCCGAATTGTCCTGATCTGCCGGACAGGGAATCATTCAAGGGCAGGATTCTGCATCACAAGGACTTTGCGAAATTCGAAGCCGAGCTGAAAGCAGAAGAGGTCACCAACGTGGTCGTAATTGGAGGAGCAAAGTCTGCAGCTGATGTAGCCTACTCCTGTGCTAAAGCAGGCCACAAAGTGTCTTGGATCATTCGAAAATCTGGATCTGGCCCGGCTGCTTTCGTATCAGCCAAAGGCTCGATGGGATACGCCAACTCGAATGAATCGTTCTATACCCGCTTGACATCACTCTTCCTGGTCAGTTTGTTTGCCCTACAAATGGGCTATCTGCGGATCCTGAATTGGCTAAATAGAACAAGAGTCGGTCAGTCTCTACTTCAGAGTGCATGGAAGCGAATCAACGCCAGAGCATGCAAGGAGGCAGACTATGATCGTGAAGATGGTCAAGCGAACGGATTTCACAATCTCGAACCCGATACGGAGCTCTTCTGGCAGAACGACAGTACTGGTATCAACCAGCGAGAAGACTTCTTCGACGTGATTGCAAAGCACGTCAAAGTCTTTCGCCAGGATATCAGCGGTATGGATGAGCATGTAGTTATCTTGCAAGACTCTGATCATACCCTTGTCCGAGCGGACGTGGTCATCTGCGCCACTGGTTGGAGAGATCAAGTCTCCTACTTCGATGATGAGACGAGCTATGCACTTGGGCTTCCAGCAAATCACAGACCGGCGGCGGACAGCCGCTGGACCCAGCTCATGCGAGCAGCAGACGAAGACGTTGCGAAACAGTTTCCGATCTTGGACAGTAAATGGGCACGCTCTCAGAAAGCCTTCCAGCCATTCGATGCCCCTGAGCAACCTCAATTTCGACTCTGGAAATCCATGGTCCCCAGCAACGATCACAGCATCGTCTTTCTTGGGCGACTGATGCTGGGCAACCACTTTCGAGCCTCAGAAGTCCAGGCTTTGTTTGCCGTAGCAGTACTCGATGGGGCAATAAAGTCTCCATTGAAGGAAGATATGGAGTCGGACATCGCCAGAACTCTTGCTTGGTTTCGGAGACGATACCTGAAAAAAGGTCAAAGAGGCAATTGGTTCTATTGGGATATGGTGCCGTACACTGATATGCTGCTCAGTGAGATGGGGCTGCGTTCTCATCGCTCGAAATTTTGGTTGAGAGATCTGACGAGACCCTGCTATGCGAGAGATCTGCGAGGCCTGATTGAGGAATACGTGAAGAAGAGAGATTCTCAGAGAGAAAGGCATACTTCGAACGCATCGACTAAGCTGTGATTGTGTGAGGGATCATCACTAAAAAGGAGACCAGGAAATAATACTGAACTTCAATAACCACTCGAGCTAAAGCACTACCCAAAAGCTATCTGCCTCAGATACTTGGGCCAATCGCGATGTCCTTGCAGACGGAACGCGGACAGCACCTGTCCAAGAACCCAGCATGCAACGCATTCTCATCGCTCTCTCACTATGAACAGAACCGCGCGTTCAGAGTGCAGCTCATATCGATGTCTTCAGGCTTATGTTCGGATATGTCGCCTTCAACTTCTTGCCATTCATCGAGATCAAGGCCAGCCAGATTCTTCTGACAACTCTCAGCGTCTCTGGGCGCGATACCGTCCTTGGCGATTGTATGACCTGTTTTCCATCTGGACGTGGCTTGTCCAGTATGGAAATGATTTTGGAGTACCCAAGTGCTTGTGTATGCTCCAGGGCCTGCATTGACTATCAGTGCCGTGCAGAATTCCCAAGGGACAAGTCTCTGGACCTCTACCTATCTGGCCCAAAGGGATGAAATCATTTGGCGAGACGTTGACTAGGAATCAACTCGCTGCGTTGGCGGAGGAAGTCCCTGATAAGCTGCCATCAAACGCCCATACGGTTTGCTATATCATCAAAGCAGGCCAGGAATTCGAGCTCGCCTACGATAGCATCGAGAAGCTCAAGAGAATGGAGACCGCAGAGCTACCGGACCATGTAGCGCTCTACAACGAGTTTCCAAAGCAACATCTGCAGCAATTCCTACCGAACTTCGAACTTTGGACGACTGATGGAGAGACAACTTGTATGAACAGGAAGGCTCGTTGAATGAGAAGTTTCCGAATATCCGATCAAAGACAGTTCGCGCTTTTATGGAGAAATCCTGGAAGCAGACGCCTTCAGAGCTGTCCGATCGACGGGAAGGCAACAGTTGATCGATGAATGCGTTGTCTGGCAACTGGCTGAAGGCTACTGTCTTCGCGAATATTCCAGCAAAATTCATATCGTAGGGCTCAGGCACTGTAGAAATATCCTCCCGCGGACGCATTACAGCTTGTGCTAACTATAAGCTCCAGTATCCCTGTCCATATGGAGCAACACCATTCACTTACATGTCGCGCTATCCATTTTAGTCATGCAGGGATCGTATTCCCACGCCCTATACTTTGCACCAAGGCCTGCTGTCAGTATCTTCTGGCATGTCACATTCAGATCTCACATACAACAGAGCATCGACAATTTATTCTCTTACAAGCAGGCTGCCAGTTGGCTGTGTTACTACAGTGACAAGACAACCGCGGTCAGCATAAACAGATTTGATGAGCACAACAACACAACGCGGCACACATTACATCACGCCTTCAGTCGTTCTTTTGCAAGGACCGGATGCGGCTTGGCTTGGCTTGAAGATCTTGGTCCGCCGATCGCACGAGCGGTCCCCCAAACGTCCCGTCGACTTTTCCATGGTACAAGACTGCATTCTACTTGGGCACGCTGGAATACTAGCGCCCATGTCTCATGGGTGCCCTGATCGGAACACGCATGGCTTCCAAAAGCTCCGATGGCTCATATATATACCAACGTTGCTGCCTATGCGATACCATCGACCTTCCTTACCAAGTGTATCTTCCCCGTGGCTTCCTCCGCTCAACGGCGCCCAGCAGGACGGTGGCGCCTTCGCAGCGCACGGGAACACCAAGTTTTTCAATCACATCCGTGCTCTGCCATGGCGACCCGCGAACGACACTCCGAAGTCGACCTCACGAATTCCTGGTCGCGAAGGCCGAATTGAGCATCTGTTGTCCTGCCTACGATCCAATGTTCCATGACAGTAGAAGTCGTCTAAGAGATCTTTCATACATAACAAGAAGAGTATCTGGATACAAAGATGCACGGATTCTTGCATCGTTCATCACATCCACCACACTTCTAAACTGACCTACGAAATCCACGATCCTGAATCTCCCCTTGATCAAGACTGCGCATACAGCTTGTTCTTGCACTGCTTTCAGCCTCAAAGGCCCTCTTCCACCGAGTGACAACTCGACCGAGATGGCGCCTCCATCTTTCAGATCGAAGATCGCGAGCCTTGTCACCACCGCCGGGCTCTTCTTGGCTAGAGAAGTTGCCGGAGCAGGGTTCAATGGGAACAACAACATAGCTCTCTATTGGGGTACGACTTCTCCTCGCCCTCTAACGCACACATCACCTGACGAGCTTTTGCTACAGGGCAAAACTCATACGGGCAAGCCGTTGGCCCTCTCGCCCAGCAATCCCTCGCCACTTACTGCGCGAACACGGACATCGACATCATTCCCATGGCATTCCTGGTGCAGGTAACATCAGGAATCAGCGGTGAGCCCGTCCTGAACTTCGCTAACTCTGCAGACACGTGTACCCTGTTCCCCGGTACCGGCCTCTTCGACTGCCCGGAGATTGGAGAGGATATCATCCGATGTCAACAAGTGTATGGAAAGACCATCTTGCTCTCGATTGGAGGCGGGGCGTATACCGAGGGAGGTTTCGCGAGCGAAGCTGCCGCGATAGCAGCAGCAGAGCTCGTATGGAATACCTTTGGGCCTGTCAACTCTTCTGTGCCTGTCGTCGTTCCGTCCACTTCGAGTGCAAGTGTGGGATCTACAGCAATGTCGACACCCTCCTCCACACAGACCATGGTTTCTACTCGGACTTCAACGATGAACTGGACCAGCAGCGTAATCTCAACGACAATCTCTCTGATCAGACCAACTGCAACACAACCACCATACAATAACACGGCCATGGAATCTCAAGGACCGACAGTAACACCAACCGGCTTCGCCTCGACCGCAAACGGGACCTTCCCAACACCGACAGCCCTCCCGAACATCACAACCTCCTCTCCACCTAACGCGACCAACCCAACACAGCCCTTCCAAGTTCTAACAACCTTCGAAACAACCCTCGTCACCCTCGTCGAACTAACAACCCTAATAAACAACAACCTCCCACCAACCCAAGCCCTCGACCTCGACCTCCTCCCCCGCGCAACCCCAAACCCAACCAACCCCCTCCCCACCCCATCCCTCTCGCCAGAAAAACGACAATCCCCGCTCCCCCCCATCCTCCGCCCCTTCCACGCCGCCGTAATAGACGGCTTCGACCTCGACCTCGAATCCCCAACGACAAACTTCCTCCCCTTCGCCCTACACCTCCGCGCCCTTATGTCTGCCTCCTCCCCCGCCACAACGACGACAAAACCCTTCTACCTCACCGCAGCACCGCAATGCCCCTACCCAGACCTCGCAACAACCCCCCTCCTCAACAGCACCCAAGTATCTCTCGACGCCCTCTTCGTGCAATTCTACAACAACCCCTGCGGCGTGCAATCGTTCGCCCCGGGAACTGCTATCCAGGAGATTTTCAATTTCGATGTGTGGGATGCGTGGGCGCAGGGGAGGAAGGACGGGGTGCAAGTTTTTTTGGGCGTGCCGGCGGGTCTGACGGCCGCGGGGTCCGGGTATGAGGATGTTGGGGGGTTGAGCGGGATTATTGAGTATTGTCGGGGCTTTGCGAGTTTTGGGGGGGTTATGGCGTGGGATGCTTCGCAGGTTTATGCGAATGGTGGGTGGTTGCAAGGGGTGAGGGCTGTGCTGAATGAGGGTGCTGCGGAGGGGAGGAAATTGGTGAGGAGGGCGTGGAGGGCTTGAAGGGGGATTTGATGAATCGATGATGATGATGAGAGATGATTTTGATGAACGAGACTGCTGTTGATGGTGATGAAAGAATGTATGACTGCTACAAGAATGTAATGAATCCCATGTGCGCCCTCTCACTGCGTCGAGTCGTTTTATTGTAGTCATGGCAATATGGATGCCTTTTGACGACTCAGTAACTCAGGAGCGCTTTTAGGGTTTCGTCCAAATATGATCTCGTGATGCAACATCGCTGCCAAGGTTGTCAATGACTTGGAAAAAAAGATCGAGGAACTATGCAGAGCACGACCAGAGCGCTTCACCTGACTACCACCCCGAAGTTCTTGCAACGCAGACCTCCTGAAATCGCATATCAGCTGAAAACTCCATTCTCGTGATGTCTTGAATTATTTGCGAGGCCCAGCATCTGCGGGAGCTGTAGAGATGCTCTCGTGGATATATTGAATCAGATGGTGCAGACAGCATCGCTCAGAAGCAATGACATAGCCCTTTCGCGCAGCGTTCCAACGAATGGCTGACGAATTGGAGTTCTCCTGAGAAGCACTCTTCAACTGCGATTGAGACAGGTCTGTCTCCAAGCTCGATGGAGGGTGTCAAGATCATGCGTTCTCCCAGATGTCGACATTCGATCTGGAGGAAGACCTGCAGGTTGGGGCGCTTGGCTTCTGTCAACAAGTCTGCAATGGCAGCTGCGACGGTACTCATCCCCTGGCGGCTATAGACGGACTGTGTTGGCCACCAACTGATGGTACTCTGCTGTACCTGCTGTACGCGCTGTACCCGCCGTCCAAATCTGTCCTCTGAGTGTAGGCTCTTGTCGAACCGCCCCGAGATCAAGATGCGCAATGATTGCAATCTTGTCATCTGAGAGATGAGTGAGTCCATGGCGTCCTTGGCGGTGTACAATCCGATGGGATACTGCGCTGTGGAGTAAGGGAACGACGCCATGCGGAGTCCTTTGAAGGTCAGGCGAGAGTCGACGCACAGCTCGAAGTGACAGATCTGATGATAGTGCCGGATTTGATCGTTGAACCACTTCGTGACGAAGGGTGGCATAACTACAAACCTGCTTGGGAGAGATCCTTGAATCTGAAATCGGAAATGTAGCAGTGCGTCTTGAAGGAGAGCATGTGTGCACAGCCGGACAAGCTTGTCAGTCGCTGGAAAGTCCGGGGGGATGATGGACCTGGCGGTCTTTGCGATGTCGCGGTGGAAATCCAGATTGATTGGCGGGAGTGAGCGGACATAATGGCGCAGGACCAACAGTATCAGTTCCTCGGGTAGTTGTAGGATGTGTCGGAGCAACCTCCGGCGCAATGCCGCTTGGATGCTCTGGAAGTAAGAGCGCTTGCTGGCCATTGCGGCAACTTCTTGTGTAGGAACTGGTGGTTCTGTATGTTAGAGATGGATGCGGCAGCTTCTACATGGAATACTCACGAGTGCCTGTGGGTGCCCGCAGAGAGCAGGTGTCCGTGTGAAGGGTGACGGACGGCTTGGTGATGTCGTGGTGAGGGCCATGATGGGCGGGCGAGGTGGTTAAAGTAGTGGAAGAGAAGAAGGTGGAATTGAAGCGGAGGACATGAAGGTGAATATGAGGACAGGCCAGAGCACAGACCAGCACACGGACCATCTATCACGTGACGCTATCGATAAGGATCGTGCCTGAGGATTACTTTAGCCTGTCCTCGTGCCACTCATCCTCCGCGTCTCGTCGATACATGTATCTCCGTCTTGTCCATCGCAAGCAAGCATTGATGATACAATTCTCAACCATGACCGTGATGGATCATCGATGGACTCGATATCCGATACCGCACGGGTGGAGAGCGATGCTCGCGCGCGTATCCTGGGCGTGCGCAGGAATATCGGCGGGGATTCATCGGCCGCTCTCATTTCACCAGAACAAGTTAAGTCACTGCAGTGCTTGTGTGCTCCGAGCGACGGCAGGCGAGGCGGCGTCATCTACTCTTGCTGTCGCTTCCAGAACCATCGAATCGAATCGGTCGGCGCGTGATTCAAGAGGTCGAGGTCGTGCTTTCCCTCCCTCTCATCACCACTTCCACTCTCACTTCTCTATACCACTACATCACTGCAAGCAACAAACAACATGACGGGACAAGACGGACTCAAGGCCGGCGAGGCCTTCCCCGAGGGCGGTAAGTCATCCTGCCATAATACCGCCGAGTGAATACACACACACGGCCGCCAAGAATCTGACCACCGCCACAGTCAAGTTCAAGTACATCCCATGGACCACCGCCGACACCAAGGTCTGCGGCTTCCCCGTCGTCTACGACACCACCAAGGAGTTCGCCGACAAGAAGGTCGTCATCGTCTCCGTCCCCGGCGCCTTCACCCCGACCTGCTCCGGCAACCACGTCCCCGGCTACATTGAGAAGATCTCCGAGCTCAGTACGTGCCCAACACTCCTCCCCATCCTCCCATCCATTCCATACCACTGACGTCCACTGTTCCACAGAGAAGAAGGGCGTCGACCAGCTCCTCATCATCGCACCCAACGACGCCTTCGTCATGAGCGGCTGGCAGAAGGTCAATGTCGGTGGCAGCGACGACGACAACACCTTTGTCATCTTCGCCAGCGACCTCGAGACCAAGCTCGCCAACCAGATCGGCTGGACTGCTCCGGGTGACCGCAATGGCCGCTGGGCCGCCATCGTCGACCACGGCAAAATCACCTACGCCGAGGTCGAGACGGAGCTCCAGGCCGTCACTGTGTCTGGCGGTACGTATCCCCAATTGAAAGGCCATGAAGCTCTTGACTGACATTTCATTCTAGTCGACGCCGTCCTCAAGGCACTCTAAGCGAACACGACCGGCTACAAATCGAGCAATGCAAATCGAGCGGCGCGAACCGAGAGCAAGGCGAACGGCGTGTGTATGAGCAATGAATCCATACCCAATTGACGATAGAACCGATAAAACCATAGAGCTTCCAAAATAAGGCCATCCAGCAAGCCAAGACCCCCTGCCTTCTCTCACTCCGCCTTCTCACACCCTATCCTCGCTGACATCCATCCACCATGACACTCTTGGCATGCCCCGAGGGCATCAATCCCCAACACTCCTCATCCTCCTTCACCAACCCTACAAGATCTCTCAATCATCTCACTCCAATCTAACCAAAAGAAAAAAAAAAAAGAGAGAAATTGCGACTTACGAATCCTGTCCCCTTCACAGCCCGTCCCGCTGAAGACTTTAATCTCGCACATATCCACCTCCGACTCGTTCGCGTAGGCGAATCTCATGCTCACGAGGCCCGGGTATTGGCCGGCTTTCTGCATCTCGTGGGGTCAGCGGAATGGCGGGCAGGTGAGGCAAGGCGGGTGCATGGATGGAGGGATGGATGGATGGATGGATGGATGGAACGTACGGCGAGATCCACGCATTCTCCCTCTTTCAGGAGTCTACTGCCCACCCCGTGGCCTTCTACTTTGCAGCTCCTCTGAGCGAAAGGGAAGAGCAGGACGACTTCTTCGCTTTCCTGCGTCGACGCGGGGATGACGGCGGCGGCGGCGGCGGCGGTGACGAGGAGGGGGAAGAAGAGGAAGAAGGGGGTGCAGAGATGCATTTTTGTTCGGATGGCGAGCAGAGCGGTTGGTTTGAGGATTCTTCTTCCTTCTTCTCCTCTTCTTCGTCGGGATTGGCGAAAAGATTTGGAATTTTCTGTCTGTTCGGAAGGAAGGATGTAAAGTCGAGGAGTTGATCTATCCGGTCCCTGGGGTCATATATTTTCGCGAGTGCGTTTCTTTCTTAATTTCATTCTTGGTACGGGAGGGAGCTGGTAAGCAGGAATTGTGAAGCTAAGCTTGGGAGAGGAGAGGGTTCCACCTCACTTCTCTCCTCTTCCCGAACGTAGACGCAGAGTTTATGATTTTTTTTTTTTTTACTTCTGACTGGATCCGGGGGGTGTGCGTGTTCTTCATCCATCGTTATACGGGCAATGAAGAAGCCTGGTCGGCGAGAGATGCTAATCACATCCTCCCGTCGCATGCGGGCCATCCCAGGCGATGAGATCTCCCGACAGGACCATGTTTGAAGGTTCCGTCGCCGTCATGAGATGCTGTGCTTATTAGTGAGAATCTGTCGGGTGGTCGTGGGTAGCGAGTCTCGATGTCTATAGCTCGGTTGTCAATCGATGCTGTGTCCTTTCGTGTAATGGAGTCAGAGATATCCTGTACCAATTGTGAGCAGATGCTAGGAGGCGCAAATAGAGAGGCTTTTCAAGTATGTGTCGTTGGTTTGAACAAAGGATGAATGTTAGTACGATATCCTACCTCGTTCACTACTGAGTCTCGAACATTCGTTGACCCGTCACGACGATCATGGGATGGTCCGAGTGAAGAGAGGCGCTCTTCAAGCACGTGTCAAGGAGAACCATCATATAGAGACCATGTCTGCGCTAGAAGAAATAAAAGGAATAAAACATATCATGTGTACGGTCTCCACCAACGTCAAAATGTTGAAGCAATCGATCGATGTAAAGTAAAGACTGTATGATGACCCAAAAAAGTAGAAAGCTTTGCTCTCGCAGGTTTATTGCGCTGCGGACAGGATTCGAACCTGCGCGCCCGAAGGCATCAGATAACCGGATGACAAGCATTCAAGTCTGACTGTGCGCTTGTTAGCACAGATGTCACGATACATTAAGGATGTAGTAGCCGTACCTCGTTAACCACTCCGACACCACAGCGTATTTTAGAGCATGGATGTGATGGGGGAATATATAATGCTTCATAAAGGGCTAGGTGGCTGGGTTATGCATGCATGAGCAGCTGTGAGGAGGCTTTCTTTCGGTCACTTTGGCTTTTTCCGACCGCCAGCTTGCAAGGCAACAACCGTCAATAATGAACAATTCATAGGCGTGGAGAGAGGCCTATCTTACCGAGACGAAAGGCGGAATGGAAGAGCCCATGAGCCGGTCTTTCGTGAAAGATATGCGATATGGCCACAAATTGGAACGCTCTCCAACGTCGCGACCGACGTCACTCCGTCCATCAGCGGCCTCCTCCCCGGCACCCACCACTCTTCGCCGGTCCATCCACCGCTCTACAGTCACCGAGAGCTATGATTGCTTATCGCACACGCTGTATGCCGCTCGATATATAACAGCATGGAGCGTGAGGTAGGTGGATAGACGTATCTCCATCTCCGTCTTCTTTCCTTCACGACCATGGCAGAGGAGAGCAGGGAAAACATGACCAAGGATGGGAAACCCCATCCTGGAGAAGCCTTCGAATGCGGCGCGGTGGAGATAGACAGAGCGAAGGAGAAACAGCTGCTTCGGAAGCTGGATCTCCATATCGTCCCGGTGGTGATGCTGCTCTACTTGCTTTCCTTCTTGGACCGGTACCACCACCACCACCCTCTTGTCCCATCGCTCCCCCAAACACTAACAACCATCATCTCTCCCAGCGTCAACATCGGCAACGCCCGCCTCTACGGCCTCGAAGCCGACCTCTCCCTGACCGGCAACCAATACCAAACCGCCATCTCCCTCCTCTTCGTCACCTACATCCTCTCCGAACTCCCCTCCAACCTCATCCTCAAATCCTACATCCGCCCCTCCCGCTGGATCGCCTTCATCACCACGGCCTGGGGAATCATCGCCACCCTCACCGGCATCACGCAATCCTACGCCGGTCTCGTCGTCTGCAGACTCCTCTTGGGATTGGTCGAAGGTGGCCTCTTCCCCGGGTGTGCGATCTATCTGACCTTCTGGTACACGAGACACGAATTGGCGTTGCGGGTGGGATACCTTTTCGTCTCTGCTGCTCTGGCCGGCGCGTGTGGCGGGTTGTTGGCGTATGGGATTGGGTTCATGGATGGGGTTGCCGGACAGCGGGCTTGGAGATGGATTCTGATCTTGGAAGGGCTCCCGACTTTCGTCTTGGGCATTGCGTGCTGGTGGATCCTCGCCGATGACCCGGAAACGGCATATTACCTCAACGATGCGGACCGGGAATTGATCGCCGCGAGACGCGCCGCGCAGATTGGAATCACGGACGCTTTCGAATGGAAAGACGTCCGGAAAGGTGCAAGAGATTGGAAGATCTGGATCTTCTGCGCGGGGCAGTTCTGTGAGGATACCATGTTATACGGCTACAGCACCTTCCTCCCGACCATCATCCAAGGCATCCGACCGCATTCTTCGCGGGCCATCGTCCAAGTCCTTACGATTCCATGTTATGCCCTGGGAGCGATAAGTTACATGGCCGCGGCGAGGTACAGTGACTGGAGACAATCTCGAGGACCCGTGGTCACCTTCTTCTGCATCCTATCCGTCGTAGGATATGCGCTGCTGCTCTCCGATACGAGCCCTGGAGTCCATTTCGCGGGCTGTTTCCTCGTGGCAATGGGCTTGTACGTCTCCGTGGGCATCCCGCTGGCTTGGCTCCCGAGCAACAACCCGCGCTATGGGAAACGAACGACCGCGACGGGCTTGCAGCTCACCATTGGGAATTGCTCGGGCATTATGGCTCCTTTCGTGAGAAGATTCCCCCCTCAGGTGCGAACCCGATAGATACTGTTGCTGATGATTGAGAATAGCTCTATCCTTCCAGCCAAGGGCCTCGCTACGTTCGAGGACATGCAGTTACCATGTCCCTCGTCGGCTTGGGCGCCTTGCTCTACGCGATCATGTACTCATACTTGGAAAGAGAAAACCGGGCACGTGCGAAGGGCAAGCGAGACGGAGTCATGCAAGGCCTGACAGAAGCGGACATTGTGGCTCTTGGGGACGAGAATCCTCGTTTTGTCTTCGCGAGTTAACTTGAGCTCGATCGATTAATGCATCAGCCACACAAGTCGTCAACAGATGGGGTTGTGTTGTCAGCGCATCCATCAAGAGTACCTTTGCTTTGCGTCAGAATCGCAGTTTTCTCGAAGCCACAGTCTTTCTCCACTCGATGTGGAGGACCTCTCCTCTTGCTCTTCCCAGAATTCCTTCCCAGGCAAGTTCAGAGGCCATGGCGAGCGAGTCACTGTAAACCGCCGCCGACGAGACGGGAGTGTCTGTCGAGAGAGATTCCTTCCAATACGACAGACAGGCTTCTTGGACCCTCCCGTCCGTACCGCCCATCCATCCGCAAAGGCCCCTCCAACACCGACCGGCCTCAGCTTACACTGTCAAGAGGATACCCTCCCGCCCGCCAAACAACGGGAATTTCCTTTTCCTGCTCATGCCATGCTATGCCTCACCCTCCTCCTCGCATATCTAGTTCATTAACTCTACCTACCTCAAGATTGTTGGATACGATACGAACTCGGCGAGAATTGACATTAACCTCATCTTATTTATGTATGCAGACAGACTCTTGCGCGAAAAGGTGAGTGAGAGATCGGTCATGATATGATATATCGCAAGTAGTAGTAGTAGTAGTAGTAATAAAAATCGAAATCCTTTTCGTCATGTTTCATTCATTTACCTTCTTTTTTTCTATCTATGCATGCAGTCTATCTTGGCTTTTCTCTCTTTCAAACTTACCAGACCATACCAGCTTTTGCCGCCGTCCAGCGGCGACTGATTGGCTGAGCAGACGGTGTGTCTGCTGCTGTCGAAGAGCCCCTGCCGCTTGAGAGAGTATGGGCGACGAGGGTCTCTTGTGTCAGCCGTGCGTGATTCTCATCATTATTCGCGACGAGAAGATCGATCGTCGGCTCCGTTTTCCGTTCCGTCGCTTTGCTGTATGTACATGATTGCCCAGTCACGGGCCTTGTATGGCATGGGTGGTGCGTCGCGATCTTGGCTGGCCAGCTTTGCTTGAACCATCCTTGTGTTGGATGCAGTGCGCCTCCGGTGAGCAGGATCGAGTCGTGACATTTGAGAGATCCTTCGCGATCGGTCATCGGGGTGAGTGACATGGCACAGTCACAGCTGTGTTCCGACGCTTCCTAGACCTGTGCAATCTCCATACCCCTTCCTCCTAGCCACATGCCTCTTCTCCCACCGCCGCGTCCAGCACCCACCGTCTCCACCCTTCGTCCTGGAGAATGAACCTCACCCTCGCTTCCAACCATGCCGTATTCCCCCAGAATCCCCAACTCGCCTGAAACCTCAGCCAGTCGACCAGTGCCGTCTGCCAATGCCTTTCCAGCTCCTGTGATGGGTACATCTTCCCTTTCGGATCGATGGCTTTTCGATACGCATGCAAGAGCTCCCGTTCTCCCGCGTCCAGATCTAATGCATGCGGCATGGGATCCGACGCCGTGCAGAGCATGGAAATTGGAACGGAGCAGGTGAAGAGCTTGGCCAGGTCGCACACTCCGAGGCCCAGGCCCACGTATTGAAAGTCGAAAAATGCGACCTCGTGGCCCGAGAGCGTGGTGAATAGGTTCTCGGACTTGACATCCCCGTGAATGAGCGTCTCATACTTGGCGATGCGCGATTGGGATGATGGTTTGGGAGAGGGAGCCAGGACCTGAGCCACAAGCTCGGTGATACTCCTCCCCTGGGCCTGCGGAAGAGGTAAACATAGCCTCTCGGACCATTCGGAGCTGGAGTCTCCTCGGAGCGAGTCGTATTCTTTCCGTCGCGTTGCCAGGTAGGTATACCCTCCGTTCAACCACACTCCATCTCTCTCGCCGGCCATCTTCGCTTCCTCCAACGGCGGCCTCCTCATCTCTTCCCGAGTCCCTTCGTTCGCCACTCTCCCCCACCAGAACCCATGAAACTCACCCAGCCACCTCACCGCCGCTCGGACCTGCGTCGCGTTCAGCACACCTCTCTTCTCGCCCGCGACTCGGAAGCTCTCCCCCAAATCCTCCAACAGAAGCGCCACACCCTCTCCTCCCACCGCGCAGCTGCCCAGACACTCCGCGATCGCAATCTCTCCCGGCAATTCCTCTGCGAGATGCTCATAGAAATGCCTCTCGACTTGATACGAGATTACTTTGCGGAAATGACCCTCATCGTGTTCCCGCCCGGAGGGTGGAGAGATATACTTCAGAATCAAAGTCCTCGCGAGTCCGCCCTGGGGTGCAGGGCACGGTGTGGCATTGATCCGGGCAGTGACTCCGTATCCAGCCCACAAGCTCTGCAGTACCTTACAGGATCCCACTTGCAGGCCATGCGGATGGAGCAGATTGTTAGCGACCTGGATCAGATCTGCCTCTGAGGGAGTCGTCATTGTGGAGCGCAGTGGTTTTCAACGCAACCCAAGAGCGTGTAGAGTATTGGTATCCATCTTCAAGATCAATACTTCTTTGCTAAACTGAGATACCAATCGCCAAGCTGCAAACGCATTCGTTCTTCTGGAAAGAGCGAATTACTAGAAGTTCTGATGTCTCACATCCCAGACTTACGGAGCTAGCACGAATTCGACAAGGGGCCTGACTTCTTGCACAACTCTAACAAGCTCCACCTGAGGGCTACCATTCACTCAGTCCTGAATTGATTCGTATTCTTTATGCAGGATTGACAGAGATTCGACGCAGATCCTATTCCATTTCGTGGGCTTGACATGTCAATAAAGACAACAGAGGCGTTCACGACGGGAGCAGGGACGGAATCATCTCATAGCGATGCAATGACTCCACTGCATATATACTACGCATGCGTATGGAAAGTGGACCAAATGATAAATCGACGACTCTGTCGATCGATATGCATATTCAATACACCGGCCCGTGGCCAACTATCTACTCCACCAATAACCATTGGGGCCCCGATCTTTCGTCTTCACGCCCTTCTTCGGACTGCCTCCGATATGTCCGTTCGTCTGACCAAACGTGTGGTGGGACTGTGCCTTCTGTCCTTTGCGCTCCTCGTTCAACAACGTCCACAGCCGCCCAATCGACACCCGCTGTACCGGCAGCATGCTGTATTGCAGGCTGTACAGATTCTTTCGATGGATAGGAGGGACAAATTGCCCGGAGACCAAGCAGAGGAACACCCGAGGCGACAGATAATGCTTCCTCAAGCGGTGCCCAAGTTGAGCATACTGTTCAAAGTTTTGCGACAGCGGAAGCGGAATGGACTGTGAAAGCTTGTAAGCGAGTGAGCCGAGTCACCAGCCAGTGTAGAGCATACCTTGAGTTTGATGTACGATGTAGACGCCGTCGGAGAACGACCCCGGTCTCGGGATGCAGAAATCAATGCGCGAGGGGTATCTTGCAGCTCGAATCGAATGCCTCCAGGTAAACGCCGTGAATCCTTAATGCGCAGCATCAATGCAAAGAGTGGGAAATGGTTCAGACAAGCCAGCCAGGTGTCCAGGGCAGCCTTTAATGCAATGATGGCCATTCTAGCACCCGCAAAAGTGGCATAGAAGACTGCGACAGTCGGAAGAAGGAAGAACAGTAACGTAAATAAGATGGTGCCGAGGAGCAACTGATCCAAGTCGTAGTCGCAACTGTCGATCCGATTCCGAAGCACATTGCGCTTCTTGCCTCGAAACAGGTGGAAGAGCGAGATGATGATCGTGAGCTGCCAGTTGTAGATACGCGCGGACGCGATGTAGAACGAGTAGATGTGGATCGTCAGCAGCGAGAGGAGGTCCGAGAACATGGAAATCGGTAGACTGGCTCCCGCAAAGCTCGTGAATCCAATCAAACGGATCACATATGGCAGGTATGGCCGCAGCTGTGACATGCAGCCGTTCCAGTAATCGATGACCCACAGGAAGAGGTCACCAAGGAATGTCGCCAGTTCGTTATTCAGCTTAAGACCGGCAGGATAGTCCATGAGCCAGGTGAGCATCCGTTGCAAACCCTCGATAGAGTACGTGTTCATGATTTCATCCATCTGCGCAGCAACAGAGTCCACGTTCTCGACAATATACGAGCCGATGGCGATGCCGATAATGATGTCGTTCGCTACCAGCCAAAGGCTGTTGAAGAACCGGATGTAATCTGGATGGCTGTTTGTGATGCTCTCCCAGTCCGTCCGTCTTCGATGAAGGGTGATGTACTGATCCGGCCAGTAACAGAACTGTTGCAAGCGTATGTCGAGTTGCTGTGCAGTGGCTGAAACATCCTTGAGCGCGGCGTTTCCAAACGGTCTCCAATCCAGCAGGAGCAGGAGCGCCTCGGCGCAGATGCGAAGCGCCATCAGATACAAGATGAGCATCTGCGAAGCAAAAGGCCAGACGTGGTACTTCAACGTCTGCTTTGACCAGATCAAGACGAAATCCCACAAGTTCGTCGCAGATTCCACGACTCTTTCGCTTACGCTCATCGTCCGCTTGATGCGCACCCCGACCATGTTGATGTTCTGCTGCATCAGAGTATTGAGCTCCACCGAGCAATTGATCTGTGTAATGATGTCTCCCAGTGCTAGCTCCTTCTGCGTCCGCGGATGTTGAACGACTGTGTGCTGCTTCAGCTTCTCCACTAGCTTCTCCTTGCGAACATGCTCGCGCTCCTCCTCTTTGTCTATTCTATCGAACGGAGGTACACTTCCAAACGCTCCGCGCTTGTCGCCCAGAGCGAGCGAGATGGGCGTGAGGGAGAGGTACTGCATTCGTTTCGGATCGGGCCTGTCAAATGTAATGATCTGGAAGGTATATGGGGCATCGTGAGGGCAGTCGATCTGTGGAATAGTGCTGCGAGGTGTCGTCTTCAGTGAGAGCAGCTTGGGATCGAATGTGTCCGTCGTCGCCTCTGCATTCAGCGTGCCCAACACCTGCAATTGCTTGTCACCGCAGTGCGAAAGCAGCTTGTCGAGAGAATGTGGATTGCCTCGGAAAAGTGTACGCATGCGCAAAGCATACTCAACGCTGCGAACCTGGGATTTGTTAGGCAACGCCTCTCCGCTTGTACATTGCTGCAGCTCTTACATCGACCCCTTGGAGGACGCCCACTATGAGAACGTCCAGTGTTGAATTCCTCCATCCTATCAGAACAGAGGGTATGTTGTCTCGTGGCGCGTCAGAAGGCCAGAATACGCGCATCAACCCATGGTTGCGGGTGGTCATGCTCCCATTGCGGAGAGCCCAGGTTTACGGTCCCTCAGAAAGAGCCGCGGCGTCGAAGCTGTTCGCGAGCCGAAATGCCAGCCTCGTGCGTGCGCGGGTGCTGCAATAGATTGTCAGGTCGACTTGTTGTGGTCATCAAAGAGGCTTCGGAGACAGACCAGTTCAGCCTCTCGCGCGGCAATGCGCTCGATGGGGATGAGGACGCAGACGAAGAAGATGGAGAGGATCGCGAAGCCTTTGGCTGCTCGTGTCTAGTGCCTTGGTGTCAGCAGCCTTCTGCAGCTTCCTCCATACTGGTAGGATCGATCGCATACAATGACTCCGTGGTCCCAAGCAAAGATGGCAAGCTCATACAGCCGAGTGACAAGGTCCCAGCGAGCAGTGATGTAGCCAGCTAAGAAGATGCCGAATGTGAGAACAGAAACCGGGTGCATGAAGCGTGTGAGGCGTCTGTCTCATACTCGAGCGGAGTGGTTGTCGTGAGAAGGGAAGCGTGGAACGGGTGCAATTCCTTCAAGACGATAATCGGCAACGCGTATGCACTGCACCTGCTTTTGGCGTCCGCCAACGGCTATCTCGCTTTCGGTATGCCGCAGGTGGAAGCCGATCGTCAGAGGCTCGGTCTCGTGCTCTCGGGTATCGAGTCGTCCATAACTGTGATAATGTCGTGAATGTCTCGTTCGAGGCGGCGGATGGTGAGTTGAATGTTGAAGGGAGAATTGAATGTTGTCGCCGGCCAGTGACGGAGGACATGGAAGAGCCGAACGATTCGGTTGGAAGCTTGGACCACAGACCCCGGGGCCACAATGGATCCATCCAATCCCTTGCAACATGGATATGGATCCATCCTCCATCCATTATCCATTCCGAGACGCCACACCAACATCCATATCCGAGAATCTATCACCTTCAACAGTTCACACACACACGCAAGATAGGTTTCAGGGCTGAGAGCAGCAACTCACGACCAGCAACTACGGCGCACACTCTTTGTCAGGATTTCAAGCTACACCTGAAAACCGAAGCATTCATTGTTGCCGTGTACCTCACACCATTCGCATCCGTCAGGGCAGTCGCTCAACCACCGCATACCTAAACACGCCTGGTTCGCGACAAAAGACCGCGCCAGGTGACGCATGACTGTGCGAGCAACATCACAACAACCCCAGCTTTCTTATCGTGGGGAGTCGCAACGATGAAGATCTGTAAATTCTGGCAAGAAGGACGGTGCAAGTTTGGAGGTACGTGACGTTCGACGACATCACCTCAAGGAAGGGAAGTAAGCTGAATGGTCGAGTAGATTCGTGCAACTTCGAGCATCCGCGAAGTCAAGGCAGCTCCAACCGCTTCGCACCACTAAATGCGCCTTCTGGACCAGGTCGCGGCAGGTCTGGCGCTTTCGGAGGAGGTGAGGAGATTTTCCTATATCGCGTACATGTGAAAGATCACTCGGGATCCACCGAGCGCGACTGCCCTTAGCGCGCAAGGCGTATTCGCGCCAGTAAAGACCTCAGGCTAACAAGACGTACAGGCGCAGACAAGCAGTCAGACGACATATGCCCCTAATAATCCATTCACGAGACTAACTCCGTCACCAGATTCGGCATCGACGCAGAAGGCATACGAATCGACCTGACCGACGCCAAAGAGGGCGGCGAACGTCCTGCTTGGCCTTTCTCCGCCTACGCGCCAGGCAAGGATGCGCCCAAACAGCTGCTGGAAGGCGCACTCGAACAGAGCCCAGAAGAGATGCGAGTACAGTGCTATATCGCACGCGCATCCGGTCAGGAGCAGCAATATGTAAGTGTCTTCAAGGAAACAGCGCCAAGCATGTCCTGACCAAACGTCCAGGCACAACAGGAGGAAGCACTACTGGCTCAAGTCAATCAGCAGATCCAGACAATCAAGAGCGATCTCGAAGGCGCCCGGAGATTCATCGTGGACGGACAAAACGAACACCCCAATCGCAATGATCAGGTCCTTTTGCCCAGCAGCAACTTTGCCCGCCCGAGTGGAGGCCCTAGCCAGGCGTCTGGCTTCGGCACAAGCAACACATCTACACCATCTACATTTGGCCAACCGACAGGACCCCGACCGGCCTTCGGCGCAGCATCTTCCATGGCACAGTCCTCCGGCGCCTTTGGTCAGCCGTCACAACTTGGAGCCGGCTCAGGCTTTGGCAAGCCCTCCTCATTAGGTGGCGGAAGTGGCTCTGGATTTGGCCAGGCGTCCAGTCTGGGTCAGCAGAACAGTCCATTCGGAGGTGCGCCAAAGCCAGCGGCCTTCGGACAGCCATCACAGCCAGGCGCAAGCACAGGAGGCTTTGCTAGCTCATCGCAACCCGCATTCGGACAGAGCGGTTTTGGATCAGCCCCGAAGCCAGCTTTTGGGACTCCGTCACAACCCACAGGGGCCTTTGGCCAGCCGTCACAGCCATCGAGATATGGCCAACCACCTCAACCATCGGCATTCGGACAACCCTCACAACCCGCATCAAATTCTGGTTTCGGTCAACCGTCGCAATCAGGAGGCCAACCTTCGGCATTCGGACAGCCCTCACAACCCGGCCAGCCTTCAGCGTTTGGAAAGCCTTCACAACCTAGCCAGCCATCCGCATTCGGCCAACCGTCGCAACCCGCAGGTTTCGGCCAGCCGTCACAGCCTAGCGGCTTCGGTCAACCATCCCAACCCGCCAACCCCTTCGTAAACAAACCCTCACCCTTTGGACAGACACCACAGAGCCAGAGCAGCCCCTTTGTCACAGCAGGGCAAAATCAACAATCGCGACCAAACCCATTCGGCGGACCATCAGACGCTCAGTCCAGCAGCGGAGGCGGTACTCTCTTCGGTGCTCGTCCTACCCCGTCCAACACAACCAGCGCCGCGCCGAATGGCAAATCCGTGATTCGCCCCGCCTCCTCATCCCAGGCGACGTCCTGGAAAGGAAAACCCCTGACCCGAGACAAGGACGGAAATCCCTGTCTCCAAGTCGCCGACTCTTCCAAACCGAGCGGTCGACGTCTGGAGCGAGTCTGGTTCCCCGACGGCCCGCCGCCTACCAATGTGCAGAACGAAGGTGCACTGCTGGATCCCGAGGCACCGCAGGAAGTCTACGAGGGACCACTGGGCAGGATACTGCAGGGCCTCTATGGATTTGCGCTCACGGAGGGGAAGTTCAAGGATGGAATTGTCCCTGAGGTCCCGCCGAAGATGGCGTGGGTGGGGCATGATATTTGAGAGGACATCACAGGAGATGGGTTATTAGCAGCATTACAGCGAGATTGTGGGAGCTGATGAGGCGAGGAGATGGGAATGCGTTGAAACAGAATAGGACGGGGCAGTGTCTGCATGCGCTTGCAATTCATATGCATCTTCACGCTATACAAAAGGAGAGAGAAGAAGAAGCGCTCTGATTCATCGCAAGAGTCGCAGTAGAGTCGGATCCATCATCAAACACGAAAAAGCAGAGCGCGCACCATTAGCAGCGTTGCCTGTGCATTGCAAACGCCATTGAAAACTGCACAGATCCCATAATCCATCCCTGAATCTCTTGTCCCCCTCCGTCCCGTCCCGTAAGAAGTAGATGTACTTTAAACGCTCGTCTCGGGGTGCTCATTCTCCGCCACGACGGCAACGCCCAGTCCCCGGTCTGGCGAAGACCTTACAAGTGCCTCTTGCCGTCGTGCTTTCATGAAGTCCGAAACTGCTCGGATGAGAATGAACCAACCCACAATCATCAAAACATAGGAGAGCCAGTCGCTGGTTGTTATGCCCGTGGAAGCTGCTGCAGCGGCATCGGCGCCGGCCACTTGGCTGGGATCGAAATCGTGCGAGTTGGGATCGTCTGGTACACCTTCCGAGGGCGCGGCTGAGCCTGGATCTGGACCTGGGTGATCAATCGAGGCAGCGTAGCGCATTTGGAAACCATATTGCACCAGCGTGATCCCGAGACCGGCTCGCGAGCCGTGCTTTGCGGCGTGCGTGGTATGAAGCAGGTAGGTGAGTAGGAAACCGATTAGCTGGAAGGACATGGAAATCAGGGCGTTCCAGATGAATGAGAAGAGCGAGCCGACCAGCAGACCGTCTACGAATACGTCGTCTGGGTTTCCAGTTGTGGCATATGGTGACAGTACTGTTGTCTCCCAGTATGGTGGGGTCGCATCAGCAGCGGCCTGTTCGTAGGTCGGTGGTTTCTCCTCAACGTCCTCTCCAGGCCGGGGCTTTGCACTCAAGTTCGCCCATACTCCATCCCGACTATTACCAATCATCCTTCCGCTCGGCGCAGCAGGTACGAATGTAGGAATCTGCGTGACTTGTCTTTGCGGCGCATCCGGACGCGAGCCGCTGCTTGATTGTGCTGCCGCCGCCGCCTCCCCGCTCGTCGCATTGTCCTGCCGTGTTTCTGGAATCAGCCTCCTCCTGTCTCGCGCATCCTCATCGTCCTCGTCATCGGAAGGCGCATCGAAGGCATCGTCGAGATCGCGTTCGTCCTCGCTCTGGCGGCCCTCATCTCGGGAAGTTCGCCGCGACGAGTTGCGGGAGCGGAAAGAGGGCGGTGGCGAAGTCGGTATAGCTAGCGGCGATTGGACGGGTCCATGATCGTCTGTGTCTTCTGCAGCGATCTGAGTATACGCCATGTTAGTAGTCTGTTCGGTCTCCGATATGCGGTCAGGCGTAGTGGTGAGGCAATTAGGCAGGCGGCCGTCTGAGGGATTACGTACGCGCTGATATGAGCTCATGGCTCCGTCGCGGAAGATACGAAGGTGTGTGCCAGCCGTCGGGATGAAGTCGTAGTAAATATGGCCGCTGTGAAGAGTTGCTGTGAAAGTCGTGGCAAGAGACGGAGTTGGTATAGGTGTTGGTGGAAGGTCGATAGTTGGTTGGAGGCGCAGTCGGGCGGGTGCGAAGCGAGCGAGAGTCACAAGTGGTGGGTGATGTCGGTTTCACGCGGCGCCGTTGGCCCTGGTGCGGATCTTGCCGGCGCCAAGGTTTGTCAGCAAATCTAACGAGATCCAGGCTTCACCTTCACTACCTTAATTTGCTCGTTTCTTTCACGAGAATCGTATGCGCATATCGATCGATGGTGACATCTACCACTCTCAATCATCTGGGACACGTGACACGCCGACAGCAGCTCATGCGCAATTCTGAGCAGGACATTGTGAGGTTACACACGAGACGCCATGGAAGACGACGATGACATCCCGTACGCTACGCAGCATTCAATTCACGTGACACTATACTCACATACTTAGCCAATTGCCTGCCGATACTCTCCAGCTGCTACAAGATTTCCAAAGCGAGAAGGATGCAAGAACCAAGCAATTTGAAGATCTCAAGACGGCTGCTGAAGATGATTTCCAAGCCGGCAAAGGAAAGCTTAGCATGGACCTCTTTGGCGAAGACTGGAATGCCTCACAGTTTTGGTATACCGATTCAACGGCTGAAGCTCTGGCCCGGCAGCTCTTAGAAGGCGCCACAGAGCAGTCTGCCATCGCAGTAGTGTCGGCTCCCAGCGTTTACGTTGCCCTCCGGAACATCCTCGCCGAGGACACCTCATTACCCCGACCGAGACTGTGCCTGCTCGAGTATGACTACCGCTTTCAGGTGGTCGGCACAGACTTTGTCTTCTATGATTACATGAAGCCGATACGCTTCTTCAGTTCAAATTTGAAAGGCCAATTTGATCGGATTATCTGTGACCCGCCTTTCCTGTCAGAAGATTGCCAGGTATGTGTCTCTGGACCCACCAGCTGATTTAAACTTCTTCTCTAATGATCGACGATGTTCAGACCAAGGCAGCGTTGACCGTACGATATCTCGCGCGGCACTGGGCACCGTGCAGCGAGGATGGATTGCGCTTCATATCCTGCACCGGGGAGAGAATGGAGTCAACAGTGCTGAGATTGTATGGGAAGATCGGGGTCAAGACGACAGACTTTGAACCAGAACACAGCAAAGGTCTCAGCAACGAATTTCGATGCTACGCAAATTTCAAGGGCGATGCGTGGAAGTGGCGGCAATAGTACCTCTCCATCCTCACTCGTGCGCCAAGACAACGCTACCGAAACCCTTGCCGGTGAGAAGTCAAAGGAATAGTCGCTCTCAATCTCCATCTGTGCGCATCCTTGATTGACTGCGAATACGCATCGCGGCGCAGGTCCAGAGACCGGCAACATTTGCCGCAATGAGGAGAAGACTTGGCTGATGCTCTAGTGATCTGATCGCGCATCACTCTGTCGTCAAAGGCAATTACACCTGGTGCGCGATGCTCGAGTGCTGCCTTGATGCTCGAGATACTCGCACAGAGTTGCCACTGTAACACTCAACGTCTGCTGCAGCCCGCGGAGCATTGCCGAGATTCTGCTACTCCGAGACTCGAGCGAGCCGACGGACACAAGTTGCATTTCTAGGTTGCGCGACACTGCCGCCCGTGCCAGAGCTGAGCCATTGTGTAACCTGAGGGATGTCGTCGCACGACTCTCGATTCTTGGGCGCGGGGAGAATTCTACTCCATTCCTCTCTCCATGCACACTCCTGCAATCGATATACAGTAGTGCACCACTTTACTCGATTCTGGCCCGGCAGCAATGCCAAACGCGGCAGGTCGGACTCTACCTCTGGGAGGTGCGAGCCAGCACACCGGTCGCATTTCTGCACAGCGCCTGTGTCACAGTAGCAGTGCTCGGCATCTGCACAGCGCGACAAACCGAATTGAACGCGCGATATCAATCCTGGCCAAGAACCTATGCGGCGAAGTCGCGAATAGCGTTGCGTCCACGGGTACGTACTGGGCGGGCCCTGCAAACGTTCAGCGGAGAGATGCCACGCATGCCGACAGGTCAATTCAGCGCCACTGTCTCAGCGCATACGACAACCTCGTGGTCGAGCTTGCAGGGGCGCATAATTGACAGCAAGGGCACCAATCCCAGCGTGCATCCCATTCGGACAAACTGAAGACAGGCCAGCGCGTCAACCCCACTGCGCCATTCTGCAGTCGAGCATCTGCCTGTTCCCCTCCCATTGATGCTTCTCGTCGCTTCCATACTACTGGGAACAGGATTACCATGTTACCATGCTTCTCGTTTAGGAAATGGGCGCGGATCGATTGATCTGCTCAGTCAGACTGTGAGCCCGCATTGCAATATCCGCACGATCGAAAACAAACAGTCAGACCTTGTACAATCAGCCCCGTAAGCACTCGTCCGTACAGAGAGAGCCAGTTCCAGAATGTTCGTACGTGGATCTTAGCACCCATCGTCCAGGACATCACCCCTCCGACACGAACGACCGTCATTCGCAACCCTTCCTGCCCTTCTGCATAATCAAGCCACACAACTCCAAGGATTCGGTCCATCTTCACGCGAGCCTTCCACCGAGGCTCCAGCCAGATCCTAGTTCTCGCTAGGGACAGCTCCTCTCTCTAGGCGTATATACCAATATATACTGCCGACTTCACGAACACTTTACTCGGTCAATAAGCAATTTCGGCCACGATTGCCTCTTCGGCGAGGAGTGATATCTTCCTTGCTGTTTTGCAGTCGGAGCAAATCCGGGAGGCACCTACGGCAGAAGCGCCCTCTAACATAGTGGAAGGCCGGTGGGATGCAGCACCAATTGACGTATTTTGATGATATAGTCTTCAAATATTGAGGCGATAGGAGCTGCCCTTAGCGAGAAGTACGAGGTGCCCGGGGGATAGCTGCTCTGCAGGACGCCATGGCACTGTGTGGCGCCATCAACAGCGGTCGGCAAGGATCATTCTTGCGGCTCGATATGTTTCTGCGCTAAGCGCGGCAAAATATGGAAACCCAGGAGCTAGGTCGCGCTGTCGTGTTCCCCCGTGCGTGTCTGGAGCTTGGGTGAGCACCACACTTGCATGTGCATTGCCCTCTTCCACTCCTCTTCTCTGCGGGCGAGATACCGCAGAGCGGCTCTACTCGCATTCGCAAGTAGGCGCTTTCTGTTTCCTCCCTGCCGCGCTCCCAGGAGCCCATCAGCGACGCGCAGGCAGATATCAAAGGAGAATTGATTGGCTAGCACACACACCCACACACACACACACCCTCACACCCACACCCACATGCAGGTGCAGACTTGCAGTGCAGGCTGACCGACAACGCCACGCTACTACCCGCGGTAATATCCGAATCCAGGATGTCGGGATCTCTCGCGTCGAAATTGCGCACCCGCGGCATCATCCAAACGGCGGCAAGTCTCGATGGAGAAAAAAAGTGGAAAAGTTTTCTGCAGCTCCTCGTTGGCGGAAGCGGGGAAAGGTTTTTTGAATGAGAACGAGAGCCGAAACGCAGACGCGCAGAGGCACGGATAATGTGGCCCGAAGGAGCAAGCAAGCAAGCAACCTAAGGTCGCACAGAGATTCGTGCGTGTGCAGGTTCCGCGCTGCAGTTAGGTTGGACATCGAACCAGTGGAACCGACAGAGTTGACGTTGACAGCGGATGGCTGCTTGTGCTTCGATTCGATTCGGGAATAAGGTGCATGATGCGAGTTGGAGAAGGATTATGCAATATCAATAATGGTATCTCCCATGTCCGTCTCAGTTGAGCCACCACCACGCGAAGAATTGCAACCAAGTACCCCGCGTCCCGTGTCTCCCTGTGCGTGTAGCAGTGTAGTCTGCGTGCGTCAAAGAAAGCCGGAAACAAAACAGTAAGCAGATGCAGGTACTATTGGTTCCGCGCAGCTTCGAGAGCTCGAGCTCCTCGGGGCCCCCAGGCCAGAGCTCTCAACAGTGACATTGCGACCTCCCGTCATCATCATCATCAGATCATGAATGAGCATGATCACGAAACACTCAGCTCTTGAAGGGAAGGCCGCTGATTGCGCTGTCCTTGCGAGGTGCCTTTAGGTCTGGGACTCAGTTACTGCCACACAATCAAGCAGAGCAAGAGCACAAAGCAGAAGAAGTAGAACTCACCTGACTGCCGTTGACAATCGTAGGCTCTTCCCCTCTCCTCCCCACCTTCTGCTGTTGCGCCCCTCCTTTGGCCTGCTGAGCAGGAGCGTTAATCGCAGTCCTCTCCCTATCCGCCCTGACCTTCAACACCATCTTCATGAACTCCCTCCGATGGTACATCCGTACCGCATCCTGCGCGGCCTCCGCAGTAGCATACTGAATCGTGGCATTACCCTTTGATTTCCCATTCGCGTCCTTTTGCAGATCGATCTTGACAATCTTGCCTGGTTTGCTGAAGTACTGTTCGATTTCGCCTTCCGTGGATTTGAAACTCAGATTGGAAATGAAGATGCCGCGGGCTTCGGTCTGGATGAGACCGTGGGCGGCGTTGACGGGGGCTCCGGTGGTGTTGGTGATGTAGAGGGGGTATGCTTGTGGTGGTAGAGGTGGAGGCGAGGTGTGGGACATTGGAGGAGGCGGTCGGGCTTGAGGTGGAGGCTGAGATTCTTGCGCGAAATGGGCGTTGACGACCTGGGCGAACTGAGCGCGGTGGTTTGGATTTTGAGGATTGAGCTGGAGTCTTTGCATGGCTGCAATGATCTGCTGTTCGTTGGCTTGCACAGGGAGAGGCATCGACATGGGAGGCGGCATGGCGACCGCTGCATTCACATAAGCGGAAGGTTGAGGTATGGGCATCGGCGACATTGCGTTGAACGTCTGCCAGCCGGGGCCCACAGCCATTCGCGCAATACTCTCACTTGGTGGATGAGACTGCGAGTTGCCACAGTTGCAACGAACAAAGACTGCGGGGAAGTTACTAATGTCCCAGAGGTGCACTCGCAAGTTGCGGTTGTCGACGATGTTCTCGGTCAAGTAGTCTATGCCGATATTAGCAAGCTCTCTCAATCTGAAGCATGTGAGATGCAGGTTGTACTGTAGAGCTTGTACGCCTCGTCCACTCGCTGCACTCTTGCGTATCCCTTTCCCTGAGGATGTCCAGGCGGTAAGACCGCCATATCAGTCCAAAGTCCATGAGCTGCTACTCTGCGAATCAAATCTTTCAAGTCTTGCCATGTGTATTTTCGTGGGAGCTATAGGTCATCAGTGGCTGCTCAATAATTTTAGCAATCCAACGAACATTTTCAATGTGCAGAAACCATGGACCATTGCCTCTCTGGCCCGAGCCATATTCTGCTGTCGACATGATGCTCAAAGTACCACCAGAATCAAAGGCAGAGCGTCCAAAAAGATCAGATCTAGCAAGTCAGCCAATCAATGCTAAAAAGGGTTTTTCCTCAAACGAGGGATTAGACTTTGTCTAGTAGAAATTAAATTTAAGCGACGAAACGATGAGGGAACCACCGGAGGGATATCTGAACTAGCGAAGGTACATGGCGACGGAGAACCTCTTAAATGCGTCGTGAGAGCTCCTTTGTTCAATGGTAAGGGTACCAAGCTAGGACCCCCAATCGGCAGCGATGCATACTATCTGGCACGTGAGTGACTAGCGTTCGATTCGTGCAGACTTGAAGTATGGGACGGCATTCGTCGAGATGCTTGAGCTGGGCTTGAGGGGCCTGAGGGAGGTGCTTGGTTTGGTCGCCAAGGCTTGCACCCTGGTCACAAGCCTGTTGTATTTCCACACCGAATCCATTCAGAACGATGAGAGGACGGAGCTCTCAGGGTTGAGCATGGCTGCAGGATTCGCTGCACCGTGTGCGTCCGTTTGCCCCGGACAGTGAAAGATGGCAGACAAGAGACACTAGCAGCCAGTGGCGGCTGGGATCAGCTCGCCTGCGTTGGTGAAGAGCTGGCTGCAAGTGTGAAGATCGGACATTTCAACTTTGGAACCATCGGCAAACAAGCGTGGTTGAGCGTTGAGATTGAGGCAACGCCAAGCCGGCGCAAGCAGTGACAAGATGATTGTCACAGTGCGCATAGCTCTCGCTCGCGTGGCTGACTGTAAGCAGCTGCCATGTTCGCGGCGGACAGCTTGATCTGAGATGCAAGTAGCAGATGAGCACAGAGAGCCAGTCTCACCATTCGGTGTTTACGAGTTGCCGAGCGCGCAGGCTGCGGCCCGAGTGCCCGGAGTCGTGTGGACACACCCCGAAGACGCTAGCTAGACGCTGTCGAGTGCGAGCAAGACGAACATGTAGTGGCACGGTCGATAAGAGGCTGACGCCATGTCCAGTGCAGCAGAGCGTGTCGGTGGTGCGCGCCCACGGGGCGTCGGCCCCAATGGACCAGCAGCAGAGAGCGAGGGAGATTCGATTTGCGGAGAATAGGGTGGCTCGCCTGCAGTGTGACGAGGGCGCGGGCCGGTAGAGATCGAGTCTGGTGTGGTTACGATACTGTTGAGTGTGGACTAGAGCCAGAATGGGCGTCCCCCTCGTTGTCCGAGCGCGGCCTTCGTGCCGTGTCCGGTGCAGTGCTAGGAAGATTGGATGTCGGGAGATGTTGATACAAGATTGCACCCAAACAGGAGACGAGGTCGAGATAGGCGTTTTGACTTTCGGTCGACGCTCCGGACCGGAAGTTTACGAGTAGCTGCTTGGCACAAGTCGTGGCCGGCCAAAGAGGTCAGCAGAGAAGGATGCTCTCATGTCGTCCAGGGCAGTAGACCATGGAATATGGTGGCGACGATGCTGGGAATTATCGCTCCTTATATGCTTCTTCGCTTGAACACAGGCAGTCTGTACGCCCTTCGGCTATCAGAGACATGGAATGACCAGGACGAGTCACCACTGCACTGTTGATGTTGATCGCAGCCAGCGCATCCAAACGGCCACGACTTGCTGCTGTGAGCCGCTCCAAAATCAGCGCACGTGACTAGCCTCGAGCTTGAATCATGTCAGCCGGCTCGCTATCGGACACGACTCGCGCGCTTCTCCAGCTGTACTCGCGTAAAGTACCTTACTACTCCGGGCCATCTCGAGGCCGCTATATGAGTAACCCTTTTGTTCGGCAGCGGCGACCATGGACGATGCTTGGTTCCATACGCTGACTTCTGCGCCGATAACAACGTCCAGGGAGAAGCCGCAGCATCGGCGGCGTACATCTTCACTGCTCCAGCAGCCCGTAAGCCCACCATCCGTTCACTCGCCCCGCTGTTCTGATCGTCTCGCCAGGCTGAGGAGAAGGCTGATGTGGCGATAGAGCCCATTCAGGAAGTAACCGAAGAAGAAAATGCCTGGAGCGGACCTCCGAAAGCCTGCGTCGCCCGCCGCGCACAGAGCTACAGCGACTTCTACCATGTCGTGCGAGCGTACAGCAGGAAAGAGGATGCATTGAAGAGGAAGAAGAGCCTGGACTTGAACCGTGACGAGCAGCAATTTGCGGGTGCAGGCGTTGAGTTTGAAGCCGAGTTTGGAGCGCTCGAAGATCGTCTCTTGGATGAGAGCCATCTGGAATACCAAACGTACCTTGAACAGCTGGAGCTGTCCGACTCGCACTTGGACACCTTGCTTGCATCGACAACAACGACTCTGGGCTTGTTGTCGACGCTCTCAAACTCGTTCCACGCCGTCGAGGCGCAGACTGAAGCTTTCCGGCAACAATGCGAATCTCTCATCAACGAGCAGAGACGCCTGACATTTCTCGCAGACGCTGTCGACGAGAACGCACAGTACTACGCCTATCTGGAGCCAATGACACGGCGTCTGAACGCTCCAGGCGCTGCGAATCTAGTGCGGGGCAAGGATTTTCCGGAAATGCTCTCCAATCTGGACAATTGTCTCGCGTACATGGAATCGCACCCGGAACACAAGGAGTCTGCCAAATACCGCAGTCGCTACAGACTGCTTCTCACAAGAGGGCTGACTCTCATCCGTCACTACTTCACCAAATGTCTGGGCGAGATAGCGGCAGACATTAGCAAGAGGATCCAGAGCGGCCAGCTGAAGGAAACGACTCACTCTGCCTTACTCTATGCAAAGTTTCGTGTGCCTGCTCCTGAGCTCAAGGCCCTTGGCGTGGAGATCCAGAAACGCGCCGTACCGACGCCTGACGATGTTGACAACGGCCGTGAGCCGGAGTACCTCGGTCTCCAACGCGAGCTGTATCAGTCATACTCCGCGACCCGCGGTCGACTGATACTACCTCTGGTAGCGAAGAAGATGGCTGACCTTGCCGCCAATCCCCAACAGACGGACGTATTATCGTTCGTCAAGTCCAGCATAAGCTTTCTGCGGGGCATCTGTCTGGATGAGTATGACCTTTGGTTTGAGTGGTTCGAGACCGATGGGGCTCTATATGAGTTTCTTGAAAGCTTGATGGACCCCATGTATGATTATCTGCGACCGAGGACGATCCACGAAACGAAGTTGGAGAAATTATGCGATCTCTGTGCAATGATTCAAGGCCGCTACATGGACGCGGAATCCGATGAGGATGAGGAGAGCGACAATGGCGTCTTCACGCCATCTGCCAATGGCAGACTGCCTGGGAGAAAGCTCGATTTCGCGAGCTTGGTGCAGCCTGCTTTGGAAGATGCTCAGACAAGGCTCGTGTTCTTGGCACTCAATGTTCTGAGGGATGGCATCGAGAATTACAAGCCTAAGCCGGAAGACCTGGAATTTTCCCCAAAGGCTGCTACCACTGGCGGGAACGGCACCAGGAAGGGAGGTCCCGTGCTATCTGGAAAGCGCAATCCGCCGGCGCCCGATACCCCGGCTCCCAAAACGCCTGCAGTGGTGGATAACGACATCGACGATGGCGAAAGCATGTTCAGCAAGCACTTCGTCGCTGAGGAATCGGTGACTTCGGGCAGGCACTGGTATCCGACATTGCGCAAAGCTGTCTGGCTCCTTCGGCGCATCTATCGTTTGGTGAACAGCAGCGTCTTCGATGACCTTGCACATCGCATTGTACATTCCACTATCGCCTCGCTGATCTACGGAAGCCAACAGGTTGGTTCAAAGAAATCCGTTCAGGATGGACAACTGTTCTTGATTATCCATCTGCTTCATCTAAAACAGCAGATTGTCGCGTTCGACATCGAATTCATTCCTCCTGAAGTGGAGTTTGATTTCTCATCGGTGACGAATACCTTCTACGAACTTCGGGATCGTGGTGGCTTATGGAATCCGGCTTCCTGGGTGCGACTGGTCAGCGGCGCTGTAGGTGGTGGGCTACTTCCCAAGGTAGTGGAGAATATGCTCGACGCCAAAGCAGAGCTAGATGGACGTCTCAGGACCGTCATCAACGAGTTTGTGAATGGCTACGCTACCCACATCACGGCACCTGTCGAGACCACTTCCGTCGCAGAACAACGAGCAAGGAACGACTTTGATCCGCTTAAGGCGGTACGCACTGTCCGCGGCTTGGCGGAGAAGGACGTTCCTGCTCTGCGGACCAAGCTCGAGGAATTTGTCGACGACGCGAGAACAAGGGAGACTCTGGTTGCTGCTGTGAGAGATCAGGTCATTGTTACGTACGAGGAGTTTTTCGACACGTACAGTGAGGGAACGGGTAAGAGAGTAAGCCGAAAAGGCAAAGCCAGAGAAGATGAAGTTTGGGGACCGGATTTGTTTAACGATGCAATGGAGAGGGTCTTCCAGGTTGGGCAAGTGGTGGGCAACGAGGATGGGGAGAGTGAGGATGGTGGCAATGTCAGCGAATAGCGAGAGATCGTGTATACGTGTTGTATCCTCGTCACCCGCGCGGTTGCCAGACCTCCGACTGTGTCTGATGACACTGGAGCATATGGGATGACACCTACTGGGGCGGCCTTGATGTCGCGTAAAAGTGAAGATCCCTCACTTGGCTATGATTGAACAAGCTTGGCCTCATCCAGTCGCAGTACTCCGATCCGAACTCCCGGGACTGGGAACGAGAGAAGGTGCGTAAGACTATGTCGCATCTTGTTGCCAAATCAAGCGTGCTTCACTTTCGTCACCAAGGCTGAGCTCGAAAATGTCAATCATCGCAGGGAAGTCACATTGCGGAAGCGACCGGCGGTTGTCATACAATGGACTGGACTTACCTCCTCTCAACACATCGCCACTGCCACAGCTAACACCGGCAACCCGACGTTGCTTGTCTAGTCCCTTGTTGATCGATCATCGTATGGAAATCTATCTTCAGAGTATAGATGAACGACCGCCATGCAATCACTATTGCAATATCACCGCCTCAATCACAAAGTCCGAGATGGATACCAGCATTGCCCAGATACGACGGGCCTTCATCACCTAGTCCAAGTATCTTCTGGCTCCAGTGTCGTGTCCGTGCTGGCAGACGGAGAGGATGGCACAGATCCTCGTCGTTGGCAGCGCATCCGTCGAATACGAGCGACAGTCATTGTCTGGCTGCTTGTCTTTTCTCAAGGTATCTATCTCCAGAAAGTGTCTAGAAATCAAGCCACCGGTGCCCTTCCAGTACTATAGCTTGCTTCTCCTTGACGGATGTACTTTCAACTGACTGTTTGCCGGCAGGATGGGTCTCAACCTCTACCTCGAAAATCACAAAGTCCGCAGCTCATGAGTTCCATGTTTTAACAACGATGCAAATGCTCGCGACGGCCCTATTTATGATTGGTCTCGGATTGGGTGCCCTTGTTGCCGGTCCTGTGTCAGAAACGATCGGACGAAACCCGGTATACCTATCGTCGACGCTGCTCTTGCTTTCCTTCTGCCTTGGAACCGCATTGTCGCCAAATATCGGCGCTGAAATCACTTTTAGGTTCCTTTCGGGCCTTGCCAGCTCTCCAACCTTGAGCATTTATGGTGGAAGTTTGGCGGATATGTTTGACAAGCACCAGCGACGTTCTATCTGGCCCGTCTTTGCTTTGGCTCCTTTACTCGGACCATTATCCGCTCCAGTCGCGAATGCGTGGATGATTCAACAAGGCCTGAGCTGGAGATGGTAAGCATGAATGCCAGGGAAGCGCCTCTTCCCGTCTGAAATATCTGCTGATAATCTACGTGGCGATCTGCAGGCCACTTGAGGTTGCGTTGGCTTTTGCTGGATCCGCATTCTTGCTGGCGCTATCCTTCTTACCTGAGACCTACAGTCCCATTCTTCTGCTGTGGAAAGCTCGTTGCCTCCGTAAGGTCTACCGGGACGACCGTTTCGCGGCCCCCATCGAGCAAGCTGAAGCTCTCCCGCGCAGACTCAAAAGGAACCTAAAACAGCCCTTCAACTTCTTTAGGTCAGAGCTCATCATCATACTCTTGGGAGGCTACCTAATACTCATCCTATTCATCAACCTCAATTTCTTGAGCGGATTTGGGGTCATCTTCTCGAAGACATACGGGCTTTCCACTGGCACTGCTTCTCTCGCCTTCGTCAGTATTGCTGGCGGAATCTCCATCGACGTGGCACTCACACCGCTGTATATTCGGCTCGCGAGAAGGATCCTCTGGTCGAGATTGAGGATTTTCGTGAGCAAGAAGTATTGGGACCGCGAGGATACGGGCGTGGAAAAGACGTATGCTGAGCTCATCGCATCACCACCGCCGGAAATGTCACTGCTGAGGGCATTCGTCGGCGCGCCGTTTCTACCTATCTCCCTGTTCTGGCTCGGCTGGACGAACAATCCTTCCATTAGCCCAGCATCTGGCTATATCGCCGCGACCGTGTATGGATATTCTTTCTCGGCAATATTTCTCTCGGCCTATCAGTACATTATCGACAGCTACGAGACCCATTCTTCTTCGGCTCTTGGGAGTATCACGACGGCCAGGTACCTCATTGCTGGGCCATTGTGCGTGGCGACAAAACCGATGTACAAGGCACTCGGGGTTTCCTGGAGCCTGACGGTGGTTGGAACAATTGGCTTATTACTAGTGCCCGTGCCGTGGGCTCTGATGAGATATGGGCACGTTGTCAGGCAGAGGAGTGCTGTGGCAAGGACTATTGTTGACTGAGGATTGGAATCGGTGTGGTAATACTTCCGTTGTCCTAAGCAGCGTCTTTATATACGAAAGACTCTCCCCGGATATCACGACTCCTGCTGTCTGACTCGCCGTGATCTCGGATTTGAAAAGGATTTCCGGGAAGATCACGGCCCCGCGTACGCGGTTGGAAAAAGCTGACGAGAGGGTCATGCACACATGTAATCCGGGCACCGATGTTTCGCCGCTCTGATTGGCTATACCAAATGATCGTTGACACGGGCTTTTAAGCTAACCTAGTGGAAGAGTCCTATCTTTCTCTCTACTTTGTCGCTATAATCCGGTTAAGAAAGTGGATACTACCTATTTCAAAGGGTTCTGGGAAGGCTTAAGCCTAACTCGTAGGCATTCGTAGGAAAAAGCGCTGTGATATTTTGCCATTTCAACAATTCGAATTCCGCTAGGCCGGGAACCTTGTAGAAGCACGGACTCTGTTGTCCTAATGACTTGTTGATCGCTTTTCCCTCCCGACAAGCGTGCTTACGCTCGATCTCACGACGATGTGTGAAATTTCCAAGTCTAGAATCAGTCTAAAAGAGATACTCCGCCCCCGGCATTGTGAAATTTGTAACGAGACCCGACTGGATAGTACTGCAGCATCTGAGAGTATAGATACGTAGAAACCTTGCCCTCTTTTGTCCCCATTTCCACACCACCGGATATTCACAATGAAGGTCATCGCTGTTCTCGCAGTTCTCGGTATGCCTTTCCTGGGCGCGATGGCGTCCGGGTTGACGGGGTATTGTCCTGACGGGGTTCGTGAAACTGCTCGTATTCGATTCGTCAGATGCTGGTATCGTACTTAGACCGCGGTCGCCTGCGACGTCTGTTGGAGTAGGACACCATGCGCGGGAGGGAAGGTGACAGTGGTGTGTGTGAGTCTAATGATTCCTCTTCCCTTGCGTAAAAACATGATGCCTGACGGGCCTTGTAGAGTTGCGGATAGCTTTGCTTTCGGCTTGGGTTGGAGGAAGTTATCGTTGGGTTGGACTTTCTATGCCATGGCCTCTACAAATTCGAGCTGTCAACTCAATCAATCGACAGAATGGTTGCCAGCAGGCGCCGCGCCCGCAAACTCTATAAGATCGTTTATTAAAGACCTATTGTAGGGGTCCAAGGCATCCACAGTGGTTCCAGTTCAGACTCCTTATGCTTCGCATACTCCGGCACGATTCGCCTCTAAGTTGCCGTTACCGATAGAATGGCCGTCGTAGAGACGAGTTGAGCCTTCGGAGCCGTTGGTGGGAGTCCTTTCGACGTGCGTGGTGACAGTTTTGCCGTTGGCGAAGTCGACGATTTCCCAGCCGTTGTCGCAGTCTCCGAATTTTAGAAGATCTCCGTAGAGGGCTTGGTGGCCGAAAGCGATGACCCTGTCGATTGGCTTCCGGGGACTGGACAGGCCTGATTTGACGGCTCAGCATGTCTTGCTAAATACCTTACGCAGAGTGTCGCATTCGATTGGCGAAGTGGACGGTGATGTTCAAGCCTCTGAATCGCCGGACCGGGCGTCGTATATACGACTTCACTCCAGGAACATCCGCAGGGTAGATCATCGCAGTTAGCTCAGGAGTAGCCGCGTTCAAAGTGGGCGACCATGCAGCCCCGGTGGTCGATACAGAATCATCGCCGGGAGAGAAGTTGGACGGTCTTGACTTGCAGCAGATTAGGATAACCTTCTGGCCGACTATATTATGTTCGATCAGAGCAGTATCTTTGGGAGAGCAAGCAAGTCGGCAAGATTGTCATCGAAATTCGAAGCTTCCGTAGGTAGATCCATACGCTGAGTAGGAGTATTCCAGCTGTCTCGCTCGAGTAAACGCTTCATTGACTTGCAAGTGGTATCATCGAAGGAATGTGTTTCGTGGGCCTCCAGAGGACTGAGTGCCTCGAACAAAGCGATAAGACACGGTCGGAGAGTCAATGTACCCGAGAGGTTGCAGTATGTCTGTTTGCGAAGACGAAGTGGAGATTTGCACAGAGTGATTTTCTTCTTTGGTACTGTTTCGTCGGCGAGAAGAATTGGTGTATCGAAGAGTGGGCCCGGCGGCAAGGCACAATCTCGGCGCTCCCAAATTCAGCTTGATAAAAGATCTTTATCCCTTGTAGAGCACATACGGCCACAGGCGAATGAGAACTCGGAACCCCGTCCGCTCTTCCAAAGATAACCATTCGACCGCGAGATTAGTATTGACGTGGGTGACCAGTCGAGAATACCTCGTGCTGTATGTTTTTGCCATTCCTTTTTGCACCCTCACAGGCCAGGTCTTGGCGCTAGCTGGCTATGCCCAGGGTTCTAGTTGAATAGTTCGAGCCTCTCGAATGCGAGGAAGAGCGAACATGTGAGTCTTCCATATAGGCGGCCGCAGTACCCTCTTTCTGGTCTACTGCCTGAGACGTCCGAGAAACTCGAGGTTCATGCTTAGGACTTGTATGACTTGGGTCTTGGGCAGCTCGGGGTACTGCGGAGACTGCTGAAATCCAGCCACTCCTACTCGCACTCGGACCTGCTCCTAACAATCCGCCCATTCCAGTGATAGCTGTTCGATGCCCGGTGGGATGGCAAGATATGGACGAACATGGCCTGCAGTCGGCGTACGAGACAGGAACAGATTCAGATGCCCACGCAATTGATTGATAGGGGGGGTCGTGGAAGATGTGTTGAATGGCAGATGTGTAGGAGGGCATGACAGGTGCCGGAGCTGAGTCCGGGCCCGACAAGATGCCGAACCTTCATTGCGTGCTCCAAGACTTCACCTCCTCAAACTCGATGAGATCGTCCGTCAATAATGATCAGATCGACGTTAGCACTATTTTATTGACATGATAGACTCTGGGTATGGTGCCTTGTTGTCCCCTCCTCTCCTTCCAAACGATCGTTAGTCCATAGCTCACTGCATCTCAGTGGTGGTTGCACATGTTCGACAGCTCTTTCTACTTTGATCAGAGGAACGCCTTCAGTGCTAGACCTAGCAACCTGGATCGAAACTCGAGAGGAAAACACCGTGCGAAGCGTTGGGCCATGACAGTCCTCCTAGACCGACTCCTTCTTAATCACAGAAAATGTCTCGGCTTCAACACCTGCTCTGGCTCACTGGCCTTTGTCTATCGTTCGCTTTGATCTCCATTGCGCCGTGGAGTCAGTATAGGAAAATGACTAGCTGGGTCGGACGCAAGAAGTCACCAAAAATTGTCTTCATTCTAACGGACGACCAAGACCTGCACATGGACTCGCTGTCATACATGCCGTATCTGAGGAAACACATCGCAGATAAAGGCACAACGTTTACCCGCCATTATTGCACCGTAGCTCTCTGCTGTCCTTCGAGAGTCAGTCTGTGGACCGGGAAGGCGGCACATAATACAAACGTCACCGACGTGAATCCACCTTATGGTAGGAGAGAGTCCTTCCCGCTCTGTTCGCTAGGATTGTCCGTCTGACAACCACAGGTGGATATCCGAAGTTCATATCCCAAGGCTTCAACGATGACTACTTTCCCATCTGGATGCAATCGCTCGGCTATGCGACCTACTACGTCGGCAAACTTTTCAACGCCCAAACAATCGATAACTACGCCTCGCCACCTGCAGCAGGCTGGACGGGGTCTGAGTTCCTGCTGGACCCTTACACTTACCGTTATCTGAACGCGACTCTGACACGCAATGGAGGGCCACCGGTTAGCTACGAAGGCCAGTACTCAACAGACCTAATCGCGTATAAGTCCTTCGGCTTCTTGGAAGACGCATTAAAGCAATCGCAACCGTTCTTCCTGACAATTGCGCCCACAGCTCCGCACAGCAACGTCCAAATTGGAGGCAACATCGATGGCAACTTCACAGAACACACCAATGTTCAGACTCCTCCCATCTCTGCCAAAAGACACGAACACCTCTTCAGAGACATCACAGTCCCCCGAACACCGTCTTTCAACCCAGACACGCCCCATGGCGTCTCTTGGATCAGCAGATTACCCAAACAAAACGGAACAAACATTGCATCAAACGACCATTTCTACCGTCAGCGGCTCCGATCTCTACAGGCCGTGGACGAAATGATCGACGAGCTGGTTCAGAGATTGGAGAAGGCAGGCATCCTCGAGGAGACGTACATTTTCTTCTCCACGGATAATGGATACCACATTGGCCAACATCGCCTGCAACCGGGGAAACAGTGCGCTTTTGAAGAAGATATCAATATCCCCTTCATGGTCCGCGGCCCTGGGATCGCGAAGAATCGCACCACAGATGTCGTGACATCGCACATTGATCTCGTGCCAACTTTTCTGTCCCTTGCCGGTGGCTCCTCGGATACTTCGCCGGAAATCTGGCGTGGTTTCGACGGTGCCGTCATCCCTCTGCACCACCTCACAGAAGAGCAGAAAGCAATGAAACCGGAACATGTCAACGTCGAAATGTGGGGCGTCATCCAGTCCGAAGGGAAATACGGCGCGACTCTCTACCCGAATCACACGTACAAAGCCCTCCGCATCGTGGGAGAGAGCTATAATTTGTTGTACACCGTCTGGTGTTCTGGCGAACACGAACTGTACGATCTCGTGCGAGATCCTTACGAGACCACGAACATCTATGTCCGTAATCACTCTCTTGCAGCCGTCGAAGTTGGCGGCAGACGCAGTGAGGGATACCACATCTCGGACCAGCAGCCTCTAGATGCCCGGATTCGTCCAGAACAGATTGTCTCCCTCGACCGACTGATCCCTCGCCTGGACGCCCTCATCCAAGTCCTCCGAACCTGTAAAGGGAAACAGTGCACACATCCCTGGACCTCCCTCCACCCCAACGAAAAAATCTCAATCCTACTAGAAGCCCTCGACTCAAGGTTCGACAGGTTCTACCAAGACCAGCAACGCGTCGAATACGACAAGTGTGAAAAGGGTTACATTCTAGCGAGCGAGGGTTCCATTGGTGTGAGACCATATCTGGAGGGGATAGGAGGATGAAAGGAATAAGATCTGCATTGTGGGTATCATGTGGTATCTAATGCTGTGGACTAGCGATCTCTGCATTCCGCTGCGTTTCAGTCGACGTAAACGCTCCAGCCGTATGCACTGCCGTACCATTTCCTTGCTAATCTGGCACCAGAATCGGTAGGCTGGGAGAAAGCAACCTGTTCCTTCCGTTCGAGTTTCTTGAGTTTGTCCCAGGTTTCGGCATTCAAGCGTTCACTGACTTCATTCTCTGGCGTTGTCTTCCCGCTCAAGAGATCAGCGCGGGCCTTTTGGTACCATGCGTAGCGCTTATTGTGGTGTACGATTGCTGTAGTGACGAGTGACTTTGCAATACCTTGACTGCGGTGAGTCGATGAGGTCCATATTCGAGAGATGCCCAGGACCGCAGGATGGGATGCCGGGGAGAGCTGGAGAGGCTGACCGTCTGCTGCGGCCATTTCTTCTTGGGTTGCCAGCAGAGCTTTTTGTGCGGCTTCTTTGCGGGCTTTGAGGGCTTGAAGCGCAGTCTGCTTGCTCTGCTTCGTGTCGCCTTCCGGAGGCTTCGCTAGTGCTTCAGATGTGTCCTTCTCAGGCCGGATAACCCTTCGCGCTTGTTGTATACTCTCCACTAGCAGAAACCCAATGCATTTCGTCTCGCGAATGTAGAGGTATGCCCTGTGTCTCGACTCTTCGCCGTCAAAGTTCTTCTGTCTCTTTGCATCCCAAATATCCTCCTCTGCGATTGGCACTGCTCCAAGTTCTTTCTGCACCATATCCAGTACAGCCTGTCCTTTCCGTTTCCGGTGGTACGTATCGAGACACCACAGACACACGATCGCATCTTCCTCTTTCACACCTTTGAACCGATTCGCCTGAGGCGTCTTGGCGACAAAATCCTTGCCAACATCTATCCCTTCCGTATTCTGTTTATGGAATTTATCGTGCAATTTCCGATCCTCAGCACTAGAAGCCGTATATTCCATCCCACATTGCGTACATTTCTTCTGTACGGATTGGCCGAGGGACATGCGCAATTGCGTCAACTTCGCTTCACCGGCATTACTCTGCGCCTTTGCGACTTTCTTGGGACGCATCGCTGCATTATCGCTGATTGTTGCTAATGGTTTTCTCTTGCCGAGAATGGAGAAGACATTGGGGGTTGGCGGGGGCGGGGGTGACGAGGAGGCCACAGCCTCTCCATTGCGCGTCGCCTGTTTGTTGTGCTGCTGCTCCCAAGGAAATCCCGGCGGACTCGATGGCGGGCTGGACGCGCGTGCTCGCAGCTCATCGCTGAAGATGTTGGCATCGGAGGTGCTGTGAGTCGGTGTTGAAGAGGGTGGCGCGGGATGCTCTGAGGAGGGAGACAGCGCCATTGTCATCGTTGTCGTCGCATCCGTAGTACTGTCGAGTGTGTGAATGTCGTCGTTGTTGTCGTGTTGATGTATTTTGGGAAAGCTCCAAATGAAAGTAGGGACGCGTTTCAGAACACGCGTCGCCAGCATCATCCCGTCAAGCCCGTCCCCGCGGTGCCCATGAACCCTTAATCAAAAGGTTTATTTAAACTCTTCCTCACCCCACCCTCGCCTGACTGCTTGCTAACCGCTAGCAGCTGACAGTCCCATTCACTTCACCTCTTTCACAATGCCCAACCGATCCGGCGGTCCCAACTCTCCCAAAGGCAATTCGCTGTGGAAACGCTTCACCAAGTGTTTCTCAAAGCCAAAACCACAGCCTGTACAGCATTATGCCTTCGAGCATCGAACTCGCCCCGAATACGACGTGGAAACAGACTATTCCACCTTCAAATGCTCTTGATCCGGCCACTTTCGCACCATTTGGGGAAGTGATTCAAAATCCGAGAACACACGACGGGAAGCCGAGTCTGGGGACAATACAAGCGAATCAAGGGACCGCAACGAAATGGCTGGACGTCACTCACTTGGAGAACTGGTATCATCTGGCACCGAGTGGGAAGACAGCAAGGCCGGTGATGAACATGTTTGTGTGTCGACCGCGCAAACTTTTACAGGAGAGATTCTTTGAGGTGAAGGTCCTGGAAAGACATCCATTTACACCGCAGACTTTTGTGCCAATGGGTATGGGGCCGCAGGACAGATACCTTGTCATCGTCGCTCCGACGTTGAAGGGCCGAACAACCGGGCGGGATGGTAGGGACAAGCCGTACCCGGCGGAATACACACGGCCCAAGAAGAGTTTGAAGGAGAGATTACTCGGTGCAAGACCAAACCCTTTCACGAACGATCATGAGCCTTGTACCACTCCCTCGCGGTCGAATTTAGGGCCGGAAAGGAAACCCAAGGGCTCTGGAGAGCCGGACTTCGACAACATTCAGGCCTTCATTGCTAGAGGCGATCAAGCTGTCACATACGGACCGGGCACTTGGCATGCGCCTATGGTGGTGTTAGGAAAGAATGAAGTCGAGTTCGTGGTCGTGCAGTATGCCAATGGCGTTCCGTTGGAGGATTGTCAGGAGGTTGATCTCCCCAACGGGCAGATCGCCGTGGATGTGAACCTAGATGGTGCCCAGGCAAGTGCACCCGGAATCATGAGGGCGAAGCTGTGATTATAGCCGCGAGTGAAGATCCGTTGGCATATGATGAACAATTATGATATGAAATGAAAAGCATCTTTACTCCTAGTTCAGAATTTGATGCCTTCCATTGCCAGGCCAAACGTACGAAGTCATCAGACTAGCGTTTTGGTATGCCAAGCTGCTTGGTCATTGTCTCCTCGAGCTGCGCTGGGACTTGGAGTCAGTTTCTACGTTGACAGAAGAGTATCAAATGCAAGGCGATCAGAATAAGGCAGGTCTCGCCTCAGGCTTCCTTTCATAGAAGCTTAGCGTACGCAGCTAGCTAGCATCATCAATACGGCGCTGTCTTAATAGTGATCGATTCAAGATCACTCACACGTGTCATTCGCGCATTTCCTGCCCTTTGCTCGCCCGTCCATGACGCCTCCAACGCCATTGCTATGCATACCGCGTAAACAACTTCATCATACGCCCCGGAAAGCCCTCTCATTTAGGACGGTATTCCTGTGACTCCGTCGAACTTCTTTGATTCCCCAAGTCTCCGCCCTCGTCGGACTGCTCGTTTTCGCCGGCTTGACCCGCCGCAGTCTCTTCCTCCTACTTGGCGACAGCAGCGGAGAGGACTTGCGTCCTAAAGAAACCTCCTTTTGTCCGCTCAATGACCTGCTGGTAAACGCTGACTGGCGGGTGGTTCATGACCACGGTGCCGTTCTTGTAGTCGATCTTGGCGTCCACTCTTGTGTCCCGAATCAGGTTGACGATCCACTTCTCTCCCTCGGTATGTGAGAGGCCGAGACGGGTAGAGAGGTCCCTGAAATGAATTAGTAAACTTTCAAAGGGACGATCAAAATAGATAGTACTCACTTGATGTCAATCCGCTGATGGATCTTGCAGTACGACTCTGAGATCAGGTGGCGGGCGGCGTCGAGGAAGGAGTCTGATGTCGCGACCAGGAAAAAGTCGGCGCGCAAGATCTCGTCAGCCTCGCTAAGCCGCTTCTGCGCCTCCTCGAAGTCAAAGTCGACATACAATGCCTTGACGAAGAGTGTGACGGGGTCGTTGTACTCGTACTGCTCCTGGCGAACAATGCGAACGAGATCCTTCAACTGCTTTTGGTAGTTGCCGTACATGAAGTTAGCCTTGCTGCCGGGGCGGTTTCGGTTTGTAATGACTGCTGCGGCGAGATATCGAAGGATCCATGGGCAGGATGTCTGGATGGTGTTGATGTAGGTGGGAGAGAAGAATAGCTCGGTCAAGGACTCGCGGGCAGGATCGTGGTTGAAAAAGGGGAAGAGAGACCAGTGGATCAACCACGTGCGGTGCTGCAGCTGGGCCAGCGGGTTGTTAAAGAGTCTGGTGTCGATGCTCTCCTTCAGCTTCATGACCTCCTCCATTGCGCTTTCCCAGTTGACGGTCAAGATGTCACAGGCCAGCTTTCCCCAGGTGGCCGCGTTGACCTTGTCGTTATCGGTGGATAGAATGCGGAACTGGTAGAGCAGTTCAGAGGCGCTGCCGTAGTCTCCACAGGAATACTGGAACTGGCCGAAATCGTACAGCTGATCCACCATCTGCTGGGTGACTCCGTGGGTTTCCTTTAGGTAGCTCATGTTGCTCGTCTTGTCGCTGCGCAGGTTGTTGATGACGTCCGAGTCAGAGAGCAAGTTCTGGATCTTCTCTGTCTCCTCCTCGTATATCCGCCGCCTCTCCAGCACCTCATCGCGCTTCTTTCCATACTCTTGCGGTTTCTCGTCCAGGTTGTTCAGCTGCGCGTAAAGGTCGCCCACAAAATCAGACATGTTCGTGCCCTTGAGGAGGCGGAACTTGAGCTCCGTAATGTCGGTGATGTCCTCATCTTCTGGCGTCTGTTCCTCGAGAAAGTTGAGCAGCGGAAAGACGAGGTGTCGGTCGAGGAATGGAATGAGCTTCGGGAGGAGGGTGTACTGCTTCGCGATGTCGCCGGATTGCACCGAGTCGGTGGCGCCGTTGGTGGTCGGCTGGGTCTCCGCCATGTTTGCTGCTGCCGTACGATCGATGGTGTTGTGATTGTTCGCGTTGATGCCGTTGGTGGTGGGGAAAGAAATTCAGGTCGCAGCGCCAAGAGTCATCGGGGCTTCCTGCTGATAACGCCGACGTAGACGACGCGCCCCAGAACTCCCCTTTGCGACTGAAGACTTCACACGAGACACATTTGAATCCACCTCTACACTACACAATGGCTTCATCAACGCCAGTTATGTCCTTCTTGAGGCCGCTACGTCTCCCGCGACCTTCAACCGTCCGCCATTTCCTCCGCTTCTCCACCAGCGCACCATGCAGTGAAGCTACACAGCAGCAGAAAGAGGGTTAGCACAGCACAGCACAGTATCCCCTGATCAAGGAAATCGCTGACATTGAGATACAGACCCCAATCTGATAGCCTCGCGAACGGCACCCGAAGCCTATCCTCCGCCTTCCATCGCAATCCGCTCCAACCCTCGACCGAAGGAATCCAGGGCCTCGAGACGAACATCTTTTCCTATGAAACAACGTCAGTATCCAACGCGAGTACCCTCCCACCACCAGCCAGAAACTCCCAAACTCATCCCGGAGCCCGTCGAATTACTCCCTCCAGAGCAATGCGCACCAAATCTACCTTACTTTGTCACGCGATCACGCAAAGATGAGCTGCCGATTTATACCTTGCGAAAGCGAGGAGGGAATCTGAAGATGACGAGAGTGAAGAGGATTGATGGAGAAACGTCTGTCTTGAGGGATGAGCTAAGGCAGCTGTTGCGTGTGGGTGCAAAGGACGCCGTGATAAATCATACGACGGGACACATTATGATCAAGGGTCATTTCAAGCCGCAAATTGAACAGTACCTCCGTCAGCGGAATTTCTAAGGGTGCATACTTGAGATTTGGAGGAGTGTACCATCACATGTACAGCACGTTCGCCCGCAAGGGGCGGAGCAATTACGATGGGCGACATCAAATCGTCATTTCTGGCCAGTGGGAGAATCTATTCACGGTCGTCCAAGGTATCGACGAGTGGAACGTGCTTCTCCCTCAAAGAAGTACTCAGAATCTATTGGTAGCAAGGCAAGCAACTGCAATCACCGCCGATTACGCAACGTATGAACACAGACAAATGGCCAACGGTTAGCAACCATAATACAAGCTCATCATCGCTCGAATCCGCAGTAAATGCTGTCTCGACGTCGGGCGACGCGAGGGATTACATGTTCTGTTACATAGCCTCGAAGAATTAGCAGGAGTCTCACTGGTGAATGCCACTCATACAAACTACATAAGAAGCCATTCTGCCTCTGACAGTTCACTCAATACCAGTCCACTCACCCTTAACAACCACACCGACATCAACAGCCAGTCTCTTCTTCAACAACAATGGCCACCGTCGCCGTCCTTCCCCTCATCGCTCCAGACATGTTCGGTCCCAAGGGCCCGCCACCAACTGGTCCTCCACCACCATGCCCTAACGCTCCAAAGAAGAGGTTCGAGATCAACGTTCTTGGACCAAAAGCCCCGATTCCGCCGCCCGGTCCTCCACCACTTTGCCCTAACCCAAAGAAATGATCGTGGAACTTCAGTCCGGCCGATATGATGGGGGCCAGAAGCTTTCTAGGCCCCAATGGAGCAACAAGCGTCTACTGTCGAAGCGCGCTTGCTAGGTGCATTGTTTTATCTACTCCTTTGGTGGGTTGAGGTATTTCATAGTGCAGTGAAATCGAGATTGAAGCTTTGACAGATCACCGTGACTTGCTTTCTATTTCTGTTTTTTTTTTGTACTTTGTGGGGTCCCACGATGGTCTGTTCTCATCGTGACACTTTGACATGAATTGGATGCGTGCCTGGAACCTATTGTTGTCTTTCAAGGGTGGTCGTTTGTTGCCTCTACTAGTCGCAGACTATCGATAGTGCTCTGTGCGAGTGCTAAAATGCTGTAAACTTGCGTCGAGTCAGCGTCTAAGGACATGTACAGCTCTCTACCCTCTGTCGGAAAGATCATGCGATTGCTTCTCGCCCAAAACGATAACATGCCACTCATATCAGACCGGTGAAGTTCGACAAAACAAGCCCCAGTGAAGGGCCGTCAGCAAGCCGATCTACCGCTGTAGGCCCTCGCTACGAGCGTGGCAATCGTGAACATTGCTGTCACAGAGCATATATAAGCGGCCATCCCTGCCTTCTCTTCCTCTTCTTCTGGCTGAAAGCGTCAACAACTCCCAAATCCAGCATCACCATTCGGGCCACGCAAACTTTTCAAGGCATCAATAAGATGCTCCGAACATGCTCTTCTTTCACCCATGGTCGTGATCATCCCCTAGTCAGACCAAGACCGTTCCCTCCCGCGCCCGCTGGTCCTCCTCGCCCTCGGTATACTTGGCTGATTTTTGTCGGCATGCCTTTCAGCCCTCCTCCTATACCGCCGCTACCGCCACCACCGCTTCCTATGGCTATGAGTCCAAGACCTGGAATCGATATTGATCCACATAGATGAGCTGTCGGCGCTAGAGGTACGGCAATCGAATCGTGTCATTTGCTTCTGTGTATACCGGGATCCCTTTTCCTGGAATTCCAAGACCCTGTGAATACGACTCTTTTAGCGAATACACAAAAGAGGCAGCCTGAGCACATCTACGTCTAGCCATGATCAACTTTTGAAACATCTCGCACAACAGTGTCGTTTGAGAAGTCATACGCTCCCCACGGCACCCCGAAACGTCGAACGTTATGCCTTCTTTTTGGTCACGGATGTGATCTGCCTTATCGAACAGGTCCTCTTCGACCGGTGCCTCCTCACCCAACACACCCTGGACGAGTTAATCCATCTTGTTCTAGAACTGCGAGTCCAAGGCCTGGAGTCGATATTGGTCCGCATGGATGAGCTGTGTGCCATGAAGTCACAATCAATTTTGCTTGCTCCAGTAGATAGTGGGACCTCTGTTTTATGTTCCCACATCCGTGAATAATACTCCCTGCGCATATATGAAGGAGGCAACACGACGATGTTCATTTCTAACCATTTTTAAACCCCGGGTAACGACGACTTACTTCTCACAGAAGATCCATATAACGGAAAGTCACAAGCTTCTCACAGCAACTGAAAATGCCAATGACTCCCTTTCTTTGGGCCCTCGCATGTAACCTGCCAGACCGACCAGGTTCTGCGGGACGAAGACCTGTTTACCCGATTCCTCCTGGACCAGTTCAGTCACCTTATTCAAGAGCGCCAGGGCCTCGACCTGGTGTCGATATTGACCCTGACCGATGAGCCGTGAGCCGCCAAGTCAACCGCATCGTCTGCGGTGCAAGGCTTTCTCCGTCGTCGATACTGCAATCCACTGACGTTCTTGTTCTTCGTCCTCCTGATCTTGTTTCTTCCCGTCTTGTGAGAATCAGGGTGATGTTACAACGTCAAATCTTTCCTCGACGTGACTCGAGTCCGCGATCTCAGTCCTCCACACCGTCATCTTTCTTCAGCGTCTCTGCTGTCTCTTGACACAATCTCACCAAGCCACCGTCCTTACTCAAGTGCAACGCCTTCCCCCTCTCCTCCAGCCCCATCGCGCAGACACCCTTATGAACAGCCCAATCTTTCTTCTGGCACTCACTCGAGCAGTAAGCCGCAGTCCCACACTTTCCACATCGACTCAACGTCTTTCCATCATCCTTCCCGCACGTTGTACATTTTCCCAAATCCAACCCCTCGTAAAGCCAGTGTGGGTTCATCCGTATGCCATCTTCCCAAGGATCTAACGGCGCATGTTCAATGAAGAAATCATGACGAACTCCCTTTCCTGTCTCCCATCTGCGATTCAATAGAAGATCCTTGACGAAGAATCTGGCGAGGCGATTTATCATATCCGGATCTTTGATATCTTGGCCATTGACCATGGATTCCTCGGTATTCGCTTTCCAGGCTCCTTTCTCGGCGTCTTTTTCTGAGATGGTATAGGATAGCATCAGCGTCCAATTCCCTTCATTGTTCAATTTGCCAAACGTGATGAGATTTCTGATCCTGCCGATTTCAATTTTGCATTCTTCGGCCTCGAGGTTTAGGATCCATGTCAAAGAGAACCAGTTCTTGAAGTCCAGCAGTGCTGACAGAGACTCTGGACACCAGTTGTAAAGGGTGGTGGCGATTCCGAGAGCTGGAGTGAGGCTGGTGAAATCTGAGATTGATTCTCGGGAAGGCGTGGAGATGATCTGAAGGTCGTGGCCCTCCAGGAAGAGGGATTGGCCCTCCTGTCCTGGTATTTGGATGTCTTCGATAGGCTGCAGTTGGAGTGCCATTCCGAAGTTGTGGTTGATGGGTTGACATTCAAATGTTGCAGAAAGTGGATTAAGTCGGGCTCAGACCTCAGCTCCGAAAATGGGCTAGCTTAGGGGTCTGATCAACATCATCTGAGCAATATCGTCTGCATTGTAATCCTCGTCCTGTACCAAACAATCTATTCATCAATCATTACGGGTTTTATTAGCCAATCACAAGAGCCCACACACCTACATGACGACCAATGCTGCTCTCACCAGCACAAGAGCCGCCCACCTCGGCATCCGCATTCTACCGCCGTCAAATGTAGCTCGATCCGGAACGAGGAGCAGTAATCTGTGCGGGACCAATTGCCATTTCTCGAGTAATCGGGTCATCCATTACGCCCCCATTCAGCGGAATGGTAACTCTGTCGACAACGATATTGTTCGACTGAACTGCAACCGGCGTGTTTTGTATGTCGCTGCTTTGACCTTGGCTGAGGTTAATTGGTCCTGCAACGACTGCACTTTGGCCCGGAGCTCAAAGGTGATTCCGAGAGCCGCTACTGTGACAGATTTCCTGACGGTGGATGTCGCCGTTGTGTAGTTGTCGTACAATTGAGCCGTGAGATTATTCAGAGCGACCTCGACCGGGAAGTAGACAAGACGGACGGGTCCAGAGTCGAAGGTGCACGGCGGCTCTTCAGGAGTATGAGTATAGGAGACTAGCGAAAGAGAACGATATGAAGTGCCGTACTGCGACAACGCCGCTGCAGGGGTTGGACATGTCGGGAGTTGGATTGAGAATGGACCTGTGTGCTTTGCGGAGACGTTCAAGTATGTTGACCAGAGAGCAATCATACGCGGTGGTGATGGATGAGTAGCGGTTAATTTCAAGTAAGTCGTCGCCGCCGGGAGAGTGATTTTATACAAAGACGAATACGTCTGCTTTATCTGAGGACTGTCTGCACGAGCACAACTACCAAACGCAGTCTCCTTTAGCTTCGAGATGCGAGCTGAGTTGAGGTGTCCATCTTATCCATCGCAAAGAGTGTACGTTGACACGTTCCCGACTCCCGATGTGCTGGTCAACGTGGACGTAACTATTTGTACATAATCAAATGGTCTGGATGTCAGATACGAAGGAGTGCAAGCGAGGGAGGCAATGTTGCATGATGTGATAGATGCCCAACTCGCGTTGGCAACGGAGCTAATAATAATAGTAGATGGGTTGGATGCCAGACCACCGCCACCATGAAAGCCTCTATGATCGTCGATTCCGACGTGCCTGCTGTCCGACGTGCTTGCTGTCCGACGTGCATGCTATCGAAAAAGTTTTGTTTGCTGATACGACAGTGATCGCTCGGTATGGCGTCGAGGTTGACGTCGACGGTGGCACAACAGAGCTAGACGAGTTTTCGTTGTTTCTGACTGTCGAAAGAAGGGCAAGTCGACTTAAGTCGACTTAACAGTGAGAGCCTGAAGGAAAGCAGGACGCGAGGGCTCGCATTCTGGAGTCGATTTATCAACCAGGTTCAGACAACAAAGACAATATGTGGCGTGCCAACGATCAAGGGCGCCGATATGCATGCATACATGCATATCGTGCCTCACTAGAGCATGTTATTTGGCGGCGGGCAGAATAGCTTCCTGCACTCGGATGGTTAATAGATCTAGGCTCGGAACTATGCCTTGTATTGAAGGTCATCTCGGCCGTGGCAGCCCTTCTTGTCTCTTTCACGCCTAGTCTCCGAGGTTTTGCCTACGCATGACGGATACTTCGCCCGACAAGATGCAGGTCTAGCATGTTACGTTAGCTGAGTCAGGCCCTAGGTGACACTGGCTGCAGAGTTCGTTCCAACTGAGTTATGACCTCCTGATCGAGTATGTTGGCCACAAAAAGATTATAGCGACTCGAACAGTAGTATCTCAGCCCTAACTCCTGCCGAGATAGCCTTGACGTGGATTGTGCTTGTCGATTCAAGCTTTGCTGCGAAAGACAAGCTCACGTGGCTAGCCTGTTGTCTGTAGCATTCGTTGCGGTCGTGTAAGTGGAACAGAGGGGATAGGAGATATACACCTTGGGGCATTGCGATCTGTATGGACCGGAGAGATGGAAGTTGCAAGATGATTAATCGTGGAAGGAAGGAAGAAAGAGGAAGGTGAAACGGGGATGGAGAGAAGGAAGAGCATCATGATCTTCGGCGGAATCCTGTTGACAGGGCTGACCCATCACTCGCCTCCGAGTTAGACACGTTCGACTTCAGGCACTTTATGTCTTTCACTGCCTCGGCAAAGCACTCTGATGGCCCGATTACGATCCGATGGGACATTTGGAAGGAATGAACGACGCCCACTGAGAGGCAGTGACCGCAAGGCTTCTCCCCCAGCAGTGTGCTCGCACGGAAAATAGCAACCAAGCAATCTTGAGCCTCTCAAGCATTGCTATTACAATATGGAAAAAGATTGAAGGCACAAAGTCTGAGAAGCTTTTCTTGGATCATTATAAGCATGCTCTAGCTGGCGTCACCCGAGTGGTCTGCACTCCGTTCAACCATCGCTTTCCTTTCTCTGCCTGAGAGAAGCAACAGATTTCATCACGCATTACATCGTTTGTCCAAGGGGGTCCCGTCATCCAGGTCGGAATTCCATCGAAAACTTTTCTTCGCAGGTGTATCACCACCACATATCCATCCGATATGTATCTTGAAAGGGGCAAGGAAATTGAAAGGAATGCTGGATGCATTGTCCAGTCGCGTCTCGACCTGTTTCAATTGGCCCTTCCTCCGATGGTAATCTTGACCCACTCCGGATTCCTCACAGAGATGATACCATCTGCACTCATCGTCTGGTTCCCTGGTTCGGGTGGATTGACATCATCGTACGGAAAAGCATAGCCTCTTTTCCCCGGCAAGACGGAGTGTATAATGCGAGAATAATGGTTGCACACATCGTTCGTGTAGTACATGTTCGGCTTGATGTCGTTACTCGGCTGTCTGGCGGTCTTCATGTCTGGCAGCTTCTTTGAAGGCATGATGGTGCTCCGGACAAAGGCAGCACACATACGAGCGACAACGCTCTTGTGCTCGTCAGTGCCCACGTTCGCGAGTTGACCTTCGGAACAGGTCAAGATGTCACCAGTGGATGGCTTGCTGATCGTTCCGGCATTATGATCACAGTTAAAGACGTCTCCCTGCATCGTGCACAGGATGTCGCCCGTGGGCGATTGGGTGTCGAAAGTGAGTCCTCCTGGTTGGGAGGCATAATGCTGCCAGACCTCGCCCACATACGATTCGAAGTAGCCGTCGAAGATGTTGCTGGAGTTTTGTATCCTGCCAGGTGTTCTCATCTGATACCGTCGGATGTTGGGAGATACGACCCGCAGAATTTTCCCCGCGTCTTGATCACGAATGCAAAGCTGGTCCCATGGTTGACCATCAATTGCTGCCTGAGCTTTGAGCATATCACAGATCCTCGCGAGACCATCGACAGGTAAACCAGTGTTCACTTGAGTGGTGCTCTTGGTTGAGCCTTCCGCAGAAAGCTCTAGAGCAAGTGGAGGTGCAAAGTCGACATAGCTCGGGTTCAAGATGAGGCCTGCCTTCTCGCTGAAGGTGAACTCGGCAAATCCCCATGGAACCTTCATACTTGCGTCTTTCTCATTAGTGGCGTCAGGTGTGACAAGCCCTGATGAATCGTTGCCGAAGCGCACAATGGCGAACTGAAGAGGCTGTTCCGCAAGATACACACGACCACTCGTGAGCTCGCCAGGAATAATGAGATGTGTCGGGCCATGCTGCAATTGTATCGTAATACTGCTTTCGGCAATTTTTACTGGAGCATATGAGGAGCTTGGTGCTTGTGGTGTGAAGAATGAATGGCTCGGACCCACAAATACAATATCTCCGTCCTTGTTGAGCCCCTGGATGTATGCATACATTTGAGTCGACTGGTTGTTGGCTATTGTGACGTTGAGAGAAAGTTCGCGCCGGAGAAGGGAGTCTCGAGCTCGGCGAGACTTGGCTCTGCCACCAAAAAGGTTGGCTCTGGAACTCGAATTAACGGTATTCCTTGCAGAGATGATTATGTCTTGAGAGGCAACAAGTGCATGATGATCTCTTGGTCTGGTAGGAAGTGAGGCCGAGCTCGCGCGCTCGAGTAGATATGCCACCGCTGGCAGAATGATGGCGTTCAGCCGCATGATTGTGAGGATTGATATGGTAAACGAGTGGCTGTCGCAGTCGGCGACGGAAGGCGAGGCACCCTGTGAACGAATGTCGCGTGGCTCGAATGAGTGAAGAGGGTGATGTGGATGTTGATGTTCAACAGGACGAATGAGTGTCGACGAATGTCGAGATGGAAGAATTGATGTTTTCGTGGAGGCATTGAGCTCGCATTGAAGTGGGTCGCATGACCATTTGCTCTCGTGCCATGCGGCGCTAGTTTCGTTGCTTCCGCTTTAGGCAATCTCTCCTGTCAGGAACGGGCTGTGCCTGAAGCAATTGATTTTGGTGCCTTGTCACCCTATTACTTCGGATCAGGAACGATCCACCCACCCTTTCAGCCGGACCAGAAAAAACTTGCGTGATAGGGCACGCACATATACATGTTTGATCGCCCTACGCCCGAAGTCTGATACACGCAAGCCGACCAAAAGTGACATCCAAGCAAAACATTACTTCTGTCACCAGATCCATTTGAATATTCTGTCGTCCAATCGCGAGCGGGCGATTCGGGCTTGAACGGTCTGAACTTTTCCTCGCTTCTCTGATCTTGTCTCCTGCTATCTCGGTATAGACCGCGCGCAAGCTTGCTTGCTCCTCGCTTGCGCTGGCGGGAAAAGGTTTCTCCGGCGGAGCGCCTGGCTGGAGGTAGGTCTCCCGGAATTTGTGTCTGTAGACTTCCTTCGACACATCGGCAACATGAGGGGGCTCTTAACGAATGACCTCCTGTGTAGCGTTCGCTTGCCGGATTTATCTAGATCAAGGCTCGAGCACTTTCTTTGTTCCTCTTGCCTTAGTCTCCGTTCTTGATATTAGCCAGCAGAGTTCCAAGAAAGGATGGCTTTCCAGTGACATGAAACGAGTAGTCAGAATGCCTGTGGTATTCGGTGCGTACTTTGCAGTGTCCATCGGATGCTTCTTCCCATGCCTGTGGGAGCAATCGATTGCTCAGAATGGATTGCTTCGCTCCTTCCAGACCTGGCGAGTGGGCCTTGCCTAATTGAGTCTAGCGCGTGATTGAGTGAATGACTTGACGCACTCACTTGGTCTTCGGACTTCTTGCCGAGGCACTTTGATAGCAAGACTCATTCATTACATACCGATGGATTCTACTGCTGACCCCGCTTCAAAATGCCTGGTCAATGTCCGAAATCGATTGCGGAAAGGAAACCAGCTAGGAATCCTTGTGAGAGCACTTCGAATCTCGGCAATGGCGAGCCAAATTATCCCATAGTATGTCCCGTGTCTCGTTAATAGCTTGGCTTCGGATTGTTCTTAGCTTCCACTATGTCCATGTCGTGTCCGGCGTCCCACTTCATCCGCATCTGCTCGCCAGCTTGTCTGCTTCTTTTCCCGTGCACTGAGCTTTAGCCACCGCATAATGAGCTAAATGGAGGTATGAATCTTATCACTCTGACACTCCTCGTATTGTGACCGATGGTCTCGTCGAAGTCGCGACTTGTCGCAGAGTCTCTATTGGCATTCTCCGATCAAAGTGTCTCCCGATTCACGCGCTGCTCTGCTTCTTCCGACGCATCAAACATGCGAGTGACTTCGTGATCCCTGCTCACCGGCGCCATTGTCCACTGTCGCTGTTGTCTTGCGCTCGTAGCATGCTATGAGCGGTATGTAGAGGTGCAAAGCGTGGTGTATCGGAAAAGATCCTCGGTTTTGCTGGCAGGATATTAGTTGATCACCATACAGATCAGATGCTCGACAGTCTCTGATGCTCGAGAGTCTGCGAGTCGCGCGACCATGGACGTTGATGTTCTCAATGCGAGCTTCTACAAATTCGAACGAAAAGGGCTGCGCCAAGGCAATCCCGAGACAACTCGCAGGGCTGCCACGCTAACTGCCTACACCTAGCACAGCCTAGCACAGTGCTAGCCTTCCGGCACGACTATCTTGCTTCACGTTTGCATCATGATTAATGTCACCATGACCAACGGCAACAGCATTAACAAAGCCACAGACACCAGTGGACAACGTGGACCTAATGATCAGCTCTTGATTTGCTCACAGTCGCAGGGGGCTAAAGGCGGTCATGTTCGCTTCTGCGCAGGATCATCCAGGAACTAGCCGGACGACGGAGATATCGTCCGCCTCCTACGTCCACAGTGCGTCAAGACCCAAAAGATCCCTACACACGCATCCGCTTTTACCATACTGCTTCTGATTTGCTCCAGAGCGCCAGACACTAACGGTTGTCATGCATGCTTCCGTGAAGACGGTGGATACGAGTCTGATGTATGGGCTTTCGGACCTGCTGTCCGTCTCCGATCCGTGGCGATATGCTTACTCAGCTACAATCACATGTGCCGATCCGTAGTAGTGCACGTAGATCTGCACTGGATACTGAGATCAATGCTTCGTCGATCAGCTCCTACTTGGTCGAACGTGCAGGGCATGAGAGTTCACGTTGAGACACTACAACCATGCTTGGCTTCTTACACAGCAACAGACTTGCTTGTATTCTGTAAGGTTTTGCGCGGAATGAATGGTAGACCTGTGTTATGTCCATCCATAAAGTGTAACGGCGTACAACGTTGACAAGGCAGTACAACTTTGGTTCGACCTTCTTACCGTCATCATTTAGTCTTGACATCTCCACGACGCTGCAAAAGGTGCCTACTATGTCTCTGACACTCTCAGCTGATTTCAGCGTGTGAGCGGCCGTCTCGAGCCTTCGAAGCTGCCCTGTCCTTGGTGTGCAGTCATGCCGGCTCTAGACGTCTGGAACTGCTCCGTGTGGCTCATGCAAGCGAGAGTATGTGCCGGCTCGAGCCTCCATAATGTGCCTTGGGGTACGCTCTCGGACGTAGAGCCTTCCTCCAAGAATTGTCGATGCATGGAAAGTGTGTACTCATTCGATGCGATTGCTGGCTCGGGGATTGGCCATGCCGGAAAGGCCGCGGATGTAGTCTCAGAGGAGAGGCTGCATCGCAATTGCGAGAGGAGCATACGCATTCTGGGAGAGCGAGCAGGGCACAATCCAGCAAGTAGTAGCGTATGAGTCGACGTTTACCATCTTCCATGTACCTTCTGGAGAGCACAAGAGAGTCATGCTCTATGCCTCGGACGGTGTAAGTCTGCGGTCTTTGGTGTGCGGTCTCATCTCCTCAGGCAGTGGTGAGAATCGACCGTGGTGATCCGGAGGCCGTGTTCTCAGTGGAAGAGTGGCTGGGGCAGCCTTCGGAGATCGATATCAATGCTTCAGCAATGTCCAGTGGATTGTCTTCACGTGCTCTTTCTGTTTGTGCTGAACATTCGGGAATTGCGGTCCATGAAGTTTTGCGTCGGATGGATATCGTAGGAGTCTACTCCGACCCGTGACTTTTCTTGGCCATAAGTAGCCACCTGCCGTCAGAAGTGGTCGTCTGGGCGCTGAATTGCAAGAGCATTTCGACACACGTCATCTCCCGTCATGAAACATCTTCTTCTGGAGACCAGAGGATCGCAAGTTGTGGACATGTCATGTCAGAGGAGAGCCAGACGGCGGTGTCGTCTCAAACGACACATTCACTTACCCTCAGCAGCGCTTTCACATGCATCGCAGTGGCCCCCGGTAAGACCGAGATCTACTGCTGAATGACACTGATCTTTCTGGGGTAGCAATCAACGACCGCTGCGACGCCTGTCGACGGCAGAACACGTCTTCGGATGCAGACGCGGATTGCCATCCGCCGAGGTATGAAGCAACGTCCACAGCCCCAGGAACCTCTCTCCTCGCCAGAATGCACGCGATGGCGCTATTCGCTTGAGGCCCGCGTCCATCATATCGCAAAGCAGTACATGTAGCGAGCAAGAGGGCGCGTTGAGCAACGCTCCTCCAGGTACACGATACACCGTCGCACCGGCGCATCAAGTCTCTCCTCGGTGGGCACCAAGCAGCCTCATGCAGGCCATTGAGACGACTGAGAGTATCCAGAACTGCTTGTCAACCTCGCGACTGCTCCAGATGTCGGCATCATCAGGAAAACGGCGTCTCAACAGTATCAGACCGTACAGCGGCTCTACTGGAAGCCATAGATCCGGTCAACAGTCATACGAAGCCGGAGACCCTCCAGCCTGGGCGACTCAGAGCACAACCTCCTGATAAAGTACAACCAGAACAGCTATGGGTCTCCATTGAACACGATCGGAGAACATCAACATAGCGAAACGCGCTCCGTGCACAGCTCGCGTCATGGGAGACACCCTTTGTTAGCGAATGCCTTGGGAGGCTGCCCCTTGGACGAATGTGACGTCGTACGGGTCGACAAGACGAGCGCTCTGGACGCACGTTGTGCTCTTGACACGACAGGAGAGATGGAGGCACCGTCTGGTGATCGCTCTCGAGGCAGATGATATCGAAGAGATAGAGCCCGTCTTGCGGCTTGGGTGATCCTACGGTTCTGCCACTGCTTTCGCGATAGATGCTGCCTACTTCCCAGCCAATGCCTAAGCTTGAAAGAGTATGGAACAACACGTCTACTACCTCAATGCTGCTCCACTTGAGGTATGTGATACCTGCCTGCTCGTTCTTTTACATCTCTGGAGATCTACGCGTCCTGGAGATCTTGCAAATGGGTGGGAAATCGGCGTGCACTCCTCGCTCAACCTTCGAAGGCGCGTGGATGTCTTCAAGTTGATGCCGCAGCTCAAGTTGTCTACCATGCTCCTGCTTCTCCAGCTCATCGATCTGACTCGCGCTCGCCTGCTCCTAAACGTTGCGAATGTGAGGTCAGTGATGCTCTACCTGTTCGAGAGTAGCCATGTTGCAATCTTGGGGAGGAATCGTAGCGCAGAGAATGATTCTCTCGACGTGACACTAGGGATCTGTGGAAACTTGTCTGCCGTCCTGATCGTCAATTGCAGCTCGTAGGTGCTACGACACTTCCCGGTTGACAAGTTGTATCCACTGGACATACACGCTGCCACTTGAGGAAAAACATCGTCTCTCGCACAGTGATGCCTGGTGCTCTGAGCAACTGTCGAGATGCCGCGCTCGAAAAGCTGTACTGTGCAGCAAGCGTGTCTTCCAGCGATCTCTACCGCGAGACTCTTTGCATGCTTGACCCCTGAGACATCTATACTTTGTTCCTTCTCCCAGACACCCACACGCTAACGGGCCTGACGATGTTCTCCACCCCCTCTGCAATCTTCATCAAGCGCTGGGCATGCGGGCGACGGATATTCGGTGATCGAAAGCTCCAGCTCGACATCGATATTCCGGAGGACGTAAACCGACTGGTTTCATTGCCGTTTGGCATCGGCATCAGAATGACCAGGCGTCCGGTATGCAAGCCGACGGTCATGGCGCGGATCGGAATGGTGTGGAAGGTTCGAATGCAGGGCTGGAGCTCTCACTCCACGCAATCATGACAGTTGTTGTTCCCTTTTCCACCGGATTCGAAGCTCATGATCGGTCGGAAAAATTGAGATGGTTGAGGAGCTGCCGTTGTTGCGTCCAAAGGGCTTCGCCAAGTTTGACGAGGGCGTGTCTAATGGTAAGCAAATCCGCAAGGTGTGGGATTGGATCGCACCACGAAACGCCCAGGTCTCGTGCAGACTTGACAAATTTGCGGTCGTCTCTCGCTCCAAAAACGCATCATCATGTGCTGCTTTCAGGCCCGGCCTAACCTCGGTTCCTTGTCTTTCAGACGATTATTACCTCATGTATCGGCAAGGCCTCCGCGATGTAATCTCGGGATTCCAGCACAAGGTGTTGGTTCAAGGCCATCAAAATCTCTCGCTTGTTCTATCGTCACCATCGTCTAGAAAACAGTTGCATTGGTTTCCAGCACTCCCTAGTCCTTAAGGAGTCACGCAAACGAGAGTCTTAGCTGATCTGAATATCGCTCCCAGTTCCTCATCACCGACTCGATGCTCCCCGCTCCAGGTGTAATCTGTCCGTCTCTCCGATCAGATTCCTCAAGTTCGCCGCCTCTATGTCCTCCGCCGAAAGCCCTCTGGAGGCAGACTGGGAGCTCGCGATATGGACAGAAGCCCTCCGACTCCTCTCCAAGTTCACGATCGTCTCCTGCGCCGGAATTGGCAGCGTGTATCCTTGACGATTCGCCATATCTCGTATCTCCAGCACCACAAAGTACGTCAATGGATAAGACGTTGCCATTCGACGCATCAAATTGATGCAGAGATTGAAGTAGAAGGCTTCATCTGAGGCCTCATCAGCGTGAGACAAGAGCGGCAGCGTATCTTTCGCGACGCATAAGATTGGTTTCAAGAGCAGATTGAGGGATAAAGGAAGGTCTGGGAACTGGAGGTCCAACTGATGAATCAAAAGACGTAGCTGGATGCGCGACTGCTCGCTGATGCTGTGTGCTTGATCATGTATCTCGCGCGTCGGTAAAGGGTTGCTGGAGTTCACAAACGGCTTCATCAGCTCCAGAATACAGCTGTGGTAGTCCGTACTGGTTGAACGGGTCAGCTCTCCTCTGCCATGTTGGAGCACGTAATCCGACTCACTACAACGCAAAAACATGAGGGGGCGCCCCATGAAGATTGCCCAAGCGCGGATTCAGCGTTGAATGCCAATGACAGAGCTCCGCATAAAGACCCTTCGCGTCGTTCCAGTGACTTTCGCTTGTCAATGTGTTGCCATATCGTGCGTGCAGAGGTAGTATATTGTTGCCGATTCGCCATAGGTTGGTTTTCGCGTGGTTCTTCGTACTGATAACGCTTGGTCTTGAGGGCCCCAACGAAGGAAATGGTTGCCATTCCTTGCTATCCTCGTCCCTATTTGGCTCTGGTATGCCTATAGGAGGCGGCCATGAGAGTAGAGGATGCTTCTTGAAAGTGAGCGTGTGATGCCTGCGAGAGTCAGACTCAGCCTTCCCTCGAAATGTTGCTCGCACTCACCCATGGAAAGCGTATATGCACCATGCAAAGGCCGCTCTGGCTCGCGATAACTCAGGGTCAGATGATGGGTATGCTTGGGAGATGCGCTCTGGCGAGAAGAGGCCGGAATCTATAAGGAGGTTCATCGCTGCCCCAAGGTACGGAGTACCGTTCTTTTCTTGTCCATTTGCCGCATACGTAGCATGTACCAGGAATCCAGCAGATATGTTTGCAGGTACTGTTGCATCTGCATCCCACGCCCAGGCCTTTGTAGCCTCGAGTAGTGCAAAGTGCTCCGCAGAAGCTGATCTTTCCGGTTCAAACATGCCGTAAATTTTCTACCTCCCCAGTCAGCATATTGAGTCCACATGAGGCAAGTCGAGGCTTCGCACGTACAGCTCCGAATGCGAGGATGCTGTGGACGAGTGTTAGGTTGCAGAAATCGGATCCGTCATTCAACAGACCTTCCCAAAAGGCTTCCTCGGGCACAAAGTCCGTCACCGGATTCTCCCAGGTAAAGTAGCATTTCAGGATCTCCAAGAATGTGAGATCATCGGTGTAATACACCTCCCACTCCGCAGCGCGGACTCGTTCGAAGCGCTTCATCCACGTCTTGTCTTGCGTTCGCGGTTTCATGCTAAGCGACCTGTCGGTACTTGGTGTCATGGGAATTGGTGCACCTCCTGCCGCCACCGGTAAACTGGGTCGTAGTGGCGGAGGAGACACTCGCTTTCGTTTCTCCCCCCTCTGTCGAGGCTGCAGGGGCTGGCCATGATGAGATCTGAGTGGGCCAGCCGGCATGCTCGTAATTTGGGCGTCTAGTGGAGGACCAGTACCAGTTGGTTCACCGACCAGGAATGCGATTGACTGTTTGTCAATTCCAGCTGCAGACCTACGGTCCTTATCCGCAGCTGCTTCTCCAGCTACTGATCCATGAGAAGACGAAGTGCGTTCCCCTTCCGAAGTATTCGTCGTTTCCACGGCGCTCACGAGATTTTGTCCCGCTTCAGCGTCAGTTTGAATGCCGCTCCCGGCAAGAATGGAGGCAGCGCTTTCTCTATTGCGAAGACGGTTCAAGATCTCGTGGGCGCCGGCGAGGCTCTGATCCCGCAACAGGGCGATTAGAGCTGAATTTTCCGCTGATGACTGTTCCAGCTCCGTATATCGACGCTTGAGAGCAGTAATTCTGAACTCGTCGGGTTCCGTTTCGTAGACGCATGATATGGACTTTCGTCGGCAGCGGCCGCATGTAGGTCGAGTACCATCGCACTGGTACCGTCAGCGCACCGTCGCTCTTCGACCGATGCATCCAAGAAAGCAACGTTATACCTTGGTCTTCTTCGTTCGACACTCTTCACACGCTGCTTTAACCTTGGGCACAACGGGCTCGCCCGCGGTTGAAGAGCTAGGCTTCCCTTTCGATGACATTGGACGAGGAGTCGGGTGGATGGAGAGCAACGGAAGATGGGACTTGTCCCACGCGTGTATTTGTAAAGGGAATTGCACGCTGTTGTACGGTGCATGCATGCTCGCCTGGGCTGGTAGCGTAGGCCCGAACCCTGACGCATTTTAGTAGTTGTCGTCTCGCGGGAGCCCAAGCCTTTACCCGCCAGGTTCTTCTCGGTAAGCCTTCCGGGCACAATGCAATCACTGTGCAATCAATCCTTACATCCAGAGTTAACCACATGCGGGCTTGATATCCACAGAGTGTGGTGATCCCTTTGTGTAGCATCTGTCTCTGATGTCACATCTGCTAGCGTCTTAGTCCGACAAGCGATGTGGTCTGTGCGCTAAGATTATCAAGACTTTAAGGTAAGGTCCTATACGTTCCCTGTAATCATCATGACTTCATGTCGGAGCAGACCACCGAGGCCGACAGATTGCTTTGCCGGCATGGTGCTATACGGTGGCGCGCGACCACAGACCGTGTGTGCTGTGATGATGTAGCAACGACCCAATTCACGAAGTAGAAAGAAAGCTCCACAGGGCAGGCAATCGCATTGATTTCAGCAGAGTATGCTCCACTCCAGGTGGAACGTGTCTGACTAGCCGATCTACTCATAGAAGACTAGACATCGCACTTCGATGCTCTGCCTGCCAGGGGCATCCGCTGGGGTGTTGGGGTCGATGAAGGCAGTGTGAGGGGTTCTTACTGCCAGGCCTTGCTTGCCCATTGGCTCATCGTTACCGTAGGAGTCGTAACACTTCAGCATCATGACCTCGTCGGGACTCATGTCCCTCATATAATAAAACCTGTGAGATTCGTTGGGTTGAACCGCCAGAGTCTCGCCACGTGCCTCGTAACCTTCAGTTGAGAAGTGCTTGCTCTCGTCTGGGAGCTTCTCCTTGCCGCGATCATCATCGTCCATAGCAGAGTCTGGGCGCTTGGGGTACATGAGATCGAGCGGAATAAAGTCCTTGGGCGAAGTTGACCTCCAGTCGACGACAGCCAATGGGAAGTCGGAGGCTGGGTTTTCGATCGGTCGCCACACATTGATGATCTGGTATCTGCCTTTCAGCAGCTGCTCGGCTTCCTCGGCGGGCAGATGGCGACGAACTCGCAAAGCTGCGGCTTCAGGCGTCTGGTCGACGTGAACTTGTTGGACCGGCTGTCGAGGTGATGACTTTTCGCGGCGGCGTATGGTATGATCGAAGATCACGACCTTCTTCACTCCTGCGTGGGTCTTCCTGAGCAAATCTTCGACCTCCGCGTAGTATCCATCCCTCACGGTTTGGTCGTCCACGAAAGCCTTCTCTTTCGCTGGCCAGTTGTAGACGGCGAATCCCGAGTTGTCTGTTGTGAATTCCTTCTCCTTGCCTCTGATGTTGTGAACGGGTCGCGCAACGTCCATCATCTTGAAGGACTGGCCCGGGCCATCCACTTTCGTCCATGGCTTCGACTTGCCAATGGTGCTCGGGTCGATGTGCTTGAAAATGGTGGTCGTCATGGCGAATCGCTGTGTTCGAGGCAGACCTTTCGTGATTGTTGTGTGGGTCGATGTAACTCTTGCGATGCTGGGATAGCTCGCGATTTTGGGCGAGAATCGCAAGTTCATGTGCAAGAGCATACCGCGCATGTGCATGCTCTCCAACAGTGTTGCCGGCGGCATGACGCCATCCCGAACTTGATTTACAATCCGCCCAGGTGACTTCCATCTACCCGGGCAGCAGCCATGTCGTCGATATGTCCCGAGTGTCGAAGATGACAAAGACTCCTGTATGTGCTCTAGGCGGAATGCGTGAGTCGGGGAGAATGAGATTCGGCTGAGAAAGGCTTGCGCACCCACTACCAGGTGATGCCGGGAACGCACGGACGATTGGAGTGAATGTTTCAGATGGGGCTTCAACTCCAATGGACATCCATCAAATATTGATTAGTCTAGGAGCTATACCCGGGTGATGCTTTCCTGGCGAACGCGTTATCCTACACTTCTACATGTAAGATAGGTACTTGTACCTCCAATGCTGACATATTGTCAAGCCACTGAATGCTCGAACGATCCCCCAGATAACGATGCCCTTCACAGATCATGAGCGCTGCTTGCCTAATGCTGTCCCGGCGAAGAATACGGTATAGATGGGTACTTCGTGCCGTTCTGGAAATACGCAGTATACCCGGTGTCCAGAGCCCAAGCCAGACTATCGAACTCAAGCGTCATGTCGAGAGCCTGGATTTGGGAAGGACATCCATCATAGGCCCTCTGGAGCTTCCAATTATTGAACCCTCTGACTGGATATTGCTTGGTTCCGATGCCAGTGTAGTAGTCTGCGAAAAGCATGATCGTCAGTTTCCGGTCGCATATACGCGCAATACGCAAGCAGCCGATACGTACAGTGCCAGACGAGCTGATCGCAGTCGAGCAGAACCTTGATAGTGTTGATACCGGTGTAGGCAGGGTATTTGAAGAGGTTGCTGATGAACGATTGCTTGCTGTACTCGGCAATGCCATCGCCACTGAGGGAACGCCCTTCGAGGAGGAGAATGCCGTTGGATTTCTCTTGGAAGTTGTCCGCCAGGATCAGGTTCGCGGTCGTCTTAGCATCGCCTAGGTCGGAAGGCTGCTGACCGATGACTGCCATGAAGCGCTGCAGCCATTCGTTCGCTAGGTGGCGGGGGATACAGTCGGACCCGAGCTGCAAACCAGAAGACTGAGGTTGCGGCTGTGGAGCTGGTGGATGGGACCAAGCTAAGCCTACGAAGCAGAGCGCTGAGTTGATAAGAGATGCCTTCATGGTGGGCCAGGAGAGACTAAGGGAGTGACAGTGAGCGAGCGACTGAAGATTCAACACTGGGAAGCAGGCAGGCTGGACGGGCCGACTGGATCGTTTGGTCTTCTTTATATTCGCGCATTCGTGCCAGTGGGAGAGGGTTTCCCAAGTCTTGACCTGCACGAGTCCATGCGCTTTGGACAGACGGCAGGATCCCCAGGCGAACCTCGTTTATCACCTGAAGCATATCTCAAATCTAAGATACGACGAAATTGATAGAGTCTGCGAGACGAAAGATGGGCTGTCCTCTCAATTGACAGCGTCGCGTGGCTACCAAGAAGAAGTTGGGAAATTTTACCAACGAAGAAGCCCTTTGAACCATCAACTTAGGTCTCGTGGATAGTATGCTCGTGCCATCAGCAGACTGAAATCTGTCAGTGTAGACAGCAACATCCTTGGCAAAGAGCAGCTGCAGCAACATTGCTCCTGTAACAGCCTCGGAAGGTTGCGAGTAAGGTCGTGCTCCTTGAATCGTCTTCTCCGACGGGCTCACAGGGGTTCGCAAATTAGGATGGATTGACGCTAGTTGCTTGGCATACCAAACCTCCCTACCAACACCTCTTCTGAAGGCTCTGTATCACCACCACCATGCCTCCTATGCTCAGAAATCATTCAGAAAGGTCAAAGAGACCAGGGAAATTCAAGACACTACACAGAACGCGTTTTTTTGACTATTGGGATGCATCTAGAGACCAATATATACTCAAATACTTCTGCTAGCTCTATAGCTATAAAGAATAGTGCCCTGCCTATATAACAGCTAGTAATTGGCTCCACTAACGCACATAGCTAAGAGTAGAAGGGGAGCTATCCCCTACCCGAAGACTACTACGAAAGTAGGTACCTAGGCCTAAAAAGAAGGATCTATCCTACTAGGTTGAGATAATAGCTAAAGGTCCCTAAGATTTAAGGAAACAGGACTATTCCTTCTTCCAAAAGTATATAGCAAGCTTATATACAACCTTAAGAAGGAGGATAAATGAAAGGTAGCTACAAATACTACGTAGTAAGAGGTAGAGTACTACATAGATCTTATAAACTAACAAGAGGCTAAGGATTGAATATAGGTACTAACGTAGGGTAGAGACAGTAGATAGCCTCTAGTAATAGATTCACTAGACAGACGAGGCTTATATTAATAAGGCTATGTCTCTTTATTAACGAATCTTTCGTAAGAAGGGCAATTATAAAGGGATAGTATACGAGTAACCTAAGCCTAACTATTTAGTAGCCTATATTACTGCCTCTGTCTCTTAGTAGCACAAATTAGAGCTTGTCTTCTATAACGATAAATAGTAGAACTATAGGCATATTATAGAAATCTAGAAGGGCTAAAAACTACGAAGAAACAGAAGGTAGAAGATAGAAGAGTAGTATTAAGTAGAGTTAAAGGAATGGGCCAATTTAGAGCCCCTACATACCTAGAAGAAGGGCAATTTAATAAGCTAGCTCTACTATATAGAGTATATCCTTCTAAAGTATATTAAATAGATTAAATAGATAAAGAATCAAGGCTACCCTACTATTTTAATAGAAGATAGTGATCTATTATATAGTTACAGATTAAAGGACAATCTACCCGAGAAGATTAGGTAAGAACACCTAATTCAGCTTTACTAGTACCCTATATAAAGCCCTAACCTTAATCTAATTAAAGGAGTATAGCTTCTGCTTAAAGAGAGCCTTAAAAAGCTATATAGAGAGGCCCTATATTAGATGGACTATTAGGCTCTCAAATCAGCTTGCATTCGTGCCTAGTATAAGATTTTAATAGATTAAATCAGGCATAGAATATAGAGCATACAATAGAGGTGCTACCAACTCACTTTAAATAGTGGACAGCGTGTAAAAGATGATATTTGGTAGAGATAGTATACAGAGTGGTATGCCAAGCAACTAGCGTCAATCCATCCTAATTTGCGAACCCCTGTGGGCTGATAATTCTTTTGAGAGCGTGCACAGTGCTCGCCCGCAGATTATCTCATTCAGTAAGCGGAATTCTCCAAATCCTTGCTACAGCGCCTTCTCATGTCCGAATGGTGGCGTGGTTCGTAGTGACTCGCACAAAGGTACTATCCTGCCAGAAGTGATATTCTGATCAAGCATTCCAAGACTATCGACAGCCGTAGGGCAGCTTCATAAGTGGTGGAAGCTAATGATAAGCTGTTCCCCGGGCGGGCTTTAACACAATAACCCCCTGATCCTTGGATAGAGGTCGAGTCATTCACGCACGCGGATGACATTCGGACGTGTACCGACGCTGTGCATCAGGTGAAACATCAGCGATCCTATGTCTGGTCGTATCCAGGCACTCCACGGTTATTCCGGTGCCGGTATGTCATGGATGGTTTCGCGTTCTGTCCGAGAGGAGAACGGCGGGTCGACCTGTTCACATATTTCCCGTTTAACGATACGTGGCTTTCACTTCCAGATGATAAGAATGTCGATGTTGTTGTCGATGTCGCTGTCGAAATCGATGTTTGTGTTATGGCTAAGGTGGCATCAATGACTTAGTGGCAAAAACGCACTGACCAAGAGTGGAATTAGACCTCACCTTCCTCGTCCTACCTCACCTCGCATCTCACTTCTCCTGCTCACTTCTTCTGGGTATCCACGACCCCATCAGCATTGAGTCTTTCGCACAGCCAATTCCAACGGTAGTAAAGGGCGAGAAGATTTTCTCCTGTTTCGAAAACCCCTCCAAGGAGCTACGCCGAATGTCTACGAGACAACTCGTGATAGCATCCTTTGCCGCCTGGGAGACAGAACACCGGCGCTCAGGCTTACTATTTCCATTCACGCATCTACTCATCGTCAAGTTTGCCTTTGATCTGCTGTTCAGTTGACGTCTCGCAGGTATTCAAAACACAGTGACGCGCGTATGCGAACGGACGCGACTTTCAAGCTGCATTTGAGATCTCTCGCCAAGCTGCAACTTCACCAACAAATCAACATCGCAGCATCGCAACATTCAATGGACTGATTGCAAGATGCCGTTCGAGTTCAACAACAAAGCTCCGCCGCGGGTGGACGCTTTCGGCGCGTTCAAGGCACTCCCTGTGTTTCCGAATGGTAAACAGGCCTCCTTCCATCATCGGCCACACCTTCAATCACCAAGAGGACCTCAGCAGCTCCGATCACGACCGAGGCTACGTCTCGAAGACTTTTATTCTTACCCTGGACCGCAGTAGCAGACGGAACAAGTATCGCAGAGCAGTCTTCCGGCTTGGACTTTTTCTGCCATGCCGTCCCAAACGAACAGCGTCCGCAGGAGGGCATTTGCTCAGACTAGAAACACTCTCGAGCTGAAAATATACCCAAGAGTGACTCGGCGCGCTTTTGCAGAAATCAACCAGATCCCGCCCAAATCCACTACCTCCCAAGTACAGCAGCGCACACATTCGCCACACAAGTCCACTACCTTTTCGGTACAGCAGCGCACATTCTCATGGCCCACTGCAGACCTTTTCGCTTCCTTGACCTATCCGCCGAATAGCGCAACACAGTCTACAAGTTTTGCCTAGCTCTAGGCTACATCTCGATGCGCACCTGCGTCCACAACTTTGCGTTTACAGTCACAGCAGACTTGACACTCGGCATCATGGCTGCAGACGATGAGAGCCTCACTGAGAGAACAGAAGGAGAGGTCTGGGTACCTGGTGACTGGCGTTCAGTGGAGCAACTCACCGGAATTACGACTGCGCATTTGCTGAGTTCTGGTACCGGGCTCGTCACACCTAGCAGCATTTCGTACGTCATCGAGTACTCGTTGAAAGAGGTCCTGGAGCGGGTTTCGTCTGATTGCGAGATGAGTTACGGTGAATAGGGCGCAGAGGAGGAACACGTCAATAACGTGATGCTGCGCATGATGCTCTATGCAGACGATTGTCATGCTGGGGGATCGTACGGAGATCTGGACAATTTTGAGGTTATGAATTCGTCGGTATTGGCGACGAGGGCGGAAACGATCAAGAAAGATGTCGCTCAGGGCAGCAAGAGCGGCAGTACGGTTGACTTCCGCTTTGTTCGGAGTATTAATAAGATGACTCAGGGCAGTGAGTAAATGGCAAAGTGAGGGCAGCTGCAGCATGCGGCATGCGGCGTGCGGCATACAGTACAGCGAGGTAAGCGAGGCGAGTTTATGTTTCCTCTTCTTGCAAAACTCTCTCGTATCGACATGTGCTACAAAGTCTTGTTCGAATTTCTTTACTTCTTGCTTTCCTTTGTCCGCCAGCAGACAGCCTGTCGACAACATTTATGGTGGACAGGATGAGTTATTCAGGGCCAGGATGCAGAAAGCGGCGGTGTTTGCATGAGACATGGTCGAAGTGAAAAATGAAGTGAGTATATGAAAGCACGGACCTTTTCTTCACCCTCTTGATTCTCAAATCGCTATTTCTGAACTGCTACTCAACAGTATCAGCCATTTCAAACACATCGGCATCCACCATGCAAAGCGACAGAATTAGCGAGTGCTCTCATGGCGCTTTACAGAGAACCATTAAGACTAATGTGGCACCAGCAAACGCGACCAAGTCGCCGTCTAGCGAGAGATTTATCCCGAAGAAGCCAGCCACATTTCTCAGCCTACCGCGAGAGCTTCGCGACGTGATATATATACATCATATCTGCGATCGACCCAAAAGAGTGCTGGCTCTGCATCGGCGTGAGAACGGTGCGTCGACACAGACACGCATCCAGCAACGTCTCCTGCTACCGCGCGTCCACCTACCGAACAGCAGCAAACCTCCTACAGACAAGCCGTCGAGTCCGCCTCGAAGTCCGCGCGATCATTTCCAAGCGTACGGACTACACCACCGACAATTTCGAGCTCGACAGGGAGCTCTTCCCTCCGCGTGACCTGCACTGCGTCTGCGCTACGGTCACGCGGCACATCACGCGCCTCAAAGTGGAGCACGAGCAGACGTACATCCCGACATACTGGCTACAGAAGTCCGAGCAGGGACCATGGAAGATCGAATTCGACGCGTTTCCGATGGCGGGCGATCTTTCCGGGCGGGTCTATCCCCAGTGGGGAACGGTGATTGAGGCGACCAAGGACGCTGTTGGTCGTCTCGTTGAGGCGAAAGGCAGAGGTTTCGTCACCATTCGGGATCTCAGAGCTGTTCAACAAATGGCAGACGTAATTGAGTTGAGGGCGATACACTTGACCAACTGCGCCCGCAATGCAGCAAGGAACGCAGGCCAGCCGAATTTTGGACTCAAGGTAATACCGACAGGTGGAGATGAAGACACACCAAAAAAGGACTGAGCAGTGCAACACTACATCCCAATATGCTGCAAGCTCAAATGTTTTCAACCAGCAATGGTAAGATAAGCTTTTCTCTGATCATTCGCAAGGAGATGCAAACAGCTTTCACATGCTCTTGGCAAGCACGGACCATGCTGGCTGCAACTCAGCAATTTGGCGGTCGTGCTTGCCTCCTCCTCCTCCTCCTCCTCCTGCACTTTCTACTTTCTAAATTCAAGACAAAGACTTTTCTGCGTCACTCCACAACGTCGCGAACGTGTAATTCGGCCCCCTTTTCACATCTGCAATGGAAATCGTGTACCGAATCAGGGCAGCCGCAGCCACCATGGAGAAGGCACCCACCCACAGCATCGGCCGATAGGTAAGGAAAGCTCGGCGTTCGGGAGAGCCGCCAGAAAGCTTGCTCTCACTTCCCAGAGAGCTCCGTGATATACCATCCTGCGAGCTGGCCCCCAGCGACGAAGAACCCGTCTCCCTCCGCACAGCAAGCGGCCGCCGAACGGATTCAGAACTGAATGACTGAGGCTGCCCCTCTTGGCCCTGCAGCCTCATCCGCCACATAGATCGTGTAGTCTGAGATCCACACGAAGGGAAACTTTCCGGTCGAGCTGCAGCGGATCAGGAAAGTGGTTGGAAAATATAAAGGACATTTCCTTAGTGCTCAGAAGAGCCGCTAAAGTGGGATTTTCGGCGCTCTTAGCGACCCGAGAGAGGACAATCAAAGAGATCAATTCCATGCCGCTTTAAGGTATGGTTTGTGGTCTAGAGCTCACGATCAGCCGTTCAAGAAACTGACGGCGAAGAAGGATGGGTGTACAGGCGGCAGCATAGCTGAAAGAGAATGTGGTACTCAATCTCTTAGTGCCGACAGCAAACAAGCGAGAAATCGGGCGGCGAGCTGAATCTTGAAAGCTCGCGTTGCTCGTTATCCATGCAGACCGGGTATCTCAAAATACAACCGCTCCTCTCCATCAGAGAACAAGCCACCTCTCGCCAATCCTATGCGCAGCTTCCAGATTCCCCGTGAGCGCAAAGATGCCCTGCAGAGCAAAAGCCGCCTCAGTCGCGTAGTCTTCCGCATCGAGCTCTAAGCTCCCGCCCTCGATCCTATTTTCCTCCCGAACTTTCTCACTCAAAGCCAAGACTTTTTCGTACGCAGGGACGGCCAGGTGATTGAGGCCGAGGTAATGCCACATTCTCGCAGTGTTATACTCCGCCTCCTGGATATGGGATGCCTTGCCACTGGCAGTGCGCAAGTCGTAGTATCGATACAAGAAAGCGAGCCCTTGAGTAATGCCATGTTGACGGTTTTCCGTTTGTCGCTTCATGGAAACTTGCACCCACATCGCGGCAATGCTCAGATTGATGCAGATGTTGTCCGGCTGTAGAGCAAGAGCACGGTAATAGTAAGGCAGCGACGAGTGGGAATGATTCGCGACAGCAACCATATGTCCGTACATTGTGAGAATCCCAGCATCAGGTTCCGGGGGAAAAGGCTCGCCCGATGTTCTCATCCTTGCTGCCTTAGTTTCAAGGCTAGGCTTCTGCGCCGCCCAGTCCATGCGGTCACGCACACCTTTCATATCGCCGTGCTCCATGGCCAGGTAGTCGAAAAGCTTCACCATTCGCAGCATGAACTTTTGTGACGGGCCGGACGAGAACCAGTTGCTACCGAAAGAGAAGCGATTGACGGCGGCGAAGAGCTGGTAAGTCATCGGGCCGCGGTATTCGCTATCGGTGATCATTTGGCGAGCCAGATCGATGAGGTATTGACTGTCGTTGAAAACCAGACCACAGTGGATGCCGAGCGCGAAGCTCGTCCGATGAAGCGCGAGATCTTGGTAGAAGACGTTGGCAGCGAAGAGGACGTCCTGCACCACCTTATAGCACCGATCCTGCTCTCCGCTCTTCGCGTAAATCAAAGCCAAGTCGACAAACACATGGTGCCAGTCGTCGAATGGAATCTTCAAGAAGTCTCTGGGGTTGTAGCCTTCATCCTGTCGTGAGAAGACATTCCTGATGTATGGTCTTCCGGGGTTGTCAGTCTCCCGCAATTTGATGTGCTTGTCTCTTTCCGGGAAGAACACTTTCATCGACAGGAAATCCTCAAGCATTCCATTCGCTGCTGCAATCCATTCTTCTGCTGCAGACTCATCTGTGCCTTCTTTCAGTGCCGGCCAATGATGCCTGACTACATCGAAATTTTCCCTCGACCGCTCTCCGATATCTTGAATATGCCTCTGGCGTGATTCACGTTCATGTTGAGCTTTTGTGGGTACCCAAGATTTCCTCAGCCGAGGTCTCTTGACTGGAGGGCTCTGTTCGGCCGCTGGAGACGCCGCTTGAGCTTCTGGATGTGCCTCCAGCTGCTTCTTACCACGCTTACGCTTCCTCGATTTTGATTGTGAGACTTGCTCCTCGATCGGATCCTGCTCGATTGTCTTTGGTCGAAGGGAAGCTGTCGCTGGAACAGGTCCCGCCGGCCTGAGCTCTCTCAGTAGCCGAGGAGGCGGCAACGGCAAAAGCTCCGCGGATTTCTTTGGATTGTTCAGGGCCGCGGTCGCAGCGAGTCTCGCCTCGAGCTCTGGAGGCAATTTCACGGGTGGGGGCCTGTTGATGACTGGCACCAACCTGACACCGGCCTCATGAAGAAGATCACGGCGATTGAGCATGATCAATTCGTTGGCGAGAAGGCGGGCCTTGTCGTTGTCGCCTATATCTTCATACAGCTTGGCTAATCGAGCGCAAGCCAGGGCGTACTTGTCCCCTTTGCGAGCGAGGATGGCTTCGAGGCATGCCACAGCATCTTCTTGCCGCTCAAGAGCTTGATAGCATGTGCCCATCTGCATCCAGACGTCCTCGCTGAGGCCGTAGTCTGGATGATCTGCATTTGGTACATTCCGCACGCAGTCGTAGTATTCAGCCGCCTCCGTCATGAAGCCCGACTTTCGGAGTGAAGATGCCACTGTCGTGAACATGTCATGGTACTCTTCGATCTCGTCGGCGTATTGAAGCAGCGGTCGGAAATGTTTGCGTGCCTCTTCAAAATGTCCTTGCCCCATCCTCATGCGCAGGCAGCCAAATTTGACCTTGATTTCGATCGGCAAACCGTGGCCATACTTCATCATGTCGCGGCTGGCTCGCCCTTGCTGGAACTCGCCAACTTCGATTCTGCGCTCGTTTCCGTCATCGAACTCGCGATCATCGTCTACGTATCGCTCCCAGAAAGTCTCGTCTTGGCGACCGAGGAACCGCCGTGCGAGTTGCTTACCCTTGTAAATGCCCTCAGCTGGATTACCGCGCATCTCGACAAGGTCAAGATAGATGTTGAGATGACTGAATTGGTCCGTTCCGTCGTCCTCGGCGCCAAATTCTTCGGCATCCCGGTAGAATTCGAATGCCTTTTCGTAGGCCTCCTGTGCGACTCTCATGTCGCCGGGATCTTGCCATTGGCCAGCAAGCATAGCATATTCGCGCAAGATCACGGTGTTCCCGGGATGATGCCTCAGAATTGACCTGCAGTGCATCCGGCATGATTTGGTCTCGTGTAGCTCTTTGAAGAGTTCGATCATCGTCATACGAACTTGAAGTTCAAGATCATCTTCGCCGTCGGAAGAAGACTTCGACCCTCGGGTGAGCTTGAGAACCTCGCCATAGCAGTCCACTGCATCTCTGAGCGCCTGTCGCGTGCGGCGATCTCCAGCCACCTCGAGAATCTTCTCAGCTGTGCGAATCCAAACTTCCGGCTCTTTGGAACACGTTGCGCCCCATTTCATGGCGTTGACAGCATCTTCGTCTCGCCCTTGCAGCTCAAGGATTTGAGCAAGAAGTGAATGCGCCTGCCAGACTTCTGGATTGGCTTGAATAGCTTGACGAGCGTAGTCGGCAGCCTCTTCGTTCACGCCGTCCACATATGCTTTGTTCGCGAGCTGCAGATACTTCTTGAACTCTGGACCAGGATCGATAGCCTTGCTCCTTCGGCCTCCCCGTCCCCGTCCACGTCCCCGGGGTCGTCCACGGCTGCCGCCTCGTCCGCGCTTCTTTTGTTCCGGAAAGACTCTGGCGTCAAGTTCTTTGAGAATCGACTTGTAACCACGACTTCGTCCACGCCCTCGACCTCTAGGTCTGCCGCGCGACCCCCTGGAAGCGAGCTCCTCCGCCTCGAAAAGCGCATCGATTTCAGGGTCACGAGCACTGCTGGCGTCCGGATCCCACTGGTATTGCTCGCCATTCCTGATAGCAGCATGAAATGCCGCGCTCTGCGCTGCCTTACCTCCAGTATCTTCGTGCCAGATCCCTGCGTATTCGGAACACCTCTCGCCGTCTTGTGGCAGCAGGCCATTCTCGAGTCCTACGGAACGATCGCCAGGGTCTCCATGCCTAACTTGGAACTGTTGCGCAAGTCTTTGGGTTGGAGTGAGCTGTGTCGAGGCCGGCAGCGCAAGTAGATTCGTGGGGGCAAGATGCGGAGGCTCGGAATCAGTGGCACTGAGAGGTCCAAAGCCGTTCATATGCTGGCGTGTCTCGCGACCGTGATAGCTCTGCGCCTGTGATCCTGGGACAGCGCCATAACTAGACGCCGCATGGGATGCAGGAAGCAGCCCACGAGTGCTGCCCGGGAAAGGTCCATACGACGGCGGCTTCTGGAGCACCGGATACGGCGTCTGATTTCCCTGACTCGGGTCTGGATAGTTTAGTAGGGCTGTCGAGGCACTGCCATTCGTTGCATTTCCTCGATTCGAATTGCTTTGCTCCATCTCAGCCACTGCTATCCGCCACCGAAATCTCGCTCAAGCCGCTTGTGTCTGTGCAGTGTCATGAAGCCGGTATCGAGGGTCCAGGTACGTTGCAGAGGACTTTCTTTGGCGACCTTTGGTTGATCGTGACTGAGATTGGTAAGTCAAGTCACGGAGGAAGAAGAGTTGAAGTTGGCGGAAAGAGCGAATTCGAAGACTCGGCTCGTTCCGCTTACTCATCACCTACATGCCTCAGGTTACACAACATTCATTCAAAGTGTATTGCAGCTGTAAGGTCTTGTTCACACGTTGATAGTGTACAGTATGTTCACATGATGATAGTGTACAGTATTCACAGTAATCTATGGTACAGTGCAGGTTGGGCCCTGAAATCTGGGGATCCACCTGTCTCCCGTTTTTCACAGCAGAGACGTAGCGCTTTCTTCGCTGCTATATCCTGTCAATCTGATAACGACATTCTCAGCCCTTGCAACAATAGAAGGTCTCAGTCTTCCGATAGCTCATTGCGCCGGGCACATGGCGATTGGTTCCGCATTGACGCTAGCCTTTGCTGTTTTCGTTCCGTCTTGAGTGGAGTCTTTGATCTTTCATATGACCCTGTTGTCTCGGTCCTCTCATCTCCGTGGCTGTCCGCCTCCAACGTCCATTGGCGTTGCCCCTTCCGCGTTCAACTTCTTCAGCGTTTGGTCTCGTTGGTACTCCATCACTCGCCTCTTCTTGAAGTATGTGACCTTTGCCGATGTCAATATAGCTGCAGAGCAGTCTGACAGTATCCAGGACTTACCCAACTCTCCGCGCAAGCCTTTTCGAACTCTTTCAATTCCGGCGCACAGCTCTTCTTGGCCCTGTCGTCCTCTTTCACGCTATCGATGATCCCGACTTTGTCCAAGCATTTGAAGAAGTTGTCCCGGCCGTCCCAACATTGTTGGCGAGCAGTTCGATCGGGTGCGATGAAACCGCCATCTCGTGAGGGTTCTGGTGCGGCTTGTGAGGGTGATGAGGAGAACCAGACCATATTGTTGCCGGACAGAATATATGCGAGGAAGCCGGCGATGGTGGAGGACAAGCGTCTGTCGAATTGAAGGATTTCTCTTGAGACAAAGGCAGCCAGGTGAAGGGTGCTGTTGTTGGATGATGGCGTTCACCTGAGGCGAAGCTGGTTGTTACGGTAGATGGATGGGCGTAATAGACCTCTGTCGAGTGTAAAGCTCGGCATCCCGAGGCCAGCGACGCCGATGGTCAAAAGTCGCAGCATGCTGATGAATGCCTGAGGCAAGCAACTACACCTCAGGTACGTACCTCAGTAACATGGAAGGATGTGTTAGCAGTCAGCAGACACATACAGGCCAGGCCAATACTGGACCGCCCAAGGAGAGTCCATGTCAATCAAATCGACGCCGATGTAGCCTTGGCAGCGGCTCCAAGACGCAAACGTCTGTTTGGGGCGGGATGATCCACTATGAGGGAGCAAGCCCCTTGAAGTCGGTCGGGCAGAGCTTGCGACTCCAGGATGAGACGGAGCTTGGAAGAGTTTGGGAGTGGAATGCTCGTACTCAGTGACTGGTCCAGGACGTGAGGGCCAGAGGTGAGATGCGCTTCCTATATTATTGGTGAGGCTCTCGTAATAAGAAGAGTGTCTCATCCGTAGAGCAACCTCCCAGCCTGCCCAGCAACTCAGCGTTATCGGGACGGGACGGTGGAGGGGGCAAGGGGGAACAGAGGCAGAACAGCCGAAGAAGCGAGTAGAGACGGGCATGAGAGGAGCTCGATGATGAGGACGTCGTGCGACGGGTTGCCGTGGTCCATTCCAGAATAGAATAGAGGCGCTCGGGCCAGCGTGATGAAAGACTAATGATCGGGTGTGGGCACGTCGGGAAGGGCATCTTGGGCAGTTGGGGATCTCGGCTCTTTCCACGCAGACTGCAGACGGCAGCTGTCGGTCGCACGTTCTCTCGCCTGCTCTGTCTGTCTGTGTCTGTCTGGGGGTAAGGTAGGCGTCGCGGAGTGCGCGGGAGCATGTCGTCGTCGTCGTCGTCGTCGTCGTCGTCGTCGTCGTCGTCGCCGCCCACCGCCCTCCCCATGTCCGCTGAGGGCGATGGAGCCGGCGGACGCTCAAAAGTCGTGGGACAGGCGTGGGCGGGAGAGGGCAGCCATCACTGCAGCTCTGCAAAACCACCTCCAGCCAGCAGCGAGCAGCCAGCAGCACGCAACGCAACGCACCGCATCGCATCGCATCGCATCGCATCTCCATCGCCCACGCCCACGCTGAGCCGGGAACGAGCAGCGTCGGCACACACGGCCCCCAGCACCACATCTCCCTCCAGGTGAGTCTGACCTCTCCCCTTTCATCTCTTCCCTGACGCCAACACGCCGGCGCAAACACGTGGACGGGCGATTGCGCTATGCGCATGCATCTGCTCTGCTCTGCTGCGCGTAGCGTACGCCCTCCCCTCGCTCTCTGCTCTGGAGAGCCACCACCACCACCACCACCACCACCACCACCACTACTCCCTGCGGCCGGTGGCAACAGCAGCACAGCGGCACAGCACTTTTCACACACACACTACTCCCACACTACTCCCACACTACACTACACTACACTACCGCGGGCTTCTTGCTCCTCTGCTGGTTGGGATACGGACGGATACGCGGCGATGGATGGATGACTGAGGCCGCCACCGGCATACCGACCACCGACCCGCCCGTCCTGTCCCGTCCTTGCGCTGCGCTGCGCTGTTTCTCTGCCCGCCCCGTTTCACTCCCAGCAGTCAGCACCTCGCCGCGCTCCCGTCCACCGCACTCCGGCACAGCGGCGCACACCTCACGCGTCTTCACTAGCGCCCTCTCTTGCTGTGTTGTCGCGACTCCATCCGCTGCTGCTCGCGCCTCACTCTCCCACTGTGCGCCGGTGACCGCGTCTCCCTCCACCACCACCCGACGCCATCATTGGCTGTCCGCGACGCTGCATGCGCCCTTCACCTGCTAACCATGCCAGGTCGATGCCATAATGAACCAAGGATGGGCCAACGGGCAGATGACCTTCCCGAACGTTAACCCCCAGTCCATGTACAACCCGCAACAGCAACAGCAACAGCAACCGCAACAGCAACCGCAACCGCAACCGCAACCGCAGCAGTTCGACCTCACCTCCTTCACCCCCAACGGCGCGCCCTCCCAGACCGGCACTCCCCAACCCGCACAGCAGACCTTCACCCCCGGCTCTGTCGTGCCTGCGAAACGGCCTCACGATGGCATGTCCGCATCGCCGCAGCAACCTCAGCACTCGCGATCACACACGCCCTCCTTTGCGCCCGGCGGCTTTCCCAATCCTCAGTTTCCCAACGCGCCTACCCCTCTCCAGCGCTTCCAGCAACAGCCCGGCTCGAACAATGCCACGCCATCGCCGACAATGTCAAATCAGCAATTCCACCCGCCCCAGCCGGGACAGCAGCAACGGATGAACAACGCGAGTCCTTTCCCCGGCCAGCAGCCCAACTATGGCACCCAGATGTCGCCTGCGCCCAACGGTAGCAACATGCAGCAGCAGGGCAACATGAGTCAGTACGGAGGGCAGTATGGCATGAATCCGGGCATGTCCATGGCGGGCATGCCCAATGCCATGGCCGCGCAGATAAACAACATGAGCGGCAACATCCAGCCAAGCGCGCAACGCGCCTATCAGATGAAGCTTATGCAGCATCAGCAACAACTGCGCGCAAGTGGGATGATGCCGCCGCAGCAGCGCATGGGAGGACAGCCCAATCAGATGAACAACTTTGGTGGCCAGCAGCCCGGCGTGCAAATGCCCAATGGCCAGCCAAGCGCCATGCAGGCGCATCAGATGCAAATGATGGCCAAGAAGAAGCAGTTCCTCTCTGCGTTGCAGCAACAAGCGCAACAGCAAGGACGACCGTTCAATCCCAACCCTACCATTGGCAATCGGCCGCTTGACCTGTTCAATCTGTGGCAAGTGACCGTCTCCGCGGGTGGTGCACAAAAAATTGATCAGGCGGGACAATGGCCACTCGTTGCGCAAAAACTCGGGTTCATACAACAGCAATTCCCTTCGGCTGCGGAAGAGATCAAGATGATCCACCAAAGGGATATCTCCTCGTACGAGAGATTGTTCATGCAGGCTCAGATGCAGAAGAAGCAGGAGGCGGCGCGAATGCACGCGCAGCAGATGGCGGGCTACTCGAATCAACCTCAGCAGTCTCCAACCAAGATGATGCAGATACCTGGACAGCAGAACCAATTCTCGCCGATGCAGCAAGGGCAGCAGAACTCACAGCAGCCACAAGGCACACCGGTGCAAGCAAATGCGACGTTACCGCAAAACGGCATGTCGACGCCGCAGCATATGACGGGCGCGCAAGCCAATCTCCATCACCGCAGGAACTCGAGTCTTAGGAAGCCAGAGCAAATGACACCGCAGCCGGTCCAGCAACCCGGTGCGACCGCTTCGCCGTTGATGAACAAGCAGCAAAGACCGCCTTCGGTGAAGCAAGAACCAAGCGGTCCCGTGATGAAGAGCGAGGAGCCACAAAGCACACATTACGTTCCCTTGCTGCGAGACATCGACACAGATGGAGGATATGACACGGCTGCACTGTTCGACCTGGGCAACACGATTGCGCGCGCGAAGCCGAATCATCCAACAGTTGACGAGATGGGAGTCATTGATACCAAGGCTATCACACTCAGTCTCGCATCGGGGCTGCACGCTGAGGTAAGGTATGCTCTAGACACGCTGGCAATAATATCGCACGACACACGAGTAGGCCTCAATCTCGAGAATTGTGACGACCTGATGGACGTGATCGTCGACTGTGCCGAGGATCAGACGGATATCCTGTCCGAGGAAGCTGCCGAAGTGAGCGACGCGCTCGACCTGTCGCCTTACGAGGACATCTTGCGGAACGCTAAAGTCGAGGCCGATACGCTGCAAGAGGTACCTGCGTTTGGAACTCCGGCGTATGAACTGGATCGCGCAGCGGACAAGGTCATCGCCATCACCACCATTCTGCGGAACTTCTCTTTCTACGAACACAACCATCGATTACTAACAGCAGGCCCTCTAATCAAATGGCTGAGCAACACAATTCGGCTTTTGGGGACTCGCAACATGCTCTTACGGACCCACTTCAACACCCAAGACTTCTACAAGGACATAATCATCTTCCTCTCCAATGTCACACAAAGCCTGGAGCTACCGTCGCGCGATGATGCGCTACATATACTCCACTTTCTGCTCGCCTTTGCGCCCCAGCCAGCTCCCATCTACGGAGAAAGCGGCGACAGAGTGCGCTTCCCGAGTTTCGTACCCGCGAACCACAAGTATCTTCCTCCTGCGGTCGACTGCTTGGCGAAGCTCCTGGCCAGACAAGACCCCAATCGAATGCTGTACAAGAGCATATTCACCGCCACAAGCTCCTCCCTCGCAGCATCGGAATCTCCTCTGGACCTTTTAACACGAGCGTTCGGACTCTCAATATCAGTCTTACCGGACCGATCAAAAGGCTCCTTGGGGAATAGTATGCAATTGCGGATTGTCGAAGCGCGAAAAGCCTATCTCACCCAGGGTATGCTCGCCGCTGACATCCTGACGACATTGGCTGCGAGTAACGACACCGCACTAGCTCGCGCCTGGATAGAGAGTGAGGACGGCTGGGCTGTCGGATTGCTCAACCTCGCTGCGCTCCTTTCTGTCGACCACAGTAAGACGAATGGGCCGAAAGGACGAGATCTCGGATGGGACGTCGAAACCTTCAAGCTCATCACGTTCCGCGCATTGACCATGATGAAGCGACTCGCGGAGAAGGCCGGCAAAGGGGCGCTGCAGAATCTGCAACATGCCGTCACCAAGAATGGCGCTGTCAATGGCGAGACTGCAAACGGTATTCATGATGATAAGGATGACCTTATTGAAGCTCTGAAAGGACAGCCGAAATGGGAGGGAATACCTCAGGGACACGCGATCTTGGGCGCGCTGATGATGCCGAACACGGACAAGGTGGCGTTGGGATTACTTTGTGGGCTGCATGAGATGGCGATGCAACAGCCGAATACCAGCAGCTAACAGGAACATCGGAAGAGCAAGGCGTGATGCGGCGTACCTGATGAGCGAACGGCGGATGACTTACTTCGGATTCTGGGAATAGAAAGCGGGTTGGGCTAGTCTGTTGCAATGAACAGCATCTTCTAAAACATGGGCAAAGAGACGGCGTCTTTGGAGGACTTGTGTTGAGTAAGATGAACTATCCACCCACAACGATTTGTGTCGCTGTTTTTGCTTTGGATTAAGATGTGTGTATACAGAGAAATCTCGAGCCTTTTTGTCACTTTTCATGGATGAGAGTGAAGTGTACTTTTTCTTTACTTGATGTCACTCCATTTACTCTGCTGCTGCTCGCTTCGGGCTGACATGTCACATTGCAGAAAGGAGAATCAAAGGCCATGACTATGTCGAACGAAGCAGACGTCGTGCTCGTTTTCAAGTGTCGCTTCTGAAAGGAGAAGCAAATCCAGCTAGCAGTCGGCTGCAACTTGGAAGCATCGGAAGCCCTCATCGTGTCGCCACTCAAAGCAACTCGCCACCCTCCTCGCTCTCCTGCTCCTGCTCCTGCTCCTCCTCGACCGGCTCCGCCTTGACAACAACCGTCTTCTTCTTGCCAGCAGCCTTGCGAGCGCGCTTCACACTCGGCGAAGCAGAACCCTCCTCCCCATCATCATCATCGTCATCATCATCACCGTCGTCCGCGTCCGCCTTCTCCCACGCCGCCCTCGCCGGCCGACCGCGCTTCTTGCCCGTGCCATTCGTGCTCTTCGGCGTAGCGGCAGATTTCGGGGTTGCGGTGGCGGAATCGTTGCCGTTCAAAGCGCCATATTCCTCTTTCAGCTTCTTCTTGGTGACGCGCATGAGTTCGCGCGCGGAAGCGGCAGAGGCGAGGTTGGCGATGGTTCTGAATTTCTCGTAGTCGATCTTGTGTGAGATTGTTAGGGGGGCAGATATGCGGGAGAGGGGGATTTGGGGAGGGACGGACCTTGGGCTCGCTGTCGAAGCATTGCCAGGCGAGGGCGAGGTATTCCATTTGTTTGGTGGAGAGGGGCATTTTGTTTTTGGATTGTTGCTGCGGTGGGTGGGGGTTGTTTGATGGTTCTTGGGAGGTGGAGTTGGAGAGGACTTGCGCGTGTTGACGGGTGGATGTTTGGATGGTTTTTGGATGTCGAGTCGTTATTCAGAGAGAATTGTGTGTGTGTGTGTGTGTGTGTGTGGTGGTCGAGTAGATAGAAGGAAGGGGAAAGCAACGAAGCCGTTGTCTCGTGGACACCGTGCGGGTGGAAGTTGAAGTTGAAGTTGAAGTCGTCGAAGAAGTTCGGCTTGTGAAATGAACATTCACACAAGTTCCACGCAAAAAGCACGCAAGAAACTCACAAGTGAAGTGCAAACCCCTCTGTTTTTATCCCTTTCAACTTCCCCTGCTTGAAAGCTCACATGTTATTGGATGCAGTGTGAAGGGAGAGTTCTGTTCACCTCGACGGCTTTTCCACGTCCGTGCCGTGAGCTCTGGTAGCATTTCACATGTCAACTTCACGGTCTTGGCGTGTGAGTTTTGTTTGGGCCGCCAGCATCCTTGCAGATTGCGTATTATCCCTACAGAGTGCATGCAAATCTATCGCGATCCCTAGCCATTGGAGCTGCACTGACGCTGCATATGTCAAACGCCTTTGCCTTATCTCATGCCATACATCCATTTCCAGTGGATAATGGCACAGCATACTCCGTACCCTGTCGTTACACGCCCGAATCTCTCGGCCATTCTCTTCTAGAGAATCTTAGTGCAACTTCGAATCTCACCTGGTATCGTATTGCGCTGCCAGTCCTCCTCAAATTGGCGGCTCTTCCGAAACCCTCTTGAGTGAAGTGCAAATATTGTCCTCGGTATTGACGATAAAGCCATGTGCAGAGTGAAGACTGCTTTTGGAAAGACCAAATGTTCTCTCATCCTCTGATATACTCACACTCCCCGTCATCCGCTTGCTTCTCTTGATGGAACTGGTGAAGGCAAACGATCACTGCGGCGTCCTTCGGTTCTTGTGTTAAGTTCCTGACAAGGTCAGGAGCGACCTCTGCAAGCCCGCCTCTCTCTCCTCACTCGTGGCTTGAATTCCATCTCAGTACCTACTTCAGGCAATTGGTTCTGGTCGTGGGTGTTGGGAGAGCGGCTTCCGCTTCGATCGATGCTCTCTCGATTGAGAGACTGTCTGGGTAAGATATGTTCGTCTTGTGGGCTGCCATATGCACCGCAAAGCACTTCCAATCACCAAGTGGAACGTAAACACAAACACAGCCCGTGCAACCGCGAGTCCCGATGTGAGTGATTCATTCTTCGCTGCTGTCGATATTGCACCAAGTCATGGAGGATTCGGGAACGCCTCCGTAGCCCTGCGCGAGATGGGAGTACTTTTCCATCTTCACAGTTTGGAGCTGTAGGTTGCAAACATCGAACCAACGCAGTCGCGAAGTCGACTATATCTTCGTGCTGCCCTTTGTACGCAGAGCAGGCTTAGTTGAAAGAAGGATGGCCGTCTAGAACAAGCATTATCACCAATATCATTTTGAGCTAATGAAAGCAGTTGCTCGAACCATGTCAGTCGCTCACGATCGGAATCAGATGAAAAACAAGCCAGCTTGAAAATCTGGAATGATTGCTGGAAGAGGGTACGTGAATTGATTGATTGCTGTTCCAGTGGCCAATCCATCACAAGCAAGCGTCCGACTTGGCGACAAAGAATTCTTGTCTCAGAAGAAGACATTCTCAAGAATTTCTTCCTCTGCCAATACCTTGTACTCGTCTCTGATAGCCTGGTTCGCTGCCCGCCAGTCGCGACTGATGATCTCGGCTCAAACATCATACATCAGCAAGTAGTCCGTGCTTTTGAAGAGAAATACATACAGATCTCGTTGTTGTGCAGACCGGGATGCTCAGCCTTGACCCTCGCGTGGTTGTGGAGGCGATAGATCACGAAAGTCTGACAAAGAAGGTGACGAAGCTCGAAGTTGGGTCGGTGTGGTGATGGAACTGGGTCTCGCTGCTGTGCCTGCACTAACAGTTAGCTACACGCACCTTAGTAGAAATCATTTACTCACTCGATGTGAGACTTAATAGCCTCAAGGCAGAAGTTCTCATGGACCCACGGATCCCAGTTCAGCGGAGCGCCCAACTTGTCTTGCAGTATTCGCCCTCATGATCGCCCTGCATGTCCATTCCCAAGAGCAAAGTGGCGGACCCGCTTCGAGACAGTGACGAGCAGGGTCCTTCCCTCAGCCACAAAGGCAGAGATGAGGGTCCCGTACGCAAGCAGCGAGTGAGGCCAGCGCAGCCCTGGGAAGCGGCGAGGATTTGGAAATGGGATGTAGACCAGTTTCAGAGATCGAACTGAAAAGAACAGATACTACACTTTGATCTAAGCCAGAAGGCGAAGAGAAGCGTTTGTCTGATCAGAGCATCCAAGGCGCGCTTTCCGCGAGCGGTTGCGACTGTGACGGCGCCAGAGAGAAGCGCAGCGTGAGAGGCATGCTTTAAGACCCCTGTGCCTTCTGCAAAAGGCGGGCGCGGTCACCTCTGATCTCGAGTTGTTGTCCGATGTCGATGTTGTTGTTGTTCGAGAGAGGATTGGAAGTTGTCGCGAAACGCTACTTAAAAAAGAGCGAAGTGTAGGTAAGCATCCACGTGCTCGTGGCATGTGAAGGCGACAACAACAGGAAGGAGCCACATGGTTTGTGACCAACAGTGATCTGAGTTTGATAGGCAAATGAGATAATGCCGGCTCTTTCTACCTTACTCTACAATACTGCCCAAATCCAGTAGATCATTCAGCAAGTCTCTCTTGAGCGCATCCGCATCCAGACTGTCCATACTGTAGACGCTTTCATACGCGTGGATACTCAGCTGACTCAGGAATGGCCTCAGCACGGCACGAACAAATTCTTCCTTTGGCAAAGCTTTGATATCGTCCTTGTCGACTGGAAGGTCGTCTGCGAGGAGGGCTCGCCTGCGTCCTGCTGAAGCGGAAGTGTTAGGCGTGGCCGTGATCAGGTTGTCGTCCGCAGTAGTGGATCCCAGCACCTCCGCAACCTGGTCTGATAGAGCTGCAGAATTCCAATCTGCTGGCTGATATACGGCATCAACAGTGTCGGTGATATATAGCCACTCGTGTAGCTGAAATTCATCAGGCGACAATGCGATGAGAAGGTCCAGTAATTTGCAAGCCTGAAGAAGAGACAAATTGTTGAAGTCATTGGCGTTCTGGCTATTGGGCAGCAGGGACGTCAACGCCGACTGCAGTCTGTCGTTGATGATCGGCCAGAGTGGTGAGAGGTGCATTGTACTGACAGACAATGCCAGACTTCTGCAGAGCATGAACAGCTCGGCTCTGATCGCAGCTGATGGCGAGGAAGATCGGCTGGCTTCGAACAGCTCCGCCAATTTCTCTTCAATGGGCCTTAAATGCGCGACATATGTGTCTTCTGGAGATGCGAGTAGTAAGATGCAGATTCGTCGGAGATTGAACTGTGTCTTGCGGTCGGCCTCAAGCCTGGCAGCGGAGGCTCCAACACCGAACATGATCCCAGCACCGGAAGGTGGCGCGAGCCGTGCTAAGAGCTCTGGCATCCGTTCTTTGTCGTACAGGGACCATTGATGGAGGACCGGGAACCATCCATTAATCATCACTGCTGGTGCCGAGGACAGCAACCTGGGATCGTTGAATGCTTCGGAGATTTCCTTTTTCCACGATTTCGCCGAGGGTGCTTTCCTCGTCATGCTCGTGACCAAAGTTAGAACGTCGTCATTGACATTTTTCGGGAACGATCGAGCATGGAAGGTGGGCACCAGAAGGCTGGCAGTGATGGTGTTAACCGAAGCGCCGATTCGCTCTTGTGTGTCGAGTATGAGATCGATTTTACCAACCACACGATTCAGTACCGGTATCAGTGTCATCGAATGTGCAATTCTCGCGTGTCTAGAAGCAGTGTCGCCGTTTTGCAGTGCGTCTTCTGCGGCGAGCTCCGCAATATATCCAGAAGGTAATGCCGTGAAGGTAGCAGAAAGCAATCGCTGGAAAATATCTGTGAGCTCGCGGCGCATCTTTCTCTGCTCCCCGAAGTTCGTATTGTTGAGCTTTTCAGCAAGAAGCAGTATGATTGACAGCAGATGTGGTAAGATCTGGCGATAAGGCAGAGGGTTCGCCAGGACATCCTTGGAGAAAGTAATGCAGTCCTGCCAGATCTCATCCATGGCGTCGTCTTCTGTGGAGTCGAGGTACGCGGAGAAGAAGGTAGCAATATCGGACGGGCTCAGATCCAGCGTCAAGCTAGACGTGCGGGATGTCGGTATTGAACCAGGATTGGTCCGCGTCCCGAGAGCATTCAGTGTTGCGGGCACGACATTCTTAGGCCGTGAGACTTGCATCACTTGGAGAATGCTGAGTGCTGAATGTGCATCTGTGTCCTCGCCGGCGAAGCACCAATGCGCAATCAGCACTTCGAGACTCTCCAGTGGTTCAACAGAGAAAATCTGTTCCAAGAGATGTCTCGTCTTGTTGCGTACCCGAAGTGCATTGTACGCAGTCGTCGCCGAACTGCTGTCGTCGAGATCAGATGCTGTACTTGGCTTGCTGGCCCAGATCCACATTCGAAGAGCAACCCGGATCGAATCTTGGAAGGCCAGGATCACAGTCAGTCGATTGTTTGATGTTGAGGTACGTGAAGGAGGGCCTTCCGATTTGAAGACTCCAGATGTGACATTGGTCAGAAAGCTTTGCTTGGCCTCATTCTCTTTTGGCGGAGGCTCAGATACTGCCTCGCTGACAAGACATTCGTATGCGCGATCTAGCAGCATTTCCAGGCCATCCAAAAGACTCATTGCCACAGCTTCGGGAGCAACAGCTTTCGCAGAGCCACCCTTTTTGGATAGCATGAGCATTTCTTCGTGATTCTTCCGCAACTGCTGGCAGAAGCACTCAATTAACGGAAGCAGATTTGAAAAGATGGCGTCTGCAAAGTTAGGGAGAACGTCGGCAAGGAAAGCCAGCCATTGGTCCAAGTGATACCTTGTAGCAGGAGAAGAAAACCCAAGGCGCAGGCACTTGAACAATTGAGGCGGTGGCGTAGGGCTTGGACTCGTGACCGAAGCGCTGGTAGTAGGTCTAGGGTATGGAGCAGTCGAGTTTCTCTTCGGGGAGTTGCTGGACGATCCCCTATGAGTTGTAGTTGGTTGTTGTTCAGCTTCTGACTTCGGAAGTCGCAGTTTCAATGCTGCTTGCACAAGTCTCAATATCCCTCCCTGCAACGAGACCAGGTCGCCCTCAATACAGGCGACGAGACGATCTAGTAGGATTGTATCCAGATCAAGTGGCTTTAGTTCCACAGCTGCAGGGCTGTTCAAGAGTAATTCCAAGATAGATATCAATCGTCGGTCCAGAGATTTTGATCGATGTCTCTCATTGCACAGCAGTGCCAAGCATGTTTCTGTCAAGGAAGCAAATCCATCATGCTCCTCCTCGGCGGTACTTCCGGTCACCAAAATCCTGCTCAGGCACTGCCAAGTCCATTCGCTATCATGTGTCAGGATGTTCTGGAACAGGCTCAGGACGTACTCAACACCACGGATGTCGCCGTCTCTACGACGTTTCTCTTGTTGCTCACCGGGGTCCCGGTTCTCAAATACTGAAAGCCTTAGCTCGCTGAGGTTCCTGAACAGCAGAACCAAGACCTGATCCAGCGAATGCAGTCCGTCTAGCCAGCTCTTGACAACGTCGAAGGCGGGGAGCTCAGGATCTTCCAATTGGTCGATTATCAGCAAGAGCGGCCGTTCAAGCACCTGAAGAGATCTGCTGTGCTGCTTGGCGTCACTGAGCACAGATATAGCACTTCCTCTTCGAAGGGTGCCAGATTTGGATCCACCGGTAGTGATGGAGTGATTCCACAGCACGCAGAATCGGCGAGTAGCTTCAGCTTGGTCGATAGCTTCACCTCGATTCCTTACTAGACCTGTCAGAGTAGCTGCCAATGCATCGCCGGGAAACGCGAAGTCTTCAAGCTGCCAGAGAGCTTTTGTAGCTTCGACGTGATACTTGGGCTTCTCGGGAGAGAAGTATTCCCACAGTCTCGAACTTAATGCAACGGTCAACTGTGAGGCCTGACTCTCACTGAAGTAGTCTTCCGATGAAGTCTGTGACCGCAACATTGTCATGAGCATTATAGTGGAGCTGATTATGGGAAATGGTGTGGCGCTGGTGCTACCAGAAGTCGCGCATAGTGTCTTCGTTAGTGTCTCACGTAGTCTTGCACCATGAAGACTTACACCACCTTCCTTCTTCGACAATAAGTCCATGAAGAGGGCGGTAGATTGCGCGCATAGTTCCGAATCTAGTGTTGAAAGTGCTTTCTCCAGTATTGAGACGATCCGTGGGATGATTAAACTGAGCACCTCCGCACTGTCGTAAGGTGCGGTTGGCTTTCCTGTGCTCGGCTCGTCTCCTCTGTAGTATTTGGCGATTGCTCGGCGGATTTTATCATCACCTGCAGTCTCAGAGGGGCCATGCTTTCGCACGTTCCGCTCGTGATCGCCTGAAGATTTGAATACTCTAGCAGGCACGATCTCGAGCATCTGAGACAATAGTGTCAAGATCTGCTGCCGGCTTTTGGATGCAAAATTGGCAGGATCAAAGCTGCTGAGAAGATAGAGGATCGCATGTGGGATATGGATGTTCAACATCTCCTCGTCTTTCACATTGAAGCTGTTGATGATCCACTGATACAGCTGAAGAGCAGGTCCAGCAGGCTGTCCTCGCTCGAATGCATCACGTAGGACACCCATCAGGCGTTCCCAGATAAGGCTTGCCTCGACTCCGTCAAAAAACAAGCTCGCACTGCGAACGACATCCGCGACGTCGTTAGATGGAGCGTTCAAGCTGTACGTGTGCAGACTCTTCATTGCGGGGAGGAAGACCTCAGGTATCAGAAGTCCGCCAATCTCCCAACGATCCATCAAAGACAGGCATATCCGGAAGGGTCTCGCTCTCCAAGATGGTTCCATTCTTGGGCTTTGGAGCATGCTGAGTATACAACGCTTCAGACTTGCCTGGCCATTTCTGGAAAAGTATCGCAGCTGTGCACTAGGCTCACTTTCTTGAGAAGATTCTCTCGAAATCGTAGGAGATGAAGGCTGGCTGGCATCTGGTTGGTCCTTCGGCTCAGGTCCGAGAAACCAGCTCCATAGACGTCGGTTCAAGCTCATGTCTCTGCGGAGTAACACCTGCGTTGCCGCCGTTACTAATCGATCCAAGTCATCGCTGCCAATCTTTTCTTGAAGCACGATGGAGTCCAGTGGTAAGTGCGTGACCAGAAGATCAAGAAAGCCTCTTTGTATCAGTATTTGAGGGTCAGACAGGCTGCAAATGAAGCAGCGCACGAGCAGTCCGGGCTCTGGAGAGATTATTCTCTGTGCTTCTCGAGAAAGCCGAATCTTATCAGGACCAGCGCTAGACGCCGCAGGGTCTCTCCCGAGTTTGGGCAATTTTCGAGAGAGGAAGTTGAGTGCCCCTTGTCTTCTTGAAGGGCTTGAGACAACGGCCAAGAAGAGACATTGCCAGAAGTAACCATCGCTTTCTTGGGTGAGATCGTCTGATTTGAATGTGGGAGCAAATGATTCCTCGAACGACTGCAAGATGCCAAAAGCGCGTTCAAAATCTTCGCTGTTCTCCTCCTCGAGAGCCGGCAACAGACCAAGTATCAGTGACTTTAGTGCAGGTCGAAGGTCTGACGGGGACAAGGCCACGATGTGGTCCTCAAATAGGCTATAAAGACCCGGACGAACGGTTAGTGAGGCGAATGACAGAACCGACGAGAGGCCGGGTAGCAGCTCATGGAGATGACTGGCGATGTAATCGTTCCCGAAAGTCGTAAAGATATAATGGTAAAGTTCCAGCGACTTCTGATGAACTCCGGAAGGTAATGCCGGATTCAGACATTGCGCGAGCCTCGTAGAAATGGCATCGCTATGCGGGAGAATTGGAGCATCCTTGGGATGTGTTTGTATTGCTTTCAGTAAACGGCCCAAGAAAGCAATGTAGTCGGCCCATTCTTCTGGAGCAATCTCCCATGTGCTGAGGACCCGTTCGATATTGGCGGCATACCGCTTCAAGCTTTTGTCGGCCTTGTACAATCCTAAACCTTGATTAGAATTTTGTCCAAATGATTAGCAACGCACAAACCCACATACCATCCTCGACAACTCGACGCGTGGCGCGTGGAACCGGCGAAGAGCGACCAGAAGAAGGAGGTGAGACGGAATGGCGGCCGTGAGCGGCGTCATGGCTCATTGTAGTGCGCATTCGCACGCATACCGCTCGATGAAGCGTAGGAATTCCAATGAAGATCTCGATTCGAAGGGAGCACCGTACAAGAAGGCAGTAATGCTGTTCGTGAAAGGCCAGATTACTGCCTGCTACCCGATACCGAGAAGCTAGACTGTTTGGGGTATGTCACGTGCACCATGGTCGACATCTTGGAAACGTCACTTCCTGGCGATCATTCAAACAATCCGCATCTTCTACAGCTTGAGAAGCGAAAGCGGCACAGATTCCATACACAGCATGCTTCGATGAGGCGATGCCCGAGGGTGATGCGAAGGAGACCGACTCGTCACGGCTGAGTGGCGACGGGACGCCGCAGAAGAACGACAATGCTCAAGATGGTTCCTCACACGCCAAATTGGAAAGCGATATGGACCAGTCCCAGGAGCTGACACCTCCTCCGCTACCTCCGCGACCTCCTTTATCCCAGGCTGGATCTCTCCGTCTGTCAAAAAGATCTTCTCGACCGCAATTGCTCTCGAACCCTACGACTGCATTGTCTTTGGCGGATGTGCATACGCAGTCTCACGCAGAAAGCGCAAGCACTGTGTCTTCACCTCCAAGTAGAGCTGTGTCTAGGAAGCACAGTCTTGCGCATTTCGGCCGTTTTGTGAGCAATAATACGAGCAGCGAAGGCGATGACTCCGCTAGCATAAAGAGCTATATTCCTTCCCTGGACGCACGTTTCGAGAATGAAAGTATACTGGGCAACTTTGGCCGGGATCTCACTGCTCTCCCCGGTGAGGTACCTCATGAGCGGGATGACGATGATGAAACATTCCAGACTTTAAACTCGGAAGATGAGGAGCTCGCCAGTCAGGTTGAGCATGAATTCGAAGAGGTCGGCTCTCTGAACGCGCAAGGCAGCAATGAGGAGGAACTGCTCGTCAACTGGAAAGCAAAGCTGAAGCACTTCTTCATTCTGTCTGCCTCAGGAAAGCCAATCTACAGCCGACATGGAGATGATCAGCTCATAAGCCACTACGTTGGCGTTGTGCAGACAGTGATATCGTCTTACCAGAGCTGCGACGACCCATTGAAAGGCTTCACGGCTGGTGGCGCACGCTTCGTCATACTATCCAAGGGACCTCTGAATCTGGTTGCCATCAGCCGCTTGCCAGAGAGTGATGCTCAACTGCGGAGCCAACTTGAGGCGCTCTACATGCAAATCCTCTCAACTCTAACGTTACCAAGCATGGAAAAGATGTTCTCTCATCGACCTTCCACAGATTTGCGCCGGCCGTTGCAAGGGACCGACGTTCTGCTCGATGGATTGGCAGATGGCTTTACCCGCGGATCTCCTTCCACTCTTCTCTCTGCACTGGAGTGCTTGCGCCTCAAGAAGACTCATCGGAAGGCAATCAATGACACGCTACTTGATGTCCGATCGCAGAATCTTCTTTACGGTTTGATTGTTGCCGCAGGTCGCTTGGTCAGTGTCGTCCGTCCAAAAAAGCATTCCCTACATCCGGGAGACCTGCATCTCATCTTCAACATGCTGTTCGAGGCGGGTAGCGTGAGAGCAGGTGGTGGTGAGAACTGGATACCGCTATGCTTACCAGGCTTTAACAACACCGGGTTTCTGTACATGTATGTCAGTTTCTTTGCAGCTTCAGAGAGTGCTGCCGAGTCAGCAGACGAGAGACCACCTTCTCGGAGTGAAGACGACGAACTCGCTATCGTGCTTATAAGCGCCAACAGGGAAGCCTTCTACGAATTACGGAAGATGCGAGACGACCTTGTATCCCAATTGGCAACTAATGGAAGTATGGCAACCATCAAGACGGCGATCAGGAAAGGACATGCCTCTTGCGCCGAGATTGTCCCAAACACGGCCATCCGACATTTCCTTTACAAATCACGAGGCAACGTTCAGTTTGTCATGCCATCCTTCAAACCTGAGTTCTCCGATGCGGTCGACAGGCGAAAGCTACTCAATCTATATCACCAGATGCATGACAGCATCCATTCGAGAACAGCACATCTCAAAGTCCAACACAGTATTGGGAGCGATGCGACTGCATTGGCCTGGGAGACGCCTTTGTTCGAATTGTACTGCGTTGCTGGTCCAAATGCAACACGGGAGAAGCTTGTTAAGGGCGCGAATAAGGTCATACAGTGGATCCGCAGGGAGGAGGAGCGCGTGTTTATCATCGGCGGAGCAGTGTTCTAGCGGAGCACCACGAGAGGGAACACTATTATCACGACACTCCGCGAAAGAAAAACGCCGTTATAGGAGTGGCACTATAGACGTCTCGACGTTCAAGACTGCCAAGAAAGAAGAGGGGACAGACATCTGAACAGTCCGCTGCCCCTACCTCCGCCTACGGCATTGCTTTCGGCGACAACTGGAGTAGGTTTTTTAACCACTGGAGTGAATTTCAACAGGTTTGAAAGAACGTCTTCGCCGCCTGCAACCCGATGGACTGTTCACTCGGGCGCGAATCCAGCTTGATCGCCGATTGACTCCACACGAGAGAGGGAAGAAGCTGCAGCTCTCGTTCGAGAAAAGTATCTACGGGATGGATCAGATGATGAAGATGTGGGCAATGAGGACTGTCCGGACGATGATGGTATCGATGAGGACGCCGATGCTGTGGATTAGAACATTCGAGGAGTTCTCGCTGAGAATTCCTAGCCCTAGGTTGTATGGATATCGTATTTGCATGAAGACGATGCACATCTGTCTTTCTCCAAGACTGATTGTCTCCTCAAGTATCGCAAGCTCGATTCTGACAGCACAGAATTACGGGCGCTGTCCGTTGAGAAATATCGTTCTCTCTTTCCCTCATCCTCCTTCTTTGGCAGCACCATGGTCGACAGAACCGCACTTGGGTCGAGCGGCTTCTTGGCAGCCATTTCTGGGCAGACCTTCTTAGACTCCTTTCAACCCTGCCTCTGGCAACCACGAGAGCAGTACTTGTCTCTTGCACTTGGCACCAGGCCTTCAGCGGCTTACCAATCTGGTCTTGTTTAGCGCCACAGCCGCCGCAGACATCCTTGTCAGCGCGCTTCCAAGACTTGCCGTTGAACTTCGAGCGTGCTTCGTTGTACGCGTTGTGAAGCTCCTTGGCTTCTTCCATGAAGTTTTGGGGACGGGAGTCCGCCTTGGTGGATTGAGTACGAGTGTGGGCAATGGCGTAGGGATCGAAGGAGAGGCTCGCCAAGGTCTGCGTAAGCTCATCGACTGTGGGTCAAGCGTGCAGCAGACCTTCCATGACGGTGTTGCGAGCCAGTTCCACTTCTCATTTCATACGGCCGTGATCCGGGACCCGTACATTGGTCATACCATGCCTGGGACCTTGGCGAAAGAGAACAGCGATTCGTGATGGGACATACCTCCTGACGACGTCGAGCATCAGAAGAGCGGGAGACTCTGCCATGCTTCTTTTCTAGCTCTCCGAGTCCACACTTCTTGTTCAGCTCCTGGATAAGATCCAGGTCCCAGTCGCAGCAGAAGAGTCTTGAGTGCCTAGACGAAGTCAAGATTGCTAGTTATGAAGCTGGTGTCGTTGCTGAGACTCGCATGGCCTCCCGTAATTGCAGGACCCCTCGAGTTCGAGGTTCGATTTTGTACTTTCGGTCCCAATCAAGGCTGAAGCGAGAATCTATATTGCAGTTGTGTTTGGTGTTGCTGACCGTGCATAAAGTGCATGGAAGAAGTTGAGAAGTTTGTCCGCAGGCAGAAACATCACGACTTTGGCGCGTCGGCAGTTTGCCGTTAGCAGGGGGAAGGGGCGACCACTAGCACCTAGCGTTATGACACCAGGCGGCTTTTGCGTATCGAGACCTGATAACGAAATCTCCAATAATGCATCGACAGCGGAAAGCGGCGTGACAGATCAGAGAGACAGGGACGAATGTAGGAAGCCGTTTGCCGTGGCAACTTCAGGGAGCCTTGGATCGGCATGAGACCCGAGGAAGGCGTCTTTATCTCGACACGGCTCTTTTTTTCGCGTCGCCATAGTCCTTGAACAGGTCAACAATTAGAGTCTTCTTACACTCCCGGCATCATTGGGCCCATGCCGGGCATGCTCCGATGGCTCACGTGGTACCAGATCCCATCGAGAAGATGACATTCACAAGTCGTCACATTCCTCCTAGCAACACCAGGCCAGCGTCCAGTCGTCTCAAAGTTCGCAAAGACCTCAGCAGTCCGGAGGCTTTTATTCACGCTCGTTGTGGAATCAATAGCGCGAACATGGTAGTCTGGACAGTCCTCTGTGACCTTCTTGATCGATGCAACGAATTCGGCGACAGTGAGTGTCTTCAACGAGAGAGCAGCGGTCCGTTCAGCTTCCCAGTAAGGAGCCTTGTTCTGGAAAAGGGCAGATTCGGCCGAGAAGTCGCGAGCGTTGACTAAAGAATGAGCACGTCAGCTCAAATGAATCAGGAGGTGGACACCTTGACTCCTACCAGCAGCGATGTCATTGAGTGTGGTCTGCTCCAGTTCAGAGGCTACGACATCGTCGGAGTCCTGTGCTGTGGCCGTGACGAATTTCCATGGGGAGTATTCTGAAGCATAACTGCTCTGGGGGCTTGTTATCATAGCTGCGAATTCTCTGCTTCTTGGTCAGAATCTGTCGACTCCGAAATAATTGGGCGTTTTGTTCCATGTACCTGTCATCTTTTTTCGTCTTGCCGCGATTGGATGGTCTCCCAGTGATCAGCAAAGCGATGCTCCTACGTCAAAAAGGTGTACTTTACGTCTACGCTTAGAAGTGCTGTTGGAACGACCATGTATCGTGAAAGGCGAGAGATGAAGAGGCGATAAGGTATAAGAAGCAACACAGCAAAGATGCCGATATGCATCCACGTGCATAGGATCGAGGAGCTCTGCATTGACATGGTCTGAGATGTTTCGAGGACTATCATTCTCGCGATCCCAGGGGTTCGAATCTGGGGATGGGACGTGTAAAATAAGCATCATGGATTCTTCCTTCGCTTGCCGCCATGCATATGTACACCATATCCAAAAATGCCCTAACTCTACAATCCAACAGCAGACGACAAGCCCTGGGTAATGCGGTTGAGAACTTCCGAACCTCCTACAAGTGCCTCGAAGGCATCCTTGTACGAATCCTGGAAGACCTTCTCGCCTTCTGGTACGTTCTGCGGGCTGACGCGGAAGAGGTTCAACACCATCAGTCCGAGGCTAGGAAAGGTAATGGGCTCGGCTCGCGGTCGCCAGCCAAGGTCGTAAGGAAGCCTTTCCTGCTCAAACAGGCTTCGAATCCAGTCGACGCGGGTGACACCCGTGGCATCGTCAGCGCCCATTGCTTGCAAGTAGATGGCAGTCTCGCCGTATCGGAAGATGAACTCGCGAAAACCGTAGGTGAAAGTTGGGTTTATGTTCTCGGAGTCGGCGGTACGGTTGGCGATCGACTCCGCGGCAGGAAGGAGATCAGTCATACCGCCGCTGTAGAAGGATACCACTTGCTGCCAGTATCTGTCGTAGAAGGAATGGTCGTTGCCGAAGTAGGCGTCCTGTCGACTCAGACTGCCATCGTGCTCAATTGGAAAGTTGTGCTCGTCGAGGTCGTTCAAGTCGAAGGCGCCTCCGAGTGGGTCGGGTGAAGAGAGGAGCCCAGCGCCACCGATGAGGATGGTGAAGTCGGCGCCCATCTGCACCGAGTCAGCTCTTGTCCATCCGGGTATGTGTCGAGAGGATGCGTACGTTCATTCCTGCTGCCAAGCCCTGCAACAAGTGAGGCAAAGTCATGTTTCTGCCATCATGGTGGATGAAGCCGTGGTTGGCCAGCGTGTTCAATCCCGGGCATGGGCAGCGCACTGCAAGCGTTCATTAGCGACTGGGTATACCGGTACCACAATCAAACCCATACCATCGTAAGGTCCGGGCGCCACCCAGTTGGTAAATCTGGGGTCGTTCGCAGGTGCAGGTCCCAGAGAACTCAGAAGACCATGAATATCCAGCAGAGAGCCGACGCTCAAGGCCTTGACCATGTTGACGGTATTGCTGGAGAATTGTGCCGGTAGACAGAGGAAAGAATGGTACTGTTGAAGAGATTGTTATTCCCGTGAGACCCTGGTCAAGATTGGTCCAGGCTATCACAGCCGTGACATCTGTAACCGTCTCGTGATGAAGGGACTGAATCGTAGGTTCGTTTCATCGAGCGCCTGACCAATCGATTACGTTTGATTCGTTACAGCATCCACCGCTGTAGATCACCTTCCAAGGTCATAGAGTGCAAGGCAAGATCCAGATGGGGTTACAGATGGTGTCACAGTGTGAATCTTAGACTCATCTCCAAAACTGCCTCGGCGTGCTCGGGAAGTCTCTCATTCGCGGACCATAGTCTCAATTGTATTCCTGCTCCTCGTCGTGTAGTGCTGTAGTAGTTGGCAGTCATCACCAATCCCATGCCGATCTGCTTTGCTCAGACGCTTTCGGGATTGGAGCTCTACAATGTTCTAACAGGTCAGGTCTTTCTTAGTATCAAGATGAGTTCCAGCAACGTGCAGAGTCTTCGATAGCTTGGTGATGAAAGTTGCCGTATCGCGGGCGACGCGACGGCCCAGGAAAGACATATTTGGATATCATCTCGAGATGTTGGTCAGACTTCATGTCACTGTGTGTCGTGTTCTGCTTGATGGTGATGATGAGAATCCATTTGCGCTGACGGCAAGTGAAGTGCCAGGCACGGTGCGTGCTTTGACGCGGTGGTCTGTGCTGGATCATAGTCGTTTCTTCATCCACCTCATCAATTCCATCATCGGTCATCACTACACTCCATCATCAGCACCAACAGACAATGCACAGATCAAGCGAATCTCGTGAAGTACCGAATTGCGAATGCTATCTCCGTATGTCAAGGTAGGTGTAAGGCCCACATATCCTTCCAAATCCACATCAAGGATGCTTCAACGTTGCGTTGCTAAGTACCCGTCGATATGCCTTCTTTGGGCCTCTTCCAATTCTCCTCTCTTCTGCTACACCCGTAATCTTGCAGGGCGCGCTCGTTGCGGAGCTTGACTACTGCACGTTCATGGAACCTGCTCAAGCCAACATAACATTGCATATTGGAGGAAGATACCTTTCGCAGCACCGCCAACTGGCCAGAGCCTTTCCGCGCTGTGTAAACGCCTATACCGATCCAAACGGCACATACAACAGCACGCAGACGCATGACCCGCAGCGGACGGTCAATGGAACTGAAAGCTGCCTGTACTTGGGCCTCTACGGCAGACCATGGACGGAGGGCAGCCATTCGATCCTGTTGTGGTGGGTAATGCGGTGGAGCATTCACACCAATTCTTCCGTGTGGTGTTTCAGAGCGTGAGCAGACGAATGAAGAGTGCGTGATTGCTGCAGATGGGTTTAGCGATGTTCGCACGGATATGCTAGAAGGGAGATGCGAGTATTGGAGGAGCGTTGCTGATAAGATACTAATACGAGATATTGCTGCAGAGCAGCTTGTTCGCATCGTGCAATGCGGCCAGACTGTCAACTATTCTCTCACACTGAGGAGTCGTGGTGATGTATTGGTAGTGTCGAGATCCCGTGAATACACTTCGTAGGCATGTCCCCGAAAGCTAGTCCGTGGAGTTCTGTGTAATCGCGCAAACTAACGACAGTGACGCAAAAGCGAATGACTTGACGGGATACGCGTCATGGGGATCCAAATTGGCATGGCTCATATATTGTGTGGGTGGCGGGTCGCTCCTTCCCTTTTGAAAGTCTTGGCGTCTGGTGAGTGAATGACCACCCCTTCTCCTGCGCCTTTTATCATGCCCAGCGACTACATACATTAAACAAACGATTGCTATGATCAAAAAGAACGTACTGTGCATGCTCTGGCGCGCTTTCGTGCCCCGGAAACCGGCAAAACCCGCCAAAATCCGCCCACACCCGCCGACCCGCCCCTCCACCGATATACCACCATATACCACCCCCAGGACACCAAAAGAACCGCAAAAAGATTCAGAGCGTGCTCTCACCTCCCGGGATCGAACCAGGTACCTCCAGATGGTAGGAAAGTAATCCAGTGTAGCTGGAAAGAGACAATTACAGTCTGGCGCTCTGCCAGGTGAGCTAAGGTGAGGGACGATGTGTGGGCACATCGCTTAGCTTTTATTGGGTGGACGGCGGGGCGCAGCGCGCGTATATAAAGGCTAATTGAGAGGCGGGGCAGAGTGAACAGATGGGAGAAAGGGCGGTCATCCAGTGGTCTTTCACATGTCAAGGAGGGTAGGGTCACATGACATATCCGGTCGCTGCGACGAGCACTTCTAGCAGCGGAGATATCAACAGCGACGAGAAGACGGAGACGTAGGCTGTGGAATATCTGAATACGCTGGCATTGCGGGTTGCATCAAGAGAAAGCTAGCTCCCCACACCAAACTTTGCGCCATCATCGAGTTCAACAAATGCATCACGAGAATGCCCGTTCTATTCTCCAAACGCAACGAGATACGACGAAGAGTGGACGGGTACACGAACGTCAAGAGTTACTACTAGTAGATATGCTGCACATAAAACTAGTCGCTAAGTGAACGACCCCTGACAGCGGTGAGAGAGCTGCAGATGGGATGCAAACCAGCCGTGCGATCTTTTACAACGGCACATCCTCCATGAAAGCTCTTCAACAAGTCTCTACCACCTTTGCTGGTGAAAAATGATGCAGCATTATTGCATTGCATTTTTGGTGGGCTCCCCTCCCTGCCAAGATATGTCGTCGGGAGGACCCGGCAGCGCTAGGCCGTATATGGTGGCAACCTCAGAAACGCGTCCGCGAACTTTTCCAAGAGCTTCACCATAACGCACGAGACCTCCATCCAACGCCGCATCCAGCTCCTGTCCATTTCGCGCGAACCTCGCCCTTCTGCATAGTACCCGTCACAATCATACGAAGAAACACCAGCGACTTTCATCATGTCCTTCGGCGGGCAAACGCCGACCATCATCGTCCTCAAGGAGGGTAGGCAGGATGGAACACCTTGAATACTCTTCGTATACTGACGGGACACAGGAACGGATCAGTCGCAGGGACGAGGACAGATCATCTCCAACATCAACGCATGTTTAGCAGTCCAATCCACAATCAAGAGCACGCTTGGTCCGTACGGAGGGGACCTCCTACTGGTTGACGAGAATGGCAAGCAAACAATCACAAACGACGGCGCGACTGTCATGAAGCTCCTCGATATCGTACACCCCGCCGCGCGAATCTTGACGGATATTGCGAGATCACAAGATGCAGAGGTTGGAGACGGCACAACTTCTGTAGTGGTGTTGGCGGGCGAGGTTCTGAAGGAGGTCAAAGAGCACGTGGAGCAGGGTGTGAGCAGTCAGGTCATCATCAAGGGTCTGCGGAGAGCGGGTGTGATGGCCGTCAACAAGGTCAAAGAGATTGCTGTGAACACGAGTGAGGGCAACCAGAGAGAGACGCTGCAGAAGTTGGCTGGGACGGCGATGAGCAGCAAGCTCATCCACCGGAATGCCGGCTTCTTCACAAAGAGTAAGCATTACATCTGACATCTTGATTGGGGATACTGACGGCATGCAGTGGTTGTGGACGCCGTGCTGTCCCTCGACCAGGACGACCTCAACGAGAAGCTCATCGGCATCAAAAAGATCACCGGTGGTGGTTTACAGGACTCGCTCTTCGTCAACGGCGTCGCCTTCAAGAAGACCTTCTCATACGCCGGTTTCGAGCAACAACCGAAATCGTTCAAGAACCCGAAGATCGTCTGCTTGAATGTCGAACTCGAGTTGAAGAGCGAGAAGGATAATGCGGAAGTCCGTGTGGAGCTGGTCTCGGAATACCAGGCGATTGTGGACGCAGAATGGCGGATCATCTACGACAAGATGGAGGCACTCTACAAGACTGGCGCAAAGGTTGTGCTATCGAAACTTCCAATCGGAGACCTGGCGACACAATACTTCGCAGATCGGGACATCTTCTGTGCGGGACGTGTCGCATCGGGGGATATGGAGCGCGTGTGCAGAGCGACGGGAGCGAGCATCCAATCCACATGCTCTGACATCCAAGCACACCACCTGGGAACCTGCGACAAGTTCGAGGAGCGCCAGGTCGGAGGCGAGCGCTTCAACTTCTTCGAGGGCTGTCCAGAAGCCAAGACCTGCACCCTGGTGCTGCGTGGTGGTGCCGAGCAGTTCATAGCAGAGGTGGAGAGGAGTCTGCACGACGCCATCATGATTGTCAAGCGGGCGATCAAGAATAACAGCATCGTCGCGGGAGGCGGTGCGTGCGAGATGGAGATCTCGGCCTATCTGCACAGCTTCGCGGACAAGAACGTGCCGCACAAGCAGCAGAGCATCATCAAGTCATTCGCCAAAGCCCTAGAGGTGATTCCGCGGCAACTCTGCGACAATGCCGGTTTCGACGCAACAGACATCCTCAACAGACTGCGGGTAGAGCATCGGAAAGGCAACAAGTGGGCCGGTGTCGACTTCGATCATGAAGGTATTCGGGATAATCTGGAAGCCTTTGTGTGGGAGCCTTCATTGGTCAAGATCAACGCCATCCAAGCCGCGATCGAGGCCAGCTGCTTGATTCTGAGCGTGGACGAGACGATCAAGAACCAAGAATCGCAGCAACCGCAAGCGCCGACGCGAGGCTTACCTCCCGGTGCGGCACAGCGGGCGATGAGAGGGCGTGGTCGTGGCATGCCGATGCGTGGAAGATGAAGATGGAATGATGATGAACAGACAAAAGTAATGCCCACAGTCGACGCATAGCGCGGCGATGGATGCTGTACATTATGTATGTCTTGAAGAAAGGCCGGGTCGACCGTTTACGTCTACACTCTTTACTTCATTGTGGTTGTCCATTGTATTAGCTGTAACCCTAACGACCCGATTTGCATTAGTTAGGGTTTCTTGGGGTTACATAAAGGGGTGGGATCGACCACCCCATGCGTGGAATTCTGTACGATCAATGGGATATGGTATATCTGAGAGATTTGGTGTAGTAAGAGATGCCCAAATTATTTTCCCACGGTGGTCTGAGGCCGGTAGGTCGTCGCGGAGCTTTGTTTCCCGATTTTCCGTCGTCTTGCACAAAAGTCCATTGCAAAACGAAACTTTCGAACGTGGGGCTTTTCGGGTGTAAAACTCGGTCAGAACACTTCGCCATGCTCACTGAGTCGTGCAGATCTACGCACATCACACAAACGAGGGAAAAGGAGCAGTTTATATCGACAGACTTTGCATTTTCCATCTAACCGCCAACATCAAAGGGTATCATACAGCAATCACCAAAAAAACCAAAAACTACTTCGAATTGCGCCCTTTCAAGGGCAAAGGCGGCAGAATCTCCGGCAGACTCTTCACGTACGCGAGGTTCAAATTCGATTGACTCCTCGAGGCTCTCCTTTCTGTGGACTTGCTCTCGTCGGCGGGATAGGTTCGGAGGGGTTCATCCGGGAGTGGGATGTCCGTGGCGGAGACGCCGCTGTAGTATCTTCCCCGGGAAGAGGAGACGGTGCTTGCGCGGGAGCGGTGTTTGTGGGAAGCGCGGGGATTGCTGGATTCGGTGGGAGAGAGGGAGGGTTGGTCGGGTTGGGAATAGGTGCTGCTTCGGGAGCGGTTGCCGGCGGAGAGGGAAGTGACGGGGCCGCCGCGGTCGTCGGAGTTGATGTTGGAGGCTGTGCTGCTGCTTCGAGAGCGGGTTGGGATGTCTAGCGGGCTGAGGGCTAAGTTGTCGGACCAGAAGGGGGTGCCTCTTGCCTGGCCGGCGTTGTCGAAGGGACTGAGGGCGATTTCACCTGAGATGGTATCTTTTCGCGGTCGTGGTGGAAGGGTAGCTTCGAATTCGCTAGGCCTCAGAACGGGAGAAGTGAACCGGCCTTGCTGCTCCGGGCTGATGAGGGCGGACTCTGAAGCTGCCTCTTCCATCTGTCGCACCCAGGATTGTCGCATGTCGGATTTCCGGAAAGAGGTTCGTCGTTGGCGGTTCATGACGATGCTCGCGAAGCAGAGCGGGAAGAGGTAGAGGATGAAGAGCGTCGGAATGGCGTCGACGGCTCCGTGGGGACTTGCGACCTCCCAGGAAGGATAAGTACCCCATCCGTCGCCTTGGTAGACGTACGGACAGTAGCCTGGTGTATTGGCGGAGCCGACGCTGCTGATGCATTGATCCCAGAGTGCGATTTGTACTATCCATGCTGCGATGGCGAGTGCGGAGGATGTGACGATCCGGATGGGACTCAGTCGGTCGGCCCAGAGGCAGAACTTCTCGCAGACGGTCGTGATGAAGAGGACGAGTGGGATGGTGCACCAGAAGAAGACGAGTTGTCTGAGAGATGTCAGCATTGCCTTGATAGTTGTTTGATGGTTGTTTGATATTTTGAGGCTGCGGTGACTTACACTCTGACTGCAAAGGTGCTCGCTTGGATGCTGTCCGGTTTGTCATGGTCGGAGAGATCCAGAGCGGCGACGTTGAAGATGGCAAGCGCAAGAACGGCAAATGTGTTGAGTAGAACAAGCAGTAAGGCAACCGGCATCGCAATGCGAACCCAGCCCTTGTTCCATGGAGCACGTAGAGCCATGGGTGCGGCGGATAGCGTGGTAGGATAGCAGTAGCGAGATACGGATAACAGTCACACAGAGGCGAGGGAGGGGAGGAACAGTATATGGCTACGGCGGAAAGGTACAGGACGGGGCAGCAGGAAGACCGCAAGCCTGGAGGCTGCTCATCTTTGCCTTGGAAAAGCGGTGCAATGTGCAGAGAGGGCAAGGCTGTAGGATTCCATCAGTCAAAGGCTGCAAGTGAAAGATGGAAGAGATGCCATCCTGCCAGTGGCTGAGCCGTGTGGCGTGTGCATGAGAAACAGCATTTCTGGGATAGGATCAACGGAGAGATGAATATGTATGATGTATGGCAGCACAGCAGGGAAAACAAAAACGTGTTGGAGGATGTGCGATGAGAGGCGGAGTGCTGCTGATCGCGGCTGAGGCGGGGCGGGGCGGGGCGGTCAGGCAGTAAGGCAGCAATTTATTTTGGTTCAAGTGTTGGCCGTGCATTCCTGATCGCAGAGCGAGATGGTCTGAAGCAGTACAGAATCCGAATGGGGACGGATCCACAGATCGGGGAGTTGTAAGATGAAGTTGTGGAACGGGCGTGTCGCGAGATCTCTTGTGGGACGCAGACGTGTCCGTACGATCTGATCTGGCGTGGTGTTAGGCGAGACGCAAGCCATGTCTCGGGAGGCTGCTTCTTCCGATACTTCACTGTCAGACACGACAATGAATGAGGACCACAAGCATGTGTGATGATATAATAAGGTAATAATGTTGTTACGGAGATGCATCGGAGGAAGTGAATTCCATTTGAACCCAAAGTGGATTTCGGGAGTCGGGAGCCCCACAGGTCACGTGCTGTGCGTGCCCCGATCTTCAAGTTACTCACGTGCTCTCGGCTCGGCTCGGCAGCTCGGTTGTCTCACCGCGATGATTATTTGATTGTGTTATTATTGCATCGCACACGCACGCCGATCAATCCATCGACCATCCATCACGATATCACATCTGCACTCCCACAGCTTGCACCTTGCACATTGCATACATTCACCATTGGTAGCACGGTGCTGCTGATGTCGCGAGTCAGTCGGTCCAGATCGAGGTACTGCGTGAGATCTCCTAGTACAAACTAGATTTCGGCGAGCGTCCGGGCTAATCAGATTCCGGCATCGCCCTTCATGCAATCGGATCCTCCAACTTCTTCAGGTCGTCATCGATTTCGCCCGCACTTCTCACGCTAGATCGAGCCCGACCAGATCCTAGCGTGCGTCGCTAAACTCAGCACATCCTTTTGCTGTCCTACCGCACCTCTCCTACCGCGCCAACAACCCATCCCTCCTGTCTGCAATCTTCCACCGCACTATGACGCTTTCCTGCCCGTGAGCCCCTTCGTCGCCTGACTCTGCACTTCGCCATCCCCTCACCTGTCGCACTGCTTCACGGCCTGGACCTGGACGGGGAGGGAAGGGAAGCAAATTTTCGCCGCACGACAGCTTTTGATACACCCACCCAAAATGCCCAAGGCCCACCAAAAGCGCGGCCGGCGCATGAAGAGGAAGCATGAAGAAGACCCCGTCGACGCCGTTGCCGAGAGCAGCTCCAACAAACGCAGAAAATCTGACACCTCGGAACCCGCGCAAGAATATCTCCCGCTGGACGTCGAAAATCAAGACATGTCGGCAGCTTACCCTCCAGTCGAGCACGCCTTCTTTGGCATGCTGTCCGAGCAGGAACAGGAGTACTTCAAACAAGCCGACGAGATGCTCGAGTCGAATTCGTTTGCCACTCCGGAAGACCGGTCCATCTTCCTCGCCAATGTGTACCGAGAGGCGGAAGGCAAAGAACTCAAGATTGCTCACAGCCAGTCCTGCTCTCGCCTGTTGGAGCGTCTGATCCGCATCTCCGATGCCACGCAGCTGAAGAAGCTATTTCAGGCCTTCAGTGGAAAGTGAGTAGATGAAGAGTATATCAACCCCACGTGCATCGCCACCTCGCTGACTCTAATTTCCACAGCTTCATTACCCTGCTCTCCCACCGCTTTGCTTCGCACTGCGCCGAGACACTCTTCACCTGCGCTGCGCCATCCGTCAGCGAAGAGGTCAAGGGAGGCAACCAAAAATCGGAGGATCCCCATGACGTCTACGTCTCTCTGGAGAATCTGTTTCTGCACACGCTTGCCGAGCTCGAGGGTAACATTGGCTTCTTGCTGACCGACCGATACGCCTCTCACGCACTGCGAATACTGCTTCTGGTCCTATCCGGTCAACCTCTCGCCACCGACTCCATCAGGGCACTTCTTCAGAGCAAACGGAAAGAAGGCGTGACAGTCGGTGGTGTGAAAAGTCATGAAGACGCAGCATCGCAAGAACGCACGGTCCCCGAATCATTTTCAACTGCTCTTGAGAAGCTCATCTCCGACAGCGTGGCTGGACTAGATACGGCTAAGCTGCGTGCTCTTGCAACTCACACTCACGCCAATCCCGTACTGCAATTATTGGTGAGACTGGAGCTCACTCATTATGGAAAACAGCGGGCGAAAGACGAGCGATCAATCATCCGGACTCTGTTACCTGACGATCCACTTACCGGCGACTGCGAGAGTGCCGCGTTCATTGGTGGAATGGTCTACGATCCCGTCGGCTCACATCTAGTCGAGACGATCATCGAGTGTGCTCCAGCGAAGCTCTTCAAGTCTCTGTACAACAACTACTTCAAGGAACGACTGGCGCAGTATGCTCGCAACGAAATGGGCACATATGTCGATTGCAGGATTTTGGAGCGGTTGGGCCATGATGATCTACTTGAGGCCCATGAAATCATCTGTCCGGTGATTCCCACTTTACTGGCAAAGCAATGGACGAGTCTCACGCGCACCCTTATTGAACGCTGTGCAGTCCGCGACATTGACACCCAGGCAATCGCCGTACAAATCGATCAATCATTCCCCGGGCCAGAAGGCTTCGATGTCGCCAAGATGCTCAAGATCGGGAGCAAGTCGATGCCGGTAGATGCAGAGGCAGAAGGTACTGGTCCTGACGAAAGAGATCGTGCTCCCTCACGAACTACAGAGCCGGTCAAGGTACACCTCAACATCCTCGCTCAGGCGATGCTCATCGTGCCTGGATCGTTGAGCTCGCTGATCCTCGATGCCCTGATTGCGCTCCCGTCAGAATCGTTGACCCGCATGGCCGAAGACTTCATCGTGACACGAACACTCCAACAAGCTCTCACGACGAAGAATGCATCGATCATCGAACGCCGAAAGCTGGTCCAGCGCTTCTACGGGAGGATCGGGGACATGGCGTTGGACAAATCCGCATCACACGTGGTGGATTGCATCTGGGAGGGCACGCATGGCCTGGCATTCATCCGCGAGCGCATCGCGGAAGAACTGGCGGAGAACGAGGCGGCACTGCGAGAATCCGCCTACGGAAGAGCCGTGTGGCGGAATTGGAAAATGGACATCTACAAGCGCCGGAGACCCGAGTGGATCCGGCAGAGCAAGATGAAAGCCAGCAACGATGGCTTCCAGAGCTTCTCCGAGCTGGACGCGAAGACGGACACGGACGGTTCGAAGAAGACGCCGCTGCAGTTGGCGCGCGAGAGGCACGCCGCGAACAAGGCGCGCAAGGAGAAGAAGGAGCCCGAGAGGGGTCGGAGCACCACCAGTCGACACGCACATGCCGCTGCTCGTCCTCCCACGGCTGCCGCGTGAAGCGAAATTGTTCCACAATCCCAAAAACCTGGGCCTTGCGCGCAAACTCATGAATGAGGAGACAAGTAAAAAGTGGAGACAGATACACACACACACCCGACCTCTGCGGCTCTGCCCCCAGATTTCCAGGTTTCGTCCGAGACCGGGAGCTGTGGGTGGGTGGGAGGGAGGAAGCTAAAAATAATGTCATCATTGTTTGGGGGGCGAAACAGCCAGCAATTTTTTTTTTCCTTTGCCAGATTTCTAATAAAAATAAAGCGTTGCTCGACGGCTTTTGTGCGACGCGACTTTTTCTTTTAATCACACCACACATTTTTCTTTCTTCTTTTTGAAGTCCCTGCTTCAGACTGACTATACTGTAGATCTGAAAAATGACAGCGAATGGCGAGACGGCGAATTCCCAGGCGAAGACAAATGGAGTGCAATCATTGCAGAGAGCAGAGGAAGCTGAGGAAGTGAGTTGATCCCCATACCATATGCAATAGGTAGGAACTGCGCTAACAGAATTGAAATTGAAATTCGACAGCTCCTCAACGCCGTGCAAAGACTCATAATATCCTTCATTCGCGCCGCCGACGAAGAACCTGAAGCCTCGTCCAAATCTCAAGCCCAAAACAAACCGACGCGATCCGTCATAGTAGAACACCATCCTCCCGAAGCACTGAAAGACCTCCTCAAAATCAACCTTCCGCAACAGGGACTCGGCAAGGAAGGCTTTCTCCAGATGATCCGGAAAACCCTCCAATACAGCGTCAATACTTGGGACCAAGGCTTTCTCGATAAGTTATACGCCGCCACTACGCCTGTAGGATTGGCCAGCGATCTGATCCTCTCCGCGCTGAATACGAATGTACACGTCTATCAAGTCTCGCCTGCCCTGACGGTGATTGAAAAGAATGTGGGCAAGGCCTTGGCAGGGGTGTTTGGTTTCCGGGGAGAGAATTCCGGAGGCGTGTGTCAACCCGGAGGCAGCGCGGCGAATTCGAGTTCGATTGTGATTGCGAGGAATTGTATGTTTCCGGAAACGAAGCAGGAAGGCAATGGGTCGAGGAAATTCGTGCTCTTTACCAGTGAGCATGGACATTATAGTTTGGAAAAGGCGGCGCAGATTTGTGGGTTTGGGGCTAAGGCTGTGAGGGGTGTGGAGGTCGATGAGAGGGGGAGGATGAGGGTTGATGCCCTCGAGGCTGCTGTGAGGAGGGCTAGGGAGGCAGGGGAAACGCCTTTTTACGTGAATGCGACTGCTGGGACGACGGTCCTGGGGTCTTTCGATCCGCTGGAGGAGATTTCCGAGGTGTGTTCGAGACATGGACTCTGGATGCACGTGGATGGATCCTGGGGCGGTGCGGTGGGCTTCAGTCCCAGCCAGCGGCAGAAACTCCAGGGGATCGCAAAGGCGGATACGATTTCCATCTGTCCGCATAAGATGCTCAACGTCCCCTTGACGTGTAGCTTTCTGCTGGGCAAGGACCTGCGGCAGTTCCATCGAGGCATGACTCTGCCGGCGGGATATCTCTTCCACCATACCGACGGCGACGAGGAAGTCTGGGACCTGGCAGATCTGACCCCCCAATGCGGTCGCCGCGGGGATTCTTTCAAACTCGCCATGAGCTGGATCTTCTACGGCACCGACGGTTTCGCGGCCCATATCGATCATGCGTTTTCCGTCGCGGCTCATCTCGCCGATCTCGTGCAGGAGAAGGCTGCTTTCACACTGGTCTCCGAGAAGCCACCGCCTTGTCTGCAGGTCTGCTTTTATTTCGATCGGCGAGAGGGCGATGCTGGGCGGAATAGCAGGATGACGGAGGCTATCTGCAGGGAATTGATGCTGACGAGGGGGTTCATGGTAGATTTTGCACCGGGGGAGGAGGGGAAATTCCTGAGGGTGGTGGTTAATGGGCAGACGAGGAGGGAGACGGTGGAGGGGTTGGTGAGGGCCGTCGAAGAGGTGGGAACGGGGTTGCAGTTGTGAATTCCATTTCTCTCCACGCCAAGCCAAGGGACCAGTCCTTCCACAAAGCAGTCGTCCTTTCCTTGCAGCGCTCCATGCTGCCTGCCTTCTCCAATCCGATCCACAGGCTTGGCGGAGACGATCGTCCCTTCCTGAACCACCAACAAACGCGAATCTGACGCCGTTGACACGTGCGTCTCGTGTCTGCCTGGCCTTCTTTCCGACTTTTCATCTTCTCACCTTCCCCTCTTCGACACTCACCAGCACATCCCCCTCCCCCTCCATGTTCAGCTTCAATGCCTTCATGCACGTGAATGATTCAGAGCAGAGGACTTATCGAAATCTTCTGGCGAGCGAGCACCATCAATCTGCGCACACCACGAATCTTGGCCGAACGACGAGAACAAAATCATCATCGTCATCATCATCATCATCACAAGAAGTGCATTTTCATAAAGAGCTTGGCGTTGAGCCACGACCTGCATCTCGAACCAGCATCCTTCAAAAAAGGGCCAAGACATCCGTATGCTAGCTTTGCTATCTCTTTGAGATGCGCACGACTGATCCATCTAGCCTAGCCGCTCTTCATCTTCATCGCAGGCAGAGTACCCCCAACGAAAAGAAAAGAGCATCTACAACTCTATCCCTCCATCTTCCAATGTCTACCGCCCTGCGCGTGCGTCCTCCCGTCATCAATGAAGCGTTGCAGGCACTGGATATGCCAATATCATCCCCATTCCCATCCATTACGCCAATCCCACTGCTAAAGAATCAAAGCCATCCGTATCCGCGGTTGACGCGGCACATGTCATTACATTCAGAGCGCCCCGTACTCCTTGGGCGGCGTCAGATCGTACTCCTCCCTCTGCAGGCCGTCCATCGCCTTGTGACCCTCCTCACTCAGGATGGCCCGACCGTCCTTCTCCGTCACGGTAGCGAAGAACCTCGGCTCCCATTTCTTGCCCGCCTGTTCCCGCTCCTGTGCCCGCTGTCTCTGCACTTCCTCCAGCTGCTGTTTCCGCGTAGTGGCCTGTGCGAATTGCTTGGTCTGGATGAAACGCGTGACATCGGCCCAGAACTTTCGCGACTCGTTCAGGAGCTGCTTCTCTTCCGGCGGGCACTTCTTCTGCACGGGCAGCAGAGGAGTCACGTCCATGAGGAGGATCCGTTCACTCTCGGACGTCTTCTTGAATTCCGTCGCGCCGGGAGAGAAGTAAATCTTCTCCGTCCAGACGCCTTCTATCCGTCCGAGGATCTGCTCTTTCGGCACATCTTTTAACCGCGTGATGTCGTCGGACGCGAAGGCTGTGGGTCTGTAGACGATTCCCTCGACTTTGTTCTGCGTCTTGCCGAAGTAGCCTTCCTCGAGATAGTGCAGGATCGTCTTGATGCCGGTCTTTTCGCAGGACACGTAGCAGATATCGGCCACAGTCACGGCGAGATTCCCACGCAGAAACCCGCCAAGGAAAGCGGCTGGGTGTGTCAACTGGTACTCCTCATTCTCGCGGTTCTTGAGCCGGATGAAGATTCCGCGGTTGTATTGTCCTGGGGTGACCTTGACGCTGGTGCCAGTGAATTTGGCAGAAAGCTGATCGTAGCCCACCGCCTCCACGCCCTTATCCGGGCAATCATACACAAAAGCAGAGACGGGCGGGTGATGCGAAGTCTGCTCGGTGATGTAGTTGACCTTCACGGGCTTCCCCTCCTTGTTCTTCTCGCTCTCCACGTCCCACGTGCACCGGAAGAACTCCCCCAAGCTGCTATTGTACGGCTTACACGGCTTCCCCTTGACATATTTCAGATCCTTCGTGAACCAGAAACGCAGACAGCCCAGCATCCTCTCCAGCGGGTCGTCGTTATCCCCAATCGCCGCAAAAGTCTCGGGACGGTCGAGGTAGTGCCAGTATTCGAGGTTGGGGATGGGCTCCATGAGCTGGGCGGGCAGGGAGAAGCGCACGGCGGCAATATCCGTGACGCCGATGAAGCGCCTGAGAATCATGAGGAAGGTCTTGAGTTTGCTGGTATCTGATGGGGTCTGGCCGTCGACTGCGGCGGCCTGGGCCAGCTCTTCTTTTGCTTTGAGGGGGACGCCATTGGGTTCGGTGGGGGAGGATGTTGAGGCGGTGTCTGCGGCGGGGGAGGCGTTCGCATCGGGGGTGGTGGTGGTGGTGGAGGTGGTTGCGGTAGCCTCGTCGGCGGTGGGCTCGTTGGAGGTGTTCTTCCTGCTCAGGCCGAAGACCATCTTGAAGGTGTGAGGCGGTGTCGATGGACTTCCCCTCTGCGCTGCGTTGAGGTCGGGACGAGTGGATAGCGGCGGGGATGGGAGAGGCGGAGAGGGCGGTGTGATTGGAGTGCTGTATGTTGCTATTCTTCAATCAAAAGCCGATGAAATCCCCACGACGTCACTGAATCTGAATCTGAATCTGCCCCTCAGTGTCGGTGGTGTGTGCTGGATTCTCTCACACGACGCGCAGGATATCTCTTTGTGCAGGGAGTTGTTTGGGGTGGATGGTCTCAGGTACAATCGAAGTCGTGACACCGGACGAGATGTCTCATCTCATCTCATCTCATCCATGTTGACTGGTGACTGCCTCTCTCTACTATTCGGTTCGGGGTGACCCTTCCACGCACGCACAGTTGCACCTTCCACCACCACCACGCACGCGCCGCGTTGAGGAGCTCTACCAGCCAATACTTTGCCCCACGCAAGCCCGGTGCAAGCTCACCACTGGCCACTCCGGTCTCTCCCCCAAACCTCCCGTCCATGCCGTCTCACATCCGCACGTGTACCGCCACGTGACCGCACTCATTCATCCCAATCATCATCCTCATCATCCGCACTGTCAGCTGCACATTACATGTACATTCACACCCTCGATCATGAACCCAGAATAATCCCTCCAACGCCTCGCTCAAATCACCTTTTCCTCAGTCCTCCCAGGCCCTCCAAACGCCCACCTCAATAGCATCGGGTTGATCAACAAACAACTCCACCGAGAATCTCTCATCCTGCGACTCCGAACTCACGTACATCCGGTCCAGCACGATCCAGCAGTCCCGATATCCATATCGACGGTAATGCTCCTGACTGAGATCGATTGGTTCCGTCCGGACAGCACCGGCACTATCCGAGTACTCTCCGCCATTCGATGCGATGGGGATACGCCGTTGAGGCCCTCTCCCAAATTCAATGCTCAATCGGATATGTGAATGGTTGGATCTGCGAGATACCACTCCATTCGAGCGCTGTGCGTCCGCATGTCGTGCGATTGCGTAGAGATTGACCAGTCGTTTCGGCAGCATCGGCGCAGCAATCTTGCTCTCTCCACTCTTGAAAGCAGCAGCGCTGAGTTCGTATCGGATCCTTCCGGCACCCTCACGAGGCAGCTGCGATACACTGACGGGCTGCGAAGACTCGCCCCGCAGCGTGAAGTGTCCCAGTTGTGCAGGCTCGAACGTACTGCAGATGATGGTATACTGCCCCGCATCCAGCTCTTCATACTCCGCGAGACAGCAGTTGGGCCGATATTCTTTGCTGTCCACGATAATGTCCTTACGATGGACGCGGAACATCCGCTTGCCATTACTGTGGAGCAGCTTGACATGCACATTCAACTGCTGATTGCTCGTCTCCAGCAACAGGCTGATGCTGCTCTTGTGTGGTACTGTCATGGCAAACTGTGGGTTATCGCAATACGTCGGCTGCTGTGCATTGCCGCCCGCCGTCTCTTTCGTCCACGACCCAGCAATCTCTGTAGCATATTCGTGACGTGGAGCTGCTTCGGAAAGCCTAATCGGCGAGCTGCTGAACGCCGAGATTGTGAAATGGTGCTCATCTGCCGGCAGACCTTGCTCGAGTGGGACAACAGTATACACCTCGCCGGGCTCGCAGTCCTCCAGCTGGAGAATGGTCTGCGGGCTGTCCACGAACCACCCCTTTTGCAGATGTCGCTCAGACAGAAGCACTCTGCGTCCTTTCGATGAGAAGACGATCAACGTAATGTGACCATTCAAGTCGATGAACTGGCGCCCGCCTTCCATGTCTTCAGGGAGCGCGTCCTGCGGAACGGAGTTCCTGAAGTGCCTCCACAGCAGAAGCCATACTGGTTCTTTCTTGGATGTTGAAATTGTATACTGCGGATTGTGCCGAAAACTTGCGTGCGTCCCACAGTTCCTCTTGACGCTACCTTCCGCTACTGACAGATTCCACGCAAAGTGAATGTCCTGTCTGTGAGCAAACAGGCCAGGATTCCAATTTAGGTAAATCGACTCAAAGTGTTGGAGTACGTTATCCAGATCCATCCAGAATGTTCCCGGCGTGAGTTGATCGTTGACATTGAGGAGATCTCTCGGCGACCCCACCGGCTCCTCATCATCCAGCTGGATCAGTAAATCGTCCTGATTTGAATTACTTTTGCTTGCTTTCGGCGCGGATTTGAACCTTCCACGCCAACTTGTGCCCTCCACCCATGGATTCTTGATCAGAAGCAGCCTTTGACCTTCCACTTCTCTCACATCCAGCACGGCATAGTCGTGCTCTCCGGCAAGTCCAATGGCCCGCTCTGTCTTACTAGACATCTTGCCGGTACCCAGGGTGATTAGCACGTCGCCATAGGAGAATCCATTCAGAATCCGCTTCCAGAATCGATCCGGCTCCATCTCGTCTGATTGCAGAAACACCTGTTCTGGAATCCACCCTGACAGAATCCACAAATCTGTGGCGCTATTGCTGCCGGGAAAGTCATATCCACCTCTGACTTTGAGATATGCCTTTTCCAGTAATGCAGGCCACAATAATCCCGGCGTATTCCGGTCCACCACGTGTATGACTCGAGTTGTCGAAGTGGTGGGTATCCGATCATCGATAACAACCTTCCGAAAGCAGCCGTTGAAGTTTAGCCGGACGATGTACTTTCCGTTCTTCGAGATCTGTGGTCGCCGGTTTTCGAAATCGTAGGGATAGAGGGTTGAGGACAAGATGCTCGTGTGGCCGCGCTGAGCTCGAGCCAGGCCAGCGCAAAGAGAAGCAACCACCGAGCAATCAGTCGCGGCATCCTGTACCAGATCGACATCTCGATGGGTGTGCATGACAGGCCCTACATTCGTGCGGTCGCCAGGAAACCAGAGCGGGGGCGGTAAAGCGTCGATGGGCCGTTTCCAGCCGTCTAAGACCTCTGCCTGAAAGTCGGATAGTGGCAGTTCAGAGGATTCGTCTCTTGTTGGAGTCGAAATTAGCGGGAAGCGGAATGTGGAAAGAAGAAGACCTACACGAATAGATTCTCACCGTCTTTGAGTTGGAACTCGCTCGCATCTGGAGGCCCGGACCATTCGGGAAACTTGACTCCATTGAGCCAGCCGGCTTTGAGCTTGATGATTTGCTCTCTCTTCGGTAATTCTCGCGAATTGACAGGCTCCTTGAGAGGCTTTGCGATGACAGACGGACGGGGAGCCGCACTGCGCACGATAGAGCTCTGTGGAATGATTCTCCGCCAGTCCGTACTCTTCTTGATCTCCTCTGCTTCCCGCATCAACACCTGGGCTCTGGCGGTATACTTGGCCTTCTCGCTGGGGTCGGACACCAGCCGCAACGCCTTCATCGAAGTCTCTACCGCTTGGATGGCAATCTGCAGGGCCTCATCTCTGCTGCTGGAGCGTAGCAGCTGGTCGGCGAGTCGCTCAGCATCCTGACGGAGCTCTTCCAGGTGCTTGCTGGGAAGACTCATGCTCTCTCCTCCCCTAGACCACCACCACGCGTCGATCCGGATGCGGACCGCGTACGAGAGATGGCCGAGTGCGGTGCGAATGATCAGACGGGGTGAAGTGGGAGATGGAGTTCCAGGTTAGTGGCACCTTCACATGTCTCCGGTGCGGCTTCCTCCGACACAGAATTCCGGGAAGCGGCCGTGCATTATGCTCAATCGGCACAAGCTCGCTTCTGGATGACCTCGGCTGTAATGATACTACTCGTCGCCAGCATCTCATAGTACCTAACGCCATGGTCTGCATTATCGCTTCCGGGGGCGATCGAGCCGCTTCTTCTCATTCTCCCCTGCGTGTGTAGTCTTCGTTGTCGTCCTTCTTCCCTCGCAGTCCCGTGATCCCAAACAATTCGCCCTAACGACTCTCCTCCGCCAAAACCGCCGACCGACCAGCCTCGGCCTGAGAAGCACACGATCTGCCTGAGATACCGCCTTGTGAGAACAGACAGCCCAGCAAAAGAATAGAAAAGTTACAATGGCGCCCGCGCCCTCCAAACAAGAGCTTCCGCCATGGGGAGTTGCTCTCGCCGGCTCCGCGGGAGCCCTCGTTGCGAATGCGATGGTCTATCCACTCGATATCGTAAAAACCCGGCTGCAAGTGCAGGTCAAGAGGAATGAGAAGGACACTCACGTCGACCATGACAGCCACGTTCATTACGAGGGCACTCTCCATGCGATCCAACATATCGTGCAAGAAGAGGGCATGCATGGTCTTTTCCAGGGTATGACGGGCAATCTGCTTGGAGTCGTCAGCACGAATTTCGCATACTTCTACTGGTATGGATTTATCAGGACCCTATACCATAAGAGGATAGCAAAGAGCGATGCGCCGGCGGGAACGCTTGTAGAGCTTTCCCTGGGAGCTTTCGCAGGCGCTCTGGCGCAGATCTTCACCATTCCAATTTCCGTGATAACCACCAGGCAACAGACGCAGCGCAAAGACGAACGAAAGAATATGTTTGCAACTGCAAAAGAAATCGTCGACGGTCCAGAAGGTGTGGCTGGTCTCTGGCGAGGTATCAAAGCCAGTATGGTGTTGGTTGTCAACCCTTCGATCACATACGGCGCCTACGAAAGACTACGGACGTTGCTTTTTCCGGGCAAGACATCGCTCGCGCCTCACGAGTCGTTCCGTAAGTACGATCCCCCGAACCTCAGCCCTGTTTGCTAATGGTCGATCAGTACTCGGCGCCCTCTCCAAAATGATGGCAACAGTCGCAACCCAACCCTTGATCATCGCCAAAGTCGGCCTCCAAGGAAACCCGCCACCACAACGCAACGGCAAACCCTTCAAATCCTTTGTCGAAGTCATGCAATTCGTGCTCGAGCGTGACGGTTTCCTCGGCCTCTACAAAGGCATTGGACCCCAACTCCTCAAAGGTTTCCTGGTACAGGGTATCCTCATGATGACGAAAGAACGAGTGGAACTGCTCTTTGTCCTGCTTTTCCGCGCTGTGCGCAAGATGCGTCGGGAGCAGTTGGACAAGCTGGCGAAGATTACGGCGGACAGCATAGACCGGGCGAAACAGACCGCACCGAAATAGGCACTCCAGGCCAGTCCGAGGATTCGAGAGCGGGTTGGCGTTTTTGGGAGTATAGCATGGGTAGGAAATACTTCGCGCATAGCTTGTGATTTTCGAAACGTATGACGGACGATTTGGTTTGTCAGAGCATGCGAGCGGCGGCAAGCGCGATTTTGGGGGTATATAGTATCATCGTAGCAGATGTACAGGAAGGGAATCTTGAATCACCACCTCTCTCTTATGCTGCAGAAGTGGGCGGCGTGCCAGATGTTACCGCCTGCTTCAGGCAAAGCAAGCGCAGTCTTCTGATAGAGAGTCGTATTTCACTTCCTCGTCTTGACTTCCTCTTCCAGGCCCTTGACATAGCCTTCTAGTCTCTGCACCGCGGATTGTAGCGCCTACACGAATTCCAAACGTCAGCGCGAAGTCTCTTTCCCCCGCCTCTAGCACCTCTTCGGCGTATACGTACGTAGATATCCTCAACCAACAATTCGTTCGCGACTTTGTACTGGTCCACAACATAGTAGTACAGCCCACCGCCTGCTCCGACCGTTCCTAGGAGGAAACCGAATAGCCTAGACAATATCAGCCTCATCTCCCGCTTTCTCGCTGTGTGCTTTCACATACGTTCCCCTGAAGGCGCCGATTGGTTTTCGGGGAGAGGTGACGCCGTCTGCGAGGAGGGTTCGGGTTGTTTGGAAGCTTCGTCGTGCTGTTGGTCGGGAGAGGGCGGGGAGACGGACGGCGAAGGGACGGGCTCGAGCGGCCATGATGGGCGGAGGGTGTCGTGGACGATGTGTTTCTGGCGTGGTGAGGTGATTGGAGGGAAGGTGGTTGTGAGGTCAGTCAGTTGCTCGTGGTATGCATAGGATAAGCTCGGACCCTCGCTCACTCGTTCTTGCCGAGGGCTGGAGTGATATGTCTCCCGATTTCTCTGCTTCAGTGTCCTTGCACCAACACCCGTCAAGCTGCTCCTCCAATCCGTCATTTGCTATTATATTTCATGCTGGGAGGAAAGAATTGGTATTTCTGGTCCCCATAACGCACTCGGAAGACCGCGTCAATGTAGGTTTGACGATGGACACGATCAAAACAATGCTCTCCACGAGGTTGAACACCACATGAGCGAACTCCTCGACAGAAAACTACATACCTCTTGCGCATGACGGCAATTCGGGGCACGACGAACGAGAGGTCTTGCCATGCTCTACAGCGCAGTGCTACTGACCGGACTGAGTTCTCAACCACAGTCTTGTTGACAAGCAAGCAACTACAACACTCCGTCCTTGAACCATTCCACTTTCTGAGCGTATAGCTCGGCCTATTCCTGACCTCTCGCGCGTCGAGTCTGTGACAGACATCAAGCTCACGGACCGGCACGCCTAGTCAGTCAGAAAAGCCGGTTTCTGCGTCACTGAGCGTCATCTTGAGCTTCCTACACCCACACGTGTCTGAGCACTTGGCGCACCGAGAGCTTCCACCCCCCCGAGACGCCAAAGTTTGAATGGGGTGGCGTTGTTGACGATAAGCTGGTCGTCACAATTTGGCTTTCTTGAGCGGGGAACGCGTCTATAGTACAATGATGGCCGTTAACCGAGCGCAGCTATATAATAAGATAGGGGCATCTTTCGGGTGTCGGGGGCATGCTGCGTCTCCCGCCTTATCGACTGAGAGAGTATCATCATGTCTCAAAGCGACGCAGGAGCAGAAGCTAGGAAAAAGGCCGAGCAGGCCAAGGCAGCAGCTGAGGATGGCAAGGACACTATTCTGAAGAAGTTGGAAGAGGATGGAGTGTAGGTGGAAGCAAAAATCCTCATATCTACCCTCAACTCACGATAAACTGCAGTGTCAACCCCAAGGGCCTCTCCATGGCAGCTTTTGGCGGTCTCTTCCTCGCCTTCGTTCCCGTAACCTCCTGGCTCGCAACCCCCAACGGCGTCTTCGAAAAAGCCGTCAACGGCGTCATCAGCAGCATCGGCTACATCTCCACCGCCGGCTCAACTTCTGTTGTCCCTCAGACTGGCAAGATCGCAGCCCTAGGAGCTCTCTACGTCACCGTCACCTACGCCTTCTCCGGCGCGGGCAGCGCTGCGGGAGCAGATGCCGGCAACAAGGACGGAAGAGATAACAACCATCCTCGCGCGCAATTGAGCAACCTGAGGGGTTTGCCGTTGCGATTGTATTCTGCGCATCAGAATCTCATGGAGATGTTCCCCGGTTGGGCAGTCAGCGCGGCTCTTGCGCAGGCGATCGCGCCGGGTGACCAGACTGTCATCACTCTCTTGGGAATGCACGTTATTGCGAAGACCCTGGTGTAAGTCACGATACCTCAAGGGACGAAAGAAGATGCTGACTATTGGAAAGCTACTACCCAAGCTACATCGCCAACGTGGGTCTGCCGCGTACCCTCTCGCACGTTGTCGCTACTGCCAGTGTCATCAACGTTCTCCTGAGGCTCTCCAAGAAGCCATTGATCTAAGAAAGGTGCCAATTTGACCGAGAGTGGACATGACACACCGCGCCGGAGAACCTAGAATGAGATTCATATGTGGCTCAAAAACGAAAATTTCAATCACCGCCATATCTTCCGAGTACAAGTTTTATTTTCTATCCTCTTAATTCCCAGTCCACCAGGTATAACCATTCGTCTCTTCCGCCGAATCCCAAACCAACCGTGAACTAGCATTCACCGGCCTCTCCGGCCACACGTTCTTCATCCCAACCCACGTTTCGATCCCTTTGAATTCTACTCCTTCTCCACCTTCTTCCACGTACACTCCATACCCGGTACTACAGCTATTCGCAGGATAGATCCTCGCAGTCAACGCGAAGCGATCGTTGACGTAGATTTCCACCACAGAGCCATCAATGAAGACGTCCATGGTGATGTCTTCCTCTTCTTCACCAGCAATGATGTAGGGAAGGAAGTAGCCGGTGATAGTAGCATTGTTGAACTCGACGATGCGGGAGGAATGGGTGCGGTCGACGAGGAGGGTGTGGTTGGTAGGTTGGTAAAGAATGGTTGTGAATTCGCTCCCATCTGGCGAGGCGAGAATTCGAAGCCCCGCGGCTGTGGTCTTGGAGGGCGAGAAGGAGGTTTTGATCTGCATGTGGGAGGAACCCCGTCGGGAGAGCAGGGTGGTGGAATTATGCTTCTTTCCTCCGTGGCAGGTATACTTCGTGCCTTGACGGAGACCTTCGACGACGTCGGGGAGTGGGCGGACGCCTAGGGTATACGCTGTTCCGTTCTGGAGGTTGGCAGTTTTGGAATCGAGGAGCTCGGCCGTGCTTTCGACATTGCGGACTTCGTGGACGAAGAGCTCGCGAGGGAGCGAGAGAGCGCCTTGGAAACCTTGCTGGGGGACGCTGAAGAGGCCTCCGTTGCCGATGTAGTCCTCTTTGATCCAGGCATATTGCACACGGCGATTATGCTTCGTGTCGTTGAAACTGCTGAGAGCGTATCCACTGCCCCAATCGCCGGCACCGCCATAGGTTGGGACAAATTCTACACTGCCGTTTTCACGGGCGGAAACACTCCCTCCGTTCCAGAGAGCCCATGAAGGAGACTGATGGAAAGAAACGTTGCCTCCTTCGCTTCCCATATTGACGAACCAGTGTTGATTTCCTTTGCTATCGCGAAGGGGAAAGAAGCCAGAAACTTCAAAGTTGTCACCATAGCTTCCAGTAGAAAGAACAGGTCCGACAGAAGTGTTAGCTTGTGGTTCCCAGAGCGCACCCAGGAAAGTCCATTTGGTCAAGTCGCTAGCCGGAGCAGTCCAGATTGGCATCCTTGGGCCCACACCTTTAATGCCAGATCCAAAGACCGCGTAGTAATGAGGCTCTGAGACACCAAGCAGAGCATCAAGCTCCGGAAGGGGCTCGAAGAACGGATCTCTAAATCCAGTGACATTCCAGAACATAGGTGCCGTCTCCGTCGTAGTATCAATGACCGGATTGCCGGCATATTCTTGCCAAGTCTTACCTCCATCTTTACTGGTCGCCAGGCTTTGAGTCTCGGTATAAGGCTGGTAAGGAATAGACCAGCTTGTCGGCAGCTTGCTGACAGAAGTGTAGAAGATGAGTAAGGTACCATCTTGCTCGCCATGGAGGTTGACCGGCTGAGCTGTTCCAGAGAAGATGCCCAGGCCGTTGTAGCTCCCATTGCCAGAAGGGCCGAGGATTAGAGCATCTGTTCCTTGCCAGCTTCCGTGATCGGTCCATGTGATCAGGTCTTTGCTCGTTGCTGAACCCCAAGAAATGTTGCCCCAGTTGAAGTGTTCCTGTGGGAATCAATCAGTATAGTTCAGGAGTAGACTCATCTGTTGAAGCCTACCGGATGCCATTGGTAGGACATGTGATATTCGTCTCGAACGGGATCGTACATCGCACCACAGGGATCATTCATCCAGCCAGCAGGAGCAATGAAGTGGCTCTGAGGTCTCCATCGAGTATATAGCGAGTTGTTGCCCATCGAACTGATCGAATCCGCAGTCAACACCGCGCAGCTCTGTTCATCCGCATGACTCGCCGTTTCTTGCCGTCCCCAAAGCCGACTAGGTCGGTTTCCTCCCCAGGCCCAGCCTTCAGCGCTGGCCAGCGAAGAGCCGGCCAATACGACCAGTAGACTCTTCATGTTCCTCAAAAGAACCCAACAAAACTCCATCACCAACTGGAGAGACCAAATCTGCGACTGCAAAGAACCAACAAGAACCGAAAGCGACAAACCAGCGGAAATAAGAACTATCTGTGCTACGCTCCTTGTCGCGTGCCATGGCCTCGTATAGGATAGAGGAGATCTCCGCCATGAGCCTCCCCGGCTAGACTGGGCGCCGGTGTGGGGAACCATAGTACATGTGAGCAGTGCATGGCAGGAGATGATCTGGGGGTGGCACTTCCTCGAGATTGATCGGGCCGGCGACTGGAAAGAGGAAATGGTCACTTAGTGCTGAAGAGAAGGACAAATGACGAGACGGAATATCTAGCTCCCCGCCTCCACCTGGGATAGCCTGGGGAATAGCAATGCGGAGCTGACGGATTTCGGACCGATTGACTGACATTAGTTCAGGCACAATCTTCAAATGTTTGCAATTCGGCGTTGTTACTGCAAGAAGCTGCATTTTCGTGCTCTTGAACAGTCTGACTTTGGTGCATCGGTGTTTGAAGGCCTGTGGCTCTGAAGCCAAGGGTACCGACTCTGGCGCGGCGGGAGCACTGCAGTAATCTGGTGTTTCAAATCGGTCCTACCGTGCACCAGGTCCACGGCGATCTGAGATCCTTCTAGAGTAACAGAAGAAATTTTCGCAATCGTTAGTGCTTATATTTTGCAGAAGCCTGGTTGTTTGTTATCCCGACATCTACAAAGACTAGCGATGTTGGTCAGCAAAGGAGGAATCGCTTCGCAAATGGCCAGCCAAGCAGCATTGCCGAGCCAAATGTACTGCGCCTCTCCGGGTATCCGCTTCAGCAAGAGAAATGTCTGTCCAAAACCTGTATCATCCGCTTGTCCGTACGCGACTCGACCGTTACTTCGTGCTTCTCATCTTTCATGACGCAGCTTGACCTTGCTGTTTGCTTTGCCAGAGACCAGCAATGGTTTGTTGTTGTCTTCGCTGCTGCTCCTCGATCTGCTGTTGCGTCTGTCCCTTGCCGTTGCTTCTCGGGTCCATACTATCGACCGGCTGGACAGCGGTAGGACCAGACGCATCTCTCATGTCGACGTCCTCATCCTTTGGCTTCATACGGTCTGGATTCACAGATGCCGCACCATCCATCATGCCCATGCCACCAGCTCGCAGCTGATTGATTGCTCGAACGGTGTCAATGGCTTTGTGCAGTGTTCTCCGAGCGTTGAAATTCTTCTTGACGGTCGGTAGAAGATCCTCTTCGCCTCTTCCACTCTCAGGACCAGCAATCCATTCATGCATGAGCGCTTCGTGCGCAGTCATTCGCTTTGTCGGGTCAATGGTAAGACATCTCTTGATGAATTGTCTTGCTGTAAGGCTGACTCCACGCCAGTATTCGAGAGGAGTGAAGCTGTAATCGGCTACCAAGATAGCCTGCATCTCTTCCAGATTGCTGTCTCTGTCGAATGGCGTGTACCCGCAGAGCAAGAAGTATGTGATGACTCCAATCGCCCACACATCTACCGGCTTGCCGTGTCCACTCTTCTTGAAGATTTCTGGCGCCATGTAGCCTGGCGTACCACACGTTGTTGTTAACACATGAAACTGCTCTTCATCCATAATTCGGGAGAGCCCAAAGTCGGCGATGAGAAGATCAGCATTGTCTTCGGGCGTTCGAAAGAGGAGGTTCTCAGGCTTCAAGTCTCTGTGGACAATGCCGTGGTCATGGAGGTATGCTACGGCTGAGAGAGTGGCCCGAATGAGATCTGCGGCGTCCGATTCATAGTATGAGCCTTTGCGGCAGATGCGGTCGAAGAGCTCACCGCCGAGAGCGAGATCAGTGACGAGATAGACTTTCACGTATCAGCTGCGTGTGAATGTGTGCACGCGGGACATCTCACGATTGTTCATCGTCTCGAAGTAATCAACCAGTGTGAGGATGTTCTGGTGACCCATCGAGACCCTCTTCAATACCGCAATCTCATTCCGCACCATGTGTTCTCGTCCCGCCATGAGCCGCTTGTTGATGACTTTCGCGGCATAGTATCGCCCCGTATCGATGTGCACACACTCCTTTACCACACTGTAGGAGCCTGCACCCAGTGTCTTGCCCGTCTTATACCGGCACGGCTGTACCTGTGCCCGCTGCTGTGCCATATCGGGCTGCTCTGGCGATTTCGAAGTCGAGGTGACTGCCGGTCGTTGAGCTGGGCTCGGCTTCCACATTGGAATGGTTCGTAACGAGCGAGGATCGACGTCAGGTCGTAATCAAAAGGCCAGGATCATGGGTACTGTCCAGAGGTCGAGATCTCAGCTGAGGTGCGAGAAGGGTTTGAAGGATTCGATTATTAATAAGCGAGGGCCGTGTCCGAACTCGTGTACGCTCGTTCCACGTAGATCGATCACCAGTCAGTCCATACGATCTTGCTGGTCAAGTGTACAATTGTGTTGTGTAGCTCTGTATACCTACGGAGGCAGCTGAGGGACTCGAGGGACATCATGGATGTGAGGCAGTCGTCGCAAAGTGGGGCTATCACGTGGAGCCAAACTCTATCTTTGCTGGTGACGGGACCTAAGGTAGGTGGAATTTGGAGGTCCACAATGTCCACGATGCCAAATGGAGGGAATGTGATGACCTCGACCAATTCTTCGAGTGAATCAATCAGATATAAGCGTATCATTGAGTGTGAAGCGTTGCTGGTCGCAGTGGATTCGACGCTTACCCAAGGAGTCAAGGTCACGTTGCTCTTTCGCGTTCGATATACCCGTAGAAGCAGTTCTTGGATTGGTAAAACGATGCCGACGTATGCTTATCCTAGCCCCTCTTAGGAGCTCTTGTCTACCCAAACGTGCCCAAACTTGATTGACGGTCGGAGAATTGATTGAGCTGTTGAGTCTGCTTGTTAGTGACAACGCGGGGAGAGGCAAAAGGTCAGTGCAATTTTGAGACCCGTCCCTGCAGAGCCGGACTTCGACCAACATCGCGATATGCAAAAAGAGAAGCTCCCTAGCCGGATCGAACGACTGACCTCAGGATAATGGCACACACTGCAATCCCGCGCTCTACCTCTGAGCTAAAGGAGCGGAGAACCGAAGACATGATAAATGGCCAAGGACCGCTTTCTCATTGGATGAGAGCGATGTCAAGAATTGAATATATAATGCTAGTAGATTGGGAAGGGCCAGAAGCGCGGGAATGCCCGGGATTTACCGTTCTTGACATCACTGTCGGGTGATCCCGCAATCCGATCCCTTTCGAAAGCATCAAAGAACAACGCAGAGCTGTAGTCTGCGTCCGGATCGCCTCATTATTCGCATGCTCCACCTACTTCTCCCAGTCCTCTACTTGTGCTGCCAGTCGCTCACGAGACTGCGCAACGCTTGTAATTGGCTGAAATCTCAGCGATGAAAGAGCTTGGCGCATCTTGACCGCCGCCGCTCGCGTTCTCGGTCTTGTTGAACAGATTGAGGAGGTTTCTGCTCGACTTTCAATCTCTAAATGATGCTCAATCCACGCATCGAGTGCGCAGAAGAGCTCTTTACTTCGCTTGTTGCTGCTCGGTGGCTCTAGTGCCATTCTCCGATAACCTCAACTATCCTTCGGGTTCTCGTTTGCTAAAGTACACATAGGTAGCCAGCCTTCTACCGATTTACAATGCTTTCGCCAGATTCAGAGTATGTACGTTTCCCGCATGAGGCCAGCACCCATTGGCGGTCGCCATCAATCTTCTCTGTGTCAGCAGGCAGACCGCCCTTAACTGCGGCAGCGTTGCTAATGCAAGCTGCCTTGTGGTGTTTTGAAAGACATATGCCTGCCGACAGAGACTGCTAAAGAGACAAGTCAAGTTCTGCAAGTTCGTTTGCTAGGGTTCACCTTTCTGGTGTTGCGGTAATTGCTCTGTTTGCCTACCAACGCACAGTCTTTGGTTCTTAACCACGCCCGGCACGGCCACGGGCAGTCGGAAGCCGGAAGTTTGATGTTGTCCCCAGCTAAACACGTATTGCTGCCTCAAAGGTGGGAGGAACAGCAATCATGGGGATTCACAGCAAGCGGGAAGAGGAAGCAGCTTCTAACGTGTGTTGACAAGCGCCGTCAAACGCCAGGATCGAGCGTTGGAGTCCTTTCGCGTGATTCGCAGTCATCACGCCAGTTCAAAGAATGATGGTTGTGTTGTCGTGAAGCAGCATGACGGCGCATCGCTTGCGCGCGAGACAATCTCAGGCCGGCCTGGAGATCGACAAGATCCTTTGAGCATCCTTGTGGACCAGCATGTTCTACGTTGGAGATGCGTAGATACGAGTGGACGGCTTCACAACTATCTGGACGAAGCACCAAGTCGTGCATCTCTCTGCTTGTCTTCGAATCTTACCCGATGATTCAAATCGACGTGGCCAAGGACGAGGACAGCGACGAGTTCCACCCATAGGACCAAATCGAGCCTAGCGATGAACCATCCAGCAAAGGCCAGTCCGAACCATCCTCTATGAGGATGAGCAACCGCCTACACCTGCAATGGCTCTGATGGCGATGGATGGCTGCACAACAACCTAGCCATAGCGGCCAATGAGTACAACTACTTCGAATCTTTTACAGCGGAAGGCAACTTGGAGGCTGTTCTAGAACGGGGGCTCCGCGCTGGTGACACTGTAGAGCAGCTCAGGCCATCAGATCCGAAAAACCACGGATCATCACAGCCTCTTTGCGCGCCGAGACTGCGAAGCTTCAATCAAAGGTTGGCGACAGATTGCGAAAGCCGGCGAAATGCTGTCTTAGCTACCAGGAGCTCGACGTACTGAGTGAAAATCGATTGCAAGGAGGAGAGGTGGAGTCCCTCCAGACGCGATGATTGACTCGACTTCTTGGCAACGCCGAACGGGGTGTCAGGGAGGTAGCCTTATAGAACCCCCAAACCTATCACGGCGCCGTACCTACTGCTTCAGACGACGAATCCGGCGATAAGTATGAGCAACAGATCCCGGGTGTCACTCAATGGGCCAGACAGCAAATCGCGGAGGCTGAGCTCGCTGCCCGTTAAGAGCGCCAAGAATTGGAGTGGCAAGATCTATAGGGCAGCTCAAATGCAACGGTGCTCGTACTTCTGCTTTCCCTTGTCTTGTCTAATCTTGCAGCGTCTCCGTACGTGGCCGAATCATTCCAACAGCTGCTGTCAGTGATTCTACGTGGTCCACCTCACTGTTGCCTTGGTATTGGCTAGGGTTCTTGGGAAGATGATAAACTTCTCGTTGCAGGAAGACGCTGTGCTCCACTTGTGGACTTCTTCCTTCGTGTACATTCAACAATCGTCTCAACAGCTACTGCGGAGATGATTGACGCTGTCCGTCTCGTTGTTGCCTTACTTTGTGGTCGAATTCTCAGGAAGACGACGGACTTCTTTGTGGACCTTGTCACGTTTCAGCTATCGCTATCCTATGTAACGGCGGAGTTACTTTCCCTCGCATCTTTGCCGACACCAGCTACCTCATTTCCTCCCCTCTACTTCACAATCCTGAAACCTCTCCACCCATCCATCGTAGCCCGACACTGCTGCTCATACATATTGATCCCCGCAATGTAAGTCATGTTCTCCGACTTCTTGCCCGGAATGTTGCTCCCATTCCACCAGCTGTCCGTGAACGGGAACAGGGTATGTTTGGTCATCGCGTTCATATTGCTCTTCCACTCCTCCTCGGCCTCCTTGGTGGGATCGAAATACCGAACGCCTTCGCTTTCGAGCTTTTTGATCATGTCGACTGCGGTTTCGACTTGGGCTTCGATGATCGTTGGGCCGTTGGAGAGAGCGGTGGGCGCTTGAGGCGTGTAGCTCATGAACATGTTGGGAAAGCCGGAGATGGTGAGGCCGAGGTAGGTGGATACGCCGTCCTGCCAGAGGTCCTTGAGCTCCACTCCCTCGCGGTTCTTCAGGCCCATCTTGGTGAGCGAGCCCGTGAAACTGTCGAAGCCCGTCGCAAGGGCGACAGCGTCGAATTCGTACTCCTTGCCGTCAGCCATGCGCATTCCCTTCTCGGTGAAACGCTCCAGTGGCGCTTCTTTCAAATCGTGAAGGTACACGTTCGGCTGATTGACGACCTCATAGTAATCCTGTTCCAGAGGCGACCGCTTGGTGGAAAAGTAGTAAGGTGCCTTTTCCGGGGCCATGATCTTCTGCTTTTCGGGATCCGTCAAGCGCTGGCATACTCTACTCCGCCAGTACTGATACGCTAGCTCATTAGCTTCAGGATTGATGACGATATCGTTGTACCCCGACAGATTGAAATTGAAGCCTCCTTGTTCCCATGCGAAATCCCATTGGGCTTTACGTTGCTCTTCGGTGTCGTCGAAGACGCCCTTGCCGAGCTGTGCATTAGGAAAGCCAGCAATGGAATCTCTTCCAGCCTTGAAGAGCGCGTTGTAGAAGGTCTTCATCTGATACTGCTCCTCCACTGTCAGAGGCCGTTGCTTCATTGCCAGACAGTAGCTTGGTCGCCGCAACAAGATCGTCATCTCATCTGCATCCTTTCCCAGCTCTTGCGTGATTTGGACTCCAGTAGCCCCAGCTCCGATCACACCAACCTTCTTGCCCTTGGCGGAGAAGTTCTCGGGCCACGCTCCCGAATGATGTACCTCCCCTTTGTAATCGCCAAGTCCTGGAAAGTCGGGCGTGTACGTTCGGTGCAGGAGGCCGGACGCCAGGATGAGATATTTGGCGATTGCGGTGTGGCCCTGCTCGGTCTCGATTGTCCACTTATTGGTGCTTTCGTTCCAGGAAGCATCCGCCACCCGAGCATTGAAGTATGTGTCCTTTCGCAGATTGAGCACCTTGTCGATGTGTGCCATGTATCTCCTCAATTCTTGATGACCGGGAAAGCGCTCTGTGAAGTTCCACGTATTGTATACTTCAGGGATGTTCAGTTGGTAGAAGGGAGCTTCAGAGTCGACCCTGGCGCCCGGATATCTGTAGGACATTAGCGTTTGGTCGTCATATCATCTCAGGGACAGGGTATACCTATTTCAGTACCATACCCCTCCGAAATCGCCGCCGGATTCGAAGCACTTGACCTTCAGTCCAGCCTTTCGTAGTCGGTCGATGGCAGTAATGCCTGAGAATCCTGCTCCTATAACAATAGCATCTGCCTCGATGGGGTCATGCTCATCAACTCCGTTGGTAGTCGCATTGCCCGTGAACTCTCTGATGGTTGGAGCATGACCGTCAGACTGATCTGCGCCTGTGACTGGAACCTCGCCGTTGAGAAAGGGTACTGTATCGCCTTCAGGCATCTTGTTCGAATATGGGCTTCGTCCTGTATTATACCAGATGTCTACCTGGGCCGCTACCACTTAGAATCCAGTGAAGGAGAATCTGTAGAAATGGGAGAGAGAGAGAGAGAGATGAAAGCTGAAGGACTGCTCAAAACAAGGAAGTGATTCGGTACGCCTCTTCTAGCGTTCGATTGTTAATACCTCGTCAATGCGGGCCTAGAGACAGGCTAAACTCTCTTTGACGTCCGCTTCTCCGCCATGCTGCCCACCGATCGGCTTGGTTGCTGCCGAGAGACATCTGGGGGAAGCTACTCGCGGTCGGCTCTCCCTTCATTACGACATTAGGAATTGTGCATCCTGCTCTATGAATGCCACGTATCTTATGAAGAACGCTCCTCTCTTCCCTTGCCTCTGAGTGGCCAACGTCGTGCTTTGGTTCATCGTGACGAATGCCACCTCGGATCCAGTCAAACCCCGCCTTTTGTGGGCATAGATTGCTGATATCACATGGGACTGGCATCGCAGCAGGTAAGTCAATGCTGTAGGAGTCGGTTGCTGATACAGCGAGGCAGGTTTTCCGTTCGCGAGACGACATGAAGTGGAAAGTGATGCGACACACTGACAAGGTAGAGGCATGTCGTCGCGTCTCAATCTCTCGAGTCAGCCGTCGCCGAGGTTTGTCATGATGCTGACTCGTGGATTACTTAATCATCACCGGAGCGAGAACTTCACCTCTTCAGTGCGCCAAACCACAGCATCTAAACATCGTTCTCACCCAATGCCTTATCGTAAAAACCCCTCGCGGAAGATAACGCAGCAGTGGCAGCAGCGATAGTCTCCGTCGAGACGCCACTTTAATACTGTATGACTCCGTGTCGCTTGAGCTGACGACAAGCCTTCATCCTCCACGACGTCGGTAGACCAACCTAGCCTTATAATAGTCGTGCAGGACTGTTTGGTCGGCCTCGACTGGTTTTCGATAGTAGAGTTGCTCCCGAGTACGATGGTAACATGGGACGAAGAATGGATTTCATTTACAAAGCATGCTCACCAGCCTAGGCTAGATGTCTACTCCTTCTGGAACCTCTTCATGGAATGAAAAATCAAGGATCAGTCAACATCCTTCGCAGCCTACAGACTCGTAGCATTGTCTCGAGGAAAACGGTGTATAAGAATCATTGCGATATTACATATTCTACAGTGTGTAGAATACAGGCCTTGCACTTATCCCAGCTTCAAAATGCACGACACAGCCAATATTGAGAGGTTTCAGACCTGAAAAGTCCTACGTCGGTGAGATGAAGGATAGCGACTCCAGAAAAATTGGTCTGTCAGACTTGCCTAGGATCCAGGCGAATACACTCTGGTCATCGTCGGTCCTTATCCTCCAGGACCGAGAATATGTGCGCGTCCGCGGAGACGATGTCGCAAGCCTGATTCGCTCGCACTGGCATTGGTGGACAGTGACTTGAGGGACGTCGAATCCTCCTGGGGAACTGGCCTCAAGGGCAGTGTCACGGGAATGGTAGAAGTGCTGATATATAGTCTTCTCGAAGATGCTAGCAAAAGCCGAGATAACAGCGAGTACTACGACAATACCAAATCAGCAATAGCAGCCGTGAAGACAATCGGCAGATGTGTGAAGAAGCTTCAATTCGGCATATGAACGACTAGCTGTCGCGAGTGCACGGACTTCCCTAGTGTGGCGTGCTCGAGACGCACTCACATGAAAGTCTTGGCGGCATCGCACGGACCACCCACCTCCAAATGTCTTTCTTCTCCGCTGTACACGCACCGTCCCGACAACTACCTCAGAAACGCACACAGCTTGTAATACTAGTGGATCTCACGAGACAGACATCATCATACATACTAGACCGAAGTCACGACAAGATATTCTCCATCGGTTACCCGAGCCCCAGCACACAGAATGACGCCTCGAGTCAAGCGTAAGGAGGGTCCTCATTCTTCTTGTACAGATCAGGGCTGATCTGACATGCAGAACATGGCTTTCTCTTCTACTGCGGCGCCTTCTTCCTGGTAATTTTCGGGCTCTGGAAATTCTCCGACTTCGAAGAAGACGCCAAGTCCAAGAAGCACAGCAAGAGATATCGAGAATGGGAAAAGGAAGACGCGGAGCGACGGAAGCGAGAGGGAAAGAAACCAAAGAAATACACCGCGGGACTGTTCTAGCGTGGACTCGAGACAGGTTGCCTCCTACTCGGGTGCTGCGCAGGCTGGCTTACCGGGTTTGGGATTCTCGCAAGCTTGCGAGCGGCCTGTACGGAGATAGGAGACAAGACGGTTTTGTCAAGCGGTACCAAGGCTTGAAGAGAGCGACTCGGTTGTCGGCTGGAACATTGGGATCGGGAAAGCTTGGAAATAATGCGCTTTCAATTACAACGTGGCTTTGCGATAGAGTCGAGCGCGGCAATGGCTTTAACAAAGAAATGAATGCTCTTGTTGAGCTTAGAGCATTGACAATCTGCGTGACTTGACCCGTAAAGATTAGACGAGTGAATGCTTCTCCTTCGCTTTTGACTTGCCTCTCAAAAGAATCATCCTTCTCATCTCATTCCCTGCACACCCAACCACCACGTCCACAACACCTCCACACTTTACCTTCAGCGAAACCTCCCACAAGACCAAAGCGCAACACAACATCAGCGAAAGGAAAGCAAAGCTGCAATAAACGTCATGGCCAACGGAAAGAACTCGAGCAAGCTCATGCTTGGCTCCGCCCTACTTGCGAACGTCTACGCTTGGTACATCGCCTTGAAAGGCAGAAAGAAGCGCCGCCGTGTCGTTTCCGTCCATCATGGCCACGATCATCACCACCGTGGCCGCTCTCGTTCTTACAGCACTCCCGACGCCTTCTCTGACTACGGTCAATACCCTCCGAGTTCTCGACCGGTGTCCTTCGACTCCACAGAATGGCCCCGTGAATGGGCTGACCGTCGCGTGGAGCGTATTCCATCAACAGTGCGTCGCACTCGAACCATCGACGACGGCTATCTGGGCAGCTCTCGTTTCCGATCCCCGAGCCCTGTCCTTGACCACCATCGTGATGCCTACTCTCCAACCAACTCGGCGATCTCCCTCGAGGAGCACAACGGTAGACGTGCGGCACGAGATCAAGAGCAGGACCGCATTCGTCAGATGTATAACGGAGAGCGCGACCGGGCCCTGGATCGAGCCGCTCGTGGATGGCAGCGTGACGGTAGGAAGGAGCGATATTCTTCTGGTCCTGCGCCATCCTCCGACCGCCGCCGTCACCATGACCGTCGTGGGTCTAGCTCGAGACATGCATTCGTCGAGCCATCGAGTGATACCAGAATGATGCGTTACGAAGAGCCACCCAGCTACTCTGATGCTTGGAACGAGAAGTACGACGAGCGGCATCTCGGTGATCACGGCAAGCGGCGCTCCTGATCGATTGCAATTGCCATGGTAACATCCCCCAAAGCTGTCTGGAAAGTGAACACTGCACCTGCTGAATCTACTAGCGACTGACGAGCACGGACGTAGCTTCCAACTTACAAGACATCCAAGTGCACTTCATCCACCACACTGATTAGCAATCCTGTCCACGACCGTCAAAACGCGCATTCGCACCGTAAATTCTTCACAACATCGAACACGCATTTCCACAAACATCCATCACAGCAGACTCGTCGCCATGACCCACCGCAACAGTGAGGGTCGCGGCTCGAAGCCTGCGCTGGGTTTCCTCTTCGCCGCCTTCATCTGTGGCTTATTCGCTTTACGCAAGCATGATGAGGCAAAGATAAAGAAAGGGAAGAAGGTCGCCCGGTAGAGCTCGAGGCGCATGCCTTTCCGACGCCTCGGTACCGGTACGCTGGGGCCGGGTCAGCATGGCTCCCATGACACCGGTAGCGCTGTTCATATTGCTCTCGGCTGCTGGTACGCACTCACGTTTCGCACTCCCCCCCCTTTTCTCAACCACAAACATCGCCATGCGTTTGGGGCGCGTCTGTGGCTGTGCCACGATAACGGCGTGGACATTTGACTTGTCTCAAGGTATGGCTCTTGTAGCAGGAAGTATTCCACGGCAGCTGACACAGATGTAGATGCATTTTCCGCGCTGTTCTGCGGTCACACATCATGAGTCTGGCTTGCCCGCGAGCTGGTGAGTTTCGTGCTGGAGAAATGCCTTGGGTTGCAATTCAAATTCGTCTAGGACATCTTTGGGGTATCGTTGGATTCAAGGGATCGGCCGAAGCAGGAGTTGTCCTCTCCCATGCGTGTAAGCGTGACAGAACACCATAGCTTAGGCGTCACCAACAAGCATTGCCTTTAACCGTCGGTGTCTCCCGAATTCAATCTGCCTCTCGTCTCGATATCCAGCCATGAGCCTGTAATCGCAGTGTTAGCCAACGCAATATCAGGCTGTCTGGCGTCTCGACGAGTCAAGTCTCATAGCTCCAAATTGGCAGGCAATGCGCAGCAGCGCGTATGCTGCATCAAATGCGCCAGGTCTGGCTGCTCGACTCACTATCAGCTCGTACAGTCGCATGTGATGGAGGAAATAGTCAAGTGGAGGTAGGCTACAATAGCAAAGCCCAAGGATGGCTGCCAGAAATTCATGACATATGGCTTCATGAAGTGAGCTCAGTTAATCAGAGCAAAGGAGCTTGGCGTAAGGTCGGGGTAAGGAAAGAAGACCGAGTCTTGGTTGAATAGGGTAGAGCGGTCTGTCGACTGTATGCTAAGCATTTGATGTATTTATATGAACGTCAGCATCATCTCACATTGTCATTGCTTCTGTGATTGTTGTCATACGCCTCCATGGCCGAATCTTCTGCGCAGCTTGCTGGTGGCGAAAGCTTTGTCGGATTTGGTCTGACCAGAAAACTCCCCTGCCGACTCACGCGCTCGACTGCATATCTCGTGTACTCTTCTGCATTGGTGATGGGCGGTGTCCTCGCCCTCTCAACTTCCTCACTTTCTCTTTTGATGACCGGGGCAGGGTATGCGACGCCATGGATTCCACTCTCAAGCTCCCTCAGCTCGTGGAAGTTCCGGGAGTCACGCTGGGGTCTCGATGACGAGAGGTGTGTTGATGACAGTGTCGGTTGTTTACTGGCTCCGTTGTAATTGGTGAAGCCCCGCTTGATGGGATCCCGAAGGTATCGACGGAAGAAGACTCGCAAGGCCGGAGCACATGCACATATGATGGCCAGTTGGGTCTCGACGAGTGCCCAAGCGAGGAGGTCGAAGCCTGTCCAGGCCAAATCGTACGAGTGCTGGATCTTCCAGAGGTAGTATGCTCTTGCGCAGCCTGCTCCCGAAACGCTGGCCACTCGTGTCAGTCAATTCGATAGACTTGATCGAGGAAGGACTCACAGTAGACCGAGAGCGAAAGTCGCATACAGCGCAAGTTTCTGCCTTCTTGACGCATCCAGATTGTAATGGCTCAACATCGCCCAAGGTAGCGCGACGGCAGCAACATCGCTGACCACGCTCAAAGCGCCGGCTATCACCGCAAGAGCTCCTCCGTGCTTTATACAAGAGTACTCTTTTGTATATGTGCTGCTAAACATCTCCCACGCGGCTTCCAGTGGTATACATGTGCAGAGGTAGGTGACTGTAATCGCAATACCATAGGCAGCCGTGAAAGCCAAGGCAGATCGAAGTGCCCAGATCCATCTCTTGTCGAGCGTATGGTTCACCATCCGGCGGTAGAATAGCAGGACCGAAATCTTTGTGCAGACCGTGCTCACGACGAAGAATAACTGGATCAGCCAGCCATTGAGCGCGATGGCAGCAAGCCACTTGGGCTGTATGTCCCATCCATGTCGGTCGAGTCCATATTTTTCGGTGTCGATCCAGATGCACACGCTTTCGGCCACTGAGAGTGCCTAAGAGTATTGTGTCAGCTTAGTGGACGTATAGCCGTGTCGAAAAATTCGTTACCCATGCAATGGCAATCAACAAGTCATCCCATCCAAATGAGCCGGCCTTTCTCCTCCCCCGGAGGTAAAAGCGGCCACCAACAAGGACAGTCGACGTAATTTGCCATACGAGAATGAAGGCCGGCATCCAGGTTCTTCTCACGGGATCGGTATAGTTCGGTGTCGGCCATGAAGCGACAACTTCTGGCGGTATGGAAGCAACGTTAGCATTGAGTGACATGGTGTTGATTGCAAAGGTGAAAACACACAGCGCGGTCGAGACATGATAAAGCAACGCGTAAAAGACTCGCTCGCATGAGCCCCGTAGCAAGTTGATAATGTCCCACGTACCAAGGGTAGTACAGCAAATGCGGCCAGACTGCTGGGACGTCGAGTCCATGAGGATGCATCACTTTTGAGCCCTTGACAGCTGCAGCCAGCCCATTTGAGCGCTTGCGCTGCTTCGAACAGATATCTCTGGGACCAGTCGAATCCAGAACGGCAATTGTTCTTGATGAAGACGACCAGCATTAGTTCTCGGTCGCTCCGAGAGAGAGCAGCCACATCCTTGCGCCCTTAATACCGTCCTCGTGAAGCGCCTCATGGTATCCAAATTGCGTGTAACAATGCTTATCACGAGATGCGTCCCTTAATAAATTGCTGTATGTTCCGTGCGGACGCCACGAGCGCAAATTAGCAGAAGGCTCGTGGGATAGGAGGATGACACGTGGTGCAATTCCCCAAGTAGTATGATAACACCTGAAGAAGCCTTGAAGAGAGAGCGTTTTCGTCTTGGATACATGTAGTGTTGTTGTTGAAGCCAAGCCTCAGCCCCGACGAAACGTCAACGGACCAGGGTGTCTCCAAGCTCGGGGCATTCTGGAGCATTCTTCGAAACATCACGAAATGTTGATGTAATTCTCTCACACCACACCTCACAAGATGCATATGAGCTCATTCCGCAAAGAGCCTGCCGAGCGATGGGGTATATACTGTGTTCGTGTAGCCACTGGGGAAGTTACTACTGTAGGTCACATTGACAAGCACAAGACGCGACAGCAAGACGTCAGAACAAGCAACATAACATCAGAGAGGACATCAAACATGGCGACAGAGGCCACAGCAGTCCCAGACCTCAAGACAGAGGGACACCAACGCCCAAGTTCGTCCAGCTCCTCCATCAGTTCTAGACCGTCGCTGCGGCACAACGAGGCTTACAGCAGATTAGCGACTGAATCACCCACATCCGCGAGAGCCGACAGCGATGGCTCAGTTCCCATTGCGACACGCTTTGCAAGAGCCTCGGAGGCGCACCTAGCCCAAAACGGAAAACAGGAAGCCGGCGAGGGAGATCGAAGTCGAAGTCGGAGCCGAGGGGGTGAATTCGAGCCGAAGCGATCGAGTGCAGCTGATGTGAGGAGGAGCTCGATCTGGAGCCAAGACAAAGAGAAGAAACAGCGGAGTAAGATACAGAAGTTGTTGGATCATCACTGGGTGCCGACTTTCTTGAAGTGAGCATGTAGATTGGATGCGTGCAAGCGTGGAAATGATACCTCCGAGGCCATTTGCAGGAGTCAGAGGCCCTATTGGAGACCTCAGGGGCCATAACGATAATATAACGATAACAAGATAGATGACAGTAACGCAGAAATGAAGTTTGAGTGGTTGTGTGAGTGTCTTCCTTGACCTTGGTTTCGTTCTCGGACATCAGAAACCGCTGTACAGCTATCTGATTACACTGATTGCGGACGCCCAGAAGAAGCTCTCGTACCTTGCGATGAAGAACCCCGTTGAACTCTCCGTCCATACACGGAGACTCCTGTGTTGTGTCCCCTCAATCTGCCGGCTCCATGCGCCTGGGAAGAAGGCGCTTGACGAAGAGGCAAGCCGAGTCCGCGAGGAGTGCTGCGTCTGGCCCAAACACGAAACACATGAACACACCCAAAGCGCCCACAAGGAGCCCGCAGAGCAGGCACAGGACGGCGAAACGCTTCGAAGCGTACTCCTCCTGGGCCTCTGCCTCCTGCGCCCACGCCAGCTCCCACGCCTGCTGCGCCTCCTGCTGCCACATCACCAGCTCGTCCTTGTCTGGGGTCACGATGCGGGTGATTTTGTAGGATGACCTGCACTCGAAGGGATGCCAGAGGTCGAGTCCCGCTGGAAGACCGTAGCAGAAGTCTGCGAGGCCGACGCGGTGGAAGATGGCATCAGGGACGCGCTCGAGGATCGCGGCTCTCATGGCTTCTGCGTCGGCTTTGGTCTGGGCCGCATTGCGCAGAGAGCCGCCGAAGGTGACCTGACAGAGTCAGTATTTCTTCACGTGCTTCAACGCGCGGTCGGCCTGTTACTGACAATGTACAAGTCGACATCATGGGCGCGAAGGTCTATCCAGATGCCTGGAACGGTCTTGCGGGAGGTTTGAGCTGGCGCAACCGGAGCGTCCAACATGGTGACTGTGTTGTTGGCGGTGGATTGTTGTGAGGAGACGGTGCAAGGAGTGTTCGTTGCGAGGGGAGGGCCTGGAGTAACGAGCGAAAAGGGAAGCCGGCGAGCTCCTTCCACGTTTGGCGAGACACGAGAAGTGAAGATTTCGACACGTGAAGCGTACAGCGAGACGTCTCCCCAGCGCGGAACGTCATCGCCGCCCTGAGGCTCCTAACAAGACACCTGGCAACAGTGAGGTGCAAAAGGCAAAATCAGCACTAGGAGCAGTCGAGAACACACCGCAACGTCCGGAGGCGCTGTATAGGTCTGCCAGTGCGAGGAAACAGCGCGGTCCAAGCGTTTGGTCAAGCTTCACTTTAGGTCTGAATTCGCCAAATCCTTCTCACCCTCTCCGCGCAATCAACTGGACTCCAGAAAAGCGCCTCCTCAATCGGCCATGGCGAAGGACGGCGACGACGGCGGCGACGGCGGCCTTCAGGTACGCTCTCACCGGCACTCAAGAGAGTACCCGCGCTCACACACCTTTCCAGAAGTTCCCCCTCTTCAAACTCCCCGACGAGATCTGGTCGAAAATCGGCAAGCTCGCCATCGACAACGAAGACAAGCTCACGAACCGCAGCTTCTTGACCGGCATCAGCAAGACGCGCCCAGCCAAAGTCCAACAGCCCGCGATCACGAGGACCAGCAAGGACCTTCGAGCTGACCTGCTACACTACTATTACTTCACCAAGGTCAAGATCCTCTGCCACAAAGCAAACGCGCCGGACCTTAGCGCGTGGCTGCACGCCCTTGGTCACACGAACCGCCTCTCGATTCGTGGGATGAAGGTGCTTTGGAGATCCACCAAGGAAGTCAAGGAGGTCGCACACGTACTTGGTGTGTCGTTGGTGGTTGGAAACAAGCAGCCGTTCTGTGATCGCGCGCCGTTCCCAGTGGCCATGATTCAATTCTTTTAGATGGTGGCTCCCCATTAACGAGGGCAAGCGATGCGGAGGGACAAGAAACAGAGAGCAAAGGCTTTCTGTACCCCAGGTATTTGGACAGCCATAGCCGTACTGTGATCGCGCGCCGTTCGCGGTGGCCTCGATCCGGGTCATCTAGACAGTGGCTCTTCGTTCACCAGGGCAGGCAGTACAGAGGCATAAGGAGCAGGGAGCAATCAAGGCACACGGCGGCACGGTCTAAGCAAGTCACAAGGCCATTTTGGCTGGGGATACCAACAACGCAAGCTTCTACCTTGTTCAAGCAGCAGCTTGTTTCGCCTTCTTCGCCTCTTTCTTCAACCTCTTCGCCTCCTTCCGTCTAGCCCTCTCTTCCGGCGTCTCCTTCTTCTCAGCGCCATTCCTCTCGTGCGATTGCCCACTGGCACCCGACTGCTGAGAGGTCATAGTCTCCACCTTTTCCAGCGCCTCCCCATCCTGCTCATGCTTCTTCTTCTTCTCCTTCTTCTGTGGCTGAGCTGAGGGAGGCGGCATCATAGGGTCTGCATCATCCATTTCAACATCGACATCGTACGGATCTTTCCTCTTCTGGTGCTTTTTCTTGCTTTTCTCTTTTGACGTGGTTGCACTCGAATCTGGCTTGTCTGATGCTCCATGCACACCAAGCGCCTTCGGAAATTGAAACCTGTCACCTTTAGTTCTTCCAACCTGATCCTCATTCTCATCTGTGTCTGATCCAAGCCCAGGGTTACCCTTCCCGAACCCGGCCGGCCTGTATCTCATCTTCAATCCCTTCGGCTGTGGTCTGGCGTCACTCACGGGCGCCTGAGCGATATCTGCTGCTGCTCGACTTCCGGTGAGGGTATCCGCCTGCTTCTTGCTCAGATTGGGCAGTACGATCTTCTGCTGCAAATGAAGTGTTTCTTCAATCTTCATGCCGTTGAATGTGTAGCCCGCAGTACTCGGCAGCATGACACTATCATACTGCGTGGCACTACGGTCCTTTGTTCTGGCAAGAACATAATCCACGCCTTTGTGATTGATGACTGGTGTCTGGTCCTTGAGCGAGGATAGAGCGATTTCGGTGACAGATGTGAGAGGCACGTTGGACGGCGCAGTGATGTGCCAGATCTGCTTCCCATTCAGAGATGACTGGTCAAGCATTGAGCCAGAGTCAGGTTCGACGCTTCCCAGGGCAGCATAACCAGGAGGAGGCAGGAATGGCGGAGCAGGTATCGATCTGATTGAAGACTCGGCGGCTGTGGTAGACTCCTCTCTGGCGCATGTGTTCTTTGACGCAGCATCTGTTCTTGCTTTCTTGGGTTGAGGCTGTTCAACCTCATCATCGCTGCTGGTATCCTCCTCACTGCCAGAGCTCTCTGCCTCTTCCGACTTGCGCTTTACGCCATTGACCTTCGCTAGCGTGACCTCTGGCTTCTTCGGTATTGGTGCAGCCTTCTCTTGCTCCTCCTGCTCACTGTCGCTGCTGGTATCCTCACTGCTGTCCGACGAGTCTCCGACTTCCCCTTTTGGAAAAGCAGGTGGTGCTTTTACAGGCTCGATCTCTCCATCGCTGCTCGAATCGACCACCATCTCTTCGCTCAATACTGATGGTTTCGAGGGTGCGGACTTCGCTTTCGTCTTCTTCGCAGACGCGTCCTTCTTCTTCGCCGACTTCTTCTGCTCCTTGGCTCCCGCCATGGTGAGCGGGTCCTTTACAGACATGCAATTCGAGATTGGAAGTATAACGAGATTGAGGTCGGACGTCGCAAAAAGTTTGGAGCTTCCGGGGTAAATGTCGGCGTGCTGACATAAGCGGTGTTCGATATCAATTTCTTGAACGTCCACTTCTACTTCAACATCAACATTTCAGGAGATGGCGCAGAAGCGAAAGGCTCATGAGGCCTTTGGGCACTTGAAAGGTGTGGCTAGAAAGTAATCACGTGTCTATCCCGGGCTAATGAAATATACAGCAGTCAGCGCGTTTGAGGCTGCTAGAAGAGCCAGAGAACCTGAATCCATCCCGAAAAACGATCTTGCCGCGAGTCTCGCAGAGGCTCCCTATGATGGACACCTCGAGACTGGTTCGAACGCCGAAGATGTTGATGAAGTTGTGCCAAGTGTGGCGACGGAATCAAATCTTCCTCTGTCCACATGGAGGCCGAAGGGAAAGAATGTTCTTCGCGACGACGACGAGGTCTGGGAGATCTCCATGAAACCAGACGAGACTGTGACTGTCATTGGAGAGTTTGATGTGACCGTATTGTCCGGCGTGGTGTCAGTATATGGCGCGATGCTGCATCCCAACTCTGTAAGCCAGAGAGTGTACGCTCTGTCGACAGCAGCCCTGCCAGTGATAATGGCGAAGAAAGCTACTTCACTCCGCATCAAGAGTGTGACCCGATCTATCGAATCGCTTGGCAAGTACTCTCCCTTGTTCAGGAACATCAGCGTACAGGACGAAAAGGGACGCTCGTTCAAGTACCTGGCTTCGCCAAGAGATGACCCTCTACGAAGGTCTCTGTCGTCACTTGAGATCTCTGATGACACTAAGAGAGTCATTTCCAGAATCAATGCGCGACTGGAGGCCAACGAACGACCGCGGATTCTGGCCGTCGGCGCGAAGTCGTCTGGAAAGTCGACCTTCAGCCGGATACTTTGCAATGTGCTCGTTACCAGGCCTGGAGGGCAGAAAGTTGCGTACCTCGACATCGATCCTGGCCAGCCAGAGTTTGGAACGCCTGGACAGCTATCGGTCGTGGAAGTGGGCTCTCCGATTCTCGGTCCACCTTTCTGTCATCCGGCCACGACAAGAAGCTTGTCCTACCGGTTGATCCGATCGCATAACATCGCAGCCACATCTTTCAAAGATGAACCAGATCACTTCATCATTTGTGTCATGGACTTGCTCCGTCATGTTCCGAAGAGTCTTCCACTCATTACCAACCCATGCGGATGGGTGAGTGGCACCGGTGCTAGCGTTCTGCTTCAGCTGATAGGCCAACTTCGCATCACGGATGTCGTCGTCTTGCACCCGGTCGAGACTCAGCTGCAGAACGACATAGAAGCCGCGAAATTGAATGTACATGCGGTTGCAAAGCGTCCCGGCGGGTCGTCGACAAAGACACCAGCTGAGTTGAGATCGATGCAAACGATGTCCTACTTTCACCAAAAGCAAAAGACTGCCACTGCCAGCGATTTGGTCTGGCTCGACAAGTCGATCAGCAAAATGCGGCCATGGATGGTAAGCTATGACAGGATCGATTCTGGAATTGCCGCTATCCTCTCCTACAATCACGCACCACACCCTGAGTTCCTAGCGGAAGTCCTGAACGGCATGGTCGTGGCCGTGACGGTGCCTGACGATGGCCTCATCGATCCTGATATCGTGAGAAGAACCCCTCAAGAAAGCCTGCCATACATGGTGTCTGATTTGCATGGTTGCTCATCACCCGTCGACCCACGTGAGAGTAATTGCATAGGGGTGGCTCTTATTCGTGGCATTGACACCGAAAACAAGCGATTGCTATTACTCACGCCCTTGCACGACGCAGAGATTGCCAGCCTCATGCAACGGCAGATTGTTCTCGTGAGAGGCAGCTTTGATTGTCCTGAATGGGCTTTCTTGGAGGACCAATACTGTGCGACCAAAGCCGCTGCTCGAGCCGTCGACACCGAGAGAAACGCCGGAAACATGGACGAGCAGCCTTGGGTAACACTCCAGGAGCCAGTAGGGATAGAAGGAAGCATTTGGCGGCTCAGACATCCTCCAACGGCCGCTGATGTCATGAAGAGCATGACTTGACACGCTTGCCAAGTCAAACCATTGAGATACGCTGGCGGCTGTGTTGAGACTGCTCTCGTACGCCTACGGCGATCAGTACTTTTGGCTCCCAATGGAACATGCGACAAGGAGCTTGACGCTCTCAAGACGCCATTGCGCTGGCCTTGCAATGCTTGACAAGTCGCGCTACATATATGACGAGTATCGAAGAGACCGGCAGACGTCTTCTAGAAAGGCCGATTCAACCTTGTGTCACGGACTGCGGTTCCAATCGCGCGGTTATGATCGCACGTTTCTCATACTTGATGGACTCGGCACCCTCGCACTTTGAAATTTCTTCATTGAGCAGCGGAGACAGCCATCACTTCAAACTCAAGATGTGGTAACAAAGGAAACCACAGCCTGACTCTGATCTTGCGACAAAGCAAAGCATTGTTAGCCCAATGCTATAAAGGAGAAAGACGAGTTAGGAAGAGCAACGGAGTTGGTGACTCGGAGAAGACAAGCTCTCCAACGTAAGTCGCGAGACTACGCAGTGTTGGTCAAGTACGAGCTAAGAAAGCCGTATTGCAGTATGCGGATCCCTACAGAGCACGACTTCCTTCATTCAGCAGCTGAAATACAGTCAGGGTTTCCAAATAAGACCTCATTGGATGGCAAGACAAAGTCATCCTTGCCTTCTTCCACCATCTTTGCCATTGGAGTCTAGACGGTGCAAAGACCTCCGGATCGTACCTGATTCAAGTGCGTAGCGCGAACAGAGCTATAAAAGAGCGATGAGTCTGGCGTGTAGTTCTAATCTGTCGATACGCCCATCCACTACCTGAGAGGACAGATCCACCTTTCTTCCGGTTATCACAATCGCAAAACATACATCAAGGTCTACAACGCTCAGCATCCACAACCTCAACAGCAACTGGATGACGCTACGCATCCAACCCTCTTCTCCATCTTCTTTATCTCCGTAGTCTCAGTCGTCGCCGCCTTACACCCGACAATATGTACTGAGGATGCTGTGGCCAAAGCTTCGACGAAGCCTGCAAACATGGCGAGGAGAATTGGCCTTTCACGGTCAGTACTTGCAATGGCTGAAGGAAGAGATTGTCGAAGGAAATCCTCGCAGTGTTTATAAGGATATGCCGGCCTGTTTCGCACTTGCTTGCTATCAGCATAATGCTAAGCACTGTTTGCCCACGCTACCTCAGTGAGGATGGCGTTAGAGGGTGGAGTTCGTTGGGGGCAGATGAGAAGAGTTGTATTGGAGATCAAGTTGTGTTTGGTGCAATGGAGACAAAATTCGACAAAATGTTGGGAAGCGGGTCTGCGTTTGGACCCGGAGCGGTTCGGTTGACTGGAGAGGTATAGGGAGCGAGACAGCTTCAATGAATCCACTTGTATGTACTCTGTGAAGCTCAAGCCTCATTGTGCGAGATTTTGAGGCAATGCGGAACTAGACGCCTCCAACGCTAATACTCAGCTTCCGTCTTCAGAATGTACTGAAAAAGAAAATTCCAGTGTCGCGGCCGGAATCGATACATCTATCTCTGCGTACAACCTGGTTTCTCATGATTCAAGCACCCTCATCTTGTTAGCCTGTCTCTCGGGCCACCGTCCTGAGCTCAAGGCTCTCGAAGCCGATCAGAGGAAGACAACCTCCATCTTCCGCGCTTGGCCGTCAAATAAACCCAACATCCTCGTCCCGTTGATCAAACCGACTGTCATGCCCCAGTCCTTGGCGAGCTTGTCCCTCTGCCAACCGACGAAGCTCGAATGCGCCAGGACGTAGACGCGAGTGACTGGGCGATGCAGAGGGTCAACGCCCCGAAGCCACTGACCAATAAGCCTATCCATGGTAGGTCCAGAGGAGTGGATATCGGTCTTGTTGCGGTAGTAGTAAGGGCCGAGCTCCACGCGCATCACCTTGCGTGTCTGGAGGAGCGGTGGCGGACGGACTCGGTTGGCTTGGTGTTGAAGCGTATCGGACGTGATTATCTGCTCGTCGGTGATGGCGAGCTTGCAGATGTAGGACCATAGCTCGAGAGGTAGGTCGAGGAGGCGGAAAACCTAGGTGGGTCAGCAGCGATCTAAGGATTGAACAGCACGCCGAGCATAGGCTCACCTGGTCGGGATTGATTTGCGCCATTGCAGTCGTGCGATTCGCAGTAATGAGTGCTGGTTGGAAAGAATGGTAAGGGTGATGTTATCGAGCTTGGACGGGAGCAAGATTGCGAGCGAAGCGAAGAACGTCGGGAGCGGCACGGACGCTCATTCACATGCACACAAGTCGCGTCTACTGTTACCAGGACAACTCGCCAGATAGTGAATTAGAAGGGAATTATAGAGACTTGACTACGCATCGCACTCTTTTGAAGCATTTCAGTAGAAGAAATGAATCTGTCTAGAAGCCTAGCCTCTCAGTTTGCTACCAACTTCTAAACTCCTTGTCCCTTTCTTCTCGATGAACGAAAAAAAAGTTGCTGCAAACAATCTCTTGCTTGCTAGAGGATCTTCAAAATGGCCTCGATAGCCTTCGCAACTTCCAAGACACTTCCTCGTCGAATGCCGTGCCTCTCCTTTCCTGAAGAGAAGCTCTGACGCCCTTGTGAGCAGTCACTTGAAGACGCAGCGGAATCTGCGGGCGATGGGGCCGGGACCGATCTCGTCAGTGTGCCACGCTGGGTTGCCGAAGGTCTCCAGGGCTTCCAGATCCACCTCGACGCCCCAGGTCTTGAACAGCGACCGTCGGAGTTGCTCTTCCTGCTCCCATGCCTGTTTGGTCCAGACCACGACTTCGATGTTGCAGAGAGTCAGATTCTCGGCACCGATGGAGTGAGCCCACTGGTTGAAGAACTTTGCGATGCGCCAGCTGTACAGGATGTCGGTCTTGGTGGTGTAGTAGTAGGCTTCGAGTGCTGCGCGGAGGCGGTCGGACGCGTTGAAGATTGCGGGCTCGGGCGGTACGATCTTTCTGAAGAAGGTGGTGTTTCCAATCATGTCCTCCTCGTCGATGACTTTCTTGCCGATATCCAGCCAGAGCTCAGTCGGCAGGTCGAAGAGCCCCTGCCATTGTGTCAGTACAGTCTTCGAGAATCATGAGAGACGATGGTGATGTTCTCACCTTTGGCTTGTTTTCACCCGCCATTGCAAGGGATGTTGATAACGACTAGTGGAAGGCGAGTCTTGACACAGTCGGCGTGTTGTATATTGTTGAGATTGAGACGGACGAGCAGAAGACAAACGCTTCCTCGCGTCCGAGTTCCACGCACAGACCTGTGCACATGCCTCGAGGGTCGTATGTCGTTTGCTATCTGAAGATTACCACTTTGAAGGTCAGCACATGAAAGCGTTACTAGAATGCAACGGCTCTGGAAAGAAAGACCAACTCTGTCTATCCCGAGAATGAACTCCAGCCTGGAGCATTGAACTCCATGGCCGTTAGCTAAGGTGTCATATTTGCCCGGTAACATCCTCACTGTCGCCTCCCCAGCGCCTGACCGGAGGTAGCGAATCATCTTCAGGCTGCAGTTCGTCCGTGCGGCATAGGCCAACATGTGACAAAGAGAGTTGCGAGCACCATTGGACTACTAAATCATCTCTTCGATCGAATTCTGAAACAGCGCCATCCGCAGTACGTCGCTCTCGTGCAGACAGAAAGTCTTGACTCCCGGATCGTCCATCTCTACCCCTTTCTCAGACGGCGGAATACACAGAGGGAGATTCTCGTTTGCTCTCTCACGCTTGTCGCGAAGCCGGAGCTCATGAGAGCTGCATGAAGAGAGTTGACGAGGTGAGCATATTAGCCCCAGCTAGCATTGTCTATAGAAACGTCGTTTGCCGTGAACGAAACCGACGACATGTGTTCCATCCGGAGGACCCTGGAGGAAAGCTAACACAGCGGTCCAGAGAGGTGTCGCTGTTGAGGTAAATTTCTGAAGTCACAGGAAGGCATTCGATAGCACACCTTTGATCATCGGACATGACCACCTTGCACGGCAGCTCCTCCAAGCCATTTACTTCAATGCTTGCATCCCGGTAGCAGAGAAGCGAGTAGCTAACGCTTCGGCACAGAGACACGCACTCGGGACATGCATGCCTCCAGATGTTTCCCAAAGATCTCCAGTCGTCCGACTCAACTGGAAGGCAGGCACATTCCGGATCTATTCCAGAACGCGGGATTGGGGAATGGAATGAGAAGTCTGAGCGCCGTCGGAATACCATAACGGACTCTATCCCATCTTCAGTAGTAGTATCCCAAAAGCCAGCTTCCGAGCAATCGATACAAAAAAAAAAAAAAAAAGAAACCTTCACCGCGATGTTGGGAAAGAAGTCCTTCTTCGCATCTTGAAGAAGGAGAACGAAACAGATTGCATCCGTAGTCGTGCACCCGCGAGACATCGATGGATGAATAGGTGGGTTCTGGATCTCGGAAGGGGCATGCGCAAAAAGCAGAAAAGCATCTCTGGAACGGAAGCACAACAGGGCAAGCAAGAAAAGCAGTAGGTAGCACAGTAGTGAGCAGATGCAAAGCAAAGCAAAGCAAAAGCGGCTGAACACACCTCTCCGCCATCGCCATCGGTACCGAGGCGGGCTTAAGATGCACCGACCGACCGACCACAAAGATCTAAGGTAGTAACGCAAGGCATACCCAATCCGGTAAATCCCCTAACAAAGAAAGATAAAAACATGCAAGTCTCAGCAGCATTCCTTTGTTCTCACACATGCCGGCATGCATGCGGACCGCATTCCTCACAACTTTTTTCATCAATAAAAGGGCGAGCGCATCGCATCTTTGCCCCCTTTTTCGATTCGTTTTCTCGAGATTCTCTCTGATCGATCTGACCGTCCGGTTTTATCAACGATGCCAGCCAACACCTCCATAGCCGCAGCGATCGCGAAAGTCGTGCCCGGGGAGAAGAGTTTCGCGGTGGTATACAATGGCAAGACGTTGGGAGCGGGAGAGCATGTGCCTAAAGCCCGTCAGTGCATCCACGCCTCATGCCCCGAATTGACACCTTCACACACACAACAAAAAAAAACTGACCTCTCTCTCTTCCTCCCTAGAAACCCACGCCGGCCCACCCGAACTCATCTTCCCCATCCAGCAGCAGCAATCCAGCAGCGGCGCATCCGCACCCAAAACCTACCTCGTCGTGATGCTCGACCTCGACGCACCCTACGCATCATTCCCAATCCTCGGCCCCCTCCTACACTGGATCCAACCGGGCGTGCGAGCCACCACCAGCGGCTCGTTGACGTACACGCAGAGCGACCCCTTCTTGGTAGATTACATCGGCGCCAGTCCGCCGCCGGGGAGCGGGCCGCATCGGTACGCGTTTTTCGTGTACGAGCAGCCGGACGGGTTTGAGCTGAAGAGGCTTTCGACGCGGTATGGGTCGGCGGGCGGGCAGAAGGTTGGGGCTGCGAAGAGGGTGAGGTTTGATTTGGATGCGTTTGAGAGGGAGGCGGGTTTGGGGAGGAGTTTGGGGTGTACTTATGTTAAGAGTAATTGAATGAGACGTCGTTCGGGAGATGGATTCCGTACTTATGATGTCAAGAGTAATTGAATGATAGATTGTTGGGGGAGGGAGGGATGGATTCCGTACCTTACCGTCCTGTTGTCTGAGATCGGTGGTAGCCTCGAAGAAGAGTAGGTAGGTAGCAAAGCAGTCCATCTCACTCAGTCCTCTTCAGCCTCATACCTTCCATCCCGGTGATACTGCCGGACCGTCCGCCGCCACTCGCGATCATCGCGTTCTTCCTCTTCGGAGCTGACAGACCGCCAGCAGTCCCGGTCATTCTCTGGCAGTCTGTCAGCTCCGACTTTCAGTCGACAACGTCCCATACTGCCTTTGCCGCCGAACCCATCGAAATTCAAAGTCGGACAGAGGTCTTCTTCGTTGGCTACGCACTCTTCGTTCCATTCTCCCCGCTGAGTTCGGTTCTGGCGTTAGCCGTAGAATCGATAACTGTGACAAGGCTGGAGCGTTCCTGAAAGTATATAGCGCCTAGAATAATCTTAACTATAGCGGCTCTTTTCCATTCCGTCGTCGTCGTCGTCGTCGTCGTCGAGACGTTTCGCTCATGCTGAGTGAGGTGGCGAGAGAGAAGCTCAGTGGCAATCTCAGTCCGTCTTGAGTCCAATGAGGGACCTAGCTGCATGCTAATTAATCTATTATACAGAAGGCGAGGCTAGGTAAGGTATCTTTTGCCTTTACTTCAGAGGTGAAAGGTATATATTTATTCGATAGATCTGACAGAGGTGAGGCGCTGATGAAGTTGGTATCCAAATAAACGAACCCTGCTGTGCCGCAGCTACCTAAACTTAAGCGGCAAGTTAGAACTAAAGTAAAGCGGGCCTCATTCCGTTTGCTTGCCTCTGCCAGCCAATTAAAGCAATCGCGTCAAATCTTGAACTCTAGTGCCATTCCATTTTCCAAGACATTCCGAGTCTCTTATATCATGACTATTTGCACACATGTATAATAAATTTCATCAAGTCACATCCCATTTTAACCCAAAGACCCTCATCCCAAGTGGCCATCCGATCCCACCAACGCCGACGCTATAGTATTACGACAAAGGTCAAAAGACCCAAACCCATGCAAGCCGTAAGTCATGAGATCATCCAGAGGACTGGACCCGTAAACTCCGAATCTAGCTTATGATGAGCCATCCAGATTTGACGGCGGTGTGGAAGACGTTGTATCGGAGCTGTGATTTGCTGTTCCATTCGGCGGACCGTCCTCGTTCTTCTCTTCAGCCCCATGAGCGCTCTCTGACGCTTGCACTTCTCCGTTCATGGCGCTGTCTGTTTTGCTTGGCGACGATGACGAAGGCGACGGTGGACAGTAGTCCGTCAAAACCTTCTTCAGCTGCGGTCGTCTCACTGGCTTGGCCAGGAAGTAGTCCATGCCGCTTCCATAGCACTCGTCAATGTTGCTCTGTTCAGCAAAAGCTGTCAGCGCGACAATTGGCTGCTTGTATCCGAACTTCCTGATCAGCCTCGTGCTCGTCAGACCATCCATGTTCGGCATTTGAATGTCCATCAGGATGAGGTCGAAGGGCGGTGGCGGCGTAGGCGCGTCATCGGTTCCTTCTGTTGCTGCAGCGGTCTCCAACCGCTCGGGCGCTGACTTCGTCTTCACCAGGTCGAATGCAATCTGTCCGTCTTCGGCGATCGTGACGTCGTGAATCTTTTCCAGCTTCAACATACGCATGATGACCTCTTGATTGACCTTGTTGTCCTCCGCAACGAGGACGCGTATGTGACTGAAATCTTGCTGCGCGTGCTTCTTCGTCCTGGCTTCTTTGCTTGCATTTTTGACAGCTTGTCTCAGGGGCGTGTCTGTCAGCTTTGGTATCGCAGTTGGGCATGTTCCGGTGGAGTCCGTGGAATCCGCCTTCTGCAGGCCTGTCACCACTGCCAAGGGCGCGCCAGGCTTTCCATTGGAGATTGGCAAATGCTCGTCTTCGATCACTGCGAGAGACGTCCTTCGGGAGCTCGGCGTTACGCAGTCCTGCGACGAGCTAGCCGAGCAAGATCTTGCAGCTGCTACATGCCGCAGTGGGAGCTTCAACGTGAAAGTGCTTCCATCCCCCAGCTTGCTCTTCAGGCCAATGCTTCCCTTCATCAAGCTAGCCAGTTGTGAGCAGATACTCAGACCCAGCCCCGTGCCGCTGTGCTTTCGGCTTAAGCCCGCGTCTGCTTGCACGAAGGGCTCGAAGATACGGCCCTGCATGTCGTCCGGAATTCCCGGTCCGGTATCGTGAACGTCGATTTCGAGCAAGAGGTCGCGTCCGGGTGGCGCTATGCACTTCTCGTGGACCCCGGTGCCTTCGTGTGGGTTGATGAAATTCGCAGTGCCGCTGTTGATAGAGCCCGCCTTGACTGAGTTGCGGTTCGTCTGTACCTTTGATGTCGACCTGGCGAGTCCAAGCGAGCTATGTCTCTGCGGCATTTCGGAGAGACAGCGCATGACAACTGTCACAGACCCGTTCGGTGGGGTGAATTTGAGGCTATTTGAAGTCAAGTTGATCAAGACTTGTAGAATGCGGTGGATGTCGCCCCAGAGTGTGATGTCTCGAAGCCTGCTATACATGCCGAGAGTATCTCCAGATGGATCTTCAAAGCGTACCTTGAGGTCGATCTGTCGATCGATCGCGGTCTGCCCGAATATCGCAAGGACTTGGGTCTCGAGATCACCAAGGACGAACTCCTTCTCTTCCAGTGTGATGACTTGGTGGCCCATTTGATTTTGACTGAATGTAAGCAGATCCTGTAGAGTCCGGAGTAAGAGATCGCCGCTCTTGTAAATAATGGTGAGTGACCTTTTGAGCTTCTTCGGATCGTCTTCCTCAAGGCACACCGCGCACATGCCCAAAATGCCGTTCAATGGAGTCTTGAGCTCGTGGCTCACATTCGCCACGAATAGAGTCTTACTCTCATTCGCGGCCTCCGCAGCCTTCTTGCTCTGCTCCAGCTCCATGGTTCTCTGCCTGACCTTTTCCTCCAAGCCGGTGTATTGCACAAGAAGCTCGTCTGACATGGCGTTGAATGTGGTGATTAGGTCTGTCACTTCATCTCGCACCCAATGCTTCCGCTCTTTGACTTTGCCAGGGATTCGGAACCGCTTCTCGTCCTCGGTGGGCTCCTCGACGTGATCTGCCACATGCCATTTCCACTTGCGTTGTCGCCATTGCGCGATAGTATCTGAGAGGCCGGCTCTACCCGAAGCAAGCGAGGTTGCTTCTTTCTCATCCGCGAGGCGACCACAGGACGTTTCGCTGCTGCTCGTCCTCCGGTGATACGGATCCGTAGACTCTTCTGTCGCCCTCTTCAACCTCATAATGGGGAGGACAGCCATGTGTGCAATCGGAAAGGAGATGATCAAGAAGAGGCCCATGACGGAGAAGAGGCAAGCCAGGATGATGTCGCGGAGACGATTGATCGGTTCCCAGACCTCGCTTCGCGCCTGTTCCACGACTACAACCCAGTCAACCAAGTTCGTTGGCACGAAAGAGTATCCGACAGAGACGGCTTTATTCTCTTCGTTGTGGGTCCGCACGAGACTGCCGTAATCCTGGGGTGCGCGGGCGTCCAACTCCATGGCCTCTTCCACCGCAGGATATTTGCTTGCGAGGAAAGGTTGATTTGGCGATCCATATACATGGTGCGGATGACGCGAGCTGGCCGACTGGTGGATTGGAAAAGCAAAGCGCACGTCGGTGTCGGCGGCGAGATCGGTGCCGAGTACACCGGGAGGATATTGGTTGGTGCTGTTGACGGGCCCGACGAGCAAGGTCTGGCCCGTGTCGCCGATACCGGTTTGGTCTTGGATGACGATCTGGAGGAGGCGCGCATCGCAGACCACGGTGACCCAGCCCAGGATATCGGTGGTGTCGAGGTCATTGGTAATGGGGATGGTCAAGGAGACGAGGGAGAAGTTGCTGCTGACGACCATGGGACCAAGCACAAGAGCTCGTTCGGAATTGAGAGTGAAGCCGTTGTAGGAGGCCTCGTAGCGGAGAGAGGCGTTTTCATTGGGGATATTGGTGATGGTAAGATTGGGATAGAGGGCGGGGGGATAACCTCCATCTGCATCGCCGAGATGGACACGACTACCATCCGAGGCAAGCCAGGGGAGCTGGATATCGTCGCTGAAGCTTCCCGTCACGTTCAGCAGACTGCTCGTACCCGCTGGACCGGAGATGTTTCTGGAGAAGATCTCGGCTTGGAGGATAATGGCGTTGGCGGAGTTGCCGAGGGTGACTGCCAAGTCGCGTTGGGCGGCTTGGAAGGTGGAGGCGTCGGCGGTGCCATTGTTATATTCGGTGAGGGCATTCTGGATGATGGCTCTGGTGGCGACGAAGAAGGCGGCCGTCTGCATGAGCTCGAGGTTGAATGCGAGCTGGGCAGCCTTGAGGGAGGCCGAGGTGGCGAGTCGATTGCTGGCGACATTGAGGACGAAGTCGTGGTTGACGACCCAAGTAGCAATCGCCAGAATGCCCAAGCCGACGCAGGCGGTGAGGATCAATAGGAGAGACAGCTGCTGGCGGACGGAGATGTGCATCATCACCATGGCTGCTGCGGTGGGTGGCGGAGGGTTCGGTAGGGTAGTGTCGCCGCCCACCGCTCAGCGCCCCCTCACCGCCGCCGCAGGGAGGGAGGGAGGGCGGGGCGGAGCGTCGCCGTCGCCGTCGCCGTCGCCGTCGCCGGTCCAGTCCGCGTCGAGTCCAGTTCAGTCGAGTGCAGTCGCGTTGTTGTCTGCAGCGCAGTAGCAGTATTCGTCTGCCTCACTCCCGTCTCCGGCCGGTGTGGTGGAGCCGAGCCGACAGCCGGCCGAGCTGAGATTCCGATTCCGATGCCGATATCCGCGTCGATGTCGAGTCCTCGTCGCGATGTTGTCAATCAGTCGTCGCCGTCGTCGCCGCCAGAAAAGAAGCGACGGTACGCGTGTCGTGTCGTGTCGTGTCCTGACCCTGAGGAGCGAGCGATGGTGTGCATCCCTCCGCCTCCGCCTCCGCCTCCGCCGCCTCCGTGCCGTCTTCTTGGCGCTTAGCAGCCTCGACTTGAAGCTTCCCGTCCTTTCACGTACTTTCCCTCTCGCCAAGCCCAGCACTGCCCAGCACAGCACAGCACAGCACAGCAACGCCAAGAGCTGGACAATCCTGTCAGAATGACAAACTCTTGTTACAACTCCTCGCGGCGGTGGAAACTCGCGTTTGGTGCGCTGATCGATTCACGCAGTCTCATCAGGAGAGAATTTTCTGCGGAGATCTCGCGGAAGAATCGGGAAGTCAATCCCAGCCACACACGCCCAGGCGCCTTCAATCTTCCTCCTCCCTCACTACTCCTTTCCAACACCTTCCAATTACTCACCTCTTCACAGTGGCGACATGGAAAACATCCTTTGACTTGACTCGACTCGACTCACGCCCGTCGGAACCGGAGCGCATCTCTTCTGCCATACTCTCTTGCGCGTGGTCTCGTGTCCTCAAAGACTTCCAGGACCTCTTGCTTCTGATTGCTGTGTATCTCGTCCTTCTCCTTGCTTCTCCTCTCCATCTCATTCATATTTACCCCATTCCCTTCTCCATCCATGCAATGTCCATCCGTCCATGCAGTTCCCAGACTGTCGTATATACCAGTACCATCGAGATCAAAAGAATACCCACTAAGTATCCGACCAGAGGCGTCTCGTGCGGATTCTCGGTCGGTGCCGTGTTGAGGAGCCAGATGACAGCGAGCCAGGAGGCCGTGAGGATGCAGCTGACGTGGAATTGCCTTCTCACACGCCAGAGCCGCATTTCGGTGAGCCACATCGCTGTGAGACAGAGAGCCACATGCTGTAGGAGGATGATGAAGTCGACGATATAGCTGCTCAAGACGGGTCCGGGCCGATCTCCAAGAGCTCTCTCAGGAGGACAGATTACCAGTCGCCTAGTTACCCCAGTCCTCTTCGATGTCCGCGGAGAAAGTCTGTCCAAACGTCCCGAGTTCGATGTCGGAGGATGCGTTACTAGGAAACTACTGGGCGATATGGTAGGTGATTACCGCGAAGGAGAAAGAAAATCGTACAAGGAGAGCGACCGGATTCCTATCGCTATGTCAGCGCCGTGAGGTCTCCCCTTCTGATCTATCTCCTTCTGTACTCCCTCTATGGCCCTATGGACAACGATAAAGAGGGCCGGCCATACTGCCCAGAACAGCAAGCCAGACATACCACGCCTTCGCCACCGCTCCGCTGAGGTTATATTCCAACACCCGGCACGGCAGAGAAGCAGCGCCGGGAAGCGAGCCCACGGCAAGCAAGAAGATTAGATTTTGGCATTCCATCTCGAGGGGAAACGACGGTAACAATGCAAGCAAGAGGCTGATCAATGCCTAGGTAGGAAACAACGCGGTAGGGATATATACCGGCGGCAAAATTTGAACGTCAAGTGAATCCGAAAGGCCCTCTCACGTGCCCGCTAGCAGAATAGCGCTAAGGGTCCGTGCAGAACGTCACTCTAGGTCAATCTGCCAAGCTTTCTCGATTTCTCTCTCTCTACTATCACCGCAATAGCATCTCCCTCCACCGTATCAACGACGTCGCAATAGTAGAGACGTTCTGTCTCGACTTTAATCTCCCCCCCTGGCGTGTCGCCGCCGCAATCGCCCCCCTCCTCCGCATAACGACCGCCATCGGATGCGTCGGTGATGTGTGTCGTGTATGGACGACTGGTGTCGGATACCCAAAATAATCCGGTCTTGTCGTCGATATCTCCGCTGATGTTGTTGTAGTAGTTTAAGAGTTGGACTGACGAAGATAAATGATCATGCGCTCTTCAAGGACGTCGCACCGGGGCATGTGAATCAGCTAGGCGGCGGTCCTAGGTAGCCGAGCGGCTGAGCTCGTGTTAACGGAATGTTTTCTAAGCCTGGAAACAAGTAATTACGTTGCCTCTCTCTGTTCATGGGGTATCTATGCTCTCTAGGGAAAATGCTGTGTCTGCCAATGCCGTTATATCGCTGCTGATGCTTTGGGAACAAGAAGAACAAGTTGCTTTCACAGTACGCCTCTCACATGCTGTGCATTGTTGTGCCGCGGTCACCTTTTATATGGTGCCGCCAAGTTGCTGTCCATCACGCGCACTGCGTCTCCGCACATGCGCTGCCTCCCAGAGCGCTGGCTGCCTGCTTGCTGCTGTTAGCTCTATTTGGATCATGGGGATGCCCGTGACAACATCAAGACAGCTTACCTCAAGCCGTCGGCCTGTCGATGGCCTCGCAGGACTCCAGGCAGAGCTGGTCCCAGGTGTCCGTGTAGGCCTCCTGGGGGAGGCCAAACCCCAGGCGGAAGGCGAGCGCGGGAATGTCGTCCGTCGTCCATTGTCTGCCGGTGGCCGGATCGACCCAGTCCCTCGCCGCGGCAAAGAGCATGACCTTGGTCACGATGCCGGCCTCCAAGCCTTGTGGGTGATGGATGACGCCGTTCGCCACCTGGGAGAGGGTCGCGGGGTCGGGCTTCTGGCGGAAAGTGCTGGTCTGTGGTGTCTGGGCGTCGCTGACATCGTAGTGCTCCATCACGCCGTTGGGGCACTCCGTTCGCGGGTAGTCGGCGGCGCTGATGGGCTGTAGGCGAGGGTCGTCCTTGTAGGGAGCGTTGGTAGCGCCGTTGAAGGCGGGACCGAACCAGCTTGGACCTCTAAGGAGAAGGTTAGTGTCCTGGGTTAGACCGGAGATATCACAAAAGGGATGGTATACTTACTTTCCGGCGGTCTTGATTTGTTGGCTGCAAAGAGAGGGACTGTCAGCATGCGTCTTTGACGGCCGCCACGTGCGTGTATCGACAGTGTGGATCCTGTACTCACCGGATGGCGTCGTGGCGACGCTTCAGCTCAGTCTTGTTGAGCGTGCCGCGCGCGTATAGCTGCGTCTTTGCCATGGTCGGGGAGCGGAAGCCTGCGCGCCACAGGCGGAAGACAATGTCGGGCCATTGCAGGTGGTAGGGGAAGTAGGTGAGCAGCTCGACGGCGCTCACCACACAGTTCGGCAGCCGGAATCCAACCGGGATGGCGCTGCCGATGCTCGTGTTGTAGTCGCGAGGGTCTTCGTCCTCGTCCTCGCTGCTGCTGCTGCTGCTGCTGCTGCTTGGGTCTTCCTCTTCGGGAACCTGCGCTCTCTCCGATCCCTTCGGATCCTTGGATGCTTCTGATGCTTGTGATTCTTGCGGCGCGTGCGGTGCTTGTGTGGCCTGCATTTTCGTCTGGATAGGAGGGAGGTTAGCTCAGAAATGCCACGCTTTCTCGGGTAAATAACGTACTTCTGTGCTACTGATGTTGCTGTTGTTGCTACTATCGAGGCTGTGGGCGGGAGAGACGTCGCGTCGAAGGTGAAATTTTTTTTGGAAGGAGCTTGGGCTTATGTAGGGCTACTAGACGCGCGCCTTCCTAATGCTGCCATGTGAATTTGCTTAATAACACGCCTAAAGGCGGCATTCACGGCGCTTTCGCACTTTCACGGGTCAATAATTCTACATTCACGTGTATTCAGACACGTTCACAGGCGCTTGTGAATTCTATCCGATAACACGTGTACGGCATAATGGGCACTGCAACGTCGTAAGCTAGAGGATTTTATACGGGGGCAAAACAAAGCGTTTGTCTTCCATAAACAGCAGGGGTAAACAAAGAACGCCATGCATGCATCTCAAGCCCGCCACGACCACCATAGGCCCTTTCTTACGTTCCCGAGATGATCGAGTCGATAGTCAATCCTGGAAGGATATCGAATATTCTTTCCTCCTACTGCAGCTCACCGCTGGTCTTAGGGGTCCGAAGCGACTATCCATCGGTACATCCTAAGCTGGCCGATTTGGTCGGCAATGGAGCCATCATCTTGTGCCACGGCGCTTCTCTCGACCTTGGGAGTAATAGGCTGACGAGAATACAGTGTAGAGCTTCTGTGCGGTTTCGAGGTTCCAGGTCCAGCACAGCAACGCCCGATGGTGGAAAGCTTCCGACTGTTCGGATGCAGCGGTACTTCAAAACATCTCTTCGAATGTAACTTGACGAGGCTCTCGCAGAATCTCCGCCTTCGAGGAACCCAATCGAGCGGTCTCATCCAGGACTGCGCCATGACGGTCCTGTAGGTATCGAAAGAGACAGTCCCGTGTTGCCAGCACTTCTGAGATCCGAACGAAGCTTGCTGAGACGACTACAATTGAGCCCAAGCTGGGACACTGAGCAGAGCGAGGACCAGAAAATTGAAGTAGCAGCTTGCATGGACTGATCCACCTTTCGAACGCGCCAGAGAAATCGAGTCCACCAAAGCTTGAAGACAGAGCAGAAACTTCGCTCAGCCTGTTTCGAAGCGCAGTGGACGTCACTTGATATCCTAACTTCGAGTAGAGCTCCTCGTGACCACAGTCAAGACCTTCAGAGCCTCTCACAGCGACCACAGACCTCGAAACATCTCTCACGAGCAGTAGCGCAGCCACTGCCGCGTCGAAGCTGCTCGATCCAGCGTTGAACTCGCGTCGCCTAAGCCATAGAACTTCGGCCGGTCACAATTCATCGGCGACGCTCGGATTTACCGCTACTCGATGTTTTCTCTATTGATGGCAGCTTCGTGAAAGCCTGGATGTGACATGTTCGTCCTTTGGGGCATGTGAGCACGGCACGGCAAAGGACAAGATCAGACTTGGCCGAACGATGCCGATAACGCTGGAAATGAGTTCTAAGAGAGCTTACCTCGCAGGTCGGGCGGAACGAGCATGTCTGCATAAAGGAGCAACTTTCACTTACATGGGGCACCCTAAGACCATACTAGCCTCTTTGGGCTTAGCTCACACAACGCCCAAATGTCAAAGACCACTGCCGGAACTCTCTTTCCGTTTCTACGAACGCTGATACGTCACTGATCCCAGGCTACATACACGAACACCTGGTCCGGTCCGGTATTTGCTTGCGGCTTGACGCGGGAAATGAAATTACAGGGCTGGACGTGTTGACCTTCGCCCTGCTAGGTCTTGCCCCTCTTTACCCGCTTTCTTAATAGTAGCGAGGTTCATGCTGTTCTTGAAACAATAACAGACGTCTTACGTCGCGCACCTTCGTTACAGACATCATGCTCAAGCTGCTTTCACGGTCCGCTTTGTTAATATGTGCGCTCTTCGCCCTCGTGCTAGTAGCGGGTCCGAGAGGCGCATATGCTGCGACTCAAGATGCCTTCACGTGGGAGACTTTCCAGGCGGCAGATGTGGGCCTTCACAGCCTTTCGTCCGAGGAACTCTCGCTTTCGCAGGACGTGTCCGCAGGCGATGCATTTAATCAGATCAAGTCGACATACAGAGACAAGACGCAAGCAATATTGAATCAAGGAGGGGGTTGTAATTCGAAGAACGTTGCGATACGGCGAGAATGGTGGATCTTTCCGGCAATGCAGGTCAGTGCGAGGCTAATGTTGGCGCAGGAGCACTTTGTCTCCCGATGAGCGGCACTCCTTCATTGCGGCGTTCAAGTGCCTTTTGAAGCATCCAGGCTCTACTCCGCGCTCGATGGCGCCAGGCGCACGAAATCGTCTGGATGACTACGTCGTGGTAAGTCAATTGCCAAGATCATTCAGTCAATAATACCATGCTGACAGCTTGATTTGCTCGAAGGCCCACATTACCCAGATGCTCACCGTGCACTTCAGTCCATGGCAATTCCTCTGGCATAGGCAGATGTTATTCCTGATAGAAAAAGAGCTACGGGAGCTCTGCGGCTACACAGCCTACCTGCCATACTGGGAATGGCCGAAGCATGCCGATCTCGGTATCAGCGGCGATCCTATCTTTGACGGGTCCTCCACGTCACTATCAGGTGACGGTGACCGTAGGTCCGACAACTGCAGCTGCGTGACAACAGGCCCCATGGCAGACTGGACAGTCAACTTGGGTCCGCAAGGTGGGAAAGCTTGTAGTTCCAATCCCCGGGATGACGCCTTGGGCTACAATCACCGATGCCTCGAGCGCAGAATGGATAAGAGGTGGCTCGCGAACATGACATACGACAACATTGTGCAAACCATCCAGGGCTCTAGTGGTAGGTGGATTCAGCATTCCCTTGGCAAGCTGTCTGGCTGATCCTATCTCAGACATCAATGCCCTCTCCAAGCGGATCGACGCCGCAAAAGTTGGCCTTCACACCTTGGGGCATACATTCGTTGGAGGACTGCAAAACAACATCCCAGCAGCAGCCAGCGACGCGCTATTCTACTGCCATCACTCCATGATGGACTACCTGTATTCCATGTGGCAAGCGCAAGACTTCAAAGGGAGACAATTTGCTATTGCAGATCCTTCGACTTACAAAGACATACGACTAGCTGGCTGTAAGTATCGTGCAAGTCTAGACCGAAGTTCAGTCTACTCACGATATCTCTAGGGGGCGATGCGCCGCATGTCACGTTGGAGAGCACGATATACCTATCGCCCATGTTTCCAAATATTACTGCGAGGGATGCGACCAGTCCGACGGGAGGACAATTTTGCTATATGTACGAGTAACGTTAGAAGCTGATGACTGTAATGTCGATATGTATTGTTAATACAAAGTTTCAAACCTCCGACCATAGGGCCACTTCACTTCTGCTCTCAGCCATTCGAAGTCTCCATCGGGAGATTTAAGAGGACTTTGCTGGCTTCGTATCCTTCCATCATCCATTTTGAACGCGCGTGACACATTGACATCTCTGACATCTGGGATCAAAATATCGATCACGGTGTGGTTTATGACACTGACTTGGACTTTTAGAGGACTATTCCTGGCAACGTTCCGAGCCTTAGACGGATAGATCGCTTGTAACTTGCATCAAGCCCCTGGTCTGTGTGCCTTTGCACGTGGGATCCGTCTCTCAGCCAAAATAAACTCGGCTCCAGCAGCTTCCAGTACTTGCTCGACAACCTCAATATCATGGCTCAAGCGCTCCCAAGCTTCAAATAAAAGACGATTTGCTCCAGATGAGGAAATCGCGTCTTATTCTTCAGCCCGTCTGCGACGCCGAAGAGCCTGCAGATATGTTCGAGTAGGCTCGTGTTCTCCATGCACCGTAGCCCCGGCTTTCTGGGTGAGGAAGGCAGGATCTCAGGCAGCGGGCGGACGTATGGTATACCCGAATTTCCTGGACCACTAAGCATCTCGACGTCGAATCCAGGCGACTCGAGGACTGGAAAGCCTTGTAAATCGGCCATCATGCTTTCCACATCGGCTGCACGAAAGTATGGTAAGGACAGCTCCAGCAGTGACCCTCCTCGCTGCTCACCGAATGGAATCAACAACATGTGGCTTCGCGATCTGGAAACATCCTTTGCAAGCCAAAGCGATGCTCTCGCAACCGCCTACTGATCCATTTGATATCGAAATGTTTTGCTTACTAGTTCGGTGGGTAAGTCCAGAAGAGCCATGCTGAAGTCGTCAGCGAGGAATGTCGGGGGTTTGACGCCGGGTCATTTCAGTGAGAAACGTTCAATCCTCCAGACTGCAGAATGCGCCGAGTGGAGATGAAATAAAGCCATCGCCAAGCCAAATCCTTCGAAAAGTCAGACACCCACTGTTAGGCACGGGTACAAGTGGCTTGTTCTGTGGGTCGCGGAGCAGCTTCATCAAGAACCCAAGAGACTCATTCTCTGGAATCTGTTGGCCCATGGAAACAGTCGATCACAGCTTGCTCCTGTGCTTGTCTTCTTCATCGACAGTCGCGATACCATCACCATCCCACCCAGCAATGACATCTTCTACAACAGAGACCTCGTCTTGTCCCCATACGAGATCGCCAACCTGCTGCCAGACGTCACTGGAGCCTGCCTTTCTTCGAAAAACGCGGTATGTGGGTACGCCACAGATACCAGCTTCTTTCGCTTCTGCGGTGCGAGTTCGGAGATCTTGCTTAATCTCTGGCGAGTTTGCTCGGGTAAGGATGCTCTTGGAGTTATAGCCAGCCTCGTCGATAACCTTGGCCAGGACTTCGTCGCTGGACATATCGAGATTACGTTCCCAGCAAGCGCGGTCTGGAATGGATTAGCAAGAGCTGCTTCGTTGCAGTATAGTTGACCACCCACAGAGAACTTCAACGAGCCTTGGTTCCGCAATTGCAGCTCTCAAGACAGTCGGCGTACGAATGGGGAATTTGTCAGCCCAGTAAAAGGCAATGTCCTGATCCGGTTTCCCATCTTGCAAGTTGACTGCATTCCACCATCTGACCCAGTCTCCATGGTCGAGAGCGTTGTAGTTTCGCTTTTGCTCCGAGACAGTTGACGTGGGTAGATTGGGCGCACCGATTCTGTGGCGTCTGTCAGCTTTGCGTAGCCAGCGCAGAGAAGATGACATACTCTCTGAACAATATACCCAGTAGAAATGGCTTCATCTCAATTAAAAACCTTTCTCCAAACTGTCGTTGCAATCTCGCCAACTGTGTCCAGCCAAGAAAAGCCCAGGGACTGCTGAAGTCGTACCAGAATTCCAGCTTCACCTCTTGTCCTTCTGGTATGCCTCTTCTGGTTGAACGCAGTACAAGACTTTGCAAGGGCCTGCTAATACTGCCCAAGGAATCGCCATCCTTGCCCTCGTTCAAAGCCATCAACGCAGCTTCAACGAAATGCATCCGATCTTGCCCCCAGTATAATCTACCTTTGCGTCTATCGCCGTGCTTGTCAGTCCAGACCTCACCCGCGATCCAGAACGCCGGCACTCCAGGTGTCCCCCGTTGAACGGCTATGTCGGTCGATACTTCAAGCTCCCTCCGTTGACGTTGGCCTTCAAAGCTGCCGTCCTCAATCGCTCGAACGGCGTGCTCCTGATCCAGGATTCCAGATCTTCTGACAGCGTCAATCAAGACTGTTTTGTCGCTTACATTCTTGCCATCGACCCAATAAGCTTGATAAAGTGCTTTAGTCAATGCTGGACGGGAATCATCGTGTACGAAACGCAGTAATCTCAGTGGTGCCGTTGTCTTTTGGGGATGCCTGGGCGGTTCATTGTAGGGTATTCCTGTGCGCTTGATTGCTCGCCGGAACGCTTGCGAAGTGATGGCCTTCTTGGTTGAATTGAATACATCTGATGCTGAGCCGCCGGCGCCTTGGGGAGCATTCGTGGCGCGGTAGATGGCTCCAAGGAGGACTGGTTTCCAGACAAGATTGGCTCCTGTCCTGGCGGCGAGAGCTTCGATCTTGGTAGATGCAATGTAGGCAAATGGACAGGAGATCTATACCCTCGTTAGGATTGTCTGGACTCTCACTCAGTGGACAGCCACTTACATCGTAATGAAACTCGACGGTATGGCCTTTGCGGTATGAAGACATGTCCGTGGGCGGTATTCAACTGTTCGTGCTTATGTGATGTTTCCTTCTTGGAATAGTTCTTTGAATTGAGAAGGAAGTCTACCTCGGTAACGAGGAGATGAGGTCGTGGCATTTTGGTGGGCTACCTCCAATCAGACGCTGCGTCGGAGAAACATTTTCCCGGGGAAGCGCCTGGCAAGTATCCTGTTCAAAGTCGCTATTCTTGACAGGTACTCAAAGCATATGATTCGCATACTTTCGATACCAAGGCGATATCATATCCTACGCTAGCGCGACTGGCCTTCGCCAGTCTGCGCCTCTACAACTCCTCTGACTTGAGTTGAGCCCTTCATTTGTTGTTTCGCATCGCATTGTCCCCATCTCCGCACAGACCATCTCCAGCCCGGCTTGGCCCCCGCTAGCGGGGAAAGGTTTCTCCGGCGGAGCGCCTGATTGGAGGTAGCGTTGTCCCTTTCTCCGCTCTCGATTACTTTGGCATTATGCCACCTACTACCGACACCAGCGGCCAACTTCCTTCTCTATGGACTCGAAAGGGAAGACGTATGAGATGATGCATGTGCCGGAAAGGCGAATCTTCGACATGAGTGATCAAGTGGCGAGGACTTGAACTCGCGTTCGTTGCTGAACAATGCATTATATTTCCAGATCCGCGTCAACTCCCCGCAATCCGTTGAAGACGAGGCACGCGATCTACGATATGTTGTCGCCCCTGAAAGTGGGAGCAAAGCATCATAAGAGGCTCACTTCTACGCCATGCCTTACGCAGACTCCAAGAGCTTCATTTCGAAGAGCGCTCGGATGCCAGATCCAGACAGTTTCGACTTTCGCGTTGAGGGATTTCCTTCACTCAGCACCAAGAAGCTCGAGGAGTCAATGCTCAGGACGGAAAAGCTGGAACGACAGAGAAATGGGCTGGAGCAACAGGGATCTTTCCTGGTAGTACTTCTGTTCACCTTCGTTATTACGGCGGCGTGTCTCTGAGATTCCTCCATCGAGAACTTTGGTGGATGGCTGCGGCCTTGAGCGCAACAGATTTGGATGGGCTAAGAATGGACCCAGAATCCAGCCATTCGTTCCAGATCCAACAACTAGTCTTCAATGCGCAGATCCTCATCTGATTGCCTTGAGATTTAATAGGCTTTCCAAACTGCTCCATCATGCGGCCCCAATCAGCCTAGCGACATGATTCTAAGCAGATACCTCTCCTGGCCTTCGTGCTCTGAATATCACGACATGTGGCACATTGAACCACACTCTGTCCGACAGAGGGAATGGGTAGTCGAGCTCGCGACCAGTGTCCTGGTAGGGATGCAGTCATTCTGTCATCCTCCATCTGATACTTGAGCTGTGCCTGATTGTGACTCGGTCAGATCAGCGGTGCAGCGCTTCACCATGAAGATGGTCCCATGATTCTGGCATCACGGACACCGGGGGCTACCGTTCAAGAAACGTGATAAGCAGAGCACCTCGTCACTTGGGCGTTCGGAAACTTAGGCACCTCTCTGATACATGAGCGAGTTGTGCAAGTTCACTCAATCTTCGAAGCTCGTGCTTCCATTGACTTCGTACACTGCATGTTTCGCGGCTCTGCCCTTGGATCGTCTGCAGCAAAGGCTTGGATCTACCCAACGTCACACGTCCCCGGATGCACATTACTGCGTTCGCTGCGCTCTGTAGCTCTGATGCTGCTATCGGTCTGAGCTTCTTATGCGAGATGATATCCAAGCATCTTATCTTGACTGTCGACATACCAGCAATATTCGTACTCGGTCTGCGGGAGCTTTTTCAGCGCCGCACGTCGCATGCCTCACGATAACTCGGCCATTTATCAGTTGGTCGCATGTTATACCCTCGCTCTTGGATCTTTCTACCTGGCATCCTCGATTTAATCCACTCGCAGACTCAAATTGCAGCGGCTGTAAGGTAATACACAGGGATGAGGAGATGTTGAAGAAAAGAAATAGACCATGGCGGTAGCGACAAAGATATGAAGCTCTAGCAGGTGAAACAATAGGAAACCTTGACATCACGAGCAGCATGTGAGATTGAGGTCCGTGCGCCACTGCAACCTCGAACAAACTTTCTATCTCCCACATTTACCACACACTTCTCATTAGGTAGGAACAGCTTCTATCCTCCACTGCATTTCTGGATCAGAAACTATCAACACCGACCTCCTCCTGCAAGACCCGCATGCCGCATCAACATACAGAATGTCTTCTACAACCCATCAACTCGTCACCTTCTCCCCCGGAATCCTCGTCCCCTCCTATTCCATCGTCCAAATCCTTCTCTCGCACACCAAAGCCTTCCCACATCCTATTCTCCTCTACACTTTGGTTCCTCGGACCCATGGCCTCCTTACTATTCCACAATCGGTTCGTGTAAGGGCCCTCGTCCGTTCTTGCAAAAGGAAAAAAGCGCTGACTCGAAATAGCAATTACATCAAACACACCCTCCGCCAATTTCTACCCGGATTTACTAGCTACACTGACGTCGCGTATTTCATCGGATATGGTGATCTCCTGGCTTTGCCTCTCTACATGGCTCTTTTGCTCGTCGTCTTCTTGCCTGCAATGTTCCCGAATGTGGTTTGGGGAGTTTGAGTGCGAAGCTACAACGCTTCCAAGGAAAGAGGAGCGTGATGAGGGAGCACCCTCAGGAATATTGACTGCGAAAGACGACGCGAGAGGAGACCGCCGCCGTGAATTGTCGAAGTCGAGAGATACTTGTAGCGTCGGTGCAAAAGGAAAAAGACAGTCTAAACTCACCGCGTTGGAGTGTGAGCCATGACGGAGTTTCAAAACAATACCCATGGAGAGATAAATTGCGCGTGAACAAAAGTTGAAACACGTCGTCTCATTCGTGCAACTCTGCATGTTATGCTATTATACCGCAAGTTTCTTAGCCCTCCATTCATCGTTATGCCAATCGGGCATCAATCGCTTCTTCCATGCCGCCGCTCCATTTCGGCCAGAACACCTAGCTCTCCCAACAGGCATCCTAAGTGTACGCGCTCGAGGATTGAGCTTAGTGAATGACTTCCAACATGCAGTATGCGACATGCGAGATGGCCTTGAGGGCGATGGTGAGGGGATCCTGCTTCGGCTTCTTGCATCCACATCAACGTCTCCATCCTCGTCCATCACCTCTTGCATTGCACATCTACCTCCGCATCCTCGAAAGGACCCTTCTCAAGGAACATCTTCAGCTATCCTGGCGAGTGTCCGGAAACGAGAGCTGTGTTCTCCTCCAAAGCAGAGACAGGCTTCGCGGCAGGCTCGCCTTCGAGACTACCGTCAACAAGCAGGTTGTCAGCGCCACTAGACAACTTCCAGAACACCAGCATCGGCGCCTCGTATTCAGCGTCTTTGAACTCCTTCTGAATCCGCCCAAGCAAAGCTATCCAGCGCTCGTCCGATCGCTCCGCCGGGTTGAATCACATGTCACTGAACAAGAAGACCAGCTTCGACAAGTCCTCCTGATTGAGCTTATCGTGGATGGCGACACCTCGGATGAGGTCACGGAAGACGGCCCCGAGATTGGTAAATATAGCCCAATTGCTTCTCTCGATGTAGTCGATCTTGTCCGCGAAGCTGCGCTTGTCCTCTGGACCGCCCACGCGCACGACCTGCGGATGGCCGGACAAGACGATGAAGGACGCACCGAAAGGTAGCTTGGTGACCGCAACGATGAGCAGCGACAGGTCAATGGAAGACTCCATGGCGCAATTTCCATCGGCAAAAGGAGTGTATTTCATTGAGTCAGAAATGTCACAGACGGAAGGCTTTGGTTCTCTGCACCAAAGTGTTCCACTGCGCCTTTGCGCTCTTTTATTCCATCTCTTGGGTCTTAGCAGCGATCGTATGGATCTTTGCTTGCTTTTTTCGATGATCGCGGCTCTGCTCAATGGAGAGGATTGCATGAACGAGTGTGAACGGAAGGAGAGTCACACCAGAAATCGAAGCCTTGCATCTGACGACTTGATCGAGGCAGTCGTTGAATCGCACTGGGTCTTCCTTAGCGAAAGTGGGCGTGTACTGGTTTGTCGTCAGCGAGAGAACGTTGCCATAATCGATGGTATCGTAGCTTTTATCAGTGATGTCTTGCTCGACGACGTTGAGAGATCTGCGAAGGGATAACAGGTCCTTCTCGTAAGCCTCTCTAGCATGCTTGAGGTATGTAGTGCGATCCGCGGGATCCACACTGGCATACCGCAGACACCGTCGAAGGGATGGAGGAGTTCTGCGATGGAGCTCACGATGAGAGTTCGCTGGTCATGCATGTCCTTGCAGGAAGGTGTCCACTTAGCAGCAAGCGTGATGTGCTTCGTGTCTCCGACTCGGCCGGACTTGAGGCGGCGGAGGTCGGTGTGGATCCGTTGAGCAAAGATACGAGCCACGATTCGGTAGAGAGCTTTTGGATTTGCCTTCTATTGACAAATGGTCGAGAGCACGCTCATTCAGAGTTCACTGCTTCTGCTTCTTGCCGTCCACGGTGTTGCTCCAATCTCGCTTCGACGGCTGCTTCTCAGGTAGCTTCTCGATGTTAAGCACTTGCGCGGATCTTTGTCGGCACGAAGATCATCATTGGCAGCGAGAGCAAGGATGCGCAGAAGATATCTTCAGTAGCCATGAGCAAGTCCAGATGTGATGTCGAATTCCGAGATCTGGCAGTCATCCTCGATCTTGACCTTCTTTGCTGTTGGCTCAGCTGACTATTCCTTGTCCTCTGTTAGACCACCTGCAATCCATCCAAAGTCGTCCATGTCTACGGTGATGGCAGCCATAGTCTCGTCGTGCTTCTAGGGGCATGTTATCTGAGTCCTTGCTTCGCGATGAGGGGACGAACGGGCCACGGCAAGTTGACAATGAGAGTGTATGGATGATTCTCATAGAGCCAGCCGACGGCGCAATGGAAGACGTTGTGGCTACTCATCCCAAGATAATAGACCATTCAATTAGAATGTAGTCATCCGTAGCGGTATTGTAGAATCAACGACATCTTGCATTTTCCATGAGGCTGGTCACTGAGGTCCAAGGCGCTGGAGGGGCCGTGTTGCCTTCAGAATGCCGTCCGTCGAGGTGCGAACCGCGAGGCGAATGCATTACTCCAGATGGCGATGAGTGAAGCTTCAGTATGGTTCCGCCATCGATGAGTAGTGCCGCTTTGAGTTTCAGGGTGTTGTTGTTAAAGGCGAGAAGAGAAGATAAGGTGGTTCGATATATCCTGGGGAGACTCCAGACCCCCCTCGAATGCGAGATGGGACTAACCTGTTCTGGAGAAGCCATCGGGTCAAACATTGTCCACGCCGGTCCCGTCGATTGCACCGTCCTCTTTGACACTACTGAACAAAGCTCTCGAATCCATCCCTCAAATCCCAACCTATACCGTCAGAGATGTCATACAGCTGCACACAAAAGGCTTTTGGACGGACGGTCATACCGGATGTCTCGACTGTCGCACCGAAGCCGCCCGACATTCCGTCTGCCAGTCTTTTGAGACAATGAAATATGGCCCAGATGCAACGACAGTAACCAGAAGCTGTGAGAAAAAGAATTGACGTCGAGCCGTCCATACACGTGTCCACCAGAAAACCAGAACCTGCAACTTCATGCATGTGGACTTCTTGGAAGCTATCGACATCTCAACGCGACAACATTTGTTGCGTGTTTTCTTCCCACCCCTTTTCAAGCCGTTCGTCCAATATGGCCTCTGCAACCGGTCATTGTCATCTCGCGGCCGCAACGACTTTGCACGACTTTGAATTTCGTCTTTCCTCAAGAACAAATGTGGCGAGTATGTAATGACATCCACTTTCTGGCACTTCATATCTTCTCCCTACTCAGAGTCCACATAGCTCACTAATTTGATCCTCAACCACCATCACAACTTGCAACAGCTAGTCCGCGCAACCGACTCTCAGTTCACGACCACCATGAAGACCGCAGCCTTCACCCTCGCGAATATTGTCGCACTGACAGCCTTTGCTGTCCCTCTGACTGCGACGTGGAGTCCGGAGGACGACCCATGCGGCTCATAGCCAGGAAAGACACCATGTCTAGAGACTAGAGACGTCCACCAAGCCGCAGTATCTTCTGGCCAAATGCTCAACCCACCGGGCACAGCGAGGGTCAACACGCGGGACACCGACGCCAAAGCCACTGCAGAGACGCATACCAGTATAACGCCCACAGCTCCTGCACACACACCAATTCCATCAGCTGGAAAAGAAGAAAAGCAATAAAATCCTACAACCACCACAGCTGCTGTCGAAGAGACTGAGAAGCGCTGGGAACCCGTGGGCAGGCCAGACTAGAACGACTAGATCGATGCAGATTCCAAAGACATCTTTCGGGACAAATTACAACTTCGCCTGATGTGAAGGTCATGGGTGATGAGCATCATCATATGGTTGGAATCCCGCTGCAGCACCTCCAACCAACGCCGCGGATTCATAGAAATGAAAGTGCCTCGGCGACAAGAAAGACGACTTCGTTGCGACGGCCGCCTTTCATGCAGACGCCTGCTGTCTAGCTGCGAGACTCGATGGGTTGATTAACTTCAGTCTTTGGTTGGAAAGAATTTACGTCTTGCGAGATTGGATTGTGCTTGGTTTTGTGCTTCTTACTACATTTAGAATACCACAACTGCTTCAAATCGTGGAATTGTTTCATACGACAAGTCTGCAGAGCAAATGCTTGCATCGAATAGACGCGTTCAATGCTCCGTTCAGGGTATACCAGACATCTCCTCTTCCATCCAACCTCTCTCTAACACCAAGACTCAAAAATCTCTCGCCTCCGATTTCTTCACTTCTGCGCCCCATCCTGCACCTCGCGGCTCATATTCTTCGCCCGGATAAACTCCTCGACCTGATGGCTTTCCATCCCATCGATTCTCGGCTCCACGACGGGTTCCTTTGACTCTTGCGCTTCTTGCGCTTCTTGCTTCTCCCCAAGACCCAGAGCACCCATCGCCATGGCAGGAACCTGCTTCGCCGTCTCCACCGCCTGTCCAGCATATTCCTGCGCTGTCCCCACTAGAGTTTTATCCTCCCCTTCTTCACGGTACAAGGGTGTCTCTTTGGGTGCCTGACCAACGGTCCTCGGCTCCATGACAGCATGCTGAGAGTTTGATGCGCCGCGAGTTTCGGGCGTCCCTTCCGCTAGAGTTCCGACGGCGTGGGTGTTGCGCTGCTGTTCAAGTTTGGTGGAAGAAGTGCCTTGGCGAACATCCTCGTCCGGTGAAGGAATGGTGTAGGTACCAGCACGACTTGTATTTTGAACTGCGGAGTCTGGACTCTTGCCGATGTCGAGATCGGCATGATCCTTCGCGGCCGTTGTAGTCGCAGCCATCTGGCCGTTCGTTGTTGTTTCGGGAGAAGCTGTCGTGGTACCTCCGGTCGTGGTATTCTTGTGCTTGCCCTCAGAAGCTACCGTCGTAGCACCTGCACCGGAAACTACAGCGAATAATTGTGATTGTGGGTTTCGCCCGGGAGAGAGAGCAAGTCGAGCTACGTGAGCTTCAGGATGTAGCCCCGCGAGCGCCTAAAGGAAAGCGAAGAAATGACGTTAGCCAGGGAGCTCAGCCTTGTCGTAAAGAGATCCAACCAGATTGCACTAGCTAGCCCCACAAACTGCAGAGAGATGGATCTGCAGGTCCAGACCGTGGAGCCTTGAGGTCTTGAGCTTCTTCGAGAAACGTGCCAAGACAACCAGATCTCACTCGCAGAAAGCATGTTACAGTCGGGAGAAGGAAACATAGTAGACATACCTCATCCCTCACCTTCCCGTTCTCGGTCCCAGTAGCGACCGCCACGAGATCTCCATCTCCATCATACCTCCACATGATCGGCCCTATCGGTAGCGTCCTGAATCCCGCCTTATTCTTCAAGTTGCTCTTCCAACGCATCGCACGGGCAATTTCCGGTTCTAGGTTCGGCATCTCGCCAAAACTCCACTCAAGCTGTCCTCCGTATTTCTTAGGAATGTTTTTAATGTCCACGAATTTCTCGAGAGTGGAGAGCGTGTTTGTTTGGTTCAGAATCGAGATCTTTTGTACTGTGATGGGATCGAACCAACGTTTTGCGAAGTCCCAAATCGTGGAGAAGAATGATGGGGCGCCCACAACGAAGATGCGATCTAGAGTCTCGGGATAGTGCGCAGTCGCGAGGCGTGAAGAGTCCTGCAGATGGGCACGGAGGTTCCAGAACTGCTTGAACCCTACACCATTTAGGTCGACGATGTTCGAGCTCTGGCTGATGGGTGTTTCAGCGTGGGGTCTATCCGGGATCGCGGAGCAGAGAGGCAAGACAAAGCGACAGAGGTTCTCATAAAGCGCGAAGAGACGCAGCATCTTCCTAGGGACCTTGGAGACCAACGGTATCTGATCTTTCCCGTCTTTCGTCTTTTTGCGATCGGAGTCCTTCTCGTATGCGGTGACCTCTTTCGGGTCCAGAATTGCGACCTCGAAGACATAGAAGGGGATCCCTCTCTTGTCTCTCCTCCCAGTCCATTGAGGGTATAGTCTCCTCGTTTGCTCGTATTCGTCTACATCGATCGTTTCGTAGAGACTCTCTAACTTGTTTTCTTGCCTCCAATCTTCCGTGTCCTTGAATTGTCCAAAAGCATCCTCCGGAGCGAACTTCCTTGCGCGGAGGTAGCGGAGGAGAGTCTCGTCGTCGTGGGAGGCGGGAGTCTTGTCATCGCCAGGAGAGAAGTAACCTTTGCTTTGGCAGAGGGACTTGAAGTCGTCGAGAGCGGCGGTTTGCTTGGGCGTCAGTTGTCCGACGTGTCCGGACGGCCACTGCTGTAGATTAGCATGGAGGTCTAGCGAGCACTTGGTGTATTCTCACTTGGTAAGAATTGACACGTTGGAGATCGGCCCCATCCTGCGACTGATTGTTGGACATGACCGAGGTCAGCTGGATGTCCGGCCGCCGTCAGTGAAGAAGGAGAGGAACTCGCGACAGCTGGAGTCTATGTGAGGATGCGAATGGCTATGTATTCAGCAAGGGAAGAGCTGTACCGCGAGGGTTAGTAAGTGGGATGACGGCATGATTGTCTCCCAGGAATCTGATTAGGTTGTGCTACAGCTCCGTACGTGCGTACGGAGCCGCATTGTGCTGTTGTGAACGTCGCTTCGGATCTTTCCCTAATGCCGTCTTCCGAGACACTTCGACCGGACATGAACCTTGGCCTCCTTCACCTGATGACCTCGTACGGGCTTCCAGTAATGTTCCGGATCGACGGCGAGATGTCTGGATGATTGCACATTGGGTCGTTGACTCGGCAAAGTGCGTCGTGTGAGAGAGGGAGAAGAGATTCCTGGTCGACAGTCCGGCTCTCGGCGAACAAGCCCTAGCTCCCATCGGCGTCATCTCTACGGAATGTATCCATTCCATTCCCGCTTCAATGACAAGAAGATATTCGAGATATAAGTCTCACTGATCACTCATCACCAAATTCCACAAATGACGACAGCAATCATGACAGACGCCAGCAGACCACCGCCCATCTCACGCCTCCCAGACGAACTCCTCGAAGCGATCGTCTCCCACCTTCCACCAACCGCCACCCTCTCCTTCGGTACGACATCCCGCCGCAACAACAAATTCACCTACGAGCCGCTGGTATGGCGTCGTCATTGCACCGAGATATGGCGATACTGGGAGCCTCATCACGAGCTCGAAGAGAAGCTGCACTCCCCACCGACACAGACAAAGTGGCGACAGCTCTACAACGAACGGACACAAGTCGATCGCAAGGCACTGGAGCTCTTCGACCAGATGCTACTCACCCAGCAGTATCGATTCGAGCGGATGGAGAAGATTGCAGGCTATGGGTATGATGTGAAAGATCTACTGCTCACGTTGAGAAACGAGACGCCCGAGGATGCGAACGATGTGCTAGCCAGGAAATATCATGCAAATGCGATTCTGGGCCAGATACATCGCGCTACTGCCCTGGAGAAGTGGATGCGACTGCAGAACAGACAGATGGTCAGGCTGGAGGAGGTGCTGGGCGCATACGATCTGTTTGTGTTGAGCGGTGCAAAGGGCGACTTGAACGATGTGGACAAAGAGCTGGATCGATTAGCGAAATGCATCAAGGACAGAGATCCGGAGTTCGAGGAGTTGAGTATTCGAAAGAAAGCACAACAGACTGCGAAATACCTCCGAAGCGAAGGCCTGGTAGGCAACCCAAACGTGGACGACTATCATGCCTTAAGGAACAACTTCATCTCTATGGCTCTGTTCGACGAGGTGCACAGTTCTCTGCCGCTGCAGTCGGTAGCCATATATTGTGCTGTCGCGCGGAGACTCGGAGTCAACGCCAAACCATCAAACTATCCACAGCACGTGCACGCAGTTATCGAGGCGCCAGCAGAGGTCACACTCGACGGCAAAGCACGCACCCCCACACCGGATATGGAGCTCGACACAATGCACATGGATCCGTGGCGCAGCTCCGATGAGATGCCTCCGGCCGACCTGCGGACTCGTTTGTCCCAAATGGGCGCTCCTCCTCAACACCATGCCTCCTATTTAGGACCCGCGAGCACACTCGAAATCGCCCTTCGCACCGGCCGCAACATCATGACGTCCGTGCAGGAAGCGCGCGAAAGGCAACGAGGAATCACACGCCGCAGCACGTATCCTGACATCGAAGCAGCTTGGTACAGTATGCTTTGGTCCATGCTCGTCCTGGGCGACGCTCATGGAGCCGCTACTCTACACCGCCGTCGCCAATGTCTTCCTTACTTGGTCGAACATTTCCAAGCCCACTTTCCAGAAGATATCGGCCTCGTCGAAAAGCACATACCAGCCATGTTTGCGGATGAACGCGAATACAATATCCTGCTCCATCTCATCACCCAAGCTCGCAGCAAAGATCGAAACCTTCCCGCCCCAAGACCGCGCGACCAGAGTACGAAGGAGATCGTCAAATACAAGATCGGCGACCATTTCACCCACCGTCGCTACGGGTACGAAGGTGTCATTGTAGGCTGGAACATCCGCTGCGACGCCGAGCCGCGCTGGATCGAACAGATGGGCGTCGACGACCTTCCCCGAGGTCGCGAACAGCCTTTCTACAACGCAGTGTATGACTCTCCTCCCCTCGGGAATCAAAGGGCGTTTTACACCACGGTCTGCGTTCATGCTGACTTCAACAGGGCGGACGACAAGAGTGTGAGGTACGTCGCGGAAGAGAACATTGGGAAGACCGAGAAGGGAGATGATATGCGGCCTTGTGCTGCGCTGATGGCGCTTGCGGGGAGGTATTTCAAGCGATGGGATGATGTGGAGAAGAGGTTTGTAAGTAATCTGGAACAGGAGTATCCCGACGACTGAAAGGATAAGATGGCGAGCGGAGAGGCGGAGTAGCTGTTGGCCGTAGGAGGTAGGACATAAAGACCGATGACGCGAAATGCAGCACATGCATCATCAGCCTTCTAGCGCTCTTGTCACACGTAAATCTTGGTTTTGACGCCATAGCAAGCATGGGCGCCATTTCCTTTCCATATGCCTGGATCTTTGAGGTTTTCGTCTTTCCTTTTCGTCGCCTTTCGACAATCATCGTCGCAAAAACGCACGTACATGCACATCCAGTCCAGATCGATAAATGGTATACGATACAAGACCCGCTGTGCTCGAACAGGTTCATGGACATTTCCATCCGCTTGCCCTTGGAGAGCGCCACTTGCCGCGTCTGAGCATTGATGAATGTTCTATTCTGCCTTTACGCGCGGCATGATCTGACACGACGTTGGATTCCGATGTTTCCGTGTACGACGAGAATTGCCGAACATAAGTTGTTCTAACATAACTTCGATAAGAATGCGCGGATAGGAGGTAGTCTGCATTTGGTGGTTGGTATACGAGAGCGATTTCGACGATGGTTTGAAGGCTCGGACAGCATGCATGAACAGACTCTGTGGAGCAGATGATACTCGGATACGAGAGGATGTGTACCTGGTATTTCGAGATTTGTCGTTGACTCCAGCTGCATCTGACAGTTGAAGGTTGAAGTCGAGGATGGAGTCGCATTGAACTAGCGCGCCAGTCGGCTAAAGCTCGGTAATATCAAATTGAGGTATATATATTTTTTACCGATTCTTGGCAGTATGGCGGCGCGGTTGGGTTAATCAGCATTCACCTTGCCTTTTACCAGATGAATCCTTGGTCCACCGCAAAACGCCGCATTATCAATCTTTGGAATCCCAAGTTCGATCGCCGAACTTTTTGCAATTTTTTATTTCGACTCCTAGATATCATTCGAGCCCTTCTTGCTCGAGACTCGAGTCGCGCGATTTTTCAATTTTGGACGCCAAGAAAACACTGCCTAGATAGGAAGTAGGACCAAAAAAAATCAATCCACAGAATCCTTTCAAGTTTTGCTGGTCTTCCCCGGCGCTACGTCAACCTTCTCCACCATCCCGTTGCGAGCGGTGTCGTGCGCCGTGGATGCGACACGGTTCGCCATGGCAAGTGTACCTGGCACGGGATGCATCCGACGAACAACCCTTAGCGCCAAGGGGTTGTTATTGGTGCAGACCCGGTCGAACCCTCGACTTCACCTCCTTCCAAACCTTGCTAGGAGAGACTACGGTGCCTGCGTTTGCGGGATGGAGTCATGCGGGATGATGGGTGAAGCACGCCGTGTAACGTCTTCCCGGCAGATGCTTATCATACAGCATTCTTCTGCGCCACGAGCGATTTTTGTCACAAGCATCAGATGAGAATGGTTATTGCTGTGACGGTTATTGCTACGACCCAGGAGATCCGGGAAATTGTCGCTAATTCTTGGTTGTGTGTGAGCGATGTTGTCGGCTGGGGGAGAGTCGAAGAAGGACGTGCTGAAGATGGCGCTGGTGAATGTTCCTGGCGAGGATAGGAGGCCGAGGATGCTGATCGTTTTCGTGGCGCTGCTGTCGACTCGCGCTGCTTGGGTGGACGATCTGCTGCGCGGAGAGCAAGTTGGAATACTGAAAAGCGATTCGCATAACCAGGTTGATTTCGTCACGAAGACGATCCACATCGGTGAGCTGTGCAAATGGAATGGTACAAGTTCTATTCTATCCCTGGGGCCGCGAATTGCTCGCCGAAGGAGTATCGACCCCACGGACCCTGGCCATAGACCAATTTGCAAGGTTTGATGGACTGCGTAGAAGAGGGCGTTGAGCCGAAGACTCTCAATGCGACGGTATTGCTTGGTGAGAACAAAGGAGAGAATCGCCAGATCTTCGAAGAGCCGCTGCGAGCACTTTCGAAGGGCAATTCTTCTAGCGACGAATGCGTCTTTGATCAGGAATCGCTCGACACGTGGTATTATGATCTTGATGCGATGAAGTTGCTATTATTCTAGCCCGTCAGGTCATATAACAAGAGGAGTGGAGATTCAAACCTTAACGGATCGCAAGAAGTGGATATAACAGAATATAAACTTTTGATTTACACCGTCACGTCGAGCCATCATAAATAATCACCAACGCCGTTGCTTCCCAGAATCAAGAGTATTAAGCGCTAACGTTAATAATATTGATCCCCCAGATCAAGATCTCAGTACCTCAATACACTGCAACAGTTGTTCTTCAACAAGTCCGATAAATTTACGGATGCCCTCCTCGTCCATGAGGGCAGCATCAGCCCTAGCTCCGAATACAACAACTCCCTCGTCGCCAGGCCCAACGTCGAGAAACAATTGATGCGGTGGCAGCAGTCCAATATCGAGCGCATCAACGGCAGTCGTTCCGGGAAGAGCCTTAGAAGACGTGTAGTCCGTAGGAACACCCAGAGCCATCGGACTGAATAGATCATCTGAGCCAGGAGCCACGCCGCCGAGAGACGACTTGTTCCAGAGTAAGTTGATGTACGCATTAAAAGGCAACTGGTCGGCGGTCGGATCGAATGCCTTCACTGCTGTGCGAAGGCTGCTTTGCTCGAATGGTACGCATGAGCTAAGGATCTGCTGTAGCTCGCGCACACAGTCCAGGACATTCTTCTGCCGTACGAGTCGTAGTCCGAGTGGCAGAGTATTGACGCACGGTCCAGTTACCTTGTCGATGTCGTCGAAGGCTGCGGACCTGCCTAGCTGGAAGAAGCCGAAGAGAGGACTGGATGTATTGGTGATTCGAGCCAGCGCTCGCGCGAATGCTACCAACACCACTTGATGAGGTGAGACGTCGTGAACTGAGCAGGCTTGCTCGAGATCAGCGACCTTTACCTCGTGGCAGCTTACCATTGCAAAGCTTTGACTGCGGTCAAGGGCATCGGTGGGTGCAGACGACGATGGAACAAGCGCTTGTTCGCAGCCCGCCAAGGTTTCTTGCCAGAATTTGGCTTCTTCCGACTCGTCAATAGTCTCGAAATTGTAGCGAACCAGCTGCGCAAAAGAAGCTGCGGCTTCGAGCTCCGAGTTGTTGTAGATCGCTGCCAGCTCAGAGACCAGACGCGGCATGCTCCAGGCATCGTACAGAGAGTGATGCACGTAAAGCATCACGGCGTCGCCATCAGGAGCCTCGATCAATCGCAGTCGGACTGGCAGATCAAAGAAATTTGAAGGATTGCGGGCCTCGATTCGAGCCCTGTCTTTCACGGCGTCTAGCAATGCTCTTGATTCCTGTACTGCTGCGAAAGCTTCGTCGTGGATTACGTGCGCCTTCATAATGACCTGCACAGCACGTTGAGCAGCAGTCGCCACGAAGGTCGTCCGCAAGACCTCATTCCGCTCCCGAAGCGTCTTCCAAGCAGCCTTGAGTCGGTTCACATCAAGCTTGCATGAAGCTTTGTAGATCCATTCCGGTTCATAGAGCGTTCGCCCGGACTGAAGCCAACTGATAAGGTGATATTCTTGACCTGGTAAACAGGGAATGATATCCTCGACCTTGTCTTCGGATGTCCCCAGTGTAAGTAGAGCCGCTTGCCTCTCCATCGGAGACACCATATCACGATGCTGCTTCGGTGCTTGCTTTTCCTTCGACTTCGCATTTTTGGCAGCAACAATCTCACAGATCCGGCCAAGCATGGCTCCCTTGAGGATGTCGGCGACACTGAGACGTACGCCGGCCTTTCGACAATGGGCAACAATCTGAATTGCTGCAATTGAGTCGACTCCGAAAGAGTAAATTGAGGAGTTGAGCCTGATGCTCCCGGCCGAAACCTGCGTAACCTCCGCCATGGCCGCACGTATGGGCTCTGCATACTCCTTCACTGCGGACTCATCAAAAGCCTCCGGGGAGAGAGTGGCTGGCGCTACCTCGGACGAAAGGTCTCGAAGCTCTTCAGGGTATGCGGTGGCAAATCTCGTTGGTTGTTCAATGATGTCCAGGACAGCATTCTTGAAGTGCTCCAGAAGTCTCTCCATCTCTTCCTTGGGTGTCGAAGACAAGACTCGTGCAACAATTCTACCGCTAGTATGTTCCACTTCAAAGTTGATGCGATATTCTGATGGTATGGGTGACTTATCCGCCTCGAGTGAGTCCCCGAAGACACTTGCTGCTGCCGAGCTAACACGGTCCACCTTCGAGTAGACAAAGATGCTGTCTATGAGTTCGGCACTGGAATCCGAGACTGAGGAACGCCAAATCTTCTGAACTTCGGCTAGTGAGGCATGCTGATACTCGATGGATCCACTGCTGATGGTGTGCACATGGTCGACGACATCTCTGTTGGTCATGAACTTGTCCTTGATGGCAATCCGATAAGGAACGGTGTTGAACATGGGTCCAACGACATCCCACTCGTCTCCGCTAAGGCTGTGTCGAGCTGCTATGACTTGTCCGAAGACTGCATCTGTACGACCGTGAACACAGGCCAGCGCTTTACCAAAGGCAGAAATGCAGACGTCCTTGATATCGAAATCTGCTTGTCGGCACTGTTCTTCGAGCTCTGCCACATTTTGGGTAATGGTGGCTTCTGACAAACAGACTGACGCATTTGCATCAGCTGACGCCGGTAGACCTGCATAGCCTTGAATCTGATCTGCCCAGAATTTGACTGCAGACCCTGCATTCCGGGCGATCGTTCGGGCGGCTTCGAAGAAGGGGGTCGTGTGTGGCGACTCGCTGCCGTTGTACCTTAGCGCCAGATGATGGTACAGCATCCCAATCGAAATGCCGTCGTAAAGAGCATGATGTAACGTAAGAATCAGGACAGGCTTCTCGCCCGATGTCACCAGCTGAGCACCAGCAAGCGGCTTTGCATCTTGAATGCGGCTCATGAAATCCGATGAATTGGAGAGCTGCGACCAATACTGTCTGGCGTTCGGAACATGGACCTCCTTCCAGTCTGGCCTTTCTTGCGGGTGCACAACAGCCACCCATGGGGCTTTGTGTTTCGGTAGCCAGTGGAACGTCGTCCTCAAAATGTCAAGATCTGCCACGAGACTACTCCAAGCAACTCTTAGCCGTGCAGAATCGACGTTCGGCGCCAGGTACGTAGCGTGATGGTGCATGTACAGAGCACCTCCGGTTGCAAGACTCTGTGCTAGCATGCCGGCTTGGAGTGGCGTACATTCATAGCATTCAACATTGCTTCCAAGCTTGGAAAAGCCTTGGGATTCCAGAATCGAAACCAGGTCTTGCTGATGCCTAGTGTCTCTGGATGCTAAGGGTGTGATGCTGGGGACTGCCTCCTGAGAATTGGCGCTCAGGTGTTGGCACAGCGCACCCAAACGGTTGTGGCGGATAATGTCGGCAGACGAAACTTTTAGACCGTGACTTCTCAGTTGTTTCGCCAGCCGAATTGCAGAGATAGAATCGACACCCAGGTGAATGAAAGCAGTATTCTTGCCGACATCCTTCTCTGGCAGAGAAACAAACTTGCTGACCAGCTCTCGGATGCGCTGCTCAAAGTCAGACCAGCGCGACTCATCATACGTAGATGTTTGCGCAACACTCCTTCGAGAGTCTGCGTTGGAGCAACCCAGGCTAGAGACTTTCATGTCCGGTTGTCTGACAATAGCATCTGTAAGCATCTCGATTTTCTCAAGCAAAAGCTCGGCGTCGCTTGATGTTCCAAAAGTCTCAGTAAAACCAGCGCGAACGATGAGCTGATCGGTGCTGGAGTCAACTTCGAATTCGATCGCGAGCGGATAGTCGACTCCTATGGTGCTGTCGACTTCCTTCAAGACTCGATCCTTCGCATCCGCCTGCGGCTGAAGGCGTATGAAAGAGAAGAGGCAATCGTATAGCGCCCGGTCAGCTTTAGTCCACTTTTGGATGTCTCTCGGAGACACGTGCTGATGCTCCAAAGAGCTGGAATTCGAGTCTTGCAGGAGTCTGATGATCTCGGTTATGGAAGCAGCATCGTCGGTTAGCTTGAGTCGCTGCGGTACCGTAGTGATGCATGGTGCCATGATCTGATCCGCTCTCTTCACAGGAATAGTGCGCCCAGAGAGGACGTTTCCAAAAATGAAGTCGTTGGTTTTGAGAGTCTGTGCCATTGCCATGGCAAATGCAGCCTGCAGTACGGTAGCTGTCGTCGCTTTTGTAGCAGACGCAGCGACGTCGATTTCTGAGAGCTTGAAGTTGAACTGCCGCTCACAAGTCGCCAACTGAACGTTTTTGGAAGCGACATCACTGAGCAAAGGAGCGTTATTCCAGCCTGCCAGCAAGTTTGTCCAGTGTGCTTTCTGGCGCTCCTTGTCTTGCCTCGCGATGTACTCGATCAGAGGCGTCACACTGGGTCGAGTCTCCGGTACACTGCCTTTGTAATTCTCTTCAACGTCGTAGATCATCATTTCGAGGGACATGCCATCGTATAGAGCATGGTGGATTGACAGGAGAAGCTGTTGGCTTCCAGAAGAGCATTTTGCTTCATGCAAGCGTATCGGTGAGCGCGTGGAAACGCTTTGCACGACTTCCTTCGCTACCACTTTCTTCAAGTCTTCAATGTCTTGGAATGATCCAGGTGCAAGAGTCGTCCACGAGGTCTCGCAAACCTGCGGCTTCAGCACCACCTGAAAGAAATTATCAAGACTGGTCGCAAAGCAGGTCCTCAAAACCTCATTATCGTGCATGACCTTCTGCCAAGAGTGACGGAGTCGATCGATGTCAACATCCTTAGGCAACTCAAAGCAAATGTGGTTGACGTAGGCTCCATCAACCCCTTCAGGGCTTTCATGTATCGACTGTGCGACGAGAACTTCCTGCAGGGGCAGACAGGGTCTGATAGCTGCGACATGTTCGGTAGGAACAGGAAGCTCGCCACTTTGGAGAAGCATTTGTTGAAGATCCGGAAACTGTTCTTGGTGATTACCGCTATGCTGCACTTTACTCTCATTCTGCTTCTGGACCTTGGCCAACTGCTCGAGTGTTGGATTCTTCATCACCATTGCAACGCTACAATCGTACCCAGCGGCGCGCAGCTTCGAGAATACACTGATTCCCGACAGGCTGTCGATGCCAAGTTCGAACAACGTCGACGCAGGTGTGACATTTCGCTGCGGTTCTTTCACTTTCAAGGCGGACGAGACGATCTCCAAGACAGCCATTTCGGCTTCATTCATGGGGCGAGCGACTGCGGTGATCCCTCCACCACCGCTGTCGCTGTTTGGCATGAGCTCATTGATCGGAATGGTCGAGAATATCTTGATCAGCAGCTTGTTGTCTGCTTTGCCGGATGTTGCAGCAAGTGGCATGTATGTGAGCTGGATAATAAGGTCAGGCACAGTTGAGCTAGGTAGTATCTTCTGGCATTTCGCTCGAAGGTCTGAACTGGTCTTATGCAGCTCAGAAAACATCACTTCTGGGGGCTCGGAAGACCTCTCCTTCGTCGAGTTACCGGCGGCAATGAACGCAACGAGTTGCATGCGAGAGATTCCAGGATGCTGAACGACCAAGGCGGCAACATTGATATCAACGTCGGAAGCGGTGCGAACACCTTCAGCCACCTCGCCAAGTTCAACTCGCTGGCCTCTAATCTTCACTTGATCGTCTTTTCTACCCAAGAAGTAGACATGATCGTCCAGCCCTAGCTTGACAATGTCACCCGTACGGTACATACGCTTGCCATGGAAATCTTCCACGAATCCCTTGGCATCTGGGCGGTTCAGATATCCATTGGCGATGAGACTTCCTGTAAAGCAGAGCTCGCCCGGCATTCCCCGGAGCACATAGTTTTCAGTGCCAGGGACAAGGACATGACCTTGCGAGTCTCCCAATGGAGTTCCAATATCTCGTGTGTCCGTGTCTGGAGTAACCAAGCTAGAGTTGAGACCTATCGTAGCCTCTGTGGGGCCGTATGCGTTGATCAACCGAACGCGATGATGCGTAGACCACAGCTTTTTCGTTTTAGACGACATCTTTTCACCACCCGTGGCAATGAAGACAAGATCTGGGGCGTCCTCTGGAGTCAAGCCGGTCTGGTCAAGTAGCGAGGGCACAAAGCTGGCATGGGTGATGTGCAGAGAGGACAGTGCGAGGGCTAGATCATCCAAAAACATTGAGCGAGGTGCAGTGATGGCAGCAAGACCGAACCTCCATGCCAGAAACATCTCACCGAGGTGGACGTCGAAAGCTCGGCTTGCAAGGCCCAAGTACTTGCCCCGACCTGCTGTCTCAGCTGTCGTCGTGACACTGTATATGAATTCTGCCTGAGCTTCGCAGAAAGACGCAAGGTTTTCTCTGTTGACAAGCACCCCCTTAGGCTTTCCGGTGGAACCAGAAGTGTACAGAAGATAGCAGTTGTCTCGAGGCTGAGTTTCAACTGAAGGATTGTTCGAGCCCATCTCTAAGAATTGCGCTTGAGTGTCCGGATGCTCTACGTCGACCATAACGCATACCGAGGCAAGCTCGACATCGTCCATGAAGCCTGGGCTTGTGAAGATGAACCTGGAAGTGCTGTCTTCCAGCAGGAATGCCTTGCGCTCCGCGGGTAAGCTTTCATCGATGGAAAGATAGCAGTTGCCGGATTTGAGGATACCAAGGATCACAGCGTACGAGATGAGCGTGCGTCCAAGGCACATTCCGATCATGGAACGCACCACTCCTTGTTGGATTATCCAGTGCGCAATACGATTTGACTCAGCATTCAACTGCGCGTAGGTCCAACATTCAGTCTCGGTGCCATCGGGCTCAATCTTGAGAGCTATCTCAGCGGCTTTCCACTCGGGATGAGTCTCAGCCCAGTTCTCTACCCAGTATGTAGGACCACAAGGAGGAGGGCATTTCGTATCCTTCCGCGGCGTTGTGCGGGAGATCAAATCGGTTGAGCAGCCATCTGTCAGAGCAGCCAGCTTCTGCTTAGGCTCACGAACAAGTGCTAAGACTAAAGCATCTAATTGGCGCAGGAGCAGGTTCTGCTCATCGCTGTTCATGATGTGCTCGGCAATGGCAAGCTCAAAGTATGGTTCCGGCTCTGCATCTTGCCACACATTGAAGGCGAGAGGATGTTCCGCTTGCAGCGTGGTTGCATCTTCCATCCGCTGCCACAGGTCGCAATTCTCTTCCACACCGTTAACGACTGAAGGATGAAATGCAAACATGGCCGGATAGACTTGCGAAGAGTTGTCGCGCTTCAAGAGAGATCGAATGGTACCCGGTCGAACATTGCGATGCTGCCATGCTGCTTTCGAGAAGGAGTCTTGCTCCATCAGAGTGGATCTCACTGTCTCTAGTCGTTTGAAGAGACTTGGGACAGTAGACATCATCGGCCCAACGACATTGGCCAGCCTGTGGTCTGCAATGCGGTGGGACAAGACTTCAGCAAACAACACTCGAGGACTCTCGAGTAAGTCTGTAAGGATCAGAGCCCAGGCCGTGCGGAGGATGGTGACGACGGAATTAAGGCCCAAACTGCGTGCTGCGTCTCTCAGCTTCGTCATTGGGGTACTGCTGCGTAAGTATTGGATCCTGTGACTGAGCTTCGAGACGCCTTGCTCAGTCAAGTCCTGCTCTCCAGAATCAGCTTCGAAATCTTCCAAAGCCGTTTTCCAGAACTCAATGCAGTCACTACTGTCTGCATCGAGAGCTGAGCCAGAGAGTACAGCTTCTGTCAATTGAAGCCGTTGTGGTGCTTGGAATGTTCGCAGATATTGCGCCTTCAGATCAGCTTCTAAGAACCCAAGACTTGGCCCATCGTAGATGGTGTGGTGGATGGTGAGCATCGCGATCGATGTACCGTCTTCTTGTCTGAAGATATCAATGGCCCAGGGCGGAAATTTGAAAAGCTGGTGGTGGTGCTGCTGCGCAATCTCTGCGACTCTGGACCTTGCAGCTTCTGTCAATGCACCGATGTTATCGTGCTCCGTCCACTGGACGTATGGCTCGTCGTAGACAACTTGCAGGTAGGATAGTCCATCTTCGCCCACGTCGCCTGAAGTAGACAGCATTGCTTTTGCCACAAAGCCCACTCGCAAAGCCTCAGTTTGTCGTGTCACCTTCGTCCATGCACGCTTGAGACGGGCGGTGTCAACATCGGGCTTAAGCTGGAACAAGTGACTGCTCCAATAAGCCTGAGGATCCTTGAAGCTTTCACTCAAAAGACTCTCTTGCAGTATCGTGGTGGGAATTACGGTTATGTCTTCTTGGTTGAGGTACTTCGCCGCCGCGTCGTACCAGCAACCGTCAAAGTCATGCAGTACCGCATCGCTGGGCGATGTCACAGCTTGGACAGGCTCTTCCATACTGCTTGTTTTGCCAAGCTTGGCGAGTTCAGCCAGATCGGAGAGGGTACGGCACTTGAAAGCATCCACAACTGAAAGGTTGGCACCCAGCGCATTGATCTTGGGAACGAGTCTGATTGCAGCGATCGAGTCAATGCCAATAGCAGGTAGACTGCTGGTGGCACGAACAGAATCTGGCGAGATTTTCAAAGTCTCTGAGACGATTTGAAGAAGCTTTGCGTTCGCTTCTCTCCATTCTCGGTCACCAGCGTTCGAGTTACTTGCCGAGATATTCTCTGGGGCTTCCCATTGAGAAAGATCCAATCCGTGATAGATAGTCGTCAGCGCCGCCCGGTCGACCTTGGCGGAAGCAGTGTGAGGAATACGTGGCAGCACAATGAAAGTCGTAGGCAGCATGTAAGGAGGCAAAACGGTTCGCCCGTACTCTCTGGCAATTCCAGCAAGTTCCTTCGCAGTAGGATTCAGAATTGCTTCGACTTCTCTCATCCCTTCAGCAAGAGATGGGCATGCCATGAAGGCAACAACAAGCTTCTCATCGGCGTCTTTGCGCTTGCAGTGCAGCACTTCGAATTTTTCGATGCGAGGATCAGCGTCCTTGAGTGCAAAAGCGATCTCACCAAGCTCGACTCGAATACCGCCGAGCTTGACGAGGTCATCATTGCGTCCGACAAAGTTAATGGTACCGTCAGCAAGGTGTCGAACAAGATCACCGGTCAGGTAGAGCCTCTGCTGCAGCTTGTCATTCCAGACAAACTTCTTTGCGTTGACCTCTGGCAGATTCCAGTACCCTGAGGAGACCTGCGGCCCAGCGAGAGCAAGTTCACCAAGAGCTCCTCGCATGACTACGCTATCGTCTTCAACGACATAGGTACCGACTGACGGCAGCGGAACACCTACGTTCGAGCTGTGGTGCGTGTCAGTCTTGCCGGTAAATTGGCGCAGAGTCGAAACAACCGTGACCTCGGCAGGACCATATGTATTGAATGCTCGCAGATTGGTACCCCAGTCTTGAGCAACGGCATCTGTGAGTTTCTCGCCAATCATAGTAACAACCTCCAATGTCTCAATCTTGTCACGAGGCAGAGTTGCGGAGAAGGCAGGAGTAAGGTGCGCATGAGTGGCTCTTGTCTGGTTTGCCAGGTCGGCAAAGTTTTGAATCATGAGCTGTCGCGTGCTTGATATCACGGCTCCGCCAAGCGTCCAAGTGTAGAAGAGATCCTGAACAAAGACGTCAAAAGTGTATTGAGAGAATTGCATGCAGCGGACGACTCCGCCGGCAACATCCGAGGGAACGGCTGCCGCAAGAGCATTCATAGCAGTAGCACCAGCGCTATGAGTGATCGGGACGCCCTTTGGCAATCCTGTAGTTCCACTGGTAAAGATGAGATATGCCAAATCCGATGGATGTCTTTCCACAGCAACTTCTAGCTGCTTCGACTCAGATATTCCAGCTTCGATTGCTTCCAAGTCCAACGCTACAGTCGTAACGCCAGCAGGTATTGCCGTCGAGTCAATGTGGGAGGACGTAGGAGAGACGACCAGCAATCGACTCCCGGTCCGCTTCATTATGGCATGCTGTCTGGCCGGAGGAGAATAAGGATCAATCGGGCACCAACCTGCGCCAGCAAGGAGAATCCCGAGCACGGCGATATAAAGCTCCGGGCACTTTTCCATGCATATCATGATGGGCTCGTTGGTAACAGACCCAAATTGCTGCAAGAGGCCAACAGCGAAGTCTCGAGCCAGGTCATGAAGTGTACCATACGTCCATTTGACGTCAGGCAGTGTGCCGTCAACGGACTGTTTAAATAGCAAAGCCAGGTCTTCAGGACTCTTCCTAACATGATTGAGGAAAGCTTGGTGGAGATACTGTTGAGAGTTGGCCTCAAATTCGCCTTGCTTCACAGCAACAGGAATCTGCGACTGCAGGTGGCTGCTCACTGCGAATCTAGAGTCCAAGAACTGCTCGTCGAGGTTATCGCACAAGTAGCACACAACATCATCCATTTGTTGCAGCATTGCTTCTGCGGCAGTGTATTCCAGGTGCTTGTGGGTGTATGTACCCCGGAAACGAATCGGCCCTGTCTGAGTAGGCCATATCTCGATCATGATCGCAAAGTCATGCTCCATGGCAGGGTATTCGACATTTCGCCATAGATCGCTGTCCGCGGCCGACTTATCGAAGGCTTGGAAAGCGAGGAGGGTATCGTAGGGAAGCGTCCCTTCAGCAGTCGTGAGAGAGCTCAGGCGAATGTGATGATGTGGGAGAGCATCCGCGTTCTTGGCGGTAAGCAGCGACAGTACTTCTTTGACTGTGTTTCGAGTTCCTTGCTGCTGGCGAATTTTACTTGGAACAACGACGAATGTTGGTCCAACACAGGAGCTGAGATCCTCTTCGAGGCGATCTGACACGACGCTACCAAACGACACTTCGGTTGTAGATCCGGTGTAGGCGAAAAGAATCGTCGCCCAGGCGGCTTGTAGAATCGACAGAGGCGAAACGCACGCAGCTTTAGATGCCACTGAAAGCCTTTCTAATGTTGTCCTGCCTATGAATTCTGCGACCTGGGCATCCTGCGACTGCGTTTCGGGCTTGGAGGCAGAGACGCAAGGGAAAGGTACAGGCTGAAAAGCCTCGAATTCTGAATTCCAGTACTTCACTGTGTCATCTGTAGCTTCCGCGAAGTGCGTTAGCACAGCGCTCTCAATCCCTGTCCGGAGTGCGGTAGGTCGGTTGTAGTAAAAGCCCTCCACATCCTCCAAGAAAAGCTCCAGAGAACCTCCATCAAAGATGCCGTGGAAAAGCGAGAGGAGATACGCCGTCCTGTCAGGTGCACGGATGACCGAGAGTCTGAAAGGGGGCTTGTCGAGTGTAATCGAGGCTTCTGCGTCGGCTTGAGCGTTCTGAACAGTCTCGTTCCAATCATCCAGTGATCGGCAATCCAGATATTCTATGCATGAAGAGGCAGACTCTGCTACTGAGGAAAGTACACACTGTGCAAAAGGGGACAGCTCGTCATCGACTGGAACGAATACCATCCTGAAACTATCATGTCGAGCGAGTACCGCTCGCCATGATTCTCCTAGTCGGGTGGAGTCCATTGCAGTCTTCTGGTAGTACAAGGAATGATTGATGTAACTCTTTCGCGGGCCAGATGCCACCTGCTTAGAAACACTTCGCAGAAAGCTTGCTACCATTCCAGATTGCGTAGCAGTGGTTGGCAGAATCTTTTCGATTCCAGCTGCGTCAAGGCCCAGTTGCTTCGCACAAGCGGTTCGATGGAGCTCGTCGAAGTCGGAGAAGCGGGAAGGCCAGTCCTCGTAGCGTTGTGGTGAACCTTTGGGAGTTGCGCAGTCGGTGCCGGCACAAGCGTTTGCAAGACCCTGTACCGTCCGACTACTGAGCACTGTGGCGACTGCCAGGCTTGAAATACCTTTGTCTCGCAGTTGTTGGAGTAGCCGTACTGCGCGTAGACTGTCCAGCCCGAGGGAAAGCAGATTAGTACCGGGCGACATGTTCTCCTCCTTGATTTCGCACACTTCTGCTATGGCTTTGATGACCAATGCGTAAGTAGCATCATCTGAGATGCTCCTCGCGAGCTCGCTGTCATAGCCCGAGTCAGATGACGCTTCAGAGACATCGGCGGTCTGCCACCGTTCTTCCACAATCGCGGTTAAAGCTTTGCGGTCTGTTTTGCCACTTCGAGACCGCGGCATTGATTCCAAGACGAAGTAGCGGGATGGTCTCATGAACGCGGGAAGTAGCCTTTCGGCCGACTTCCGACATTGCACGAGGATGTCTTCTGCTGACTTGTTCTGGTCAATGATCAGACATACTACCACCTGCTCACTTCCATGACCGAGCTGTCCATGATGGTGTACTATGGCGACAGCATCTGTAACACCATCTGTTCCAGCAAGAACGGACTCGATCTGCCCAAGCTCAACTCTGCGCCCGCTCAGCTTGACTTGGTCCGAGGTCATTCTGCCCAAATACTCCACAGTAAGCTCTCCTTGTTTCGTCTTGACAATACGAGCCCGGTCGCCTGTGCGGTAGAGCCTTCCGTATTCTTGACAAGTCACGAATGACGCAGCAGTCTGATCCGGTCGATTCAGGTAGCCCTGACTGACCTGTGGTCCACCGATAGCCAGTTCTCCAGAGAAACCGAGAGGAACTGGTATTGGGCGTCTGCAGCTCGGATCAAGAATAAGGATGGAGCAAGTGTCGATAGCCTGGCCAATGATGGACCCTCGTTCATCTACCGAGACATCTGGAACGATTGTACAATTTATCGAGCCCTCCGTAGGACCGTAGGCATTAAGAAGCTTGCGAGACCTCTGCAGAGACGGGGTATGCGTTTCGCCACGAGTGTTGCTTGGCGAATCGGATGCAAAGTTTTGTATCACCTTGGCTGTCAGTTTTTCTCCCATGGTCCAGAGATGCCGTAGTGTGGGAACTTTCTCTGGTCTTAGCACGCTGGCCATACTAGGGGTCGCCATCATGATGGTAGCGGAAAGCTGATTTATGGCGTCTTCGGGGTCCGTTAGCAGTAGGTCTCTAGGAGCACCGCAGAGGGTTCCGCCAGTCCACCAAGTAGTGAAGATCTCCATGATGGAAGGGTCGAAGGTCGGTGCCGCGAACTGAAACCACCGGAAGCCTTCTTTGAAGAAGGATGTGGGGATAAACTTGGAATGTGATGCTATCGAGCATGCCGCGGCAAAATGGGAGATCTTCACGCCTTTGGGCTTGCCTGTCGAGCCGCTGGTATACATGACATACGCCAGGCTGCTCTCTTCTACTACCGGGAGAGGTTTTGTTGATTCCAATTGCCCTTCCTTGAATTCTCGAATGAAATTCTGGACATCCAGGCATGTTGCGAGCTCATCGTCGTCACAGTACCAGGCATCCCAAGGACGCCCGCCGACTTGCGGCCCATTCGTTAATACCAGCGAGGCACCGACTTCCTCAACAATGGTGTGAAGCTGCTCCGGCGGTGCGTCGACAGGCAAAGGGCAAAACGCAAATCCTGCTTTCAGCACGCTCAACCAGGAGACATAAAATGCTGCGGAATTGGACATATACGCCGGTACAATGGTATTTCCATGCTGTTGGAGGGAAACACAATCGAGAAGTCGAAGCGCGAGTGCAGTGGTAAGAGCGTCCAGCTCGGCATATGTGAAGATTTCATCGATAGGAGACAAATCTTGTGATGTCGAGCGGAAATGAAGCGCATGGCGATTTGGATGACGTTCGACTGACTTTATGAGTCCTGAGTGAAGGAGGTTTCCAGAAGAGATGCCTCTGCCCAACTGTGCAAGTGGAGGAGGAAGTTGCAGCGGCGGGTGATTTAAAATCGACAAGCGGGGGCTGTCCAGAATGACACTATCACGTTCCGTCGACAATTGCTCCAGTAAGGAGTTCCAGACTACCTCTGCAAACTCCTCGTCGAGATAACTGTGGTCATACAACAATGCCAATGTAAGTTCAGTTGCATGGTATTGTACAACAAAAGGCTAAAACATCAGCACCTCTCCACGTAGCCATTTGCAAGCACTACTCACTGTCTGTAAAGCGGGCAGTGTTGATGTCGAAGTGAAATTCTCCGGATCAGCTAACACTTCGATGCCAAAGTCGGAGACGGAAAGGCCAGAGTTCGTGGCGGTTATGGAATCCAGATGGCATTCGGCTTGGATCCCCTTGTTGCTGCCGCCGGAACCGGGTCTCTCCAGAACAGTAGCTTGGACTATTTGAGGCTTTATCCTGTCTTGGAGAGAGGTCCGCAAAGCAAAGTGAAAACATACTTCGTTCTCTCCAGTGAAAGAGGCGATGAATCGTGCATAGCTTTGTAGGAGTATAGTCTTGCCTTTCGGCTGAGCCGGAATGTTTCTCGCATAGCTATGATGTCTGCGCCGGTATCTCTGGGTACCATCATTCCGAGAAGATACCTGTCGCGTGTCCGAAGATAGAGTATCGAGTCTAGGAAACGAAGTTGGCTGGATGGTAGGGTACGCCATCGTCTGGCACAGTCAGAGGGTAGAACCACAAAGCAAACAATGGATGGTCTCAAGGACGGAACGGTAGGTGATTGACCTGGTTGAACTTCAATTCCGCCGACCTACCGATAGCTGAAGGCACACAGTAGCAGGATACGACATAGAATGCCAGCCACGATCCGAGACCGCAAACTGTCGTCCGATTCACACACCACCATTGCCGCGCTCGGCTGCATGGCCGGAAATGGGCACACAAGGGATCGTTGGCGCCCGCGGGAAGGACTCGTTGAGTTCTGAACTGCCTACACGTTAGTCACAAGCCCAAAGATGCGAGGGCACGGCCAAATTTGTGAGAACTCCACGCGGCATATCACGGCGAACTTAGAAAGTCCGCAGACTAGATCGCCGGCCGCAGGTGCAAGTTTGGGTAAAGCCCCACTCTGTGAGACTACTGCTGTGAGCATGTTGTTCGTCGGCTCCAGTCACGTAGTGCAGCTGTAGGTGCCGACACATGATCTGACTGAGTGCTTTGTCGAGGTCTGGATTAACTTATCTGATTGATCCGCAGCTCGCCCGTCACGCGCTAATTTAGCGTCTGCAACGGTGCAGCACAGGGCTCCCGGTCCTGGTCCTGGTCCTGGTCCTGTGGCTGAGGCATCGTGCACCAATGGAATGCCAAGGGTCCGGCTCCGGTCTCTACCGGGTGTCCATGTCTCATTGCCTTCGATGCCCTTTTATTGTGTGCTTGGAATACTCTAGCATGCGACGAAGCAGACAGTCGCTGCGTGTCTCTGAGCTCCAAGGCGAATTAGTCTCCTTGAAAAGCCCTCCAGATGCAATAATTTCTGGCTTGACTTTCTTCGGAACGGCCAGAATCACTTGATGACCAGGGATGGGCTCAAGTGAGACCGGTACTTAGTACCTTTCCATGTTGGCCGCAGCCGAAATACTTTTAGGGCTCCTGATGTGACGTCGTACGCCGTCTCTGCACGGAGCACGCTAGTGGTGACCGTAATCGCGAGCGGACAAGACGCCGAAAGCAGGTTCTCACTCTTACGTCGATCCTTGAGCTGTGGTAACGCTCCAGCGCGTTGCTGTTGTCGGAGTCGGATTCCAGAAAGGTTTCGGGTGGTGCAGCTCGCACGAGCTCAGAAACCGAGGCTAGGTTGATTTGCGTGGTAGTTTCAGAGTACAGACCGTGACTGCTGCAGAATCTAATCTGATCAACAGACTCTATCCAGTCTGTTTGCAGTGCGTTGTTTATTCAGCCATGGCCACAACCACAATCATTGACGACGTGAAAGAGATACCGAATCACTATCCATCCATATTTCATGGGCCTGCAGATCCTCCACTTGTCACTCTGACGCTTGGTGACTTTCTGGACGCTCAATGCAGACGGCATGGCAATCGCGAGTGTATCGTAATCCCATGGACCGGCGACAGATGGACCTACGACGATCTGAGAGAGCAAAGCTCCGCGCTAGCCCGCTATCTTCAGGCCAGAGGTATTCAGTCGGGTGATAGAGTGGCTATCCTGGCCGGGAATCGCGCAGAATATGCCTCTGTATTCTTTGCTTGCATGCGCCTGGGTGCCATCTTGGTCATACTGAATAACACATACACCACTCCCGAAGCCGAACATGCATTGCAGTATACCGGTAAGTCCTGGTAGACGCCATGGACAGTGCCATGCCGACAACTGACGCTTGCTATACAGCAACCAAGGTGCTATTTGCAACTCCTTTCATCGGCCGGCAAGACAACCGCCCCATGCTCAAACGCTTCACGCAACTCGCGGGTCCAGTTTCGGGACTGCAACAGGTCATACTCTTGGAGGGCACGATGGGCGGATTCCTGGATTACCAGACTGCCGTGCGAGTGGGCGAACGGCTTCCCGAAGGTCCTCTGAAACAGGTTCAAGAGAGCGTCAGCCCGTATGAGACTTGCAACTTGCAGTTCACCTCTGGATCAACAGGGCACCCAAAAGCAGCTATGTTGACACATCATGGGCTGCTAAATAACTCACGTTTCATTGGGGATCGCATGAGCCTGACCCAGGCAGATGTGCTCTGCTGTCCGCCTCCGCTATTCCACTGCTTTGGTCTCGTCCTGGGACTGTTGGCGGTTATGACACACGGCGCGAAGATCGTGTATCCGTCGGAGGTATTCGATGGGCCTTCGGTCTTGCAGGCAATCACTGAAGAAAAATGCACAGCATTACACGGTGTTCCAGCAATGTTTGACACACTGTTCAGCTTGCCCAGACCAGCAAACTTCGATTGTAGCAGATTGAGGACGGGCATCATCGCTGGAGCGCCTGTGCCTCGCCATCTGATGGAGTTGCTGGTGACCGACTTTGGTATGACCGAATTCACAAGCAGCTACGGCTTGACGGAGGCATCGCCAACCTGCTTCAATTCGTACGTCGACGATTCGATTGATAGACGCTTGACGACTGTCGGCACCTTGATGCCACACGCTCATGCTAAGATCGTAGATTGCAACGGCCGTATCGTTCCAATTGGTGTCCGAGGGGAGTTATGTATGGCTGGGTACCAGCTACAGCAAGGCTATTGGCGGAACCCGGAGAAGACGGCGGAGGTAATGAAACGAGACGAGAATGGCGTGTTATGGCTACACACGGGCGATGAGGCGGTGGTCGATGAGCATGGATACTGCAGCATCACTGGTCGGTTCAAGGACATCATCATCCGAGGTGGTGAGAATATCTATCCGCTTGAGATCGAGGAGCGACTCGTCGCGCATCCAGCCGTCGATCGTGCCGTCGTCGTCGGATTGCCGCATCCTCGATATCAGGAAGTGCCTTCAGCCTTCCTGCAGCGAGCAGAGGGGGCGGAGCGGCCGAGCCTCGAGGAGATTCAAGAGTTTAGTCGTAAGACGCTGGGTCGACACAAGGCGCCCATGCATGTATTCTGGCTCGGCGAAGACGGTGTGACTGCGGATCTACCCACCACTGGCAGTGGTAAGGTCAAGAAGTTCGAGATGAGGAAGATTGGAGAGGAGTTGCTCGCCGCCGTAGGTCCAGCTCGTGCTCGGCTGTAAGGATGGGACTGGTGGAGTAGGCATTAGAAGCACGAGGACCATGATGGGGAAGCGAGTCGTTGGTGGCCATTGATTGTGATAATTTATGCGAATTTGAGCAGGTAGACGTAGTTGTTGATGGAGTGAGGTCAAGTTTCATGCGGGTCGATTTCCGATATCTAATCTAATCCATCTGATCTCCGAATCTCCGGGTGTTTGACGGCACAAACCTTCTCCCAATGATATCACACCGATAACTTGTAAATTGAGAGTCATATACGTGCTGGCACAGATACACAACGATACCGTTTTAAAACATGGCACGCTCGCTGCTCCGCTGCGATTGATTCTTGGCATCGGACTTCATCTCCTTCAAGATGCTGCGCGCCGCCCGCTGTGCTCTCTCCGACATCCAGCTGAAGTTGTCGCATCGTCCTTTGTCGTCTTCCAAAGACCCCAGCAGCCACATGCCGCAGCCGGCTTCCAGTGCTTCACGGCGGAAATTGACCTGATACTCACGATTGACGCCGATGGCGCTGTCGTCCAGCAGACCGGCGGGAATGTCGATGAGGTCCCGATTGATGGCGAAGCTGTAACCCGTTGCTGCTACCACCGCATCAAATGCCTCCGCTGAGGTGGCCAACTCTCCTGTGCGAGGGTTTCGAATTACCAGGCGGACCTTCTCCTGCTCGCGCTCAGTACCGACGACTTCGCTCAGCGCCTTGAGCTGAAACCTCCACTTTCTCGAGTCTGCTTCTTTAATCTTCTGTGTGTACTGAGCTTCATACAGACTTCCCAGCGTGTGTACGTTGATCTTGGGAGATGAAGAAGCGGACTCCTGAAGACGGTACCGGACTTCGGGAGGAAGCTGTCTCGGCAGCGATTCTGGCCTCTCAAGCATGTCCTGCACCTTCGCCACGTCATCTTCAGGCCTCAAGGCCGAATCTGCATAGTACATTGTTGCAGTGTGCTTTCCTCGCGAATGCGACAGGTGCAAGAATAGCTCGGCTGCTTCTTGATCTGCACCAATCACTGCAATATTCAAAGGTTGCTGCGCGGTCGCCAAGCTGTCAACAAGACGATTCGATGAACTGGAATGCCAAATTAAAGGAGCACCAGAAAGTGCTTGTGGAATTCGAGGCGTTGCTCCAGTCGCCAGCACTACACGTTTGGCCAGCACAGTTGTCCGAGCTTTGTTTTTGGTATGTTGCATTTCGATCGACCACTGTGCAATACTGTCGCGGCCATTGCCTTTCAGTGGTCTGACTTGCACGACTTCTTGGTCATATTTAACCCATCCTAGCTGTTGGATCTGGCCTGCTGCCCAGCGGAAGTAATCTGCCATAGCTCTCCTTGAAGGCGCAATCTTGGAGTTGTTGGTAAATCGGATCAACTGGTTGGTCTTCTGGAGATAATTGACGAAGGTGAACTTTGACCTCGGGTTTTGGGTCGTGGTCAAGTCGCGAAGAAAAGAGACTGCCACGGAGTTGTCCGGAAGGATGTGAGCAGGATGCCAGTCAAACTGGGCTTCTTGCTCAACGAACAGCACACGTGCATCTGCATTGCCGTCTGCAAGTGAGGCTGCCAGAGGAAGTGCGGTCGTCCCGAATCCAACACCAACCAAGTCGTACGCCAACGTGTGGCCTCCTTCATTCTGCCATCCCTCGAAAGATCGGTGCTTGGCCGGGGCATGGGGCTGCTGTTCAATGTTCAGTGACATCTTCCGCGGACACTATGGTCAAATCAGTGGTGATGGTGGCAAAGATAAACCTTGATCTATGGCAAACGACTGTTGAGCATGTGTCTACAAAGTTCGAGAAACGAAACCACGAACCTCGGTCCTCGCTGTTGACTTCCGCACATCGGCCTTGAATCTGCCCACCTATCCGCCTATGCCCTCTTGTTTTGGAGAGATTGTAACATCGGCCTGGCGATGCTCTCCGCTAGCCTCGGGATTTCTGCATTACGACCCACAGCACCACCAATTCGAGCCAGGCAAGGCGGTGGGCCAAAAAAACAATAATCCATCCCTTCACGCTTGGCAACCGTTCAAGCTGAGCCAGGATGTAAAGTTGGTGGTTCAATATGCACGTTGACAGGGCCATGCTACGTGCGTGCTGCATTGAAGCCTCATGCGGCCCGGCGATCGCTCGTGAACGCCAACGCTACACTCTAGCCGCAGGCAATAGGTGAAACGCACCCTGTTCCACCAACTGGTGATCCTTCGAAGCCAAGGAGCCGCAGGAGCTGGGGCTTCCGCACTAGTGCTGTGTGAAATGGCAGGCCGGGTACGTACCTACCTGGTAGAAAAGGATCTGATAAGATTTTTCCAATCTAATCAGATGACCGCCAAGAGTCACATGGACCGCTTGTCTCACCGAGATATAGCAATGTCTTGCAAGATCAATTCTTGGTATTAGGAAGGACAGCAAAGTCTTGGAGATGACCGCCGAAGTCGCTGCACTGCCTTGGCGGCGTTTGGGCCCGAGTACTCTCGCATTTGCCTGGAAGCTGGCCCCGCACCAATGGTTCTCGTTGCCTGAGGCATCAACCGCTGTCCAGATCACTCACAGGGAAGCAAGAAGCTGACACCAGTGCTAAAGACCATTATCTCAATCATAGATCTGAACTCGAGTTGGGGTGGCAGGCTACATATCCCTCCCTCGCACCACAGTCCTTCTGTCTGTCAAACCACGTATTAGGTCTAGCAGCAACGAGCGATACAGAGTTCATTCAAAACACGAACGATTGATTCCAACTGTTGTACATCTGTCGTCAGCACGTTCGATGGCAACCAAAAGGCCAGAGTCCAAGGAAGGAGCTAACCAGGTTTTCCCAGTAAAGCACAGAGGATCTTCAGCGCTGGGAGCGCCACGAGGACGCGATGAGCGTGGAGAAAATTGCAACCAAGAGAACTCCGTAATCACCAAGACGGCCAGGATAAACAGAATCCAAACGCAACCGACGCGTTGGGAGAGCATTGTCGATCTGTTGTAGGGTTGTTTCTCGGTAGATTCTTATCTAACCCGAAAAACAGACAACTCCACGGCGACACTACTCGGCGGCTAGGGCGGCACCGACTACTCTGTGGGTTCGATCACTGCACTTGCTACTCACTCTCTGGATCTTCAAACGATGTTCATCAGAAAACGTGAAGGCCATCATTCAACTAGTACAGAGTAACGCACACATCCTCGACAAAGTCCGGAGCCCAACGCTCGGCATATGAAAATCGACAAAAGAAACTCACGTCATTGGACGAAGTCGACCACAGCTTACATCCCTCATCAGCCACTGGCACGGCTGACTGACCATATCACTGAACAGTGTCTTATCAGCCGGACCCACCAGAGCATACGTATGTCTTCTGCGCCGGTCAGGACCTACAGCAGCAGCGTCAATCCATCTATGTTTCGGCATAAGGTATGCTAGCACTGCAGGAACTATTTCCCATGATTAGAGCACTGGATGGGTTACGAGGTGGTGCTGATCCTTTGTTGATGCGGGTACGTTCATCTGCAAGCAAGCGGCACGGATGCATGAACACCTGCTCTTATATTCATATGGATGGATCATCGTTGGAGAAGCTTGCCCACATGTACATTTTCCCGGTTTCGAACAAGCAAGTATCTTTGCTAGCTGCACGCAGATGGTATGATCATACAAGAGTATCTCGGGTACTCCCATCTGGGAGGTAAGACTTATCATGATACAAGTTCACGACATATACGCACCAAATCTTACTGTACTCAACAATTAATACTCTCAACAGTGCGCAAAATCATTCATTACTTTTCCCAGAGCTACATACTTGTCTCTCTCATCAATCTCCCAGAACCTGATGCAAAGCATTCGTCCGATAAGTCTCACTATCCCTCAGCAACTCCTTATGCGTCCCTCTGGCCGTACACTTCCCCTCCTCAATCACGAAGATCCGATCCGCCTTCTCAATCGTATGCAAGCGATGCGCAATCGCCACCACCGTGACACCCTGCCGGACATTCTCCAACGCATCCTGCACCATCTTCTCGCTCTCCGAATCCAGCGCAGAGGTAGACTCATCCAGAAGCAAAAGTCTCGGTTTCCGCAGCAGAGCGCGCGCAATGGAGACGCGCTGTCTCTGGCCCCCGGAAAATTGATTCCCATTGGGTCCACAGCGCGTTTCGTACTTCTCGGGCAAAGCCATGATGGTCTCGTGGATGTTAGCGAGTTTACACGCGTCTTCGATTTCTGCGTCCGTGACTTCGGAGTCCGGACGGGCCCCGAGGCTCAGGTTGAATTTGAGCGTGCCTTCGAACATGACGCTTTCCTGTGGTACGAGGGCAATGTCGTTGCGGAACGAAGCTGATGTGAAATCGCTTACGTTTCTGCCGTCGATGGTGACTCGGCCGGATGAGGGACGGTAGAAGCGCTCAATGAGGGATATGATGGTGGACTTGCCTGCCCCGGAAGGACCCACGAGGGCGCAGAATTGGCCGGGTCTCATGTCGAGATCTAGACCTTTAAGGACTTGGGCATCTGGACGTGCTGGGTATGAGAATTCGACGCCCTCGAAGCGAACGTGTGCGCCGCCTCCAACACGGCTGTCAGATTTTTCTATTCCAGCTTCGATGTCTTTCTCTCCGCCAAAATCGGAATCATCGTCGATATTGGGACCAGCTCGAATGGCTTTGGGAGTAATTGTCAAAGTTTTCTTGCCAATCTCCAACAGATCCAGAATCCTGGCGGCGGAGACACCAGATTTGGAGAAGTCCGGCGCGAGAGCAAAGAGCTGTCCACAAGTCTGCGCACTAAAAAGAAGCGCTGGCAAGACGATGAAGAATTGCGTCTGACTGTATCGCCCTTCAATGATGTTCTGTGTACCCCACCAGTATGCCAGTGCATAGACCAGGTTACTAACACTGTACGAAGAAGCAAGCCATGCATTGCTCCATAGGAGCATTTTCAGGGTCTCTGCGTAAGGAGCCTTCAAAGCTCGATGATAGACATTGACGGCTTCATCTTCCAAAGAGTACATGGATATGACTCGAATGGAATTGACAGCTTCGACCGCAAAGCCTGTGGCACTCGAGAAAGCTTTTGCGTGCTTTTCGTGGAACTTCTTGAAGCAGCGGAGTCTCATGAATCCCGCGCCTAGAAGGACCGGCACGCAAGCCATGAGTACAATCGAGATCCGCCAAGCAATCGCAAGCGATAGAGCAATACCGGCAATGGAGTTGATAATGATGGAGAACAGCGTACCCAAGATCGTACCAGTTAGTCCAGCTAGAGCATTGGCGTCCGTAGTGATGAAAGCCAGCAGAGAGGAAGGATCCCTACCATCGGATTCGTGCCAGTCAGCGTTCTGGCCCAGCAGAGTCCTGAAGCAAAGTACACGAATCTTGTACAAAGTGTCCTCGGAGACTCTTCCAAAGAGCGAGCCCATGATCAAGTTAGCGAAGAACTCTATGATGGCCAAGATAAAGAAGAGTAGACCCCAGAAGTGTCCAGCAGAAAGGATCGCCGCGGCAGTATTGCAGCTACTGAAGCTACTGATGGTATGTCCAAAAATAACGGCTTCTCCAGAGTATGAGCCACCAACAACGGCTGCGGCTGTAAAGGCGAACAAGAGATAGAAGGCCTGAGATCTGGTGAGAGCTCCAACACGAGCGATTGTTGATACAAGTCCTCGCTGTTTCGTCTTATGAGCTTTGTCACTGTCGTATTTCTCCTCGTTTTCGGGAGCTTTGTCTGGTTCGTCGAGTTGCATAGTAAAGATTTCCTCAGAAGTCCTGGTCATCTCCTTGGGAGGTGTCTCATCGCTGGTGCGGTCTTCTGCAAATGAAATCCCATCCCCGGAGTTCTCAGCAGAGCTTTGAACAGCGTCTTCAGTCTCTTCGCCCTGGCCGACAGTCTGAAGTCGGACCATACTGGCATAGACACCATCCGCGGCGACGAGTGCCTGATGGGAGCCTTGTTCCACAATCTTGCCGCTTCTCATGACAATTATGTTATCTGCATGCTTTACAGTCGACAATCTGTGCGCGATGTTAATGGTTGTGCGTCCTTTGGAGGCTTCTCGCAGAGCACCCTGAATTAGTCGTTCGCTACGAGAATCCAGAGCAGAGGTGGCTTCATCCAGTAGTAGAATCTTCGGGTCTCTCATCATAGCTCGTGCCAGGGCGATTCTTTGCTTTTGTCCTCCACTAAACTGATTACCAGCAGATCCAACAGTGGTAGCCAAACCATGTTCAAGCCGATCGATGAAAGCTGTTGCATCTGCAATTTCTGCAGATTTCAGGACCCGACGCACAACGCTTTGAAGAGCAGAAGACTTTGTCCGTAGGGCAACATCAAACTGAGTGCCTTTACGAATTTGTTCAGCGAACTGTGCAACTTCTCCGTCCAAGACCGTGGAGATCTCTTCGACGGGAGCATTAGAGTTGATCAGTCCATGGGCGATGTTTTCGAGTATCGAACGGTCCAGAAGGGCAGGGTCTTGTTGTACAGCACCAATGCATCCTCGCAAATATGCTACATTAAGCTCACGCAAGTCAACTCCGTCCAATCTGACGCTACCCTCGCTCGGGTCATAGAGTCGTGCCAGGAGAGCTGCGACGGTAGACTTGCCACCTCCGGACTGACCAACGATCGCGGTATGCTTGAACGCTGGGATCGTCATAGAGAGATCCTTGACGACCGTGCTGTCTGGGCGACTAGGGTAGGCGAAAGCGACATTATCGAACTCAATAGCGCCATCGATATGATTTAGATGAAGTCCATTAACACGGTCGGTGCCATCAATTCGCGACTCTCTCGTAATGGCCTTGTTGAGTTTCTCAAAAGCACCAGCTGCTGTTCCGAAGATCTGCATGAATGGGGCGACTTGACTGAGAATGAAAGATGCTGCATCATATCAGTAAACAGAGACGGGATAGCGGACTCCACCGGGGCACCAAATACCATCAATGAGCAAGAATATGACCGTGTAGACAGCCCCAATCTTGCCAGCATCGCCTCCGTTGTCAATAGAGTCCGCGATGCCTCGACTTCCTTGCCAGTACGCCAGGGCGTTGGTGGAGTATGCAATGAAGTACAGCAGACCAAGCTGAATGGCTGCCGTGAAGGCCTTTTTCATGCCTGCGTCTCTGGCCGTGTTGAGGTAGCTGGCAAACTTAGCTTCCAGACGAGCATTTGCACCGAAGGCATGGACTATGGTGAGCTTGTTCAAACTCTCAGAAGCGATAGAAGTCGCTAGAGCAATTTGATCTGACATCCTTCCGGTGTACCGCTTGATGAAGTAGGATCCCACAAAGGCCATAAGAAAGTAGGCTGGGACAAGGGATACCAAAATGCCAGCGAGTTCAGCATATTTGATGAAGGCCACGATGTAGGCAGCCACGAAGTAAGAGGTGCTCGAAAGCACGATGCCGACCTTCTCAGACGTTCCCTTTTGAATATCTTCGAGATCGTTGGACAAACGGGACGAAACATCACCCGCAGGAAGATTGTCAAAGAAAGCCAATTCCTGTCGCAAGAGGCTCCTCAAGTATGTCTCCCGCAAACGACGGACCAGACGCTCTCCGAACATGCCCCAACATGTCGTGTTGATGTAAATGAAGCACCAGTTGGCGATGGTAACATAGATGATATAGAGCACTTTTTGAACGACGGCATCTTCAATGGACGAGGTGTCACCTCCCGTGTTCTCCGTGCAGTTGGCACTGTTGATTTTGTCGATGAGTTGACCGAACAGGATACCCAAGAGCGGGAAAGGAACTCCTGCAGCGATGCCACCCACTATACCACCACAAAAGAGGAGGACATCCCAGATGCAATAGCCGGGGCTGAACAGCAAGCGAAAATAGGTGAAGGCCTGCTTGTTCCAAGGTTCCTTCTCGGCGGCAGAATCATCATCGTCGACCTTGGCCTCCTACAACGAACACTCAGTAAATTCTGTCATGTCCTAAGGGAGATCGTTCACTTACCTTCTTCCTGAAGTGGGATCCCATCCTTGTGATAGACCAGATAGACCAGATCGAACACAGGACCAGATTGCAGCCAACGGCTGTCACACAACAAAGTCACGGCCATATCTTCCTCCTTCACAAGGCCGCCGAAATCATGTGATGGCTTTGTTGTCGCCATGAGCGGCATCGGAGGCTGATTGGCCAAGGTCATGTTGCGGAAGAATCGGCTCACAATCCACAGTTGTTCGCGTTCTCGTGGGAGAACTAGTGCGTCCAGCTTTCAGCAGTAGTCTGGTGGATGCTCTGGTTGGCATCACGTACAGCGTAACCAGGGTGTTGGTCGTCGAGACCTTCACTAGCCACAGCCATCGCCTTCAATGCAGGCCCCACCCCGGCGCAGCTTTCACCTGCCTCTAGCGGCTACGCTAGTTTGGCCCCGGGCGGCAGGGTAAAAATCTGATCCGAGGATGCGATTATCAACTCGGTGACAGGGAAAAGATCAGTCCGACAGGGTTGCAATGCGCCGTCAATGATGCACTCACTCTCGATCTCGACCCAACTTCGGCTCCGCACACTCTGCGAACAGGGTAGGTGAGACGGACCAAATGCCAAAAAGGAGCATTGGGTGAGATGCTGGGAAGTATCGTGTTGCTCGGCATATGCGGTCGACAGTAGCTGTTCTTGTACCTCTGTTGGGCGAATGTTCTAAGATCCCTAGACCATCACGCGAAGTCTCGGCATCTCTGGTAGTTGAGACACGCTGCTGCTGCCAGTAATGGCCTCGGTGGGCTGGGAGCTGGTCTCCGACACTGGGACCTCTTCGAATCTGACGCTGGGAATTGCTTGCGAGTGCGGTGTCTTCACTGTCATCCTGTAGTGCTTGCTCTCCCACAACCCGTACCTGCACCCGTGCAACACCATGTCTTCTCTATCGTTGCCTGCCACAATTCGTCTCCCACATCCATATCTCACCACCTACCGAATCCACGAGGTCAGCAACAGCCATGCGCCAACGCGCTATGGCACCAAGCTCCTCCAGATAAAGCATGAACCGCGAACGTCAGGAACTCCAACGCAGAAAGATGGTCAAGCTGCTCCTGAGCAGCTGCATAGCGATGTCAGCTTCTCAAATCCCGCTCAAGATCAGAGACAAGATCAGCTTCCTCCGGAATCCAACAACTTCTTCTGGGGCCGTGTGAGGCGGGCTCCCAAGAGCGACGTTGTCTGGAATGAGCCACATGCCCCAACCGTCGCTCAAGCATGGTTGATCGTATATGCTCTCTTCTCGCTGCGTCCAGAGCTGGAATACTTCCGGCTTGGACTTGTCGGTGTCGGAAGCAAGAAGCTGGCAGAAGACCTCAAGCTTGTCCACCTGGCATGCCAACATCCATTACCCGAGAGCAAGACTAGCACGGATCCAGAGGCATACACGGACGAGCTGGTCTTGCTGCGAAGCACTTTCTGGCAGGGCGCCGGCTCGCCGTTCGGTCCTCGTCCAGTGTGGGCTCCAACGACCAATGCAGTTTCCGGCAAGACTCTGTCTTCCTACCCTCTCCATCCCGTCGATTTTACGGCAACGTGCAAGTTCCCACACGAGAGAGTCCACGCTGTCCACCCGCGACGACCACAGAAGCCTCAGGGCGGATCGATCATCTACAGCAGATACATCCCGCATCTTGACCAACATTTCAGCATCTTCGCGCTCGACTACCAGAATGACGAGCATCTCCGCCTCTTCAACCAATGGCAGAACGATCCATTTGTTGCTGCGGGTTGGGACCAGACCGGCACCCTGGAGCAGCACAGAGAATATCTTCAAAAGCTGCACGAAGATCCGCATGTCATCACAGTGCTTGCCAAATTCGACGATACGTGGTTCTCATACCACGAACTCTACTGGGGCAGGGTACGTCCTCAAATCTTTACCCCACCCTTCCACATGTAGACTCACATTTGTTCTCAGGAGGACCACTTTGGCGTCTACTGCCACGCCGGCGACTACGATCGCGGCCGACACTCCTTGGTGGGAGACACACGCTTCCGCGGTCCTCACCGGGTCTCGGCATGGTGGTCCTCCATCATCCACTTCCTCTTCCTCGACGAGCCTCGCACCCAGGTGGTCATTGGCGAACCCAGAGTCACCAACACTGTGTCCATCTCATACGACCTCATGACAGGCTTCAGCACCACCAAACATGTCGATTTGACGCATAAGAGGAGTGCGGCGCAAAAGTTGGGTCGGGAGAGGTTCTTCCAGCTGTGTCCGTTTCATTTCGAAGGGACGACGAATGTGGGCGGTACGAATATCAAGTTGTTCTCGAAGCTCTGAGAGATTAGTGATGGGGGATCGGTGTCGGAGGCTGGCGACAGCGTGTCGATATCGTGGCAGGAGGCGTGTAGGATGATGTATCGATCTGATCGTGTCCTTCTGCACGTACATGATGTACCACATTTCTCACTTAAGCTGTCTTCGGAGGAAGGTTCGTCCAGCCATTGATCGAACATTGGAGACTGCGTAGCAACTTTCCACAGCTACGTGGACGTCGACGTCGCCGTCCTTGTTCTCCAAGCACGGGTATGGCCGGGTGGGTTCCTCGCAAGTGAATGTTCCATTCAATGAGCACCGAGGGGGAAAGAGATCCGATGTGCGGGAGTCTCAGATCGGAAGAAGCCGCACGTGGCCGTGGCGCTGATTCAGCAAGGGCCGGCAGCGCTTCGTCCCGTCAGCCAATCACGGCAGACGCTGCTCGTGACGCCGGGCTGCGCTCTTGTGCTCTGTACCTGTACTGCAGAAGGGCGGCAGCGCTGTTGGACAAAGAGAAGATGCGCCAGGCACCGTGAGATTGGCGGCGACTCCGTGCTCTACCTCTTACCTTTTACCCTCTCCGTCTATGTGCGACCAGACGTCGTCCATGGCGTAAGCGCTCCAACGCCTGCACACCGACCGGCACACAGCGATATCGCGGCGCGGATTGGCTCATTGTCCTTCACCTCCTCCCACATCCACCGCGAAATATCGAGTCCTGATAGCGATCCGCACCTCGATCCAGCTGTTTGGGCGGTGTTTCAGTTCGCGCAACCCAACGCCGGCTTGCGGAAGCGGAGAAGGGCGCCAGCGAGACGAACGACAAGGTGGAGGTTGCAAGTCGGCGAGCTCTGCCCAGCAGTGCCAGCTTGCTGCTCACCTTGCCGCCGGGATCTCGCCTTTGCAACTGGGACGTCAACGGGGGGGAAAGAGCCTGGAATCTGCTGCACGTCCTCTCACGCAATCATCGCAAACCACATGCGTCTCATGCCGGAGTGAATGCATCGCTGCGCTGTCTGTCCGTGAGGCAGACGTGCCATGCTCAATGCGAGGGACCGATCCGCCAACAACACGAGACCACACCTGCACGCTGCCACAGACGATCCCCACCGACCGATGTTTCGCGATCGTGTCAACACTCCAGGCGCCTCGTCTGATTTCTCCGCCTACGGCGAGGACTCTTTCTTGCGACCTCATCCCGCCGCTCAATCGCCGTATGCCACTCCCTTATCGCCCAAAGGCACGCCGTATACCTATGCCGATACCATGTCGTCCCAGTATCCGACACACAACCCGCAACGCGCGGGCCAAGGACAATATGTGCCTCCGCCGCCGCCCTTGATGCACCAGCAGCAACCGCAGTATGGGCATATCCCTCCACCTCCGCCTCGGCCACCCCTATCCGCGACACAATCGCATGCGCCCTTCGTACCACCGCCTCCGGGGCCAATGGGAGGCTACAACACCTACAACCGTCAGGCCATGTACCAGCAGCCATCTCAGAGCCAGCAGAGAGAACCGCAAGCCTACGATCCGAGCCTGTACTTCGAGTACGCGCAGCTGCCTCCACTACCCGACAATCAGCCCCTGACGTCTGCGACCTACATACCAGATGGTGGAAGTTTTGGGCCAGGAGTGGGGATTCCTGGTCTGCATTCTGGCAGTAGCCAACCGTATGCACATGCGAGGCCAGCACCGGTTCCTCAGCAACATAGCTTCTATCGCGGCGGCTCGAATGAATTCAGCGCATCCTCTCAAGATCTCTCACAGCCAAGATACGGAAGCGAAGGGAGCTATAGTTATGATGTTGGCGGAACTTGGTTCCAATCGGGCACTCCCAGCCCATACCAACAGCCTCCTCCTCAGCCAGCTTCTGCGCCTCCGCCGCTACAAAGCAATCTCCCACCTCCAACGCCTACTGGTAGGCAGAAGACGCTGGTTTTACCCGCGAAAGAGACGGAACAGCATACATCACCCGCGGAATCGAGCAGGCCTCCTTTTACGCAAAACAACACTAATCAGGCTAATGACAATGCATCCAACCGCGATCACTCATCATCAGGCGATATCCCGGCGTCCCCGCAGGATCAGAACTGGCCTGCCGAGCGTGTACAGACCTGGCTTGTGATACATAACTTTTCCAAAGAATGGCAAGCTGCATTTCAGCACCTGAGTGTGTCTGGAGGTCAATTCTTGGACATCGGTAGAAGCGGTGGGGTGAGGAACATTGGCTTCATGCCGCAGACACTGTTGCCTCAAGTCGCAAGAGAATGCACGGCGAACGGTGTGATGTGGGACCAGCATAAGGAGCGAGAAGAAGGCAAAAGGCTGCGGAGATTAGTGCGCGATGTGATCAAATCAGGCGGTGGCGGAACGCCTCAGACGGCTGGATCGAGCAGCACAACCAGCTTGCCGCTACGAGCCAACAGGAGAGATTCGACCAGTGGACACGCAGGAGCGACAAGTGCCGGCACTGATGCGGGAGGCTTGGAGACTTCACCAAACCTGCTAAGGCACGAGCCCAACTTTGGCTCAACTCCCTCCACAGCAGGTGGTGGAGATGACTCGCCAGGACGTGCGTTGCCGCCTGGTGCGCAAGGCAGAGCGCCTGGTCAGAGCGGCCAGAGATCAGTCACTTTGGACTCCTATACCAACACGTTGAACGAGTCGGAGCGGAGCGCTTACTCGAAGAATGCGCTTGCATCGATAGGCGACATTCGAAGAACACATTCACCCAGTGGCAGTACCTCAAACCTGAGCATCAACAGCCAGAAGTACCAAAGTAGTCCGCACCACAGCCCAGCACCTGTGAATGCCACGCCGAACGGCGCTGGCCAGAACAGATATTCCAGTGGTCATTACCGCGGGACGAGCGACACAAGTGCCCCGCTGAATGGTCAAGGTAGGTTCTATGCAAGCCTGGCCAGCGACTACGATGCTAAAATTCTCCTTGAAGACCACGGAAGAAATGCGCAAGACGGTTCGCGACCTCCACCGTCAGACAGCGGTGCGAGACATGGTAGTAGGGATACACCGATAAGTGCAAGGGAACACAAGACTGGACTCTGGGCGAGAATTCGAAGAGATCGCAGAAAGGACGAACATCCTTCACCAGACGACGAGCATGGTCCCTCCAGTCCGCAGGCATCCAGGCATGGGCCGTATGGAAAGCCTGGAGCCGCATCTTCCGATATCTCATTGGGCGAGCATCCCTCGTCCAGGAAGGACCAGCACCTTAGCATTGAGTCCTCTGACAGCCTCATTCCGCCGAGGGGTAGACCGGCTTCTCGTGAAGAGGAGCAAAAGTTCATCTTTGTGACACCAGATGGCTGGAACTACCGCTTGATTGATATATCGCAGGTAGAGTCGGCTGATCAGCTACGCACCGTGATACAATATAATCTAGGGATACCCGACACCCCGGACATCACTCTGTATTTGACGTCGCCTGGCAAGCTCGAACACGAGGAGCCCCTCACCGATCAGATGCTGATGAATGCTAGAACGCGCATGGCCGATTTGAGTGGAAGTTTGAAGCTTTACGTACGATCGTTGGGAAGCATACCTGATCCTCCGGAGAGCGCCGGTCTTGGCTTGACCGGCCTACCTCAATCGCCTTTTGGCAAAGCAACCTTTGGCGAGAACCCTCTGGACGAGGCTACACTCAAGCGACTCCAAGAAGATCAAATCGCATCGCCCTCGACTGCGACCCTGGCTTCGAACGCGAGCACACTGGTACCTGACAAGACCCGGAATATTCAGATCCGGGAGAAGGAGGGCGATGGAGGCTCTGGGGATGCCCTTGCATTGCTTCAGGAAAACATGCTCCAGCAGGATTTCCAAAGTCTGCCATACGACAAGCAACAAGCTCTCCTCGATGCAAGAGCAGAACAGCACAGAAAAGAGACACAGCGCAAGCAGAAATTCTACCAGGCCCAGCGACGATCGCAAATCGTGGAAAGTGCTAATGGCAAGGGAATCCACGATTTTGACCGTCCTAGAATGTCGCCATATGAGCAAGAAAGGCAATCGGCTGCACGGCCCGTGTCATCTGGCTCGGGAGATGCTGAGAGAAAGACCGACTTCCAGCCAATGCGCAAAGCTCCTCCCGTTCCAGAGCCAACGACTACGCTGGTGAAAGCAAATAGTCTCACCAAGAAGCAGGGTCCGAACGCGCGCACTAGCTGGCCAAACCGCAAAGAAGAGCCTTGGAAGAGAATCTCGAATGGCTCAATTCCAGAAGAAGATCTAAAGCGACCTGCTGCAAAGGGTATTGGAGCCGCATTGGCAGGCGCTGGCAGAGCTGCTGGTTCTATTGCAGCCCCCAACAGTGCACCTAACAGCGCGCCGGCCATGTCTTCTCATTTACAGAAATCAATGACTGCTCCAGACTTTGGGGAGGAAGCTGCTCGGGCTTTGGCCTCAGTCAACTTTGGATCACGGTCCGCATCGACTGGAGGTCGCAATAGTCCTAACACGCCTCGTAGTCCCTTCACTATGTCTAAAGGCGGAACGACGTTTAGGGTGCCAGAATATGAGGAGGTCGAAGATGAAGAAGACACGCTCAAGGCCAACCAGAGACCAAACCTGTCGATACGGACACCCTCCAATCCATTGGTCACGAGAGTCCAAAAAGAGGGCAGACCTCACAGTCCGGAACTTAGTCCAAGTACCCAGCGGCCACCTCCCGCATCGCTCAACCGTATGGTGAGCAAACGAGGGCCTAATTTCGACGTTCCGGAACATGAGATTGACTTCGCCCCATCTCCCAATATCGGTGCATTGGACTCCTCGGACGAAGATTCTGACGATGGCCTGTTTGCCATCCCTCTGGCCAAGCAGAAAGACAAACTCGTGACCGCCGTCAACAAGAAGGTGCCTTCGCAGGCGAAGGCCAAAGCTGTCCTTGGTGTTACTGGAACGGACAACCGCTCGCCGAGCAGGCCAGAGCTCAGAGTAAAGACGTCAAAGAACAACGTGAGGTTTGACTCGCCAAAGAACCCTCCGCTTGACAAATTCGAGGACTTGGACGAGACAGAAGGGCAGCCTTCAACGTCTTCGGCTAATCCATGGTCCACTGACTCCCCAGATGATCCTGCGCGGTTCGGCGGCCGCCGTGAGAGCTTCGCAAGTGATATCTGGGCCAATCGTCCTCCTGTAGAAGACATCGCCGAGCGTCTCGACAACTTCTTCCCCAATGTTGACCTCGACCAGCCAATGGGCGAAGATGGCGAGAATGGCGAAAGCAGTCCGGTGTCGACCGACAAGTCCACGTTGGCCTCTATGTCATCTTCGTCAGAGCTCAACGTGAGTAGGACGACGACACCAGCTTCGAGCGCCGAGAATATGGACACGCTCGGCAGCGAAGACTCGACTCTTAGAGCGGGTGCGTCATCAGTCGCCGAGCGAAGCATGCGAAAATCTGCCAACATGGGCGGTGGTCTGGGAAGAACGAAGAGCATCCGCGACGTGGTCAAGAACAACTACTCCCATCTCAGTGGACCCTCGAATCATCCTTCTGTGTCTTCTACGCAATCTAGTAGAGCTCCAAGCACAGTCGGTGTACCAGCTGCCCCAGCTCCTGTCTCTAACAGAATCAGCACCCTTAGGAACGATGGTGGCATTGTCCGACGCAAGAGTACCAAGATGTTTGGCGCCAAGATTGAGCAGGTCAAACCACAACGAGGCAGCCGACTCATCACCAATCTCGATACCATTCCCCAGGACACCATTCCTGTGGGCAATGTGCAACACATGAGACCCGAACGGCAACCCACGTTCAAATGGATGCGAGGTCAACTTATTGGCAAAGGAACTTTTGGACGCGTCTACCTTGGTATGAACACCACTACGGGAGAACTTCTCGCTGTCAAGCAGGTTGAAGTCAACCCTAAAGCAGCCAATACGGACCCAGCCAAGATCCGCGAAATGGTGAAAGCTCTTGACCAGGAAATCGACACGATGCAACATCTCGATCATGTCAATATTGTCCAATATCTCGGGTGCGAGAGGAAAGAATATAGCATCTCCATCTTCTTGGAATACATTTCTGGTGGTAGTGTGGGCTCTTGCTTGCGGAAACATGGCAAGTTTGAGGAACCTGTCGTTTCTTCCCTAACGAGACAAACGCTCATGGGGCTATCGTATCTCCATTCCGAAGGTATCTTACATCGAGACTTGAAAGCGGACAATATCCTCCTGGATCTAGACGGGACGTGCAAAATTTCTGATTTTGGAATCTCAAAGCGGTCTGCAAATCCTTACAATAACGACATCACGAACTCGATGCAAGGGTCTGTCTTTTGGATGGCGCCTGAAGTGATTCGTGCTCAGTCGCAAGCCATGACGGACCCTTCGGGCGACGGCTTGGATCCTCAAAGCATGAACAAAGGCTACTCGGCCAAAGTGGACATCTGGTCCCTCGGATGCGTGGTTTTGGAGATGTTCGCGGGGAGGAGACCTTGGAGTAAGGAAGAAGCTATCGGGGCAATCTACAAACTGGGATCATTGAATCAGGCGCCTCCGATTCCGGATGATGTCTCCACCGTGGTGGGACCGGCGGCGCTGAGTTTCATGTACGACTGTTTTACCATGTAAGTTTGGACCCGGCGGAGTGGAAGGAAAGGTGTAAGGAAGAAGAATACTGACATGTAGAACAGTGATCCCGGCGAACGCCCGACGGCGGAAACACTCCTGCGAAGTCCCTTTTGCATTTTCGATCCGCGTTATAATTTCTTGGATACGGACCTGTATGCCAAGATCCGCGGCGCTTTCTAGGAGATGGGCCTCGCGGCGGTACATGATCTGGACACGGCGGTCGCTGAAGATTCGGCTTGCTTTCCAGAAGAAGAATCGAGGGCTTGGACATCATCATACTCATAGCTTGCTCGCTTGCTTGCTTTTTGCATGTTCTCATCGTAGACGATATACCCTTTGTATTTATTGCATGGTCTTTTTGGGTTTGGGACGTGAAAGGGGAAAGGGGTTGTTGGATAATGCAAGCCAGGGTTGGTCGGGTTGGAGGGTATCACGATATGATGAATAGATGCTATTGCTCTGAACGAGAGAAAGACGTTTGACTACTCGAGATGGAAAGACCATCGGCATACCACCATTCTCCTTCCATGCCACCTGTGCCGATGAAGATGCGCAACATCAAACCGAAGGCTTTGCGTCGACCTCATATACCCCCCGGTCCAAGAGTTGACGGAGATATCGCTCATCCAGATCGTCGCGATCCCCTCGCTTCTCTTCTGCATCTCCTTCCGTCTCTTCATCCTCCGCATCAGTGATTGCTCTTGACTTGAACCAGAGTTCTCTCGTTCCTAGGCCCCGATTCCACCTCTCACCAACATTCCTCCCCTCATATTCCGCACTAAGCTTTTCAGCCTCTTCGATATCCGCGCTCATGAGGAAAGACTCCATCGCACTCGCATGCCGTGCTCGTCGAGCCTTGCCGTCTCTGCCCTCATTCTGCACGTCATGACCTACAATCACCTCCACGGATTCCAACCTGTTCAGCTGGAAAAATGCCTGCCAGGTTTCTTCCTTGCCGTATAGAGATTCGCGTTCGTTGCGGATGGAGAGACGTAGATGTCGCAATCCTTGGAAATACAAACTCACCATTTCGAAGTCGGCGGCGCATCGCACGTTTTCGAGATGGAGGGTTTGGATTGCTCGTGTGCGGAAGGGGCCCAGTTGGTACATTGCTACTTCCCGGGCAAGATTGCCGCTGTTGAAGTCGAAGGTGTTGCTGACGTATGGCAAGAGTTTTGCTTCGTGGTAGATTTGTTTACAAGTTTGCAGAAACTGTAAATTCAGTGCGGAATCGGAATGGTATTCTTTCAATCCGGAAGAAGGCTTTCCGTGGGTTGCTGTCAAGAGTTTGCGGAGCCTTCTGCAGCCTTTGCATGCGTGCCGAGACCCTGTGAGCTGGCCATGTCGGCAGATGCTTGCGTATTGCTGGTGCGCAAAGTCGTAGATCGGCGTCTTGCAGTCAAAGTGCTTTTGGTCATAACTCTCCAGGATTTCTGGTGCCGTGTTCTGCTCGTGCTCCGCTTCCTGATCGCCTTGAGCCAGCAAAGTCTTGCTTACGGTATACGCATCGGCCCAGTCCTGTGAATCATCGCATATCGAATGCGAGATCTGGTAATACCTGGTACCAGAATATCTCTTGGGTGGAAGCGAGCTATCCTCGTATTCTAGCGAATCTCTAGCTTCGAAGTTGTCCCAGTCTGGCTCGTATTCCTTGATCTTATAACCATTCTTGTTGGGAGAATCGACATCTGTAGATCGACACTCGCGAATGCAGAAGTGTATTAATCCGAATCCAAAGACGTACTCGTAAATTTGGTTACGAGTCTCGGCTGGTAGACGAAGGAGTAAGGATTTTGCCTGAATAGAGGCGTCTCTGGTCTCTATCTCGCGCCAAGTGGGTCTTTTGGCACTGGTGTGCAGTCTGCAGCCAATCCGGTAAGACATGATGTATTGAAGGGCCAGTCCAGTATGCTTTGGGCTTGAGTTTGCTGGATATGCGGCGAATGTGTAAGTCAATTGAGAAAGCGTTCAAACGAACAGTAGAGGGGCAAGAGAAATCTTTCGCAACATTCTTGTTCGAATTGGCCGACACGTAGCATTTGAACGTGCTTCGGTAGGAGATACCGCTCCGTTATGTCCGCTCCGTGACACTCGTCCCCGTCAATCGGGCTACGTCAGAATGAGCCCAGATCTTACTCGTCTTGGCAGGCCTCGAGCCAAGCAGTTGGCAAGTCTCGCGGCAATATCATCATCTGCACATCAGCTTAGCTTGCTGGCCCTTCAATACTGTAGCTGCTTCGTCCTGTGGAGCATATTTGCACCGTGTCACACGACACACTCTGTGATCAGATTCTGCAATCTCGCTCGTGCTCTCGAGGCTGTACAGTATGTACGTGGCGACTGCTGCAACTCATATCAACTGAGCCTTGCTCACACTAACACGGTCCGTTCTTGGCTACGTGCTTTGCAGGCGAACGTGAGGCAATCATTTCATAAACGAGGTGTCGGTACTGTCTCGGCAGTAGCGTAGACCAGACCTTGGCGGTGCATCGTGACTCTGCACAGCCATTGTTGATGATGTGGTCTACAGTTGAAATGGTAAGTGAATCCGAGTGAAAAGCGGAGCCCGGCTCACCAGATCCGACGACCCCCTGCAGGGGCGGTCTCGGGTTCGCAATAAATCTCGGCTTCGGCAGCTCCCGTGCAAGCCAAGACTTCGACTATTTTGCGGCCTGTAACGACTTCACCAGCAACCAGCAAGTAACTTCGACCAACAGCCACTGCCGCAAACATGGGCATCGCCTTTGACTACTCGCCCGAGCGGCCAGAGAATATCGATTCGATCCTCAATGGCCTGGATCGCTACAATCCCGAGACAACGACGGTCTTCCAGGAATACGTCGCGCGTCAGTGCGAAAACCAAGAATATGACTGCTATGCGAATCTGGCGCTTCTGAAATTGTGAGTGTCCAACACCCATCTGGAATATCGCACCACATGATGATCAAACATTCCACGTTTCCTATTACCTGAAGGGCACCGTGCTTGAACCCACGGCCTCCTGAAGCGAAACCGTATATTAGCTCTATCTGAAAGAAAGAACACTTCTATATTAACTACAAACGCCCGCGAGTTTTGCAAGTAGTATTGTGACTGACGCATCATTTGACAGATATCAATTCAACCCACACCTCACGAACCAAGAAACGACAACCAACGTCCTCGTTAAGGCACTCACAGTCTTCCCATCACCAGACTTCTCCCTTTGTCTCTCCCTTCTACCGCCCTACGTCCTCCTCCCTTCAACCACAAAAGATGCTCCGCCTTCATCGGGCTCCCTGGCTGAGGCAGTGCAGCATCTCAATGTCCTCCACAACCAGCTGAACAACGCACAATACTCGGAATTCTGGGCCACCATGGACTCGGACGATCTCTACGCCGATCTCACTGCAGATGTGATCGGATTCGAGGATACCATGCGCATTCGCATTGCTGTCGTCGTGAGCCAGTGCATGCAAGAGGTTGGAAGGGAGATTCTGGAGGGCTGGTTGAATGTCACAGGCCCGAAGTTCGAGCATTTTGTGAAGGACGTGTGTGGTTGGACAATTGAGGGCGACAAGGTCAAGGTGCCCCTGAACAAGGAGAACGAGGCGCGTAGCGTGGTCCAGAGAGAGACCGTCAAGTTTGATCAGTTTGGACGTATGATCAAGCGAGCGTATGAGCAGCCTGCGTGAGCCCACATGATTTGGGCACGCAGTGGCTATGATGCATACAGGAAAGCATTCAGGGAGCGAGGCGTTCAGGTGCTGCAGGGGAATGGGACCATGAAACTGGGAGTGGTTCGCTACGGTGATTCATATGAGGCTAGAGTCATATCATGAAGGGAACAGATTAAGCCGGCCGCTTGCCGGCTAGCTCCTCCCATTGCACACCGACCCACTCTTCCACATACCCAACTTCTCCATCTCTCTTGCCTTTCTCGAGACAATCTTGGCTACAGACTCCCAGGATAATCGTTCCCCAATCCATTCCATCCACTGAAATCTCATCGGCTTCCAGCTCTGTGATAGCATGCGGCGTCAGCTGCAGCTCAAACACCCTCTCTGCGCCGCAAGCCGCACAGCGCGGCATTTTCGATGCGGTTGATGTGCTGATGCTCTGCGTCTTGACTGTCGCGTTTGAGTTTTCCTGTGCTGGTGCGAGCAACTTCCCCACGGCGTCCGTCTTCGAGTAGAGTAGTGGACGCCCCGCAAATTCATATCGTACAACTTGCTCAGGGTTTTGTGCCAGCCGATCTGCGAATTTCTGGAATGTCTTGTCCATGCTGCTTTCAAACAAGGTCTTGTCTTCGGCTGCACTGCCACTGCTTCCTTCGCCGTTGTCGATGCGAACGTTGGACGGTGCTGGGGCGCCTTCCGGGTCAATGTACTCCTGACCGGCGTCGATGTGGTAGCTGGGGTACGGTTCCGGGAAAGCAGAGACCTCTGGCCAAGGTTCGTACGGAATCTGCGTTTGGGCTGATTCTGTAGGCTGTGTGCTGGATATGCGGGCTTTCTCGGCGAAAGTTTGGGGCAGGTCTTCTGTCGCTTCTGGCTTTTGAGGTGGCTTCGCGGCAAGCGACGATGCTGAGGCGAATGGATTTGTTGAGACGCCTGGAGCTACGAACGGGTTTGAGGATGCAGCATTGTTGCCCGGGACAGCAAATGGGTTTGCTGCTGCTGCATGCGAGGAGGGCTTCACGCCGAACAACGTCTCTCCAAGATTTGTTGCAGGCTGCATTGCGGATTTGCTCTCCTCCTTGCCAGCACCTGCCGTCGCATCCGCTTGCCGCTGTATCTTCGTGCGTCTTATACCCCTAACACCCCTCACGCCTCCATCTTTACGTCTGCAAGTCTTGTTTCGGCAAGCCCAGATGTACACCCTCCTCTCATCCTCAGGGAATCGATCCGGGAGGTCGGCGTAGAGCTGTAACAGGAGATTCATATATCCATGGCATACCTTGCACTTCGCGAGTGCGGCCGATGGAGCGGACTTGTCATCGAGCCATGTCTAATCCATCTCTTAGTCTCTCCTCTCAAGTATTTCGGCGCTCTTCTTTGCGTACCGCATGCCCGCCTAGCTGGCTGAAATCGTCGCTTGTGGGATCTTTCGACGCGTAGCCAATGATCACGTCGGTCTTGATATCATCTCTTGCACCGGATGAATCCGAATCGTAGTCGGCCATATTCGCGATCGCATAGGTGACGGTTTGTGTGAAGAGACAGACATTCACTTCAAGAATTTCCAGAAGCTTGAGTCGTGGGGTCCAGCACTAGCGCGAACTCTATATTGAATATCCCAGACCCCACTATTGTCTTCTTTTATCTCCCTTCTCACATTCTGTCAACACAAAGGAACACACACATTCGCTCTGCTCAGGATCGTGAGAGGGACAGCGTCAGCTTTCGAAGCGCCCTGACAAATTGCTCTGGTCGGCAATCATTTCGCGCAGCAATCCAAACTGAACAATAAGTTGAACACCACCATCAATAACACGATCGAAAATGGAAGGAGTTCCAAAACAATCGGCACCTACAGCTCAGCGATCTATGGGACCTTCGAACCCTGAGGCCTGTCTGCTTGGCCTTCCACGAGAGCTTCGAGACCTCATACTTGAATACATTCTCCTCAAGCCTACCAACACAATTACTATGCTCATGAACTTCGGCTGCTACGCCAACGAGGTATCGGCTCGCCCACCTGAGATATGCGCAGTCAATCGGCAATTACGCGCCGAGGCTCTGCCCGCGTTCTACTCGGGTAATACCTTCACCGCTCAACTAGACAACGAGGAAGACCTCGAAACCGCGAAGGACTGGCTGTCAGCGATCGGAGACGCGAATGTACAGCACCTCCGACGCTTGGCTTTATGCGGCTGGACTCGAGAGCCGTGCGGCCAGCAGATGCTGTCTCGGCGATGGGTCAAAGTCGTCTTTGATCTGAAGGAGGGCGCACTGGAGGTCGAAGGCAAGGATGGAGGGCGTTGGGGGCGTCAGTCGGATGGATATCATCAGAAGCGCCCAGAATCTAAGGCGATCGAGGGGTTGAAGGTGGCGTTCCGGCGACTCTTCGATATTTTCGACGGGCAGCCGTTTGATGGCGATACCGTCGGTGACCTCATGGATGGATTCAATCGGCTCTGTACCGGCTATTAAGAGATCATGAAGTCGACTGATGGATAGTCATTGAGACTGGCGGCTGTGCAGGCTGTTTTGTCTTTTGGCGGGATAGCGCGAGGAGTGTGTTTGGGCATTGAAAGCAAGCCGCATAGCGAGAACTGTTGGTTCTTTTGAATACAGATTAATGTCGGACATTTCTGTCCTCAGTCATTCGGTAACACCAATGCATCCAATGCTTGCTCGAACGCCTTCATTGATGAGAAGGTGAACGAAAAGATTGATGGAAAAGAGAAAGATGGTTGATGCTACATATATCAAAGGGAGCACGGGCCTGTTTCGGAGGATAGTTGCTGCGGGCCGCGGTCAGGTTAGCTCCAGCTGCAACTCCCACCCAATCGATCCATTCTCGTCTGTTGACCCACCACCTGCACCAACACGCAGCAAGTCATGACTTACTGGCCTGAGAGCCGCCGGCCAGGCAATCTATTGAAGCATCATGAGGCGCCCTCGTCTGGATGCAAGGGAGTCAGGCTCTCGTTGTCTCCTCGTCAGGTCGTGTATCCCCTCATAGCAATCGACGCGGCATCTTTTCGCGGGCAGGCACATATCCTGTGTCACATATCCTGTGTTACAGCCTCCTCTTCAACTACCAAACATGCCCGCTTCGTACTGATATCTAGTCCTTCTCCGCGAGTAACGGCCGTTCGGTCGTGACCATTGCGTATGAGCTGTCGAAATGGTCCCGGCGGAAGTATCGAGCAGCGTCCTGTCCATCGTGGCCTCCTTCACGGGCGGCTTGGATGTCTTCAAGAAGTTTCGCGCGACGTGAAGTAGGAAGAAACGGACGCGCACCAAGAAGAACGCGTCGGCAGATGACGAAGAGACGAGGCTAGCGAGGAGCTTGAGACAAGGGCCAGAAGACATCGGCCGAGAATACCAGCGCAGCGTCCAAGCTGCTGGACAAGACTTTGCATATGGAGATGGTAGGACAATGACCTGTAAAGGCGTTGTTCTCACTGGCTGATGTACGATTAGCCATAGCACAGACTTCACTGGCGGAGATACTCCTCAAGCTCAATACTGGCCTTGTATCGATCATCAACTCGTTCTTGGCCAAGGACGAAAAGGATGCATCATTGCACTACCAATCGCTTGTAAGCCTATCCGAGAGATCGCGGATCGACACTTGCCGGACTTTACGCGAGCTACTCAGGCGAATGTTGCAGCTCCGTTTGCCAAAGCACATTGGCGAACGACAACAAGCACTCAGCCATCGACCTAGCAATGACGCTTCTCAGCTAGGCAAGAAACTCAGGACGCCTGTGGCCAGCCCAAGACGCTCGCCAAAGGTTCGAGGCCCAACACTGGCACGAGTAGTGATCGCCGATTCCTCAAGACCGTCCCAAGTGGCCATGGTCAGGCCTGGCCAGCGAAAGAAGAAATCTCAATCATCCTTCGTTGGGTCTTCAAACGCGGACTCAAATGTTTCGCTTGCATTGCCAAAGTCTTTAATATCACAGAGTGTTGACAGGCTTCCCCAACTGCGCGCGCGACCCAGCAGACCGGATTGTCACCGCGCGCAGACTCTGCCAGCGCAAGAACATAAGCCGCGCCGCAAGCAATCAGCCATGGATTTCCGCGCATCCCAACATCCGTCGCAGAGACAGGATGCCCTGCGCACAAACCAATCCGCCTCTGGCCTGAACAAGCGTCCCAATGTCGACCACGGATCGCTTCCGCCGATGCCAAACACAGCTCCTTTGCCCACCATGGAGCCACACAGACGGAAGCCCACCCCAACGTACTACTCCATCGAATCAAATAGTACCAAGCTTGGTGAGATTCCTCTGCACAAATGGGCAGAGCCGTACGATTTCGATGCAATGTCGAGAATGAACCTTGAAGCGGAACAGAATGGATGGCCGTTAAATGACCTCGATAAGCCCCGAGGAAGGAGGAAGCGAGGGCTAGGAATCTTTCGGTTATTCCGGAGAAACAGAGATGAATAATGAGATTGCACGACCTTTCCACGTCTATCGTGAACGCGTATGACCGCGTGCGAACTGCGAACTGCGAGCGAAGGCGCTTGAGGTAAAATTTGCTTTGGGACTGAGTTACTGGGCTTTTCTCTGGCGTATTGCTCATGAAGCACTGGACATCAAAACGAACACTCTCGACTTCGAATGGCGGAACCCACATGATTGTATCGCCAGAGGGGCGAGTCCGGAAGTCAGAAGCCGCAAGTACCACCACACGATGGCAGGTCCGAAAGTCCGGTGTCCATGATTCAGTCACGCGGGATAATTGCTCGATGTGCGCTTCGTATGTCATTTCACGTAACATTCCAAGATTGAATTGTCAAGAGCGCTGTGAGCGTGAAGAGTGTGGATCAGCTAACAGTACGTGGAGACGGAGATCGCGGATTGATCCCTGCACTTCAGCCACAGCAATAACGATTTGGGACCCTCTTCCTGTACTCTAGACGATACCTACATCTCTTGGCAAGGGAACGCACTGGACAGACCCAAGGCTCGGAGGAATGAAGACTGCATTTAAAAGGCCATTTCCGGCCGGCCACTGTCCAGGAGGCAGGGTCGCCGCTTGCCCGGATGCTGCTGCTCCAAAGGCGTGCAAAGTCAAGCGACGTCCGTGGCAGTAGGTGTGCCACGTCTGAAAATTTCGTCATGCCGTATCGAAGCCCAGGAATAAGCGGAGCCAGCCTTCTCTCCAATCGAGCAGATACACTCCCAAGGAATGCTCGTATCAGTGTGGGCAAATGTGTTCGTATAGGTACGTTAATGCGCGATCGGGTTGATATCCTCGCCACAACATCGCCACGTACATTTCGGCCCGCGAATCGTAGCTGTTGCACTAAGTACCCACCGCCAGCAGTGAAATGACTACATGTTGACGACGTGTGTAGCACTTTTACGCACATTCTGCTAGATTGGATCAGAGGAGACAGTCGAGCAACGAATTGCCTGTATCGAAAGGGCTCAATCGGCCTCTCGAAGCTTCTGGTTGAGACGAAAAAACACAAAAGAGGAGATCGAGCAATATTTCGCCTTACTCAGGCCTTTCGTACAGGCAATCGCCGTGAATCCCAGTTTATGCTTATGCTCGCCCTGGATAGGGGATCCACATGAACGGGTCAAGCTAGCATCATAGCAGGGGTTAGCAAGAAACGCCCAGTGCACACGTCGGACAACACCGTGATTTGTGTGCATCGGCTTTAAAAGTCGATCTCGCCTTTCAACCTCCATCATCAACTGTGGGACATCCTGCGACTACAACTGCTGCCGAGCAATAAGACAACATTCCGCGCGTGGCGATCCTACATTCCTCGCTCACTTCCCATTGCGAGACACAGTGATGTCAGGATCCCAAAGGCCGCCCAATGGAGGGCGACTACAGACTGCGCAGACGACTGCCACACAAAACGCGTACAATAATGATAACTATACGCTGGCGGGGCCTCCTCACCCGGGGTATGATCCTTCCAGTACCTACTTCGACGAGGGATATCGCGAAGCCAATCCATGGATGGAAACCGATCGTGATGAAGGATCTTTTAGTCTGGCGAGGACTTTCCCGCATACGGTGCGCTGGAAAGGGAAGAAACCGGGTGCGTCGGGAAATGCGGAACAAATTGCTGAGGACGGCGAGAAGGGAGAGGCGGAGACTGCACCACAGGTTCCTGAGGCTCGAGGGCAAGGTATAGAACGGGAGCAGAGAGAAGCGATTGCGCAAGACCAGAAGCGGGATCAACGATCTCGCCAGCAAGCGGCCCAAACGCTCGCAGAAGAAGATGAAGAAGAAGAGAAATGTGAGCTTGCTTGCCTGCCACTGAACAGTGTCATAACGGCTAACAGCATTCCAGACGACTCGCAAAGCACAACACCCGTCGACAGTCCTCCGCAGAGACCTACACCCATACGGACAGGAACATCACATCGTCCATCCTATCGCAGCTACGAACCAGGAAAACTCGAAAGGATCCCCGGCGGCAGATCGATCAAATCTGTCGCGGAGAGAGGCCGTTCCAAACTCGACCCGAACGACGATCAACTTAACACCTGGTCCGCTATCCGTCAGCGCTGCCAACGTCCTCTAGCCGAATGGCTCGGAACCACCATCCTCATCTTCATCGGCATCTGCAGCAACCTCTCCGTCATCACCTCTAACGAACAAACCGGCTCTTTCCAATCGATGTACTGGTGCTGGGGCTTCGCCGTCATGCTCGCAATCTACATCGCCGGCGGCGGCTCCGGAGCCTTCCTCAATCCCGCCCTCACCATCATGCTAAGCGTCTTCCGAGGTTTCCCCGCCAAACGCGTCCCCGTCTACATCCTCGCCCAACTGCTAGGAGCCTTCACCGGCGCTCTGTTGGCATTCGCCGTCTACCGCGACAACATTTTCCACTTCGAAGGGGGCTTGAATCCGGATTCCACGGGTGCGTACGTGTACACTCAACCGAAGGATTGGGTGAGCAACAGCACGGCCTTCTTCACGGAAATGTTGGGCACCGCAATTGTGGGCTGTTCGATCCTGGCGCTGGGAGACTCGCATAATAGTCCTCCCGGAGCGGGTATGCATGCCTTCATCATCGGCCTGCTGACCACCACCGTGACCATGGCTCTGGGCTACAGCACTGGCGGCTGTTTCAATCCCGTCCGCGACCTGGGACCGAGACTGGCTTCGATCGCAGTGGGATATCCCCTTTCTGCCTTCACCGCGCGCCAGAATTGGTGGATCTGGGGCCCTTGGTGCGCGACGGTCACGGGGGCATTGCTGGGCGCGTTGGTGTACGATCTGTGTATCTTCAAAGGGGGCGAGTCGCCTGTCAATTACACGTTCCGTGCCTGGAAATTGCGAAGTCTGGAAGAAGAGAGGGGCATGGCGGATGTCCTCGGTTTGCATAAGAAAGCAGCGGATATCGATCGGAGGTTGGAAGACGGGACCATGCGGAGCAGGTAACAAAGCATGGAGACAAGATGGTGATGAGATGTGTTTTCTGGTGTTGGTACGTGTTATCATTCTCCGTGGGGAGGCGGATCATGACTTCGTTATAATCTTGCAGCAAAGAATTTTTGTAACCGGCCAGTTATTACGAGATATATGAGACGACGACTTTCTTCGCGCTCACGCCTTTCTTCTGTGCATCCAGTCCCGCTTGTACGGATCTGAGTTCTTCACCGACGATTTCTGCATCGGGCTTGGGCACGATGGTGCCTGCTTTGAGGGCCTTGGGCAGGAATTCGCGCCAGATCTTGGGTCCGACGTCGTTTTGAAAGATGGCTGCCGCGCCGACTGTAATGAAAGTTAGCATTCGTATCGATTGTGATTGCATTCTCCCCATCCGACTTACCCATCTTCGTCCTCACCGACTTAGGAATGCCATCATCCGGTAGTGCCCTCGTCGAAACCACAATCGCTTTCCCCTTCGTCTGATCCATGATCCTCGCACAACTCTGCATAGTGCCATCCGTACCCACGGTGTGATAAGCACCCGCAACCGTCTTCTCCTCCAACCATTGGACGATGTCATCTTCCACGTCTTCAGCATGGTAATCGAAAACCTCGGCAGCGCCAAGTTCCTTGCAGTAATCGAAGTTCCTGGGACTTGCGGTGGTGATGACCTCCGCTCCGGCTGCGACTGCGAGTTGAATGGCGCATGACCCTACGCTTGAGCTTCCTCCCCAGATGAGAACCGTTCGGCCCAGTGGTTCGGGCTTGTCTTCTGCGCTGGGCAGTGGCAATGCGAGGAAGCCCTCCTGGAACAGACCGGCTGCTGCGGTGGAAATTCCCAGTGGTAGCACCACGCCGACGGAAGAGGGGATCTTGTAGGGTAGTTCTGCGACTGCACTCTTCTGCACGACCACATATCTCTGGAAAGCACCAGTGGCGCCAGGCGGTACGTCGACATCGGGTGCTCGTGCACAATGCCTGCAGAAAATCGTTAACCAGAGACACCCTCTTGCTCTGAATGGGAGACAACGCACGCAATCACCCTCGTCCCGATCTGAAAGTCCTCGACATCATCCGCGACGTCCTGAATCTCTCCCCCGACATCCTGTCCGAAAACCGTGGGATAATCGGAATGGAAGAGATCGTCGTCCTGAAGAAGCCAGTCGATGGGGTTGACGGCGACATCGAAGGCTTTGATGACGACGTGGCCCTTTGGTGGTTTGGTGTACGGTGCCGAGTCGACGGTGAGAGGTCTCTGTTTGGGTTTCAACGCCCAGGCAGCGACGTTCTTGGGGGCAAATAGAGGGAGGCCGAATCGACCTTTGGCTTCCATCTTGACGGAATCGACTGTTTGGTTCTGTGATTGAGGGTGGAGAGTGGGATGTGTGCAGGTTAGGAGGGGAGCAGGTGATGTTGTTATAAGTATTCCTGATATGTTGGTGGCAGGCAAGCAAGCTGACGTCTCCGACTCGCTGTTCCTGCATGTGGGGCAAGGTTTGCTGCTTCCCGTTTGGGATACGCATACAACGCTGGGCGATTTTGTCTCATTCAACTACTACCAAGCTCATCGTTAGCAAGTGGTATCAAACCTTTACCAATTCCATGGCAATCACAATGACGAGAAAAATAGTCCTTCCATCCTGTGAATGGAGTGGCGCGATTGCAAAATGTCGGACTCCAAAGAATCAGAACAGGCAAAGGGCATTGTAGACAGAACAGCAGTATGTTCCTTCCCTCTTTGCGATCGATATCTAGCGCTCATTGTCTTGCGTATACTGTCTCTCATGGCAGCAGTAGGCCTCTTCACATCTTCGACTTGATCTCCTCCAGCAGGGTCTTCAGTTTGTCCATATCGCCCTTCTGCTGAGGCCAGCCAATTCCCAGTCCCTCTTGCTGGTTTGGCTTAGGAATGACGTGGAAATGAACATGATCCACCTCCTGATGTGCTATCCGACCATTGTTCTGGAGGATGTTGTAGTTCTCCGCACCTGACGCCGAGGCAATCTTCTTCGCGACGGGCAGGAGTTCGGTTAGAGCGTCGTCCGGGATGTCTGTCAGTTTCGCGCCGTGATGTTTGGGGATGACAAGCTGGATGGCGGTGTCAGTACTCGGTCGTTGACACGCCAAAGGCCTGTATGGAAAAGACACGCAACGGAGACGGTCGAGAGGACATCAAGGTGTTTGGTAGAGGCGGGGAGAATCGCGTACCGCGTGGCCGTAGCTGGGGAGATGCTGTTAGCTCTGGTGTTGACTGAGCATCCATTCAATTTCCTCGCGAACGCTTACGAGAGTGGGTTGATGTCGAGGAAGGCCAACGTCTTGTCGCTCTCGAAGAGCTTCATGGAGGGGATATCTCCTGTAGTAATCGTGAGCCCACGGCACTGAGGAGAATGGGAATAACTTGCCCTTGATGATCTTGCAGAAGATGCAGTTGGCTGCCATGATCGGTTCAAAATCTTGGGATTGGCTTGTTGTTCAGTGGAAACCATTTCAATGTTTAGTGAGCTTCACTCACGCACTCACTCACTCACTCACTTGCATTGGTGGGGCAGGCTCGCACAGACCACAAGCCAATGACATGGCCTCCCACTTCCGTTCGGAGCTTCGGAACACCAAGCAACTCCAACCACCTACTAGTACGAAAGTTCGTGGATCTTCCATTTCCACCTCATCATCAAATGGGCCTCGTCGCCGGCAATGTCTCGGAGCTGTAAAGCATCCATTCCTCTCTCTCCCCTCAGCCTCCTCTCGTCGCCAGGGCACGAAATTTCCTCCCGGTTGAAGTGATGGATCTCTCCGATCGGCAATGCGTAGGACAAGACAAAAGTTCTCGCACGCTGTGTTGGTCCCGAACGTACTGATGAGGCTCGTGGTGTCTCCGGCCTCGAACTCTTGCATAGCGCTGCCGACTCGCTCTGCAAGTGAGTTCCATGCGAGCGAGCCTCCCGAGAGACTTGGAACTGCTCTCTGCCGTCTCGCTCTGCTCCTCCGTTCTGCTGGGCGAGATGCAACTCACGTACAAGGTACAAGGCTGCAGTGAAGCAGATGACGGAACTTGCCGAAGATTGGTCGTCCCCACTGAGGGCTGGTCCATAGATGCAGGTGCACTCCACCTGCAACTTCAAAGGTCCTTTGACACTGCAGCATCGCTGAGGTGCCCTTGCAAAGCAGTGTATGGATGGCGACATCACCCAAGCAAGCGGCAACATCAACACACAGGATGACTTCCAGATCAGAGGCGCCGTCACTCGAGCACCACCCCAAACAGCCGCCAAAACCAGAAGCCAAGATGCGTGCGCCATCTGTCTCGAGGCCATCACCGAACGAGCAGTCGCCGTACCTTGCAACCACCTGACCTTCGACTTCCTCTGCCTCGTCACCTGGCTTCAAGAACAGTCTACATGCCCACTATGCAAGAGCAGAATAACAAAGGTCGAATATGACTTTCGGAGTCCCGAAGACTACAAGACATACCACGTGCCCGTAGAGGACACACGCAGCCGCAATGCGCGCACTTCTCAACACTCACGGCCTGCGCATCTCAACCCGAGACCCAGACGGCGTCCAGTCGCCCAGCAGACTCAGCCCTCGACAGACCAGTCCCTCGACCGTCGCCGTCACATCTATCGCAACCGCCTGTACTCCCTCCGCGTAGGAGCGAACCGCATCTCTCAATACCGCGATTTCACACAGCAGAGCTTCACCACCTCTCCCGAACTCCAATCGCGCACGCGCACCTTCCTCCGCCGCGAACTCCAAATCTTCTCCTTCCTCGACGCGAACCCGCGAGGTGGCAATCGTGACTTTCTCGTCGAGTACATTGTCGCCATCCTCAAGACGAACGAGTTGAGAGGCGCGGATGGCAAGACGGAAGAATTGCTCAAAGACGTCCTTGGGTTGGAGAATACACGACAGCTGTTGCATGAATTGGAAGCTTGGTTGAGGAGTCCGTATGTGCATTTGAGGGACTGGGATGGTCATGTGCAGTACGCGGATCGAAGGGATACCTCCAAATGAGCATGCCTGAAGCGAAGGGCCTATGGTGCTCGAATGCATGCGCTCTTCCATGTGCAATTCGCGGATACAGGTCCAGTCCAACAAATATCCTGAACGCCCGTCGCGTCCTGAGTCGACGAATGTGGCCCGGAAAGAAGATTTAAGAAAAGTGACAGGAGGAACAGTCCGACAAGTGGTCATTAACTTCTGGCATGCAGCTAGATGCGATACTATCCCGAATTCCGTCTATCCATCTAGGCTCTATCAATCTGCCATTCTACTCCGTATCGGCGAGGATTCGTATGACTCTCGGGCTCGAAAGCGATTTCTACAACTTCGACTTGTCTCTCCTAGATGCAAATGTTCCACTACGAATCCAGAGCAAAGGTAGGAATCCAAGCGTCCAGCTGTCCGTCCAACCCACTCGATTCCCAGGGCGGCAATCCTACCGCTTCATTCCTCGAACCAACAGCAGTCTCGGCAGGCTGCCATGTCCAGCCCGTGGGATCTGTCGAGAATAGAGATTGTAGTTCCTCGAAATTGATTTGATCGACTGGCGCAGCCGAGCTGGCTCGCAGTTCTGGGGCGAGCAGAGAATCATCTCCATTCCCGTGCGCGTGTCCGTTGCCGGCGTAGAAGGTCGTCTGTGATGATGCAGAGCGATTCGGAGTAGGGCGTGGCTGTGTCTGCTGTGCTGGGGGTGTGAAAGTTGACGCGGTTTGTGCGATCTGCGGTTGTTTCTGCGGAGCGTGCTTCTCGGGTATCGATTTTCGGGCGAGGTTGTAGATGGAGAGGGGGTTGAGAATGTAGTCCGGTGCGCTCTGAGCGGGCGTGCCGGGTGCAGATTGCGACGTGGTGTCTTCCGCTTCGTTGTTGGAGTACGGGTCTTCCGGAATGAGGTTGTGTCCTCCACAGCGACCGTCTTCGGATACGATGCCGACTTTCTCGAGCATGGTGTCGGCTGACTTGAATAGGGGAATAGCAGCTGCGTACATGGAGCGCATGATCTTGAGCGCTTTGACGTTGTTGCGGACATGAGGTATGGTCTCGGCCAGCAAGGCTTTACTCACTTCTGCTGTTGGGTCGATGAGTTGCGTGAGGTAGAAGAGCATGATTTTACACGAGTCGTAGAGGATGGTGGGTAGCCAGCTGTCGGCAATGGCGTGAGGGCCGTGACGAAGTGCCTCGGCCATGATGGTGGCCAGACTTCGAGCATGGCCAAACAGCGTAGCCTGAAGTTGCCTCAGGAATTCTGCTTGCTCAGGCGGAAAGGCGACGGCAGAGCGAAGTTTGTACAAGCCGGGTGCTCCTGTAAAGCAAGTTCAGTGTTCATCGATACATGTGCAAGATTGTTGCATGCACTCACCTATTCGATATAGGTCGCACATCGTCTGGTGATATGCATAATGGAGTGCACAGAGAGCGCCTACCTGGGACGTCTCTTGTCGAATGTATAATGTAGTTGGTGTGAATCGTAGGTTTGCTGGTAAGTTGTCATACCAGTATCGCAGCTCGGCGTCAAGCTGTGCGAATTCCGAATCAGGCTGCCACGGCGGCTTTGCTGTGTCTAGGTGCTTGATGTATCTGGAATCCATGTCCATGTCAGCGTGGCCGAAGGAGCGAGAGAGGGTCGATAACGTACTTGAGCACTTTCCGTCTTGTTGCGATGTGTCGAATGTAGAACGCAGTCATACCCATGCAGTCTTGCGGGTATGTCGGTAATAGTTCTGGTGGAAGGAAGTTTAACATCTGGCCAACCTCGATCGTTTCGGTGATGCATGGCTCTTCGAGAACAAAGTTTCTTTCATTACAGGGCAATTGAATCTTGATGTCGGCTTCATCGATCATCGTCAACTGATCGATGCCGCTGCCAACAAGCGAGTCTGTGATATAGCAGCACCACATCAGCCGCCGTCGACTCTCTTTGACGCTTGCTGAAGGGGCATTGCCGGGTTCACGACACAGTACGTCGGTGGAATGCTCGAGATTGATCTGGAGGGCTTGGGCCATCCTTGCAGTGATGGCGCTCAACATGAATGCGTTCGAGTAGCTACCGAGACGGATCTCGTAGTCGTGCAACAGGACTGCGGCCATGAGATGCTCTACGGAGATTTTATCCAGCCGGGCAAGTATGAGAGTTTGAGCGCGGCTGGCCCAGTGCCGGCCTGCATCCAAGGGATTGATTGACAGCGGACGATTTGTACTCAACTCCTGCTCCACGGCGTAGAACAACGCTCCGAGGGCGCACACGATATGTAAGATGGGATTGCTGTCGTGATTCTTGTTGGCATCGTTGTCCAATTTTTGTAGAAAAGAGGGCTTGTGCAAGAAGGCAAAGCACCGGAGGTGATGAACGTTGGAGAAGTATCGCTCTACCAGAGCCCTGATCCTCGGATGGTCGGGTAGGTGAGGGTGTATCAACCAAGCAAGATCCTCCGAGGCAGTGTTGCTCTGAGTATGTGTTGACAAAGCGGGCGAGGCAAGATCGGCGAGTGCGGAAGGGGTTGTCTCGACTATGCGAGCATCCACTTCGCTTCGTGGCGTCGGTTCGTCCGCCAGACCCGAGTCTCTCGTGGGAGAGGCATGTTCCGGCGAGGCCTTGAGGGCAACACGCTGCTTCCACGCCGGCTCGGATTCGTCTTCATAATTACACGGAAGGCCTTTGTCGCCGCATCGGGCACAGGTCGGCTTGTTACCCGAACATCGGGTCTTGGAGTTACGGCACTCTGCGCAAGATCGATAGGTCCGTTTACGCTTGAGGCCCGCGGCAGCATTGGGTCCATTGGCATCGGATTGCTGCTGAGCGATAAGGGGTGCAGCGTCTGTTGATCCGTGTCGGCCGGAGGGTGCACAGATAAGGCCGAGGCGTTCGCAGTTGAAGCATCGCCCGGGACGTTCATCACAGCGCACCTGTACGAGGCAAGTGAACAGGTCAGCGTCTTTCCGGGACTAGCGTGGAGGCGTGTGAAGGAAGAATGGATGGCACGGCACCTTTCTGGCTCTGCAGGTCTCACATCCGAGACGACTCCGCCTGACCTTACGGTCCGAGCGAGGGGAGTCGGCCATGGATCTGATAATAGCGGCTGACGGGATCTTGCACAATGGCGACCTGAGGCTCGAGTGCAGGTCCAGTTGGGTGATTCGGTGGGAGGGCGGAGGGTTGGGAGAGAAGCGACGAGCCGACAGCCCGCCGCCGTCTTCTATGCGCGCCAGGAAGGGCGATTGTGCTGCTGGAGAAGCCTCGGGCAACGCAACACGACCACCTTGCCGGCTGGAGGGCGAAGAAACCTGCATGCATGCGGATGGGCAGCGCAGCGAGTGTACGCGTGCATGTGCGTATGTATGCGTGGACGGTGCGTAGAGTGGTCCGTAACGGAAATTCCAGTTGCAATCTCAAGCTGCGACGAGACCATCCCACTCGGCTCGGGGCTGTTGCCGGAACGGGCCGCTACGTCTATCCGTCTGTCCTCGGACCGGACTTACCCCGATCCGGGCAAACAACTTCATCGGTTTGATCTCCTATCTCCAGCTCAGCTCAGCTCAGCTCATATACTTGGCAACATGGGATTGATGTATGAGCATGCAGCACACGGCATCTATGCACATGAAGCCATTGCAATCCAGTCAAAGGTACTCAACCCAATCCTTGACGGCTGAATATACCTCTTGCATAACCCGATGCCCTCATACGCTCTCCGAGCGCTCATATCCCCTTCCAAATGACGGTCCGACGCTCTCAACAGGACATCTATTCGGCCTGCCATCTCGTTAGCTTCCAACAGTCAGAGACATGCCGGGAATTTTGTCTTACATCGATAGGGCAGACGGGCGCATTGTCATTGACCTGAATGCCCCCACGCTTCTTCTCATCGCTATCATGGAACGGCAGCTTCCACCCTCCTTCGCTCTCGGGCACGGAAAGCCACAGCCTCATCAGGTGCCTCCGAACTCTCGGCCGACCTTGCTCGTCCACGCATCCGGGCGGGTAGTCTTTATACGCGGTCCGCGCATGGAAGACGTGCGTATTGCTCAAGAGCTGGATATCGCCCGGATCCAGGATCATGTGCAGCGCGAGTCGGGTGCACGTCTCTTCCAACGTCTTCAGTGCGTGTTGTTGCTTCTCCGACAGCGGTGGAATCTTTGCGTCCGGGCCGGAATTAAATCGCGCCAGCGAGGTGACGTTGTTGGGATCCTGATCAGATCAAGTCAGACTTGCACTTGCACTTGTCGGAGCTGAGAGGGTGTCTGAATATGAACTCACGAATTTGGCCCACACGCGAGGAGAGCCTGATGGGTCGTTCTCGAGGAACATGATTGCCGATCGGTACCAATGTTCTTGACCCTCGCTCACCTCACCTTTACGGTCGAAGTACCAGTTGGGAGTGACCAGGGTTTCGACGACGTCTGGATGCTCCCGTTGCAGAGTGTTGAACACATGGTGAGTGGAGACAATATCAGACTCTCCCCCCTCCAGTGCCTTGGCCATGCACAGCAAACCCACAAGATCCGCCCCGTCAGTGTGGAAGTATTGCCTGGAAATGAATCAGCCTCATCACCACATGGACAATAGCTTTGCATGCTTACTTGGCATTCGTTCGATAGATCCTAACCTTATCCTTCTGCGTTGGATCTTCGCCCAAGTCCTTAACGTGCCCCAAAACATGTCCCCGTCCGTTCTGGCTCACAAAGTACCCAAAGTAGGCACCAAGACCCATATACGCTACCTATATATATGACTCCTTTCAGCAAATGCCACACCCAGCAGCCATCGAAAACCTGGTTCGCCCTTTCAGACTTACAGCAGACTTATGCAACCCCCACTCCTGAACAGGAATCCCCTTGAACAGAATAAACCCTTTGCCACTCACAATCTCCTTCCGCACCGCACCAAAGAACTTCTCCAGCTCCGGCAACGGGAACAGCGCCTTGGTCATCCCCGTCAGCGGTGTTCCAGACTGGATATAATCATCCGCTGCCGTGCCCAGTTCCGAGATTTCCTCCTCGCTGAAGACGTGCGTCCATCGCTCCGCGTTGTTGCGGTAGTCTTCTGCTTTCCACACGGTAGGTCCCGTGATCTCCTGGGGGAAGTCTCGGTAGCGGCGAATGAGGGCGTAATCCGGTTCATGCTGTCCGGAAGTTTTCAGGCCATCAGGGAAGATGGCTTTGCTGACATGGCCAGCAGCCAGGTGATGGGGAGCCGTAGTAGGGAGGGATTCGTTGAGTGCCGGTGCCATGATTATTGTTGTTGTGCGTTTTACTTTTTTTTCTTTTTCTTTTCTTGCCAAGTAAGCTGAAGTCATGTCATGTCGCTGCAGGAGAAGAGAAGGAAGCAGATCCTTCTCAGCATCCAGGCAATCCTCGCCCTCGCCCCCGCCTGATGACATGGCGACTTCACGTTTGATGATGGCGAAATGCATCGCTTCACGTCGCATCCTGGCCGCGTGCGTCGTGATTGGTGGGCAAGATCCAACTCCACCTCTGTCGGCTGATCGAGACGACTGGCCGAAGCCCGCCCCAGAGTGTGAGAGCTCCAACAAGATGTTTTGCAGAGATAGATGTTCGACGGACGGGGACGACATCAATCATAAGCCGGACCTACCTACCTATCATATTCCGGATGATGATTTTCGTGTTGCCAAGTATTAGTATACTTACTTTGTGGAAAAAGTCAAAACTCATACAAAGCCCAACCGTAGGAACAATCAAACCCCATTGTTGTTGATTGGGTGATATTCTCCCCGGACAGAGCGAGAGACAGAGAGAGCGAGAGAAGTACACAGAAGGTGAAGAGAATCCAAAAAGAGAAGAAAAATGAAAACATATATATCCACTTCCCCACGAGCCGCTATCTATCTACTGCCTTCACAGCTGCCTCTCGTTCGCCATCGGATCCCTACCATCTAAACGACAATCCGCCCTCTCAGGTGGAGCCTCGAAGGCGACAACAAGGTCACGTTTGACGTGATTTCCACAGCCTCTGCACTTCCGAGATAAAGCTTTGCGGACATCCTGGACCACAGACTGATGAATGGAGAGCGGGCACGGCCGGGTCTGTGTGTCTGCGGAGTACTCCCGCACAGCAGCATGGAATTTCAATCTCCTCCTCGAGACAGACAGGGCAGACCCTTCCATTGCAGTACAGTAAAATGTCTTTGGTGTTGTCTTCCGAGCTGTTCCGATCGCTGTCGTGCATCTCATCAGCCAATCGTCCCATTCTATAGCGACCAGACCCTCTCATTCCCAGAGGCATCCAAAGCTCGCCTTTTATTCATTCTGCCATAATTGATCCTCATACCGATAGCCATGGCAGCCGTGAAAAAGCTGCACGCCGCACAGACAAGGTTCCCAGTCGGATAGCCCGAGCCCGCCTCATCAGGGCGCCAAATCCACTGGCTGATAACCTGACTCACGCCCGAAGAGCTATTATTCAGCGCCGTTGCCAATCCCAAGCAAGCGATAGCCGGAACGTTACAGGTGACCCAGGCGCTGAGGGGACCAGAGGATGGGAAAGCTCCACAGGCGCAGAGGAAGAGACAGCCATAGCGGGCGGTGTAGGCGTCTGCGGGTAGGAGGCCTGCTGTGAGCCAACCTGCTCCGCCGATGATGCTGGAAGCCGCGATGTGCCATCCTCGTGCGTTGCAGCGGTCGGCGGACCAGCCGAGGAAGAGACACGCGAAGTATCCCACGACCCATGGAGGGACGGTCATGATTTGTGCTTCGATGGATTTGTAGCCCAGGCCGTTCACAATGGTGGGAGTGAAGAATGTTAGGCTACCAAGCGGCACGCAGTTAGTCAGCTGGAGACAGATGGTCAGTACCCGTTTGCGACTCATCCCGAGATAGTGTTACTCACATATGTAAAGTAATGGGCCAACATCCTAGGATGCAGAGCCGTCGCGAAAATTTCCTTCCTCGAAGCACTCCGCTTGGTATATCCACCTCCATTGACGGCAATCCGATCCTCGATATATTTCTTGTCTTCGTCGTTGAGGAATCTCGCTCTCGCCGGATAATCCGGTAGAACGAGAACCACCAGTAAGACACAGACTACCGTAACAGAACCCTCAATGATGAACAGCCATCTAAAACCTTCGACCCCGGCTCTTCCATTCAAATATCCGACTCCGTACGCAATGCAGCCGCCAAAAGCTCCAGCAGCAGTAGCAGAAGCCAGCACGAATGCGATTCTCACAGAGCGTTGTTCGACAGGATACCAGAAACATGTGATATAGACAATTCCAGGAAAGAAGCCTGCTTCGAACACTCCGATGAAGAAGCGTAGGATGACGACTTGGGCATATGTTTGCACGCCAGAGAAGCCAATGGTGAAAATGCCCCAGGATCCAAGGAGCGTTGCTAACCAAAGCGAGGGTCGGACGTAGCGTTTCATGATCAGGTTCGAAGGGACTTCGAATAGGGCGTATGCCAAGGAGAAGCTAGTGGAAGTAGCTGATGTTAGTCAAGCTTTGTGTGTATGTCGTCTGGAATCGACACTTACAGCGATACGGCGATCGCATAGCCAGTCGTCGTAGTGTTCGTTTGATGTAAGAGGTCGTCGCCGGTCTCCCGGTTCAGCACCTTTGCATTGCCGATATTTGCACTAAGAAGACGACATATCAGTACAACAATGGCAGCAGTCACCTCCAATCGTGCAATCCGTACCGGTCCAGATAGTTCAAAACATAGATCCAAGCGCAAAGTGGCAGGAGTCTCAGATCAATCCGCCGTATAAGTCGTCGAGACCGTTCAGGATCTTCGACGAAAACATTCTCCAGATTAATTTCTTGGGCATTCTCCACGCGAATAGTATCGGGTTTCACGTGCTCCATAGCAAGTGCTGGTCTCCAATGTGGCGTGAAGGGAAGGTATAGAGAAGTAAGTGAGAACGTTACAAGCGCGGTGCTCGTAACAAGAATACCACAACACGCACGCCACCTACCGCACTTCCTTGAGGGATCGCAGGTCTTGCCCTCCTGCAGTATACGGGCCAAGGTAGTACGGGGTGCAGGTCCGTCGGAAACTTGCCCGTGGGGAAATCCTCTTGAGATGCGGGGATGCTATACTCCTCTAGCTCTGCCTTCAATGTCCATCCAGCCTGTACGAGAGTACGGTGCCGGATAACATGTGCCGGAGTCATCAAGAAAATGTCAGGAGCCCAGCGGGAGAGCCTGCATGCTGAATGTCTGCCAAGGTGTTCGTGGGGAGGCGTTCAAGCTAGCCCACGTTCACGCTCTTCAGATCTTGTACCGGCATAGATAGAAGCTCGTGACTGTTGCGCGTCGCAGAAATTACATTTGCTAGAGATCGAAGTGACAAAGTGCTGGTGAAGAAGACTGGCATCGGAATATGTCTTGAACAATAACGTTCTCGAAGTTTGCTGTCGACTTGTCTTCCAGTCACAAGTCGGATGCTGATTTTGCACTGGCAGAGTTGGTTGAGTCCAGGAGTTGAATTGAGGTTTGTGGATGTTGGCCATCATGAACGACGTTAACGTATACACTGCTCGGCAGCCTCCATGCTCGCACTTCCGTCCTATTACGTCAGTGTGAAAGCTGTGGGTACGGCCCGAGTACCTGGAGGCTCGAGCAACTTCTGCGCCTCACCATCCTGACTTGTTTCTCGTCGTCGACACGCGAACAACAACCAAGAGCATAGCGGAGTCCGATAGCTGTCCGAAGCCACGCCAAAATGCCATACGCAACACTCAACGGTCATAGGGTGCATTATTACGACTCCAAGGAGCAAGGTCTCAAGATCGACAATGGCAAGCTCCCAATCATAATGATACATGGGCTTGGCTCCTCCGAGAATTACTATTTGCCTGTAATCCCGCTGCTGGATGGACACCGCTGTGTAGCAATGACCACCTATGGCGCCGCGTTGTCGAACTCACAAGGCGAGGAGCTCTCCTTGAAGATCTTGGCAGAAGATGTGGCTAGTCTGCTTGATCATCTGAAGATCGAGCAGGCTATCGTCGCCGGCCATTCGATGGGAGGTCCAATGGCATTCCAGGTGGCCGCATTGCATCCGGATAAAGTGGCCGGCGTGGTTGCAATTGGGCCTGTGAATCCCTCAGGTGTAAAGCCGGAGATGTTCACGCAACGTATAGAAACCGTCAACAAAAGTAAGTCGCTGCTGCCAATTTCTCCGCGGGGAGTTTGACGACTGATGGAAAGCTCAGGTGGAATGGAGCCCTTGGCGAATACTGTTCCCGGTGCTGCAACCAACAAGAAGAGCACGCACCTGCAGAAGGCCATGATTCGGGAACTTATCATCAACCAAGATCCAAAAGCATACGCCTCTCATTGCGAAGTCATTATCAACATGAAGGATCCCGGCTTTTCATCCATTCAAACGCCTGTACTGATTCTCGCTGGCGATGAGGATCAATCGGCACCAATGGAGGGTTGCAAGGCTATCTTTGAAAGCATTGCTAGTGAAATGAAGGAGCTTCGAGTACTCCCCGGCGTTGGACATTGGCATTGTATAGAGGCTCCTGAGCGGGTTGCCAAGGATATTGCGTATTTTGCATCAGCCTTGCTGCAATTAGCAGAGGGCTAGTGGCAGATGCTGAGCCCCGAGATCTTATCGAAGAGTGGTAATTTTTCGACTGTGACCAATTCATGTTTCAGCGAGGCTCTCAAATAGCTTATTCCGCCTGCTTGTAAGGTCTCGTAGTCGATCTCTGGCTTCCTCGATTACATTTCGGGCGGAGCAAGCATCGGCTGGCAGATCCCGGAAGGCGTGTAGCTCTGCTTCTAGACTTGCAAGCCGGACACGGTAATTAGAGACCTCGTCTGCTTTTCTCTGCACAGCATCGAGTCCAGCAGTGGCCGTGGCTGGTCTACTAGATGCCAGTCGCTCGTCGTATTCTGCAATCTTTGCCTTCAATTGTTTTGTCGATCGTGTCCATTCCGTGGTGTGCTCAGCAATGTCTTCGGGAGCTCGGAAATCATCACTTCGCAGCTCCTCCAATAGGCTCTTGACTCGGTTCTGTTCAGTCCGTAGAGCATCAAGCTGCGCTTCGGTACGCTTCAGCTGTTGGCTCCGCTCGAAATTGGAAGAGGTAAGGTCGACTATGCGATGCCCTGCGCGCACCACATCTGCATTCGGCGCATCGACGGTAACGAGGATCTCGGCGAGAGTATCGACATGCGTTTCGTTGGCCAATTCAGAAAGCAATGGGGGAAGAACATCGTCGCTGATCCCGCCCGGTCGCTTCGTGAGGCCGTGCAGTGCAGCCTTCTCGATACGCTCTACTTGGCTCCGCTGCTCGTCTGCTGTCTCGTTCAGGCTGGCAAGCTGGAGCAATGCCTGCAAAGTCGCCTCGTTGCGCTCGAAGGTGGGAAGTCGTGGTCCGTATTTCTTCGCGAGCCATGAATCCACTGCAGCCCAATCTTTCGCTTGCGCTTGTTGTACGCGTGCCTTGGACGGCGAGAAGAGTGCCGTCGTGGTCCAGTCGGCGTCCATGTCGGTGCGGACGTCTGCAACGCGAACAAAGTGGAAGAAGACGCGAGGATGAGGATGATGTTCTGGAATTTGGTACAGTCACGGTCCGGCGAAACAATTTCCCGAAGCTCTCCTCGCTGCCCCTTCCTCTTTCCTCGCTCTTCCTTTCACAACACCTCTTAACCACGCCAGAAATACACTCCATCGATGGTAACGCGCCCGAAATCCGCTTCACAATCGTGAAAAGCCGCCGACGGAAGATAAAGCGACAATCCACAAGCAGTGTGCAACGCCACGGTGGAGACATCCGAACCATGGCATCGGGAATTCGACTTCCTCATTGCAACAACGTGGCCGACTCGGGCGTTTGTTTAGAGACTTTGCACGGTCGCCAGCCTCAAATGACCACTCGGTCAAGTCTCTGAGGTGCAATACAACGGACCAGTGCTTTTGTTTCGGTCGACTTGTGCTTCTGGGTCCAGGGTGAACAGATCGAGCGTAGGCACACGAAGCTGAGTCAAGGAACATCAGCAGAACTCCAACGGAACGGCATTCTCTTTAAGCGTCTACTACGCTGATTAGTGGAGTAAAACGCCAGCTACGCAATGGCTGTCGTGAGGAACGGTGTTGAATCGCCAACAGCCACTTGTACAACATAGTCCGCCACTCGTCTCAGAGCACTAGAGTTGTTCTTGAGAAGCAGATATCGAACGAAACATTGGGCTGAGGCGACTTAGCCGCATCGGCTCCCGAAATACCACGTCGCATGCATCATCGAGGTAGCTCTCGCGACCTAAGCTTATCATCACAGCATTGCCGCCCCACCGGGAATCTCATATCAGAGCTATCCAGCGGACAGTCGACCAACACTACGAGGAAGATCAGGGTGCCGACCGCCGTCCTCAAAGACACTACTATGTGGTCCTGGCATCTTATTCCCACGACGGAGATCATCAGCTTCGAATTCGGATGAAAGATCCTCCGTAGGAACCTGTCATGGCCTCGCTACAACATGTTGACCGCAATAGCAGTTTTCACGACGCTGAAGTACAAGAGGCTTATTCGGAAACATTGACGCGAGCCACGACGCGCTTTGTGGGCTCGCTGAAGTCGAAATGTTCGACAAGAACACTCAATCGATGGAGAAGGAGGCGATGAGAACGCCATCCAACAGAACAGAGGGACAACGACCTGACTCTTGACACATTCGCGGGAAGATGGAGTAATTCGCTGTGCCTTGTGGCGTGATGAAGCGACTAGAAGCGTGTCTTCGTTGACCCCTTCACATGTCGGTAGATTCTTGGCGACACGAATTACTCGACATTTCATGATCCGGACTGTCGTAGTTGCGTAACAGCCGCGAGGAGTCGAAAGCTGGGCTGGGTCCATCTCACAGCATTTTCTTCGTCTATCACCCATGACAATGTTTCAAATGTATATTGACAATACAAGCAGGTCACTGACGACAGCAGCAATCTCGACAGCCTCTACATCGCCCGCAGAGGATAAGATCTTGATGATGGCAGCCCATTTTCTTGGCACTGAAGCCCAATTGATCATGACGTAGTCAAGAAGAGACGTGTGGACGCCTCCGCGGACGAAGATCGCCCAGATATTAAGTTGACGTGTCGCGTGGGCGCCCGTTGTCTTTCAGCATGCAGTCATTACCATCGATCCACCCGGCAACACCTATGCGGAATATTCGCCATGCTTCCACACCCTTTCCGCAGTCCGGGAATCGAAGCCGACGAGGACTTCAACCGCGATCTGGAGAAATATCAGAATGATGACCGCGCAGATTTCAAACCGAACCCACCCAAGAGCGCGGATTTCAAGGATCGCATTGCGCACTTCACATGGCCGTGGTTTGCGACGACCATGTCGACGGGCGCGATAGCCGTCGTGCTTGCGAATACGCCGAATCGCTTCACAGGACTCGAGACCATTGGCAAGATCTTTTTCATCCTTGATCTGGTTCTCTTTGTACTATTCAATATCGTCATGGGTCTGCGAGCATTCTGGTTTCCCAGGAGATTTCGCGCAAGTCTGCATCATCCGGTGGAAGGGCTGTTCTTTGGAGCTTACTGGGTCTCCGTGTCCCTGATCTTGAACGCGACGCAATCGTATGGGGTTCCGAACTGTGGGCCCTGGTTGGTGAAGGCGATTCTGGTGCTCTTCTGGATATACTGCGCTGCAGTACTACTCGTCGCAATCGGACAGTATTACGTCCTTTTCCAAGAGGAACGGCTGAAGATCACAGATGCAGTACCTGCCTGGATCTTTCCCATCTACCCTCTGCTTGTCATTGGACCCATGGCTGGAACTTTTATCCCCTCACAATCAGGATCCAATGCATTTGATATGTGGCTCGGTGCTGTGATGCTACAAGGTCTGGCATGGACGGTGGCTATCATGATGTACTCGATGTACACGCAGCGTCTCATGACCAGCGCACTGCCAGCACCTCCTACAAGACCTGGAATGTATGTGTCCGTTGGACCGGCTGGCTATACTGCTGCGGGCCTGATCTCACTCGGAATGCGAGCGCCGACCGTTTTGCCCGCTAATGCTTTCACCTCCAACAACTATCACGATGGGGATATCGTCAAAGTGATTGGCATCATGGCTGGAGTCTTCATCATCATCTTTGCCTTTTGGTTCTTCTGTGTCAGCACGGTCGCTGTGCTAGCTGGTATCAGAAGGATGCACTTCACCTTGAATTGGTGGGCTGTAAGTATTCGTCCACTGGTATCCTTCTCTACAGCTTACTGACTTGGTCACGAGTTCGTCTTCCCAAATGCTGGCCTCACACTGGCCGCTATCCAGCTTGGCAAAGCTTTCGGTAGCCAGGGTATCAACGGTATATGCAGCGCTTTGACAATCATATTGGTCATCCTGTGGCTGATCACCGCCGTCTCACACATTCGGGCCGTCTATTACGGCAAGATAATGTGGCCTGGCAAGGACGAGGACAAAGACATGAAGAATTTTGGATGGGGGAAATACTCGGCGTAGTGATTTCAGTGGACAACTCGCAATCTCATGGTCCATCAGGGTGACCAGTATCGCGTTTTCTAAAGCGGCCGCGTCCGCGTGGACGAGCAAATCTACATCGACGGCGACAAAGCCATGGCACGGCGTTTATACCAGATTCTCGACGGCTTCCTTCGCAGCCTCTGCCATCCCGTCCATCTCGATACGCACAATGTCTCCGAGCGCCCTCAATCGAACTGTATCTCCGTCCGGCTCCTGCTTGCCTTCTTCCGACATGTCCAGAATTCCCATCACAGCCTCCTCGGTCTGCTCATCCTCCGCGGGACTGCCACCCCTCGTGGATGCTCTGCTGGATGCAGAGTCATTGCTCCCATTCCGCTCCGTTGTCCGAAACGTCTCGTTAAGATCTTCCGTGGCAGCTTCGATGGTTTCGTACAGGAGCTCTGCTAAGAGGCGACGGACTTGGCGCTGTGCTCCTCTGGCTGCTGGATTGATCTGCGAGAATTAGCTTCAAACTTCTGGAACCGGAAGCGACTCATCTTCTGACCTCAAGAAGACCATTCTTGTACCGATCAAGATACACATCCAGGAACCACATCCACCTTGGAACGCTCATCTGCAAGCGGTCGTATTCGGAATTTTGGGCCGTCGGTGTCTCCAGACCTGTGCTGAAGAGGCCCATGAGTGCTTGCTGAACCGCTCGACGCTTTCCCTCTTCTTCCGGTCGTGTCTGAGGATTGGTGTTGCTGTTGCCGTGTGAAACGCTCTCGTGCATTGCGTCCATGTCGAGCTGTGGAGAGCAGCAAACGCAGCTGTTCGAAGACAAGTTTTCGGACGGGACAGGTGGATTATCAGACGATGCCGGCAGCTATTTCCCTCGCTGGCTGCGTCCGTTAAAGAGCGCCAATCCCAGGTATCGATGCACCTAGTCTCTCGATGTCATATTCGAGGAACAGAGACAGGATCCACACGCCATAGTAATGTGATTACCCAACGAGAAAATGGCCTGCGCCACAGCCCCCTAGTTTCGGAAAGCCACAGGAAATGTATGAAAAGGGTGACGCCTGACGCCTCCCCAAAGAGCTGGATTTCGGATGCTTGCAGATTCTCATGGCTCATCGCCTCATCTGTCGCGAGACGGCCAATACAATGGCTCTCGTGGCGCCGCCGGAGCTTTTCCTCCGAAAAGCGACTGTGTTACCGTCTAGCGTGTCGTAGCACAGCAGTTGGCTGCATCGATGACGGCGTTTGTCGGTCAAACACGACTTTGCATTGTATCTGGCTGTGTGGAACTCTCGACCGTCGAGCTATATCGGGACCGCATCGTTGATCAAGCTGTCTGGCCATTGTGCACGGATCACTCTCTTCACGGAAGTGATGATGACATTAAGGGATAGCCGGGACTTGGAAGAGTCTGAGACGTCTGCATTCTCTCCTGCAGTGTTACACAGCACCCTCCTGCAGCTCCCGGTGTAGCCTACTTCGATGGTGAGCACACGGCTTCCGATCACTGAAAACGTGCTCAGGTCGCACCTGTCAGCTCATTACTCTGAGGGCTTTTCAGCAGTCTTTGTTTGACTCTTGCATACGGACTCTATTGAGTCTATGCGGCTTGCCAGTCCAGACCAGCTGTCTCGAAAAAAAACGAAAACGGAGAATCAAGCAATTGTCGAGCACGTGGTCGAGAAGTAGCAACGATGACAAGCTAATGACTACACACGTTCGCGCTTGTCGCGTTATTAGCATGCGGCACTTCAATCCACTGCAAAGAATACCGAGAACCAGTGAAATGGAGAAAATGACAAGCTTTTGCATTTCTAGAACGACTCTGTAGAGCGTTGCTTCTTGTGCTGTTGATACTACTGACCAATTATATAGGCCATGATCACCACGCATGCCAGGGTTATTCGGACGCCTACCTCTTCAGGCAGGTGATTCGGAGCTCAAAGTTTGCACCTGCATCTGAAGGATTCTAAGCGAACATCCTACGTCTTGACCCAATATATAGCCATGGCTCTTGAACATTTTCTGGCCACCGTACATCATCGACCTGGAACATCATGTATTTCGCCGCAGTATTGCTCGCTGCTGCTGCTGCCGTCAAGGCGGCACCAGCAAACTACGACGATGGCTACGAAACCGTCAACAGCGCTACGCAACCTGTCCAGGTTCGCATGTCCTACCAAGGCCCTACCGCTATGATGGTCTCTTGGAACACGTTCTCGCAGATCCAGAAACCTACCGTCAAATACGGACTGGAGCCATTCTATCTCTACCAGACAGCATCTTCCGCCGATAGCTACACCTACCCAACCAGTTTGACATACATGAACCATGTCAATCTCACTGGATTACTCCCGGACACCACATACTATTACCTGCCTCAGGGTGGCAATGATACAACACCGTACTCATTCACAACTGGTAGAGCCGCGGGCGACATGGATCCCTTCAGCGTCGCTGTCGTTGTGGACATGGGCACCTTCGGCCCTCTCGGTCTTGGTACCACAACGGGCGTCGGGGCTGCCAATCCACTCAAGCCGGGAGAGCAAACAACCATCCAATCCATCTCCAAGCAGCTCTCGGGTTTCGACTTCATGGTGCACCCCGGAGATCTCGGCTACGCCGACGCCTGGTTGAAAGAGGAGATTCAGATGTACCTCCCGAATACCAGCCGCATCATGTACCCCACCGTCTACGAGCACATCAACAATGCTTTCTACGACGAGCTCATGAACATCACGGCGTATAAGCCTTACATGGTCAGTCCTGGAAACCACGAGGCTAATTGCGATAATGGAGGTACCACCGATAAGACTACCGGTGTCAAGTATACTGAGGCGATCTGTCCGGTGGGCCAGACCAACTTCACTGGTTTCCGCAACCGTTTCAGAATGCCTAGTGCTCGTTCTGGGGGGCTTGAGAACTTCTGGTAAGCGCTTCGCTCTTGAGAGTTTCCTGTAGTGGTGCTGACGTATTCAGGTATTCCTACGACCACGGCATGGCCCACTTTGTCTCCATCGACACCGAGACCGATCTTGGACACGGCTTGGTAGGGCCTGACGAGGGCAGTCCAGAATTCGGTGGACCGTTTGGATTGATGAACCAGCAAATCAACTGGCTGACAAACGATCTCGCTTCCGTCGACAGGACCAAGACACCATGGGTTGTCGTCCTCGGACATCGCCCATTCTACAACAGCGCCGGTGGTATCTGCGCGAACTGCATCACCGCGTTCGAAGACATCTTGTAAGTGCCTGTCGCCTGACGAAAGCACGATCGCGATGCTTGCTAACCCGTAATTCCCAAAGCCATCAATACGGCGTCGATTTGTATTTCTGCGGCCACTCGCACGTCTACAACCGCAACGCACCCATCTACAAGAATATCACCGACCCCAACGAGCTCAACAACCCTAACGCCACTTGGTACATCGTCAACGGCGCGGCGGGGCACTACGACGGTCTCGACACCCTCAACTACCCCTTGATGCCCTACACCCGCTACGCCCAGGACACGGCGTACAGCTGGAGCAAGCTGATCTTCCACAACTGCACGCATCTGACTCAGCAGGCCATCGACAGTGGCAATGGGACCGTCTACGATCAGGCCACGCTGTTCAAGAATAGGACTTGCGAGGATTCTTCCCAGTTCCCGTTCACCATTCCGACGGGAGTGCCGACTGCGCTACCGACTGCTTGGTAGAGAGATAGAGATCTGTCGGATTAAAAACACACTCGTCATTATTTCTATATATCATCCTTTTTTCGATACACCACTCATGAAAGTATTTCTGGCCTGATCTCGTGGACGGCTCGCTGTTCTCGCTTTCGTTCTTGTCCTGCTTCTTGTTCTTTTGCTTGTCCTTTTTGGCCTGATTCTCCCGCGAACCTTCGCATCGGTACATTTCTCCATAAACCGCTGCGTCGATCAGCGGCTGCAGCTGCTCTTTGGTCAGCGGCAGCAGCCTCTCGTGCAATAAGGCTTCCCAATGGCATAAAGCTGCCTTGACCTGATCGAGTGCCCACTTACAGTATACTCCGCACACAATAGACAAAGCCTCCTTGGTTCTCAGACGGGGAAAGTTGGGTAGTTCAAATAAGGCGTAGATCGAAGGAAGGCGACCTCCGTCGTCGAGATCTGCAATCTCGATCAAGAAATTCCTCGCGAGGACTGTACTTCATGGAATTCTATCTAGGTCTCATCTATGAGACATCTTAAGACTATACGTAAGAAGATCTCTGATAGGGACTCCGATGCACCCTGTAACGACGATCCGATCGTAGAAATCGCCAAGTACGTCTCCAGTAAAGCCCAGCGAAAGCAGCTGTTGCTTGGCCTTGCCGTGCGTTCAACGGTGTTGGTGACGTTCTCCTTACACCCGAAGTCTTTCTACAACCAGTCTTCGTGTGCGCTTCGCGAAGCAGGCTCGTGGGTCTGCATGGTGGGGAGATCGTGAATTCTGAGCACCACAATCTTCAGCCAGCGCAGGAAAACGAGATTTTTGTTGCTCTAACCGATCTCCCAACGTAGGGTGGGTTCTTGGTGAGCATGGTAGACCACGAAATAGGTCATCGTGGACTGTGTCTGCTCGGAATCTTCTGTATGCCAGACTCCCCTGACGCTCAAGGACTTGGTGTATGCGTCCAACAGGTCCAGCCCACGATAGTCGAGAGCACAGTCGATGGAACCTTAGAGACGCGCAATGCTGCAGCGCTTGGCCGTACTGATGAGCAATTCGACATTCGAGCGTTCATCGATGAAGTTACGGAAGTGCTTGCATACGCGGGGGGTTACTCTGGATGTGCTTTGCTGTATATATGGAGTCAGTGATTGTCAAGCAAGGCACGCTATTGCAGAATGTTGCCGCGCACGTATCCAGATTTAGGATAGATGGTGAGCTTTTCTGGCAGGGTTGAGAAGATCTTTAACTGCAGCTCACAGACTTAGAAATTGTGCTGTCGCCATTGCGAGAGTTCGAGTGGTGTGTTGAGAGACTGTGCTGATGTGAGAGGAGAACACTCGATGCGGACGCAATGATGCGGAAGTATGTTAATGGTTTCGTGAAGACGAGCCGTGGTTGGTGACGAACTGAGATCTCTTGCTATATCGCGGAGAAGAAGCACGAGACGCACGGGCAAGGCGACGACATAAGCGTCGTCAATGCAGGCAGTAGCATGTGAAAGATCTACGCTTAGGCTTGTCTCAATGCCCTTCGGTTTAAGGACTCCTGCTCTGGCTTATCCTCTTAACATCCCTTCTCGATTTCGATCAGCTCTCGTTTAGCATTCCGGGCTTTCTCGCCTCAGCCAGATGACTTGATTGATTATGCTGCAATAGATCGCTCGAGACAGCTTATTCGAAAGCTGAATCTTTGAACCCATTTTCGAAACTCTGGCAAATTGGAGCAAATGGATATCTCCTCCAGGATTGCAGCTCTCTGCAACGGCGAGAGCCCAATGTTGCCCTCACTTGCAGCTTTAGTCTGTGTTCGTGCCCGTGCACGGCGCACAGAGTACACAAAAGCAATCTCCCGCGACGTCTGTCCAGTGAAGTCGTCTTTCGTGATGCCTAGAAGTTCGCGAAGCTCGTCGGCGCCACAGATCCAGTCCTGGCTGACTCCTTCTTTTCACGACCGCCGAGAGCAGGAATCGGGCAAATGGCCACTTCGGGGGGATCAACCGGGCTCGTGCGACCACCGTCGGCTGGCTGTATCCGCTCAATATGTCGAGTGCTCTGTCCGCCCAGAAGAGCCATTGCAGCATGAGCGTTGCATGCAATCACTCTAATGCCGTCCGTCGGCATCGCAAGCGTTTCCAACAAGATACCTTTCAGAAGAGAACATATCATCCAGCGCCTGAGCCTTCGAAGACAACTTGTACCCCGCTGTACTATCATTTCCATCGTATTCAATGGCCAACGTCAAACGTGTCCTGAGGTGATGACAGGAATCAAGTCGAAGTGAGGTCGAGCGAAAGTTACACAGTGGACCTCTATTCTAGACTTTCCGCTCGGGCCGATGACATCCGAATCCGAGTCAGACACTCTACGCGTCCAGCGTCATGGGAAACGCGTCGACGTGGTCAACATCAAACATTCCCCAAACCAACCAACCGACCAACCGACCAACCAAGATGTCGCTCAAGCGCAAAGCGGCCGATGTGGCAGTAGACGCCGTCAAGAAGCCCAAGGCCAATGGCTCCATCACGTCCTTCTTCGGCCAGCCGAAACCCAATCCTCCATCCTCGTCTACCAATCCATCTCAACCAACTTCATCCCCTACCGCTCCGGCCACGGTCCAGCCCAAATTCGACAAAGCGGCTTGGATTGCAAAGCTCTCCGATGAGCAGAAGCAGCTTCTCAAGCTCGAAATCGAAACATTGCACGAGAGCTGGCTCGCAGTGCTCAAAGACGAAATCACTTCCCCTTCCTTCCTTGAACTCAAGCGATACCTCAAGAAAGAAGTGGAAAGCGGAAAGAAAGTCTTCCCGCCAAGCGAAGACGTCTACAGCTGGTAACACGACCTGAAATTGCACAACACACGTAGATATATATGAGCATTTGTGGCTGATTCGTTTTTGTACTGCAGGTCACGACACACCCCGCTGCCCTCCGTGAAAGCCGTCATCCTCGGTCAAGACCCATACCACAACATCAACCAAGCTCATGGCTTGTGTTTCTCTGTCCGACCACCTCAAAAGGCACCGCCTTCGTTGAAGAACATGTACATTGCGCTGAAGAAAGACTATCCAGAATTCAAAGAGCCGCCGATGGGATGTGGACTGCTGACGCCCTGGGCAGACCGTGGCGTGCTGATGCTCAATACATGTCTTACAGTCCGAGCGCACGAAGCGAACTCCCATTCCGGCAAAGGCTGGGAGAAATTGACGCAGAAAGTCATCGATACCGTGGCGCAGAAGAGGACCAACGGAGTGGTGTTCCTCGCCTGGGGCAATCCCGCCCAACAGCGATGCAAGGCTGTCAATGGTACCAAGCATCTGGTTCTCAAGAGCGTTCATCCGAGTCCTCTCAGTGCGCACAGAGGCTTTCTGGACTGTGGGCATTTCAAAAAGACCAACGAGTGGCTGGAGTTGCGGTACGGTGAGGAAGGAAAGATCGATTGGAACCTCGATGTCAAGCCTGAGGATGCCGGTGTTTGATCGCTAGTGCGAAGTTGCACAGGCGAAAGGGCCTCTGTACCAAGATAGGCAGAGTGGTGCTCGGCGTCGCTTTTTGTGTATGGAAAGACTTGGAGATGGTTGACAAAAGGTGTACAGTACTGAGCCGCAGGTGTAAGTTGACAGGTGATCAAAAATGGAAATGTACAGACATGCCTTCTCACAGAAACAGTCGATATCTGTGTCAAGTTTCCACGAGTTTGCCGCTGAACACTTGCAGGTCCTGGGCTCCCGTTCGATAGCAACCCCAACATGAGCTCCAGACTCATCGTTTAGCTTCGACATGGGATGGAATTCTGAACGACGTTGTTTCTCCATACGACTTCACAGACCAGTCAGCGAGCTCCATCTTACTTCCACTTCGCGCAAATCTTTCCAATCAGGCAAGGACGTGGCCACCCTCTTCCCGCCCGCCCACGCCCTACACATCTCACCTCTCCTCGCAAACCTTTGCTGCTGTTAGTAACCGCATCTACAAGGTCAAGCAACAAAACCGCCAAGCCACATCACGGTCAAGGAGAAGCAAAGCAGAGTATTCTCCACCAGGGGGGGGGGGTGTTGCCTCCAAAAAAAAAAAAAAAAAAAAAAAAAAAGGGACCAACACTCCTCTTTCTTCTTCTGCCGCCAAGAAATTCAAAACATCAAAAGATTCGTAAACCGAGATCCAACAGGGAAAACATCCAAGACTTTTAGTTCCCTCGTGCTGAAGACGCACCAAAGGTTCCTTCTCGTTTACCCGTATGCTGGGCAAGCGGAAAGGTCTTGGCTTCTTCGTCGTATCTACCACAGCCAAGCGAAAGAAGAGAAGAGAAAAGAGAAAGCGAAAATATCAGACCACCGTAGTGGTCCAAAAAGGTCCTCTTCTCGGCGTACGAACCGGGGAGAATGGACAGTAAAATTACGACTTGGCGCCTGATATCTTCGACTTGAATAGATAGAGGTCGGCACAAGCATCATCGCCGAGAGAAAGACCAAGATCTCTGAGGCGCGGCTTCTCGGCGTTATTTGGCATCCGCCCACGCCCTGTTCTTGGCTGTCTTGCTGCCGATAGCAGATAGAGGACGTCAAGAAGCTATGCATGAACTTTATGAAGAGCTCCGGTAGGCGGTAGGTTCTGAATGCGAGAAGCCAAGCGGCGCCGTTGGACCTTTGCGAATTGCGCAGTCCTCCGTCTCCCGTACCGTGGTAAAGTGATCGCTCGTATCCGACGCATCTGCTTGTCCCCCAGCGGTGCAGGTTGGATATTATTGTGCCCATGTCCGCATGCCGCATGCCGCATGAGGAGAAGCACAACGAGATCATCACAAGAGAGCCTCGGCATCCTCCAGGAGCAGCACCTTGCCCCTGTAACATATCATATCCCCTGTTCCTGGCATGTGATGCACTTTCCCATGCTAGCGGTAGCCTTCGCGCACTCGGCGGTTGGGGAAAAGAAACGACGCCGGCTTGGCAAAGGTCGCTGCGGCCGCTAGATAGACTCTCCCCACCGCAGCTACGTGCGTTAGTTAATACGACACGGAGATGTCGTTGCTCTTCTGGTGGTGGTGGTGCTCCTCCTATTGGTAACTCTCCGCCCTGTTTAAAGTCACAAACCCACGGAGAAGCGCAGAGGTCGAGGAGAAGCAAAACAGACATGGGACCCTTCGCCTGATCTTGCTTTCCTACGGGCTCTGGCTTGCGTGACGTTGGTTTGCGCTACCAGACCATCGGGCTCTCAAGGTCTGCACGGGATGGAAAGTCCAGTATCTTCTCCGGAGTTTTCGGGTTTCCGGGTATGTAGAGCAACGAAGGATTATCGACGTTCCGTACTCGAAGCAGACAGGACTCGGATGGAAGTCCTGCGTGAGTGTATGGTCATGCCAAAGACCGTGACTGGTGAGCTCGAAGATCGCATATCGAATCCCAGTCTATGGATGCAATATGCGATGGATGTGTTTCATAGCGCGGCTGGCCCAACACGGTAATTCTGCTCTGCAGAGTTGCTGTGAACAAAAGCGGCAATCGCAAAAGTATCGATCGACGATGTCTTGCGTGTTGACCTCAGTTCCACGAACACGTTGCCCACCACACCGTCGCCGTAGCTTTGGCAGGAGGTTTCAACGTCGCCGGTTGACGTCGTCGGTCAGTCGCTCGGCGAACGATCATACCGCGCCTTCACCGCAGCAAGAGTCAAGTCGCATATTGCCTGGGTATTCAAGGTGGGGCAATGAATTGCTGGTCAGGATAGAGTTCCAGACCGTGAAAAGCCCAGATGGTAAACAGATCTTGGAACTTCGAACTTCTACGCGCCAAGAACCAGGCGGTGCGTGAAACAACCTCGCTCGCTCGCTCTTCTCTTCTCATTGACTTTCAACAACTGGTCGAAGCGTTCAGCCCAATTTCGCCCTACAAAGCGCTGCCGCCGGCCTGGATTTTTTTACTTCGTCCTCTCACCTGACACATTGTCGATGGCTATTATTAACACGAGTGGCTTTTTGCGTCATGCCTTTGTTACGCAATCCGTCGATGCCAGAATGGATGACAAGTGGCTGGCGTGGGGTTGATGCTGGGATCACCGTGGTCTTGGGGGCAGGCTCCAGCACCAGCCCTGTCAATTGATCTCAGCTTTGTTGGTCCGGGATAGGTGGTAATTTCGGACTTGTTACCTGCTGCTGACATTGTCAAGGAAGCAGATTGGAAGATCATGTACAGCATCGCGTGACAGCTTTCCGAGCGGATTTGCAGCGGTTGAGTCCATCGGTATGGCTCTGTTGGATGGTATTCGTGGGAGAAGTTGGTTTCTGTTGCAAATTTCTAGGCATCGATACGCAGAGCAAGTTGAGGAGTCTCGGACAGCTGTTCATGCAGCGGCGTTGTCACAGTCTCAACCAATGAAGACGGCTCGAAGGAGTGGACCACAGACGGCTTTTCGAAGCTGTACCATGTCTGACACGTGCGACCAGCTCGGTTCATGCCGACGGAAGGAGGTCGCAGTATCCGGGTCAAAAACAATTACCCCTCGGAAGGCGCCCTACGTATTAAGGTAAGTAATTTGGCTGGCAGACAGCCGAAACGGGACAGGAGAAAGCACAGAAAGCAGCGATCGCGGGCGCCTACTACCACAACAAGGCCGGGTGCTGTCCTCAGCATGCTAGAGGTTGTCCCGATTGAAAATGACGCCGGAGGCTTGCTCTCCGCATTGCATAGCAAGGAATCCCTTTCTAAACTTGAGAGCGCAGGGATGAGGAGCAGAGGCTTCCCGGCTCCGAAGCCTGACAGAACGTCGCTCGGATCCTTTCTGCACGTGGTCGCCATATGTCAAGCTTGCAGTGCCGTAAAGAGATGAAACAAGACGATGATCCACACGCGCCTTAATAAGTGTGTTCAACATATGGCAACACGAAGCTGTCCGTGTCATGTCTGTGAGAGAGCTGAGGTCGATGCCCAATTGTTATTACTGTGTGCTGAAGAACGCAAGCAGCACGTCACTATTTTCGGATGCCCGCCTGGCTGTACGGCCCCATGTGTAGATTGGGTTGACACTATGACTCTTTCGCTAAAAGGGATGTCGCCAGCTAAGTTTTCGGAGACGCCACAGAACCTGGAGAGTGATCTTAGTTGAGTTGACTGAGACCAATGACCTTTGGGAAAGAACCTTGAAGTGAGAGACACTTTGACTTCGTTTCGCGAAGTCCAATCCAGTGACGCAACAGACAATATTGTCGACTTGATGCCTCATCCTCCGTACGGGTCCCGAAGTAGAAGAACGCAAGACTGCGACGACGATAGAGGCATATGTGTCTGCGGTAGCTAAACGACCCTCGTCCTTGAGAGCGCCGTCTATGGCCTCGCTTTCGGCGGACTTGTCCATAGAGATCGCGCACATTGCATTTTGTCGGTTTGGAATATAAAATATTTCGAGCTTGAAATCCAGGTGGGCTTCAAAGAACTGTCGGCGATGCTTTTTGACAAGATTGCAATGGAACAGGACACAAAGCACCAGGTTGGTCAATAGTGGGACGACCCGCCGAAGAGGTGCGTATGCTGTTTGTTCGTCCACAGCAACTGAAGGCTCATGCATGGAGCGACCAGTTGAGGCGTTTCCCGCCTTGCACATACAGTCAAAGCATCGGATAAAACCGAATGCTCGATCGACAGCATGTCGCATCAAATCGTCGAGTCTCTTTCCGGACACGGAGTGAAAAGGACTCCGATGGGGAGAAAGTGGCGGTAACGCGGATCCATGCCTAGTGAACAATCTTAGTAACAATGATCTTCAGCTGGCATGGCGTCAATTGATCAATGCCATGCTCCTGCAGCTGATGCGTACAGTGAGCGTGGTGATGGAAGGAAATTGACGTGTTTCAAACGGTTCGAGAAGTCGTCAGAGTTGTCGTTGAGGCGCGCCCGCCCGGCATGTCCCTTCGTGATAAACAGAAAGGCTCAAACAGGCGCAGATGTTGACAGGCATGCGGGCGAAACTCTGCTGCTTGATGACGGGGTACGAGGAAGAAGGAAGCTCAGATCAGGCAGATGAGTCAACAAGCGGTGCGCTGACTGCTCTCAAGGTTCAACGCATATCCCGTTTTGTCAGGCATCAGCACGTGGCAGACCTGGAGTGATGGACCGACAGGAGGACAAGCGCATCCTCTTGCTGTGCCGTGGCAAGCTAGACCAGTAGCTTCTGGATAGAGGACAGGATGGGGAGCGGCGTGAAACGATTGCAAGCGGCTGTGACAGGGCGTGTAGTTCCTACAGGGTCCTTCGGTAGGATGCGTGTCCAGGCTAACCATCAGGCCCTTGACTTGGTGCCTGGCGAGCGTACAATGAAGCCATCTACGAGGCTCGCGCATCGTGCGAATGTAGCCGGAAAGCTGGAAGCATTGTGTGATGAGATTCTCGACCAGTGCGGTGCCGGCAATTGGTGTGTTTCCGTGGGCAGAGAGCAGTGGGGAGGTCCGAAGAGCAGAAAGCGTCACACATGGGAGATGAGCGGCCAGGGCCGTGTCGTAATGAAGCCGATTTTAGTAGCGAAGTTGGGTTTAGGGAAAGTTCCGCAGGCATGTGAGCACGTCCGCTCCCGTCTGTGCAGCCTTGAGCGAGACCGAAGGACCAAGATAGTGATGGCGTGAGGAAGGCGCAGTGAACAGAGCGTTGTTATGAAACAATAATAAGAGTCGTGCCAACACCACGCAGGCGCCGTGGGCGTCCTGGGTTAGTACAGGTACAGGACAGGCAACACGAAGGGCGCGACTGAGCTAGAATGTCGCCGAGCGCGCGGACAAGATGCCCAGGTTTGGATATCGAGAGCCGGTCTGGTGTGGGCAGCGGACAGACGCCGACGCGCGCGCAGAGGCAACGAACGAGTCGTCGTGGACAGGATGGGAGTCGTCGAGTCGTCGCGGTGCTGTCTGTGTCTGTGTGTGGGCGGAGGGATGGGATGGAGTGGTACTGTGGGTAGATGGATGCGGTGCTGTGTGGTGCGCTCGTATAGAACTCTGCGTCGGGTCAGGGCATGAGTCATCCGGGGAAAGGAGGGGCGTGTCATTACACGACGGATTACAGTGTACCGTACCGTACCGTACGATATCGGGAGGGGATATCGAAAGCGCACACTCTCGGCCGGATCGCACATTTCAGGATCCGAGCTGCGGGGGACGGGAAGGCGCGAGGCAGGCAGGGCAGGTGCTGTGGTGGGTTTGGGTGGGAGAGGCCGCTTGAGGCAGTCGCTCGGCTCGGCTTGCACTGCTTCTGCTGGGGCATGATGTGGGCCGCTGCTGCGCCTTGGTCAGCAAGTGCAGCCAGGCAAGTGCAGCCAGGCAAGTGCAGCCCAGAGAGGGCGGCCAACGCCAAGCACAGCACAGCACCAGGGCAGCAGCCAGCAGCCAGCAGGAATCGAAAATGCGATGCGAGCGAGGCCAAGCTTCACGGCCGTGCGACAGGCTAGCAGAATAGAGTTCCAGGCTAGCGGTGCAGGTGCAGGGCGTGGCGTGGCGTGGCGGACGCATCCATCCTGGTGCGGTGCACGGATGCACTCACCGAAGTTGGCGTCGGCACCTACCGGTATACACCCCAGTGGGCACACTGGGCACACTGGGCACGCTCGCTCGCTCGCTCGTGAAAGTTGCGTCCCCGTCGCCGTCATGCATGCCCATGCCCATGCCCACGCACCGCCGTACATGTATCCATGCACCTAAGTCTGCACCGCTTGGGATGGCCCTCACACGCCTGCAACGTGCGAAATGCCATGCCTGCACCGCGCCAGAATCCCATGTCCGCGACCCGCGACCTGCGACCTGCGACCTGCGACGGCCTTTGCGAGTCGCGACGCTCCCCTGCGCGCATTACTACTGTACGGTTGCTTCCGTGCTGCTAAGCGTCTGCACAAATGCTGGGCGTCCACGCTCGCCTGCCAGCATCTCCCATCAGCACATTACCAGCGAGGGTCTGCACTCTGATCGCCCTCCCCCAAATCCCAAACCCTCGCAGGCACCCAGCACAGCACACCACAGCACCACTATATCATCACCATCGCCCACCTGGCCACTCTCTACCCGTCCTCCGTCCACCGTCCACCCCAACAATCCATACCATCCTGCTCATCATCCTCACCACCATCATCATCATCATCATCATCATCATCATCATCATCATCATCATCAGTCATCAGTCATCCTACGTACGATACGCACGTGTGCTGTGCCAACCGATTAACCACCCATCCATACTTCCTCGGACTTGATCTAGTCCGCTCCCGCTCCGGCTCCGCGCCGCCTCCATCACTACTTCTACTACGCTCGGCTATCCACTCCAACCGTCGACCGCTCCGGCTTGCTGATGCAATAAGTCCTCATCTACCACCTCCTCGGCCCTATATACATCTATCCCCGATTACCTCTCTTCCAATGTCGCACCGCGGCCAGCTCCAGTGTCTCAACAACGCCGTCTCCTACCACTCACACACCTTGACCCCATCTTCCTCCCATTCGCCTGTCACCAAGATGACCCAACCTCAACGCACTGCTTCGCAAGACTCGACCTCGGACGGCATTCGGAAACGGGTCTGCAAGGCCTGTGACCGATGTCGCCTGAAGAAGAGCAAGTGCGATGGCTCTAGCCCGTGTTCACGTTGCAAGGCAGACAATGCCATTTGCGTGTTTGGGTATGCTGCTCAATCGTCCCTTCCCTTCGTGATCCCCCTGCTAACGCTGCTCAGCGAACGCAAGAAGTCGCACGACAAGGTGTATCCCAAAGGCTACGTAGAGATGCTCGAGCAACAACAAGGCCAGCTTGTGTCGGGTCTCCAAGAGTGCTACAAGAGATTACACCAGGCCGGTGCATGGGACGGCGAGAAGCTTTCAGAGACCAATGGCTATCCTCTCACGCACGACATTCTCGCCGCCTTGGGCTTACTCGAGACCAAGCAGGATGGCAGTGGAGAGATGGAGACGTTCGAAGACGACTGCGAGAAACTCCAATCACGACTCATTGCGGATGGTGCCGGATTCGCTCAACGACGAGGCTCCTTCAGCTCCGACTCGGATCACAGCCAGCAAGGCCATGGTCGATCTGCATCTCGCAGCACGCCTGCGTTGTCGAAACCCCCAACTTTCCCCAACAACTTCAACTTCAACTTCAGCGCCCCGCCATCACCTCCAGCATCTCAAGGCAGCCCGATACCCGCCCCACGACAAAGACCATCCTTTCCACAACCGCAGTCATCACCACTGCAACAGAGCTCTCCCCTCACCAACGACCCCCAGTTCTATCAAGCCGAGTGGGCCTACCCTGAGTCCAGAAACGCGGAGCTACTCATGAACTCCAAGTACGCAGTGCAATCTCCCGACCTCGACCAAGGCCTGGGAAATATGGGAGACATGACTTCATTCAACCAATGGGACGCCTCCTTCGACATGAAGTACGACATGAATCTGGCCGCTGGCATGACTTCGTACCCACAACAGCTTCAACACGCCTTCCCAGGCATGTCAAGAATGCAAGACACCAACATGGCGGGTCTGGCGATGGACCCAGCCAACCTAATGGAAGTTGATTTCAATCAATACATTCAGGTCCATTCGTAAAGAAAGACCTCCAAGGCGTCTAAGCGACTGATCAGCGATCACTGATGCACGCCCCGGAGCGGGGCCCGCGGAGTGCTATCTCCGAGCTTTCTTGGCCCCAGCACTTGGCTTTTTGTGTCTGCAATGTATGGACGATTGCATTACGTATTGTTAATATGGTGTTTTCCTTCTCGTGCAAAAGCGTTCTGAGCGAGATGGAATGGAAACTTTGGTCTTGAAATGCCCTGGCGTCCGCGGAGCCTATAGAATTGGGAAAGGGAATACCAGCCGAAAAGGCAAACTGGATAGCCAGTCGTTTTGCGTAGCTTCAAATGGAAATGATTCCACTCGAATACATTTGAGAGCGTTGATTACCATTCCTGATGAGACCCAGTTTCAGCGTCTTTCAGGTTCTTTCCGTTCCCATTTCGGCAATTCGTGGTTCAGATGATACCAACCTGACGGTCTCTGTTTGGCCGTTGGTTTCGTCAGGCCCGCAGCATCGGAAAGTTCCATCATGCCCGCTTGCGCGCTGAGATGCGAGACACGCGAAAGGCTTTCGAGGAATATGTTAGCTCAAGGACCTGATATGAGCAGACCTCTGACGCCCGGTTTCAACGTCCGACGTGTGTGGTACTCTGCAATCCGATGAAACAGGGAATCGAAGGACGTGAAGTTGCCATCAGATATAGGTGTGTGGTCCAAGCGCCTTGCGAGCCAACAACAACTTGTTTCTGCTCGTCCAAGGGCTCAAGTTTAATGGTCCACAGTCATCGAGACGCCCCAGACACGAGCAATACGATGACGAGGAACAACGCACGTCTTTGTGAATGTATACCCTCCTGCGACTTCCACAACCCTTTGCGTCGTAGGTGGTGCTATGCCACTACTAGGTTGTTGTCCTGAGGCAAGAATGGCCCCTCTCTTCGAGCTTCTCCCAAGGCACCGGCTCCACCTCTGACGACGTGTTCGACACGACAACAAAACACTTACTGCCAGATCTTCCAATCATTCCCATTGTCTCGCCAGACGCGGCAAGGCTCACCGACTTGTTAGCAGTAACCTCACTCGCCTCACGCATCGCACACCGCCATGTCCGACTCCCAGTGCTCGGACGCCTTCACTTTCCTCCCGCAAGGCGGCATTATCCAGGAATTCAGAGTCGGCGGCCAGAACATTGTGCTGGGCTTTCCATCTGCAGAGTCATATAAGAGCAAGAGCAGTCCCTTCTTTGGCGAGAACATTGGGCGATACGCGAACCGAATCTCGGGCGCGAAGATCAACAGATTGAATGGCAGGAGCTACGAATTGAAAGCGAACGATGGGCCCAACCTGCTGCATGGCGGCGCACAAGGCTGGGGGAAGCAAGACTTCGAGGGCCCGAGGCCGGTGAATCGTGACGGCAGAGAAGCTGTGCTATTCAAGTACCTCAGCAAGGATGGCGAAGAAGGTTTCCCGGGTACGGTCGAGATGCGGCTGTGGTATACGGCGTCGGTGGAAGAGCACGACGGCAAGGATAAGACGTGTCTCGAAATTGAATACGAGGTCGAGCTGGTCGGCGATGAGGTCGAGGAGACGGCTGTCAGCTTGACGAACCACAGGTAGGTACTGACCTTGCCCCTACTCCCCTACTTTTAACTCCCCTGGTCCGCAGTCCAGAAATACAAGCCAGGGCTAGTACGGAGTAGTCTGACCAGCTTTCTGAAACAGCTACTTCAACATCTCAGGAGGTCCGACCATCGAGGGAACGAGAGCCAAACTGCCGTCGAATCTTCACCTGGTCACGGACGACCACGACATTCCCACGGGCGAGATTCTTCCCTTCCCTGGTATTCCTGCAAACGAGGAGTTCACCCTGGGTCCCACCGAGCCCAACCCGGATCACTGCTTCATCGTCAACCCGCATCCCGCCAGCATCCCTCTCGACAGTCGCAAAGAACCTCTTAGGAAATTCATCGAGCTCTACCATCCCAACACAAAAATCCATTTCGAAGCCCTGAGCACCGAACCGGCGTTTCAATTCTATGCGGGTCGCTTTCTCAACGTCCCCGAGATGGACGGCATGCCCGCGCGAGGACGCCGAGGTGGCATGTGCGTGGAATGCTCGCGCTATGTGAATGCGATCAACAACGAAGAATGGCGCCAGCAGGTAGTGCTCAAGAAGGGCCGAACTTGGGGTAGTCGCACGATCTACCGGGCTTGGGTTGAGTAGTCATCTCCTTCCCACCTTTGATGATCGCTTTGGCGAGACGAGCTTGGGCTTGGCTCTCTTGTTTAGCAAGCATTAGCAATCAATGCTGTCTCAACAGCTCGGCATGCCACGTTCTGATTACCCGACCGTCGACTTGTGTGATTCAGGGAAGCCGATCGCGACGATCATCAATGCACGCAATCAATCAGCACTGTGCGGTCCTCGCGTGAAGGAAATCGTTCTTGCAACTCTGCATGATCTTTTAGGACTCTTGCCGTATCTTCAAAACTGACATACCGCAATAGAACCCGACCTATCTCGCGAGCAAGCGCTCTCGCAGCTGGCCTCTTTCGACACTAATCTTGCCAAAGCGACGTGGAAGCCAATTTCACGAGCCGACGTCGGACAACAACCCAGTAGTCATTGAGGTACTCAAGTACTAGCACCTTTGATGCGTATGCACGTGCGAATGCTGTTGAGGTCGAGCCATGTCGACTTGCCTGCTCCGGCCCTCTTCGCCCGAGCTGTCAATCGGTCAGTACCTAGCGTTGACTCGCGGAGCCGGGCACTTTGTCAATCCGAGTCTTAGACTTCGCTCTTCGGCAGGAAGCGAGACGCCAGCCACGTGGAGGAGCATTGTGGAAGGATCCTCAAGTACGCACGTACGCAACGCAAGGTCTGTTTTGGATTCCAGCTCACAGAAGCCTCTTGCTAGTCTTTGCATTCACAGGCAGGCAGACAGGCAGGCTCTTCGAGCTAATGTGCTACGTCCGAGCCGCTTCCGCGGCATGCGCGAGCGCTAGTAAGAAGAAAAAATCTTTCTACTCGGCGTGTTGTGCTTGGTGAAGAATGGTCGCCGTGACTAACAGCCGTCTCTGCTCTTTGTCAGCGAGATCGGTCTTCAGAAAGCGAGCTTCTATGCATTAGCGCTGCGAGGTAGACGATGACGTCGCAAGCAAGATACATCCTACTGCTCACACTCCGCGGACGAGAATGCAGCATGGCGTGCAATGGTTGGAACTTTCTTGCTTGTCACGCCGACTGTCAACCGCTTCAGAGAGGAGCATTGGCATGTACGGGCGCGCAAGTCGCACAACCGCCGCGGGGTATGGCACATCACATCTGTCCATCTCCATCTCGTACAACTACAGTCTTGGAAAGAAGTCGAGGCGGCCATGTGAATTTCCTGATCGCGGAGTTCGAGATGGTGTGCATAAAAGTGCACAACTTGTGTTTCGAACACCGAGGTCGTCGGATGACGTTGAAGGTTTCGGCCTTGCAGGAACGCAGAGCGGAACGGCAGTTGTGTGGTTGGCGATGTCGGTTCGGGGAGTCGGAACTTGCAAAACGTCGAGAATTCGGTTTCGCTTCTTCCCGCATTGGTAATGATTGAGTGCTTCGAAGATTTCCTCGTCTGTATCCGTCCACCGATTGTGGATAGTAGCGCGGTCGAGAGGCGGCACAGCAACTCAATTCATCATACGTGTGGTGACAACACTTTTGAGATTCCCGCGGCGGTGTGTGCGGTGTTCCCTGCCCGTCTGTCGACACTACTATGTATTCATCAACACGATGTGCCGAATCTTGGGGCCCCGTTAAGCCTGATCGAGCAGCCCGTTCCGTGGCGTGCGGCACAGATCCTGGTTGGCGATCGATTGGGCGATTTCTTCGCGCTGTGGCTTGAGAGGCCACAGGTGAAGCGCAAGGGAAGCTGGCTTTCGGTACGCGGAGCGGCTGGTGTTGGTGAGAAGAAAGATTGGTGATTGGAAGATATCGCGGGACGGTGTCCGCGGAGGATTTCTTTCCGTTATCAGGTGCTGTTTGGATGATCGGAGTGGAAGTGTGGAAGCGGAGCGAGAGCGGGAGTCCCCGTCGTATATCTTCATCGCAAGAGGGGTGCTGAAATCTTGGCGTATCGGTATCCGTCCGTCGATAACTCCCCCTCCGCGTTGATAATTCTCGCGATTCGGCCGGGGAGGATTCGAACAACGACGACACCTCATGTGATCTGGACATTCGGACGACACAACTTCCACTTGCGCTGCTGCGTACTACTTTCCACTTGCGCTGCAGACTACCCACCCCGGCAGGCACTTCCCTCTAACATTCTCTGGAACTACTAGCTGTGCTAGGCTCCGCGTAAGACCTCCCACGTGTCATCCTGGATGCCCACCCTGGTTGCTCCCTGCTAGGCAACGCAACGATTTGGGGCAGGATTAGAGAACACACACACACACACACACACACACAACCAATCTCACCGAGGGACTCGCCGGAGCCAGATTCTCTCCGGATTCTTGTTTCAAGTACCCCTTCGCCTCGTAGATGAACTCATACAGCGATGGGGAAATCATCTCAACTAGACCAGGTAGCAAAGATCCCTAGCGGAAAATAAGTCCCGCCCGACTAAGAAGTGCTGTTCGGTCGCCGGATACGATCAATCTCCGAACCGTCCAGTCGTTTGCCTGCCTGCCTGCCTGCCTGCCTGTCTTTGCTCCCTCCCCTCGCACGCCTTGTCCCTCGTTTTGGAGGCTAAAAACTTGCTCAGACGGGGCGGTTTAGAGGTTTTGTTCTAATTGATGGGGGGGGGGGGAACGTGTGCAAGTGTGAGACGTCGCATGATGATGGTGGTGGTGCGATTCGCGATATGCCCCGGTTCGTGCTTTTTGTGCATGAATAAGCTAGTACATAAGAGCGTGTTCGTCGCGAGACCCGAGGCTCGCAGGTCTTTCGATCACCCGTACGGCCGAGAGGAGCGATAAGAAGCGAGCCACAGTGATTTGGACACTACTCGATTTCCTCTCGTTGCTCGTATTCTGTAGGCAGCAGACTTCGCCCTGCCGATGATACGAGCTTCGAGAATGGGGACACCGCTATGCTATCACAGGTCTGCAGATTTCATGAAGACTGGAATTCCGCGTTGCGATGCACCGATGCTGGCCGACGTATATACGTACGAATGCGAAGCGAATCTGCGCGCAAAGTAATCTCACTCGCGAATTACCTCCATGCAGAGCTCTTGAACTGCCAAGAAATCCATCTGCAGGGCCCCAAAGATGTTGAGATGTTCAATTCCATCGATCATCGGCTCGAACACGATCTTCGCGGCACTGTGCTCATCACGCAAGACCTGCAGACCGAGACAAGAAGTTCATTGTATACAAGGGTCAATCCACTGAAGATGGAGCCATCACAGCGAGGCTAACGGACACTACTGTACTAACTATCCACGCGCCAATATGAACAAGACCGCGTGCCGATGAGAGTCAGGATCAATCAGATCTTATCCTCACGCGCCCCTAGCAGGCCTGACGCTCTGCGGATTGCGAATGACATTCTCCGGATCATACATGGCCTTCACCCTCTCCAATCTCTCCAGATTACCTCCCCAATATGCCTTTTGCGGATGCTGCAGCTGATTGTCCACATACCCGGGATACGCCGAATCATCTATTCCGGTCTCACGCTGGACCACGGCGTTCAATCCGGAGAGGAAGCGCTTCGAAGTATCGGGCGTCTTACCGACCGGACTGATCACGTAGCTCTGCATGAAGTACACCGCATCTCGGTTCCAGTAGGCGGTAGAGGTCTGCGGCACGTCCGCGATCGCACCACCTTCGAGATCCCAGGTGATGAACCAAGGTACGGGCCCTTTATCAGCCGTCTCGATATAATTGAACATGGCATCGATAGCACGCTCCGAGAGAAGCGTGCGATTTGTCGTCTTCAGGGACTTGGCGTAGAAATGCGCAGGGATACCACCGAACGCGTCCAGAGCGAAGGATTCTACATCTTTGAAGGCTTTCGTGGCGACGGAGCTCTGGACGTTGAGACCTTTGGAATCTCCACCGGGCAGGACGCGTCGGAGGTTGAGCTGATTGAAGTCTCCGCGAGGGCCGAAATATGTTCCGCCAAAGACGAGGGTTTTGTCGAAGAGGGAAAGGGTGCAGCCAAAGCGGCGGGTCAAGTGTGGTTGAGCGACGAAGTCTTGCCATGCTCTGAAGGTGCTCGCCAAGGCTTTCGCGTTGCCTGTCGTGATGTTGTAGCTGAACTGGACAATGTCTCCTGGCGCCGGTGCTGTCCGCATCGTGAATCGAGTGACGATGGCGAAGGAGAAGCCAGCACCGCGAATGGCCCAGAAGAGATCGGAGCTTGAGGTTGCAGAAGTCATGACAACCGTGCCGTTGCTAAGGACGCATTCCGCCTCCACTACCTGGTCTACTCCGAGTCCCAGCTGTCTTCCCAATACGCCGATACCCCCGATCGTCATATGTCCGCCGGAACCAATGTGTCCAGAAGGCCCATATGCCATAGTCCTACCGAATGGCTTCATCTTGTTTGTAAGATCTTGAAGCCTATTGCCTGGCCCGAAAGTGATCGTGTGATCTTGATGATTGTATGTAAACTCTTTTCTATTCTTCATGTCTACGCTCAAGTAGCCGTTCTCTCCACCGCGACCTATTGAGGGGCTGTATCAGCGTGCGTACTTGCCACACCAGTCTGCATATATACCAACCATAGTTGCAGTAACTATGCCCTCCACTGCGCGCCTGGATTGGGATTCCTGCTTCGCGCGCGCACACCACGACATCAGAGGTCTGCTGCGTGGTCTTCGGGTACACGACCGCGGCCGGAATGACCGGATAGTCGAGGTTGTAGATTTTCACATCTTGCACCTGGTAGAGAATATCCTGCGGGAAGGAATAGAGACTGTCATCATGGCTCAGCGCCTTCTTGACACACTGTTGGAACGGCGAATTCGATTGCGCCGTGGCAATACCTGCAAGGGTGCTGGTAAAAAGGTTCGCAATTGCCGACATATTGCCTCGTGGTTGACTTTCGTGCTCGCGACTGGCAGTCACTGTGAAGGTTACTGCATTGCCAAGTTATATATGAGAGTTCTTGTCGACTCGCACCTATTATTGCCACCAACCGGGCAGAGACCTAGTTTCAAGGTCATTGTCTGACGTTAGATACAGGGAAGCTCCACACTCTGCCTGTAAACGTTCACCGGCATGGATCTGGCATGTTCCTCCGACTTTCACTGCCACGGCATGTGATTTGACGCTTCTTGTTGTTCCTGCAGCGGCATCAAAAGTTCCATGCTTCCGAGTTCGAAAATCGTGACGACTCGGTATGTGAGATACTTCCTACGGCGCCGGACATCAGCAATTGCCGATCAGCTTCTACGGCCGCATTTTAATGCTCGTGGCTAGACGAATATGCCGGTGCCTAGGATGTGGTAACGGGCAGTGGCATAGCCACGTTTGTCCTCGTGTTTTGGGTTTGGTGTCGATGGATAGGGTTCAGATGACACCGCACTGCGGCCAAGGTCGACCTGTTTCAGCGCCGAGCGTCCGGAATGCTTGTTTGAGAGAAAATTGGCCATATCGCAGATCGAATGACAGTCCGCTCAGAGATCGAGCGATGGTTGCGGCCTTCGATCCAGGTGGACCTCTATGTCTGGCGGCAACACACCTGCGACAGCGAGTGGCACTACGCAGCGACGATGTCTTCGGGCTTCCAACGTCTCATCAACACTTTCCAAACCGATTGCTGCCGCACGCGATATCGATGTCAAAGCATTCTGGGACTGTCTCTGTTTCCCTCGAGATGCCTTACGATCAGTGTTTCCACCGGCGGCGTGCGTATCGGAATCAAAGATCTCAGACGGAGTGTGTGGTGGTGAGGCCGTCGAGCATTCCGCATACTGTGTGCTTGAGTCGAGAGATGATGTGTGAGAGAGCGTGAAGTCCAGACGCAAGTCGTGGAGTGTTTTAGCGCTAATGACCGTTTGAGTCAAGAGCGACGCGTGGGTGGGGACTGCACGAGTCATGGAGGAAGGTGACTCGGGAGGGACATCAAGTGGAGCCGCATATTCTTTCTCCTCTCATCACATCGACAACATGGATCCATTTACGACTGACTTGGTCTCTTGGGGTTTCACAGCACATCATTCGACGGGATACATGGATAGCATGCAGATCCCGCTCGTATATGCGCTTTTTGCATGCCATACTACAGCATTCCCATTCCAACCTGGCCGCTCGGTGCTGAAAAGATCACATGCTTTGCATTAATATATATATATATATATATATATGGTCAGCTGTGCCGTCCGACTCAGGCGTACATGTCATACAATGTGAAGGCCGCTGCTAAGTTTTGAATCCGCGCTCTGCATTTGCATGGACAGGAGAAAGGTCCGCAGGTTAAGCATCGAGCATGCTGGACAAGCATCGAACCCATATCTGCCATGAAGCAATCCGTTCTGGCTGCCGCACTGGCCTATTGAGGGCTCGCAGATGTTCAGGAGCATTGCGCGAAGCTCCGTCGCTGTCGATCAGAAGATATCCCATCGGAAGCCATCTGGACGGACATCGATGTCTATGACTGATATCGTGTCTTCACGAACGGTCCGCAAAGGCTCCCTTCTGCTAACACGCAAGACTTTGTGAGCTACCTTCATTCGCGAGGGTAGCATTATGTTCCACTTGTGGATATTAACACTTATCTTCTCAAGCCGAAGAATACAAGCGATGTCTATCTGCCCTTCGGGAGGGGTCGTTAGGGGTCCGAGGACCGAATACTTACTTCTACATCGGCACTGTTTGGCCTGAAACAAGGGGAGAAAGACATGGGAACACAGCCCATGGAAGCACATACCGAGCTTCCTTCCAGTGTATGGCCCGACCGGCTCGTCTCATCCTCCGAAACCTGATCTACTAACGAAATGAAAAAACTGACATACGGTTCCTTTTCTACGACGCGATCTGGATCGACCTGAGCGAAATCCAATCGCTCTGTCCGTCCCTATTCCTCTACAAATTCCAATCTCATCACGGACATACGATGATCCAACTAGCTACGAATCTTCCCCGAGATCATCCGCGGAACCTGAACAATTCACCGTGTGAGATCAACAATGCAAACCCAAGCAAGCAAGTTGTCGATGGCACGGTGGACTTGAATGCTACGCATAATGTTGATTAATACGACGAGGTATGATGCATACAGTCTGTGGAGTACCGCCGGCATTTCGCGTGCTGCTTATAGAGCTCTTTTCGCAGAGTGTGCATCCGGGAAAAGAGGCCTTTCATCGTTGCCAGGAGTACAGTGACAGGGAGCGGGAGGTAGATCGAGCATTGGAAAGGTGACAGTGAGTCTGACCGGGCAGAATATTTCAAAAAAGCGCAGTATATACATCTCATATATTGAGCTAGCCACAACCATGCCGGCCACTGTTCACGAACGGGTATCTCGATTCTTCTCCACTTCCGCACATATGCTATGCCATGCCTCACTCCCCCGGTTCATTCAAAGTCAGCAGTGAAACTCCTTTACACCGTTGCTAAATGTACTAGTCCCTCTCTCATGCGCCCTCCGGCACCACACAATGCTGACATCCACCCTTGATGATGTTCTGAATCATATGGGCGTGCGCTACCTTTCCCCCGACACTCCTTCCGCTATATCCTGCGCCGGGGTCGTTGTCGTCGACAGTCAATTGCTCGACGAGTTGTTCCGCTTCCTTCGAGCTGTCCAGTTGGGTTTCCGGGTTGGCGTTGAGGAGGCAGGAGAGGTGATAGACGTGACCGCAGGCGAAGCCGATGAGCGTTTCTTTCTCTGGCACAGGTGTTAGCTTGCCGCGTCCATGATCCCGAGAGTTCAGATGAGACCTTACCTTGTTCATGGAATACTTCCTCACAGCCCACACAATGCCCCGGCTGCACCTTCTTCGCCTCCACCTTGCTTGGCCTCCGCTTTGACGGCATAGGCAACTCTTCCTGTCCCTCAAGCTTTGTCGGAGGATCTCGCACAGCCAAGTCGACGTCTCGCGAATTTTCATGGACGACTTCAAAACGCACACCCTTCCTACGGCCTGCACGAAGTGTGTCCATACCCATGGCAACCTCACTCCTCAGAACCTTCGCAACGCCTCCCGAGATGGACATCTGGATTTCAAATTCCCGGACAAGATGCTGAACACCCTGCTTAAGACCTTCGATTTGCAAACCCTCAGGGATCCTTCGCACGACATCGATGGGATTGAAAGCAGCCGCGGCGCCAACTTCTTCTAGCAATCCACGGATGAAGGAAGGCTTGTTCATGCTGTACTCCAGGAGATTCTCCCAGAGGTCCGGATACTGCTTGGTGAAAGCAATGGCTTGACTGACATCACCTAGCTCATCGATGATAAGCCAGAGAGCTTTCTCCGTTTGGCCCGTTTTTGAGAGGACGTGCACAAGTTCTGGGATGTAGTGTCGTTCTTTACAGATCTCGGCTGCTTTGTCGTAGCTGTAGAGTTCACTGCTCTTGAGAAACGTCAATAGAAGGTCCCGATCATACTCGGCAAACAGCTGGACCGCGAGATCCGCGTGGTCTTCTACCATGGCATGCCCTTCATTGCTGTCCTGTCTGTCGAATTTGCTGTGCCGGAGGACGAAAGAAGTCTGCGCTCCACGATCGTTAGAGTTCCACAGCGCCCGTAGATAGAAGAATAAGAAAGGCTGAAAAGAGTCGCCTTTCGAGGCGAGCTGCCTGATGACCGAGATGGTGGGCACAGTGCCGCGGTACGCCTCTTCCACGAGCAGCTGCACGGCTTCAGAAGTAGCTTCTTCGAGCTCGGACAACGATGCTGAGCGCATCTGCTCCTTGCTGACTCTCAGCATAAGCAGACCTGGGACGTCGTCGGCCACCACGTCAAGTAGTTTCTCTTCTCTGACGAGACTGAAGGCCTTCTCGGCATCTTGCAGCCTGATGTAGCATCGCAACGAATCTCTGACGCGACCATCAGCAAGATAGAGTCTTGCTAACGCTTCCATCAAGACGCGCCAATCTCGCCCACGTACGCCATCTTCGACAGCGTTCTCAGGGACTTCCCCACTCTGCAGCCGCTCCTCAATCGCACTAATGACACTCTTCACATCGAAAAGCTCGGGGTCCCATTCGTCTAGCAGCTTGCTAAGCCGCTGCCTATCTCTCCAGATGTAGTGGCCCAAGATGACTTCATACACTTGACTCGGCAACGGCGGCTTGAGCTCGGTGGAAGGAATATACGGCGTGATTTCGTCAAACTTGTCTGCTTGAGCGAACGTCCAAACCCAATGCTCCCATCGACTGCTGGTGCCTAGTACCTTACCGGCGACTCGGCCTGCCTCAGCCCACTCGTCCGCAGACACAAGCTGTTGCAGCCACATATCACCTATTCTCCGCTTCTCCCTCTGCGCCGCAGAGTTGTGTGCCCGCAACGCAGCTCGTCCGGTGGCGTCCGAGGATGTTTCATCGGCGAAGAAATCTGCTAGTGTACCGCCGCCCGGATCTTTCGACGGCGAGCTAGGATGTGAGCTAAACGATTGCAAGTCCGCAGACGACGTGTCGACAGCCTCCGGATGATCGTCAATCAGCTGCCAGGCATCGCCGTACCGTTGATGTTCAAGTAGCCATTCGAGATGATCCGAGAGCTCCCTCTTCACGGCCAGGACGCAGTCGTATGGACTTTGGATGAACAGCTTCAGACCTGGCTCGATGGCATATGGGTGTGCGTCGACGGGTTTCCGTTTTGCCTCTGGCGTTGCAGTTACATCCAAAGTAGAGCCTTGTCTTTGCGACTGAAAGGAGTGAGTTCGTCCATTGGTCTCCTTTCCACCACTGCTGCCACTAAAAACGCTTGCGCTGGAAGAGAACATTCGTGTTGCGTAACCGCCTCCGGAAATAGTTGCAGCCACACTAGCATCCCAGAGTCCCTTGAGCTTGTCCCTGGTTTGCTCTTCGCTCGCTTTCTCGGGGAGTGGAGGTGGCATGTAGAGTGAGCTAAGATGATAGTCCTGCGAAGAAAGGGTCTCGTAGCGCGATATTCGGGACAGCTCATCGAGCTCGACTTCCTCACCACTGACGACGTTGACTATTCGCAGCTGAGGCGCAAGACTGGTGTGCCTATGCTGACGCCCTTTTCTAGACGGCGTATCTTGCGCGCCACCTGTCGAAGAAGTCACAATGGGCTGATCATCGTCGTCTCTCGTCCTGTATGCCAAGATCGCTAGAAGTGAAGGCGTATAGAAGCTGATGCCCGAAATTATACAGTCCCGAAATTGCAGCTTGTGTATTATGTCGGCACTTCCGACCTGTCGTTTCGCATTTGGGCCTTGCGCCGTGGAGCTGCCCTCTTGCACATGCAGAACCCAAGCCGTATCGCCCCAGCCCACCAAAAGCTTTTCGATCCTTTTCTTCCCCTTTCTGGAACTCGGAGGGGACTTCACAGGATCGCTACCATTTATACCGTTGGCAGAACGGCCTCCACCAGTTAGGAGATCGTCACTTTCCAGTCTCCTCTCGTCAACCCATTCGCATCGTCCTTTCCAGACTCCGGCCATCTCCTCCCAACCTTTGCGATTAGGTCTCGCTGCATGAGCAATCCTTCTCCATTCATCTTCCTGGTTTTCGCTTCCAAGCTTCAAATGGCTTCTCATGATCTTGATCCCTTCCTCGTTTACCCAAACGACCCACTTCCCACTCAAGCTCCATTTGATCGAGCTGATGGCCCCTTCTCCAGAATGCAGATTTCGATCCTTACCAGTATTGCCACCCATTCCGAAAGTACTTAGCCATCCTGAAGCTGCAGCCGCCGCGCTGTTCGTGTTCGCATCTGTACTCACACCCGTCTTTCCTCCCACTGTGAGGACCAAATTCCCCGCCAGTCCTCCAGACAGATATGTTCTGTCGCTCTTGTATTCTGGAGACAGTGCCACCGCATTGACTGGCCTTGCGAAGTTCCGCAGCTGCACATCTTCTGCGTTGATGAGCGAGGATATGCAGACGTGACCATCTAGAGAAGAAGTGGCAATGTAGACGTGATTGTTCGGAGTATTCGGTACAGGCGGCTGCTGTGATCGTTGAGGTGTTCTGGGGCTGTTGGGGTTCGCTCTCGACGTGGGCGCGGGAACGTTCTTTGCACTCGCAGGTGGATTTATCAGGCTTGCGCTGCCCGTCTCGTTCCTGACCAAAGCCGGAGAAGGTGGAGTTGGAGATATAGAAACGCTTGTGACACTGGCAGAATGCGCGCGATACGTCCTCAAGCTCTCCAGAGTAGGCACGGCCATGACATGTATGCTTCCACTATGTGTGCCGACCACCATCTTGTCTCCAAGTACCGTGAAAGCTGATGTGGAGTCTCCATTGCGGTATACATTGGCCAAGGTCCCCGTCAGTTTCGCGTACTTCAGCTTGGGCTCTTCGTCTTCCTCCTCCTGTTCCTCCTCGTCGTCGTCGTCTTCGGGCTCATCGTTTGCTGCTGTTGCGCCAGCGGACTCGACGGGAGCATCTCCGGGTCGTCGTCTCTCCGACTCGTCCGTCTCCGTCGCCTGGACATCAGCAGACATGCTGCAGGCATGGAGAGCTCGCTCCGGGACCGTTTCTCCCAGTGAGATGATGGTGTAGACTGTCGAGATGTCTAGAGCTCAGAGGAAGCTCAAGGTCGGATGTACGGTGCCGAAGCCCCGATTTCTACCGGCAATTTGATTAAGATATTCAAACGACGACTCACTCAAGGCTGGACTCTACACATGTCGGCTCAACTACAATAATGGCATCTGGGAAGTCGGCAACTTGGATAGCTTTCGGATCTATCTTCAAGCGGAATCTCTCGACGGTGGTCGACGGTCGAAATCCTCGTATACGAAATCATCAAATATTCCAAGCTCCGCCGCACTACCAAAGCACCACGTCCACCACCAGCCTGCGAGCTTGTAGGGTCCCACGAAACCACTTCACATCGAGCAATGTCACACGACAGGAAGAGAGCGGCAAGCCCGCGTCAAAGATCGATGCGATCAAGAACGCAATTGTCGGAGGGGTGAAGGGCACTCAAAAGAAGTCGCCTCCAGCCAAACGAGCTCCAAGCAATTCACTGAGGAAAGTAGCATTTGAAGCGCAACGGAATCGGCAGAATGCTCTTATCCGCGGTAGTGGAAGGACAAGATATGTTGATCCGGAAGCCGATACGAAAGAGGTGACAGCGTACTGTGCGGCGGAGAAGTACAGTCTACCAACTGCAAGATGGGAATTGGAAAGAGAGGGATATGTTACGGATCCATATGGTGTAGGATTGGGAGGGCAGGTCATACACGTCCAGACACCCAACTACGTGATCAGGGATGAAGAGACAGGTGAGGACAAGCCACAAGGAACCGGGGATGTCTTCGTCTTCCCTAGTGGATGTGCAGTCTTCTGGAATGTCCCAGATAACCTGGCACGCACGTTTGTGAAGCGTTTCCTGCCATCAGCTGCAGGCCAGACGAGAGGAAAGGTGCAGTATGAGATGGAGAACATGGAATACATTGAAGATCCGACGAAGGACTCCAGTCAGATCATTGGAGATACCATCATCCTTGGGACCAAACCGATGGAATACCATAGCTCGTCGGATGCCGAGGCGGGGAATACATCGTCTTCAGCTCCGAGAGAGATCTTTGAAGATCGAAGTCCAGAAATCGATACCACGCTCGCCAAGATTGCTTTCTCTTCTGGTCTTGCAAGGAGCACCAAACTGGCAGACCTTGAAGAGACTCTTAATACGTACTTCGCCAACACACAGAGCATCCCGAAAACGCTTGCAGAAGGGAAGAAGCTCAGCATCAACCGCTCTCAAATCCTGCAGCGCACAGGCGAACTGCTCCAGATTCGCGCTCAGCTCAATCTCTATTCCGAGCTCACGGACGCTCTTCCAGATCTCTTCTGGGACTCTCCACACGAGCTGGGGCTGGAAGGATACTACGAGAAAGTCGGAAAAGCTCTCGATGTCAGTGTGAGGATCAAGATCCTGAACGAGAGGATGGACCATGCTTCTGAAATCGCCGCTGTGTTGCGGGAGAGGTTGTCTGAGAAGCATAGTACAATGCTGGAATGGATGATCATCGGCTTGATCTGTATTGAGGTTGGATTTGGGATCGTCCACCTGTGGAGGGAGAACGAAATGCTCACGGAGAAAGAGGACGAGAAAAGGACAAGGGAGCTGCTTGAGGTCTGGCTCGAGAGGGAGTTGAGAAAGAGCGCTGCTTGAATCTAATGAATCGGGTGCGGATCTGGGCGAAATCGTAAAAGCAAAGGGAGATTTTCGGCTGTGGTGGTCTGTTGTTCCAAGCATGATATGATACCCAACTCGCTTTGATATAGGACTTTCCAAAGACCCGTACGCGTTGTTCGTGGAAGATCCCTACATCCATGAGTTCGTCTACGCGGCCCGAGCGAGCGAGCGCACGGATCACATCACAAGCTGCCGACCTACCGGGAGGGATCCGCGTCCAGCCACCTGAACTACATTGCGGGCCTCCAGCCATCGCGACGTCCGGGACAATGCACAGAGAGCCGCCCAACTTCGCCCGACAAGAATCTCATCTTCTTCCACCCCTCTCTACCAATCCCGTCGCATACCTTCCCGTCGCTCATTCTTCTTCGCTGTATACATTCGTCCGCCCGTCGCAAATCGTCCAACCACTGCAGCGCAGGGAAGCCCAACCGACCCCACCTCCGAGAGCTTCAGAACGTGTCGCCGTCAGATTGGAGACAGCGTCGCATGCAACACACGCACACCTTCGGGCCTTCGGTCCTTGAGAGAACGAGACGGTAGACACGCAAGAATACCCGACGGCAGTCGGAGAGACGACGAGACGGGTGATTCGAGAAAAGTAAAGGCCGGCGCATCGTATCGGACAGCCCACCACCACCACCACCACCACCAACGAGAGCTTCTGGCGGCCATATTCACAACGACATCTTCATAGCAACGAGAACAAGGTATCATTTGGCGAGCGAACCAAGGGCTTCCTGGAGAGACACCATGGCCCGCAGCAGCATGACCCGTGAACGGGTCATCGTGCGACAATCCTACTACTGGCCCGACTGGCAACTCAACGTCTGGATCATCATCATGCTCGCAACCGGCGGCGTGCTCGTGGGAATCTTCGCAAGTTTCGTGCAGATCCAAAACCAACTGGGGAAATTGGGAATCCCATGGTAAGTAACAAGCAAGCAAGCAAGCGCTTCATCATCAAGTCCATTTCTTTTCTTCCCAAAACATGGCTCGTTCGCTAACGCCAGCTCCTCCTCTTCTATCGCAGGATCATGCCCTTCGGCATCACCGTGGGCTCCCTCACCCTCGTCTTCATCCTGCTCATGCTCCTCCTCATCCTCCAACGCCGCCTGCTCCCGGGCATCCTCATCATCGGCGCCTTCATCCTCCTCGTCCTCTACATCACCGGCCTCATCGAGACGGCCATCCAGCTCTTCGGGCCCCAGGGCGACATCGCGTCCAAGTGCCAGACGTTCGTCTTCGATAGCCCGTCGAAGGATCTGTCCATCAATACCCTGGCGTGGTTGGAGCAGAATAGCATCTGTCAGAGCTGGGAGGCCGTGTTTGCTTTCTGGATCATTGGCGCGGTGTTTTTGGTCTATCTGATTGTGTTGGCGAGTATGGTGGCGCAGGGCGGGTATGGGGATTGAAGAGGAAGATGATGATGAAGAAGAAGAAGAAGAAGTCGGGAAAGTTAATAATGGAATCAGATGTGTACATGATGGCTGCCGGCGTGCGCAATGACTCGAATGAGATGGTGGAAATCAAATCGGGGCGTTTCAATTAATTTTTTTTTTTTTTTTTTTTTTTTTTTGGCAGATAGATACCCACATGTACGACGTTGCAAATACATGAATGAGCATTCATCCATCCATTCATTCATTCTCGCAAAAAGAACATCATCATCATCATCATCATCATCATCATCATCATCATCATCATCATCATCCCAACACCTCCCCCAACACCTCCCTAATCAAAGCCAAATCCCTCTCACCATCAACCTGCCAATTAGAAACCGCAAACCTCGCCGCAGGCCCACCATCCCACCGCGTCCCACTCACATAGATCCTCCTCGTCGCATTGATCCTCCCTACGAGCGCCGCATTCACCGCGTCGTCTACAGCGCGAAAAAGAACGACGATATACGTCGTACTGATGCGCTGTTCCTTGGGTTTCGCGAACGAAGCCGGCACACGAGGGAGGAGTTCCAGGGCCGGATGCGAAGAAATGAAACGTGCGATGCCCCTCGCGAGGGCGATTTGGTTTTTGAGGATTTTCTGGTGGCCTGTTCGGCCGTGCGCTGCGAGGGTGGCGTAGACGGGGAGGGCGCGGAAACGGCGGGAGTTTTCGATGCCGATGTTGAGGGGGGAGGGGATGGGGCGTTGTTCTCGTCCTCCTGCGACGGAGGGCGGAGAGGAGGAAGAGGAGGAGGAGGAGGAGGAGGACAGATAGGCGGCGCCGACGTTCTGGAAGACCTGGATGCCCAGCTCGAGGTGGCGGGAGAGGAAGATGCCGCAGTCGTAGGGGACGTTGAGAAGTTTATGCGCGTCGCCCGCGATACTGTCGGCGAGCTCGAGGCCTCGAATTCCGTCTACGATGGCTCGGTATTGCGGGTCGTCGTGGGGGAGACAGCGTGCTTGGAGGCCGAAAGCCGCGTCGATGTGGATCCAGGCATGGTGCCTGTCCGCCAGGGCACGCAGGCGTCGCATGTCGTCGCCGGAAGTCGCGAAGAAGCCCGTGTTCACTTCTCCGCACGAGACGACGATGATGGAAGCCGCACGGGGCGTCTGCAGGAGTTCTTCCAAGCGAGCGAAATCGAAGTGATGGCTCGCTTGGTAGAGGCCGACTTGGCTGATACTCTTCCTCCCCAGGCCGAGGATCGAAGCGGCTTTTCCAAGGGAAGAATGAGGCGCCGTGGTGAGGATCTGGATCTTGTCGATGCCAGTCTTGCACATGGCTTCGTAAATGCCATCTTCGGAGATGCTGATTTCGACAGGTCGCTGTTTCGCCGCTTCGCGCAGCACAAATTCCCTTCCGCAGGCGAGACCGACGATGTTGCTCGCCGTCGCTCCCGTGGTGAAGGTCCGATGCTGCCATTGCTCTTCGGGAAGGTCAACGAGGTCACAGAGCATTCGAAGCGCGGCATCTTCCACCTCTGTGGAGATGGTATCCTGGGGCTGGTGGATCTGAACGAACTGATCGTATTCCGTCACCATGTTGTCCGCAAACTTCGCCGCCGGCGTAGCGCCTCCGGTGACGAAGCCATAGAAGTTGGGAGATTGACTGCTGCGGTTCAGGCCGGGAGCGATGTCTTCTTGGAGATGTTTTGATGTCTGATCGAGCCCTAGAGCATCCTGTGGGAGTTTCTTGAGAAGTTTGGAGCGACAGGTTTCGAGTGCCTCGGAGGGAGGCGTGACGCGGTCGAGTTCTCTCATGTTGGTGTGAGTGACTTCAAAACGGAGAGTGGTGGTGGACGGAGAACTTGATGAGGGATATCAGACGGGAGGAGCACCGAGTGCACGAGTGGATGCTGTATCGAGCCCTGACAAGGTATCTTGAAGCTTGAATCAATCGGAACTAGTCGAAGGAGTTGGCGTGCACGCGATGGTAGGGCGTGTCCATGGGAAGGGAAATGCGCATGGCATGTGGGCGAGGAAACCATCTTATCTTTTATCTGACCACATGCATGGCGAGACTGCTTTCCCATGTGTCTCGATTGTGACACTCTAAAACGAAGGTGCAGGTAAGTTGATGCAGAAGCGGAGCTGCCGGGTATAGTATAAAACAGATGAAACTTGTTGCCACGTGCTGTGGAGGCAACAACGCGGGCTCCGCCGTCTGATCACCCTCATGGCACGTAGGACTGACTACCTTAAGGCAAACAATGTCATCCATCAGCGCAAATCCTACCCAGAGGCTTCTGTTTAAGCTTATCTCGACGACCTCGCCTCGACTCTCGCTCATGCTATTTCATCTCGCGTTTCAGAATCACCATACGCTTGCACTTCCACCGACGAAGAGGGAGAAGTGGTCGAAGATGCTCGATTGGTCTGTATAGCTCCCACTGCGGATCTCGATATGTTCATTGCCCTCCAATCCAACGAACGAGCCAGCCGTAACATCACACGTCGCCAACGCCCACCTGTCTTACCATTTCCAAGTCCTTGGTCCGAAATAGTCATCGCCACTGACAGTCTTCTGCACAGCCGTACCCTCATAGTCGGCCGTGTTGATGACCGTCGTTCCCCACCAGTTCGTCATCGTGCCTCCCGGGAGCTGCACGCAGAAGAAGATGATGATGGCGCAGATGGCCAATCCCACATCGAGCGCGGCCGATGTGACGTAGTTGTACTGCATCCACCAGCCTCGGAACCGGTCCTTGATGTACTTGTTGAAGAACCAGCCGACGGAGCAATACGCCAGAATGTTCATCGCGGTGTAAGGGGGAATGTAAGCCATGGAATTGAGCATGACTGGTATGTTGACCTTCTTCCAGATCGTCTGCTTGGGGAGCATGCGTGCCAGGCCGTAGAAGATGAAGGGTGCGAAGAAGCCGATGAGCCAGAACCATTGCAAGTCCTTGTAGATGGCATCGCCCGAAAAGATGTGCTTGGGACCGATGGCACCCCAGATGACCGAAGCGTTGTAGAAGGTCTTGATGTAGTCGCAGGTGAAGTAGTTGGAAGCTTCGGCAGTGCAGATGCCTTTGATCTGTCCGAGGGCCCACTCGACGGCGCCCAGTTGGCAGAAGCAGGACCAGATGGTGGCGACCATCTGAGCCGTGAAGAGCGATCGCTGCGGTACATGCATGTAGTGCCCCAGTTTGAGATCTTGACAGAAGTAGAGGGCCTGTGTCATGGTGATGTATCCGAATGTCTTGAACAGCATCATGGCGATCGGATGACCGGGCTGGAGATAACCGATGATGAACTCGGTGAAGACGTTCAGACCCAGCTGGATGTTGGTCATGGCCTGGATGATGCCGATGGGGATGAGCCAGACGAAGGAAATGACCAGGGCGAGCACCATCGAAGAAGCCTTCATTTCGGTCGGGTATGCACACGCAGATGCGAAGGCGAACCCGATCATGACCAAGAGAAGGACCAGGTACCACCAGTCTGGCACCAGCTTGTACTTGCGCACGAGCTTCATGTGGATATCGTCGAGCTCGCCCTTGGCCGCCTTCCATCTCCGCCAGATCTCGGGGCCGTGGAAGAGATATGTGTGGCTTACGATGGCAGAGATGGTGGCAAAGCTCACGCCATACGTCAAGGCAAAGGAGGTGGACAAGAAGAGGGGCGAGTAACCCTCATACGCCGACGGATCCACAGTATGTTCCGGCGTGAGGATGCGTGAGATGTTGTAGGTATGACCTTGGTTGTCGGTGATGCCGTTCTGGCTGATGGGCAGGTATTCCGCGTACCAGGTGCCCGTGTAGTGCAGAGCAGGAACGACGATCCACATGAGGAAGATGACGCCGACGAGGATGTTGCCCTGGGCGAACCAAGGAGCGATCAGAGGACTGCCGTAGAAGGAATTGATCTGCGCCCAGTCGAGCGTGAAGCCAGTGAAGGGGAATGCGAGGGCGACTCCGGTAGTCTGGCCGAAGAGCGAATTGACGAGGACGCCGTTTGGTCTGATCCAGGTGACCCAGGCGAAGTAGCTCAAGGCCGGGAAGATGAAGTTGGGGAACCACTGCCAGATGAACATGACGATCATCACGTACATGAACCATCTGTACCGGGAGATGGACCATCCGTGAGTCTGCGCGGGGTCGGAAGGGCTGTGGTCGTGTAGGGCGTACATGAAGCCGACATTGACCAAGGCGGCAGGCCAGATCATGGCAGCCGGCTCGACGAGCCAGCGGCGAACCATGCCGGCGAAACCGAAGCCCAGACATTGCGTGGACAGGGCAAACAAGATGTTGAAGCCCCATCCGAAGCTCGAGATGTTGTAGAACTTCTTGATGGAGACGACGGTGTCGACAAAGTACCCGGTGCCGCCACCGAATGCAGCATTGGCCATTGCGACGATGATGACATGCTCTTTGATGTTGAATGGTCCGGGGTTGAGGTTTGCCTTGAGACCGAAGACGGAGAACTCGCGATCTGGCATGACTTTGGCCCAGGCGACGCCGATGGGGTACGAAAGAAGCTGGACGACGTACGGGCTGATGGAGATGACGGGGTATCGCAGATAGAACAAACCATTGACTGCGGAAACGACGGTGGTGAACAGCAAGCCGATAGTCCACGCGCGAATGGTGCTGGTCGGAACCTCCTGGTCATAGTTGCGAACGACTGCACGCACCTAGATCATGCAACAGTCAGTATATGCATATGCACTTCTCGCTACCTGAGGCATGCATGCGGGGGACGTACTTCGGGATACGGCGAGTCTTCGACCAGCTCATTGACCAGGACCGCCTCATCCTTGAGACTGTGCCTGCGAGTGGCATCTTCGATGGCGCCTTGGGCGACATCCGGCAAGTTGGGGTCGAATCTATGGTCCTCTCGGAAGGCGCGAAGGCGACGGTTGGCCTCGACCTCGGAGAGGTTTCGAAGCGTGTCGGAATGATCGTGTTTCATCTCGCCCGCGAATTCCGCATCGAGCTTGGAGAAGGTAGGCTCGCCATCGGTAAAGTCGTTGAGCTCGGTGGTGGTGGTGGTGACGGGGTCGCCTGCAGTGTTGGTCCTCTTGAAGCCAAGCCTCTTCAGAGGGTTACTGTCTTTGCCTCCCATGGCGAAGGCCGGTACACAGCGGTCAGGCTGTCCACAGGCAGGCAGGCAGGCAGGCAGGCAGGCAGGCAGGCAGGCAGGCAGGCAGGCAGGCAGTCCACGGTCCAGGAGGGGAGAGGAGGGGAGGGGAGGGGTAGTGGTGAGAGAGCACGAGAGATTGTATTAAACCATCGCCCAAGATTGTGCGGCGGAAGGGCAGATTTAACTAGGCATGCCTAGCGGATTGAACGGACGCAGATCTATTCGAGGGTAGGACTGGTGCCGTATCTCGTATCTGTGTATACACTGTGACCCCGCTGCAATCCGATCAGGTCAGGTCACTCCATTGCCCTACACAATCCATCCTGCAAACTCTATTAGAGATAAGCATTACGCTCGTGATCTTCCGTTGGTGTGGTTGCGGAAGTCGGATCGGACTTGGTGCTTGCGGCCAGCTTCGCCTCTTTGGCGCCGCAAGCCACGTGACGGTGGTCCCGAGGAATGTCGAGTGCTGATACGATGGCCTTGACGCGTGGCGGCTGGACCTCGTCGCGTGCGCATGATTATTGTTGTTGGATGATAGGCCCAACTGAACCAGCTGCCCTTTTGGAGCTAGCGTCGTTCCGGCGCGGCGTGGAATCGTAGAAGCCGAAGATACGGTACGAATCGAATCGAAGCTTCGACTTCTTCTCCCCTCACATTCTCGCCTCCTTCCATATTGTGTCGTCGCAAGAGCGGGAGGCTGAAGGAGTGCACGTGGAGGGTATACTCAGCCTCCAGTCGTTCGCAGCGCCATGCGTGTTCGGTAACCGGGCCGGGAATTCGAGACTGGACGTTCCTGCCTCAGGCACCACGGGAGGCCGGCTCCGCTGAAGCCCTTGAATCCCCAGACCGCATCCCATCAATTGCCATCAAACTTTCAAGGCCTCGAGCGACTCGCATCATCCCCCCCTTGACTCCTTTCGTTGTCTAAGAGCGATAGCCTATCTCAGTCTAGACCGCGGAAAGACTCTCAAGGAGCAGGGCTGGAAATTGGCCTGACTGTGCCACGGATACTCAGACATGCGCCTATCGCGCCATCTCGTCCATGTGAAGGCAGCATCCAGTCCGCAGGGAAATGGTTGACTCCTGTCGTGCCTGGGTATGCAGGCAGCACGGGACGCTACATCACATGAGCGAAAGTGAATGCGAGCAAAGACGGAAATGCAGTCTTCCACTGGCGCCCGGTGGAATTGCGCCAGTGAAAGGAGAGGAAGGCCTGCAGGAGGGTGGGAGCGGAGATATCGGTCCCGGTGGCATGGACTGGCGGATGGTCATCTGGATCGGATCTCGCTTTGGAGTGGCTACGCTATGCCACTGACAAGCCGTATGGGGGATGTTTGCCATCTCAGGATTTCGAGGACATGTCTTGGAGAAGTCTTGCTGTCAATCGGTGAGTGTCGCATTCGGGGAAATCGGTCCGACCCGCAGCGAACGCCGAAGCTTCCTTGCAAGAACGGAACGGCTTCGAAAATCGTCTCCGCTAAAACATCAACTGATATTGACTTGTCCGCCATGTCGAACGGTGCCAAAAGAAAGCGAGAAGATGAGGATCGCGCATCCGTCCACAGTGATAAGCGACAGAAATTGCTCGATTCGCGGAAAAAGCTGCCCATATGGACACGACAAACAGACATACGGAAGGCCCTTCAGGAGCACAGTGTGCTGGTGCTGTCTGGAGAGACGGGATCGGGAAAATCCACGCAGATACCGCAATTCCTACTTGACGAGTCATGGTGCCTTGGGAAGATAGCCGTCACCCAGCCTCGCAGAGTCGCCGCCATTAGCTTGGCTCGGCGTGTCGCCGACGAGATGGGCACGCTTCTCGGTGGCAAGAATGGCAAGGTCGGCTACAGCGTCCGATTCGATGAGAACACAGGTCCCGCAACTCGTATCAAGTTCTTGACCGAGGGAATGTTGTTGCAGGAAATGTTGAAGGATGTCGAGCTAAAGCAGTACAGCTGTGTGGTGGTGGATGAAGTTCACGAGAGGAGCGTGGATGTCGACTTGATCCTCGGATTCTTGAAGCAGATCCTGGAGACCAACACGAGGAGAAAGGACAAACCTCTGAAGGTGGTCGTCATGAGTGCTACAGCTGACGTGGAAGGGATCAAGAGATTTTTTGAGCAACCCGGTGCAGAGGAAGTGGAATCCAAAAACAGTGCCACCTCAACCAAAGTTACTACATGCCAGGTCGAAGGCAGGCAGTATCCTGTGAAGCTACATTACCTCGACAGAGCCACCGAGAACATCTTCGACGAGGTGATGCTTCGGGTCTTCAAGATTCATCGCGAAGAACCACTTCCTGGCGATATACTAGTTTTCCTAACTGGCGCCGAGACCATCGAGACACTGAGGAAGATGTGCGACGAATTTGCCGAGACCCTGGGCAAGAACGTCAAAGATCTCCCCAAGATGCTCGTCCTGCCGCTTTACGCCGCACTGTCACAGGCAGCACAACAGCGCATCTTCGAGAGAGCGCCTCCATTCACGAGAAAGTTGATACTTTCCACCAACATTGCTGAGACATCGGTGACTGTGCCTGGTGTGCGGTACATCGTGGACGCCGGGAAAGTCAAAATCAAGCAATATCGTAGCAAGATTGGGCTCGAGTCGCTGCTCATCAAGCCGATCTCGAAATCCTCGGCAGATCAACGCAAGGGTCGAGCTGGTCGAGAAGCTCCCGGCCAATGCTACCGCTTATTCACGAAAGATGCATACGATGCACTTGAACAGGATGCCAAGCCTGAGATCCAGCGTTGCGATCTCAGCAATGCAGTCCTGAAGATGAAAGCTCGAGGAGTACAAGACGTGGCCGGCTTCCCATTCCTCACACCGCCTTACAAGGAAGCCATGCAAAAGTCGATTCTACAACTGCATCAGCTAGGCTGTTTGGATGGCAAGCTCAACATCACCGAGATTGGACGGCAAGTCGCTCGATTACCACTGACACCTCCCTTGGGACGCGTTTTGATCGAAGCTGCCAAGTCAGAACGTGACTGTCTGCTAGAGGTCATCGACATCGTTGCAGCCTTCGATGTGGAAAACATCTGGCTCCCGACCGAGACCGAAGAGGCACGAGAAAAAGCAGAAGAAGCCCGGGCTCAGCTCCGAAGGCGACAGGGCGACCATTCGACACACCTTGCGGCCGTTCGCGCGTATGCCGAGGAGAATGCCGATCGCAAACGATGGTGTAAGGACCACATGATAAGTCACAAGTCGATGCAGACCGTCATGGACGTGCGAAAACAGCTGCGCTCCCAGTGCAAACATCTCCTGTCCACGGCAGAAGCCACCGAACGGGACACGATCGACGAAGCGACCGCGGAGAACATCCTCAAATGTTTCATGGTCGGCTTTCCCAACAACATCGCCCGGCTGTGCCCGGATAAAAGCTACAAGACGCTGGCGGGGAACCACACCGTGAGCATCTTCCCGGGCAGTGTCCTACACGGGCAGCGGCTAAGGAAGGCGATCATTTTCAACGATTTCGTGTATACGAAGAAGCCGTACGCCAGGAAGGTCAGTGCCATCGAACTGGGCTGGCTGGGAGACGTCGGATTGGTATAGCAAGAGCTATCCCCGCCGCTCGATGGCTCCGTTTCGCTATCGGGAGACCTTTTGATGCTTTTGCCTTCCTCCTTCTAGCTGAGATGCCCAAATTTTGGAGACGGCATTGAGCCTTTTTGCCCCATAGCGAGCAGGCCCTTTCCGAATTCTGAGCAAGTACCATACCCTTTGATAACCCTTCGAGGGCTTCTTCTCCGTCATCATCGCGGAAACGCTCGAATCCGAGAGTCAAGTCGCCATACAGACTCTCATATTCCTCCTCCACAGCCGTTCCACTCCCTGCCGCTTCCACTGAGGTAGTCGAGCTCCTGCGCATCAGCCTCTTCCCCGTCTAGGAGATCCTCACGATGGTCTTCCTCCGCATCCGGCTTTTCCGGCCTGTACTCTTCAAGATAGACGCTCCGCCTCTCGCTGCTGACTCTCGGACCTTCCTGGCCGTGCGACTGCTGCAGCCATTCATACTTCTTGAGTGCCGGCAGCGCTTGCTGGATCGCGCGGTTTGCGGCGGCAGTTGTTGGGTCTGTGGACTTTTGCGCCATCCTGGCCGGTGGGGAGATGGGTAAGGTAAGGTAGATGGGAGTCAGTCGACCTCGTTGCTGTTGCTGGTTGTCGTGCTCATCAACGTCCGAAGTAATGAATTGTGTATCTGGGTTCTTCGGGATCATGGTCATTCGGAGGAGAGAGACAGTTTATTTCTAGAAGGTCTCTCTTCTTCTGCGCCGTTCACCATCGCGAGCGCGCGCGCGCGGGCGGGCGGGCGGCATGCTTTGGGTCATTCATTGCTAGGATGTGAATAGCCCCCCGTCAGTCAGCTACCTACTGCGGTGAAGAAAGCGAAGCGGGAAGTGCTTGTTGTTGTTCTTGTTTGCATTCCATGCTGTTTCCATTCTGACTGCTACTGATATCGCTTGACGTCCCTCTTTCCCAATCTGAGTGAGTGAGTGAGTGAGTGAGTGAGTGAGTGAGTGAGTGAGCGAGCTCTTCTTTTCTCTTCTTTCCTTTTCTCCAAAACGCAAGGCTCCAGTCCGTACCAGCCCTCCCAGTCCAATTGAGGATTTCAAATCGATTTCCATTTTCTTCACCACCAACCACCTTCTTGCTCTTCAAGATGCTTAAAGCCCCCTGGAAATAGCTCCTCAAACCTAAAGAATAAGAATTCTTTCTTCGCCCTAAGTAAGCTCCTTCCGCTCTCCATATCTCTCCCTCGTGTCCAGATACTTCCGAATCAAAACCCTCCGAATAGAAATCGTATAATCTCTTATGGATCATTCTGCTGGTGGTGGACGTGAGCGGAAGGAACCCTCTGTGTTCGTGATGATTTTTGTAAGTTGATTTTGAAGGTGCTCGATTGCGATTCTGAAGTAGTCGCTAGGTAGCGTGTAGTACCCAGGAAGTGAGTTTCTGCCGATAGTGCTTGGAGTGAGTGAGACCTGACGAACGCTGTAGAGGGAGGAGGGAGCTATGGAAGCAATTTTCACTCTGCGATCGTCACGCATCTTAGCCGAGCATTATACCACTTTCTGAGAAGGCTTCGAAGGACGGGTTTTTGGTTCGTCTTCGGTGCATTCCCGCTTTCTTCGTCTCATATTGGGTACCGGACCCCGTCATCTTCGTCCCTCGACGATCGTCTCATCACTCGTCGTGTCGTGAGCAAACAATTCGACATCGCGCATGGAGACCTCGATAGAGCATGCTTCTTTCTTTCCTTGGTTCACTACCTCCTCCTCCCCGCAGCACCACCAGCGCCCTCGCCACCCCTCTCGGCCAGACTGACAACCTCACTAATCCCCGCAGCTTCCTGTTCATCCTCCAAAACCTGTACTTCCTCCCTACTATCCCACCATTTCTGCTCCGAGCGATCAAAGGCCTTCTTGCGGATCTCCTTGACCGACCGCTCCTTGGGATTGCGTTCGTATTTCATCGCTTCGAGGACGGTTTCCTGCCATTCGTTCGAGGTACGCGCGAAGAAGTCTCGGAGGGTTTCGAAGGGTCGGGGCATGGGGAGATTGTCCTTGGCGGAGGATACAAGCTCCGATTCCACGGCGTCGGCTTCGGAGGGATCTGCGATGGAGGTGGCGGGCGTGCTGGGTTCGGTGGCTTGCGCTTCATCTTCGTCGGAGTTTTCTTCGCCAGATCCTGCTTCTTCTTCTTCTTCTTCGTCATCGTCGTCGTCTTCTTCGTCGTCGCTTTCTTCGTCTTCACTACCTTGCCAATCCAGAAGTTCGCGCTTGAAGACTTCCTTTACTCCATCTAGCTTCCCCAGATCTATCGCCCACATTTCGTCAAAGGTGAATTCTTGGTCGCCTTTCTCGAATGTCCCTCCGAAGATGTAGAGAGTGTCTTCCTGCACGGCGAGCTGAGCGTTGAAGCGTGGATGCGGCATCTCCCACATGGTGGGCTTTTCGATCTTTTGATCCTCGTCATCATCGTCAGCAGCGGCGGTACCTGCTGAGGGGACTTGAGGTGCATCATCATCATCATCTCCCAGAGAGCCTTTGTTCTCAATCAAGGCCAAGTTTCGTAACAATTCTTCTTCATCTGCCTTGCCTCTGCCTCGCCTGCCTCTTTCCGCAGCAGAGGCTATCTTCTTTGCAGATGCGCGCGGCCTCCGTAAGCTCAGCTGAAAGAAGCGATTCCGGTCAATGGTGTAAGCATGTAGTAAGTTGAAGAACTCGCTGTCGATACCTTCCTCACTCTCTTCCACATCGTGCACTCCACCAAACGAAATGCCGCGACCCTTATGATGAGCCATCGTCACACCCGCACGAGGTGGATTGGGAGCATTGACGGGTCTCTTTCTCCGCTCCCACCGCACGGTAGGCAGAGCGTTCGCCGGTGCATCGGAAGCTGGTGGAGTAATCCGCAGGAACCATGTATCCTGATGTACCATCGGCTTCATCACAACCCTCGAAGAAGTCTGCTTCCCGCCTTTCCCTGACTTGATCGTCGCACTCGCTTTGACACGAGAATAACCCCCATACAGCACCGCCCCCGTCTCATGCGGCAACAAGGAGAAGGAAGACCTCGCATCCGGTTTCTGCGAAGCAGGCGGCAACACCGGCTGATGCCACGAAAACTTGTGCGTATCGTACAGCCACACATCCTGCAAATATTTCGTCTGTTGGCTCGTATCCTGAAAGCCACCGAACAGAATCACATAATTCTTGAAGAAAGTCATCCGATGGCCACTCCGAGCAGGCGGACCTCCTTTGCCTTCCAATTTCGTCCATTCGCGCGTCGAGGGCTCCAGGCGCCAGAAGTCATTATAGTGGTAGAAGGTGCCCTGCTTGGGACTCGAGAATTCGCCGCCGAAGAGGTAGATGCCCCCAGCATTTCCCCCCGGACACATGGCATGTCCGCTCCTCGGCAGCGGCGAGTTCGGACTCGTCACTTTCCTCCAGCTATCCTGATTGATCTTGTACACATACAGATCATTATAAAACGAAGCCAGGGCTCCATTGTAATACTCCCCTCCAAACAGAAACAGCTCGGAAGGATTACTCGGGCTCGCCACCAGCGTCGCGGACGCCCTTGGAGACGGAGCATCCGAGGGAATCTCCGTGACCTTCAAGAATTGCTCCTGCTGTTTCTGATACTCCGCGAGAATGGCGTCCAGATCCGCGTCTTCAGCATCGGAATCCTGGTCATCTTTGGATTTCTTGGCGGTTTTCTTTTCCGATTTTGCGGATTTCTTGGCTTGGGAGGCGGCTTTTTTGGCTGCCTTGGCGGCTTTCTTCGCCTTGTCTTCTTTCTTGGCCATGGATGTGGTGAGAGGTTGATATGAGGTGATGTTGAGATCGGACAGTGATGGGGGAAAGTTATCGGGAGCAGTGACCAGGAGGAGCTCGGGATTTTTTCCCTATAGGACAGGGATTCCCCCGATAAGTCCGAGTCATTCACTTACCTCCGAACTGGGGAAAGGGGACAAACCTCACCACTGCACCTCACTGCACCCAAAGAACCCCCCTCCACAAGAGAAAGAAAAAGGATAAATATAAAATATATAAATGAACATCCTGCGCCGCAAAATGTCAACCATACCCATCTCCCCCGCGGAAATCGTGAGTGAGAAGACACATCAGATCGCAGGTAAGGTACCTTTTGCCCTTTTTCCCCCCTTCCGTCCCCCTTCCCTCCCTCCCTCCCTTGATTTGCTTCAAACATACTGAAAAAAAAAAATTCCCTCATGCAAGGCAAACTCAAAGTCACCGAACACTTCTTCGACGTCCCCAAAGACTACAGCGAACCCTCCAAGGGCACGATCCGCCTCTTCGCCCGCTCCGTCCAGAAAAATGAATCCCCCATCATCGTCCCTCCAGCCAACCCCAAAAAAACTTCAAAGGACGAACAACAACAACAACAGCAGCAACTCCCGTGGATGCTCTTCCTCAACGGCGGCCCCGGCCTCCCATGTAGAAGCCCGCAACACTACCCGTTCACGCACCGCGTGCTGGAAGCCGGCTACCGACTGCTGTTTCTCGATCAGAGGGGCACGGGACTCTCCACGCCCGTGACGGCGTCGACCCTCCAGATGCGAGGGTACGAGGATGTGCAGGCGCGGTATTTGAAATTGTACCGTGCCGATAGTATCGTGAGGGATTGCGAGGCGATCCGCAAAGCACTGACGGCGGATTACGAAGGGGAAGGGCACGAGGAGAGGAGGAAATGGAGCACGATGGGACAGAGTTTCGGGGGCTTCTGTACGGTGACTTATCTGTCTTTCTATCCCGAGGTAAACAAATGCCGCTCTGGCTCGGTGTTTTGAATTCTGTTCGCTGATGAGAAATTCGTCTGTAGGGTCTCAGGGAATGCTTCCTCTTCGGCGGTCTCCAACCGCTCGTCAAGTCCCCCGACGAAGTCTACAAACGCCTCTACGTCAAAGTCAAAGAACGCAACGAGGCCTACTATGCCAAATACCCGGAAGACGTCGACCGCGTCAAGACCATCACCCGCTATCTCAGTCGTTTCGGCGACGGCAAGATCAAACTCCCGTCCGAGGGGAATCTCACCCGCCGTCGATTCCAACAGATCGGAATCGCCCTCGGTTTCCACGGCGGTCTCGATTCCGTACACGATGTCGTTCTCAAGGGCAGTTACGACATCGAAGCTTTCGGACACCTGACCCGAGGGACGCTGTCTGCTATCGATCACATGTCTGCGTTTGACGATCATCTCTTGTACGCCATCATGCATGAGCCCATCTACTGCGAGGGCACTGCACCCAACTGGTCCGCGCACCGCATGCAGCAAAATTTCGCCGAATTCAATCTCGACCGCGAAGACGGCGGGCCCATCTATTTCACCGGCGAGATGATCTATCCCTGGATGTTTGAGGACTACGCGGAATTACGCAAAGTCCAAGATGTCGCGAACCGCGTGGCTTCCGACCCCGACTGGCCCGCTCTCTTCGATGAGGACCAGTTGGCCAGGAACGAGGTTCCCGTGTATGCTGCTTCGTACATTGAGGACATGTACGTCGACACGGAGTTCGCGATGGAGACGGCCAAGAAGATCAGAGGCTGCAAGGTGTTCTCGACCAACGTTTTGTTTCATGATGCGATTCGGTCCAAGATGGATGAGGTGCTCCGGCAGGCGTTTGCTTTGAGGGATGATGTTCATGACTGATACGGCAGTGAAATGTGGTCTGAAGGAGGCCAAAGACAGTCTTCCGATCCTCTGCGCTTTTTTGGGTTGGCGGCGTTCATGGATTGGGCGGGTAGTAGATCTGCTCGCAGGGCCAGCAATGGCAAGCCAATATAAACCAACCACCGAGATCTCCTCCCTTTCATTTCCAACATTCATTTTCCAACATTCTCTTCGCAACATTCCCGTCTTCTGCGATTCATGGTCCTCACACATCCACACCACCCTCCCTCGCCATCCGATAGATCTCCGCGCAAATCGGCTCCACATCCGTCTTCTTAATCGGCACCCGATGATTCCCATCCCACTCCAACACGCGACTCGTCTTCGCATCACAATACTGCCGCAGCAATTTCCGATGCAAATGTAAGCCCGGATCATTCAAGCCGTGCACATGCAACGTCGGCAAGCTCAAAATGTGCGGACTCGTGCCCTCGAATCTAAAACCCTCACTCATGGCGCCCGGTTGACAGAGAGCGGGGGATCGGGAAAATTCACAAAAGGACACCAGGGGACTGCGCCCTGCCAGCAGGACGGCGAATTTGTAATCGGTGGCGGCGTTCCCTTCGCGTTCGAGGCGGATCTGTTGGTCGTATAAGAGACTGGCGCTCAGCTTCGCGCCCTGCGAGAAGCCCAGCAGGCCCACCCACGCGCCGGTGCCTTCGTCTTCGTCTTGCGCGCGGTGGATGTTGTAGAGGATCTCTTCCATGGCGCTCTCGTCGTCGATTTCGGGGTGCTCGGGGAGCCAGCGCAGCCAGCGCCGGAAGGGGCCGTGGTCCTGGTAGACGGGCAGGATTCCCGGGCCCGGGTTGCAGAGGTGAGGGCCGTCGGCGAAGACGAGGCGGAAGGCCGGGAGGTGCTTGATGAGGGCGCGGGCTTGGAGGCGGAAGACTTCGGCGGTGACGCCGCCGCCGTGGAGGCAGAGGATTCGGGGCGCGTCGAGGTTCGGGGAGGGTTCGTTGGTCATCGTCGCGTCGCGTCGCGTCGAGGTGTCGGAGGTGGAGGTGGAGGTGGAGGTGGAGGTGGAGGTGGAGTTGGAGAAGAGAGGGAGAGATGGCCTTGGCTGGTTTCTTGGCTGGTTTCAGGAGGGAGCGCGGTTCATACTCACTCTCGGGGTGATATATGATAACAGGAGGAGAAGAAGAGGATATGAGTGATGGGAGAGATGTGACCTCACCTCTTGGTCCGGTGTCCGGTGTCCGGTGTCCGGTAGTGGCACTAGAGGCTGACAGCTGCATCGGCGCTGAGAGGTGCATGTGCTGCAAGTCCGAAGCCGACAATGCAACCTCGTCTCATCAACAACACCTGTTCCGGTCAACAAGAATAGAATATCCCGGCACCAGCGAATTATCGTACGGTATACGGAAAACAACATCCTCTCACAAACCCCCAGCTTTTCCACTCACCATCTCACCGCAACGCCTCCAAAACCCGCTCTTCAACCCCTTCAATCGTGCCCTCGGGCGTCGTCAGCGCAGTCATAAGATACAGCACATTCCCCAACACCCTCGAATGAATCACCTCTTCATCCCCTTCCTTCCCAGCCAGCAACGAATCCCTCAACCCCGTCGCAGCAGTAGAAGCGTACCCCCCACTCCCAGCAGCATCTTTCAGACTGATAGCCAGAACAGACCCCAACGCAAACACACTGTCCACATTTCCTCTCTGCGAAACGGCAGTCACAAATTTCCAAGACCACATACTCCAAACCCCCTCTCCGCTGCCTTGGTAGGAAACTCCTGGGCTTACGCCCTGAGGACTCCAGTCTTCCTTGAAACTCTCCCACGCGCCGCTCCGGTCGAGCTTCTGCAGTTGGCGAAGACTTTCGTTCGCGACGGCACAGCCGACGGGGTGAGCGGTGTAGCTGTGTCCGTGGAGTAAGGCGTCGGTCTTGTCGCTGCTGAGGAATGCGTTGAAGATGGAAGCGCTGGCTGTGGTGGTACACAGGGGAAGGAGACCGCCTGTGAGGAGTTTGGCGTTCACGACAATGTCCGGATGGGTTCCGAGGAAAGAGGCGGCGCTGAAGCGGCCGAGACGGTAGAGGCCTGTGAAGACTTCGTCGAAGATGACGGGCATGCTGGTCCAGTCCTGTGCTGAGTCGGAAGAGGCGGCGGTGGCGGCTTTCAGGCTCTTTGCAAAGCGAGTTCCGTTTTCTTTGCTGTAGAATTCCCGCGCGACTTCGACGAGACAGCGCTGATAGAGAGGATCGGCAAACATCATTCCGCCGGCACCGAGCAGTATGGGTTCGATGATGAGAGCTCCAAGACTCGCTCCTGATTGTGTGACGACGCGATCCAGCGTCTCGTGGAGATAGGACTTGTATGCGTTGTAGTCTCGCGCGCGGTCATCGAAATTGAAAACCTCACTCAGACTTCCAAAGTGCTTCGTTCCCAAAGGCGAGCCTTCGAATGGCTCGACAAGCCATTGTCCCTGCCGCATCTTCACGGTGGGAAAGTCAAGCCAGATGCCGCGACCAGAGTACCATTCCACTTTCTCGTTGAAAATGCTCGGCTCTGAGCAATCCATTGTGCCGATCGTGTCGCCGTGGTAGCTGTTCTTGAGTCCGAGAATGCGGACATCCAACGCTTTCGCATTCTCGGGCTGGTACTTCACTACGGCTGCGCGTAAGGCCATCTTGACGGCAACTTCCATGCCCGTGCTGCCGTTGTCGGAATAGAAGACTTTGGCTAGCTTCGGATTGCCTGACTTCTGTATCACGGTGTGCGCAAGATCGAGCCCGGGCTTGTGGATTGCGCCGCCGAACATGACATGGCCGTATCTCCCAGCGGCGTGGGCGGCTGTGAGTGCCAGTTGAGGGTTTCCGTGACCGAGGCCCTGAGTCCACCAGGATGCTGAACCGTCCAAGGCTGGTGTGAGGAGCGATTCTTCCGGGGAAGACTTTGCTTCTCGCTTGGTAGAGTAGCTCTGGAAGTGATCACCATATGCGGAGTCCCATGCCATGATAGTGTCCTTCGACCGTTCTGTATGCTGCATGAAAGGGTGCCAGATAGCGTTGTCTGCCTCTTCAGGCATGGACTTAATCTCTCGTATCCGCTTCTCGTGGTTCTCGAGGAATCGCCCTGTGAAGGCCTCAATGTCTTGATGTGTACTCGATCGCTCGTAGTACTCTCTCATGGCCTTGAGATCCTCTTCCGCGACGACATTACGAGGCGGGGGTGGCGGGATGGCGACGGCGTTGACTCGCTTCTCGCGAAAGTAGTCCTTCAGGTAGGAGTGGTTGCCGTAACGGTCCTCCGAGAAGAGCGCCACCGTGTCTACATCGTAGCCTCTGATGTGTAGCGACTCCCATGCAGAGATTGTGGTGCCAATGCCTCCGAGCTGGTAGTCCCCAACGAGTAATGTTGGTAATCTCAGCGGTCGATATAGATCTGCCTGCGAACTTCCAGAGGGTGTTGGAGAGAGTACCCCGCCCGCAGTCTCGACGATGGATATGCCATCATTGCTCGCTGCCTGTCTCTTCAGCTCGTCGTAGACAGCTTCGAGGACTGTGGCGTCCGTGATGGGCTGATCCGATCAGCATATAGACGTCCAATCTCGCTGATGGAACTTACTTTTCCGGCAGAACGCACAGCCAGGTGCGGACTGACAGGGTCATCGAATTGGAACAGACATTTCGTCTTCACGTCGGTCCCGAGCGTGGATATATGACTGCAGAAAGTCAGCTCAGCCCGCTGCGCAGCCGTACCCTAACGTCCTTAGGGTTTCTTGGGGTTAACTCGGCCATCCACCTCTTCAACCATTGCACTTCCCAACACCATCCAAACCACCCAATACTTCTCAGATCGACATTCTATGTATGGGAGAAAACTTACTGATCATCCGCTTCATCCAATGGCCCCGTAGAAACTGGTTTCAGGTAATTCACATCTCTCAGCCGCCTTTTGAACGCTCGGCACAGGACGGAGGAGAAGATCGTCTTGCCGACACCGGTGTTTGCGCCATAGATTTGCAGTAATCGTAACTTGGGCCACAGGACCGAACCGATGTTCCTCATATCGACCACATCCCCGAGATCAAGCAAACAAGTGAAAGTCGAAGAGGGGCAAGGTAGGATGGAGGGATTGATATCCCACCTCACCTTAACCAACCGAAAACGGAAGCACCCGACGACCGGGTTTGCGGTGTAGAAAGTCTAAAATGGACCCAGGCCCAATGGCTCCAGCTGGATTCCCCGAGCTTCTGAGCCAAGGTATCCATCTATCCAATCTGTGAATGCTCGCTCTCTCGTGGACTACTGCATGTCTCGTGCTCGCCTTCCAATCCTTCCTGCATCCATCCATCGCACAATGTCACACAGCAGCCCGAGCAATAATGGCCTCGAAGCCTCCATCACCACCTCCCTCACCCAAAGAACCCACCAATCCACCATCCGAAAACTCACAACCTTTCCCCCCTCATCCGCGGATTTCTCCTCCAACGATTTCCTCTCCTTGGCAACCTCGCCTGCCCTCCGCCAGGCTTTCCTTGAAGAACTCCAGCACGATCCTTCCATTTCCTCAAACCTGGGGAGTGGCGGTTCGCGCCTGCTAGACGGCAATTCTCCTTACGCCGAGAAACTCGAAGGAGACATTTCGCATTTCCATGCATCGGAGACGGGATTACTGTGCAATTCCGGTTTCGACGCGAATGTGGGATTGTTCTCCTGTCTGCCGCAACCCGGCGATGTGGTGATTTACGATGAGTTTATTCATGCGAGTGTCCATGATGGGATGAGATTGAGTAGGGCGTCAAAGTGTGTGTACTTTGCACATAATGATGTGCACGCATTGAGGGAGCTACTCGAAGCCTTGGTCAGGGAGGACAGGGCAGTGAGGGACGGAAGCAGGAATGTGTTCATTGCCGTGGAAGCGGTTTATAGCATGGATGGAGATGTTGCGCCACTAAGGGAGATTGTGGCATTAAAGAAGCTTCTGCCGAAAGGGAATGGCCATCTCATCGTGGACGAAGCGCATTCGACTGGCGTGTTCGGGCCCAAGGGCAGAGGCTTGGTGTGCGAGCTGGGACTCGAGAAGGAATTCACAATTCGGCTGCACACGTTCGGAAAGGCATTGGCTTGCAACGGGGCCATCATCCTCTGCAGTCCGGTGATTCGAGACTGCCTCGTCAACTACGCGAGGCCGATGATCTACACCACATTCATGTCGTATCCGGCGCTGGCAGCGATTCGTGCGTCATATTCCTGGCTGATGGAAGGAAAGACGGAGCCGCTGGCTAAGAATCTGCAGATGCTGATCCAGACAATGCACGAGCGCCTTCTCGAGATGCATGCATCGCTGCAATCAAGGCCAGAGGCCGAAGTGTTGGTGCGAGGTCCCACGGAATGTCCACAAACACCAATTTTCGCAGTTTTATCCTCAGAGCCCAAGGTGTTGGCTGCACATTGTCAAAGGAATGGCTTCGTGGTGCGAGGAATTGTGCCGCCAACCGTACCTGCTGGGACAGAGCGAATACGAGTATGTATTCATGCTGGAAACACTGTTGAGCAGATTGACCGGCTAGTGGACACCATCAAAGCCTGGGTGCTGCAGCGGATCACAGAACTGGACTCCGTGGATGACTTCCGAGCCCGGTTGTGAAGAGCAGACCCGCTGTCAGCAGTATGTAAATAGAGCATCACCTTATCAAAGTGAGGCTGTAAAAGTCGCCCTTGTAGTATCGCGTTCGTGCCTCAATGGCTGTTCCATATATACATGTCCGTGCCAATGCCCACTTTCCCGTTCTCACAGATGCATTGGCGGAGGTGCTACCACCATGTCAGCTCCTACAGATCCTCTCCATAGCGCACATGACTTACGGTCCAAGTTTGGTACAGGCAGATTCCGCTCGTACTTGCTTCCGCCGGGAGCGGTGGGTGGTCTGTATGGGTCTGGGTGCTTCCACTTCTCCAAAAGCGCCTCCGTCTGCTCTAGCAGCAACTGCAGCACGCATCGTCAGCATCTTGCCCCATCTCCTCATCGTACTTCCTCCACGCGCTTGGTATGTCATACTTTTTGCTCTTTTGGCTGAGTGATATGCTTGTTCGCTTCGAAGAGACCTCGGATGTACATGGCCTGACCGCGCCAGACATATCGGTGAACGGCCCAGTCGAGGGCTAGCTTGAGGGAGCGGCGGTATAGAGAGCTGTCGCGAGCATTAGAGGTGGTAATATCGCAGCCAATGGCAATGGTTGGATTACAGGACGTATTGGCTGGAGGCCATGGTGAAGGGGATCGTGCCTGGGCTGGGCGCCCGTTCAAGTCGCGTGTTCAACCCAGCGCAATAATGCCCTGCGACTGGCACTCCGATCTTTCCCGAGGAGGATATTGGCAGCTGGCGACGGTGGAGTGTAGGTTGGTGGTGGTGGTGGTGGTGGTGGTGGAAGGAGCGTCGTTGGTGGTGTCCTGCTCGTGCTGCTAGCTGGCTTGCCGATCAGGTTGCCGGTGCGGACACTTCCGGCAATAAGCGAGAGCCCAGCGAAGTGAGTGAAGGACCAACGTCAGGCTTGCGGAAGCTCATCTTCAAAGAAGCCCCAACTCTCTTCTTTCTGTTGCGGCTGACCACAACACGCCTAATCCTCCCACCTCCTCTCTCCACACATCTCACCACCAACACCCTCGATCGGCGACTGGGAGCTTCTCAAAGGCAGTCTGCCGTCTCTCAGCAAATGTCGAGCTCACAATGTCTTCGCCGGCTGGCCGCTGGCTCCGCTGCTCGCCCTGCCACTCTGCTGCGCCAGTCCGCTACCACTTCCGGCCGCATACTAAGATCATCAACTGGTATTAGGACACTCAGCACAGGCGCATCGACTTCGAAAACACTTCCAGCACTTCCATCTTCCAGGTGAGCTTCCTGGAGCTTCTTGCCGTTGCAAACACTGATACGGAAACAGAAAGCCCTTCCAACCCGTACAGTTGCGCCAGTTCAGCCTATCAAGTCGATATTATGGTACAGAAAGCATTTGATTCTGAGGAGGAGGCAAGCTAACCAGGTATGCAGAGGAGCAAGTGGTTCAGGTGCCTCAGATGGCAGAGTCCATCTCTGAAGGTACCCTGAAGCAATTCTCGAAACAGGTCGGCGACTACGTTGAGCAAGACGAGGAGATCGCCACCATCGAGACCGACAAGATCGATGTCGCCGTCAACGCGCCCGCCGCCGGTACCATCAAGGAATTTCTTGCGAAAGAGGAGGACACTGTCACTGTTGGTCAAGATCTCGTGAAGCTCGAGCTGGGCGGAGAGCCTGGACAGAAGAAGGAGACTGCGAAGGAGGAGCCAAAGGCGCCTGCGCCAGAGTCTCAGCCAAGTGCTTCAGAAAAGTCGGGCGAGCGAGAGAGCAAGCCGGAGCCAAAGAAGGAGGAATCCACGCCAGAGCCGTCCAAGCAGGAATCAAAGCCGGAACCACCCAAGCAAGAGTCGAAGCCACAGGCGTCTAAGGAAGAGTCGAAACCAAAAGAATCAGAGTCGAAGCAGGAATCCCCGTACGGCAGCCGCGAGGAGCGTAGGATCAAGATGAACCGCATGCGCCTCAGGATCGCCGAGCGTTTGAAGCAGTCGCAGAACACCGCCGCATCACTTACCACCTTCAACGAGGTCGACATGTCTGCGTTGATGGAGATGCGCAAGCTCTACAAGGATGAGATCCTCAAGAAGACGGGTGTGAAGTTCGGCTTCATGAGCGCATTCTCGAGAGCTGCTGTCCTGGCCATGAAAGAGGTGCCGACCGTCAACGCTAGCATTGAGGGACCGGGAGGCGGTGACACTATCGTCTACCGCGACTACGTGGACATCAGTGTGGCTGTTGCGACGGAGAAGGGTCTCGTGACTCCAGTCGTTCGCAATGCCGAGAGCCTGGACATGGTTGGAATCGAGAAATCGATTGCGGATCTTGGAAAGAAGGTGAGATGTGCTTAACGTCCTCTCGAGTTTTCCACGTATACTGACATGCGCAGGCCCGCGACAACAAGCTCACCATCGAAGACATGGCTGGCGGAACCTTCACCATCTCCAACGGCGGTGTCTTCGGCTCTCTCATGGGTACTCCCATCATCAACCTGCCTCAGACCGCAGTCTTGGGCCTGCACGCTATCAAGGGTACGTCTTTTCATCCCTCCCGCCTCCCAATCGTCGAGTGACTAACCCATGACTACAGATAAACCCGTCGCCGTCAACGGCAAAGTCGAAATCCGCCCAATGATGTACCTCGCCCTTACCTACGACCACAGATTACTCGACGGCAGAGAAGCTGTGACCTTTTTGGTCAAGATAAAGGAATACATCGAAGACCCGAGGAAGATGTTGCTTTTCTGAGATACTCAACAAGCAAGACGACATGGATGCAGGGATGCGTTTCCATGTAAATGAGGAGAATCAGCGGCGGCGTTCATGCTACTTTCTTCTCGCTACGCTACCTCTCTATAGTGTAGTCTCTGCATAGGCGCCCTTTTACATTGCGTGTACAAAATCTTTGTTCCTGACACCATGAGTCTGTTTGTTTCCACGAACACTTACGGTAGTTCTGGAAACTCTTCACTTAGATGTGGTTGTTTCTGAAACACGCGAAAGTGCAAGATTGGACGGCTTTCTGCCATAGCAAATAAATGGGCTTCGCAATCTCAGATTTTGAATCAAGGTAGATGGATTCCATATGCACTGTGCGAAAGGCATCGCATGTATATGATCATGTTGCATTGCGTGGTGTAGAGACACAATTCTGGTGATTTGCGCGGGAGTTGCTGGTCAGCAGCAGCATTGAAGGCCGGTCCTCGGCGCGCGTGTTCGTTTGTTTTGACGGCAGACGCGACCTCATCCGACGCGCCTGAAAGCCGATTTCGAATCTGCAAAACCAGTAGAGAAGCACAAGCAATGGAGAAGAGAAGAGAGACACAATTTGCAATGTTGAGAAAAGTTCTGATCAGATTCAAGCCTTGGTATCATCATGAAGCCGTCGCCCTGATAGCTTCCATCGCTAAGTCATGGGGCATAATGTACAGCCTTTTGGCTTCTGGACCAGATCAGAAGCCATGCAGTAAAGCAATACGAGATTGAAAAAAGGACACGCCGTAACCTGAGCTCGTGCCCGCCATTGATGAGCCCATTATCATCGCAAACCAACCCCATTCTGCGCCATTGTACCCATTGTGCCGTTGTAGAATTTTCAAGAACAGAGAGCTATCGAGCCGTCTACAGCTCCTGAGATGGGCCCTTGCCCTTGGTGCCTGCGGCGGCGGTCTTCTTGGGCAGGAGGTCTGGAGGAAACAGATGTCAGTGATGATTGGGAAGTGTAGGATGTGGGATCGCTTACTCTGGTGAATGTTGGGGAGGACACCACCCTGGGCAATGGTGACGTGACCGAGCAGCTTGTTCAGCTCCTCGTCGTTGCGGATGGCGAGTTGCAGGTGACGAGGGATGATACGGGTCTTCTTGTTGTCACGGGCGGCGTTGCCAGCCAACTCAAGGATTTCGGCAGCCAGGTATTCGAGGACAGCTGCGAGGTAGACGGGAGCACCTGTGGTGGAAGAGTCAGTTGATGCGACCAGGCATAAGCGATTGAATGACGCGACTTACCAGCACCGACACGCTGGGCGTAGTTGCCCTTGCGGAGGAGACGGTGGACACGACCGACTGGGAACGCGAGACCGGCCTTGGACGAACGCCTGTGGTAAATGATGTCAGTTTGCGCCGGATGGAAAAGCAGATCGAAAAGCGGTTCTTTTGGATTGAAAAAGCGCGTCGGATGGGCCAGATGAGGCCAAAGTAGGCGCATAGGATGGAATGGGCGAGTACTCACGATTGCGCGCTGGACTTGGCACCGCTGGCCTTGCCTCCGGACTTTCCGCCAGTCATTTTGATGGATGTGGGTGGTTGGAGAGTGGTGTTTGTGGGTGTGGATGAGCTGGGAGCTGCTGTTGGTGATGGATGTGTCGTGGAGAGTTGCTGTCGAGAGATGGAAGAGAAGCAGAAGCGTGGTGAGAGGTGCGGGCAGCCTCTTCGCTTTTAAAGTAGCCCCAGCTCGCTGTTCCCTCACAATCACGCAGCGCGGGCAGTCGCGCTAGCGGGCGAACCCGAGTGCCAAGCAAAACAAAGTGATGAGCGCCTGCCCAGCTTATCAAACGGCAGTCGCGGACAGCTGGGCCCCGCTTAAATACTGGAGCGCCCTCCCACACCTGGCTTACACGTCTCTTCCTCTTTTCAACTCACGACAACACCACTCCACGACACCATCCATCAGCACCCATCAGCTCCATCATCACAAACACATCTCCCAACACCCCAACCCACCCAAAACCGCATTTACAATGGCACCAAAGGCTGCTCAGAAGGTTCGTCGCATCCAAAGCGCGCCTGTTCCATCTGCGCATCCAGTTCTGACGCGTTTTTGCAGACCCCAACCACCGCCGGCAAGGCTCCAGCTGGCAAGGCTCCCGCCGAGAAGAAGGAGGCCGGCAAGAAGACTGCGGCACCATCTGGCGAGAAGAAGAAGCGCACCAAGACCAGAAAGGAGACCTACAGCTCATACATCTACAAGGGTGAGTCGCCTCTGCCATCCATTGCCTCTGTCCTTCAGTCAATCTGAAGCCGCTTTCCATCTCGTGGCTCATTGCTGACGCGTCTTTCCTCCAGTCCTCAAGCAGGTCCACCCAGACACTGGTATCTCCAACCGCGCCATGTCCATCCTGAACTCCTTCGTCAACGACATCTTCGAGCGCGTCGCAACCGAGGCCTCCAAGCTCGCCGCCTACAACAAGAAGTCCACCATCTCCTCGCGCGAAATCCAGACCTCCGTGCGACTGATCCTGCCTGGTGAGCTGGCCAAGCACGCCGTGTCTGAGGGCACCAAGGCCGTCACCAAGTACTCTTCCTCCACCAAGTAAACGCATACATCATCGGCGATATGATGTCTGGGCGTTCTGATTTCGATACTTGGTTGTTGGTTCCTCTCCAAAGGGCTCATGATGATGGCCGGGCGTTTCGATAATGCGACATGGGATGGGTCTGCTTTTTCACGGGTTATTTCACATTGATTCACATGTTATGCTCACAATACCACTTTGCGCTTTAGGTCGCTGCAGTCAGCGGCCGCGCTTCGAGCATGATGGGGCTGTACAGTAGCAGCAGCAGTGAGCAGAGCTTGGGCCAAAAGCTCGAGATGAATGCATGATTTCAAAAAACCTCTACCAATATCTGCCTTGTTCATCTTCGTCTCACTTGCCACTTCCATCGCCGCTCTTGAACAGTGACTTCTCGAGTCGCACTGGCGATTCCAACTTCGCATTGCGCATGCCCTTGTGCGACATCGACTGCAAAAACGCGACTTCTGAGGTGTTCGGGCCGGCAAGAATGTTCGCTGAACGGCCAAAACAAAGCACTGACCACCGCGTTTTGTTTGCCTGAGGCCGCAACTCTGTTCCAACATCGAAACGTCGTGCCGGCCATACGGGAAAGTGTTTACATTTCCGATTCAACCGGACGTTCTGAGTTGGGCAATCGACGAAAAATGTTAACTGGAGAATCGACTGGCTTGGTCAAGATGGTATCATTTGGGTATTTATATGCTCCTACAGCAAAAGCGCCATCCTGCGAATAACAACGAACCTGCCAGGCGAGAGGACCGAAATGCTTTGCCTGCCTGGAACTGGGACTGGAACTGGATCATCACAACATCAGAAATCATCATTATCAGCATCAGCATCATCGTCATCCATCGTATCATCCAGCGTTTCCACCTCATCGACCGCACCGGCCCGTTCATCCCCAGTCGCATAACTTCCTTCTTTCTGGTGGATGTGGATGATCGCCTTGCCTGGGATCTCCGAGACAGCTTTCCTCCAGTCCTCAAAGTCTTCCCTCGATCGGATGAGAAAGCCGAGGAGCATGGAGGGATCCATTTCCGTGAGGGAAAGTTTGCGGATGCGTCTGGTATGGCAGGATTCGATGTCTTCGGCAGAAGGTTGCGGGGAGAGCATGGGGCGAGTGGTGTGTGGATCGAGATAGAAAAAGTTGTCGCCTTGGTGGCCGAGGAAGTAGTGGCTACTGGAAGGCCTGCCGCCTGCGATTCCGACGGATTGCGGAAGTTCGAGTGATGCCATGAGAGCAGCGTGATAGGCTGGAGTCACCTTTTCGATTCCGAGACGGATTCCGAGGACGATGAGTGTGGGCTGGAATTTGTCATCAGCGTCTTTCTGAGTTGCAGTGGCGATGAGTGAGTCGACGTAGACGTCGCCGTCATTGTGTCGTGCGTATACGCGGATTCCGGCTTCGTGGTATTTGTCTGTGAGCGCCCTGGATCGAGATTAGCCCTGCAGTCTGGCTGAGATGCAGGCAGTAGACGTACCGTATGCACCTAGCAGTGGCGTTGGGACCGAACCACTCGCCAGGATATTTGCCGCACGCCTGAGCTCCGTGCTCGACGAACTTGTGAATGGAAAAGGGAGCTTCGGGTGTGTCTGCGAACAGGGACAAGATGTCCCTATGCTCTCGCTCGTTCTGACCCTTCCTCCAGTCTCTTCCCAAGCGGTGCAGTAGGATTGTGTTGGCCAGCAAAGATTGTCCTGTTCTGATCATGCAGCCCCATCCTGAGTCTGAAGTAAAGCCACCCTGATTAGCGATGTTCCGTAGCTTTGTTGTGAACGACATGGCAGAGGCAGCAGCGGGGTCCTTGGACTTGGCTATTGGCTGAAAGTCGCTCCGATATGTGAGCCATATCCGTGATTCCACATCTTCCAGGAACTCAGAAGGCCATCCAAAATCTTCCTCATCCATAGACTTTGACAATTGTACTTGATCGAAGCTCTTGACCAACTCATCATCCCCCGCTTCTCCTTGCTCATCTGGCTTCTGTTCTGATTGTGTTACGACGGCCGAGTCAGCGTGCGACGCTGCAGAGTCTGATTTGGCTGAGGTAGAGAGTGCAGTTGTCTGGTCGTGCTTTTCAGGACGATAATCGGAGTCGTAAGATCGGCCGAGACACCATATGGGAGAGGTATCATCGTTCCTGGCCGGACGATCGAAGAAGTAGTCGACAGCTCGCTTGGAGAAGCGAGCGAACTCGTTCATCTCTACCAGGTGAGGTATGCTGAGGAGGGTTGGAGCAGCTGTGCGTTCTTGGGTTATTACACTGTAGACGTTCACACGACCACCAGGGCGGTCCGGGACGGCATGTGATGTCAGCTGGCGGAGATCTTCAAGATCAGTACATGTAGTATCCTGTACGCTCTTCCATAGTACACAAGACGGCAAGCGTGGCAGCAGTGCGAGTAGAGACGGATCGACTGTCGCAATCGACCTGCCGATGCAAGAAGAGTAAGGGAGATAGACGGAGTAGAGAGACACCGTGAAAGTGACGAGGCCGTGCCTGGGCTGTGGCTGGATCGTCGGCAGGCGCCCCGCGATGCAGGGTTCAGCCGCATCTCGGTGAGTCGTATCGTGGACCTAGTGTGCTAGCACTGCACATGTCATCGCTCCACTGTTCCGAGCTAACACCCAGGAGAAAGACTCTCTCCCTCGCTCCTTCCACATCTCACCGTCGTCGTTCCTTGCTCGTGGTAGACTGTAGGCCGCTTCCCGACGCTGTGAGCGAGCTGGAACCGCACTTCACCTCATCCATTGTACGGACTGGAACTAGGATTCGCCTCCCCGAAGCTTGGATCTTGGGGGAAAGAGCTGCGATGGGAAAGAAGAAGGGGAAGGCCCAGAATGGCCGAGCGAAGCAGAAACAGAAGGCACAGGGCAGCGCACCGCGAAGTACGCCTAGATCGAGACACGTGCAGCAGCAGACACTGGATTCCGACTGGGGTTCGTGATCATACATGGTCGACGCCTGATTGCCTCGTGCTGAGTATGCCTACAGACGATGACGCTCATATACAATTCCGTGGCTTCTCCCAGAAAGCTCCCTCTTCCACCGCGACCCCTCGAAGCGCCGCCGCGCGCCTGAGGCATCAGGCCATCTCTTTTGTCACCGCCGGCGTCAATAGCCCCACTATCCAGAAGCGAACACAAACCGACCCCGTCGACTTTCAGATTGCTCTCGACGACACCGACGAAGACGAGGATTGGGACGACGACGACGACGACGTGGATGATAGCCACATCTTGACCAACATTGTCTTGAACGCCGACATCGAGACTTCCAAGGAAGGCATCGCGAAGATGCAAATTGACAACTCCACAGGTGCCATGGAACTCGAGGCCGACGAAGCCAATGCCGCCGCCGCCGCCGCCGCCGCCATGCCGACTGCTACTGGAGACACATTGTTTTTTGTTGATACTGTTGGAGACTCGAGTCTGACCGGAAGTGTACAGAATGTTGCCAATGCCCCTGTCATGCGTGCGCCTTCGCCTGCGCCATCCAACTCCAGCGAGGAGGTTGTCGTATTCCACGGCCGCAACAAGGCAACCACTGTCGACGACCCTGTGCTGCCGCCACATGCTCGGTCGGTCACCGCCGCTCATACACCATCCTTCACGCCGACTCCAATTGCTCAGTCCACCACTGCTGCAGAGACGTACCCATCATCGTCCTTCGTGCCGAGTCCATCCGCTCCTGCCGCTCAAGGCTGGGGCAAGCAACCCTCGCAGCTGCTTGCGTCTCGTCGAAGCGACGACGTGTGGAGACCAGCACCGGCGGTACCGTATTGGAGGGCTAGCAACAGTGAGGCCGTGTCTCGCCCTGACCTGGACCCGTCTGCCACGGAGCTCGAGGTGTATGAAGTGTTACCGCCAAAGCAATCGAAGGTCCAGTTTGCAGAAGATGCGGGACAAGAGGAGGTAAATAACACTAAGGAATCCACTGAGACACTGCAAGCTAACTGGAAGAAGGTTCTGGGCGAGAAGAAGAAGAAGCTCAAGATGGACGTCGAGGATGACACGAGCTCGAAGGCCTCGAAATCCTCGAGCAGAAAGAAGAAGCGCGGTCGCAAGAACGACAATCGCTCCATGCGAGCCCCGATCGTCTCAGATGACGACAACTCTGAGGCCGCGTACGACGACTACATGAAGAACTTGATGGCCCAGCTTGATGACGGCGAGGAGCCTGATGAAGAGAACGACATTCTCGCAAACATGAGGACTGTCGCGGCCATCGCCGGCCCATCTATGGTAGTAGACGGCAAGGAGGTCGATGATGGTGACGTCTTGCCGCAGAACAAGAAGTTGACGGCTCGAGAGTTGCAGAACATGGAGATGAACGAGGATTCAGAGTCAAGCGATGAGGGCACCCTCAATCCCGACTTTGACGAGCTTTCTGACTCCATGGGTGAGTCTGATCTTGAAGATGATCTCGAGTCCATCGAGCGCGAGCAGTGGGAAGATGAGAAAGATCTCCGTCAACGTCGCATTGAGCGGCTCGACGACGAGAGCATTGCCCGCCTCCTCGCCAAGCAGGAGGAGCTCGGAATGGGTTCAGATGAGATCCTCATCGAGAACGGAGACTATCCGTATCCGTCCGACGAGGGATACGGTGATGTGGATGCGGCACGTGTCGAGCTGAACGACATTACCAACTCTTCTTTTGGCCGTGGACCAAACAAGCATGGCATGGCGCGTCGCTCCAACAACAGGTCCAATTTTCCAAACGCCTCCGCCATGGCTGATGCAGTCGATCAATACGGCGACAACGGCTTCGACATCATGGATTTTGACCGTCCATCACTGCGTCCGACGAAGAAGGGCAGAAAGGGTCTGCCACCGCCCGAGTTGGAAATGCTGAGTGATGAGGAGCTCCGAGACGACCTCACGGCACAGTGGCAGAAGGACAAATCCACCAAGCGCCAGAAGAAGCTGGAACGTGAGGAGCTGCGCGCCGCGGGCATGCTGGGCTCCGCCGGCCGCAAAGGCAAAGCCGACCTCAGTCAGAAGTATTCGAACGGCATGTCGATGAAGGATGTGTGGACGGAGTTGCGCGCCTTCATGGAAAACGACGACCTGCGCGAGCGTGCATTCCCCCCGATGGATAAGATCGATCGGAAGAAACTGCACCAGGTCGCCATGGCTCTCGACCTGAATTCCAAGTCACAGGGCACGGGCATGAAGCGCTTTCCCATTGTTTACAAGACGAGACGCACCAAGGAGTTCTCCCCAGACTTGTACTACCGTTTCATCCAGGCGGCTGATCGCGGTGGTCTGGGCTACAGCAAGGGCAGCGCCGATAGGATCAAAGCAGGTACCAGTGCTGGTCGCGGTGGCAGGGGAGGCGGCGGCGGTGGCCGTGGTGGAGGAGTGGCGGCTGCTACTGTCCGTCACGGCGAAGTCGTCGGTGCTGGTGCTGCGGAGATCAGCAGCTCTAGCTTCGGACACAAGATGCTGGAGAAGTATGGTTGGTCGAAGGGCAAGGCCCTGGGCAAGGACGGCGAGGGCCGGCTCGTACCAGTCGAGCAGCGCATGCGTGTCGGAACCGCTGGTCTTGGTTAGACCAGCTGATTCGGATATCATGCATGTGGATGTTGGCGTTCGATGAATGCATATGGGACCATGGGATACAATGAGGCGTTTCGGAGGATGGTTGCAGGCGATGAAAGCACCTTAGGGTTACAGCTTAGGGTTGCTTGGGGTAGCATAAACTGGTGGGACGATGAGCGCCGGCGATGTCTGACGGCGGCGCATTCTCTCAAAACAGTGCAGATATACCCTCTTCGAATCAATAGACTTCAGAGATAATCTTTCAATTGTTCCGGTATCGTTTGCCTGTCTTGTCGTTGAGATCTGTTCCGTCGTTTCTTGTGATGGATTTGGATTTGGTGAACTTTTGACTTCACCGATAACATTGATGTGTCAGTACCACCCCATCTTCTGGGCTACACACGACCGACACATGCAAATGACGCACAAAGACGATGTCCTCCTGCTTGCGTGAAAGTGGCAAAAGGATGAGAAGTATACACGACGACGTCGGAACGCGTGTGTTGAAGAAGATAGATGGATGGATAGATAGATAGATAGATAGATAGATAGACATCCTCCCGTCATCATCGCTGCTGCCGCCACACGACTCCAACGGGGATCAGGACGCGTCGCTGGGCATAGATACATATGGAGGCCACGAAACAAGACAAGAGGGAGGAAGATTTGCTTGAAACGACGACAAGGTCTGATTGAGATTGACGGAGCCATATCATACCTGCCTGCTTGCTCAACGGCTTCACATGAGATGTATATATATGTACACTGGATGGAATGGATGGAATGGAGGCTTGGAGTGGGCGGGAAAAAGGGCGAGGAAGCAAGCAGACGGGAGTGAGTGAGAGAGTGAGAGAGTGAGTGAGTGAGTGAGTGAGTGAGTGACTGAGTGAAAGTAGACGCGGAGCTACAGATAAGACCAGTACAGTACAAAAACAAGCTACATGTACGGAAAAGAGCAATACAATGACCCCCAAAAACAGGCAATAACGATCAATCCATATATAAAAGGAGCCCAGACCACGCCGACGCTCGAATTCGCAGTCCCTCATGCTCACCATCCGAATTTATTCGGCGTGGACGGAGACCTAAAGGGATCCTGCAAAGGCGTGAAATGAGTCCCATCAGGTCGGATGCCCCTGGTCAAATCGTAGTTTCCCTGAGGGGTTTTGAGGAACCAGCCGTCTTTGGAATAGCCAAACTGGGTGGCGCCATTATTGAAGGTAAAGCCATTGCCACTGATCTGTGAGCCATAGCCGTACTTGGATCCATCGGGGTTGGAATAAGCCCCGCCACCGAAGCCCCAGGGGACGCCCCAGGGGCCGCCCCAGGGCCAAGCGGCCTTGTCCGCCGTGCTTGCCTTTTCATATTTGGCGGCGAAGTCTTGCGCGGCTTGGAAGTTTTGGGCGGCTTCGGCGTTTTGCTCTGCACGTGCGATGAGCAGGTTGGAGGGGTCGAGGGGGGCGGCGAGGGTGTGGGTGACTGCCAGTGAGGCGATGGCGGTGAGAACGGCGATGAAATGCATCCTGAGGAAGACTGGTGTTCAGGTAGAGTGTTGTGACTAGCGCTGATGCTTGTGTGGATCTTGATCTTCTCGGTGCTGCTTGGTGGTGCTGCTTGGTGCTGCTTGAGCTTGATGCTGCTTGATGCTGCTCGGTGCTGCTTGTATGTGATATCTTCCAGTCCTCGAGGGCGATCAGCCTCCTACTTATACCCTCGAGCAGTGGTTCTTCCGAAAGCGATTACGAGTGGCGTGACCAAAGGCTCATCACAGGTCGCGGGGTCGATCCATTGCTGAGAATGCCATAGATAGCTCGGCGGCGCCCGGAACATGTGTGAGTTCGACATGTTTGCCAAGCGCAGCCAATGGAGTTCATTCATGGTCGGCGTTCTCGAAAGTAGCGACAAGAATAAGCATAGCTTAGAGTTTGAGACGGGGCTGTACATATGGTGTGACTTTCTGGGTACCTGATGAACTCCCAGGATGAAGGTCTATTTTGAAGCCGCAACCCGGTCCTTGGGCACGAGGCTCTGGAGATCATCTTCGCACTCCGAGGCGTGCAGGACGGACGGCGGGAGGCGTAGCAACATTTCCCACCGGATGTGGCCGGCTCAGACGCTCGGTTGGTAGGGACGCAGATGGCGAGCCAACACATGTCCAACTGCGCTCGATAGAGAAGGAAGAGCGGCGGACAGGGTGGATTGAAAATTCTCAGACCACCAGATGCATAGAGGGATCCTTGTGAACTCACCGAGCACGGAAAGGAATTAATTAAAAATGCCCATACCATTCCACACAGAGCGTCTCGATGCTGGCCGACGACGTGCATTCTCGCGAACGTACCAATCAGTTTGCAGGTGTGATAGCGGTAGCTTTGCAGAGGGCTCCGTCACTGTCCTCGTTGTCGGCAATCGTAACGGGATGTGTAGGCTCGCAGCACAAGCTACGTGAGACAACACTTCGTATGAGGTCAACATAGACCAAAAGCTTAGCACAATGAGTTCATCACTCCCGTATTTTCATGGCAGCCAGTGTCAAACTTAGCTGTCCTCTCATGGGATGGGTGCCCTCCCATGGAAAGATTGGGGTGCCAACAATAGGCTCGTCTGGAGACGAAGGCCCGGCCTCAACGCGCAGGTAGTTTCTCCGCGCATGCGACTGCTGTCGGAACGGAGGCGTAGCGAGTCCAACTGATGCCCAGGACAAGTAGACGGAGAGGCGATTTGATTGATGTTGAGCAGGTGAAGTAGTGAAGTCAAGCAAGGGTCAGGTACGAATGCACAAATGGAATATGCCAAGAACAGCTCGCCGCGTATACCTGAGCACGGCGACGGGCAAGTGCCGATGGCGGCTCGGACCGTGCCGTCAGCCAATGGAGTGGCGGGTTCAGCACCGCAGGCTCTCCCTGGCTGGAGCGGTGATAGAGATGTGCATAGCGACGCGTTCGAAGGAGGCAGACGAGGGTTACCCAGGAAGTTGTATTGCTGGACCAGCGGTTGGCGTTGGCGTTGGCCATAGGTCCCGCACCTGAACATGGCGACCTTCATCCAGGACAGGACAGGACAGACCAGGACATGCGCATCAGGGTGCGAGAACGAAGAGCAGACCGGGAAGGGATACACAGGATAGAGACCTACTCCTCACCAGCCATACTACGCCACAGGAAACGTGCTGCTCTGGCGTCTCGATGACAGTATCCCGCAGCATCATCTCAAGAGATCGAGCCATTCGGAAGCTCGCACTTGCTGCATATCCTCACCAACCTGTGGCGCAGTCAGAGCCTAGTCTGGCAGTTGGCGCTGGATCGACATGCGTGACATCACCTCGAATGCCCCGAAGGAGCTCGACCGCGACCGCGACCGACTCCAGCTTCGTATATGGCGCATCAGCCGCTGAACTGGGATCTGTCTGTACTACAAGGCCCCTATCGTTGACTTTCTACGGCCACTGGAGCACTTCGGTCTATCGAATTCGTATTGCATACCCCGCACCATCCAATCGCAATCTGAGTGGAAATGAAGCTCAGGAAGCAGCAACCGGAGAGCAGCGTGCCAGCTGACCCCGATGAAGTCGTCGTCGTCGTCGTGGACGACGGGAGCCAGATGCCAAAGAAAGAAAAGAGAGGATTCAGTGGGCTCTTCAAAAAGAAGGGCAAGAACGGACAAGAGAGAGGGTCCAACTCTCCCCCAGCTGTTGCAGTCAGCAGCGAAGATGCACCAGTTGCTGCACCGCATGGAGATTCAGCATATGCCAGCAGCGAGCCTGATCCGGCACCGTCGACGGCAGGGGCCTCATCTTCCCACTTCACTCCCATGGAGAACACGGGCCAGTTTCCAGGGGTCGATTCCGACAGAAACATCGCGATGAACAAAGAGACTGGCGACGTGCGAGATGAGGAGACGGGAGAAGTCGTCACGACAACAACGACCACTACCACGACCACCACGACCACGACATTAAAAGGTGGCAACAAGAAGGACGTCAAGACCGAAGTCGTCACGCAACCTGGTGACCGTGGGCCATGGAACAGCAATAGCAACGCCGGCAGAGACGCAAGGCGCGAGAGCACCATTTCCGAGATGCCAGCAGATCCCATTTCACCTCATCGTACCGACGCAGTAACTGGGACCTCCCCGACAAACCACGATCATGTGCCGCCAGTACCACAACGAAGCCCGAATAACCGGAGATCCACAGATCAGCTGCACGATACCATCCGCGAAGATGACGAACGGGAGGACCCCGTGAGCCCGGTCCATACCAGCAGCGGCGCAAACTTCAGCTATCCAGGCAGAGCAAGTGGCCCTTCTTATGCCTCTGGGGATGAACAATCGACCATGACGGAAGGCACAGGCACGATCACACCACGCGTCAACGCCAGCAGTACCTTCGAGAACCTCAAAATGGCAGCCAAGGGTCTCCATGTAAGTTCTTGAGACAAATTCGCAACTAACCTTTTGCTTACATTCCTCCTAGGGCGTCGGCGAGACTCTTCGGGGCACTCTCAACAGCGAAATGGACCAGCGCTTCCCCCGGCGCAACGCGGACAAGGCAGCAGCAGCGAACGCGAAGAATCAGGCCGTCCTGCAAGGCGGACAGCGGGAAATGGAAGGTATTCGAATCGATCGATGAACCCCTGAAGACGACACATAATAACTTGGTTGATACAAGTCTTGAGCGAAGAGACGACACTTACCGCCGATGAAAAGCCGACTTTCACCAATACGAATGATCTGGCGACACCGAAGCGCGAGCCGGAGGATGACGAAGAAGACACAGAGCGTTTCCCGAGGAAGAGTCCTCGAAGGGGGTCTATACCTCTGAGCTATCTCAAAGCCAGGGCCAGACGGCAGACTTGATGCTGATGGTACTGAAGATGAGGATGTACAGAGCTACGACGAGGATGCTTTGTCTATAGCGTCGTGACGAACTCGTAATGACAGTGAACGATCTGAGAACCTGTAGATGAATGTGTGTGAGCTTTGAAATGTGTTGCTTTTCTACAGTACGTACAAACAGTAAATCTGACACCGGGTAGTTCGCCGCAAAACCACGCCGGGCAGCGCTGCTATTCCCTAGTCACAGCGACCGAGACTCCTTGATACTCCTTTCACCTCATGAAACGCCCAACGCCTTCGCCATTGCATCACACGTAGCGTCCGGAGTCTAATACCCTCTGCCTCTTCCTCTCGGCGCACCTCTACTGAATCCACCACTACCAGACCCCCTGCTGAATCCACCACCTCCGCGTCCACCGCCGAAACCCCTCGATCCACCACGCCCGGGCGGTCCACCCCGGCCTCTCGGCGCACCTCTACCACCTCGCGGCGCACCTCTTCCTCCACGTCCCATACCACCCGCGCCTCTCGGCTTCTTCACCTTGGGCGCGCCTGGCGGAGGCTTCGGCTTCGGCAAGAATTTCTCCAGAGGCAACAACTTATCCCCTCCGATGTAGAATTTATCTCCGTTCTTGAAACTCGTCGCCTGGATGCCCTCTTGCGGCTTGATGGTGAAGAAGACCTGATTCAGGGGACCGAGGATCTCGTCGACTTTGCCAATGGGCGTCTTGTTCTCGAGGTAGATGGGCGCGTTGAAGTAGGGGATTTTCGGGTTGATGGATTCGCAGACCATTTCGCCTTCGGTGGCGTGCATGAAGGTGCCCATCTCTGTAGCGGAAGTCATGTTAGTACGTACAAGGAGAGCCCTGGGGCTTTTCGAGCTCGATCTGTGCTGTCGAGGCATACCGTAGACTTGGTCTGGCGGTCCGTACGATTGTTGGAAACCACCGCGACCGCCTCTTGCTCCTCCTCTGAAGCCACCGCCGCCGCCGCGACCTCCGCGGTCAAATCCACCTCCTCGTCCTCCACGGAAAGACATGGTGGAGCTTCTTCAAGTCCTAGCAATGGTCTGCGGAATGCGCCTGTGGCGGTAGTTGATGTCGTGTTGCGGTATGGAGGATTCGGGATGCGCGTGCGACCACTCCGAATATGCGAGCGGATCGCTTTGCGCTCGTGATTGTGAGAGGTGCTGTGAAAGGTTGTGGACGGTCGAAGTTCAAGATCAAAGCTCTCGATTTTCTGAGAAAGCTTGGCGCCGGAAGCTTTCCGTATGTCTGTGCCTCAGGCATTTGAAGAGCTCATAGACTTCTTTCGCTGCCTGCTGTGCCAGTTTTCCAACATCATGACACGTTTCACACAGAAGCATTCTCCCGTTATCCAGGAAGAAGGAGCTCTCCGGACTGGATATTAGCAACAAAATGACCAAAACTCATCGGAAAGCAGCTTCCAGTGCCGAGGACGCCTTTCATCGCCATTATGCAGCCATCTGGGGCGAGGAGAGATGGCAGAACTCTCTTTACCAAGCTCTTCTCCAGCCAACAAGATACGCTTGCGTTTTGAATCGATATACTCCCTTGACGAAGTCGGCAGAAGTCATTAAGGACGAAAGCGTGGACATTCGAGCGCTCGACCTTCCATTCTACAACGATGACATGGTCCCCAACGTCTTCGTACGGTATCAAAAGGCAGATTTGACCCAAGATGTGAAATCCAATGTGCCTTCCGACACTCCTTTCCCAACTCCTGAGCCTTCTATCAACAAGCTGCTTTCACACTGGAATCTCGATGCTGCGTCTGTCCTGGTGGCAAGCCTGATGAACATTCAGCCGGGACACAACGTACTCGACCTCTGCGCGGCTCCCGGAGGCAAGTCTGTTGCTCTGTCACAGCGAATCTGGCCGCATCTGCATCAAGACCCCTCGGAACTGAAACAAAAGACCTTTGCAAAGGTCTCAACACGCACCGGACATCTGCATTCCAACGAAGTCGACGGTGCTCGATTCAAACGGCTTGCAGAGAACCTGAAGGTGTACATGCCCAAAATTGTAGTCGACTCTGCGCAGGTGAACGCTTTCCGTGTTGATGGAGCCAAGTCAAACGCAGACTATGGATTTCGAGTGAGGACGAACGCGGGTACTGTTGGGTACGATAAGGTGCTGGTGGATGCGCCTTGCTCGTCGGAGAGACATATCATCCACGCGCAAGCGAAGGCGTCTGCCTCTGGGAGATTCGCCGAGGACATGGCGAATTGGCGGCCCGGGTCCTCCAAGCGACTGGCAGCGACACAGATCGACCTTCTCATGACGGGCTTGAAAGCGGCGACTACTGATGGCACTGTGATTTACGCGACCTGTTCGATTGAGCCTACCGAGAACGATAACGTTGTGGAGAAAGTACTTGCGCAAGTTGAGAAGGAGCGGAAGAAGGGCTCGAAGTGGAATGTCAAGGTTGGGCTCAATGCTGGCAACGGCGACAAGGCACTGGAGGAGGAGCTGGAAAAGCACTGGGCGGAGAAGACGAAATATGGCTGGATCGTGCTACCGGACCATCCCAGTGCAGAACGCTGGGGTCCTCTATTCTTTGCTGTCCTGACCAAGGGATTCGATTAGGACGCCGAAGTACTTTCATTTGCCAACTGTGAGAACGACTACGATATCCGATGCTTTACTCCTTCTCACCAGGACAGCGAAAGCTCAGACTTGAAGCCGTTGTGGTCTACTCAGACTGCCAAAGCCTTCAATCTCAAGATGCACCCGCCGTACCGCTCTTGTTCCACTTATTGTACTCCGAGGTGGGCGCAGGAATGGATTTCCATGGCTGTGCGCGACTCCTCCGCCTCCAGCTCCAAGTTCGAACCCATTTTGCTGGTTGCGCTCTATCGCCCCACACCTGTCTGCATGGTCAGCTTGGGCCGATACTGCAAATTCAGTATTGGGAAAGACGAACCTAAGTATCCGGATCTCATTTGAGTGTCTTCTCGAGGATATCCCTGATCTCTGTCTCCCCCTGCTTAGCTTCTCCAACTGCTCTGGTATGCTTCTCCAAACTACGGAAGGAGTGCCTGTCGCCTGCAGGGACCACAATGATGTTGCTCACTTTGCGCTCCTTCCTCTCTTCGTCCTTCCTCTGGGACTTATGCAACGACCGTATCAGGGGCCCTAACTCCTTGGCAATGGCTTCGATTCCTACATGGGAGACCAAATACCACGGCAGACCCAGCTCGGTAAGGAAGACAGCCTTCTTCAGGCGCACCAACATGGCGTGGCGCTCGCGCTTATTCGCCCAAGCGAGAGTGACTCGACGCAGATACCGAATGGAGCCTCCGATCTTCTCGAGGAAGTGGTCTTGCAAGGGCCTCGTGCGCGGGTCCACGCTGAAACTGTTGTTTCCGTAGAGCACCGGGGTCGCTTCCTTGTTGATAATCTTGCAGGTGGCAAGAAGCGCAACAGGCATGTTTAGCGGCGTCCAATAAGTGCCGATGGCTCGCGCCTTGAGCTTCGTTGTCTTCGAATGGCGGATAGAAATGCCACGGTCCTCCTCCAGCAAGTACGGATAGACCCGCATTCGCAGCTCGGGCGGCAAATCGAGGAAGCGGAAAGGCATCGACCGGTTCGCCATCCTTGTGTGGAGTCGGTGTTGACCAATGCGGTTGTTGTTGTGTCGTTTCTGTCGCACCTGAGCTCGAGGTGCTTAGTGTGGTGAGAGGAAGAAGTTATGGAAGAGTTGGAGAGGAGAAGCAGAAATTTACTGAAGTAGCTTGAGGCTTTAGCTGCGCAAAGACCATTGCGAGGGGTCGGTTGCATGTGATGATCGGCGACTTCACCCGCGCTGCGCACACGGCCACCGGATTGCAGAGAGACTGTCGCTGAGTAATGAAGAGAGTGCTACAAGTGTCGGGCTTTGAGTGTCAAGAACGGAGAGAATGGAGCCATTTCGTTGAGACGATGAACAACTTGAACAATGACTTGATGGTCGACAGCAGGAACTGGAAGAGCGATTTCATTGGGAACGCAACGCCATCGAGTAAACGCACAGGCTCCAGTCACTTGCATGTGACAGGTCCATTACCTCACTTCCGCTTCAAAACTCTTATGAAAAACTTTCTGGCCAATCGAATGAAGACTGGACCGAGCGGTATTCTGTCGTTACTGTAGAGTGAGCAAGTTATCAGACCGAAGCCATACTCCGCCTTTCAATGCTAGCATGTGAGAATAGATACGCAGTCTCATTTGCGGAGGCAAATCAAGGAAATAGCCAACACGCCGTGCTCGACCTACCTCCTTCCAAGACACACCTCGAAGCTTAGTTCTTCCTGTCCCTGGAAAGCTCCAGCGGATCCAGAATTTGGCCATGACAATAGCCTCCTCGCTTACTAGGCTCGACTCGAAAAAATAGTGCTCGACCGCGCTCGCAACCTACCGAAGCACCCTCTCCAACCGTCCCTTCAACTCCCTCTAAAGCTCCTTCGCCCCCATGATAGCACGCTCCCGATCATCGCGCCCAGAACCCGTATAGCCCGGATCCACCACGATAACATCCAGCACACAGCGGTCCCTCTTCCCCGTCGCCTGCTTCTGCGCCTCATGCCACGCCTTGACCAAAGCCTCCGATTTCCAAGCCAACCACTCCAGACTCCCGTCCTCCCCGTGCGTCGGCTCCAGCGTACTCGAAAACCGCAGCAGCGAGGTCGCCTGCTCCAAGAACCCACACACTTTCACGAAGTCTTTCTTCGCGCACCAGCCGAGGAAGAAAGCGCGGAGATGACGGGCCGAAGGACCGACCGATCAGGACGAGAAACGTGACGCTGGTGTCGGAGGAGGCGCCGAAGGCATTGCGGCCGTAGAGGATGGGAGTCGCTTCGCGGTGGATTTGGTGGCTTGTGCGTAGGAGAGGGGTGTTGAAGAAGGGAGGGTTTTTTCTTGTTGGAAATTCTGGGCGTTGCGGTAGCGGGCTTTGATGTTGTTGCTGTTGTTCTTGTTGACGATGTATAGAGCTCACCTGGAATTTCGAGGGCGTAGGAGTACATTCGCGTTCGCAGCTCCGCTGGGAGATCGGAGAGGCGGAAGATTAGGGGGGGCGTTGTTGTGTTGCTGTCTTTGGCCGAGGAGGAGGTGTCGTAGGTGTTGAAGTGCGGTGTGAGCTTTGGGTCAGATGATCGCGCTTGGATTTGGCTTGTTGCTTTTGGCTCGAGCAGAGGGCTTCGATTGTGTGGCATTGGGGTTGATTTAATTGTTGCCGAATATTCGATTCGTGGACTGAGTTTGGTCTGAAACAGAAGAACAGCAGTGAAGGACTGCGGAATGCACAGACCCTGAACACGTAGAGACCAACTAATCGACTTCACTTCCTTTCCTCGGCAGAACCGCAAGAGAGGATGATATACACGCCACATGCATTCTAAAATATCTTCGCACTCAGCCACACCCCTCACCCCGTCCATGCTCATGATACCGTCCACACATGCCCCTCCCCATCCACGGCTTGCACCCGCCGCCCAAATCGCCCTGACTCCCCGTCCCCTCGGCGTGCTTCCTTAGACAATCCCCACAAAACGCCCGGTCACAGACGGTACACTTATCCCCACTGACGCCGGGCTTCAGAATCTCCCGGCAGCCCTCACAGGCCCGACTCGTGCTCCAGGATCGAGGTCTCCAGGCCACCAGCGAGTGCCGTTCGATGGCCTCGGGGCCCGGGCGTTTGAGCTTCACGACGAGATCGCGGAGGAAGCGCGGGTGCCAGTCGTCCCTGTGCGTCTCGAGCAGCTTGTCCGTCTTTTTGTAGGCGAAGAGGTCCAGGATGAGGCTGCGCAGGGGCGACGTGTCCGGGATGGTGTCGTAGAGGATCCAGGTATCCGACGGCGTGGGGACGGAATTGGTGCTTTCGGAGAGTCGCGCGATGGTGGAGAGGACGTGGTTGCTCAGGGGCGTCGTCAGGAGGCGGTCCGAGAGCGCGTACAGATCCAATAGCAGGAAATATTTCGGACTGCCGGCTTGGTTCCTCAGGTCGCCGTCTAGATGTGTCTCCAGCATTGCGAGGTGATGGAGTCCGGCGTGGCCCGGTGCTGGGAGCGAGAGAGGTCCGTGGCCTCTGTGTCTCCCATATCCAATGTGCGGGACTTCAGTGGCGCTCGGTTGTACCGTCAGGGTACCCGTGTAAAGCCACTGTAACCACCACTCAAACGTCTCGCCCTTCTCTTCCGGCAAGCGCACCACCTGTTCCATTCCCTCCGCGAACGTTCCATTGAGCGCAGCAGCGAAGAAGGGACTTGCTTGCGTGAGCAATTCCTTGTGCACCGGATAGGACATCCGCTTCGATCCTTCTCCGACCACGACAGTCGCGATGCCGGAAAAGTTCCGGAACGCAGTGCGCAGCAGAGGACGATCTGGCGAACGACCAGGTCGAGGAGAAGGCCGCGGCGCTTCGCCTCCCTGCTGAGTCGAAAGAGAGCTGTCGGAGGGCGCAGGAGAGGGGATGTCGATCGAAGGAACGCCGAGCGGCTGCATGGTCGTCGCCATGCTGCGTGGACGGGTGGAAGGCTGATGGGTAGGCGTGGAGGGATTCGGAGGCAAGCGGCGGAACCAGACCGGTGTCTCGAGGGGCTCCAGTTTGATTGCGAGAGAGAAGGGAAGGCAGAGGACACGATTGGTGCGTGGTCGCGTGAGTACCTGTTGGTTCTTTGTCTGTTGCTTTGCTGGCTATTGCCAACTCAGCCAGAAGGAGATACGAAAACCCTTGGTACAAGCTGTAAATGACGGAGAGATGAGTACAGGACGACTGCTACGATATGCTCAGTGACTTCCTGCCATGTGAGGAAGGTTGAGGAAGTCATACCATCGACGTAGCGCCGAACGCAAGCAGCCCCAATGCATCGCATCCTGTATGTCTTGATCCCGCCTTTGTCGCAAGCGGCGGAATCCTCACAGTCAGTACCGGAAACGTACATAACAGGACAACATTTCGAGCAGAAACAAAAATGCGCAAACAGACAATGAACCTTTCCATGCATACGTCTGAGACCTACCTTTGCGGCATTTGTGGGGGAATACTCCAGTGTTGCTTGAATCTGTCTGCTTGTCTTGAATGTGAAGATGTCGGAGTCACCGAGATGTTTGCTCGTTGCAATCGAGTGGAATGCTGCGCACGTGGCAACAATCACATTGCATCCTGTCCAAACGCCTCTTGTGCGACCGTTACCCCAAACATCTCTTCCGTTGCTCCCGCTATAGACGCTGGACCGCTGGACCCTCCCCACGCCGTTCCAATTCTTGTTGGTGAAATGAAGTCGTAAGAGAGTCGTTAAGTCTTCATTTTGGTAGAGTACAGCTCGGTTAGGTAAAACCTCTCATTTGTTCCCATGCTCAATCGACCCACGAGTCTTGGGCCCGCTGGCCGCCAGCATGTCTCTTGACTTGTTCTAAAAATGCCGTTAGTCGACCGAAAAGAAATAACTCCGCAACCGCATCCGCCCGTTCGGATCCAGGCTCCAGTAATCGTACACGCCGGTTCAGGATTTTCGTCCGTCCTCTATCGTGGCATGATAGAGTTGGAATTTTTACTTGACTCACCCAGCCGAGAGTACAACATGTAGAGGGCCATTTGATTGCATTCTTGCGTTCCGGTAATGGTGACGAGTCGCTCGTTGTTGTTGTCTTGCGGCTCGTTGATCTTGATGACACTGCCGCTGAGTTGGCGGATTTCGTTGATCTTCGCTCCACCCTTGCCAATAATGGCGCCGACCATGTCGTTCGGGATGAAGATCTGTTGGGTGATGGGCTGGCCTGGTACCATGCCTTGCATGGGCTGCTGAGGAGGGCCTGCGTGGGCGCCTTGTGGTGCTGCGGGGCCATGGCCGTAGGGCTGAGGTGGCTGAGGACCTGCGCCAACGTAAGGGGCACGTGGAGAGCCAGCGCCGTAAGGCATAGGTGCTTGCGGGTGCTGCTGAGGAGTCTGCGCTTGACCGTACGGCATACCGTAAGGCTGCGCTGGGCCACGCTGAGGCTGGTTGGGGTTCTTGGGGTACCTGTCTGGGTGACCAGATTGCCCACCAGTGTGTTGAGGCACATACGGGACGACTTGCATGCCGCCGGGCACGACACCCTGGGGACCGCCATGTCGGCCAGCGTAGTTGGATGCAGCTGGACCACCGAATCTGTCAGTCAACTGCTCGACCAGGGTGCTTCCCACGTAGTAAGTAGCAATGTGCACAGCGTCGGCAACACCAAGGACCACGAGTGAGCGCTCCGTGGAGAGTGGCAGGCAAGACTCGGACGCATTGAGCCGCGCGCCGGAGGCCTCTTGAATCTCACGGATCCGAACGCCCTGCTTGCCGATGATAGAGCCAATCAGGATGTGTGGAATCAGCAGACGCAGAGGGTAGGTCTTGGACTGAGGAGTGGAAGGTTGGTCTAGGGGCTCTTGGTTCAGAGTGCGGATGATGAGACCGAAAGCCTTCGCAACGGCATCGACCAGACCGCTGACGGTCAGAATGCGCTCGACAGCGCCGCGAGAGTACTCGCTAACAGTGCACTTGGCACCAGCCATGCGACGGATTTGGGTGACGTTCTCGCCTCCCTTGCCGATCACGGTCGCTGCCTCCGCACTAGAGATGATGGCGCGAACATGAAGCCACTGAGACTCGTCCTGGGCATGATATGGCATGGCAGCTTGAGAGGCTGCGCGGTCGTCAGCAGAGCCATTGGTGGAAGGCAAGGCGAACGGATCTCCCGGGACAGGAGGAAGGGAAAGATCGGCCGGCATGCCATTATTCGGGGCATCAGGAACGACGGTATCGCCCTGCTTGTCGGTAACGTCGTCTTCCGGCTTGGTGTCATCCTGCTCAGCAACCTCCGTCTGGTTCGCTACTGGGTCGAAGTTTTCGTCCTCTTCCGTGACTGGGAGCTCAGCAGCATCAGCAGTAGTCGCGTCGGCGGCGAGCTCCTCGGTAGCAGCTCCGTCTTCCTTGAGGACCTTGTCGAGCGCTGGTCGCTTCGCGTCGGGTTGGTCGGTTGGTCCAGATGGCGAGGAGGGCTCCTCGAGCGGGCGCTTCTGGGTGGCCACCGGGGTCTCGGGATGAGTCTCGGCCATTGTTGAGCAGTTCGGTGCGACTGGTGAGGTGATGTGGTATGGTATATGAACCAAAGGTGTGGTTGATGGCTCAAGCTGGACTGAGCTTCTTGATTGCTTTACTGTCTGCGCTAATGTACACTCGATGCAGGAGGCCGTGCTGAAGGAAAGCGGGCTGTAGTGCAGAGGCGTGTACGAGAGGCAGAGTGTGGTAGAGTGCTGTGTTGATGGGCTTTGAGGACTGGAAGGCGGTCAAGGAAGCGTGCAGCGGATGGCCGGGAGGAGTAGTGGTGTATGAAGGTTGTGGTGGTGGAGAGCGCTGGGAGGATGAAGGGTCGCAGCAAATTCGGGTGCAGTGCTCGAGAGGAGGGTTGAGGTGGGAGGCAGAGTGTGTGGTGGTATGGTGTGGTGTGGTGTGTGGTGTTGAGGCAAGATGAAGTTGAAGAGCTGGTCTCGTGTGCAGTCGGTGACGTGGAAGGTGTAGCACGCGCAAGTGTACCTCTCCCGTTGGAGGAATGAGGAGGTCGCCGAAGATCAGGAGGACTTCCTTTCCGTGCGTTCCCAGCTCTTGCCGTACTTAGCTTGCAGAGGCTGTCTCGTGCTCGGTGATGTCGCCGATGAGCAGCCGCGTGGGTTGTTATATGAAGGAGGTGCAGGTGCGAGTTTGCAGGAAGCAGAGTTGGGTTGGGGGATGAGGTTTCGGCGCGGAGGTCAAGTGCGGAGGGAGAGAGAGAAAGAGGTTGCCGCGGCTTGGCAATAATCACGTGATGAGCTCACGTTCACGTCACTCCTGCTCAACACCCGACTCCTCCTCAGAAACTTGAGGTCTCAAGCAGGAGGCTACAATTGATTGTGAAGTCATGCGAACGGAAAGTATCACCACTCGAGGAGGACTGGGTCAGACAGTTATATGAAAGAGGTACAGGTACTCCTTCAATCGCATATCAGACACATACCTGCCGTGGTCTTATCCCCCTTCTGTAGATTCACAAAATCCGCTCCTCCTCCTCCCTCCGCCGTCACATCTCTCCACACAAAGAACAAAGAACCGGTCCATCGGAGGTGGTATATCGCTCGCTAGCAATAAAACAACACACAAACGGAATTCGACGAGAGCATGTCGTGCCACTCGATTCAAAACGCCTCGATGCAGATCCCACACGTCAATGAAAAAACAGCTGCGTCGCTGGTACTCGAACAACTATCAGGAAACAGAAACTAAAGGAGAAATTTCTGCTTTCATTCCCCGATCACGGGGAGTGTCGCAGCTTCGGCCGGCCCATCACCAGGAGGAGTCCTAATCGTTCCAATGGATCGGTCACGCACTTCTTCTTCGCGTGAGCCACTACGCCGGCTCTTCTCGGCGATGTGCTCTGCCTTCTCCATCACCTCTGCAGTCCCAGGTGGATTCCCAGATTCGGTGCGGAAGATATTCATGCCGCCGAGTTTGGGGTCGTTGACGGTGCCTTCAATGCCAGGTGGCACCACGATGCCAGTGCTACTCTCCAGTGTGGTTGACAAACGCTCCTTTCCAGCGCGTTCTCGCGACATGGTGATTCCCGAGATAAACTTTACGAAACGATCGCCATACCGGTCGGGCGGGATGGGGGAGATCTGCGATTCATGGCCGCCCATGCCTTTCCAGAAATGTTCGGCCTTCTTGACATAGTTGTACTGCATTCACGTCAGCTTAAGCCCTTCCACAAAACAACCTTGGCCAACTCACTCTCGTCAAGCAGTCGATGATACCGAGATAGTATATCTCCTCTCCAGGCGAGTCATCCTCATGGGTGGCCCGGAACCCACCATCGTCCGCATAGAAGTAGAAGGAGCTCTTGTGACTCTCCTCCGGCATCTTGTCCAACATCCTATCGATCGGGATCGGCCTTTCCTTCTTCACAAGTTCCCGCATCTCCTTTGCTCGCTTCGCAGACTCCATCTTACTGGGCGTGCGCGCCAAGTGATGCGGTGCTGGAGTCTGCTGCTCCTCCGCCTTGTCGCCACCAGGCTGGAAGACCTGCAACGTCTTGTCACGTAGATTCTCTTCATTCCCTCGTTCCAGATCGTGAATGCCCACAAGAAGCGAATAATCCATAATCTTTAGCCTCTGCAGTAACTCCACGTCCTTTTGCATCTGCTTCACGAACGTGTCCTTCTTCGTTGGCCCGAACTCGAGGTGTAGATTCCGTCGCAGCCAGTTCAGGTCCTTGAGCGTGGCGCGTGGATTCTTCTCCAGGTCTTCTTCCCTGAAATCACGACCGATTGTGCTGCCCTTCAGATCAAACGTCCTGTGAATATCTCTGTGCGGAGGGAAGAGGTTGTTCATAACGACAAAATGAATCTTCCGCCCATAGGGTATCTTCACGCGGTGAAGTCCGTAGAACTGTGAGAGCAGTGTATTCGGGTTGTCCCGTACATGCTCGTAATACTCCCTCAAAACTTTCCGCAGAAATTTGTGCTCCGCGTGGTGTATTGTCTTGATGATATATTTGTAATCTCGGGAGAAGTAGAAGAATGAGCCGCTCTTTCCGGGTGATCCCAGCTCCGATAGAATGTACTTCGAAGTCAAGGACATGAGATACTCCGCAGGATCGATCTTAAAGATGGCACGGAGATGGCGGAAAACCCACGGTGCATAGTCCTTGAACTTGAAGTCGTACTTGGCGCCTGGCGTGAGCTCAGTGCCCATCACGTCGAAGCTGAACTTGTGCTTAGCCTGAAAGTCGGCGTCCGTGAGCTGTCGATCCAGCTTTGCATTGGTCCTGGAAACCGTAAAGCGAATACCAGTGAGCATGTTATACGCCGTCACGTAGTTCACATGGTTCTCATCGACTTTGGTGCCCACGACCACCCGCTCGTCGTCTGTGTCTGCTCTCTGCTTTCTGGATGCCCTCTTCGCTCTGTAATGCTCAGCCCATCGCGCAGCATCCTCATCTTGTGCCACTTCATCCAACTGCAAGTCCGAATTCACAGATCGCGTATGTCTCCTATTTAATTGTAGTGATCCACGTCTTCGAGTTGGAGTAGTTGGTGAGAAGCGGCCGGTTGCAGAAACAACGGCACCGTCCAGATTTGGGGATGGCTCGCCGCTGTCTTTCGACGTCCGAGTGACTACTTTGGGCACTTCGAGAGTATGCCGATGGGTGAGGCGGTCGGGTCGTGAGATGGTCGGTGTAAGGGCGTTCGGGTTGAAGGCAGGCGGAGAAGACGCGCGGTGGTGATGTGTCGTAGGAGGCTTCAGCATTCGATCTGTTGAAATAGTGGGCGGTGAGCTCTCTTCGACCGGCGGCAGAGCCGAGTTTGGCGTCATCGGTGGCTGACCATGGCTCACACTCCGGGGCATGGTCGGCATATCTCCGTTTGTCATGCCCAGAGGCTTACTGAGAGGACTTCTAGGCGGTCCAAGAGGTTTCCCGTTCGGCACGGGAGAAAAGTATCCCTCTTCGGCCACACCGGGCCTCGTTGTGCTTTCTTTGACGGCCTCTCCGGACCTCCGGTCTCCTTCGGCGCTCATATTGCTCATGCTCCTCTTGGACCGCATACTCAGAGCAACGCTCTTTGCCGAGGGTGCTCTGTCACTCCCAGTCCCACCGTTGGGCACACTGAGGACGCTTCCATTGCTGCCGCCTAGTCCCTCCTTCACGCTTCCATTCAGTGTCCCATTCATGCCCGGCGTAAGCGGCCATCCGCCAGGCAAGCCATCTACCGCCGGTGTCTCGTTCGAAGTCCGACGCTCGACGCTCCGTCTGTAGGCGTAGTCATCGTACGTGGTGGTAGTCGTGCTGCTGGCCACCATGTCTCTGCTGCCGGCCTGATGGTGGACCATGAATATGTGGCCGGCATAGGGCACCTCTGTGCTCTTTCTGCTCAGCGGAGATGCGGTGCCTGTTCCAACGGGAGAGGACGAAGCGGACAACACCTCATTGTTCTCCCCGTCGCGGGGTCGAAAGGCCGCCGTGGTCGCCAGTTTCGGTTTTCTCTCCGCTCCTGGCAGCTGCCTGCTCTGCTCCCTCCAAACACCACTGCTCTCCGTGCTGTAGGGCTCTCTTCGCTGGCGCCTTCACAGTCCCAATGCCGGTCCGGATGAAATGCCTCGCTATTCCAAAACGATGTCTTGTCAAAAGAATCCAGCAATCAGGTGTGTTTGGTCGTGTGAGCGGGGATAAGCAGAACCGAGTGAGAAGGGAAGTACTGAATCTTGCGCGGCTTTCTCTGCATGACCACCAAAACGGAAGCAGAGACGGACGAGCAAGCCCAGGAGGGCCAAGGCTGAGTCGTATAGCTGGCCCAATCAGACAACAGACTTTGCGATCCGATCCGAGACTTACCGTCTCTCCCGGCGGCGCGTCATCTCGTCAACACACAACAACACATCCGACGCTGTTATTACAATGTGCATGTGCATCGAATGAATCGCATGTGTGGTATGCGTGCCACACTTGCAACAGCACCTATCCAACCCCCAAAATCTACGAGACAATCTCTGTGAGGAGAGAGTGCAGGTTGTTCATGCATAAAAAAAGCCATGTCTCACACTATCACGGTCAAGCATCGGAAGCGACTCCACCGTGGGCTTTGAGAAGAGAGGCGATGGTGGAGATGATAAACATGAATTCGTGTCGAACTATGTACCCGCGCAAACATAGTGACATCTCTCGTAGCAGCCGTAAACGCCATCCATCGCGAGCACTCCATTAACAGACATGCCCATCCAAAAGCCGACCCCGGGTGGAAAAAAGGTAATAAACATAGACACCCACACGCGTCGCAAGCCCGGGTTTTGGTATCACACATCCATTCGATCCCTCGATCGACGCCTAACGCCACATTCGCTGGGCTGTTGTTGACATTGCCTGCCAGTTGAGAAGAGCCCGGCGTCAGCGCGCTCATTGAGGTCGCACATATATAACCTTGACCGTCATTGTTGTTAACAGAAGACCAAAAAAGAAGATGTTTATGCCTTCTTGGGCGTCGCGGTCTTCTTCGGTGTTGACTTCTTTGCTGCGGCCTTCTTGGGCGCGACGGCCTTGCGCACAGGTTGAGGAGCCTTGGACTTGGTGACACGTCCCGACTTGGTCTTGCCAAGGACAACAGGTGCCTTCTCCTCAACGGCAGGGGCCTACAACAACAACATTAGTACAACGGCATGCCATGGACGCGATGTCGACGTGACTTACAGCACTAGGCGCCTTACGCTTTGTTGCAGTGTTGGCCTTGCTCTTTGCTGTGGCGGCCTTCTTGGCTGGTGCCTTCTTCGTTGCGGTTGCGGTTGCAGTTGCGGTGGTCTTCTTTGGGGCAGTCTTTTTCGCAGAGGGAGCCTTCTTGGTGGCAGTCTTGGTGGCGGTAGTCTTCTTCGCAGCTGGTGCCTTGGTCGACTTGGGCTTTGCGTCACCGGTCTTGGTTGAAGCAGCAAGCTTCACTGGGCCGGAGGCACCTATTGGCGACGGCGACTTTAGTATGACGACGAGGAGTCGTGGACATTCCGAACGAATGGAACGATGAGGATGAACAAGTCTATACGGCGCATCGCGAGATGCAAACGCCGCAGATGGACAAGCAAAGGGGAGTTGTAACGATCGTTCGGTGGGACGTACCCTTGGGGCGCGCAAAGACACCGCTTTCAGAGCCTCGCTGGAGCGCCTTGTTGAACTGGGTGGTGAAAGCAGCATCGGTGACGCCGTTGAGGTTGTTATTGACCTGGACATATTTCTTGATGGCCTGGCGGCTGTGGGAGAGGCTCAATGTCAGCGCGTGTTCGAATCCAAGCCGCCCACCGCTTCGTCCTGACTCGGCAACCACGGCGGCGACGAGGTGAGGATTCCCGCTTACGATGATCCGTTCCTTTCCTTGAGCTGTATGAGGAGAACGGTCAGCCAACGTTTCAATGCTCACAATCGCTCGTGTCATCGGTAATGCGATCGAACGCGTCGTACGTCGCAATCTAGCGGTCACAGAGACCGTCGACCTGTTTGCGCCGGGGAAGGTCGACTTACGCTGATGATAGCCTCCTTGATCATGTCTGCAGTATACACACGTCAGCGACCGGCGAACACGATAGGAGCTGTCCCCAGCCGCCGCGACAGTCGTGGCGGTCAGGTCATCGTCGCGAACTCACCCTGGTAGGAGGGGTGCGAGGCAGTCGAGCCCGACTTCTTTGCGGCGCCGGCGGCTTTCTTTGGAGGCATTTTGAGTGAGTTTGGTTGGTGGAGGCGATAGCGGAGGAAGAGGAGAATCGGATGATATCGATATAAGAATCCGTCGGTGGGTGCGTGGTGTTGTATCGCGTCGAAGATGTGCAAAGAATCGGGGGTGTTGGCAGCAGCTTCGCTGCGGGGCGCCTTCCCTTCTTAAAGTGAGCTGCGCTTGCTGCTATCACCAGGAAGGGACGAATTGGCGCTAGCCGCATTTGTGGCCACATCAACAAAACATGAGCTAGAGTCGAGCCCTGCAGACTCGTGATAGGCCCGAGTCCTCGATCACGACCGCGCTGTTCCTCCCACTCTGTTCCCGTCCTCTGTTTCCCTCTGTTTCCCTCTGTTCCTCCCTCTTGGCTGCATGTTGCATGTTGCATGTCGCATGTTGTTCTTCCTCCTCGCGGATGTTCCCCTCTTGCCGTCTACGCGCTGCTCCCCCTTCCCCTTAGCCCTACCTTCCGACCATGTCCCCCTCCGCTGCTTCCCGCAGTGTCACGTTGTCAGGAGCCCACTCGCGGCTCTCACCGCTGCTTTCTTGCATTTGTTTTTTTTCTTCGCTGAGAACGTCGAAAGACTACACGCCCAGTCGTTTGCGAGATTGGCGTGAATGAAGATGTTTCCTCCGTTTCATCCCCCGCAATGTTCCTGCAGTGGCTTGGAAGTTGCAAAATCCGTCACGCCGTCTGCTGCCTGCAAGCGGCGTCGCGATTTTACACCTACCTACCCATGCTACGAGGCCACAGTAAGTAAATCACATCATTTCTCCAGAACTTCATTTGCATGCTGTTTCACGTTGTAGATGTTGGACAAGAATAGAAGGAAAGAAGACTGTCATTGAGTGCACTACAGAGCAGCCGGTACATGTCTAGACAGACATTTCCCGCATGCACTAAGATCCAGTGACCTCTCAACACGGCCCTTCCAAAAGAATTTTCTTTGTTTTCTTTTTCCACTAGACATCAACCTCTCTTCCCGTGACATCAAAAGCCGATCAAGTCATCCGAGCGATTGTCAGGTGAGATGACTGTCAATAACGTATCCGGCATGACATTTCAGGTCTGAGGTGGTCCATGTCCAGACTGATCATGCATCCTCTGAACGAGTGAAGAAGATGTGATCAACATTGTCCGCATTGAGCCGTTAAAGCAGCGCTCGTAAAGATTGTGCGACAATTAGCGCCCTCGTCCCGCGGTGGAAGGCGTCGTCGCAATTTGCTAATGGTCTCGTGGGACGGCAAGACCAGAGAGTTTCCAGAGTATGATGCCCCTTCACCGCAACTGCAATGAATGACAATTCGAAGATGATGATGATGATGTTGATGTTGAAAGGTGTCGAGGATCGCATGAACGTTCTGGGTCGCCATGGCGCCAGCAGTCGGGGAAAAGGGGAGTGTTGTATGTCGAGAGAGTCTCGGAAGGAAAGCGCGATGCGGCGGTTCAGCAGCCAGGTCGTAAGGCTGCAATACCACCTCTCATCCGTAACGTAAATCCACCGGAGCATAAGAACCGGTCGTCATCAAGTCGTGCCCTTTTGAAACGCCAGCTGGCACGCCGGCCAACAGTCTGCCCGGTGATAAACGCCACCCAAGAGGAAACCGCATCATACTCCGACAGATCGCGCAAGATAGGTCAAAAAGGGCCTCAGGGCCTCTAGACCTGAGCTGCTGGCGGGCCAGCTGGCGCCATCTGGTTGGGCCGCTGTTGATACCCACCTTGGTGTCTCTGTCCCTGGTAACCGTTCTGGCCGTGCTGCTCGTTGCGTGGTCCTCCACGGCCTCGGCCGTGACCACCGCCTCTGCCTCCACGGTAACCTCCGGTGCGGTTGGCAGGATTCTGCAAGTCCTGTCCATTACCTTGCTGCCTGCCACCCTGCTGTTGTGGCTGCTGAGTTTGTCTCTGAGGGGCTGTGTTGATGGGTCGAGGAATGCTCTCGGGGTTGTCGCATACATAGAGGCTCTTGTCGATCGAAGGTGGAATTGGCTGGATCTCGGTGCCAAGCTCCTGTTCGATGCGATAGAGGTTGAACCTGTCCTCCCAATTGATCAAATTGATGGCCAGACCAAGGTGACCAAAACGACCAGAACGGCCGATGCGGTGGAGGTAGGTCTCGGCATTCTTAGGAAAGTCAAAGTTGATGACGACGTTGACTGCCTGGATATCGATACCACGAGTGAGCAGGTCTGAGCAGACCAGGTTGCGCATTGCACCGTTGCGGAAGTCATGGAACACTCGATTGCGATGCTGTTGCAACATCTTGGCATGAGAGTAGAAGCACGAGTAGCCCAGCTCGGTGATCTTCTTCGCCAAAAGCTCCACTCGCGTTGTGCTGTTGCAGAAAATGATGGATTGGTTGATTTGTAGACGGCTGAAGAGAGTGTTAAGGCAGTGAACCTTTTGTTTCTCTTCGACGAAGGCATAGTATTGCGTGATACCGCGAAGAGTGAGCTCATCCATGAGATTGATCTCATGCGGGTCGTTCATATGCTTATCCTTGAAGTCTTTGACCACTACTGGGAAGGTGGCCGAGAACAGCATTACCTGTCTGTCCTTTGGGTGGAACTTCAGCAGCTCCTCGATCGTGACCGTGAATTCCGGAGACAAGAGCTTGTCTGCTTCGTCCATGACAAACGTCTTTGCCTCGGATAGATCGGCCACTCCCTTGCCGGCCAAATCTAGAATACGTCCAGGTGTTCCCACAACAATGTGCACTGGGTCGTTGAGACGAATGATGTCGTCGCGGAGACTACTGCCTCCAGTTGTGACCATTACGTTGACTCCAAGATGCTTTCCAAGAGTCTTGCAAACTTGCGAAGTCTGCAATGCCAATTCTCGGGTCGGCACCAAAAGAAGCGCCTGTATTTTGTCGGATTTCGGATTGATACGCTCAAGTGTGGGTATGACGAAAGCTGCTGTCTTTCCAGTGCCGTTCTTTGCTCGTGCAAGTACGTCTCGCCCGGAAAGCGCAACCGGAATAGTCTCTTCCTGGATGGGTGATGGCTTCTCAAACCCCGCCTCGTAGATACCCATCAACAGCTCTCGCTTGAGATAGAATTCCTCAAATTCTAGGCCCTTCGTGGCCGTGACATCTTCTGTTTGTTGTCTAGCATCTTTTGCCGGCGCGGTAAGCCCCGCTTTCCAATCTGCTGCTGATGATGACGAGTCGCCGAGAGTGGTCGCCTCGAGCTTGTTTGCGAGCCCGGACGCCATTGCGTGAGATAAGGAGGGTTGCTGTATGCTCAGCAGCACGTGAAGGCGTTATGGCTGTTTTTCGTGTGGACGGGCAGAAAAGCGCGGCCAGGAGTCGGCAAGTGCGGAAGGCTTTCGAACCAAGCTTGACGCGGAGCTGTTGATGCGCTTGCGGAGCGACAAAAGGTCCGCGATGGGCGCAAGAGCTGCTTCAAAGTGATCTCGAAGCTATGTTTTGTCGCGAACTCCAGCAGCACGCTTCTCGAGCGGATCTAAAGGATGATATTGACCTGAAGCACACAAACTCAGCGACTGTTCCCGACCAGTGGTGCGAACGAGTGCAAAATGGCTCGGTGGCTGGCGACGTGGTCACAATGGCAGAGAAGGATCTCGAGGGTGGGCGGAGCTCGTTGGCAGGCGTTGTGGGTGGTGGCGGAGTAATGGTTGTGGAGGTTGTTGTTCTGTTTCTTTCTGAGCTTCGTGCTCGACAAACTGGAAGTGAAGTGCAGGCCGGATATCCGTGCGCATAATGCCTGAGGCAACAAGACAGCACTAGCCGAACCTTCCCCAATCTTCCATCGCAGTGAATACTTCACATTTGCTGTTACAGCTCGAGAATGAAAGCTCCTGAGCTTCTTAACGGTAGCACAGGTAGTATCATGTCGGCATGATTGTGTGGCTCAAACCCCCAGAATACGTTGTGATCAGCTGCTCTCGAAACCTCCGACCCACATTTGGTCAATGCTGCGGTAACACATACCTGAGGGAACAAGCAACAACACCGTACGCAGGCCTACACTTTGCAGTCTCTTCGCCACTTCATTCGTCTGCATCTCTACTTCGTCCGCGATGCGACAAGCCGCTGGGCGAGCCGCTGAATTCGTGAAGAGTTGGTCACTCTTACCGCGTCTTTCACCGAGAACAGCATTCTCCAAGATCCAGCCACACCACACACGAGGATACAGGAGGACGTTAGACCGTGGACCTTTTTTCTCCCAATCCTACACCTCCAGAGGACCTTTCAATGGCTTCGAGCGCACGCTCTCGCGCGCCTTTAGCACAGGGCAAGGAGACCCGTCTGGTATGTCAAACACCTCATGACCCACCTCTAAATTGCTAGCTGTCTTCTAGGACCGATGTCCTATATCTATGATTCCGATATACGTGCTGATTTTGGCCCCTCTACAGTCAACTCTATCTGGACGCGACGAACTGTCTTGGCCATCATAGGGCTCAACACGGCTGTTTTCGGCGCCTGGCAATACGCAAGTACCTACAAAGACAAGCAGTTGAAAGAGTGGCTCCAACGGAACTTTACGGTATCCTGGACCAACATTAACCAAGGACGATACCACACACTTCTCACCTCAGCTTTCTCCCACAACCAGCCGATGCATTTCATTTTCAACATGGTAACGCTCCATGCGTTCGGAAGCGTACTGGCTTCCAGTGCCATTAACCCATCAAGCCTCGTCGTGATGAGCGTTTCCTTCGGGGTTTTGAGTTCCTGTGCATTGCTCTACTGGCTGAAGTCGAAGGGCCTTGACAAGGGAAAGCGTCAGATACGCCGCGGTTTCTTGCAGAGACCGACCCAATCAATTACCATCTACTCGGGCCTCGGTGCCAGCGGAATACTGTGCGGATTAGGTGCTGCAGCTACTTGTCTTGCGCCGTTCCAACGCATGATATTGGCTGTGATCCCAATGCCATTGTTCATGTGCACTGCAGTTTTCTTCGCCGTGGACACTTACTTCCTCAACAAAGAGTCGCAAGTTGGACATGCAGCGCACTTGGGAGGAAGTGTTGCTGGTTTCGCTTACTATTTGGCCTTCTTGCGGAATCATGGGAATGGAGTCTGGCCTATGCTACGTCGACTCGTAGTGAGGAGATGAAAGATGTTGCATCGTTTTATTAGTCTGCATTGGAAGGCTGTCTTGGAGCTTGGTGCCGCTGCTTTGCTAATGTTCGACTGGCCCCTGTGGTCTCTGGGCCATCCAGAAAGCTGTATACTTCCTACACGAAAGATTCGTACACAATGTAACGGACACGATGTCTTTCTGGAGTGCATCTAGTTTTGGGACACCAAGTTCAGGCTCGCATTGATGACATGGCCGCCCAACGGACGACTGGCCCTGGCGAATAGCAAGCAGGAAGGAAATCATCTTGATAGAGCGATAAAATTGCGGGCAGACTCTCGACAATGTTGGACAAGTCTGAATGTGGTCGAACAAGTCTAGAGCGAAGCGCACCATCTTTACTGTAACATGGTATCATGAGAGACGCAGAGCTCAAGATCCTAGAGATGTACGAGGCCGACGTGAAAGAAAATCTAGCAAAGGAAATCTAGCAAAGACACTGAAGCAGATGAACTGCGCCTTTCCGTCGCCTTTCGCCAAAGTAGACCTGCTGTTAACAACAAAGGAAGATATATCGGCGGGCGAAGGCAGTAGAAGACAATCAACGCAAGCGTTTCTGGCAAACGACATTGTTTATGTAAGAGCAGCATACTACGTTAAAGGGAGAAGGAGAGACTTATAACTTGTTTGTCTTAACAAATGCCCTTTTTTTGAGAAACATGGACTATAGAAATGCTTCTCCCAGTAGGAACAGAGACACGGTACTAGGAAGACTCTACAATATTCAGAATAGTTAAGATTCGCTTCTTTTATATCATAAAACGAAAATTGTTAGTAAGACTCGAGAGAAAGCTATATGCAGTGAATGCCAATAAGCAGCATTCACTATAACGAGGTTTCGCCTAACAAGAATTCCCTAACGACAATTCACGTTATGCATTGCCAAGTCACGTCGCAAGAATCGCGCTTGTATTGCCCGTGCGACAATAGCTATCCGTGCCTTACAACTTCGCCGCTACCACATCCCACAACTCTTCATCAACAACAGCTCCAGCCCTAGGCGCTACAGAATATCGTCCATTTCATCTGCAAAGAAAAAGCCACAGCGCACAACGAGACCGACTACGAAGCAGACATGGCGTGGAAGTCCAGCCGCACTTTCGTGCCCTTCCGCTTCTTAGACCTTCCGCCGGAGCTGCGAAACCGAGTCTACTGCTATGCTCTGGAGAGCGCCGAAGAGATCGGTCTTCAGCAACCCTCTTGGATCGAGGGCCCGCAACCCATTCGTGGTAAGTTCGTAAAGGGCATAGTCCGCTGGTGAAGCGGTTATCAAGGACAGATCGCATGCGGAGGCGTAGAGCTTCATTGTTCTCGTTGTGGTTGTATCGTCGCTTTCTTGGATCGAAGTGAGCGAGCCACGTTCTCATCAAGCCGATTCCTGGATATGTCGGACTCGGAAGGCGTGAGAGGCCAGCTGGGATCGATTTCGTGGTCCAAATCACCGCTTTCGAGTCGCCAAAGGTCTTTGAAACCCGCGCGTGTTTTGCTCTCACGCCTTCTCCGACTCGACCCTCATGTCCCGAGCCGCAGGCGGGACTCTCCGCCTATGAGTTTTGCTTCTTGATTTCTGAGAAAGCGGCTGACCTTCCATATAGAACCTCCATCTCGCCGCAGCGAAAAGCTCACCATCCAGCTCCTCGCAACCTGCAAGCTGGTTCACAAGGAGGCCACCCCTATCCTCTACGCAAACAACACCTTCCAGCCTCTGCCAGACATGCAACTCCGTCACTTCCTGAACCAAATCAAGACCTCCTCCAAGTACCTACACCATATCGGCATCACCTTCCACGAGAGCTACTCGCGCAAGGACTTCGGGAAACTCCTCACCCAGGTCAAGAAGCTCGAACAGCTCGAAACCCTCACGCTCGACCTCCTCTATGGCAGCGGAGCTATGCGCTTCGCAGAGATGTTCAAGACTCCAGAGGCTCTAGCTCGGACTATGGGGCCGATGCTGCGTGGATTGCATAGAGCACAGAAGAAAGACAAGGAGCGGAAGATGCGGGGTGTGATCGGAGTCCTCCAGATTTGCGTCCAGAATCCGGAGAATGACGCCCAGGACGTTGAGCAAGTGCAAGAGAAGTTGTTGAGGCTCAAGGACGACGCGGTGGCGATTGTGGAGAAGACGTTGGAGAAGCCCGGGCCCTTGAAACGCAATTTCTCTTGAAGAACTGCTCGAAGTCTAGGCTGCCGTGCGTCCTATTAGCGGCATATCAAGATCAGGTTTCTGCGAGATGAGCTGCAAGCTCAGCATCGACAGCGACGCGATACATTCTCACGGTCCGTAGGCGTTTTCTATTGGGAAGGAAAGCTCCGTCGGTTCAGTGACAGGAAAACGAGAGCACGAGATCGAAATTCGACTGCTGGAGATGGACATCAAGTAAGAAGGGCCAAGTCTTAGCATGTCATTCAATCAGGGGTATCTCTACTGTCATTCATAAGCTCATCCACGTACCGTGACCCGCGGATTCAAAACAATGCCTTAGTCCCATCTCAATACCTCAGCTCGAGTAATTCCCATTGGACGTCCATTCGTGCCCTCAGCCATCGTCGTTGTTTGCTTGGGCTTCTGAGCACCACAAAGCCCGCACCTTCCAGCATCGCCAGCATTGACGTACTTGCTCTCCTTACATGTCTCCCTCTTACAGCGCCAGCAATTCGGCACCAGCTTCGGCCGTAAGACGTTTGAGCAGGCTATGCAACTCAGACACTGTTGATCGTTCTCGAGTGAGCAGATCGGGCAGATAGAGGACGAAGGTGCTTGGTCTGATCCTGTCGCAAGGGTCGGCGTTGGCCCGGAAGGTGCTTCGCTTGTTTGAGATACAGCATTACTGGTATCCAACTCGCGAAGCAGTTCCTTTTGCAAAGACGGCAGATCGTCATTTACATTTCCATCGTCATTGGCAATGGCTTGCGATGGCTGCATTGCTGAATTCTTTGGCTGCTCCTTCGATTGGTTGTCCTCAGCCTCGCTGGCAGTATCGTCGTCAATTACGATCTGTTGGCTATTCGCAGAGGCTTTGGCCGGTTTGACCGAGTGTCTCGAAGTTGATGGCTCATCTGTCTCGCTCTCGGTCTCTGAATCCTCGTGGCCCTCTTCGCCTCTTGCTGGCTTTGGCGCGGGTTTCCAAGGGATGGCTTTGCCCTTTCGTGCCGTACTGAGCATGCGAAGCTCGTCCATCTCTTTATTCGCGCCTTCCTCGTCATCTTCTCCATCACCGCAGACTTTGATCAAGTCACGTCCTTGCCCATCGCTGATGACGGCCGAGTTCTTGCCAGCGCTCAAAGCGTCGTCTTCCCACTCAGACTCTGTCTCACTGTCCAAATCATCTTCTAGCTCAGGTATCCTCTCCGGTGGGTTGCTCTTTGTCTGCTCGAATCGCGCCAACGCAGCAGCAGCTCTCAATTCTCGGCCACGTTTGCTGTTCGCCACCCTCGGTTTGCCATGACCTCTCTTTCCACCACCCGAGCTTTCTAACGCGCCTCGCACTAGGTCGTCCTCGCCAAGGGACTCTCCATCGCCATGCTTGCCAAATTTGCGGGCAATGCGTCGTTGCTGGCGCTCGGCATATGTCAGCTTCTCCGGCTGGTCTCCACCTTGCCCGCCCCGCTTCCTCTTGCGTCCTCGCCGCCGATAGGAACCACCGCATAGATGCTCCGGGATCTGACTGTTGTCAGGCGGAGCTGCAGAGACGAATGCGCCGTTCTGCAGCCCTCTCCCACGTCCCCAGATGCCTTCCCCAGTGTATTTATCTTTCCACAAATCCTCCATCTGCTTTGCGTATTCGTTGCGTACATTCCAGAAGAAGCGACTATGATTCATCTGCTTGCAATGCGCCAGCTCGTGCATCATGACCATTTGTACAAATTTCATTGACAGCCATCTTCCTTGCCTGTCCTTTAGCACCAGTTGTATGACCTCGCCGGCGTTGAAGTTGCGTCCGAGAAACTCCGGGTTCGGCTCGTATTCTTCTAGCGCCATTACGCTGATGTGGTGCTTCTTCATGACGGGATAGCATTGTGCGGCGATTCTTGATAGGAACTCTTCGGCGGTTGCTTGATCGGGTCCCTCTTTGGGCTTGATGAAGTTGATGAGGGGATTCGGGCGCTGCTTGCGCTCATTGAGGCGTTCGAAGCCGAGAGGCATACTGTATGTCGCTCCGCACGAGCTGGTGTTGCGCTATATCAGGCCATCCGTGCTGCAAACATGGGGAGATGTCGTTGTCATTGTTGAGCATCCATGTTCCGGGAAGACGCGTCGGGCCACGCGACGCACGGACAGACTGACACGTGCATACGTCATTTGCCATGGACTTTAGATTCACTTCCCAGTTCCAAGTTTCCAGGTTTCCAGGCCAGCAAATGTTTGTCGTCCAGGAAAATCCCCACCTCTTCATCTCTTCTGCACCACCCATTCCCTCCCATTCGCATGTGATTGCAACCTTCGAGCCATGTCGGCCTTCAATACTCCGTGGTTCAACTCCCAAGACCGCAACTTCTTCAACCAATTAAACAAGAGCCAGATTGCTCATGTAGTCCTTACTGCAGAGACTGAGGACTTCGACGAGGAGACCACACAGCAATGGATCGATGAAGGATTTGACTGCCGCTATGTTCCTTTGCTCAATGGCGGGGACGATTATATCAAGCGACTCCATTATGTTGGAGACAGCTTTGGAGCGTCTGAATACTATGCCATCGTAGGTAATGCGTCACGATGTTCCCAACCAAGTGAAAATTTCTGATCGTTCTTCAGCATACGGTGAAGCTGCCCATCTAGCGCTGGAGGCTCATACGAAACCGAATCATCCCAAGTTGGTTGCTATCGTAGCCTACTATCCCACCGCGATCCCGTCTATACATACAAAGTATCCAGCGAGCGTTCAAATTCTGGTGCACCTGGCTGGAAGTGAGATCAACGTTCACAAGCATCCGGAAGTCTTGGGCATTCAAGGGAAACGCAAAACTGTCCGGAAACGGATCGATCCTGGAGTCGGCTATGGGGAGAGTCTGAAACTAGGCTTCAAAGCCTACACCTATTCTGGAGTCCAGCCGGGCTTTGCTGAGCACGACTTGGAGGAGCACGATTCCGTTGCAGATGGCGTGGCATTCACACGAAGTATCGCTTGTTTGAAACGAGGCTTCCGCATCGAGAAGAACATCGAGCTTGTCAAAGACCATCATGTCACCTTCCTCCATACTGGACAGCATGAAAAAGTCATGAAGCAAACTCGGCCTTATGCTCATGTCTTGCATGGGCCTACCTTGACGGGTGGCGTCGGCTCAGAGGACCTTCAAGACTTCTATGAGAACTTCTTTACCCCAATACCGCCAAAGACCAACGCCCAGATCCGTTTGATAAGCAGGACAGTCGGTGCCGACCGAATAGTAGATGAACTCTACGTATCATTCACGCACACGATCAAGATGCCTTGGTTATTACCAGGAATACCACCGACAAACAAGAAGATCGAAATCGTTATCGTCTCGATCTTCCACGTGCGAGGAGAAAAGTTGGAAAGCGAACACATCTACTGGGATCAAGCGAGCGTGCTCGTCCAGGCAGGCCTACTGGACCCAAAGATGGTGCCTGAAGCTATGAAGAAGAAAGGCGTAGAGCAGTTGCCTGTACTTGGAGCCGAAAGTGCAAGAGCGGTCAAGCGAGGAAGCAGTCGGCAGGTCAACCAACTAATCCCGGATTGGTGATTAGAACGGGGGCTGATCTTTGTGGCGATTTAGCGAGAATCTACTGCATTTTGTTGGTTGGTACTGTAGGCTGTTGGGATGGCGTTACGGGAGCAATATACTGATGCCAAAGCTATATGATTGATCGCTCCAGATTTTGAATCATCTGAATTTCGTCCGAGATACCACATTCGACCTCCGCGCGAGATGCTCGCGGACCTTCGGCTCTGGCATTGTAGTCAGGATATCCTCGAGGTTCATAAAGCTGGGATACTACCTCTTTCAGCTATCAATCAAACCTTCTAAGATGATGTGTTCTCAGGAGAACGACATTCAAAGGCGATGCGCCTTCCCAACCACAGCGATATCCTGCCTCCAATGCATCTCTTGCAAACAAAATCCTGGCGTGATGGCCACCGAGCCCACCATTACCGGCCTTCCGACCGAAGTGACTCAAAAGATTGCTCGCCAAAGAGAGCTCGATATCACAGTCCTCCGACGCGTCTGCCGTGACTTCGAGCGCAAGACTTTCGACCTCTTTGCACACAAGTATCTTCGATGTCTTGGATGCTATCCCTTCAATTCCCAGCGCGTGGAAAGATTGCGGAATCTTACATCCTCGCCTCGTTACGCGGAGAAGATCCAATCCATTACCTTCTGGTTGGACCCGGCTGAAGGGGCTGGGCACAAGGAATTCCACGTTGCTACCAGAAATCCCACAGTCGTCTTCGCGCACGTCTTGAGTTATTTGCCCCCGGGCAGATTCCCTAGTCAGTCAGACGGAGAGTTCGCTCACGAGGAATACACGAGAGAACAAATCACGAAGCATTCCTCGGAGCCGGATGTCGCTGCTCTCGATGCCATCTATGACAATCTCGATGCGAACAAGTCTCCCGCGGAGGTCCGCATCGTCTTCCGAAAACCCGTCGATGAATTCTTGGACCTCGCCCTCTGGGTTGACCGCTTCCTCGGCCACCCGGAAAACCTCAACAAGCGCGTTTGCGACCTGGACTTTCAAGGCACAGTATTGGATCCCTCCACCCTCTGCCACATCATCGGATGCAACGAACAGTGTCTCAGGACGTTTCGATTACGCCAGGTCCATTTCCCGCTAACCGACCCCTGGATCGTAGAATTGTTCGACTACCTGAAAGACTGTCCGAAGTTGGAGTATATCCAATTCGGTGATGTGAACGAGTCCTTGTCTTCCGAGGGAAGTATAGCGGACGACATTCTCGTGCGGTTCGGGTATCCGAGAGGCACACACGGTCCACATAAGGCTTTCATGGAGGTGGCGGGCCACGAAAAGGTTGTGGAGGCATTGCAGTGTTGCTTGGACAATGGAATGGATTTTGTCACGAGAATCAAGAGATGTCCGAAATTTCGCGCGGGACGGTACTTTTTCCAGCTGTCCGGTGAGCACATCCCTGAATGTCTGAGCATTTGAAATAGACCAGCTATCAGTCACGTCGTCAGACTCGGAATAAGACTTTGGGCAGAGCTTCAGGAGAGATCTCACAAGGCACGCGGACACACTCCGATTCATTAACGGACTTTTCACGCCTCCCTTTCCAACCCCAATTTGTCAAGAATGAAAGATAATCGGCTCGAAAGCTTTCTCATCGAACGCAAAAAGCAAAAGTCAGACACCCAAAGCTCGAGCACACCTAACCACAGCCGGACCGCAAGGTCTATCTACCTACATCCACCCTAATGATTAAGACAGACTTTCAAATTTGCACCTTAAAGAAACACACGTAGGCGACACTCCATATCGTATCGTGTTCTTTACAGAATTGATTCAAACCGGTCATCCTAATGAGCCCGATAATAGAAGTGCAAGACAAAATGTTATCTATATAGCTTTGTTTCTTTAGAGGGAAAGGATAGGCGGCTTAGCGTGGAATTGGCAGGAGGTGGGGTGACATGTGAAGACTCCCACCACGCCCAGTGAATCTTACCATCATCTCAATTGCCATCCCATCTGCGCATCTCTACCCTGCTCCGCCTAATTGACCATAGCGTCCTGTTCGACTCCGCGCTGTTCTGTTCTGGTATCATCTTGCTGTGCCATATTTCATGCTCACACATAGTAAAAATCGTATCCCCCTCACCACGAGCCAGCACATGTTGACAAGCTCATCCTCCACGTTCTCCAAATTCCCTCGCCCAGTCCTCGAATTCCTTCAAGCCCTGCTTGCTCACACTAGGTCGGATATTCACCAAACTGTTTTCAAAATCCTTCATTCCAATGGGTCTGATCTCATCTGGTGACATATGAAGGAGTTTCTCGCCCAAACTTCGGAGTGGTCCCATGGCAGCGTCTTTGGCGAGGGCAGTGATATCGGAGCCGGAGTAGCCTGTTTTGATGCGTCAGTATAGGCCTTGAAGATTACATGCTGGAACACTCACCGTCTGTAGAAGCAACTAGCTGCTTCAGATCGCGATCGTTCAGAGAATGCTTCTGGGCGCTCAAGAGTGTACGAAGCTGCTGCTCCCTCACCCATTCTTCGGGTAGCGGAATGTACTGCCTCCTAACAAACCGTCTTCGCGCAGCCTCGTCAATGGCCCAAGGAAGGTTTGTTGCTGCCAGCACCAGCACTCGACATGCATCGCCTTCGCCAGGCTTCGCTTCTCTACCCGCTGCAGCTTTCTGTAAATCACTCCACTGGATCAAGAACTCAGTCTTGATGCGGCGTGTTGCTTCATGCTCTGAGCCGCCGCCTCTGCTTCCCAACAGCGAGTCGATCTCGTCAACAAAGATGATGCTTGGCGCAAGCTCCTTGGCCAATGCGAACAGAGCACGCACAAGCTTTTCCGACTCTCCCAGAAATTTCGAAGTTAGGCTGCTAGCCGAGATGGCGAAGAAGACGCTTTTGCTCTCGGTAGCGACAGCTCGTGCCATCATCGTCTTGCCGGTACCAGGGGGTCCAAATAGAAGCATGCCTCGTGCTGGCTCTCGAAGACCGAGGAATAGGTCTGGCCGGAGGAACGGGTATACGACGGTCTCCTTGAGAGCAGACTTTGCAGGCTCCAGCCCAGCAACATCGTCCCAATGTACTTCATCTCCTTGAATGACAATATCATTGAATATCTGTTTTGCCGCCGCCTCATCCACACCCTTCGGAAGTTTCTTCATGATTTGCTTGACACGCCTGTCCCATTGCCGCCTTGCGTCCGAGGTTTGATCTTCCGCATCGGAATCCGGAGAGTCGTCGGTCGTCGGAGGGGTAATAGCACGTGCCGGTACTGGTTTGCTCTCTATCTTTCGCTTCGTGTTGTTGTTTCGAAGACCTTGCTCAGAACTGCTAGTGAGGATGGCTTGTGGATCAGCGCGCACCCTGTCTTGCAGTTGAGACTGTGTGTTGTCCAGTTTTTGTCGTTCCGCGATAGCATTGACAAGGCCAAGCGCCCTGTTGCCGCCTATGGCTTTCCGTGGTATTGCTGGCGCTGGACTGTTCCTTGCTTGTACTGTCTTGGGCGATTTAGACGGCCCATCAGAATCGGAAGCCCGCTCTCCTGACCTCCCCGGTGCTGATGGCGGTGGTTTCCTTTGCTTTAAAGGAGGGTTGTTGGGATACTCTTTCATGTATGAGATGGACGCCGGGCCTAGCTGCGATAAGGACTGAGGCTGTGCTGGAGGTTGCTCGGTAGTATTCGGTTCAGGTGCGGCATGAGGTGGAGGTACGGGTGGAGACTTCGTAGTTTCTACAGAGTCGTTCCTGTAGTCGAATGGTGCTTGCGCATATGGATTCATGACAGGGTATTCCGGATATGGAGGAGGGTAGCTCTTGGATTTGGCGAGATCGCCAAGAGAGGGTTTAGTGTCCTTAGGCCGCGTGAAATCTGAGGGACTTGGAGGTCGCACTGCGGCATTTTGGGATGCTCTCCTATACTCTTGCTGAGGCGGCCCTCGCTGTGGTCTTTCAACCAGAGATCTGGTATATGGATCCCATGTAGTTTGAGTTGGCACCGAACCGCCTGCCGCACCGCTCGAGCTTCCATTAGGAGTTAGCGATGGCCTTGAAGACCCGGACCAAACCTGAGTCGCGGCTTTAGAAGCCGCTGGTGGAGGCCGACTCCTCAACGTTGCCGCCATTTTCCCAGAAGTCTGCTTGTCTTTCCCGTTTGCACGCAGTGTCTTCAACATACCGCCGCTCTTCTTTTCTGGACTAGGTGTTCGCGGTCGTGTACTCTCGCCGATCGGAGGAGTCAGGCTAGGTGATGGCGATGTTCTCGGTTGCGAACTTTTGGGCTTTCGCACATCATCACTGGAGCTCTTCTTGCGCAGATACGACGGCCGTGGAGGTAGCGCAGGCCTCTTCTCGGGGACAGGTTGCGGTCGCGGTATGTCTGAATATGCTGCTTGCGGTACCGTATCGTTACCCAACCAAGTGGCAGCGCCTTGTCCATTCGCACGTGAAGGCGGATTCGAGGCTAGCGACTCTCTGCTCTTCGATGGACCGCCTGACTCTCCCGCTCCCTTCTCCTTTGCTTCATCCGCCGCCTCTTGCCTACTCTTCCTTAAAGCCTCCAAGAGATCTACGCGTTCCTTGCACTGGATTTCCATCTTCCGCAGGGAGTCCTGCAAAGCCTTTTCTGTTTCGGTTCGGGGCGCGTAGCTAGTGGGCATCCTGTAGGCGTTGTGATAGTAGATCTGGTCGAGCGCATTGCGCCACGCGCGAAGTGCTTCGGCTTCATTATTCTAAAGGTACATCAGGCGTCAGCAATTTCCTGGATGTGTTCGAAACACAGCTACCGGCTGATACGTACCTGGCCTTCGAAGTAAATGGCCGTGGAGCAGATGAGGTAGCATTCGTCGTACGTCTTCTGCATCGACGACGCAGCGGATTTGCGCATCATCTTGGCGGCAGCGTGGTCATGGACAAGGACGATTCCGCTCGCGGTGGTAGAGTACGCATCGAATGCTCAGCCTCGTTTGTGTTCGTCGTCAAGTTGGGTTGTGATGGGACCGCGGAGTCGAAAACGACGTCAGCGCGGCGTTGGAACCCCCAAGGCGCCACAACCGTGCTTCTAAAACTGTTTTCGGCAAGTCCGCCTTCGCTTCCTCATCAACTCGACCATCTCGACAACTCAAAGGACCTGCTCTGGACCTTTGAAGGCCATCATCTGGCCGTGCAGAGGGTATCGCAGGCGATGAGAGCCTGGCGTCCTGCATCATGCGGCATCCGGACGGCTAGTCTCACCCCTCGTCGCCCCTTTTCGATCACGAGCACGCGACCTGCTGGACCAAAAGTCAACAATGCCGCAGAGCTGCTGGCACGCGATGAGCCTGCAGATCGTGTCGCAGTACAAGGCTGGGTCCGATCTGTGAGAAAACAGAAACGTATTGCATTTGCCGCTCTCGGCGATGGCTCGACAATTAATTCGCTGCAGGCTGTCTTGAGGCCTGAGGATGCTGCCGGTCTCTCACATGGGACTGCTGTGAAACTTGAAGGAGAATGGAAAGCTTCACAGGGCGCAAAACAGAGCTACGAGCTGCAAACGAGTAGTGTATCCATACACGGAGAGAATGATGCAGAGAGCAATCCTCTCCAACCAAAGTATCAAACACCAGAATTTCTGAGAACAATCCCACACTTACGACCTCGCATCCCGGCAAATGCTCTGCTCCTTCGACTGAGATCGCAGGTCATCTCCACCCTTACACGATTCTTCAACGAAGAAGGATTTGTTCAAACGCATACACCCATCATCACTTCGTCCGATTGTGAAGGTGCGGGAGAAGTTTTCACTATCTCTTCCAATGACTCGAAGACTTCCGACCAAGAACCTGCATCTGAAAATCAAGTCCAGGTTGAACACTTCTTCCGCTCGCCGAAATACCTCACAGTCTCAGCCCAATTGCACCTCGAAGCACTAGCCCAGGCTGTAGAAAAGGTATGGACGCTATCGCCGACTTTCCGAGCCGAGAAGAGCGACACATCTCGACACTTGAGCGAATTCTACATGCTGGAAGCCGAGCAGTGCTTCATAGATGACATGGAGAGCGTCATGGATCTTGTAGAGCGAATGCTTCGGGCCGTGGCAATTGACCTCAAGTCATCAAAGGTCGGCAAAGAGCTTATCCAAATGCGATGTGCATCAGAACCAGCAGGAGGAGAGCATCTCGAACCTTCGATCAGTGCAGATGATTTAAGGACACGCTGGAAGGGCCTTGCGGAAGAAACTTGGCGTCGCATCACTTACGAGGAGGCCATCAAAGCACTTCAGCATGGCGGGTTCGAAGTTTCACTCGAAGATGGCCTCAGCGCCGAACATGAGAGGTTCCTTGCAAGCCAGAGCCCGAATAAGACGCCAATCTTTGTTACAGACTATCCCAAGAATCAGAAACCGTTCTACATGCCGCAGTCAACGGCAACGCCCAACACCAAAGGCACCTCTGAAACGGCCGCATGCTTCGACTTGCTCGTGCCGGACCTCTGCGAACTGGTCGGCGGATCGATGCGTGAGTATCGTTCGAAAGAATTGCTCGAAGCCATGAAAAGTAAGGGCGTAGCAGGAGACAGTCTAGACTGGTACCAGGATCTGCGAAAGTATGGCAGTGTACCTCATGGTGGCTTCGGATTGGGCTTCGACAGGCTGCTGTGCTATCTCAGCGGTGTAGGCAGTATTCGAGATATCGTTGCTTTCCCGCGGTGGTATGGAAGATGCGAGTGTTGATTATTGCGCATGCATGTCCGGAGAAGCTCAGCGCTTGCCAGCACCTGCAGCAGCAGCACACGCTTTCGCGCACACAAGCAATGCGGAGCGAGAACGGCTGCTACGTGTTTGCCACGCGACAACAAATTTCTTCTTAGATAGCAGCATGAGCGCGTATGAGGTCAACGCATTGCCTCCGGAGCCCGAGAGATATGTGTACGGAGATGGAACCGATGCAGCGAGCTGCTAGGTGGCTCCGACCTCGCAGTGCTTTTTTCCGTCAACAATGGAAGATATCTGAGACAACGACAGGGCAGACAGGGGGAAGGACCAAGCATTTTTTTTGTGGTGAGTGATAAAATGATGGAACACGTACACTTGTGTCAGTCGTCGCCGAGGACGATCGGAATGTGATGTAGCGAAAAGCGTAAAATCTATGAAGAGTTGTGCTACCTGATGATTTGTGTGCATCTCCGTCATAACCGGCTCGGAGAGGAAGGAGGCAAGGATTTCAATGAAATATTGCGGGATCTTTCATGGGCATACCAATCAATTGGAGGTTGGCTCGGAGGTCTCGTGTTGCCGCGGATGTAGGTCGGTCTCACAGGTCTGGCTACACTACCAGAAAGTTTGGACTAGCCACACGAACTACAACAACCTCCACTCTTTCTTCTCCCAATTACCACTACAACTCCATACCTCTCACGTCACACTTGTTGGCACATCGTCGCCCTTTGTTCGATTGCAGTCATACCGGACAACCGCAAACCGGACCGAGACACAAGACTCGGGTTCATTGCCGCTGTGCTTTATCAGATCGAATTCCATCAGATTGCGTAGGGAGAGAAGCTTCACCCAATCCACTCCCACCGCTCTGCATGTCCACCAGTGCGACATCCGGACTCGTGGAGCAGTTGGTGCCTTCGCAGCACAGGCCCCATATGGCAGCCCATGACAAAGTGCTGCTGGAGGCAGACGAAGAATATGAGTACGTGGCCACTGCGGGCAGCAGCGCGCGCAAACTGCGACACGACTGATACTTCTTAGCTATGAGGGACTACCGCCCAACTTCTCGCTCGCCGCGAACATGGCGGCCGGAGCGTTCGCAGGCATTGCTGTACGTCTGAGATGAGACTGAGCGCATGAGAAGGGCGGATGAGCTGATGTGGATGTAGGAACATTCGGTCATGTATCCCATCGACCTGCTGAAGGTGCGTTTCGGAAATCTCGGACCAGGCGACCACAGAGTGCCAAACTAATGATACTCTACCGTCCAGACGCGAATGCAAGTCGTCAATCCGACGCCGGCGGCGATCTACACGGGCATCGGGAATGCGATCTCTACAATTTCAAGAGCCGAGGGATACATGTCATTATGGAGAGGACTGTCCAGCGTAGTAGTAGGAGCAGGTAAGGATACTACGCGAACACAATGCTGTCATTATCGGCAGTGCTGACAAGATGGGCAGGTCCGGCGCATGCGGTCTACTTCGCTACCTATGAGGTTGTGAAGCAAGCAATGGGTGGAAACAAGGCCGGTCACCACCCGCTGGCAGCTGGTAAGACATTGCGACAGCAAGCTCCACGAGATGAATCGGTACTGATACCAATATCCAGCCTCGAGCGGAGCCGCAGCGACAATTGCAAGCGATGCATTCATGAACCCATTCGACGTGATCAAGCAGCGGATGCAGCTTCACGGATCCACCTATCGCTCCCTCATCGACTGCGCGCGAGGTGTCTGGCGGAGCGAGGGCATTCGCGCCTTCTATATATCCTACCCGACCACGCTCACCATGACCGTGCCCTTTACCGCCCTTCAATTCACCGCATACGAGTCACTCACGAAGGTTATGCAACGGCAACGAAATCCAGGATATGACCCACTCACCCACTGCACAGCAGGTGGTCTTGCCGGAGGATTTGCAGCAGCTGCTACAACCCCATTGGACGTGATCAAGACTCTCCTTCAAACACGAGGCAGTTCAACGGATGTCGAAATAAGACAAGCGCGAGGTCTTTTCCCTGCAGCAGGTATCATCTGGAGAAGGGAAGGAGCGCGTGGCTTCTTCCGGGGTATGAAGGCACGGGTTGTGACTGCGGCGCCAAGTACGGCAATCTGCTGGTCTGCATACGAATTGGCAAAGGCATACTTCATTAGAGTGCAAGAAGAATCATGAAAAGAGCCGGAGAGTTGGAACAGCCTAAGCGCAGATTCGCGACAGGGTGGCGGAGGCGCAGTCCCGACCGAAGGCATAGACAGCGCGCTCCCAGCACCAAGGGAGTGAACAAGAACGAGGCATGGGTTCTGGAGCCGCAACGACATGGAGTGCTGTACCGTTTACCTGGGCGATTCGCGGTCTTCTTCAAACGAAGGAGATCACCTGACTTTGCTTTCTCTCGGAATGCGCGGCGCTTGGATAAGGAACATGAACGGAGCATTGATCTCCGACAAACGACAAAAGAGCTGGTCAAATCTCCCGTGCGCGCGATAACAGTTTGACGGAATCCATGGTAGGGACGAACAGCTCGGCCTTGTGACGGACACCAGATCTTGGAAGGATCAAATTATTGGATGAATCTGTGGGCACGGTAATAGAAAGCTCAAGAACGACATTAGCAGCAGCAGAGACGAGCATTGTAGTGTGTAAATACCTTTCTGAGAGCTATGCGAATGGCTCTGCGTATGAAATGTTCTATTCAAGTTTCACCTGCTACATACGAGCAACTCTCCACTTCTCCCTGATATCGCGAAATCAGAGCGCGGTGAAGTCCACTCACGGCCGTCACTTTTCGCGAGGAGCTTCAGGGCCATCCAGACTCCGCTATGATTGGCTCGAGGATGTCCGCCGCTAGCGAATGTGCTCAGTCTCTAAGTAGAATTCGCTACATAGCGAGCGTTCTTTCGATCGCCACATCACGCTTCGGCCTCGCATCCAGTTCGCACATGAGAAATAGCATTTTCGCGCTCGTAGTTCACTTCTGACGAAGTTTTCGAAAATTGAGGTGTATCACGTGATCCCCCCTAACCTTGGAGCCCAGCTGCCAGCCGAGGAGCTCTCCAGCTAGCTCTTCCGACTCCGACTGGGGCTTTTGCAGTCTGCATGGCACAGAATACCACTTTCATCTTGGATTCTCTAATGCGCCATGTGACACGCTTGAAACCTCAGTGGCGATTGCACACATCTCGAAGATCTGGAAGGGCAGATCGTCATGCCTGCTTCACAACGGCTCCACGCTCTGGCGCTTTCGAACTTCCACCACAGCCGACCGCAAGCAGTGAAGATGGCGGCCGTACCATCCGAACTAGACAACATACCAACAAGAGCCTTCCTTTACCACCAATTCTGGATCCAGTCCTGACGGAGAATCGCGAAGGGCATGCCGCTGCGAAGCCAACAAGCCTGAGCGAAGACGAGGGCCTAACCGATTATCAAAAGGCTCTTCAAGGCAATCCATTCGCATGGGCACTCGCCACGCCCATTCGACAATGCAGTATCACCCGCGTACGCCTCCCGAGTTACTTCTTGATACCGTTCCAGAGTGAGCTGCCGTGGCTAGGAGCCGAGCCCGCGAATGGGAATACCCAACCCGCGGTGCCACGAATCGTCCCTGCAATTTTTGGGGTCAAGAGCAAGGCAACACAGAGTTATGCTTTGGGCACCAGAGAAGCTATCTCGTCACTAGCCGTCCAGGATGGCAAGCGGCCCAGATGGCCAGTACTGGTCAACATATACATGGAGCGCTTGTATGCTCTGCTTATGGAAAAGCAAATGCACAATGTGAAGCCCCCAAAGGAATGGCATTGTGACACCGAGAATCTGGTGCAGCAAGTGCGGGACCAGCTGGCTCGCGATGTGAAGCATTGTTTGGCGCAGTGCATGCGCGCTCGCACGGCTGGGAAAGATCGAGTTGTGGCCTCGCTATCCGCCGAGGGAGAGTCCTTGCCTGAGGACCTTGCTTGCATAGTGCGGATAGAAAACGAGGAATTCAAAGGTCAAGCTGAGACTCATGCTCACTGCTTCGAGTATAAGGTCAGCGAGAAGGATGTTGGCAATCTGGCCAACAGCCGCAAGCTAAAGAAGCGCGGAATCGTCTTACGGAAGCATGTGACAGCTACGTACGCGATGACAGCCCTAGAAAGGTTACGCGACTTTGAGAGGACTGATGAGCCTGGTTTGTAAACACTGTTCATATCGCTTGCAAATGCAACATCAGCCCGGTCTAAGTGCATTCCACCCGACTCCCCACTCTCTTCCACGCTCTTTCTCATGCGTTTCATTCGTGTCCCCAACACTTATCACCTTCCTGCAGCACTTGATTCAGCCTGCTGTCTCCGATCCAACACCTTATCCACGATTCCCCACTCCTTTGCTTCCTCAGCACCCATGAAGAAATCCCGCTCCATCACCTTCCCAATCTCTTCCAGGCTCCTCTCCACCGTCAAATGCCGTTTATAGATCATGTTCAACTGCTCTCGCACCCTCAAAATTTCCTTGGCGTGGATCGCGATGTCTGATGCCTGTCCCGAGTACCCTCCCGAAACCTGATGTACCATGATTCTACTGTGCGGCAAACAGTATCTCGACCCCGCCGCTCCTCCACAAAGCAGCAGGGAGCCCATTGATGCCGCTTGTCCCAAGCAGATCGTTGTCACGGGTGATTGAATATATTGCATCGTATCGTAGATTGCGAGACCTGCGGTTACGCTTCCACCGGGGGAGTTGATGTAGAGATTTATCGGTTTCTGAGGGTTTTCGGCTTCGAGGAAGAGGAGTTGGGCCACGATGGAGGCGGAGAGGGTCTCTTCTACTTCGCCGTTGAGGCAAACGATTCGTTCTTTGAGGAGGCGGGAGAAGATGTCGTCTGAGGCTGGTTAGTTTGGGTGTAATGGTTTCTGTTGGGTTGGGTTGGTTGGAGTGTACATGTATGCCATCCGCCTCCCTTCTTGAATCAGCTCTTGTTCTCATTTCGACGTTGTGCTTCGAACGTGTTCTCGTACCACTGTCTCTGTTACGAAGGGCATCGGGAGTGCCGAGGTCGGCGGCTGTGGTGGTCTTGCATTGTTTGTTGGTGGAAACGGAGGGATGTTGGAGAAGGCTCTGAGATTTCTTCTTGAGGCTTCTCGAATGATGTGGGAGCGCGTAGCCCGAAGGCTTGATCTCGCAATGAACTCCATGCTATGGGTGTAATGACACTGGTTGCTTGCTATTGCGTTGATGAAAGTGAGGTGTGATTGAGGTCCTCGTCTCGAGGACACGCGTCTGTGCGCAGAACGAGCTCTCTATGATCTCGGACTCGCTCCTTCGTACCTCCCGACCGCATTCAACCTCACCTCTTCTATCCTTCGGTTCCTCTCCAGACTCGCGGCAGAATAATGCTTTCATCATCTGTATTCAAGCTCATAAGGTCCCTGGCAAATGGTTCAACACCCTGTCAACTCCCTCACCAATCGTCTGGTCTCACCCTGCACAAGGAAAGCACAGAGACAAGAGGCACCCTATCCTTACTGGGACCTCCGGAGGCGCCAGCTCAAGATAATGCAGTGTACCTTGAGAAGCTGCACGAAGCTCAGGCGAAGTAAAGCCTCATCTTCAGCCAATGCGCAGCCGAGGAATGCTTTGTTCTGGAACGTTGGCTTCAATGGCTTCAATGTTGGCTGTGTTGGGTTACATCCTGATGCAGAATTCGGCGTACTGGCGCCTTGGCAGCCTGTACGGAATGGCGCTTGCCCAGTCAACCGCTGCTTACTTTTCGGGGCCAAACGGGGATCGCTCATAAGTCACGATCCTTAGGCTTTGGGCCAGATGTGCTACACCAAAATGATGGCTGATGTTGACTCTCCGATTGTCTCTCTAAAGTCAAGACCGTGAGGGAAAACATGGAGCAATTCGTGCAGCCCAAGTCTGTACCAATGTCAACAAAAGGCTAGCCCATGCCGGAATATTGGATGACAAGCCGCCACTCCAACCGAACAGTCCAGCCCTTATTGCCTGTCCAATCCCATGCTTCAGCTTGTAGCACATAGCACTCTTGAGGGAACGCAAGATCTCTCGAATTCAGCCGCTGCTGACTGTCGAACAGCACGTGCATATCCCGGCTTCACGTCGTATAAGATCCCCAAATCCTCCTTGGAACAAGTGGTCTCTGCTTCTCTGAAATACCGCTCCTTCATACCGAAAATCATTTTCTGTGGGAGAACTTGCTCGACGCACCAGTGCCGCGACCATGGCCGAGAACGCAGCCCTGGAAAAGGTGGTCATTGTCAAGGCGGACGAAATACCTGACCGGGATGCCTCACTATCTGGGGAGGATCGCGAAGCTCGTTAGGAAATGCGATCTGAGACTCATTCCATGGCTATGTCTGATCTATCTGCTTTGCTTTCTTGATCGAACGAACGTCGGTACGATGAGCTCCTGCAACCTGAAAGTTAACCAAGTTGATCAGGGACAGGTAACGCCAGGCTCGCGGGCATGGAGAAAGATCTGCAGATGAAAGGTAACGACTACAACGTTGCGCTTACCGTCTGCTTCATTTCGTATGCGGGAGCTGAGCCCTTCACAAACTTGCTTTTGAAGCGAATCACGCCGAGGGTCTTCTTCACCGGCACGGTCTTCATCTGGGGTAGGTTGTGCCTGGCGGTTTTTGTCTGCAAGAGGGAGCCATAATTTGACGGATACTCTAGGCATTTGCATGATGTGCATGGGCTTCGTTCACAATTACTCTGGCCTACTTGCTGCAAGGTGGTTCCTGGGTAACACTGAAGCTGGGTTATTTCCAGGGGTGTATGTATCTCCGCTAGCTTCTTGCGAGTAGAGATAGATGCTAACTAATATCGCCTCGTAGGCACTACTATCTGTCATGATGGTACAAGCGATCCGAGCTTGGACTTCGCCTCTCCGTCTTCTTTGCCAACGCCGCTCTCGCTGGTTCCTTTGGAGGCCTGTTGGCTGCAGCAATCGCAAACATGGATGGCCTAGGCAGCAAGTCCGGTTGGGCGTGGATCTTCATAATCGAAGGCTTGACCACTGTCCTCGTAGGAATCGTTTCGTGGTGGATGGCTTTTGACTGGGTAAGATGACTCTACTTTGCAAAGGTTTGGCTGCTTTTGACAAAATGTAGCCTAATACTGCGACATTCCTTACGAAGACGAGCGAAGCCGTCGGCTCAAGACAAGCTATCTAGCGAAGGATCCGAGTATCACAAGCGTCATGTCGTTGCTACTTTGACAGACTGGAAATGCTGGGCGTACTGCGTTACTGAGATGGGCAGCTTTATGCCGTTGCATGCTTTCAGTCTCTTCTTGCCCACGATCCTCTCTGGAATCGGTTACGAAGGGACGCGCGCCCAGCTTCTGGTAAGTCATGAGCTTAGACGAACTTTTGCGACGCTGCCGGAACTGAATCTGACGTTCTCCTTTCTCTACAGAGCGTTCCACCGTACGCATTGGCAAGAGGCAGCGCATCTCCGTCAACGGCCAAGAGTATTGCTGAAACTTTCAGGCTGCTGCGATGACCATTGTCGTCGGCTGGATTGCAGATCGAACTCGACAAGGCGCTATTTGTAACACGATCGTTGTGAGCTTCGGCATTGCTGGCTTCGTCATATTGCTCGCTAGTCAGAATCCCCATGTCCAGTAGCTAGTCCCGCGACGCTAAGCAAAGACAATTGATGAGCTGATGTTCCCAGATACGCCGGCACACTTCTTGGTGCTATTGGCATCTACCCATCGATCTCGAACAATCTTTCGTGGGCCGCGAACAATGTCGAGGGCCCGTACAAGCGCGGCGTGCTACTGGTGTTGTCGTGGGTTGGTGAAACCTCAGCGGTGAGCATTCTCTCACCAGCCTCTCTCGACATTACACTGACCGAAGAACAGGCATCGTCTCCTCCAACATCTACATCAAATCCGAAAAGCCTGGTTACAAGACTGGCCACGCCACTGTGCTGGCTTACCTCGTCTTGTGCCAATTTTGCGGCACGGCTTTCATTCGTACCATGCTTGCCCTCGAGAGTAGGAAACGCAAGGCTGGTAAGGGAGACCACCTTACGGATGCCGAAGGTGACCAGAGGGCGGACTTTGTTTCCACTCTTTGAGAGGTTGAGCCTCGAATCGACACATCGTGATTTTGGAGCGGGATAGATCGAAATCCTGCCTGAAAATACGACGAGCAAACTTCGGACCCCGACGGCAAAAACTTTTGACGGGCGCACTTTGGCTATTTGCTAGGCGCAGTTCGTAAGGAACGTGAACGTACGGTGGTAGACGCTTACTCACCCATCTCCGTCCCTGTACTGTCGCTATCCCTGCCTCTAACTGCCTCGGTATAGCTCTATATACCTAGATCACGCGTAGAAGTGCATTCAAGGAGAGCATATATATTACCCTACCGTTATCCCCTTTCGAAGATAGCTTGATATTAAGAGCCGCTCTTCGAGAGAACGCGTTTATAGCTACGTATCAATTATTATAGGTATTTCTATTTCGAACTAAGATGTCGTTAAAAGGCAGTGGGCCGTAGGTAGCGAGACATAGTAGATATAGTAGTAAGGTTGTAGGTACGAGGGTATACGAACGGAGCGAGATCCAGCGATTATACTACTAATCGGCTATACGAATATGGAAGCACGCTGACCAGGTATTACAGAGCATCACAACTGCGCCCGTTATATAGCCAAAGTGCGCCCGGCGAATAGTTTTTTGCCAGCCCGAAGGGTCTCACTACTAGGTAGGGAGATAGCAGGGGAGGAAAGCTTTTACGAGTGCGAATGAATCTAGATTTCCCTTTCAACTATTGACTAGCACCATTTTCGCCATATACATGGCACCACTCTCGCTATATAAAGAAGGGGAGGCGGTCCTCGCTGAGCCTGAGGGCGCCCCACCCGTTCAAGCAAAAAACGTCTAACATGCAGCTCCTCCTCGCACTCACCTCGCTCTTCGCAGCCGGCCATGCCTGGCAACTCGTGTTCCACGCCGACTATAACTGCAAAGGAGCATGGCATGCGGCTAGCGGTGGGGGATCAGCTCACTGCGCCACTCCGGGATCCATTCCCTCAGGATTCGACGCGAAGACTGTGAATATCCACAATATGCCCAGCAACTGTCAGCTCAACGTGTACACGGACGCCAATGGGCAGTGTAGACAAGTCGTGAGGCAGTGGGCTGCGTACAACAAGGGTACACAGGGTTGTCATGCGTGAGTGCTCCGGATCCGTCGATGGTTCCTCGTTCTCCAGCTGATGGGGTCTAGTCTCGGAGCGAACAAGGAAGGCAAATGGAGAAAGTTCAGTGTTTCGTGCTAAAAGGAGAGAAGTCGTGAGCGACAATATGATGTTGGGCTTTCACGTGAGACTATGATCCCACAATCGAATGTCACCCTCGACGTGCCCGGCATATTATCGGAATTTGAAAGCCCTGCCTCGGGTACCGAACGGGGGAAGAAAACTTGTCACTCCCCTAGTGGAGCACTCATCTTTGAGGCACTTCCGCAGCCTTCACAGGATCTCTGCACCCGAATTTGGTTTTAGTTACATCTATTTACGATACAGCGTCATGCACTCATCACGTGAGCACACGCCCTCATAGTATGTTGCTTTCCAAGATGTATGATGGGGTTTCAGAGCAGTTGCTGACATATGCCACCAGGTTTAACGGTTAGAACATAGGTCTCATATACATTTCAATGACCGAGTGTACCTCGGATATATCCTATGATATGCGGCGATCCTAAGATCTCAGTTCGATTCTGAGTGAGGGCAGACTTTTTAATCCAATCTTCCTTTTGCTTTTCTCTAAGAAGCCGAAGGCGGCGATTTCTTTTTGTGCAAGAGGGGCGATAAGTTTATGTCGTCGGACTAGCACACGCATCAGTACGAACGTCAGTGGGAAGCAGGTTCAAAGGTTTTGGAGGGATGAACCAACCAAAAGACCAAGAGGTTCTGTCGATTGTGAAATGATGGGATCAAGCGAGCGGAGAGGGCCTTGTTGTTGGAGCAGCTCTCGTGGTGATTGACAGAATGACAGCCTCGAGCCTTGGAAAAGCATAGAGTTCCAATTCTTCCGCTGTCTCCTTTGCAACTGCCCAATTGGGTGCGTGAGAAAGAGTCCTTTCTTCTCTCCTTATACAAGACCGAAATTGCTAAGGAAGCGATTCAACCAAGTCAAGTAGTACTGGTCGTTTTCCATATGTGTATACTGCTGATTAGTCTCAAATGAGATCCAACGGCCTTCCCAAAAGACTTGACACTTTGATGCAGAGATGATGAGGATCTGTCGTCGCGGCTGGCAAGGTTGTACACGCGCAGCTGTTGGGACGGTCCGTCTGAACAGATACGGGAAATGTGGATTCCGAACATACGCAGTAGCCGAAACTGATGCCCTGGTCTGTATCGAGCTTCTGAGTGCTGTAAGAGATGAGCGCGTTATTGGTTGTTGTCGTCTGATCGGTCGAAGAACGTGCAGTCGTAGCTGAGGCTATCATCTGTGGCCGTACCAGCGGGTCGCAAGCCCAGTAGCAATCCAATTCCCAGATACCACATCCATCGAGTTTTCCTTATGTTGGATACATTTCCCACTACCCAACTTTTCAGTGCTCCACTCAATGTAGGCTAAGGTGTTGTGATAGCTCCCTCGAAGCAGGCGAAACTTGCGCTTGGTCCGAGAACTTGTCCGAACGGCGGCATGGGAAGGGTTACCAATCCTCCGACGCTCGTCTAGAGCCAAAATAAGTGCATCGTGGGCGATTTCAGTCTGCAAAAGCAGATTCCTGCAAGCGAGTGTGCGCAAATGGAGATGAGGTAGAATTCTAGAATTCTGCTTTCGGACAATAGTTTATCCGAGCATCAAATGGGCTTGGCAATAACGTCTCCTCTCTCGCGTCACTGCTCCTCTCACTTTCTACCTCACTCTCCCCGACGACTTCATTCACTCCACCATCACCACCACCATCACCGTCACCACCACCATCGTCACGACAATCGCACTTGGTGTCATCTCGACATCGATCATCCTTGCTTCCTTCACGCAGCTCCTTTCCAACCACAGAAGCGTGCACTTACGATTCAGGCGGCACACTGGTTGATCATGACGCATTGAGGCTATACTGTAAGTGAAGAGCCGCGGCAAGTCGCATACTTCGTACATGCGCGCATCCACGCACCGCGACAGTCAACAGGCAAGTACAGTACAGGCCGCTTTCTCTTGTTCTCTCCCAATTGCGTTTCTTGCATTCCTCTGCAAAATGCATCACAATTTCCTTGCAGCAACAGCGTTGCTCTGGCTTTCCGCCGCCGCGCAGAACGCTTCACTACCAACAGTAGACCTTGGATACAATGTCCAGCAAGCAACCACCTACGATACATCCGCCAAGACTTATTGGTTCAATAACATTCGATATGCGAAGGCTCCACTGGGGGATCTTCGCTTTCGAGCGCCGCAAGCCCCAGACGTCGATCGAAGTGTCGTCCAGAATGGCAGTGTGAGCCGGACATGTCCACAAGCATATCCTTCATGGCTCGGCACATCGACTTCATACATTCCACAATTTCTGATGGGGAAGACAAATTTCACCCTTCCAAATACCACCGCCGCGGCTGCACCTCCGGCACTCAATCCGGACGAGACTGAGGATTGTCTGTTCCTTGACGTTGTAGTCCCGGAGGCTATCTTCGAGCAAGCTGGAAAGGGCTACGGAAGCCCGGTGCTTGTATGGATCTACGGTAAGCTTTTCCAAAAGGAGTATCATCTCTCAATACTGACCCGTCACAGGCGGTGGCTACACTGGCGGATCCAAGACTGCATCTGGAAGTCCAGCTGGCCTAATCAAGCAGAGCCAAATGGGCGACGACCCAGGTGTCATCTTCGTCGCATTCAATTATCGTCTGGGTGCCTTTGGGTGGCTCTCTGGCCCAACATTCCAAGACGAAGGAGGCATCGCGAACGCCGGCCTCTACGACCAGCGCTTTGCATTGGAATGGATCCAGCGCCACATCTCGAGGTTTGGAGGGGACCCCAACCGCGTGACTGTGTTTGGAGAGTCTGCGGGTGGCGGCTCTATCATGCACCAAATCACGGCTTTCGGCGGCCAACCTGCTCCCTTCCAGCAAGCAGTCCTTCAATCGCCAGGCTGGCAACCGCTCGTATCCAACCAGCAACAGGAGCAAATCTTCCAGTCGTTCTTAAAGAATGCCAGTGTCGAGACATTGGAACAGGCTCGAGCTCTCAACACTAGCGCTCTGCAACTTGCGAACGCATACCAGATTCAAGAGTCTCTCTACGGCGGTTTCACTTACGGCCCTGCCGTCGATGGCGTTTTCGCACCACAGCTACCCGGACAACTTTTGGCCAGAGGTCAATTCGACCAAAGCCTACGCCTCATGCTCGGCCACAACGCAAACGAAGGGCTCCTTTTCTCTCCACCGTTCTACAACAACACCGGTGACGTCTTTGCAGTAGAGATACGGCAGCTGACTCCCACTATCAACGCATGGCCGGATGTTATTGACTACGTCCACAACACTCTATACCCTTTGTCAGACTACCCCAACGAACTCGAACGCAGTAACACTTTCATTGCGGAAGCCATCTTCACCTGCAACACGTAAGTTCTTCCCCATCCTAATCCACTACCCATCACCATGTTAACCACCCCCAGCTTCTACCTCGACAAAGCCTTCCTCAACCAAACCTACGCCTACCTCTTCGCCGTCCCACCCGCCCTCCACGGCAACGACGTCGCATATACATTCTACACCGGCGGTCCTATAGGAAACGACACCGTTGCCTTGGCACTGCAAGACTACATCACTTCGTTCGCCAAATGGGGTCGTCCGAATGGCGACGAGGGAGTTCCGTTCTTCCCCATGTACCAGGGGAATGCTACGATTCAGGTTTTGAATATTACGGGGATCCGAGGCATGATGGATCCGACCGCGAATCAGAGGTGAGTTGATCTTGTCCGTGAATTTGGGAATGGAGGAGATTTTGGCTAATGGTTGAGTGATAGGTGTGATTGGTGGCAGAAGGCGTTGTACTACTAGACGAGCTTCTACGTCGGATTTCTTGAAGCGGAACGAGGCTTTTTTGTGGTGGTCTGCAAGGGACACGAGACATCTTGCAGTTGTCTTTCATCTTGAAGAGATGGGAGTCTCAGTAGAAGAGTTGCGATTCAGCAGAGCAGGCTGCCAGCAGTCCCGGTTGCGAAGTTGGACAGATGGCCTGATCACGATATGCGGATAGATGATGGTCACGACGAAAAGTAAAGAGTTTTTCGATTCATTCGACTGCCGCGTTCTTCTCTCTCTCGTCTATCTATTGTCAATGGAATCTGACCCTCGTGAATCCTCTATCGCGCTTCTACTTCTATCGACCGTATTGCAATGCCACTCTCTCAATTCCGCAGCCATCCCTTGGGACCTCCCCAAGTTCCCTTGACATACGAGTTATAATACACCCAAGGAAAGAAATCCTTCTTAAGATAATAAAACGCCCGCCTCGGCTGGGATTGATCGATTCCCAGCAGATTCCCAAACGTCTCCTGTGGTTGACCTCCGTATTTGAATTCGCAGAGCATCACCTTGCCATACTCGGTCAACAGGGGGCACGAAGTATACCCATCATATTTCCAGCTGATTGCCTTTCCATCCATCGTATCGAGGAGATTGCGGACGAGGACCGGAGCCTGTGCGGTGATGGCTGCGGCGGTCTTGGAAGTGGGCAGGGAAGAAGCATCGCCTATACTCCAGACGTTTGGGAATTTCTTATGCTGTGTGGTGCCGTCGTCGACGTCGACGAAGCCTGCTGCGTTGGCGATGGGGCTGTTCTTGATGAGGTCGAAGGGACCCATTTTGGGTACTGCGTGGAGGAAGTCGAAGTGTCGGGAGACGGTATCGCCTTGTGGTCGGGTGAAGGTGGCTGTGTTGCCTTGGATCGACGTGAGATCGTGCTCGAAGAGGCCTTCGACTCTCCTCTGCTCGCGGAGCGCGTCGAGTCTCTTGCTGTATTTCGGAACGCCGAACATGACCGGGAGACCCGTGGCGAAAGCGATCTTGGCGGGTGAATTGCTCAGGTCGTCGGGGTTGAAGATTCCTGCTTTTCGCCATTTGTGCTCCGCAAGCCACATGATCTTTTGTGGTCCGCCGGCGCATTTGACAACGCCCGCTGGTTGAGTGAAGATTGCATCTCCCTTCTGAAACCGCGTGATGTTGTCCCAGACCTTGGAGCATGTCTCGTAGCTGTATGTTGAGCTGACGTTGGAGTCTGGATTCGCAAGCGCCTCGGGGAGACCTTTGATGGCGTCGAGCTTGAGGGTGATGCCGGGTACTACTACCAGGTGATCGTAGCTCAGCTTATGTCCCGAGTTCAATGTCACCAAGTTCTGCTCGGGTGAAATGTTGGCAACGGAGTGGTTGTAGAACTTGATCTTCGGGTCGACCAGACTCTTGAGTGGTCTTCGCAGATCTTCCTTCGCCTTGAGGCCTGCGCCGACCAAAGTCCATCCGGGTTGGTAGTGGTGCCATTCTGCTGGATCGACGGCTGCGATTTCCTCCGGCGCGAACCTGCCTGTTCGCAGAAGCTGGTGGCCGACATTCAAGCCTGCGCTGCCACATCCAATCACGAGAGTCTTGTGGTGTTGGGTGGAGGAAGTGACGGGGTAAGCGCCAGATGCAGTAGCGTATCCTCGAAATGTCCACTGGGGATTCGAGCGAAGTACGCGCCGCCCTGGTGAAGAAACTTTGCTTAGTGATCTGAAGGTTCCCTTCATCATGACTCGGGTTGTTGACTCGGCCTGGGAGTGACAGGACCAGACTCGAGGTTGACCAGAGGGTTTGTTGGTATCAGATTTGTGTCAAGAGCGACGAAGCCATCTTTTCTACGTCTTTGCATCATTACTGCAAGGGTGTTCCAATATCCCTTGTTAAGCCGTGCCGGTATATCAGCTGCTTACGTAAGCATGCACGTGCCAAGGCGCTTCGAGTCTTTCAACAACTCAAGCTCTACACTCTTCTGTTCTACAGCACCTGACGAAATACACGACTTTAGCCGCCAATCCCCAACTCGCAGATCCAGCCATAATGATGGATGGACATGTCGGCTTACGACGGCAAGAAGGCTGAAGCTCACATTTCCGGCGACGGAAAGGCCGGCTGCCTTCGGTTCGACAAGTTGCCAGCGGAACTACGGATTCGCGCTATGAGTACGCAATGGGCGGCAGCACCATCCATGTCGAAAATCGCATTCTTGTCCGCAAGGACGACGGTCGCAGACAACACATGATCTTTGCCACAGTCTGTGCTTGCCTTTCGGTCATCGAAGAGAGCCTACGAACGGAACAAATCTGGTACCATTCCTCAAAGCCTTTACGATTCGGATCTCATGAAAGCACTACCAGCGGTCACCGCATTATCTCGAAAACTATGATCATCGTCGCAATCTGTGCTATCAGATCCAGGACAGCTTTGCGGGAGGAATTTACGCTAACGAGGTTGGATCTCTCCATCAAGATGAATGCGACGCGGAAGACAGCGCTTGCCCTCCCGGACAGGACTGCAAGCATTACCAGAAAATCCTGCAAACATATGGACCTCCGTGTGAGGGTGGTTTGGACCGCCTGTATCCTCACGGCCGATGCGATTTTCGCCTTTTGCGAGTCTGTCACCAAATCTACGACGAGGCCAGGTTGGTACCGTTTTATGCGAACAAATCCAGCTTTGTGAGGGAAAATTGAGTCGCATCGTTTGCAAAACATCATTGCCCTCCAGAGAAGAAGGCAAAGATCCGACAAATCCACCTGATCAATAGTGAAGACCTCCATGGGGATGCGAAAAGGATTTCTGAGATGCTCCCGGGCTTGCGACGGTCCGCTTTTACATGGGTATGTTTGCGCTTTCTGCTTGAGGATGATAAAGGTCAGGGGGCGTTTGACGACTTGGAGTCTTTGGCTTTGTTTCAGCAAGTGCGAATCGTTGTGGGAGATGATGGTAATCACTATCAGATGAAAATAGCTCGAAGGAGACTCTTGGCAGAGAAGCTTGAGAAGCTCTTGCGTTAAACACCAACTGGACGTGATCGAGAATGCTAAAGCTGTGTACCAGCTGTACAAGGCTCGGCCACACTTGACGAACCGCTCTCGAGCACGACTGGAACCGGCGGGAGGTGGCATCCATGTGCAAAACGAAGACGTCCAGGGGAGACTGGAATCAATTCTGTTGAGTCGGAGTGCTGGTGTATCGAATTAGTATCGGCCCTGAGTAAGTGTTGCTCCGAATCCGCACCTGGCCTCGCTTCTACCCAATGGCCCGTTGAGCAAGACTGTTTGCCTGGGGTAGGATGCCAACGTTCCGCATGTGGTGCGGCTTACACTGCCATACGATTACTCGCCTAGGCACGAGACGTACCTCCGTTGATGGATTACGCTGGAAAGGTTCCAGCCACTGCTCGTTCCAAACGCCTCCCAAATACTTATTCACGGTCAACTGCTTCAATGATGGAAACCACTCCGCCGAACACCCTTGGAGGGCATTGATTGTGAGGCTAATGCCTTTGATGGCCGAGAGATGTCCGGTGCGCCTCATTTCCGTGACAAAGAAACTGACTTCCTCCTGCGAGCTGAAGGAGAAGATGTTGCTGGCGTACGGAAGCTCTCTGGCATCGGACCAGATTCCCCGGCAGGTGCGCAAGAACTGGAGCGGAAGCTGAGTATGCCGAAATTGGACACGAATCGTCTTCGAATAGTCGTGCTTATCATGTGTCGCCAGCAGGGCTTCATGGAAACATGTGATGGTGTCAGCGCAGATGCCGTTGGCGTTACATCCTCTGAATTGGCCTTCCGTCGGGAACGTAAGCCTTTGTTGCCAGAGGCGTCGATAGCTATCAGAGATATCCTCCGGCATCGTACTGTGCCTCTGACGTATCTCATCGACGTACGGCTCTTTACAGATGGTATGCGTGAGTTCGGAGAAACCACCCCTAGGCTCCCGGCAAAAGCGACTCTTAAAAGTACGAGTACGAGCAGCAGCTTCTCGGAACGACAGTTTTCGCTTCTTGATGTGGATTGTGTGGCCAGTCAATGCTTCTTCGTAGATTCTGTTCTTGAGCTCTGCGGGCAGACTGCAGAATGGCGAAAAGCGGGAATTCCATGTTGATCTGAAAGCCAAGCAGTCAGCAAAGATGAAAGAATGCTGTCTGTCGAATTTGCTCACATTGCAGCGCGGTGCAGGGGATTGTAGCAATCATATGGGATGCGACGCGGCGGTTCTGCCGGAGCTGGACGTCGGAGGATATAGCCTTTGTCGACGGAATCCTTTCTCACGATGAGAGACATGTCGAGTGTCAGAGGATGAAGCCGGATAAATTTTTCGGAGGGCTAGGTCTTTGAAGATCATGGTTGCCTGCTAATCTATGTTACGCGAGGTTGTTGTTGTGCAACAGTTAACTCCTTGCTTCGCGGAAATGTCAACTTTACTGGATCCTCGGGAGGAAGAATTCAAAGCATCCAGATCCCGACTCAGAATCTTTTGGCTGCTGGGAACGATGCGGACTGATGATGCAATCATCCTTTTGTCTGCGATTTGCGCGGATAATCATAATACGCAGTTCGTTGGCTGGCACGTGATGTACGGCAGAATTGCGGCGCTATCTGAGACGACCGTGGGACGCGCCAACGGTGGTCGTCTGAAGCGCGCGCGTCTCTGGCCCACATCTCCACCAGGACAAGCAGCACACTTCTCTGGACGAAACACGAGCTACAGTATCGGTCAGGGGAACTGCCACGAGCACTGCAATACTAACCATTACTGTATTCTCCTCCCTCGCCGATTATGCATACCACACATCCGCCGAACCGTTGTCCGCCCTCTCTCCTGCTCCCGTCTCCACTCTTCACGTCCCTCGGCCATGACGGGATCTTCTACACTGCCAGCACCGTTCGGCCTCCGATATGAAACTATTTCGTCTTTCTCCGCCCACCACGCACTCGGTCTCGTTGGTGATCCTAGAACACTGCCCGGTGCACACTTGACCTTCGTTTGTTTGTCGGTACACACATTCCTTCTCATCCACCTTCATTCTGACACGTCGTTTTCCTACAACTCGCCTTGCTTTTCTTACTTCGCACACTCCTTCACTCATTCCGAGTCGCTCATTGCTGGACCATCGACAGAAGAACTTTCCGTACCACTGTCAGACCTCGCGAGCTGGTTCTCGCGCCGCACGACATTTTCATCCCCAGCACAGCACCAGAACTCCCCAGCACATGATCCAAGAACACTTTCGTATGCTTTCAATTGCTCCGTCTCTTTTCAAGATACCCAAGAGTTCGACTCTTCGCGTTTGATTTCCTTCCGGACGACAACGACAACACGACTTTAAAAAGTTCATCCAGCCATCAAGCCGTCGAAACGATGGAACTGCTTCTCCTCGCCGCCTTGATCTCACAAGCACTTGCTGCTCCTGCTGCGCTCACTCGCCGCGCCGCAGTGAGACCGCAATTGAAGCAAGCAACATATCTCGCCAACGTCACAGACCCATCCCTTTCACGAGACTCCTGCGGCTCCACTCAGATCGGAGCCCGCACGTTCTGGACCTGCCGGGACACGATGCTCTACAACGCCAGCACAAACCAATGCACCTTCCCCATCATCACCAACAGCGCCAGCTGGACCAACATGTCTTCCTCCGGCGGCCCGGCGATCCAGCAGAACGGCCCCGTAGGCGCCGGTTCCTCGGGCTCGAACGCCATTCTGCAAATGTACGGAGGCGACACGTCTGCTTCCTCCATGACGCCCTACTATGCCGTGCAGAGCGACGCCTGCCCGACAAACGGCGTCTGCGCGGATGGCTCTCGCTGGCCCGTCTGGCCGAACCAGCCCCCCGTCATCACCTCTTCCGACTCCTCCGACGGCACCGCGGTGGGATACACCTGGATCGCCAAAGCACACATCGCAAACCTGACCGCTCTGAACCCGCAGCCGGCCTATTCCCTCTACAAGACCTTCTTCCCCAGCGGCGGCACGGATTCAAATACGCTACCTTACGCCACCCTCGTCGACGCCGCTTTCTGGCCCGCAGGCCAGATCGGCTACGGCAACTACGGCAGCCTCCTGCAAAACGACACGCTCTACCTCTACGGCCAGACGAACACCGCCCAGACAGCCCTCGCCCGAGTCCCCCTCGCCTCGGTCGAAGAAACCAGCGCATACGAATACTACGTCAACGGCACCTGGACCCCCACCGCGCCGCCGGCCCTCAATTCCACCACCACCACCACCTCCACCTCCTCCATCATCCTCCCCAACGCAGGCGCCGGCGGCCAAGGAACCTTCTACTACTCCGCTTACTTCCAGCGCTACATCTGGCTCGGACAGGCGAGCATTTCGAATTCCGCGACGTTCTACATGACAACGGCGCCGGCGCCCGAGGGGCCCTGGGAGGTTCCGTATGAGCTCTGGCAGGGCGAAGACGGCGATAATGCGATTGCCGGGGGGTATTCGCTGCAGGCGCATCCGGGGCTCGGGGGGGATGCGCAGGGGGGCGTGTATGTGACGTGGAGCCAGCAGTGGAGCGAGCGGACGGATGCGGCGGGGTATACGACGCCGTTGGTTTGGTTGCAGTTTTGAGTGAGTTAGTAGGTTTGATGGGGATGGGGGAGGGATGGGATAGTATAGATGGATGGAGAGATGGATTCTGGACTAAGTTGTGTAGAGATGTTTTTCTCACTTACTGGTCACAATCTGGCAACGCATAGCGCTTGGATAGTGGAGCTGATACCTGGAGTTGAATTGGGAAAAAAAAAATTCTCATAATGCTATGCGATGTTGCTTACGGGAAAGCCTTCACAGAAGCTAACATATTCGACACAATACTTTTGAAACCAAAACAGAACCATCAAAGACTCCCACCAACTCCTCACACCAAAAGATTCACTCCCAGACTCCCAGCTCATCGACAACACGATCAAATAAAAGTATAAGTCCAGCTCTGCTTGCAGTCGTACCGGTCGTTGCCAGAGCTGGAACCAGAGTTGGTCGCCCAGAGTGGGTCCAAGTAAGCGCTGTACAGCGAGCAGTAGGTTCCGTATGGCTTGTTGTTCTTGTGCAAGTAGAAAGCGTTGAACATCTGGCACGAGCCCTTGCCAGCCTGCTTGTTCGCAACATTCTGGAAGTAGGCATAGTCACCGCAGGCCTGTGGGTTGAAGGGGCCGGGGAAGAAGCGGCTGCCCATGCTGTACCAGGGTGCGTTGATGGCCTTGCCGTGGCAGTTCTCCGGCTTGTACCATGGGTACTGAGGGTTGCGCGAGGTTCCCGGAGAAGAGGTTTGGGTAGGCGCGGTAGAGGAGCTCTTGGTGGAGGTGCTGGACTGGACTGGAGCGGTGCAGGCTGGCGGAGTGGTGATGTTGGTCTTGTCGTAACCGTCACTGCCCGTGATGACGACTTGGAACTGTTCGCGCATCTGACCGCCGTTGGTCGCCATGGATGCATCGATGTTGGAGCCGAAGAGAGTGCACTTGATGCTGGTCATGGACGGTGGCTGGAAGCAATGTCAGTCATCACACGCCAAAGAAGATTATGCAGTGGTGAGCTTACGTTTGGGCAGGAGTCGCCCCAGACGGTCGGGGCGGAGGAGTCGTTGTTGGATGGGTTCAGGGATGGGTCACGCTCGAAGAAAATGTTGAAGGCGGTGCAGAGGTCGGTAGCGTCGCACTCGGCAGCGCACTGGGAGACATTGTAAGACTGGAGGGTGTAGAGACCGAGGTAAGACTGGGCGGCGACTTGAGCGTTGAGGTCCTCGAAGACCTGGGTGTACTGCGTGTTGTTGACGGAGGGAATGGTAGTTGCGGCAGCCCGGGCGGACGAGTGTAGAGGCGAGTAAGAGAGGAATGCGGAAGCCGTGTCGGGAGTTCTGGGTTGATGTCAGTGAATGGTCCAAGGGGGGTAAGTAGCGTTGGACTTGGTTTGTTCTTACGGCACAGGACCATATCCGTCTGGCTGAGGCGCACAGGGATCCTCAGGGTTGATGAAGCCGCAGTAAGTGCCGGCCTCAGGCTGGGTGACGCAAGGTTGGCCAGCGGTGGTAGTGCTGGTGGCAGAGAGGGCTGGGTCGGTGGTGTAGCCCGTTGCCAGAGCTGGGTAGTAGGGAGTGTAGGTGGTGTCGGGGATGCCACGCTTGTTGGCGTTGCCCGTGGCCGCGACGGAAGCGGTGGCGACACCGGTGATGGTGATGCTGGTGGCCAGGGTTGCGGTTTGAGCGCCGTCGGCATCGGAGTCGATCAACGAGGGACCACTGGGCAGAGCTGGAGCAGCGTTGATCTGGGCGAAGTCGAGCTGCTGGGGAGCTGGGGAAGCGGCAGCAACGGCAGCGAGGGCCACAGCGGCGAGCAGCTGCTGGGTGCGTTTCATGGTGATGAGAATGGGGAGTATATGAGCGAAAGGATACAGGCGCGTTGGTAGGAGGAGAATGGAGGGGGTCTGATTGCTGCTGCTGTTGGATGTGTTGCTGTGCTGGGGTGGATATGGGTGCTTCCTGGAAGCATATCACCCTTATATACCTCATGTACACTGGAGATGAAGGCAAGACGGAATGCTTCTGGACTGCGTACGGATGCATCGTGACCCACTTGGCACAGGACGACGTTGGATGGTGCAAAGGCAGAGAGCAGTGGAGCGATGCTACAGTCTAGTCCGACGTGGTCTCATCGTAGTCCAAGAGATGCTAGAATGCCGGATAGGGAAGTCAGTGGGGGAGAGGAGGCGGGGAGAGATGACTGCTAGATGGTTGCTAGACGGAAAGCAGGATAGACCGAGCCGGATAGACTGTGCGTGGTGCCATTTGGAGACAGGTTTGTGTCGCAGAGAATTTGCTGCGCTGTAGAGAGGCAAAGAGAGGGAAACAGAGGAAAGAGAGAGAGGATGGAAGAGAGGGACGAGAGGTCAGTCACATGGGATGGCTTGGCATGAATCCGTGCGTCGGCAGGGACGCCAAACTCTATCCCCACGCCGGTGGCACGAGTCGCTCCTGCCCTGCTTCATTCGGTTCACGCCGAGACATCAACCGAGTCTTCACACCCGGCATCTCGGCATCCACCTTCACCTACCTTACCGCTCCTCTTCCAACACCACCATCATCATCACCTTCTGTGCCACCAAGAGAGCAAGACTCACCTCACCATCAATGCCTTCAACCGCCATCTCGATATCACCCAACTCACTCCAGCCTTCCACATCCGACGCACATTTGACCACCATGCCACCGAGCCGTTGCCTGCATCTGGTACGTTCAGAGGCTACTCACATGCCGACGGCACCTGAACCACCCGACGACCCCACTGCCGGCTTGAACTTTCCACCTTTTTGCCTGCTCCCGTCTGCCGTTTGCCGTAAGCTCTACTCATCGCACTTTCCCTCCTATACCAACCACTACTATCCACCTACCTAGTACCTTCCATGCCCTCGGGTATAGCGGGTCCAGACTTCGCCACCGCCGCCGTCACCGCCACCGCCATCGTGCCTACCTCAACTTACCTTATCTTATACTGCACGAGATCCGTGACCTCCGGACTTCGGACCCCGAGTGCGGTGCGGTGCTCATCATCGACACCCAGAATTGCAGACGGCAACTGCGACGGACTGGAGTGCATCTCCCACTGCAGTGCTGGACTGCCATGCCCCGTCCACTCGCTCAAGCCTGATCGATCAGTAGGTATGACTTCCTCGGAGCTTCCACGCCGAGACACTCCATGCGGTGCGAACAGCAACATGGCCGCCAAGACCTTGGCGGACCAGATTTCCAAGAGGAACAGGTTAGAATTCCAGCGCTGCGTCTGACTCGCCAACCGGCTACTACATCCCACCATTTGAAGGGCACTCGTTTCACCGGAACCAAACATGTTCGTTCAGAACCTGAACCCTTACCAAGATCTCGGAGCGCCAAGTGTCTCGGGTGCTGTGGCCGGACTTGCAAACTTTTCCGTCTTGCTCTTTCGCGTCCGCGGATGAATGTGATTTGGAAGCTGGAAGCCCAGCAGCTGCGTCGGTCCCCAGTCTACGGGCATGCCGAACCCTGCCACCGGTCCCAACTTCTGCTCCAGTTCATGCGGTCCAGCGCGTATCACGTCGGTCCACGTCTTCGCGAACCTCGCCGACGCCTTCGTCCGGAAAGTGTGCACCAGGACCCGCCTCTCTGTCCCAGTGACCTGCTCCTGGTGCGTCGAAGCTGTTCTGGCCAGGAAGAGGACATTTCTGGACTGGAACGTGACTAAGTGGTAAGAATAGAACCGACTTGTATCATGATGCACGTTACCTATCTCCACCGAGGCAACAATCCCCAAGGTATCATCGCAGAGAACACATCCAGAACAAAACAACGCTGAAACTTCTTGGCTGTCGATCGATCGTCTTAGAACTTGGAAAATCGCCGACTGCCCCTCTGGCTGTTCGCATCCATCAAGATGGACTGTCTTGAAACGGCAAAATTGCCCTTGGCCATCATGGACCGGTACTCCATCAGCTCGTCATTCTGGTCATCCCATTCCTGCCCCTGTTTTACAGCCTCCGCTCGGCCGGCGCGTCGCTGCTTGACGCAGTAGAAGATGAATGCGAGCAGGGCGATAGCCAGTCCACCCAGAACACCCACGGCGATTCCAATCTTCGCCCCGGTGGAAAGACCAGACCAGTGCTCCTCGGCTTCCTCTACCGTAGTGAGCTTGTGGAGGGCTTTGTACGCATCGGACTCGCCTTCCGTGACATTGATGCTCTTGTAGCTTCCGCTGTTGTCGCTGTAGGAATACGAGCTGGCGTTCTGGGTTCCGTCCGTGATGGAAATGGATTTGACGTACCTACGAAGAAGTCAGCACACTCGGTACGATCCAACTCAGCGATCGCGATGCGACTCACATGTTGAACGGCGCATCGGTAAAGTCCGACTTTCCGCCAGCCCATTCGACAGTGCCCTCAGACTCGGAACACCCACCACACCAAACACCGAATTGCACCCTGCACGGCGTCTGGGGATACATTCCCGGCTCTTCATACCCCGCCTCGCGGACGACATTATCATCCAGAATCCACTGAATCTTCTCCTGCGACCAATTGATGGTGTAATTATGATAACTATCCTGCGCACCATCTAGCGCCGGATACTTGGAATTATACTGACTCGTATTCCCCCATCCATAATAATTATTCTCCACCGTCGTGCTATTGCCGCCCATTATCTCCCAATCGACCTCATCCAGATCATCACTCAGCAGAATTATCGTGGAAATTATGCCGGTCCCCGGGGCGGCTTTCATGACGATGGACACGGTTCCGAAGAAGATGTAAAAGTTTGATTTGATGGTCACGGTGTCTGTCGATGTTTGCAGGGAGAGGTCGGCGCCGTTGGTGTCGCCGAAGGAAATCAGAGACGTTCCGGCCGTGACGTTCCAGTATTGGGAGGGGAATTCTTGCATGGTGGCGTTGAATTGGGTGGCGTAGGTCGTTCCCAGGGCTGGGTCGGAGGGACAGGTGGAATTGAGAGGATTGCAGTCGGTGGTGGTTTGGGCGAGAGATGTGGTGGCCCAGAAGGCTGCTAGGGACGCGATTGCGAGGAACATGGTTGCTTGTCTGCTGGGGTGTGTGGTGGTGGGTTGTTGCTGGTGTTGCCTGAAATGGAGGATTATGCTTGTCGGTCTGAGGTCCCCCGATCGGGATCTAAGACACGGTCGATACGGTGCTGTGGTGGTGCTGACTTGACGTTGGCCGGCCCGCGGTCTCTTTCGCGTTTCTTTCTTTCTTTCTTTCTCTTCTCTTCTCTTCTCTCTTAACTCTCTTCTCTTCAAGGAATGACTGAGGCTAGTTGGGTCGAAGGAGTGACTGGGTTGAGGACGCGACGAACGATGTGATGAGAGCGAACAACGAAGGAGGACGATGCAAGAGGAAGAAGAGACCAGGGACGGTGGACGGGGTAAAAGGAGAGGCGTCGAACGCATGGATCGCAAGCTAGTGCAGGCGCCGGATATGGTAGGTTGTGGTCCAATCGTTCGCCCCCGCGCTAATGCCGAGAACTGCAAGGGACCATGCACCCGACCTGCCTGTCTGTCGTGCTCTTCGGCATTGAACCCACTGGACGAGAAACGAAACGAAACGAAACGAAAACGCGTCGGTCGTTATTGTTATAACAAATCCTTTTCATCTTTGCGAATTGTCCTCGTTTTTCTCTCTTTTCTCTTCTTTTCACTACGCGTGCTTCGATAAGGTAGTGGACTCCCTCTTATATAGCGTATCCGCCGCTCGCGGAAGGGCTTTTCCAAGCCGTCTGTGCAACTAGCAGCAGCATTCCTGGCCCGGAGGGGTCTCGAACCCCATCTCGTGCAAAAGATGGTGTGTTGGATTTTTTGCCACCACACAACTATATATACTGGCGATCCTCGTCAAGATTTGGGTACGAATGGGTTCGTCGACTTCGATGTAACAAATTCACATCGAAAAGCGGAAGGAGAGATGGCTGAGTAAACGGCTCTGGCAGGTCAAGAGTTCGGGAAGAGCGCTTTCGTCTGTCGGAAAGAGGCGTCTTGTGGGAAGATTCGGAAAGTCTGCAGCGCTTTCGAGGTCTGCTCTACTTCCTGGAGGTGGAAGTTCATTAGAGGGGTGTTTATTGACTGGAGATAAAGCGGCTTCACAAAACTCGCGCCAAAGGCGGAATATAGCCGCTACGGTTTTCCAGCTCCTAACTAGCTAAAAGATAGTCGACACCGCAACCTCGCCGTCATCCCAAAGCGCGTCATCAGCTAGGACTATCTCATCATGAGGAGAGGAATGATTGAGATGTTCAGAGGTCGGAATCGAAAGCCAAGATGAGTAGATCGATTGAGCAAAAGGATAGCCCGACAGAGTCGCCTTCTTTACTTCCACTTCGGTCCAGGTATCCGGGTTTTGAAAGAGGCTGTGTGACGTTGCGTCTGTCGTGAAAGCCAATGGCAAGACGCAGGTCTGTACAGTGTCCAACACTTGGTTAGATAGATGCATGAAAATCCGCTTGAGAGGGCGCTGGGTCGTCAAATTCCATGTGTAGGCTGATTTCCTCAGTGGAGTGTGGCTCTTGTACAGGACATCTACTCCCCGAGCCATGAATCTAGAGTCTCTACCAGTCCACTCGACTCCTCCGGGTCGCGCGGAAAGTCAGGTGTAGTTGAGTGGCTCGAGACGCTGTCTAGCACCGTTTAGCGTGGAGAGGGGAGCTGATATCGACGATGCAGCGGCCCTCGAGCCGCGTCCCATCGTTGTGATAGAAGTCTGAGGTTTTCACGCCTTTTTAGGTTGCAAATACCTTCAGATCTCAAATCAAGACATAGAAATAATGCCTCAACTCGTCCACCTACCCGGCGTACTGAATGAGCCTCCGCACCAAAGTCCCAAAGACGACAGACCAACGTTCACAGGCCCCGTCGGCCTCAACCTCCTTCACACCCACAAGCCCGACGGAGAAAGTACCGACCGATTACAATGCAGGCGTCGCATTGGTGACGTTCAAGCCGTGCGCGCGAACACACTGGCCTTGGCACGAGAAAGGCCAGCTTCTTAGCGTCACCCGAGGCCGGGGATGGGTTTGCGACAAAGGGAGGCAAGCCGAGGAGTTTCCAGGCGGGAGATGTGATCTGGTGTCCTCCTGACTCTACTCATTGGCGTGGAGCAGACGACGGGAGCGAGATGTTGCATATGGCGTTCTCGATGGGTGCCGTCAAGTGGTTGGAGGCGGTTAGTGATGCAGAGGACGCGGCGAAGAATCAAGAGACGGGCGTCCCCAGCGGTGAGCTCCGTGTGTATGGAGATTCTTATTAGTTGCCGCGCTGTGACCCAGCGGTTGCATGGTATTTGTCTGGAGTTTCATTGTGGCAGGAACTCTCCCGTTACCGGGCGTAATGTTGTATGTCTGAGGTGCGCTTCAAGGCACGACGAATCAGGAGACTGTGAGAGATGGCATCGTTCTTGATCAGAGCCATCCGTAGCTCGAGGTTCGTTGTCTGGAGGCTCAATAGAAAAGTCGATGTGATCGAAGAAGTCGAAGTCACAAGAGACGGGAGCTAAACCTCCACGGGCGAACTTCGGCCAGGCTTGTCGCCATGCCGACCAGCTTGCAAAACATACTTCCTATCCGAGAGCGGTCAAGCACAACGACACTTCAACCTTGCTTAGGTATGCGATCATTCACACGTCTTTGAAGAGCTTGGAGGATACGTCTGCATTCATACGCGGCGACATTGGAGATGGCACGATTACGGCGAGCCTCAGGCGACGGCGGCGACTCTCTTCCCAGGCGGACCCAGCAGCGAAAGCCCGCAGAACCAGCGGAGACGACCAGGCCAAAGACCGCAAGAAGAAGACAGCCAGCGAGATACATCATCTCTGACGATTCAAGTGCTGAGGAGTCAGAAGCGCCCGCGAAATTCGTACAGAAGACGAAGTCGGTCAGCACAGCAACAAAAACACAAGTCCGTTTGGGACCACCGAAGAGCCTCTCTCAGAGCAGCCTGGCCGCATCAAAGGAAGCACTCGCTACGAGCACAACGGAGTTCGCATTGGAAGAAAAGCCAGCACGGAAGCCTAGACGGGCTATATTATCACCGGTGAAGCAGAAACAGCCTCGATTACCGTCTCCACCACCTAATCCCGAGCCGGAGCTTTCCGATAACGAGGGCGAAGTGGACATCGAGGAAAGTATCTGGTGTGGCACAATCGACGACAGTAGCAGCTCATCTGGAGAGGATTTGCTCAGTCCGCGACAGCTCTTCGGGTTTCCGCGCAAAGTCTCGCAAGACGCGAAGAAAGCGCTCTCGCCAGCAAAGCAACCAGATCTAACGAAAAGGCTGCAAGCATTGAGCATCTTCGACGACGAGCCCGTACTCTCGAAGAGATCTCGGACAGATCTTGAGGAATCGAGACCCGAATCGCGACCTGGCACCTCATCAGACAAGGAAAATGACATGGGAATCATCCGCTTTTCACCACCGCGATTGAAGAGCCCGCAGAAGAAGGCCCCCATCGAGCGACCAGCCACTCCTCCTCATCCACCACCTTCTCCATCCAAGTTGAAGTCGCCCTCAAAGAGACCACCTCGCATCCCTACACCACCTCTTCGACCCAGTCTAGACGCATTCTGGACAGCCGAAGCCATTAACGACTGGAACGATCAGTACTCGCCTCAGAAGCCGCTCAAATCACCTCGAAAACTGAACCTCAACCCAAACCCCGAAGATGTCTCACCGTCCACCTCACCGCGCAAGACAAGCCCAACAAAACGCACCAAAGCCGAAATCGAAGCCCGCAAGAACTTCGACATTCGCAAGATCACCCTCGCAGAATCCTTCCTCACTGAGCTAGACCAAACAGTCGCACAGGGACAGATTCAGGCTCTGGCAGCTTCTACAGGCGGAGTCAGAATCATCTGGTCCAAAACCCTAAACAGCACAGCCGGCCGCGCAAACTGGCGTCGCGAAACAGCAAAGGTCACCAACCAGTCGAGCCAACAGACAGTCACCACGCACAAGCATTTCGCTTCCATCGAACTCGCCTCCAAAGTAATAGACGACGAACACCGCCTTCTGAACGTCATCGCGCACGAATTCTGCCATCTCTGCAATTTCATGATCAGCGGGATCAAAGACCAACCGCATGGGAAACAATTCAAAATCTGGGGAGCGGCATGTACCAGAGCTTTCGGAGAGAAGGGAGTGGAGGTGACGACGAAGCACTCATATGAGATTGAATACAAGTACATTTGGAAGTGTGTGGATCAAGGACTTTGCGGCATGGAATTCAAGAGGCATTCGAAGAGTATTGATCCGGTGAAGCATCGATGTGGTGGGTGTAAGAGTAAGCTGGTGCAGATCAAGCCCGTACCGAGGAAGGTGGCCGGTGGGGAGAGGAGCGCTGCTGGGACGTCGGTGATAGGAGGGAAGGGAGGCATGCCTGCTGTTGCAGGATATACGGCGTTCGTCAAGGCGCATTTTGCGGCGGTGAAGAAGAGTTTGCCTGGAGCGAGTCATAAGGAGGTCATGGAGGCGCTCGGAAAGAAGTATCGGGCTGAGAAAGCTGGCGGGGCCGGTGGCAAAGAGACTGACGGTGTCGATGGCATCGCGAAGGATCTTGAAGCTGTGGATTTGCAAGATCGAGAGGTCATTGAGTTAGACTGAATCGGTGTTGCTGCTTGATGCTGAACTTCTTCGTCCTTGATATCTCTGTGGAAGCTGAATCCGCGTTCCGCACTTTGATTCGCATCATCCACGCTCCGTAGCATTTGGCGGTAATCGTGCAGCCTCTCAAACGAACTTCGAATCATGCTCAATCTGCTCTTCCTCTTCGCTATCATCGTCTCTCCATTCCCACTTCTCATATTCAAGCTCATCCGCGAACTCTTGCGTTGAATGCCACGCGATAAGCGGATCTTCCTTCCTAAGTCGAATCTTCCCATCGAACTTAAGCCGCGTTGGAAGATCATGACCGTGAAGTGCGTTATGTTGCACTCGCAGCTGGACGTCTGTTCTGTAGATGTCGTCGAGTGTGATGTACTGTCCATTTGTAGGCAGAACCCGGAAGCGTCCCACGCGCAATTCCTCGACCGGTGGTTGGAATAGAGAGATAGAGCGCGTGCGTGAGCCCATGCGCCTCAGTATCTGGGTGTTTGGTGGCATCGTCTCTAGCCAAAACACAGCATATTTCAGATTGTGTGGGACGCGTGCGCCGGAGCGCCAGTAGCCACACTCCTCGTCACACCATGTGGCTGCCATAGAGTATCTGTGGACGCAGTAGTGACCCTCATGGTCATAGAGGGCCACTGCGCTATCTGGAAGCTCTGTCAGAGTGTATCTGAAATTTGACTTCCAGTCAGGGAGTAAGCCGATGGCTCTCTGGATGTTGACCGAACCATTCACCGTATCGCGCATAGCCCGATTGACTTGCATGACACGCAAGATGGTAAGGGTACCCTCAGTATACGGTGGAGAAATGTCGCAAGTATGCAGAAGAATCTTCTCCATCAATTCCGCCGTCTTGAAGACCTTCATAGCCACAAGAGCCGAAGCATCAGTTGCCGCGGCGGTAGGCACGCTGCCCTTACGCGGGGAGTTGAGTCGAGCTCGAGCTCTATGAGTAAGAAGTGCTTCGCAGTTGAAGGAGTGCATTGTTTCAGGTGTCACACCTCATGTGTGTGTGTGTGTGTGTGGGAGAGAGTGTGTGTTGAAGTTCAGAAGCGAAGAGGTCCGCGCATTTCGTCTCGTCCGTGCTGATAAAGGAATGTCGCACAGGATTCCCACTCGAGCCGATCCTAAAACGAAACTTCTAGTCACAATGATGCAAGTGCTGAATGGTGCGGAGGAAACCACAGCTCTTGCAGTACCTTACCACTATGGCGACCTGGAATAGTGCGAGCTTCAGCCATCATCGAGGTCCTCCAGCCCTGAGCCTAGTTATCCATCATGCAAACAGTGTCCTCAAGGCCCGCAGCAGTTCGTCGCAACTCTGTCTCCATTCTAGTCGATCGCAAAGACTTACAGCGCCACACGACGCTCCCACAATATCTCATACGCCGCCTGCTCACGCTCAGTCGATTCGATCCCTTTCCCAACTGTCACTGGTATCGTCTGCTACGAACTTTTGACCTTGACCGGCGGCGGCAGGATAATCCGCGCTATCCAATAAAGTAAAGCGGAACCTTCGCCTCCTCTCCCGCCGTACAAGACTCTCGATGATTCTTCGGTACCCGAATGTTGGCGCGATGAATGTCTCCCATGTTGATGTACTCTCCATTACTCGGCAGCAATTTGCCAGCCAGCTGGAGCTCCGGATATGCCTGAAACAGTGGAATATCGAGCCAGTTGCCCGTCATCGGCGTTATATCCAGGCAGCAGTAGTTGCACACGGGATAGACCGCCATTTGCGTTACGGATGGCTGACAAGGTGAAAGTGAGCGACAGCACGATCCCCAACGCGAAAGACCATCCTTCGACTCGGCGTAGGTCTTGAGCTGGAATTTGCCAAGCTTGACGGAGATTGAGGCCGGGGTAGACCGGGACGATTGGGAACCAGATCGCTATCGAATCTAGAGCCATGAAAGAAGAGCTCTGGTAGGTACTGAGAAGTCCATGGGATGAACACGCGTCGGCGCTTGGTCGCAAGAAGGTTAACGAGGTTCGCATTCCAGTCCGGTAGCAAGCCGATAGACTTCTGAAGCTTCACCGAGCCAACATCAACAAGCTTTGCTGACTCGTATCGCCCTGGGGATGACTTGTCCGTCGAGGAGTAGCAGGATAGCCTCTGCAATTTCTACCGTGGTGAAGACTTGAGTGGCCACGAGCGCCGAGGCATCTGTTGCATGGCTCTCTATTAGGGGGCGGGCGAGGGTACTTGGCTAAGTTGGGCGGCTCGAGCGTCGCCATGATTGTGGACTCGTGTCTCGTAGCGGTACTGCAAGGTGAATGATAGATGTGATGGTCTTTCGTCGCGAAAATGACGTCGAATTGGAACAAATTGCCGATCAGCATCGAATGCTCTCGAGCCCGTATTTATGCTGGATCGGAAACTTATGCGTAAGACAAAATCGACGTGGCGGGGAATCTGAACAAGGGAAAATTCTTTGCGGTACCATATATACAACCTGCTGCTAATAGAATCCCTCTCGAGCAACAGCAGCATCTATTGGTCGTCGAGGACGTGGAGGTACTTCTTCTCCTCACGCTTCTCCTTTTCGGTCATGGGTGGCAGGTCGTAGTATGATGAGCTTCGGTATCCTTGCTGTGCGGGTTGTTAGTACATCTATATAGCATGTTCAGGTTGACAGCTCTGCAAGCTTACCAAATACTTGTATGTGAAGTTGGCAATGTCACCAGGCTCGATGTCGAGGTCTTTGAAGGTCTTGGCCTTCTTGTCGATAAATTGGTTCAGAAATTCACGTTCCACTTCGTCGCCACTTCCTACCGGGAACCAGAGCACGCGATTCAAAATTTCCAACAGAGGCTTGAGAATGAACTTTGGCATGTTGATGTGTCTCCTCTTTTTGATAATTTCGCGGTCGACAAGCTCCGAGATCTGTCGCATGCTGTACTCCTTCGGTCCATACAGCTCGAATGTTTGGCCGGCGGTGCTGTCGTCCAGACCAATAGCTTCCAGAGCCTTGCCGACGTCAACGGCGTGCACCGGCCAGAGCGTCTCCTCCATGTTGTTAGCGGTCAAGATGTTGCCCGCGCGAGCAAGACGGTGGAGAAGACGGTCTTCAAATCCAAAGACAGGGGCTGGGCGGACAATTGTCGTCTCCGGGAAGATCTCTCGTGTGACCAGCTCGCTCTGCCATTTCGCACGCATGAATGCAGAAGGCGATTCAGGGTGCGCTCCACTAGCAGACATGTGAATGAAGCGGTCGACGTCGTACTTGGCAACGGCATCTGCGATTCTCTTCGCACTCTCCGTGTTCGCGTCTTCAAGAGAGAAATTCTTTGTGGGATAGTCACGGCCCACCAAATTGTAGACGATGTCTGAGTGTCGCACGGACTCATCAATCGACTGTGTATTTCTGAGATCGTACTCAATGAAGACCACTCTTCCCAAATCACCGGTAACTTTAAGATGTCTCTTGGCCATCTCTTCACGGAATGGAACAACAACAGTGCATCCTGAGCGAGCCATGCGGTTCACAATGTATCGTCCCAGAAACCCCGTTGCGCCGAAGACGGTGACAGTGTGTCCTCCCAAGCTACTCCGGCCACCAGCAACTCGAAGAATGGGCTTTCCAGTCCGCGTAATGGCGACATCCTGAAGGTTTCGGCGGCATTGTGGTCGAGCAATGGCGGGTTTGGCGAGGGTGGTTGTGAGGGAGGCGTTCGGACGGCAGAGCTGGCGTTGAAGAGCCATTGCGCTGGACGAAAGACCAGCCATGGCCGAAGAGCGGAGAGCTGTAGTCGGGGGAGGTGAATGTGGCCGAGTGCCTACTCCATCAGACGGTGGAAGGGAGTATGTTGCAGTTGGAGTGAGGTGCTTATTCTTGAGGCCCTGATTCGTGAGGTCGAAGCGGATCTCTCCCGGCTTTGAGTTTGAAGCACTGACCAAGCGGCTCAAGACAGGCACTCTCCAACTCCGATGTTCACGACCTCCTCCACCAAACATCAAACACCCCAAACACACCTCCACTCGCCAATCATCAAACAAATACAGACTGGGGCGCCGTGCTACACCTCTGACACTCACAAAGACAGCGTACGACTCTGACAAAACTGCAATCGGGAAGTGCGTGACGATGCAGCAAGAGAAGATCGCGGACTTCCTGCAAGAGCAGCGAGATCAGGCGCCTGATGACTTGCAACACTATTTCTTGAGCTTCGAGGACTTCTGGGAGCGCAAGCTATGGCACGAGCTCACCGACATCCTCGTGGTATACTACGCAGAAGAGCAGAGCGCCAAGCAGCGGATACCCATCTACAACAACTTCATCAAGACCTTCGCCGACAAGATCAATCAGCTCAAGCTTGTGCGGATAGGGTTGAGCACATCGAAAGAGTGCAAAGGTAAGGGAAAGAGAACACTCTGGCAGATTGGCTGAGGCACGTGCTCACCCGTATGGCAGACGACCAGGAACGCCTCTCCTTCCTCTCAGCGCTTGCCATGCGAGTCGACAAGCCAGACTCGCAAGACGCATACGTCTACTCCCTCAGCGCTGTCGCCGATACCCGACTTAACCTTCAGCAGACTTCCGAAGCGCGCAAAGATCTGGACAAGTGCGAGTCGATCCTTGACACCTTCGATTCCGTCGAGACAGATGTCCATGCCAACTTCTATATGGTCAGCGCGCGATATTATCAATCCCAGCACGAGTTCGCCAAATACTACCGAACCGCCCTCCTCTACCTCGCCTGCGTCCAGCTGGACGATCTCTCTGAGCAGCAACGCCAGCACATTGCGTACGATCTTTCGCTTGCCGCTCTTGTCAGCGACACCATCTACAACTTTGGAGAGCTTCTCCTCCATCCCATCCTCGAAAGCTTGCAAAAGACGCAGCATGCGTGGTTGAGCGAGCTGCTTTTCGCGTTCAACCGCGGCGACCTACACGCATACAACATCCTTCAGCAGCATCTGGAGGCCAATAGCTTGTTGCAGCAGCACCAGCAATTCCTCTACCAGAAGATCTCGCTTTCGGCACTCACGCAATTAGTGTTCTCGCGGGCACCACAAGATCGCAGCATGACTTTCCAGACTATCAGCCAGGAGACGAAGGTGCAGCTCGATGAGATCGAGCATCTCATCATGAAGGCACTAAGCTTGGGTCTTCTGCGTGGCAGCATCGATCAGGTGGCAGAAGTCGCGCGGATAACCTGGGTGCAGCCCAAGGTACTGGACAGGGATGGGATCGAGGGAATGCGCACCAGACTGCGCGAGTGGGACGGCGGCGTCGAGAGATTGGGCAACTGGATCGAGGGCGTCGGTCAGGATGTGTGGGCATCATAATGCCAGAATCAATTGAGAGATCAAAAGCTCTGCATTCCGGGGACATGCGACTAGATGGTAGTATAGCATAGCGAGGCGTTGTGATGGCCAAACTTGCCTCAGGCAGCAGCCGAGAACGGAGAAGCTCGTGAAGCTTCAACCTCATGCCCTCATAGCCAACGACATGAAGAAATGTACAACTACAGCAGAACACAGGACACAAACTCGCCTCTCTTTATTTCCTTCTGACTATAATTGATCCGAGTAAATCATTGTGCCGCACATGCCAGGCGCCAGCGCCACAACTGCCTAATTCGGAGCCTAGCGTTGCCTGCACAAATTGGGGTGCATAAAACATTCGACTTCACTTCTCCCAGAAACAACTCGGAGAGGCAACAAAGACAGACAAACCCCTAAAACCTCATCGCCCATATCCATCTTCCACCCACTTCAGAGTAAAGAATTGGGTACAGAAAAAATGGCCACACAACAGCAGTTCAAACCCGCCTCTCTCTTCGGCGGGGCCATTGTCGTAGACTTACCCGCAACATTTGAAGACGTCAGGTAAAGCCCATCCACCCTATCTCCCATCAAAAGTACCTACTAACTACCATGTGAGTATAGTGAGATTCGGCAAGTCCCCGATAACCAAGAAGTCTACCTGGACCGAGCAGGATTTTCCAGCATCGTCGTCGACATCCTCGAAAGAGTCACCGACAAACCCAACGACATCGAAGCCCTGAAATTCCACCTCTCCGACATCGTAGACGAGGACGCCGGACAGACGAAAATCTTCAATATCGAAGAGGAAGTCACGATGAGGAAAATGCCTCCCGGGACGAAAGTTTTGACTCTGATTGCGATTTCTCCGCCGGGGGAGAAGATGCGGGGACGGGCGAATGAGCCTGATTTTGTGGGGATTCTGTTGGTGCTTGTGAGGCTGGTGGAGAAGGAGACGGATGTGGTGGTGAGTGTTAATGTGCCGCATATGCCGGGGGAGTATGTGAGGGAGGATGTGGATTTGGGGAAGGGGAGGTGTGGGAGGCTGTTGGAGGTGGGGAAGGCTGTGAGGGAGAGGGTGCTGGAGACGTTTGAGGTTAAGAATTGGGATTTGTTTGTTTGAGGAAGGCTTGGAGAGATGAAGAGAGTAGATTACTTGAGGAGGAGCGAAGAAGATCCCGGCAGGAGGAAGGAGCGAAGTTGGTGTACATCGCCTTCTTGACTCAAATCCCCCAAAGTAACTCATAGCTATGCGACTATTTCTCTCTTTCTCATCCAATCAGGCCATGAAGGGGATGGAAATGTAGACAAGGCTTTTGCTTTGTTAGAGTTGTAGCGATTGAATGATGGTTTTGCATGGGAATGCTGGTGTGAGAGTTAATATTGAAAAAGAGAATCGATATTCTGCAATTGAGCCTTCCAGCCCTTTGATGCTTCTTCTCATTCCTGCTGATGTTCTTTTGTTCTGTCGTGATCGATAATTACGAAGCCTTCCGCAACAGCACCATTGCACTGCGCCTCAACATTCGCAACGCTGATATCTCCCGCTGGAATACCAGCACGGAATTCTCTGACTTCCTGCAACCCCAACTGCTCGTACACAGGCCAATCCTGACTTTCCAGTCCACGAATGGGATCGCTCGCAAACGCAACCCAAGCATCTTGCATAGCCCGACTCGTCTCGTACTCTAATGCGCTGCTGTGAACTCTATAGTCGAGATGTGTGCCGAAGATCAAGGGCAGCTCCGAGGAGTGATATGCGCCCATCCAAGACCGCGGGGAGATGTTTGTGAAATTGCCCGAGTAGCGGTAGCTGTATGTTTGACGTCCAGTCTGTTGCCGAAGGCGAACCGTTTCCGTCGCTGGGCAGAAGAAGGTATTCAGGAGAGCTTGGTGCGCAACAGTCTGGTTCGGTCCGTCCGGGTTGTAGGGTGCAAAAGCGACGCCGTCGTCTAGATTGGTGCCGATGATTGCAGGCTACGAGAAGTTAGTGCCGGTCAGCATGTTCCAGGATTCTTTTCCTACGATCTTTGCTTGCTTTCCTGCAAGCGCTCTATCCGTATAATTTGCGAAGATAACCTTGCCATCGACGGTAGGCTGAAATGAGAGACTCGGCGAAGCGCCTGAATCTGAATGATTCGCCACGAAGTTCTCGATAGTGCTCGCAGTTACTTTCCTCATGCAAGCCAATTGCGTTACCGGGTCATTCGCAAGACCACCACATCCAACTTGGCTGGCCACGTAAGCGAAGCTTTCTCCCGTCAAGTTGACGCTGGTAGGAAGCAGAGCAGTCCCCGAGTCCATGATCAGGCCAGTCACGATTGGGTCATCGGGGTACGCATAGTTGTAGTAGTCGATTGAAGCTGCACCAGCAGATTGGCCCCAGATCACCATCCTTTCTGAATCACCCCCGAACGCAGCGATGTTTTCTTTCACCCACTCAACGGCGAGGCGTTGATCCAGTAGGCCAAGATTTTGGTCCTTCAGTCCGAGCGCCCCCGGGAAGCCAAAGATATTCAGTCTATAGTTGAAAGAAACCACAATGTGGTTTGGACTACGATTGACCCATTGCGTAGGAATCTGATATGGCACATCTTCACCACCAGTCGAGAAGCCGCCGCCGTAGAAGAAGATAAGGACTGGTAAGAAATTCTCCTTGATCCCTCGCTTCCACCATCCACGTCCAGATCGCTTCTGCGCAGGCGTCCATACAGAAGCCGTAAGACAATCCTCAGAAGTCTTTCCTGTGATGTTTAAGCCTTGCAGGTTGAATTGCAGCACGTCTCTGGTATAGAGAGAATCCCCGGTGTTGGAGAGAAACTGATTGCAGCTGGGAGGGAGTTCAGTCGCCTCGACCTGCGCATTCGGCTGTGAAAGGGTCTGTGGTGCAGTCCATCTCAAGTCTCCTATCGGTGGCTTCGCGTAAGGAATCCCTAAGAATTGCCTTACGCTTGGATATGCTGGATCTACTTTTCCCTGGATATGGCCTGAAGTGGTCGCTAGGTTCAGATCGTCGCCTTCTTGTCCGTGATGATGCCACCAGGGCGACCAAGCACTCGTAGAGGCGATTGAACTGGCGAATACAGGCAAGAGATACATGTTGCTGTTGAGTGAAATAAGGAGAACCTAACATCTCCTACCTGGGCGGCGTTTACAGGACCCCGCCATCCATGATTGCGCCAGTAGTTGGTCTTGCACTGCAGATCTCCGCATCATGGTGCAAAGGCAGATGCCGAGCAGAGCCCGCGCTCTCTGATGGAGATGTGAACGGAGGACATTGTCCCGGAAGAAATTGTTCCGGAGAACATTGTCCGGGAGGGAATTGTCCCGGATGCCGGCTCCGTCCTCTCCAGCACCCGACGTAGGAGCTCGCGAGACCTGATGAGTGGTGATGATGGAGGTCGTTGACAGCTGAACTGTCCGTCACCCAAAGACGAGACGAGTTGAATGTCCGCGTTCAATTTGACTTCTCGGTATCGGATTTGTCAGCACGGTCCAGATATGCCCTTTCCATCAACATCTCATGCACAATCTCTTTGTGCCGTTGTTTTGACGATAAGAGCAGCGACACCTGCACGTCTCCCGCCCTTGTGCAGTCTCGTCTGCATCCCCAACCGCCTCCACGTCCGCGTCCGCCTTTTCTCCAGCTGCTGCTTCACGATGGCATCGATGCCTGCACGCCTGCATCCGGTGTATCCTCGACAGCGCGGAGTACCTGCTCCTGTTGGACTTTGCACTCGTCTCCAAGCGGCAAGCATGACAGCAAGAGGAGACAGACCCCGGTAGCCCCAGGGCCTAGTGTCTGCCGACTAGACGCCATGACGACTCGGAGATGGCGCACACCGGACAGAAAGCACGAGGCTGTGTACGTGTACTGTACGAGTAGATCGCTGCGGTATGAGTAGATCGTTGGGTTTGTGAGCTGGACTGGTACATATCGGACTGGTCCTGCTCGTTTCATCTTTTTGTCCGCACAGCCAGAATGCCGCTATTGGCGAAGGCCGCTGCTTTGGCGGTGCTGTTACTGACAAGCAACATACTAGCAAGCCCCAGCCCTGTCGAGGCGAGAGATGCCTTACCCACTGTCGATCTAGGATACAACATTCAGCGTGCGACGCTCTACAACGAGACGGGACAGTACTACAACTTCTCCAACATCCGCTATGCCCAGTCGCCGACTGGCGACCTACGATTCCGAGCACCCAAGTTACCGCTGAAAGATCGATCACAAGTATTCACCGGGGAGACGAACCGCATCTGCCCGCAGGCAGATCCAGCGTGGCTCGCAACAGCAGAGCTATTTATCCCGCGTTACTATCAAGGCGAGACCTCTTTCACCCCAGCCGATTTTAATACGAGTGCGGCCACCAGCGCCTTGCCTGCGCAAGATCCAGCTACTACAGAGGACTGCCTGTTCCTCGATGTGCATGTCCCGAAGGGTATATATGATCAGCGTGACAAGAAGAAGAGCCCAGTCTTGGTGCAGATCTATGGAGGTGGATATACGGCAGGAGACAAGAGGAGCGTCGGCAACCCAGCTGGCTTGCTGCAGCGTAGTCAGAACAACAATAACACCGGCTTGATTTACGTCTCGCTGAACTATCGACTTGGCGCATTTGGGTGGCTCGCAGGTCCCACGTTTCAATCGGACGGAACCGCAAACGCTGGTCTCTATGACCAAAGGATGGCCCTGGAGTGGGTGAGGGACAATATCGCCAAATTTGGGGGTGATCCAGGAAGAATCACGGTATTCGGAGAGAGTGCTGGAGGAGGCTCTGTGATGCACCAGATCACTGCTTTTGGAGGTGCACCTGCTCCGTTTCAGCAAGCGATTCCACAGTCTCCTGGATTTGCGCCGATGGCATCGACGGCACAGCAAGAACAGGTATTCAATGCTTATCTCGCCCTGCTCAACGTTACTTCAATCAAGCAGGCTAGGAAATTACCTTATCAGGCCCTTCAGACGGCGAACATCAAACAGGTCGGCCTACAGTCCGCGTATGGCTTGTTCACGTACGGTCAGTAGTGCATAGCGGCCATCTTTAGATTTCAAGACTCGTACTTACCACTCCTCTTCACTGTGCAGGTCCAGTGGTCGATGGGATATTCGCTCCGTCACTGCCCGGGCAACTCCTTGGTCGAGGCCAGTTTGCGAAGAACGTGAAGCTGATGGTTGGACACAATGCCAACGAGGTCCCTATCCCTTGATACCTCTTAGTTTAGAGCCTCGCTGATCAATCCTAGGGATTGCTATTCACATCGCCTTTTGTTCAGAACTCCACTGACTTCGAAAACCAAATCTTGAGTGTGGTACCGAGTATCGCCGCGTTTCCGGCCACAGTTCAATACATCGCCAACACACTGTACCCACCTGTTTTCGATGGAAGTCAGGCAGAAGCCTACACCAACCCAATCGCACGAACCGCCGCGGCGGTCGCAGAAGCTACATTCGTCTGTAACGCATTTTATCTGGATAAAGCTTTCCACAACCAGACCTACTCCTACCTCTTTGCCGTCCCTCCGGCTGTCCACGGCGAAGACGTGGCCTACACGTTCTTCAATGGACCGAATTCAGCAGTCACGGCTCCTTCGGTTGCTCTTGCGCTGCAGGAGTACATCACACATTTCGCGGAATTTGGGTATCCTTCTGAGAAGGGCGTACCTTTCTTCCCGTTGTATGGGGGAAATGCGAGTGTTCAGGTTTTGAACGTCAGTAGTATTCGGCAGGCAAGGGACGATGCAGCGAATGAGAGGTGTAATTGGTGGCAGAAGGCTTTGTACTATTGAGAGGCTTCATATGTGAGAGTAAAATGAAGCATCATGTCGGATTGTGCTGATGGTATATGTCTGTGCAGCGAGAGAATATATCAGGAGATGCATGTGAAGATCAAGTTTCCAATGGAATCCACTCGTTGGCTGGTGTGTGGCTGGAGGGAGGTCGTTGCTCTTTCCGAGGTGAATATGCAAGCATGACGACAGAGGCAGCTTTGGCCCGCCTTCTTTCTCTTCCCGCCGTGAACGCAACTCTTTCCTCACCACGTTGTCTTCTTCAACAAACAATTCCACAGTACAACTCTTCGAGACCGGCGATAATACCTATCAAACTACCCATCAACCACGAACAAGACATTCATCATGTACCGCCAAACTCTCGCCCGCAATGTCCGCCTCTTCAGCACCTCTCTTCGCCGCGTAAACAAGGGACCCGTCGACAGCGCCGCCGATGCCCTCAAGACGGCCGATAAGACTGTCTCGCAGACTCTCGTGAAGGGTATCGAGAAGGGAGGTGAGTCCTTGCAATCCATACCCACCAAGCTTCATCTCACGCCTGAGCATTATGGCTGACAAGATGTGTGTGTCTATAGAGGAAGCCGCCGCACAAGCCAAGCAGGCCGCGGGCATTGGAGCCCAGGAGGCCAAGGAGAAGGCCAAGGAGACTGCGCAGAGTGCGCATGACACCAAGGAGCAGGCCAAGGGTGCTGCGAAGGCGAAGTCGCCTTAGAAGGGAATTGGGCAAGTCCTCTGGGGAAAGAAGGGAAAGAAGTGAGATGATGAGACGATCGAAAGCGACAGAACAGAACGGTATGCTGCTGACGAGTGTGTGTGTGTGTGTGTACTCCTACCTGTGATTCTAGCCTACCGGGTGCCTACCTGCGCCTGAATGGGATGGGAGTGTACTGAACTGAGTGTTTCTCTTTTCGTGCGAAAAGCTTACTCGTTGAGCCTCCTGGAAGGTCAGACTTCATCCCTTTCTCGTCCTTGAAACATGAACATGCGTAGCGCTTGAATTGTGCGTAGACTTCAAATCGAATGTGGAGAGCGAGACTTTCTTCAAAATTCTGCGTTCGAATCTGTGTTTCAAGTCTCAATCTCATCCAGCCAGCGCCGCATTCTGTCCTCCTCTTGCTGTTCTCATCTTTCTGATGCCTTGTGGAAGCCCGACCTCACGATCCACTCGACCACAACCCAGGCCATCTATACCGCTTCTGAGCCACCTTGCTGTTCCGTCGTCTCACCTGGATTGGATCATCGTCCCTGAGCCGCACAGCACGGGTGAATTCGTTGAAGACCTCCGACTTCGAACTCCTCGGCCTACAGCACAGCTGACGATGTAGTCGATGTTGCTTTTGTAGTTTGAAGTACGCTTTGAGGATATAGTCCATGGTGATGTATTCGCCATTCGAAGGCAAGATATTACCTTGCGTGTTGGGGAGACTGTTGCAGTGAGGGCACTGGTAGGTGACTTTCAATTTCATAACGGGTGATTAGCAGGGGGAACGTCCAGAGTCGAGTCAAGACAGGCCCAAGGAGGGAGACGAAGCATTGATTCGAAGACGAAAGTGGGCGCTAGTCGTGGTGCGTGGATCGCCGCCGTGTTCATCCTGTGGATCATATCAAACGTAGTGGTAGGCCCAGTTGATGTTGTACCTCCCGCTGTAGTTAGAGTCGCTAATGTCGTGGAACAGGCCGCTGGGTCTTTATATCTTTTCCTCTACTTCACTCTCGGGTTGCTCTATCCAGAAGATAGGGGTCAAAGTGAGCCTCCCGCTGCGGTACAAGTCCGATCGCTTTTAACAATATCGTCGAGCTATCCACGGTATTTCTCACAGCGTGATTGACTTCCATGGCTCGCAGTCTCTGGTTTCCATTCAGATGCAGGAGGATGTCCTGCTACGAGGTAGTACAACATACTCCTTAAGGATTCAAAAGTTAGGGTTTACCTGCATGAGCTTGGTGGTCTTGAACACTTCAGTATCCACGTGGACAAAGGCATCTGTGGCTCTGACTACAGGGCTCATTGCGCCCTGAGGCCGAGACTTGGCTCGCAGATCTTGAGTAGAAGTCTCTTGAACCGCTGTGGGGCCAGGAGAGTGGAAAGTGTCCTCATGTTACGTCGGGTGCGAGTCGAATGTTCCAAAGCGAAGCTCATGAGATGCTTATGGTTGGCGTGTGAGTCCATGATCTGTAAGTGAGCACGAACTATTAGGAAAGACTTCTGTGTTGAAATAATTGAGCTAGGGAAGCGAGATGGCCCGAGCGCCCGACTAGCGCCTTTGTCTAAGTGAATGAAAGCATCTGGGCACTTCGACACGTTTCTACAACGCGCACCATTGAGAGGTGGAAAATGTTCTTGGAACATGTTTGGATGGCTCGTTTGAGACCACTTGCAAGTCAATCACACCTATGTATGCGCGTCTTGCTCATCACATGCAACTCGCCAAACGTCCGATTGCTGCTCAAATCGTAGACCATCTCTGTAGCCAAGCGTTGCTGATATTTCTATCGGCTTCAGATACTTCAAAATGCCTCTCAGAGCATCTGCCATTCATATCCATCTTCCCCTTGGCCTTTCCTCCACCATCTTCTATACCGCTCTTCTCCGGGTCCCAATCTGTGAACACTGATCCCTCCGCTCATTCCTTAGCGTGCCGATTCAAAATTAGCGGATCCTTCTTCGTTTCCCAAAACTTCTCGAAGGATGGGGTCGGCGGCTTGGCGCGGGATGGTGAAATCCCCCATCTCCGGACACACCATATCCTAAGAAAGCTTAATATAGGGGAGAACCCGATTGAGCAAGTCGGCCTTCAAACAGTTGATCAACAGTAGTGAAAGCGCCGAAACGCACGTTACCCTCAGCTGTTAATGAATGGGACCTAGAAACTCTCGACGCCGGCTATCCTGATTTGCTTAAGAAGGATTGGTTGTTCGCCATTTAATTTCTAATCCCGCTATAACTCAAGGAGAAGACATATCTTCCAACGCGTCATGTGCTGTTAAAGAAAGCTTTACCCAACCCGGTAATTTTTCTGGTCTGCTAGCTCCTGACTCCAACGGAAGTCTCGTCATATCACTTGGAGCAACACGCATAGATTCGCGGAACCAGTTTGCTTACGGTAAAATTTCCATCGCTGCGTGGGTGGAAATTTATACTTTGTGTGCACGGACCTCACAGTCACATGCACGACTATCCGAATGCCTAGATATTGAACAGCAACCAAATATGCGGACCAGTAACACCTTCAAATTTTTCAATGGGACTGTCTCGTTGAAATCTCCTCTAGCACCGATCTATGCCAAAGCCAGCGCCGCACGTTCGACGGCACAAAAACTAGTCCGACTGAGAATCGAACTCAGATTGCCCCTGGATCTGCTGTGGACAGCGGTATCAGACGGAGGTACTTCACCATTATACTACAGGACCGAAATCTCCACTTCATTGAATGAAAGATGAGTAAAACCATTGGTATGTGTAGGTAAAAGTTCACAAAGCTCTTGTTGAGTCCTCGCAGCTGGTTGTGAGTCAGGAGAAGCCGGGAGCCGACAACAACTGCTGAAACCTGCGACAGATCAGACAGCGCTCCCAGTGAACTATGTAGTGTCGGACAACTTCCGGTCTTGCAAAGAGTTCACTGCCCACACAATGACGCAGAACTGCCAACCCTCCCGTCTTCGTCTTCCTCGCTTGTCTCATCGTAAATGTCGCTCTCATCACCATACTCATCCTCGTCATCCGCGTCGTTGCCCTCATCCGACTCGTCGTTCTCCATCTCCTCTTCGTCTCCCTCTTCCTCTTCGCCGCCATCACTCGGCACCTCATCCCAAGCCCTCGGATAAGACTCTTCAATAAACTCCCTCACAGCTCGTCCAACAGGTTTCTCCAACACTCCAAGAAACTGGCCCTGTCGTGGAAGCTCATACTCCGGCAAGAACCCCCTCTCGTCTCCATACGTCTCAATCCACGTCCGCAGCGCAGCTTCCAACCATTCCAGCACCACCTGCCACTCCTCGATAAGCTTCACATTCGTCTCCTCCTTACGAAACCAAAACGGCCTCAGCGCCGCGCGAGAAACCGGATGGCGTTGCCAGGCAATGAGATAATTCTCCTCATCTTCGCCTACAATGCCCTCGAGATCGATCCTGACACAGCCCGCTGGCAGCGAGATGCCATCGTCATCATCATCGGGTCCAAGTTGTTCTGCAGTGTGTATCATTCCTTCCATCCACGAGTCGATGAGGAAATCCGATAACTCCCCGGCGGCGCGCGTCTCCCATTTCCACTCGTGCACTTGCCTGCCCCGGCGCTTCACGAGATACTCGAACTCGCCGTCGATGCGGATGCGCGCGTCCAGAATTTCGTCCTGGCCTAGGTCGGCGTAGAGAGGCTGGTTTGCGAGGGCGGACTCTTGGACAAAGGTGGTGCGGCGGTCGCTGGCGACCACGATGGTGTCTTCTAGACAGTCCTCGTCCATGGTGGTGTTGTTTGCGATTGTGTGCGTTTGTCTGTTGGGTCGTGAAGATGGTCCATGCTCTAAGCGAGGAAAGCTGTGCGGCAGAATTTGAGCCGGCTAAAACCGAGCTTGTGAAATGACGTCAATACTGGTCTTGGCGGGATGCTGGTGAATGGGTTTCACGGGTAGGAATTTTTGGACTATTGGAATTCAGATCATGGAACAATGAAGCCGAACTATTTATCACGCTGAGTAGGTTGAACCCGCTTGCTATGAAATGTGCTCTTTATGATTGTCTTGCCGGCTGTTTCAATTGGCCATCAACTCGGTGTCGGAGCCTCAGGCTCGGCCATACACCACTCATCCGGATCTTGAGACCCAATTAACTTACTCAGCCTCATTACCACCGCCCATCTCAAACTAGTCCAAGAATGCACCCTCCAAATCCTCGTACCCTTACGAGTCCTCTATTTTCATGTCGCCTATAGAGTCCACCATGCGCTTTGCGTCGCTACGTGGCTCTTGTTCCTCTCGACCAGCACCAGAACCTGCAAATAAAGGTGGAAATTCCACTCCATTCTTCTCCCAGTTCTCGTTGACCCGCGCGATGTCCTCATCTGTAATCTCGCCTTCGTCTCCGACGTCCTGCCCTTCTGGGTCGTCAAGTCCTACCGCGGCCATGGCGCCGGAGATGACATTTATGGGCTCTGGATTGTAAGCTGCAGGGCGAAGGTGGAGTCGGTGTGGTAGCCAAAGCTGCAGCCAGGCTTCGCGGCTCCAGAACCGGGCGATGAGGTGCTCGCTGACACCTGATTCGAGACGCCATTCGCCGAAATGTTGCGCGTTGCCTCCGCAGATATAGTAGTAGAGGACTCCTCTATCCTCAGAGACGTCATCGATGTACGCGGAAACGCCCTCACCGCAGTCTTGAGGATCGTCGGACATGTTTGAATGTGTTGGACAGAGGGGGTTTTTTTGGTTGAGGACCGTTGCAATTGGAGTGTAGTTTGGACCAGTCAAATAGTGCAAGCTTCGCTTCGATAGTCGACTGAGTGTTGGTTTGTGAGATCTTGTTGATGACCATCCGCAACTGGGAGGAGAGGTGCGGTGCTATATGGAAGCTCTTTGCGCTGCATGATAGATTATTTGTGAGTTGTTCACTGTCCCCGTGAATTTTCTTCACGTAATGGGTTTGGTTGGAGTACAGGCCCATTCACGTCCCTCTGAGTGACATGTAGACTCCGGACGCACAGTGAATCTCCACCACAGAGAGCAGAGATAGGCTGTAGTCGCCTTGCTACTGATGGCCGCCAAATAATCAAAGCGTCCTGGGAAGCGAAGAGTGAAGGAACTCGAATGCCTCATAAGTTATCGTATCCCAACTCAGAATGGAGCTCCGTGTTGTCGAGAAGCTAGACACAGTGTCTTTGACAGGCTTGTCTTGTCCACATGACTCTCTTTCCTTCGTTCATTGGTGAGACATTCGTTACAGTGACTCCACGCCAAAGAAGAGCCTCCTGTCGTCTGATTGAATATCATCCATTGCGCTGGATGGAAAGATGCAAAGTGTTCGAGGTATGCAACCAACGGTCGAGAGGTTTCTCCAAAGCCAATCAACCTCTCGGTCGCGAGACTTCGTAGACAGACCTTTGACCATCTTCTCTAGCAGCGCCACCTCTTTCCAAAGACTCGATGCTAGACCGAGCGTCCACTTCCACGTCTCTCTCCTGTACTCTCTCCGAAATCCTCAAATGGAAAATCCTATTCCAGTACTGATCTTCGGATCCATCATCGACTTGTCCATCTGCTATCCAGGTAGAGCAGTCCGTAGACCAGCCTCGCCACGCCATGAGATATTCTCACTTATGCTCAGTGATGCGGAGATCGATCACAACGTCAATGGCAAAATTGCCATCCTCGTCGAGTGGATCTGGACGTGTGCACAAAAGGAGGTTGTTGCAGGGTCTTGGTCGTCTGGATGCGGAGATCTCTGTGGCAGACTCGGTCGAGGTTATTAGCTAGTCCTGAGCGTTGGAAATCAATCTGAAAGGTCGATGCCAAAAGTTGGAAGGGGCAGAAATACTGTTGCTTCATCATGGAATTGGCGAATTTTGGCGGGGACATCCGTTCGGAAAAGTCGACCTTCAATAAGCGAGCTCTATTCTATTGAGATGCAAAATGGGATGGGAGATACTCACCTGTAGACTGAGAATTCTGACTAAGAGACATTGGAATCCAGGAAACCCTTGGATCTCAATGATGCTGCCATGCCTTCTGTACTCATCCGACCAAGGCAGCGTGAATGACGATCAGAAACAGCACAATAAGGCTCAATGAGATCCAGCATGTGGTGTTTTTGTCATTGTCAAATTCTCCCACAGCTTCAAGGCCGTCAAGATCTTTCAAGATCTTCCGATCTAAGCCGTCGAACCGTCTGATCAGCGCGACTGGCCATGTGTTCATCGTTCTCAAAATAGCTCGATCGAATTTGTTGTTCATGGAGCTTCTACTGCGACACTGATCTCTCTACCCCGGTGAGGAGTTGTTGGTGAAGGAACAAGGGCATTGTCAGAGACACCTGCCAGTCAGCGCACCATGAAGTGGTCACATCACGCGCAAAATCTTACACATCGTCGAAAGCAGTGCCTTGGACGAGAGGATTCTATGCGTGACCACTGCCTCAACGATGAGTGCAAGCTCTCTACCATACCCACGCCGCGGTAGGCATGAGCCCTGTCGACCGCAGGCGAGACAGGACAGACCGATCTATGTTTAGGCCAGAAACCGTAGGATCTTCGAGTGCGCGAGTCCCCCATCGTTGTGCCGCCCACCCTGCCGCTTCCAACTGTCGTCAGGACTGCCAGGTGCACGACTCATTGCTGGACCACAGCACACAGAGCCTGTGGAGACCAACAACGGCAGGCTTGCCGCGTGGCTTGCGGGACCGAATGCTCCGTATCGAAGCCTGTTCCGCGATAGCGCCCGCGCAATGAGAACCAGGACAGCAGGATTTTGCAACTTAGTGACCGATATAGACCTGATTGACGGCCTAGTGTCTGTACATAGGCGACTGTACTTCGGAGCCGAAAAGAAGCCCACATGTTTGAAACTATCGCCTGTTGTGGCGATGGAGCATACGCTTTGTACCGCCGCTCGGGCTGTTGGGTTTCGGCCAAAGATATGTCTCGTTTTGAGAGGAAGCTCTTGTGGTCGTTTGGCCTTGATCGACGGAAGTCTTTGCATTATGATGTTGCGACAAAAAGTGTCCACAGAGACGTCTTACCGCCACGAGACCCTTACCTCCTAGAACAGCGGCAGGTCCATGTTATTGTAAGTCAGTCATTCGGGTACAGTAACCCAAGAGTAGTAGTGAGGCAGTGCGAATCCTTCTCGGCTGTGGCCCAACGGTCCACGAAGTATAGCCGTGCCCACAAAAGCAGGACTGTAATAGTTCATCGTGGAGACCGAGTAGGTCACTACTCGACGCTATGCACTTTTCTGATGTGCAGCAAAGAAAGTACGCATGGCAGCACTGAGCTCTCTTGCAAGTGCCCGGACGGAGGTGTTGCCGTGGGGAAGGCCCGGTCAGGTCAACGTACTGCGCGGTCGAGGAGAAGATCTGCTTGAAGGGCTGTGTTGCAAGCATAGTAGCTGTCTCGAACAGTTCGCTGCATACACAAACCGGTAAGCGCTGTTGAATAGGTTCAAGTTGCAGCGCGGTCAAGCCTTCAAGGCCACCGCTCGGCGAATATGATATAGATTGGTGTCGCGAGATATAGGCCGGTGATGAGGTCTTCCCGGCGGTGAGAACAGCAGGCACGATGGTGATACTGGGAAGACTCCTCGGGATTGCCTTATCTGTGCAACCGTCGATCGTGGACAGGGATGTTTCCGGTCAGAAGGCCAGACTAGCGGGTTGCTGCAGCGAATGATCTGTGCTGCCACGCGCCACGGCAAACCCTGTCAGAGAAGGTTCGACGGGGAATCCCAATGGAAGCAGACCATGTGCCAGCCTCGTGGGGAAAATCGGAATCTCATCGCGAGCGGCGGCGTCTCTGCTCGTTCGCTGGAGTGGCAGCTGCGACACATGGTCACCTCGTGGCCGAGGCTCGGAGCCTGGCTGCCCTCATTCGAGCTGTCCTGTACCGCGAGGGCACAGCAGCACGCGGGAGTGGCATGCGGTGGAGGAGCCATTCCGCTCGGCTCCTGTCTCGAGGGAGCACGAAGCTCTGCAGCAGCACATACGTTACCGGTCCATCGCTCACCCCTCATCAGCCTTTCAGGTGTATTCGTTCGGCTGTCTGCCGAAGCATGACTGAGCGAGAAAAGCCGTTCCGCGCAAGATGTTGCGCGCCAATAATCATAGGCGCGCCAGCGCAGAGAGATACAGGTCGCAAGCGCGAATTCTCGCGTTCTGTCTTGAGCCGGACGTGCGAGAGAGGTCTCGGTGGATAGGATAGCGTATGTTGCATGGAGAGCATCGCTTCACCATCGAAGGCGGAGGTCGACGAGGTCTGTTGTTCGACCGCAAGCACAGTGATGATGAGCAATGCGCGTGCAGGAGCGACCGGTCAGAGAGGGTGGGCCTGTAGGTAGCACGCGGAGCTATTTTGGAATTGAGAACGTGGGCGGCGGCTCTGCGAGCGTCGATCATTGCCATGACGCAGACATGTGGACAGTCCACAGACGGCAGCATGAGCGAACGAACGGGGAGTTAGTGACTTGGCGGAAACGCATGCGTCGGTCGGCCGCTTGCGTGTTGTTGGACATGTCAGTGAGACGGCCGGTCTGCCATTTGCCGTCTGCCGCGCTCGCTCGCTCGCACAATGAGTAATAAGACAGGGCCAGCGTCTGACTAACATTGTCCGCCATCCCAGCCGCACGCTCTGCCCAGCATCCTGATATCCCCGACACATGCACGACTCCACGACTCCACTTACGCCTGCGGGCTGAGAATGAGCGGCCCGACGAGAGCTGCTCATCAATCAACACCACACCACCTGGGAAGCTGTATGAGATGATGAGACGAGATGAGATGAGATGAGATGGGCAATCGCTTTCACCGGATCGCGATCAGCGTCCGCGCCGCACATCGCACATCACGTCGCACATACCAAGGCGGCTCATCGCAGCCGGCGAGCAGCGCCGTGTCTTCACTCTGCTGAGGCAGTGATCACGCGAAAGCTTGTTATGGTTCTGGGTACTCTCGATCAGTGACTTGGCAGGGTCCGAGGCGGCCGTCCACCCGTGCTGTGCTGTGCTGTGCTGTGCTGTATCTTTGAACAGTCCACCGTCGCAGCACATGATGAGCGTTCAACAATTGCTATTCGCAAGACGCCCGCCCGCACGCACGCACGCACGCACGCACGCACGCTATCAAATGCAGCCTAACGGCGCGGAACCCTGCGCTGCACGCTGAAGATGGCGCGCCGGGGGCTGACTCCTAGTGTGAACTAAGCACCGCCGCGCTAGACCACCGATGTTGGATTCACAGGTGTGCCCTTAAAACTCCACTGACAGCCCCAAGGCGCAGGCGAGCGTGCTAATAAAAACGATCATCAACCACCACTACCCGAACCCTAGCCCACTGATATGCTTCAGGAACTTCTTCAGGCCCCTCCATCCTCGCGAATATATCACCCTTCCAATTCCCCAGCGCTCCATCAAGCCTTCAAGTAGAAGCTTCCTCCTGGTTGGCCTTCCCGAATCCTACCTATTGCTTCCTCCGTTTGCATTTGACCATGGACTCACCATCTCTCCAGCACTCTAGCCTCCCTCATCCTTCTCGCCTTCGATCCTACACCTCATCCTTCTCCGGCCACTCTGCTGTCGATAGCCGTCGCGGTGCGATCCAGAAACGACCCTCTTTCAGCGATCGCAATCGTTCCATCTCGGTACCTCAAGCCGATCGACTCTACCGCCTAGCTGCCGAGCAGACCAGCCATCAGCCAGAAGTCCAACCCAACTGCATCCCACCAACCTCTCTCGGCGTGCAGTGGATCACCCCTCAACACTCACCCCAACTCTCCGGCTTCACCACTGAACCCGCGATCGGACCCTTCCCTCAGTGGACTGCGCCGACCCCGCCTCGTTCAGACTCGGGTCTCCCGACCGTTTCGATCGATTCCGAAGAGCCTGCGGCGGATGCCATCCGCGGTGCGCACGATTTCGACTTTGAGCAGCCTACAGTCTCGGCGGAGATGAGGTATGGACGATTCGATCTGTATGACTATTGCGCAACCAACTCACAACGCAGCAGCTCGCTAGGCTTCCTACTTCCATCGCAGTACGGAGCTAGCCCATACGAATCTGAACAAGGCAGTATGTTTGAGCGCGCTTCTCGACTCATCGAGCCGTCGGCTAACGTTGCCGCAGACTACTCCATGGATCAAAATTACATTCCTCCCATGCGCATGTCGCAGCCATCATCAACGAGCGGGTCTCCAGCCTACTCACAGACAGTCTCCTCCAGCCCGGCGCTGTACCAGAGCAGAGCGTCGGAGGCTCCTCGCAGAGCTTCTGAGATGCCTACTTCTGCCGCAGGACCGTACGACAACTACCGCCGGACAAGCACGCCTTACGAGAGCGGGAACTATTCCATGCCACCCAGCCAGACGATTCCTTCCATCAGCGGCCTCACACACAGTCCGCATCCTTCCCCGCACATGAGCTCGACTTCTCCAGCGCAGATGATGTCTCAGTACGGTACCAGTATGCCTTCAAGGTTCGTCACTATAGCTTATCCATCCTCCCACTCGCTTGGATAGAACCAGATCTGACTCTCAACACAGATCGCCGAACATGTACGACCAGAACATGTATGGTCAGCCCTATAGCACATCACCCGGCAACACACAATTATACGGCACTTCGGGACAAAGCAGCTATCCGCCCCCTCCATTCGTAGGAAGCAGCGCGAACGATCTCCTCGCGAAACAACCCGGCGGAAGCATAGATGGCGGTAACTCTTCGATACGCGTCCTCAACCAACGGCCCAAACCGCAGTGCTGGGAACACGGCTGCAACGGACGACAGTTCTCGACTTTCAGCAACCTCCTCCGACATCAGAGGGAGAAGTCCGGTACGGCATCCAAGTCGTATTGTCCCAAATGTGGAGCGGAATTCACGAGGACGACTGCGCGGAACGGACATCTGGCGCACGATAAGTGTACGAAGCAGAGGCGGCCGAGTGACGCGAAATGAGAGACTTGTTTTAACAGCGATCTGATCTGCCATCGATAGAGATCGATGCGCGTGGACGGGGTACATGGGCGCGACACATTCTGCAGGGCGCTCTGGATTATTAGAGATTTCAGTCTGCGTTTGGGATGGCATATACCCTTCACTCGCTGCATGACATACATGGATACCAGGAAGAGAGAGAGTGAGAGAATGATCCAGGGCAACGAACGGTGGCATGGATCATCATCAGCAATTGCACCGATGTAACATCACCATCGTCATCATCATCATCAGCATCATCATCATCAAGCTCAAAGCAACATTGAAGATCATCACCCACACCACACACACACAGACACACACACACACAACACACACACACACACGTGTTCAGAGCCATGAAAATCAAGAAATCTACCGGGTATAGCCACACACAGCACCGTTCCAAAGCGAACCGCGCGCGACGATCGCGAGGCCCGCCAATCAGAAGTCGCGATCCGGGCGAGATTGGCTCGCGGATTAGAGTTTGGTGTGGTCTTTGCCCGCTTGGCCACGAGGTAATTAGGCGAAGCGAGCGCTGATGTGAGGAGAAGGAAGGTGAGAGAGGTGAAGATCAGTGTAGATCTCTCTCTCTTCGCAGGCAAGCAGAGAAAAGTCGGGGCACCGTTCAAAGGGCATTATTGTGAGCGGGCACAGGGGTTTCCCACGTTGTTCATTACATTACGACCGCGTGCCTTTTTCCCCGGTGGAGCCCGCGGATGTGATGCGTGGAGTGGAGGGAGGTTGCAAGGTGAGGTTGCGAGAGGCACAGCAGTGCAGTTGGGATGTATATCTTTCCTCTTGGGGGCAGGCAAAGCGAGGGGCAGCATGTTTCGGGACGGTGTGATTGGGGGGATGATGGGGGACGCGCGGAGGTGTTCGTGTTTGGTGGGAGATGCGAGAGCGAGAATTCTCGCTCGAGTTGTTGCGAATGGGAGAGGGATGTGGCGTAGCGTGCACAATGGAAGACATCTGTCACTCCTCCGAGGGGTCCATGATGATGAGATGGCAGCCATGTGCTTTCCCATTCCTTCTTAGAAACGTGGTCTACCTCATGCCGTGCTGGTTCATTCCTTCACGACTTTATTAGGTAGGCTTGTGGTCCCTGCCGCTGCCATGGAGCAGGCCATGTGGGAGTCACTGCAGCGTGTCGCTGAAGGAGCAACAAGAAAGATTGCGGGTGCCCGCCGCCGCCGCCGCCGACTCGGCTCCTCCGTGCACTACCACTGATGAGCAGCAGTAAGGTCTCGTGGACATCCCTGACAAGTGTGTGCGATCGCATGCGTGGGCACCGGCACATTGCTTCCGAGCCTGGGCGTGTGAAACCGGTGAGTAGTGTGTAGTAGTCCACTTGCCCCGGGCGAGCAAGCGACGGGCCCGAATTTGGCGTGCATCGCGAGGTGGCCCGTTATTGGGCGTCAGTAATGGTATTGGATGGTCCAATATGGGGGGCCTGATGGCGAGTCCCGCTGTGGGCTACCGAAGCCCTGCCACCGGTGAGGGACTCCATCATGGTCCGGTCTGGTCTCTTTGATGATGGAACCAGTCAGTGAACTTGAATTAGAACGCATGCCCTACATGCCCTACTTGTACAGTAGGCTACACGAACCCTAACGTGCTTCTGGCGCTTGCGACAGACGCTTTGGACGGTGCGGTGGGGTCTGTCTGCGGCGCGGCGAGCAAGGGCAAGGGTGGGACAACGTGTCTGTGCACAGCACAGCTGCCAAGCATCGGCATGGACCTCTAGGCCCCCCGTGGTCGACTCGCTTTCGGTCAGGTGACTGTCGGGAGACAAGGGTCATCGCCGACCTCACCTCGCATGGCCGACGAGAGAGTGAACTGCTGACTACTCATCACTCCCGCCGTCGACTGACACCTACATCAACAGGAACAACATCATGACAGCCTCTGCCTGGTCCTGACGACCTCCCAACGACCCCTACCGCACGTCACCTCCACAGAACTAAGGCGCAGAATCACAATGTCCAGATCCATGGCCGAGCTATACCGCGTTCATCATTCGCATACCAATACCCGCTCGTTAGGCCCTGAAGCTCGAATAAAACCGACAACCACACCGTGTCGGATATGAAGGAGTGCAGAAGACAGGACGGAAAGAATATCGCGATCCGCACTATCGTACACAGAGAATTGAAAATATTCATCAGAGGTCATCTCAGATCAACATCTGGCATCGGGATAAGATATTGAGCTTTCAGATATCCAAGTGCTACCTCGGAACTGCGAGCAAACCTATCAATCAGAAATATGGCCTCAATATTTTCGTTTCAAGAAGAGCCAACCCGAGTCTCGTCCCCATGGCTGCAGGGAGTTGAGAGGAACGATGGTGAATCATTCGCGGGGGCAGGCACAGCTAGAGGCGGAGATCTAGATGTCACGGCGCTCTCTCTTCGTAACGACACAACGACGGGACAGAAGGTCACTCGGTTGCAGGCTGAGCCGCAAGAAGGACCCGTTGAATACAAACTCCACTTGCTACTTCGTCCCCGGCGCAAGTTCAGGTCCACCAGCACTGGCGCTCACATTTCCGGCTCCAAGCATTCTAGGTTCTCTGGAGAACGTCCATCTCCTCGAAGTGTCTCGGACAATATCTTGTTGGATTCGAATCCCAGCTCTGGCTCCTCGACACCACCGACGGCTTCAACACATCAGACCAGACAGCACAGACTGGAACAGCTCACGACCCAGCTTCTATGGCGTCTGCAGCAGTCATCGCCGTATCATACGTCTTCTGCTACCAACACTATTCTTCCATCGCTACCAGAGGCGCTTCCCGAACTGCAGGCGCCGCAGCAACCCGCCAAGCTTCTTCACGGACTGGAAGAGAGTCAGGGTGCACTTTACGAAATAGGCGTATCTGATGATGGCACGCTGGTCGGACTGGCGGAGGATGAGATGTCGGAAAGCTTGAACAATCTTCGAGCCATGGCAGCATGTTTGGGCTGCACTGTTGAGGTCCTCCGCAAAGAAACTGTTGGTGAGTGCGAGTGGTTGGAAGATGCCGTCATTAGCAAGAAGGAGCGTAAAGTACGTCGTTCTGGAAGACTCGTGGTAGCTGAAGCCTTAATCAAGCCGGTCTTGCCGTCGCAAAGTCCGGCAATGACAGGCATTGAAGTAGCCCGGAATGGAAAGCCAGCGTCCGCCCTGCCAAGTGCGGAGGCGCTAGCTCCTTCTACCACAGAGCAGCTTCGCATCACTTTGACGGGTCCGACTATGTCAGGGAAATCGACTCTACTTGGAACACTCACGACTTCGACACTCGACAATGGCAGAGGGAAAAGCAGGTTAAGCATGCTGAAGCATCGTCACGAAATTACTTCTGGCATCACAAGCTCAGTCACGCAGGAGCTTCTGGGATATCAAGACGGGACAAATGGAGATGTTGAAGTGGTAAATTACGCCACTGAAAACATCGCATCGTGGATCGATGTCCACGTGGCTGCTGGGGGGAGTCGACTTGTGTTCATTTCCGACTCTGCAGGCCATCCACGCTACAGACGTACTACCGTGAGAGGTCTGGTGGGATGGGCACCCCACTGGACATTGCTGTGCATACCGGCCGATGACACTGAAGATGCGACTGGACGAGACGATAGCACTAACACATCCCAGCAGATACTCGGGACCGCTGTGCCAGATGTAGACCTGTCAGGCGCTCAGTTGGATCTCTGCCTTCGTCTTGACCTCCCACTGGTCATCGTCATTACAAAGCTGGATCTCGCCTCCCGCACAGGCTTGCGAGAAAGCCTGACAAAAGTCTTGGACGCTTTGAAAGCAGCGGGCAAGAAACCAGCAATCCTTCCAAACAAGCCGGGGACGATCGCTGAGGAGGACTTGCAAGTTGTGCATGCGACCACACTCGATGGAGCTTGTAATGTTGTGGTACCACTACTGAGCGATATTCGCGAGACTGTACCCATAGTTCTTACAAGCGCGGTCGACGGCACGGGCATAAGTAACCTGCACGCCCTTTTACACGAGCTTCCGATCCCTAATAAGGCCGAAAACGGTACCGACGGAGCCGACAGCGGATTGACTACTGTGTTTGACGTGGAAGATGTGTACAGTAAGCCAGCAGAAGTGGACGGGCTCATCGTTAGTGGGCGTCTTCGTTCAGGTCAGATAAGCGTCGGAGATAGCGCATTCATTGGTCCTTTCTCCGGTCACGACCACAACGAAGACTCCGAAGACTCAGATGAGAGACCTTTGCGAAAGCCTGACTCGCAGCTGCCGACCTCGCGATCTTTCCCCGGTGCACTGCGCGCATCGCATCTCGCACCTCCCTACTTTCATCTACCAAATCAAGAATGGCGGCGAGTCACAGTGACGAGTATCAGGAATCTACGACTCCCGGTACATTCGCTTCATGCAGACGAAGTGGGAACTGTTGCTATAACTGCTGAAGAGTCCAGCAATGAGAGAACTTTACCACTCGCTCGAATTCGAAAAGGTATGGTGTTGGCTATGTTGCAGCCTCTTGCAACGCGCACATTCACCGCCAAGTTCAAGCGAGACGATTTGGAATCATTGGCGGTCGGTAATCATGTGGTTGTGTACATATCCAGCGTGCGAGGGTCGGCGAAGGTGGTTTCTGCCCGTGCACCAGACTCGCCGCAAGATGCACGTCCACTAGCAGATCGAGGTCGGTCTGGTAGTGCGGAATCTTTCAGCTTCGACGATTTCGAGGGCAGTTTGGATGGGCGGGGTTCCAAAGTTGCAGGCACTATCACCGATCCTGAGCTCTTGGTCACGCTGAGCTTTGACTTCTCGAAAGAATTCGTCACGGTCGGTGATCGGGTGTTGGTGATGCCCGGAGGTGGCCCGGGACTTTATGGCGGGCACGAGCGTGGAGAGCGCGGCCTTGCAGGGCTGGATGGCTTTGTCGGGGAGATTACTGAGGTGCGTGGGTGAAGAATGATAACATGAGCTGGGATTGTATGTCGCTCTTGGGTGAAAACAACGCTGTTGTGAAGATGGCCAGCAACAACTTTCGACAACAACAACCGACGTCAACGCTCACGAATGTTCCATTCTCCATTCCTCTGTCTTCTGCACAGACACGTCCACCTTCAATACTCTCGGATGCCTTTGCGTCTTCCAATCATCCTTGCATCTCACCGCGCGTTTGCCTTGCCGCCGTGGCTTGCATCGCGAGCCCGGAGGAGCTCGCGTGGCAGCTGCAAGCTGCGCATACACACGTCTAGACTGGAACTACCCTGCCGCACCTGCTTGACGCTTCAGCCGCACCAGCGTCAGCAGCAACACCACCAACAGGAAGGACAAGCAACATGAAACACAGCTACAGCTTGGTAACGCGAGAAGCGCAAGCGCTGCCAGCACTGTGCTGCGAAGTCGTTTCTCAATCCGTGTCCCTCGTGATGCGAAGAGCTTACGACGATCCCATCGGCGACTCCGTGAGATGATCTTCTTGCGTTTTCCCCTCATCTCACCCAGAATCTCGGTACTGGTCTGATCGCACCTCCATCTTTGTCAGAAGGAAACTTTCGCGGCCCGGAGATATGAGAATGCGAAGAAGAAGAAGCGTGAGTGAGTGTGTCAAGTCCGCGGCATGCGCATGCAAGCAGTCAGTCTCGAGATAGCAGCAAGCGCATGCAGATAGATATGCAAGCCACACACGCAAAGCGTTCGGCGCAATCCTTTCCTTTCCTACCCTACCCTACCCACATCCCCCCAAAACGAGAGGAGCGGGGAGGGGGGGCAAGAAAGCTCAATTGCTCCCGCAGCGTAACACCCGCTTCCCACTGTGCAGAGTCTCCCAATCCCGCGCCCCTCCCTCCCCAAGAAAAGCCACGTGAAGTCTATGCCACATTAGCGCAACGTCGATCTTGGCCTCTGTGCCACGCGTGAGGCACGTTCTCTTTTCTGGTCCCGAGTCTTGCGTGTTGGTGGTGTGCTCCGAATCACAGCTCCGATTCGATGGGGGAGGATGCCATCAAGGTGCATTGATTTTGCTTAGACGAGCAGAAAGTCAGTCACGTTTCTCATGCAGAGAGTGTGGAGGATGATGGATGCTTGCCTATTTTCGTACCTCTGCCCAATGATGCATTATTCATCATCACATACTTTCCAGGTTGTCTGCGCATTCGTAATCTTCACGAAAGGGCACACGAATGGGACACATCTCCGGGAGACCGACTTGCTTGTCATCTGCCAGTGTCGCTTTCGTTCGCGATCTTTGCTCACTCAGCAGCTTCTTCGAATTGTCAGCTTAGAATAGGGAAACTCTTGCGATCAAATGCAACAGGGAATGTCACAGTGACTGTAAATACGATCAAAATGATTTATAGTGTAGGTTGTGATACAGGTGCAGGGCGGTGAGAGCAGGCAGTGCAGTCGTGCCGCCGCCTCGATGATACTATTCTACGCTGCGCCGCGGCGCTTCTAAGTCTGTCTCATCAGACTGCTTCAGTCCCGATGCAAGCGACCAATACTCTACAGCCAACAAAACGCCGTATTCCCGTACCCTCGCTTGCCATGCTGCGGCTGCATCGATTTACTTGTAGAAGTCGAACTTGTCGGCTTCGCTTGTGCCCTTGACTTGGCTGGTGTAGGCATCTTCGAGATCTTGTTGGATGATGTTGTAGCGGTTCTTGCGAACGGCGCGGAGCCCGGCTTCTTGCATGACGGCCGAGATCACGGCTCCCGAGAGTGGATCGTTTCGTACAATGAGCGAGTCCAGATCGACCTCTGGTGACAAGCTCATCTTTGATGCGATTGTGGTAAAGATGAGACGGCGCTCGCGTCGATCTCGCAGCGAAGGGAATTCGATCTTTCGGTCAAGACGTCCAGGACGGAGTAGAGCTGGGTCCAGGGTGTCCGCACGGTTGGTTGCCATGATGACCTTGACGTTGGAAGTTTGGTCGAAACCGTCCATTTGGTTGAGAAGCTCGAGCAGGATACGCTGTACTTCTCTGTCGGCACCGGTCTGAGCATCAAAACGCTTTGTAGCAATGGCGTCGATCTCATCGATGAAGATGATGGCTGGACTGTTCTCTCTCGCCATTCTGAACACGTCACGAACCATTCGAGGCCCTTCTCCCAGATACTTCTGCACGAACTCGGAACCAACCACGCGAATGAAGGAAGCGGTTGTGCTGTTCGCCACAGCCTTGACTAACATCGTCTTTCCCGTTCCTGGAGGACCGTAGAGCAACACACCTCGCGGTGGATCGATACCGATCTGCTTGTAGAGGTCAAACTGCGTGAGTGGCAGCTCGACCGCTTCCCTAATCTCTTGCTTTTGCATGTCCAGACCACCAACATCAGCGTACGTTACATCGGGCTTCTCATCCGCGCCCAACATGGCGATACTGCTGTCCGCCTCCGGAGGCAGGATATCGACCAGACTATTAGAATGTCTGTGCAACGCCACACTGGAGCTGGGCTTCAGCAGCTCGCGGTCCAGAGTGCTCAGAATCCGCACTACATAGTTGCTCCCTGTTGATGACTGCACGATACCGGTATTCTGATCGATGGCCTCCATGAACTGCCCGATGACCAAGGGCACACTCTGTATCCGCTTAATCTCCTCTTGTGCGCGGACAAGCTCACGCTTCAAGCTGCGCTGCTCGTCTTTGATGTACTCCTCTTGCAGCTTGATGTACTCCAGCTGTCGCTGGAGCTTCTTGTACGTCGCATATTGGTCGTCGGAGTCTGTGAGGCCTTCGATGGTGTCAATGTTCGCGATGGCAGACGATGGTATCTGTCGCTTCTGGTGTGGTGCTTCGGTGTTGCTCGGAATGAGCACGTCGGCGGAGGCCATGATGTCGTGGATGCGTGTATGATTTCAAGCTGCGTTTCTCTAGCAGCTTCAGAATTCGCCGAATGAGTTGGGCGCCGATAGGAGATTGTAGTATTGGGTGATGTTTGATGATGTTCCGACGTCGACGACACGCTCGCGGAGAAGGCGTCGGAGCACGGCCAGCGTATGACGGCACCAACCGAAGCTACTCTGTTTCAGGTTAGTCTAGAAACCAGCCCTTGAGAAAATCAGTCGCACTTTCACATGCAAACGAAGACATCAACATTACAGAAGCTGCAACTATTTAGAACGCATACCTTTCATCCTACTACGTGTCATAATTTAGAATTGCTGCGCTTATCTACAATATGTCGCATTTCACGTCGTCGCCCAAGACCAGATTCGAAGAACATAGAGAACAGCTGGGAGATGCTTGAAAAAGGGCTCCGTGAGGACGCCGGGGTTGAGTTTGCTCCGCAAGAGACGATGGGCCCGACCATGGAATACGGCTAGTTTCTAGCAAGCGGCGAGCTCTGACTTTGAGCTTGAAATGGTGTGCAGAATCTCCTCATTCTGGTATTCCAGCGACGGCACGGCAACAATGCCTTCGTCTCTCTCTTCTCTCTCTCTCTCTTGCCTATAACACCACTTTAAATCAGCTATACTTATCGAGTTCTCTCCACGACACTCTGGACGCAATTTCTCGGAGCACATGAGATTAAAAATGGAGGAATCCAGCACAGGAAGCCCTTGCAAGGAGAAACCCCACACGACAAGCTTAAGCATAGCAAGTCAAACTGCTAAACGGCCATTTAAGGCCAACCTTTGCAACGATCTCTTATCCACTTGCGCCCCGGCCCTCTCCAAGACACTAAGAATGAGTACGATGTGAACGTCGTCATTGGCACGCGCCTCTTGCACAGCATCCGCCAATATCTGATTGTATGGCTGGGCTATCTAACCGAGAAAGCTACCTGGGAGCCGCCTTGGATGGTGAATCGGTTCCAACGATCTGGAAAATACAATGATAACATGCGACATAATAACGCTGCGGAGGACGAAGAAGAATACGAAACTAGCGAACGAGGTAGCTGGACAGGCTCACAGTCTGATCGACAAGGCCTACGAAGTCGACGAGATGGAGATCGGCCAGCCTATTGTACCGCCGTACATGACTACGTATGGGGGACGAGATTACGGAAAGTTCAGTCGAACTGGAGTGGGCCGAGTTTGAAACCTGATTGGCGAGGAAGATCTATTAACTGATGAATCGAGGAGGTGAAGAGTAATGCTACCGCGGAGCAGTCTCACATTTGCGAAGACCGTGCTTCGGGCCTGGTCGCTGAGCTTGACAAAGGGCTCGAATAGTCAAGATCTTGTTTCTGATTGTCACTTTCGCCGCGGATCCAAACAGACATGAGCAGGACGGGCGACAAGCGCGAAAAGGATAAATAGTATCATTGAATGAAGACAGAGACAGCAAATCACCTTCTTTTCCCAATCTTGATTTTAGCACCTGCTAATTACACGTTTCCACCCGGAAGCAAATATTTGTTTTCCGACAAGATCGCAAATTGCTACTTGTAAAAGACAGTGATACGTATATCCCGGCTCAAGCCTTCCAACTTGGGCTGGGAAAGTCTCTATCCGCTATCGATAACCTTTTTTTCGCCTACCCATAGGCTTTCGAAATGAGAAAGAGTATAGCCATGATCGACACTTCCACTTATCTGGACCTTGACAACTTCGCGCGGCTCCCTTTGCTTGCCGTCACAATCGGTAGATCATGCTGGACCTCTCTTGTTCCTCCGGGGTGGGCTCTGTAATTCGTTATCAGCAAACAAATTGGCTTCATTGAGACTCGCCGGTACGGAAGGAGAAGTAGAAGCTGAAGGGAAACCGCATTCGTTTCTGCGAAACATGTCACAGTCATGTGGTTACTCAGCATCAGTGCTGGTACTCCTATCCTCCATGTCCTTTCGACTTTAAGAGAATATCTTACACCAACTTGAGCTTTCCTCCAAATTCTCGATTATTCTAAGCTCCATTTCAGAATGACTGCTTCCATCCCTGCTGATCAGCAAGACGTCTGTAGACTTGTCCTGCCGGATCGTCACCCTCCTCTCTTGCGTTTCCATTTTGAGGTGTGACTGGGCGACCAATTCTCTGGATTTGCTGAGAACTGAGGACGTTGACACCGAATGACCTATTAAGACCGGGCGAAGGAGCACTGTGCAAATTGGTAGCGGATGGATGGGCGTAATGGAGAGTGTGGTTGACGTACCCATTGTTGGGAGATACGCTATCATGCCGATTTTCGGGAGGTGCCAGCCCGTTCTGTGGCTGGTTTTGCTGTAGTTGGATTTTCGAGCTTGGTTGTTGACGAAGACCGTTGATACCAAGTCCGCTAGGGGGTCTGCCTTCGTTGTTGCCGTTGGAGAGGTGCGACATACCAGATGCGGAGGTATTGTGTATTGTGTGATTGTTGTTGCGGTGGGCCGGAGTGCTTGAACGTCCATTTGGAGACATCGTCTGTGGATACTGAGGCTGAGGGCTCGTGGTGTACGAGCTGTTCGTCCCGGGCTGAGGACTCCTCTGCTGGTATGGAGGTGCTGGGTTATTGTAGACATTCTGCATCGGAGTAGCAATGCGAGGACTCGTGGAAAAGGTGCTCTTATGTCCAGGCAGAGGGCTGCGCTGCTGGTATTGGCTTTGGTACTGCGTCTGCGGCTGGGCATATCCGTTTGGCACTGAAGTTGGCGCGCGATTGGTAACGGCGAAGTCGGATGTGGAAGCGGGATTTGGGCTTCGCGGTGGGTACTGATTTGGCACGGGACTGCGTGACTGGTGTTGGCCGGGAACGGGGCTACGCTGTTGGAGCTGATTGCGCGGATCGCTGGGGGAATTCGGGGACACTGCAGCGGTGCGATCCACCGGCGCGCCGGTGCGCGAGTGTGGCTGCAAATGCGCCTGATGGTGGCCATTCTCAAGCTGTCTCTGCTGCTTTTGTCCCTGCTGGTGCTGTCCCTGCTGATGCTGTCCCTGCTGGTGTTGTCCTTGCTGATGATGTTCTTGCTGAGGCTGTCCCTGCTGGCGCTGTGCTTGCTGGTGCTGTGCTTGCTGGTGTTGTGCTTGCTGGTGTTGTGCTTGCTGGTGTTGTGCTTGCTGGTGTTGTGCTTGCTGATGGTGTCCTGGGTAGGGTCCCGCTCGCTGCTGAGACGGCTGCCCCTGGTACTGCTGAGCGCCTTGAACTTGGTGTTGAGCTGGTCGCTGCTCTCTGATCGGTTCTGCAGGCCGGTTGTGCCACTTGATACCTTCTTCCACCCACTGCTCAGTCGCGCGAGTGTTGTGGAAATTGATCCCGGGCTGCGGGAGTCGCGCGTTGATGACGTTGTACCACAGGCACTCGGAGGCGGGCAGACGACGGTCTTTCTTGCATCTCAACCAGGCGGTCTTCACGGTTGGATTGGCAGGGTAATACCACGTGAACTCCCAGTTGTCCATGCTGGCGGTCGTTTGTTGAAGAAATGCGTGTGGATGAGGTGTATGAGGTGGGGTGTTGATTTTGGTTAGTGGGTGCTGTTGAGAATCGCTCGTCATGTGTCGTTGTGTCTTGTTGGGTTGTATCGATGCTGCCGTTGCGGCTTAAATAGAAATCGGAAGTCACGAGCTGGAAGCTGGAAAATCATTCGGCCGCTCCCGCCACTGGTTCCGACGTGCGTGAATATTTGCTGACTCTCGAAGCGCTACCTTCAAGTGCGGTTGACTCTAGAATCTTGTCAATGTGATGACACTCTTTACGGATATAAGTGAACGGTGGAAAGCTGACCGCTCCCCGCGAAGCATGGAGCTTTCCCCCGGGATGTCTCACCAGCTGCACAGCGTTTGCTGCAAAATGGAAGATGCATTGATACTTATACCGGCAAATAATGGACCTACTTACGAAGCAAATGAATCGACATACACGGCGTTTCCATCTGCTACATCTGGCTGCCAGCGCGGTTCACTTCGCTTGCTGCGGTCGACATGTGATAAGAATGCCAGTCTAATTTGGAGTCATCGAATAGGGTGTGGCATAGATCCTACCAGGGAAGCTGTAGGGGTGTCGACAGCTTATCCTTAGGACCAAGCACTGGCTCAGCAGTCCCAATATCACTATAGAAATGTCAATACCGTCTCCAGTCAAACGCGATAGATAAGTCTGGACGTACGCAGCTCCCCTTGGTGCCCAGTATTGCCCCGATTTGCTTATATCAAAAGTCTCAACCCACTCCACCAAACTCTTCGCAGCAACATCCGGCGTCACCGCCCCTCCGGCGTCCCAAAACTTATCAAAGCCAACACTCTTCGTCATCTCCGTCCTCATGAAGCCAGGGTGCACCATCGCTACCGCGACTCCACTCTCTTTCAGATCGAAGCTCAACAGCCTGCCAACCATATTCGATGCTGCTTTGGAAGCATGGTGTCCATACATCCCGCCGCCTTCACTCTCGTGTCTTAAGCCAATACTCCCCGCCTCACTCGACACAAGGATCAATTTACTGCCCTTCCCGATGAGACCTGCTTTTGCTAATGCTTGTGTCACGAATACTGGACCTATCGCTGAAGTCTTGTACATCTTGACTTCCGCTTCGTAGTCGGGTTCATCGAACGTTTCTTTTCCAAAATAGCCTGCGTTGAGGACCACAAGGTCTTGCTTGGCGCCTTCGAGGCCTTCGACGATGGTTTTTCCTGCGGATTCGGTGGCCATGTCTACGCCGGTGATCCACTTTATGGGCAGAGGGAAGTCTTTGACTTGGCCTGATCGTGCAGTCCCTGTTACGGTGTGGCGGCTGGAGTGGTACTGTTTTGCGATTTCGAGGCCGAGGCCACGGGTCGCGCCTACGATTAGGACGTTTGATGGCATCTTGTAAAGAGTTCAGTCACCGGAGTCATGAATGTAGCGGGAAACAAGACGGGAAGCCATCAGATTCAGCAAATGTGAGATATGCCGGTCCCTCATGATGTTGGTGCGATGCGGATTGACGTGATGGGAGAAACTTTGCCAAGGTGCATGTAGCCATTGATTGATCGACAATTAAGATTTGATGTACAGCATCATGCTTGATCCTTGATCTGTCCCGCGCGACTTCACCTCTACTCTGACGTGGCAGAGCTGCACGAGGCGTAAGTCAAGGTGGGGTGCCGCAACAGAGCCATTGGGCAGGTAGTACATAGTTCCCTCTCTTTCTTCCCAACAGGGTTGTCGCAGTACCAGAATATGATAATATGGCGACAGCGACCGCGCTGGACGAACTTCGCAAGACGATCTGGACCTGCCCCATCATCGACAACCATGCGCATAACCTCCTGCGTCTTCATCAGGTAAAGAGCGCCGACTTTCTCAGTGCGACCTCTGAAGCTGGAGGAGAAGCGTTGCAGGACCATGTCAAGGCACTGCCTCACTTTAGGGCCCTCCGCCAGCTCAGCAAGCTCTATGGTCTGCCAGCCGATGTTAATTGGGATGTTATTCTCAAGAGGAGGAAGGACTTGCTGGACACAGACCCGAAGGCACTGGTGGAGAAATGTCTGGCGGGCACACATGCCATCCTTATCGACGACGGCCTGGAAGGCTCCTTGCAGAAGTACAGCTGGCATTCCCAATTTACAACGGCTCCGTGCAAGCGTATCGTGCGCATTGAGGCCATTGCTGCCAGTATCCTCTCTGCGATACATCAACAGGGCAAGCTACCTGTGGGAGTCGCCATCGCGGACGAAGAAGCCTGTCAGCTTGCCTGGATCGCCTTCATTACCGCATTCGAGCAGGCCATCGCCGCATACCTTGAGGACGACGAAGTGGTAGGATTCAAAAGTGTCATCTGCTACCGGACTGGCCTCGACATTGAGGTAGGTAGAGATGTCGAAGTCAACGAAGCTGGTTCCAGGAGTTTCCGTAGATACTATTTGCCGCACTGCACGATAAGCAACTTCCGCGTCCAAACGAAAGGCATGAATGATGCGCTGGTTATCAGCACCTCAAAGCTCATTGAGGCTTACGCCCAGAACAACAGCGTTGCAAAACCGTTCCAATTCCATACTGGCCTCGGCGACAACGACATTTCGCTACTAGACTCCAACCCAGCGTGCATGCAGCCTCTCATCAAGGCTTTTCCCGGCGTACCATTCGTGTTGCTTCACTCGTCTTACCCATTTACGCGCGAAGCTGGGTATTTTGCGACCGTGTACAAGAACGTGTACCTTGACATAGGAGAAGTCTTTCCAATGGTCTCGAGAGACGGTCAGGAGCAAATCCTGCGTCAGGCACTCGAGATCACGCCGACTAGCAAGATTCTTTGGAGCACCGATGGCCACCACCATCCGGAGACTTATTGGCTTGCGAATGAACAGGGAAGAGAAGTGATTGAGAAGGTATTTTGCAAGTATGTGATTGCAGAAGACTGGACCATCAACGAGGCGACACAGGCTGCCAGGGATATTTTCTTCAATAATTCCAACCTGTTGTACAACTTGGGGTTTGAATACCCTCGCGACAACGCTGGAATGGAAGAACGCGCTGCAGAGAGTGTAAGTCAGCACTACGATGAAGCAGACACGTAATCGCATCTTCCCGACCCTTAGTCTCCTCTTGATGAACACCAAAGTAACAAATCCGCTTCACAGATTTCCCGGCTGATATCGCGCATAGCAAGAGCTCGTCGCGGGCACCGAAGCACTCGCACTCGAGAACGAAATGCCGGAGACCCACGCAGGCCGCCCATCCGCCGGTTCACTGAGCGCTAGTAGTGACCTCGGCTCCATCGACTATGTCTTCGTCCAGTGGCTTGACTACATGGCTCAAATTCGATCAAGATGGCTACCTACCACCGAATTTGTGCGTTTAACGTCACCTCCTGGCGCTGAAAGACTGGCGATCTCCAAAGGAAACCTGTTCACTACGCCGAATGATCATTTGATATCTAGCGCGGAGCCTGTGGGATCTATTTACGTGGAACCCGATATGATGAGCTTGAGACCAATGCAGGACACCGGACCCGTGAAGCGTGCCGCGACTGTCATGGCTAGATTTACTAACGAGGAAGGGTATGGACTGGATGCTTGTCCGAGAGCCATGCTTCAGCGTCTGGTCGAGACTTTCGAGAAAGAGCACCAGATCCAATTCCTTATTGGTTTCGAGATTGAAATTACATTTTGCCGTCGAAACGCCTCCCCTTCGTCTCCCGGAGAGGTGTTCACCCCTCTGGATACGAATCATGCCTGGGGAACTTTCTCCGACGAACAGTACCTCAACTCTGTCGCCCTCATGATATGCATTGCTTCTGTTCTGCAGAAAATTGGCATTCCAATTCAGTATCTGCATTCCGAAGCTGGAGCGGGTCAATACGAATTCGTCCTACCACCAATGCCGCCCATCCAGGCTGTTGATACCTTGGTTCAAGCGAAGCAGTGCATTATGCAAATTGCTGCTACGAAGGGCCTAAGAGCTACTTGTCATCCGATGCCGTTTACGGGTGTTGGGACTGCTGCGCACGCGCATTTCTCGCTGAACGGAGAGGGCGCGTCGGAGAAAGTTGAGAGGCAGTTTATGGCGGGTGTGCTCGATTCCTTGAAGGGCATCTGTGCGATCTGTATGTCGCAGATGGAGAGTTATGGGAGGGTCATTGATGATGGCTGGACTGGGGGACGGTGGGTGGCTTGGTAAGTCCTATTCTGATATGTGTGCAAGGAAAGCTGGCTGACATGTTCCCTGAAGGGGAACAAATAACCGAGAAGTGCCTCTTCGCCGCGTCTCCCCTCTCCGCTGGGAAGTCAGATGCCTGGATGGGTTCGCCAATCCGTACCTCGCACTCGTTACTCTGTTCTCCGCCGGACTTCTTGGAATCCGCAATCAGCAAGAATTGAAGATGAAAGACTGTCTCAAGAATCCATCTAAGCTGAGCGAAGAGGAATTGAAGGATTTGGGTATTTTGGAGAAATTACCGACGACCTTGGACGAGTCTTTGCGTGCTTTGAATGATGATCTGGAGCTGCAGAAAATCATGGGGGAGGACTTAGTGCGGAATTGGATTGAAGTCAAGAGGGCCGAACAGGAAAGTTTGAGTGAGATGGGGGAGGGCGAAAGGAAGGTTTGGTTGATTGAGAGGTATTGAGATCTCTCGATGCATGTTGGAGATGGGCTGGAAAGACACCCGGCATACTCTTGCAATGTCACGACAGGTCCTCATACTTGGGTGAAAGGGGAATATGAAATTGTACTGGACCGCGGCGAGGGCTGCCCTCACTTCTCTGGCATTGCATTGCTTGCCTTCCAACTGCTTGCTGCTGCTCTGCTCATCGCTGCTGCGCTCGATTGCTCTGCTCGTCACTGCTTCCGCTCGAAAACCAAAAGGAAAGAAAGAAGAACCGAAAATGCAACGACTTACCGTCTCGTAGGATCTTCGTCGCCAATCTCCTCGAATCTGCCCTGCTTCGACTCACCACGCAAAGTTCCCTGCAGTAATAGCTCGACTGCAGCCTCAGGAACAGCAGAGTAAATCGTGACTTCTTTGATATCTCCATAATCGTCTGTGTCTCTCTGCACATCGACGACCTTGCATGCGCCCCGCCAGTCGTGTCTGCCATCAGGAGACCAGACTTCCACTTCTGCTTCTCTGCCCTTCTGAGGCGCTCTGGTGAAAACGACGGTTCTGCGTTCTGGTTCATCGTCCTGGTCGTTTGCGGGCTCGGTGGATCGCAGGGCCGTAGCCAATTCGACGTAGTCGGTGAGGAGGTCGTCCATGCTTGGCGGAAAGGCCATTTCTCCGTGGAGAATTGCTCGCGCTGGGCGGTCTGGGAAGTCGACGGCCATTGCCCTGAAGAAGAGAACCGCATCGGCCGATTGGTTGGCGTGAGGATTTGGCACGCAGGCCAGCAGGTTTCGAAACGTCGCGACGGCGCGATCGTCGCTATCCTGCTGCAGCTGGAGGCGAGGATTTGGGTCTGATGCCACGGCATCCCAGTCATTTCGAATACTGCTGTGTCATCGTCAGCTCTGCTGGGAGCATATTGCGGAAGCATGGTGGGAAACCGTCCCGTCCGAATGTATCAGTAAAATCTGAATATTGCTGGGAGGAAGCTTACTCTGTGGCCAGTGAAGTGGGCACCCTCACGAACGCTTTGCAGGCGCTATAGCGCGAGTCGGTGGCGAAGGAGACTTCATAGATAAAGTGCTCTTTGTTCAGGCGGGCTTTCGGCTGCTCCAGGCCTATGACGGCCGTGAGGGTACACGACCGCCGCTTTGCCGGCAGGCGGATTGGTTGGGCGTAGTAGGAGGCCGTGGAGGAAGACATCTTGCTGGCGGTACGGGGGGAGGGCGATGACAATGGATCTCCGTGGTATTGAAGAGGGATGTGCTGCTGAGGAGTCTGCCGGTTGGTTGTGGAGGTTTGATGCAACGGGAAAAACTCGATGCGGTGCGATGCTGTTGGAGAAGTCAGAGCGAGGTGCTGATGTTCGAGCAAGAGGTGGAACAGAAGGGAAGAGAAGTTTTTGGGCTCTTGAGAAGAATACCGAGGTGAGTTCTGGACACATGCACCGCTGTCGCCTATTATGCTTGCATGTGAATAGCTCAATACCTCACCCGGCTACTGGAAGTGAGGCGAGGAGAGCATGGAGCATTGACCCTCAAGCTTGGTCGCGCCTTCCTCGCTTGTACACGCTAGCTTATATGTATTTGTTTGTAGCCCACACAACCAATAGAAGCTCGTGCTCTAGCGGTAGCTTAGTGGTTAAAGCGCCTGTTACATGTTCACATAGTGTTCACACCATCTGTACATGTTACATCTACAGCGCTGATGGTAACGGGGAGACTCTAGTTCAAATCTGGATCGCAACAGATGCACAAGCAAATTTTTTTGGTAGTCTTCATTGCACTTTTAACATTTTGATCGTTGAATATGGAGGCGTTTGCCTTAGCGAAATTTGCATGTGAATGACTAAGCCTTGATGAAATATTGATGATATTGATGGTGTCAGTCTTGCGTCAACAGTGCGCCGTTGCTCGTTTTTCTCACGCATTCGAATGTGATTACACGCAAAGCGAGACTCGGGTTGTGCTTGTCTTCTGTTTTTTCACATGCTTAGATAGATTTCGTCGCACCTTCCGTTTTGGGACGATTTATCAAGCGCGTGACGGCGTACCAAATTGGCGTCAGCCCCGCCAGGGTTCTGAATCTCGCAGGGAGATTTTCGGATCTCACAGTCCCTGCAGCTGAAGCTACAAGCTACTTCTGTGCATACTTCCACACGACATCAACACGAGATCTGACACCGACGTTACCAGCGCTGTCTAGTCAGACATCGTCGCTCGTCCACACTTGCACGACGCCTCGCGCAAGGCAATTTGACGCAGGCGCTTCGTGACCGAGAGGGGAGGAAACATCGGGCAAAAGACGGAAGTCTCTCCGCCATCGAGATGCTGGGTTGAATCAGCCATTTGATACAAGGGGAAACACGCACGGCAAGGTACGTCCACGAGACCGGTAGCAAATATCATGGACGGCGGCAGCAGCAGCGACGGGGCGTTCACTACGTACTGGCAAGAGTCGAACTCCTCCGCCGCACATCTCGAGCATATCAGCAACGCCCTCAACGCGACTCTCGACCCGCGAATCTCGAACGACGTGCGACAACAAGCACTACAACACCTCGAAGCCGTCAAGAACCAACCTGACGCGCCCCAGTCGGGCTTTACGCTCGCAGATGACTGGAAGCAGAACGATGCGGTAAGGTACTATGGCTTGCAACTTCTTGAGTTCGCCGTGCGCTACAAATGGAATGACTACACCTACGATCAGACCGTGCAGCTACGAACATGGGTCAAGTGTCTGGCTGGCAGCCTGCGAGAGCAAGATGCGACTTTTATCCGAAACAAAATCGGGCAGCTGTGGGTTGAAGTAGCTAAGAGATGCTGGGGAGGCGACGACTGGTCAGACATGGACACTCTACTTGTGAATCTCTGGGACAAGCCAATGGATCAAAAGGGCGTCGTCAACAATCTTCTGGTTCTGGGCATCCTGGAGGCACTGAGTGAGGACATTATCAACAACGAGGATGCTGTGGCCGGTCTCCGCATGGATGTGCTCGGCCATGCGCTCAACGAGATCATGATTCCAGAAGGTCTCTATGTCCAACATGCACAGACAAGAGGAAACGTACAAGAAGTGCGATACGGAAGCGAAGGCTGGCTCAACCGCGTATGCGTGTTCTTCGCCATGTGCGTCAAGGAAGCAAGAATGGACGGGCATCCAGAGCTCGTGAGAAGCATGGAGACATGTGCGATCAAGGCACTGAACGCGCTAAGACCGACGGTGACATGGATCAGCTTGAAAGCTGCAGAAGAAGTCAACTGCATTGATTGCCTCTATCTTCCATTCCATACAAGCAACGTGGCACTGCAGACCGCGGCAGTGGAAGTGCTGTATGCGCTGATCGGTCGTCAGTACAACCCGCACTTCAACGACGTGTGGAAGTCGCTACTACGTCAGGCACTCCGGCCAGACCGTGTTGCCATGATCCGGCAAGCCTTTGAGCGGACCCAAGCTGGTCCCGGCGAAGACGAGGAGAAGTACACGCTGCAAAAGAAGATGTCGGAAGTCCTTTCAGTGCTTGCTGATTCATTATCGCAACATCCTAAGCTTGCAGATGGTACAGTTGATTTGCCTGCTTTCTTCGACCTACTTCTCTTAGTCACCCAGCACAAGAGTCTTACAACATCAATTCCTGTCCTTCATAGCTGGACCAAATTGCTGAGTGTGCAAGAAGAGAGGATCGTCGACCTTGTACTTGCAGCTCTTCCCACACTGTTGCAAATCTCCAGTGAACGCCTTGTGCGCTATGAGGCATTGCCCGAAGATCTCGAGGATGATATCATGCAGTATCTTGCGGAAGATTTCGACACAGTTCCAGAACGTCATGCGTTCCTGGGTAATTATCGCCGCTATTGCACTACTATCATTCAGTCCATTGCGAGATACCGCCCAATTGAAGCCGTGTCCATTGTGCTACAAGACATGCGCTCGATGCTCGAGAATGGACCCTACACAGGCGCTCGCGGGTTCGACAGCACGAATTACACCAAGGCTTCAGTTCCAGTCCTGAAATTCGACGCCCAATACAACGTGGTCTCCGGAGCTCTAAAGGGATATTCGGCCTGGATGTCAGATGTACGCGACGTTGTGCCAGAGCAAGAACTGTACGCGAAAGTGCAGACGGACCAGCAAGAAGCCGCCGAAGCACTACAGCAATGGTGCTACGGCATGATGAGCGTTCATACCGATGATCCTGGTGTCGCTGAGCAGGTCTTGCAAACGTTCGTACTCGTGCTGCGAACATTAAAGTCACCCACCAGCAACTTCGTGCTCAGCATGGTACAACACATCCTCACCATGCGACTGTACGATCAGCCTGCTCACACATCCTACTCAGACTCGATCAAGGCATTTGAAGCGTTGCGCGTGTTTGAGTTGCAGAAAGTCGCGTTGGCCTTCCCGAACGCGCTGCTTGAAGTTTACAATGAGCTAGAGCCTCGCGTGAACGTCCTTGCTCAGAAGCATGCAGATGACCCGCGCTTACTCTGGGGCTATAAAGCATTTTTGTTCATGATCCTTCATCGAGCAAGCGGCATTGACAACGACACGAGAATGAGCAAGCTCCAAGAGATGCTGCAACCCACCTACGAGGCGTGGGCAAAGCCCGGATTAACCGGTCAAGTCAACAGCCTGCAAAGCTTTTGTGACACTGTGGGTATGAACAACTTGCCAGAATTCTACAGGGCGGAAGGCTTTGATCGCATTCAGGAATGGTCTGCCCAGGAGCTTGACGAGGCTGGCAAAGCGCTGCAATGGGAGATCAAGGAGAAGGCAGACCACTTGCCATTGCGCATGACCAAATCGATGCTCTCTGCTACTACGGAAAAGCTTAGGAGCGCGACAGACGAGTACGACAATGCAAGTGCGCTCTGGGGCGGCCTTATCCCGGTGATACTTCCGAATCTGCTACAGATGATCCGTCATGCAGTCGCGTTTCACAACCTGGCCAATTGGTCTCATTTGCCCGATGAGCTTCAGATGGTAGTAAGAAGAACACTGCAGGATCGATTCTGGCAGTCAGGTATTTCGAACGAGAGCAAGGAGGAGTTCTACGCTCGAATCTCAGGCTCCAAAACATCGTATGAAGGCTTCGCCAGTACTATCCGAGGCACTGTACGCAATGTCAGAGAGCAAGGATACCACCTCCTGTACCTCATGACCAAGTTCGATGAGCAATTCTACGGCCTTCCGCAGCTCGCTGAGCCACTGGCTGATGCTCTCTTTGCCGATGCAGGCAGCTTGAGTGCCAACCACTTGCATCCGATCATCAACCTGACCACAGGCTTGGTGCAACGCTGTCCGCCGCATTACCGCACTCAATTTCTTCCGCCTATCCTGCAGCAGCTCTTCATCAAGCTTGATGCCAAGATCAGTGCGGAATGGGAATCTATAGGTGCGGCAGCGGATCGTAGCCAACAGGAAATGGACGAGTTGAGTGATGAGATGCGCACAGAAAGCGTTCTGCGACAACTGACGTACGCAATGGTCTCTTTTGTGCCCTTCCTTCTAGAATACGATCGGCAAGCTGGGGTTCCTCATACTAATGGGAACGGCGCGCATTCCCCTGCGAAAACCTCGCTGAGCGATCTTGTCCTCTCTGACGCATCTGTCTTGGAGCCATTGATGCTCTTCTGCACGCACGCTCTTCGCATGAGAGATTCGCGCTGCTGTTCCACCATCTGCAAAGTCTTCCGCGGCATTGTGCCAATGTTCGCCACTACCACTGGAACCGCCACCATCTCCGCCGAAACAGCCCACCAAGTGCGCGAGTTCATCTCCGACGAGGTCCTCAAAGCGTGCATCACGTCCCTGAACGAACCCTACTTCGCCGATCTCCAAAAGGATCTCGCGGCTCTGATCTCCCAGATCATCCTCCTCTACAGTTCCAAGACCACTACTCCGCGCTCAATTCTCCTCAGCCTGCCAGACATGCCCGAAGTCAAAGTAGACAAGGCCATCCATCGCGTCTGCAAGACACAGAATGAGCGTCAGCAGAGAGCTTTGGTCTTGGAATTGCTGGAGGGTGTGAGAGGTGTGAGTATCTACGAGCAAGGCAAGGTGAACAGAGGAAAAGCTGCAGGTGGTGCGCCTAAGAAGAAGATGGCGACTCAGATGCAGTATATGGAAGTTGAGCAGCGGCCACAGATCGCTCAAGGAGAGGAAGAAGGACTGGAGAGCGTGGCGGGATTGTTTGGAGGCGAATAGTAGAGCGGCCGCGATTTCCGCACTTTGAGCGATTGCTGTCTTCTCATGCTTCCTGGACGGAAAGGTTCTAGCGTGAAGTTTTGGAGCGAGATACCATGACGAAGTCGTTTTTTTGGAACCTTTTTGGGAAATTGCCTGCTCTTGACTGACTCAGACCTAACGACAGACATCGTTGTGAAATTGAAAAGCGGGTTGAAAGTGACGAATGCTCACAATGATGCATACCCTGCCCATCATGACCACACACAGCGAGAGCAATGCATATCTACAAAGTCCATCCAAAAGGTCCCTTTTCCTGCCCAAGCAGGCGACGCAACCATCTCACTTCTCCGTCAAAGAACGTAAAAGCACCTTCTGCATCGCCTCGTCAAGATCCGCCTCATCATGTCCTGAATCAGAGCCTCCGTCTAAAGCTGGCGGTCCCAATAGAAATTTCAAGCGTGGTCCATTATTGCTGCTATTATCGCTCCGTCTCAGCGTTTTACCGCCGTTTACGCTTGCTTCGGTGACGGCTTTAAGCAGATGGCTAGCCACGGGGCACTCTTCCCCTCCGTGTTCGACCAATCGACTGCGCTTTTGTTCGTAGTTCTCGGAATCGAGCCCTTCGAAGGATCGAGAAACAAGGCGTTTGACTATACTACATCTCAGAACATCTCGCAAATTAGCATTCTTGCCAATTGAGAGAAGGTTTATTGTGATTCATTTGGGATACTACCATGCCGTCGGAGGAACATGGCGCGGCGTGTCCCATCCCGCAGTGGATTCAGGTACTCCACTGCTCTGCTTCATCGTCGTACGTGGATTCGCGATGTCGCTCTCGTTCGCATCCTTCATGTCCACATCGTTGCCCACATCATCTACCCATCCATTACTCCCCTGTTCATTGGAGCTATACGCCGGCGTGGGCAGCTGTTCCGGAGCACGGCAGACGGGCTTGATGATCTCCGTCTTCTTGTCGTCTTGAACATAGACAGCATACATGGGCGTACCATGGGCCCATGTGTGCGCTTCCAGGATCTCTTTGATATCGGTGAATTGCTCGACTTGGTCGTCATTATACTTGCGCCACATGTCCTGCGAAGAGATTAGTACAATTCAAGAGTAGGGCACTGAGATATATGCTCACATTCTCAAAGTCATGGATGTAAACCCAGTAATGCCCATGACCTACAGTACCGCGATGGAAGAAGACCGAGGCGAGTCGATATTTGACTCGTTTGGCATCAGTGAACTGGTTCTGAAGTTGCGTCTCCAGCTGAGCGATTTCCCTCTCCAAGACAGCGAGGCGCTCGGCTTGTTGAGCGGCATCCTGTTGCAGGATACCTGGCAACTCAGAGTCGACTTCTAAGCCGTCCAGTCCCACCTCTTCCAGCTCACTATCGATGCCATTGAGGTTGTTGATGTAGTTTGCAGTCTCAGTGACGGCGGCTGGTCCGTCTAGCTCCATTTCAGACTGGGAAAGGGCTTTCTGTTCTTTCTTCAGCGTCCGAAGCTGCTTGCGCCATCCAAAGCAAGCTTTGCGCTTAGGAAGGATGTCCACTCCACTGTTGTCAATGTAACGGTCCAGGTAAAGCTCGTCTTCCAGCTTGACGCTCTGCTCTATCTTGTGTGATTCACCCTTGACGCTATCAAAGCCAATCCGCGGTATGCTGATCTGTAGGACGGGTGGCGGAGACACTATGCTCTTGAAAGCAGTTCTTGGCCCAGTCTTTGGGTCGATTTCGAACGTCTGCAGGTCGAAAAAGCTGTCGAGCGCAGAATAAATGTCCATTGGCTCCGATGGTACATCCACTTGAATGGCTGTAGTAAACTGATTTCGCGGCTTCTCGTCAAGCTCTCCCTTAACTCGTGTCTCGGAGATTGTAATCCTGAAGAGGTTCCGAAGTGCGTCCTCTTGCTCGCCACCCTCCTCTTCTCCCAGCGGCATCAGTCCGAATCGGAGGCGGTCCATGATCGCGTCGTGCACTTCAGTCACATCTTGTTGTTGACGTGCTTTTTCCTGTGCCAAAGCAAGAGCTTTCTCTCGGGCGCTCGATTGCTTCCGCTTTCTTGGAGGCAGGGGTGGTGCAGCCGCTGGTTGCTGCTTCTTATCGGCGGCTTCTGTCCCAGGACTAGCAGGAGGAGTCGGAGGTCGTTGTTCGTTGCTCTGCATTGAAACGTCGGTATCTTCACCATTAACAGAGGCCTGTAGTGTAGTACTGCTCGCGTCGGACTGGTGTCGAGACTGTTCGTCTGCAGGCGCAGGAACGGCGGGACCGTCTGGTATCTTCTGCTCAACAGCAGCCTCAACATCGCGATGGGAAGCGCCGTCACCCTCTTCCTCATCCTGATCGGCCGTCAGAAGCGCATAGTCTTTGAGCTCGAGGAAAGCTCGGCACACAAGATCTTGTTCTGGCTTGACTGAGATCGACGGTTCCTTGATCATTCGCTCGAACAAGTGCTTCAGGTCTTCTGCGAATACATGGCTGCCTTTGATCTGGACAGTGTCGACGAAGACATATCCTACACGCTGCTTCTTCTCTCCATATTTGGCGATGTCATACTTGTGTTCGTCGTAGTTGAGAATGTGCTCTCGGAATGGCGCCATGCTGAAGTAGTACTGCAGTAAAGAATTGAGATAGCATGTGTTGCCATGGCTGATAAGTCCCACAGGCCAGGTATCGAGCGAGTGAGATGGTTTCGGAGGGCCGCCTGCCATGGCCTGCTGGAGGGTGGCGATGGCTTTCTCGGTGTTTTCTCCAGGCTTGTCAGATCTTGCAGTATCGAAAAGGAGTGGGAGAATCTCTGGGTCGCACTCTTCAAATTTTCCATCGATGCCAAGGTGCCGCAGAGCCTCATCCACTGACATTTGGTATTCGCCAACCTCTCCCGAAACGACCCAGTTGTTGAGCATGTCGCTTTTGCGCTCTCGGGCGATGATAGAGATTGCCTTCATCGTGAGTTCTTCGTTCTCTTTGCCTTCGTTTTTCTACGCACGGGATTAGTTTTCGTATGAATCTCCCTCGTAGTTCAATGACAAAACACACCTTGATACTGGCAATCGAAATCAAAAACTCGTCGTCTGTGGTTTTCTCGGCTCCATTTCCAAGCCACCCAAGTGCTTCTTCGTAAGTCTCCATGGCTCGTTGCGCTGTGCCGATCAATTGCTGGCTGTTACGGGCCACTCCAATCTTATATAATGCCTGCCGCGCCTCTGCCTCCGCTTGACTTCCTAGATCCAAGATGCGAACGTGAAAGAGGTTCAAAATGCGCTCGTCGCTCGCCTGATGTTCCGATACGGGGATGTTGAGTGTCCTGAAGGCTGCCGATAGATCTCTGCGACTGATTTCTCCCTGGGAATTCAGAGTGGCAACTTTCATCTGCAGCTGCTCCGTGTTGCGACCGTCCGTGATCGTTTGCAAACACTCGAAGTAATATGCTCGCTTCTCCGGATCGCAGAGCACCTGTCGGTCGAAAGAGAATACCAATAGCGAGTCGGCAAAATCTGGCAGAGCACCCAGTGCTGAGAAGTATCTGTTGTGATGTATTAGTCGGATGTTGGAAGACTGTGGTGGTGTCTGGAATACGCACGGAAGTTCTTCGTTTGAAGCCCCAACGCGTCTCAGCGAGGAATGACGTGCATCTAATACATTGGGTAAGTGCGCGCAAACAGAAACAGCAATCGCGGTCAACTCACATCCTTGTACTGCAAGCGTCCGCTCGATGTCTTTATCCGCTGACGTCCAGCCGCCCTCTGCAGCAGCGGGATTGACAGCACCTGTCTCATGGGCGAGCTTCGCCATCAATACTTCCAACTCCAATTCCACGTCTTCCAAGAGTTCTCGCAGATGTGTGCCGTCTGCACGTAACCGATCGTCTAAGACGCCCGGCTGAGGCAGCGTCCAGATCTCCGATCCTTCATCATCAACCTGCAATTGCAATCAGTGCCTTTCCCTGGTTCGCTGTCCTCTCTTGTAACCTCTTACCCCGTGTCTGAAGCCTAGCTCGTTCAAGATATCCGCGCAGTCTCGCCCATAAACACCAAACGCTTCCATGAATCGCTTGTTGTATGCAGAAAATGTGCGCCTTGTGTGTTTCGGGTCGAGCGAATCCTTAATGTACTTCCGCAGTCTTGTCAACGACTCGACAGGTGTTGCTCTTCGTACGTTGTCTCGATTTGTGTCTTCCTTCATGACCGCTTCATACCTCCTCTTCAAGAGCTCCGTGTCCGTGAGCATAACTTTCTGCTGCGGCGAGATTCGCGGCATTCGGAAGGTAATCCTGAGCTGGGCACCGCATGCTGGGCCGCTACACTGCCATACGTACGAGAGCCTATTCGTCGATTGGTAGTCTTCGGCATGTACTCGCTGGAAGTGATGGAGCGGGTAATCGTGATTGGGACATGGGTTCGAGGCCGATGCAAAGTGGATGTGCACATCTGCGTGAATTCTGCATTTCTTGCATATCACCGCACATTTATACTCACTGCCACCATCTGGACGCAAATCCAGCGGCGGCAGGACGCTCTGCTCATGCTTTGTCCTGTACTCATGTTTGCAGCTGCCTATCACCGGAGCGAGTTGTGGGCCGTCGCCAACGGTCGGGCTGAAGTCTGTGAGGTAGTTTTGGCCCTGCGCAGTACGCAGAGGGTCAAATAGCAGGAAGTCTTGTACGAGTTTAGGAGCAGTCTTTCCAGGACCGCTAGGGATGGAGGGCATGCCTCTCTGGAATGGGGAGTTCTGGGGTCGCGACGCTATCTCGGAGTGGATCGATGCTGATATGGCGATGTCTGGCTTGTCGTAGCCCTAATTTACAGTGAAATGCTCGCGAAGAGAAGGCGAACAGTAGTCAAAGGTCCGCCGTACTCGGTCGTTGTATGAAACTCGAACTCGTTGGTGATCTGGTGTGGACGCTGTTTCGCGAGCGAAGTATACGGCGGTCGATGGCGCGATTAGGAGTGGAATATGCACAAGTTGTTGTGGTTGTCGTTGGCAGCACGCTGCCTAGGCACCAACAAAGGGACTGAATGGCGAAGAAGCGCTGGTCATCATCCGACTTCACTTGTTCTTCCTCGAATTGAAGCTCTGACGAAAGTGGCACGTGCACGCCACGCGCGCGGCCTCACTTCCGCGTCGAGTCCCATCCTCTGTCTTCCCACATCCCGTCCCTTTGTTTCGACCTCACTTGTCCTCTTTCCATTGTACCAACATGATCCATCAAACATGCCTATTGCGCACATATCAACGGTATTTGCTGGACCCAGAGCCACAGTGCCATCGAGTATCTGCGCAAGCAGCACGCAGTACGAAACAGAGTCGACATTGTATGGGTTCGTGAATCACTCCCCAAGTGATCGCAGCTGATCCCCGCATGCCGTCCGTTCGGGAGGATCTTCGACTTCGAGACAGCCACGCTCAAGCATAAACGGGTTTTGAAACCCTCAACAGCGATCGGTGTGAGGTCTATCGAAATGCAGTAGATTTCGCAGTGGCCGGGCGAGCGGAACGATCTATCTATACCTGAATTCGAACACAGCCAACGCCATTGTTAGGCTCCAAAAACTGGAATCCCCGTGCTGTCTGCTTCTTTAGAATTACATGGCAGTTCATTGGCCATGCCATGCGGAAGTTTTCAGATGAAGATGTGGTGGCCGTAAAGGCGATCCAAACTGCTGGCTGAAGTTGCTTCTTGGACCTAACTACCCACGTCCCACAAATTCCTGGACCTTATTCGAAAGTGGACTGCGAACTGCTGCAGGGAACCCGATCCTGGCTGGGATGGATTTCACTTGGCACAAATGTCATACGCGACTGCACGTAACCAAAGGTGAACAAAACAAACAGAACTGTTCGGACGAAACTTTTGGCCCTGACCGCGTGCCTGGAGCGCAGGCAACGACGTAGTTCCACTGGCTCTGACTATCTGCAAGAATTCGCATTTCCCTGTTTTGTTTGCTGCTATTAGCGCGCTGATCCGCTCCTTCTTGTTTTGCAAGGCAACAGCAATCACGTGCACGCGCCACCAGTTGGCTAGTTGCTTCAGGGTTTCACACACCTTCGCACGTCATAAAACGCGTCGAACAGCTTCAGCTCTCCCATACACACCTCAGACATCGAAGTCTTCAACGTTTCACTGTTTCTTCTACGCCCAACACAACTCGCACACAACCTCGTTTCTTCTACGCTCACAAGGACTCACTGTCAACATGTCTTCCAACGACCGCAACGCCGACGGCACCTTCACGAAGGGCTCTGACGCCGCAAAGGAAGCTGGGCATATCGGTGGTCTCCATGCTGCTGGGAAAGACGATGCCACGGTACAGTCACTTCTTTGCCTTCTCAAAATCACCTTACGAACCAGAATTCTCATACGTTTGCTTTAGACGACCACTTCTACCGCTACTGGCGATCGCAACGCCGACGGCACCTTCACCAAGGGCTCTGATGCCGCGAAAGAAGCTGGCCACGTTGGTGGTCTTCACGCTAACCACAAGACCGAGGACCATAAGACCGCCAACCACAAGACCGAAGACCACTCCACTGCCGACCGCAACGCCGACGGTACCTTTACCAAGGGCTCTGAAGCGGCCAAGGAAGCCGGTCATGTGGGAGGTCTTCACGCCAACCACAAGACCGAAGACCACAAGACCGCCAACCACAAGACCGAAAACCACTCCACTGCCGACCGCAACCCAGACGGCACCTTCGCCAAGGGATCAGATGCTGCTAAGGAGGCAGGTCACGCCGGCGGTCTTCACGCCAACCATGGGGACGATAGCAAGGTGCGTCTGCCGCCATATCCGTCTTAGAGAAAGCAAAACGCTGACTGTTCTTACAGAAGTCCTCCACCTCGGACCGTAACCCGGATGGAACTTTCACCAAGGGCTCCGAGGCTGCCAAGGAAGCAGGTCATGTCGGCGGTCTCCACGCGGCTTCCAAGACCGATGCTTGAAGGATTAGTGACAGCGGTGCTACTCGGAGAGTTTCATGAGTGATGCAGCAATTGGCAATTGGGAATGATTTTTTGCATGAAATTGCGGCAATCTGGCTCGCATAGTGACCAACTGTATGTACTAATTAACTCGAAATCTCAACCCTCCTCCCCAGAATCGCCCTTGCATCGCCCTCACTCAAGGTCTCCAGACCAAGTTGTTCAAGGGCGTGTCTCGCACTCTCATTGTCCATGAAGACCAATCTCTCAACCTGGAACAAACTCATATCCTTTCCCTCTTGCTCTCCTTCGTCTCCATCGCCATTCGTTTCCTCCCATGCGGATCCATCGTCTTCTTCGCTTCCTGCTTGCACGCGCTGGATTTCGCCTCGGACTGGCAGTGAGAGTAGCGTCACGCTTTCCAGCAGTTTCCGCATTCCCATCTGCGCCTGTCCCTTTCCGATGTATCGATCCAGATTGGAGCAGATGGCGCGGATGTCCGTGGTCAGCTGCGTGGCGCCCGCGGTAGAGAAAGAAGAGCGCTGCAGAACTTGATCCCAGACATAGTCTCCGATGACATGACAGACAGCTCGGCTAATCCGGCGCAGAGGAGCTTTACCAAGCGCCTTGCGAAGAAAACCAAAGTACTCCGTGAGGAGGCGGAGAGTGGGATCTAGTTCCGCAGAGACCGAAGCACCGGCCGTACTAGACGAAAGCGAGGCCCAGGTCCTAATAGATCCATATGGTCTGAGAGCTTGCTGAAAGTCATATTTGAGCGTTGCGTTCAGAGCAGCCTCACTCTGGTCGCGAATTCGATGGTAGTTTCCCGCCGTCTCGTCGAAAAGAGCACCTTCCAGGCCACCATCATTCTCTGCGCCAAGAGCAGAGCTGGTCTTCTGCTGCACATCATGAAAATCGAGTTTCCCGCTAATGGTATCTTTGTTCTTGGAGCGGTAGTCCAATTCGGCCCAGAGTTCGAGGAAGAAGACATCGTAGCTCCAATCTCGCATCGCACGTTCCAGGTATTCAGCCGAACCAAAAATGCGGCAGAGGTAGTCGAGGCCGTTCACGCCTTCCAATTTGGCAAGATCTTCCTTGGACAAGCCTTGCACTCTGCGTCCGATTGTGGTAGTGGCAGTCTGGTAGGCTTCGAGACCGCCAGAGAGGCGTTTGTAGTACTGATCAAAGATTTCGATTTGTATTTTAATCAAGAACTTGACTTTTTGGCTGAAGCTGGATAGGTTGCGATATCGCTCGGTGATGGTCTCCAACAGATCGTTGACGCAGATAGCAGCTTTAGAAGGCTTCGTGGTCTCCGATCCGAACGCGTCGAAATCCAACTCCGCAGATTCGGGTGACTCGATAATGGAGTGATATCTCTTCAGAGCGAAGTTTTGTTCTCCGGCGAGCCATTGATCAAAGTACCCACGGCTGTCTAGGAGGAAGTACGAGAGACCGCGCCAAGGTATCGAAGGTGAGCTTGGACTGTAGCCGTACATATCCTGCAACGAGGTGTCAAACTTGATAACTTCTTCAACGAGATGGCTGAGGAGAGCAGGCTGGTTCGACAACTGCCCGGCCACTGTATTCAGCTTGTTCTTGACCATGGGTACGAGAGCCGTGATGAAAGCACAGGTCGAATCAATATAAGCGGGAGTAAAGGCAATATCTGAGCGCCGGAAGTGCCGTAACAGGACCGGCTGGGAATTGTCCTGGATCCAGTCGCTGTAATCCGAGATGAGGTCGAGGACATGATTGAGGAAGTACTCCGGCTTATCCAGACGATTAGTGGGTTTGTTGCCGGAGAAGTGGTATGTGAATCGTTGCTCTAAAGGATGTATCAGAACTTCGAACGGCAAAAGCGGCACGGGGTCTTCCTCCGGGCTTCGGCTGTGGTCGTGCTCTCGATCCTCCAGCTCCTGCTTCTGCAGGTCGAGTAGCCTTCCGAAGTTGGTCGTCCATTCTTTCTCGAACGATAGGGGGATCTTGTCTCGCGATTTGGGCCAGTTCATCTTCCTGAGCGTCTTCTCCAGGTTCTCTGCAAATGCCGTCTGGATGTTCCGGCGAAGCTCCTGCACATTGGCAACGATGTGATCCAGTAAATGGGGAGCAGCGCCTTCAGCAGCATCTTGCAAGGGCTTCAGACTGGCGACCAAGTGCTGCAGTCTGTTGTATGGCTCCAGTGCGGCATCATCATCCTCTCCCAGCCTGGATACGCATTCCGTCTTCAGCGCATCCACCTCTTTCAGCAGCTCCACGTATCCTGCAGCGACGTCTAATTTGCGCAGTCTCCCCATACTCTCCTCAAATTTTTGCACCGCTTCATCGCTGGTCTCGGACTGAGTGACAATCAGCAGCCGTCGATCGATGTCCTCCTGTTCCTGTTGGAACGCTAAAGCCTTTCGTTGCACGGATTCGGTATGGACATTGGCGCTCTCTTGCACCTCGGCGTAGTCGCGTCTAGCGTCTTCGAGCTACTCGTGGTCAGCACCATGCATGAGGAAAGAATGTGCTACGAGTATTGACCAACCTGCTTCCTCAGCAGCTCCTGCTGAGACTTGACATTCTCCAGGAGCGAGTCCAGTGATTCCAAGTCTGCGGAAGACTGCAGCTTGTCGTCCACGTAGTCCTGGACTCGGGTGTCCATTCTCGCACAGGCCGCTCGTTCCCAAACGCGGGCAAACGCCAAGCAATATCAGGAGATGTATAGAAGATGTCTCCTGCCACATGTCCAACTTTCGTGAAGTCCACGTCCCAAACCGGACTAGCTCCCTCTAGGTAACAGCTGGCACGTGCGCCCACTCCACGCGCGG